GTTAGAGACGGCTGATCAAGTTGACCCAAGCAAGATCTCATATCAGGGTAAAATGCGCGAGGCATGCCAGTGCACCTTATTTCAACAACAAATTATGCTAGTACTATTCTAGTCTAGAATAATAAGTACAATAGAGTATTTGTGCAACATATCAGAGTCAAACAAATTATACAATGCACAAAAAATACAAAGAACACAAACAGCACGGGGTAACCTATGTACGACCAGTTGGGACTCAAACCTTGACAAATCACAACATAAATTGTGGCACTCCAGAGATTGATAAGGTATTCCTGCAGCATGCGCTACGAAGAGACTAGGCAAAGCCGGAGGCAGCTAGTTGCTTCAAGTTAGGAGCTTAAAGCTTAACTAGCGTCGGATTCATATCGGAGGACAGTGAATTGCTCAGCAAAAGGACTGTCTAGATGCCCCCCTCCTGCATTTTTATTGTATTGTTTCAGCCTAAAATTTAGTCGCAGAATGCGACTGCAGCTCCCCATGGAGTCTCCGTTTTTCGGATATAACCCCGACCCTGTCTGGGGTGCCGGTGTGGGTGTAGGCACGTGCACCGATGCCGTCTACGCATTAACTGGTGCGGGATGATAGCGTGGGGGGGGGGATTGATGAAATCAGACTTGAGTGTAGCTGAATGATAAGATGGAATAAATTTACGTATACGCCAGTGCTAAAACAATTAAAAACGGGGAGCTTGAATGGCCGAGCGCAGCCACTAGACAGGAAAGAGACCAAATTTTGGTTCTGGGATCTGCTTGATCAACAGAACAGAATTCCAAGAGGGGGGGTCATCAGCCAATGATGCAGCCGGTAATTTGCAACGCGGGGATGATCATGGTGGCGAAGGACGCAGTAGCTACAATTAGTATACTTATCTAATGGAGCGCGGAAGGAAGGCAAAGTCTCCCCGGACACAGTGGCAGGGATATGCAGGGCGCCGGTGCCGCTGATTATTATTATGATTTGGTCACCAGCCCGTACAACAACGTGCGCCTGGGCAATCTCTCTTTCTTTCTTTCTTTCTTTCTTTCTTTTTTTTTTCCAAAAGAGCTACGTGTCCCCAAGCTTAGAAAAACGGACCTAAGGTAGACCCGACGATCGGGATGGCAAATAGGGTTAAATTTCCAACCCCGGCGGGGCGACGTCCCTGGCTGTAGTACTAGAGATCTTGGCTCACGCCATGAAATATGTGATGAGTTATAGGTTTAGCCGGGGGGGTTACGATTCAAGGCAACCTTGGCACAATACTAGTAGATTGTATAATTGTAGTAAGATCGAATTGTAGAGTGGAAATACTTGATATGGAGATAGAAGAGAGCTTCAAAATTGTATGGAATTCCAAAGCTCAAGAATAATTGCATTTACCCCTCTACCCCTCTATTTACCCCTCCTAACCAAAATGATGACGGAGATTAAAAGCGGGAGGCTGGAGATTGTCCATGACTTGGAATGCCGAGTATGGGGCCCGGTGAGCCGATGGAATCGAATAAGAGAATCTGCCGATTCCTGCAGCACCCGAAGGCGGGGTGAATGATAAAGGAGGGTGGTCCTATGGGCAGTTCCTGTGAGCAAGCGGATTGAAAAATCAAAACCCAACCTCAGATAAGGTGGTGGAGTCATTCTAAGATGGCCAATTAGGGCTGCCGGGTCACCGTTTGCGGTGCTCACGTGATCCGTATTGCCGAGCGGAGGTCCATTTCCATCCAGTCGATTACATTGGGGATAACCAAAAGAAGAGAAAAGTAATGTAGTATTGACATTATTAAATATGTACTCCATAGTAAAAATTAAGCTCTGACTTACCATAGGCACACTGCACCTTGAAGTGACTGTCTGATGTTCATTGAACCACTTCTCTGCATCATGCATTTCTCCGCCTCACACTAACCGCTTTAGGATTACGTCGGAGAGCACCGATCCGATGGAAGGGCACTGTGGAAAGTGGGAGGAGGAGGAGGAGGAGAGGGCAGGGCATGGCACGAATATAGAACGGAACGAGAAAGGATACTAGCTACAATAGCAGCGGAGTAAGATGTGCAATCCATGCCCTAGGGCTGGTCCTAAGTGTACAGTATTCCTAAGGTTGCCACAGATAAGCAATCTGTGACTTAACACATAAGATAAATCGGGCGGGTGGGCCCCGAATTTCGGACGTTCTTCCCACGGAAATCATTGGTGCGCTTTTCCCCTGGTGCTGTGCAACGCTGCGCAACGCTGCATGGCAAATCTTCCCATGCCAACTCCGGAATTTTGCTGGCTCAGTGTTTCCCCGTCGTGCCCGTCCGACTCCGGCTCTTGTTCCCTTCCACTGGTCCCATCTGGTCCCTCTCCTCCGCTCCGCTCCTGTATATATTTCTTCTACTTCCCCCGTAACCTTCCGTTCTCTCCTCACTCATCTGTTTACTCTTCTCTCCTTCTTTAATTGCATTAATACCCAAAAAGTAAACATATTATCCACCTGATATCTACAAAATGACCGCCCAGAACCTTCCCCACGAGCCCGAGTTCGAGCAGGCCTACAAGGGTATGTCTTTTGATCCCATGGAATGTTAAGCAGCATTCTTTATCACCTAATATCTACCCCTCTATCCTCAATTCCTACTACCCCTCCATCCTTTTTCCCGACGGCTTCCTAGTACTTGAAGCTCTTACTAGTAGCCTATCGGCTCGGCAAGTGGACCTCCGCTAATCATATCAAACAGAGCTTGCCTCGACTCTCGAGAACTCCACTCTCTTCCAGAAGAAGCCCGAATTCCGCAAGGCCCTGCAGGTCGTCTCCGTCCCCGAGCGCGTCATCCAATTCCGCGTTGTCTGGGAGGATGACAAAGGCAACGTTCAGATCAACCGCGGTTTCCGTGTCCAGTTCAACTCCGCCCTTGGCCCTTACAAGGGTGGTCTCCGTTTCCACCCCCTCCGTCAACCTGTCGATCCTGAAGTTCCTCGGTTTCGAGCAGATCTTCAAGAATGCCCTCACCGGCCTGAACATGGGTGGTGGTAAGGGTGGTTCTGACTTCGACCCCAAGGGCAAGTCTGACAACGAGATCCGCCGTTTCTGTGTCTCCTTCATGACCGAGCTCTGCAAGCACATCGGTCAGGACACTGACGTTCCCGCTGGTGATATTGGTGTCACTGGACGTGAGGTCGGCTTCATGTTCGGCCAGTACAAGAAGATCCGCAACCAGTGGGAGGGTGTTCTCACCGGTAAGGGCGGTAGCTGGGGTGGTTCTCTGATCCGCCCCGAGGCCACTGGTTACGGTGTTGTCTACTACGTCGACCACATGATCAAGTACGCCTCCGGTGGCAAGGAGTCCTTCGCCGGCAAGCGTGTTGCCGTCTCTGGATCCGGTAACGTCGCTCAGTACGCCGCTCTGAAGGTCATTGAGCTTGGTGGCTCCGTCATCTCGCTCTCCGACTCCCAGGGTGCTCTCGTCCTCAACTCTGAGGAGGGTTCCTTCACCGTCGAGGAGATCAACCAGATTGCCGCCATCAAGGTTGAGCGCAAGCAGATCTCCGAGCTCGCCTCCACCGCTGCCTTCGCTTCCAAGTTCAAGTACATCCCCGGTGCCCGCCCCTGGACCAACGTCACCGGCCGCATCGACGTCGCTCTCCCCTCCGCCACCCAGAACGAAGTCTCCGGCGACGAGGCCAAGGCTCTCATCGCCGCTGGCTGCAAGTTCATCGCTGAGGGTTCCAACATGGGTTCCACCCAGGACGCCATCGATGTCTTCGAGGCTCACCGTGAGGCTAACGCCGGTGCCTCCGCCATCTGGTACGCTCCCGGTAAGGCCGCCAACGCCGGTGGTGTCGCTGTCTCTGGTCTTGAGATGGCTCAGAACTCTGCTCGCGTCAACTGGACCTCCGAGGAGGTTGACTCTCGCCTGAAGGGCATCATGGAGGACTGCTTCAAGAACGGTCTCGCTACCGCCCAGGAGTACGTCACTCCCGCCGAGGGCTCCCTGCCTTCCCTGGTCGCTGGTTCCAACATTGCTGGCTTCACCAAGGTTGCTGAGGCCATGAAGGACCACGGTGACTGGTGGTAAATCAGTCGCCCGTCTTTTGTGATCAAAATCAACAAAAGCAAAAGATGATTCCCTCTTAAGGGGTCGATGCATTTTCTTCATGTCTATAATTTACTTTTCGTCAGCGGGTTTTGGATAGAGGCGCTGGTTTATTTTCCCTTTTCTGTGATGCATTTGATGATATTCCCTCTTAAGCATGCTTTTTGTTTCGCTGGGATCGTCATGATGATAACGAAATTCAATGAATTACTACAAATACTCCGCTCTAGTAAAACGTAGAGTCTGCTCTTCCAAGAGAACGAAAATGGATCCAGTGGTAGTACATATTGAGATCCTTTGACTTGAATATCGTTAGCTTTAGCTTTTTTGACAGGCAGTGTCGCTCTCGCTTTCTACCTCTACGCTCGCACATACCTAGCTAGGTAGTGATTTAATCGTAGTACAAACCTCGTTCTATAAAATCAAACTTTGATAAAACTAAAGTACAAACGATATTCCCGGTGGGTCCCTTGCACTACTTGCTGGAGAATCCCATCGGACCAATCAAAAGCACAAAAAAGAAGCCTTTGATATACTTGAACACGCCCTTTCGACTGAAATGTTTTGCAATTAAAACATGTAAATTCGCCCACCAAGACATGTAGTCAAACTGTACCTCCCGGTAAGTCTAAATTTCAAATATACTGATCCTCAAATCATCACGAAAAATCTACTTTTGAATTATCACTTGAATCTTGACTTGTTCTTTCTCATACACCAATTTGACACGTGACATCCTATATGCACGTGACTATTGTTGATAACATAGCACGTGACCGTCAATCAGACAGCCGCCTCCTCGGCCCAATTGGAGATCGATCTCATTCACTGCGCCAAAAATGCTCGTCGAGTTGATTGTCTAGGATCTTCCTCTATATATCACTTTAAGATTGCTGGGTTATCTGGTATGCCCAGCAAGCCCTCACAATGCTGCCGGATGGGGCATCTTCGGATCGGTGGAGGACTTTCCTCCACCGGTGTTTGTCGCAACGAGTAGATGTCGATGAATTCAAGGATCTATCGAAGCTGATGCTAAATCGATCTCCCATCAAAGAAGATGAGCTGCTGGATCTACTGCTTGGGGCCCGCGCCACGTCAAGTGTCACCTGGGATCCCTTGTTGCCTGTTTATGTTGACGGCCTCTGCAAGGCCGGCCAAGTCAAGCCATCCGCTGCATTGACAAGCCTCTTAAAGCATTCATCTATTCGGGCAAACTCGGAATCCAAACCTCAGATTTCAACTCTCATGATCGATATCAAGGTCATTCAAGATGTCATGATGGCCGTCTCCACAGGCGCAATCCCTAGGGCCCCTGCTGAAGCCGCAGATCTCTTTGCATCAACTGTCGAATGGATTGATGCTGTTGTATCCTGGTATAATGGAAACCTTGACATAATGCAGCAGTCGAGTGGCTTGTTGAATAACCCCGATGCGGTCTCACTCTTCGAATCGGTCGGCATTCTGCTTGCTGCCTTATTTAATACTTCAAAAGGGATAGACGCACTCACCAGCACTTGGATCGATCGCGCTCATCAAGGTATGTCATCAAGTATCTTTTTTGACCCCTTCCCATTATCTTCAATCACTAGCGATTTTTACTAACCATCCTGTTGTATGTAGGCTTGAAAGTCAAGCTCGGCCAGGCTATCACATCTTACCTTCCAATGTGTGTCGATGTATCATTTCATCTTCGTCATCGGCTAGATACTCTCCAGAAGGAGTTCAATCTGTATGGCCAACAGGCTTCCAAGCAGCTGGATAATCCAGAAATCGAGGGCATGAATGTGAATTCTCTCCAATTTGAGACTTCCGTGATTGATGGTCCGATCATTAACACTAGAGCTGGGCTCTATCTGTACCTGAATTCTATGGTATGGCTTTTCTACTTGATGGCTGCGGAGACTTGCATTCTGATATCAATATAGCTCGTGGGACGTCCCTTAGTCGACGACTCTATTCTGATCAATTTCCTTACCAATCGCTATGAGGTGGGTTCAATCTGTCACATTCCCTGGCTTGTATTCCTTTCCTTTCTCTCGATATTGACTTGAACAGGGCCACCAAGAAGTTCTCATTTCGGAGATGATCACAGCTGCCTTCGACGTTCTCTCCAATGGCGTCAACCGAAATGAATCTGGGAGAACGATGTTTTTATTCCGCTCATTCCTAGTGAACAAGCTCCCTGCACTGTTCTCAGCTATGACTACGGCATCGATGGTTCCAATCCCCATGGATATGTGCATTACTCAAGCCCTCAGTAGACTTGATCCTAACGCGTTCCCTCGTTCTCGCAAATGTTCTCCATGCAAGGCAGCAGTGTCCTCTCTGATGCTCGCCAGGAGTTTCTTTTTGCTTGTGCAGCTCACAAACTGATCCCAGAGTCGAGCATTGAACGATACCTTGGAGAGAACCCCATGCAAACCTTGCCGGTGGGCGGTCCATACCAAAAAGATGACCTCGTCCCCCAGATTACCAACAACCTGGAAAAGGCCGACCAATTGATTGGTGAAATTGAGTCGATGGAAGGTAATGCGGGTGCAATTGTTCGCGCTGTGACCGAGGTTTGTTTTATCCGCTGGCTATCTAACTATCCAGCTAACGATACCAGGTCATGAATAATCTTTGCCACCAAAAAGAAACGGTGACCCTCAAGGGTATATGTAACTCACTTTCACGGCGCCCACAGGCACTGGATGTAATTCTGCTTTTCCGAACCTCGAAACAGGTCCTGCAACCTCTCTGTACCTTGTTGGACAACTGGCACTGGGATGAAGAGCAGGGCGAAAACCAACTCGTTTACGACGAGTTTGGTAGTATTCTTTTGCTAATTCTAGCGTTCAGGTATCGCTATGAACTGAGCCCCTCTGATATCGGAATCTCAAGCAATAATTCTTTCTTGTTGAAACTGTTCGACCGAGGCACCTGCAGTCAGAAGTTGAGCGGTCTCAGCGAGAAGCAGAACAAAGACCTTGGCTCGTGGATTACAGCTCTGTTCATTGCGGAAGGTATCAACGAGGAGACTATGTCCTCTTGCAGTCCCCAGGAGTTCTATCTACTTGTAGCGACGCTGTTTGATCAAAGTCTTGGAGCCTGTGAGTCAGGGAAGCTAGATTTTGAAACGGTGAAAGGGGGTTTCGAATGTAAGAAAGAACCAGTTATCCCGCGGTCGGGCCAATCTGCTAACTGTCCCAGATCTTTTGGAACCCTTCCTCTTACCAGCTCTAGTGGTAGCCCTTGCTTGGCTAGGTAATCACATCTGGGAATCTGAAACTGACCCGACAATTCCTCTGAAAACCCTCCTCTCCCTGGTGAAGCCCAGCTCAATCTCCGGCGAGGCCCAAGCAATTCACAAGACAGTTCTCAACATAACTGCCCGCCCTCTGGAAGAGCAGCTGAAAGATGTCCGCACCAGACACCAATCCAGATCAGACATCAAACCGATTCTTGACGCCCTTGAACCATACCTCTCTTTCCGACGCGTGGGCAGTTCACATCGCTCCGAGATCGACAACTGGGCCGCACAGCCAGTTGGCGGTCTCTCAGGAAGTATTCGCAGCACACTTCAATCTCTCGTCCTTTGGAGCAGCAACTCCGAGATGGCCGTGCAGCCACAATCCTACACGCATCGTCAAATCCTCGCCGGGATCCGGATTCTGGGATCCACGCGAGTGCTCGGCGTCATGCTCGACGAACTGAAACAACAAGCCGAAACAGGCAGCGTTGACCTGGCTCTTGATGTCGCCGCGACTATTGTTTGTGCGCCGATGGCCGAGTCGTTCGCCGTTGACCAGAATGGCTGCCAGCCTGTCGATTCGACCAAGGAGGCGTTGCCTCGCTGCCCGATCCTCACGCTCAGAGATGCGTTGGCGCTGCAACACGAAAATGTCCCCAAGATATCAGAGAAGGATCCCATACGGGCAGAAATTGTTGTGAGGCTTTGGCGCCGTGTCAGTGTGTTAGCAGCGCCTCCGTCGCAGGTCTCGAATATCGATGTCAGCAACATCATTCATAATATGCATCTCGGTGGTGTTGATGGACAGGATCGTATGGATCTTGAACCTACGGCTGGTGGTGTCAGCGGCCATGGAGTCAGTGACGATAACCCAGACAATATCAGCGATATGCTTGATAAAGCTGCCGCCGCTGCCGCTGCTGGCATGGACAGTGGTGTTCAAGATCTGGGTCAGGATTTGGGGTTGAATGTCGGTGATAGTGGCATGGATACTACCGGGATGGATGCTATTGACGACGTGCTTAATGCAGCGGATATGGCCGTTGGCAACCCCGAGTTCCTAGATCTCGACATGGAGGGGATGTTTTGATCGCGCATATGCGAACCTTGGAAGTATACAGTATAACCTCCAGAGAACAAGCATTATTCGTGAAGGTTTATATTTGTAAATTATTCGAATAGTAGATTTGCAGCTTGGCTGCGTAAGAACAGACAACGCCTAAATCAGACATCGCATCGATCCTTTTTCCCGCTTGCTTTCCAGCGATCTGACTCCCGAGTTGAGGTACTTGTGGGCGTCTGCTTTCCAGTCTCTCATTTGTAAATCTCTCTCCGATCATTATAGTTGTTTCTGGTTGCAACATTAATTAGTGAATGCTCGGGTATTCTTTATTGATCTGAACTTACAAAGGTTCAATTCCTTCTCAACCTTCATGGTGAGCTTGGGAATTCCCGAGTGAGGGTACATCATCTCCAAGAGATCCATAGGCTTGGGAATAAGTGCTCGCTTCTCTCCGACTGGTGCTGTGGCGACCATGGAGGAGAGAGTGACGGTGGCGAAGATAGCGATCAGCTTCATTGTGATGTTATGTGTGGCTTCGCCTAGGCACGGTGTATGTTAGGTCTGATTTACTATAGATCAAGCTTTCAGTGTTTGCTGGAGGCATTGTTGTAGCAAATGGAATTCACACCTTGGAAAATAATATCAAATGAGCGTGTAAGAGGGATATTAGTGATTCGATTAGTGAGAAGGAAATCTAAGATTGCAAGATTCTTATTATGTTTTATCACAGGGACATTTCCCTCCTTGGAGGGAGGGCTAGGTTCCTCTCATTCCAGTGAAGTTTGGATCAAAGGGCTTCGTTCCAGGCGCGAAGAATCCGAATGCGACGCGTCAGTCCAATGTAGAGTGTCTACAAATATCCCTGTAATTTTTTTTCATCCTCCTGGGCAAGTGGTACTTTTTTGCTTGATATGTCAAATATACAGAATTTCGAACAGACAGCCTTTATGTTTCGTTCAAGTTGGAACGGTTAAAACCATAACCCCCTCTGTTCAATCTGTGGCTAGCCCACATACGTCGGTGGAAGGGCTGTTGGTGAGACGCGGCTGACGCAAGGGGTGGCGAGTTGACATGTTCGATCATAAACAACGTTCGCCAGATGCAAGGCGCTTTATTTGGAACAGACCGAGCGTGAGATCTGTTATATATATTATAACAGTGGGCTCAAGGTCCTTTTGTTTGTGAGCTGTCTATACTATAATGTCCTTTTTCCTCTATTACTATTGATTGTGTACTTGGTGGCTCATGAGGTAAATTTGCATAGCGTTCCAACTCGAAGATTAGAAATACGGATTATTTTTCCGTACTATGTAGTACCAAATTTCGAGTTGTATTTTATACAACATGAACATCAATTATTGGTAGCCTTGAGAGAATTTTATGTAAAGCAAGTGAGGCATCAAAACTACTTCTACAGTTGATTCCGAGTTGTCTGGTGGGCGTTTCTGTGATATCCATGGATGTTTCGAATTCTAATAGTATCCTTTTTTTTTGTAATACCTACTTAGGTAATATATACTTTAATTTGAAGTTCAAGTTCCAAGGGTCCAAAGTTTTCTTAGGAGCTCGGGCACTGAGCAGCCAAATTCCGGCAACATCTCTAGATAGCGTTAGTACTTAGGTACTCTAAATCAATTTCCATCAGTTTCCTGTATTGAATTGAACCTTGGAATACGTTAGAATCAGCCGGTGAGAGAGAGGATAATTACTCTCACATATTGTAGAGCTCTACTCCGTATCTGGAACAAAAATAATACATTCCTATATTTATAAACCTTGTAATGGTCGGCATCAGGATTAAGCATGTCCACTCGACTTCTAATTAGACCCGGAGCAGGAAAAGCCTCCGGCTGCCCCCTGAAATAGAATACCAATTTCCGCTGAGGACTAGTCAATCGTCAATCGGTCGCCCAACACAGGCTTGGGTACGAAGTACTCCATATAGCCTTGATGGTACTCCGAATATGTGTTAATTTGAGCCTGTATCCCAGATGCCTGGTCTCTGGGTGGCACCATATGCTCCATACTAAACGCGAAGGATTCCGTCCCACTCGCGCGGCCCAAGAGGACATTCAAAGCCCAGTCATTAAGGCAAAGGACATATCCACAAGGTACTAGCCGGCCCCCGTGGATACCGAAAGCGTGCGAGGATGGCTTGAAGACATCGGGGGCGGGCCGTGACAACCGCACTGGAATCGACTGACCTTCCTGATCGGGATCTATGAGACCCATTGACGAAATGAAAGACAAGCCACCGTACCACCAGGCTGTGAAGTTGCGTGGATGACATTTCCTGGTTACTCCTTTTCAGCCTTCGATATTCTTCGTCGGGAAAAGAAGGCAGCGGAGATCGGCCGTCAGTTGCTGAAGGATCGCCCAGATCCCGAGTGTTTGTCACTAAGTTCGACGGCGTCAGAGGCTTTCTTTTTCTAGAGCTTCCATAGTGTTCAGCCACGTCTATCGTCATTTAGAGGAGAATCCCGACAGAGCGGAACCCCCCTCTACTCCTTACGCCGAATGCAATTGACGAGCGCAAATCTTTTCCTGGGTTTGAGAACAGAAATTAATTAAAGCAAATGGGACCGGAGAGTCGGCCCCGAGAAATGGGCGTATTGGGTGTCCACTTCGCATTTCCACTGAACAAACCTATGTAAAGCTCCCAGCTTGCTCGCTGGTCAGCATTTGGGTAGTCCGTGCCGGTTGTTAGCTCTTCACAGATGAAGTGGGACCTCCGTCCCGCCCGTCAGAGATATTTGGTATGATTTGACAGTGATGAAACTAAACTTTGGGATTACCGTGAAGACTGTGCAGTTCGAGCGCCTCGTGCACTCTGCAGGCACATGGGCGATGCACACTCTGCGCCCGGGAAGATCTTTTCGCTTGTGACTTCCTAGCATGACGATTGGCTGTGAGGGGTTTGTGATGAGCTTTTTGTATCACCAACCTTGTACTCCGTGCGAAGTAGGCTCAGCTCGGACGGGGAGTTCTTGCAGATCAGTCGGAGAGATTCCATGTCGAGGAAATCTGCTTTTCTCTTCGCGTGGGGAGGGGGGCTACCGAAAGGGGGGATGTGATGGGGCCCGGATCAGATCCCCGATCCTGAGGAAACGGATTGTTTTCCCTTCATGATTGGAAGCGGGGAACTGTAAATTGGTTCCTGCTTTTTTTTAGAATCCTATTTCGGGTACGGAATAATTCCAGCGTGAAAGCTTTCATGAAGTGACTCAGCCTTTGCTCTCATTCATGCGGGCTTTGGTTTTCCATCGCCCTCACGTATCGCGAGAAAATGAACCTCAGAGAGATCCCGAGCTGTACTCAACCAAGAAAAGATCGACCATGCAAAGTGGATGCTTCAGCACGTTCTGTAAAGGTCAAGATAGGAGGCAAGAACCAAGCCCCGCCGCCATCGCTCTTCTTGACTGGCGTGGCTGCCATGCAATGAGCTAAGAGCATCCACTTAGATCGCCGATGAAGCCCCACCAGAACGAACTCTTGGTTCGAGATGATATTAAACACCACTTCGGGTTTAGCTTTTTTGGTTGCTCGAACAACAATGCTAGATCAGACGGGACAAGTAGTTGATACTGGAAATAAATGATGTTAGCGAGTTGTCAAGAATAAATGTGAAATGGTATGTATAGTACTTTATCATCAGTTGAGGGATTGGATAGATGGCGAGGCAAAATAAGGCAGCACACGGCCATTTAGCTAGAGGAGTTTACTTACCCACTGCTGCATGCACTGATCGAGTTGCCACCTATGATCGTCGAACGCTCCAAACCCAAGTGGCGCGATCTGCCTTGTACAGAGAGGCGAGTGGAGAGGTGAGAGTATGAGGGTCGAAACCGTCAACTAATATAGTTACCTAGAACAGACATTGTACTGATGTACTTGTGGTATAACTAAAATTTCAACAAAGAAAGTCAGTTATACTCAGTATAATGATGTATGTAATAGCCATACAACGGGAACTTATGTGGACCTGCTACTTGCCGGTAATATTACAGGCGTACCAGTAATTCACGTGAAGCCCCCCCTGAGTTGCCGAGCGACTCGACTGTTTCCTTGTTTGTACGGTGTACTCAGTACTACACTACTGTACGGAGTACCATTTCTTGTCTCCACCACGAAAACAATTATCTGCCCAAGAAAGAGGGTCGCGACTGAACTATGGGGTTGCATGGTGCAAGAAATGGCCCGTGGGTAGTGATTACAATCGTTTCGCGGAGTAGCCAGCGTGACTCGAACGATGATCATCCTTTTCCAACGTATCGTCCCGAGCACAGAATGTTTGATCTTGATGACGATAAAAGACCAACATCTATGAAATAGCCGGTAATGAACGAACCCTCCCTGTCCCGTCCCAAGGCAAAGAAAGAGGGGCAGCGGCAACGGCGTCGCTCTCGTCGAACCCTAATTGAGGGGGGCAGCTGTTGGAACTATCGATTCCAACGACCAGACCAACGCCGCTCTATTTAGAATGTGCATATGACAGCCAGCCATTATTTCTCCAGTATTCTTATTAACTAGCAATTGCCTCGGGATGTTTCCTTTGCGCGAGGCAGACTATCGTTTTCCTTGGCAACGATTCATTGATACACACATTGCTCTTGACTCCACATTAGCCAATTTTCAATTTCTTCGTTTCAGGGGGTTCGCGGAAACGACAGGGGATGCGCTTTAGTGTCGCATATGCCTTTAGACACGTGCCGCGGAGCTTTCTTTCTCAAAGCTCACTAGACCGGCCGCCCCAAGTCACTCTGGGGCCGATCATTAAACTACTTGGAGCGTTCTGGACTTGACTCTCGAACCCCCCCCCCCGGTCCCCCCTTTTGGCAGCCCCAAACTGGTTGAACGTTGCACTATTGATTTCTCTTGCAAATGATTTGCCGTAAACTTCGGCATTCTGTAATGCGCTATGGTGCAAGAGTCATGGTAGTATTCAACATAGATTGCCTCCAGGTAATTGCTTGAGCTGGGAGATCATCTAGGCTGCACGAAAGTGGGTATATGATCGCATCGCACATCGCGTTCTTTCTCAAAATGCGTCTCGGGACTGGTTAGAACATATCCCTGACAGGCGCAGGCGCAGCTGCATCCACACCAATTTCTATGTATCCACCAAGAGATCCCGATTCTTTGTTCTCTGGGGCCTCGGAAGCTCCATTCCGCTCGCGCTAAGAGAAAGTCCAGGGCTGCGCCAAAGGGATTCCAAATTTGGGAACAGTTTCAAGTTCAAGGTGCGGAGAAAACTTACCAAGCACCATCAAGGGAGGCCCAAAAAAAATGGAGATCTCACATTTTCTAACAAAGAAAGTCGGCGCGTGGCGCTAGTCTCCGGTCGGGATCCAGCGACAAGGGACGGGGAACGAAACGGACAAAGTTTGGAAAACACAGCCATCTTCCTGCGATGGCGATAACTCGATAGCTTCATAGATAGCGGCACCGCCGACATGGATTAGGGTCAGGGGGGGCTTTTGAGGCGATTCCTTCGCCCAGAAAGTACCGGCTGAGCCGTTGCGGGAACGTGTCGACCAATCCATTGTGCCACCGCGGTCGAAATTAATCTAATATAGACTCCATAAGCCTCGCGGATTCCTTTCCGGCGCTTTAACTTGTCTATCATTGCACAATCTTGTACAAATGTCTTGTGGATATGTCCTCCGTACGGAGTATAGGTAGTGCCATCGAGGTTCGCCCCTTTCCTAGACTCTTGGCGCCGGAATGTATTTGGGGCCGTTGGTCTTTGATTCAAGTTTCGGGCGAGTGCGGCCGTGTTCTGGGGGTATTATTGTATGTACCAGAAGTATTGATTGTATCAGTACTGCCGTATGTACTTAATACGATTACCTAGTGGCATGAAAATAGGATCGAGATATACGAAGTATTCGATGTCTGAATCGCCAATGATCTGTTCCACTAACCAAATACTCGGATCTCGTCGCCGCGGATTACTGTATGCTCTAAATTTCTGGGAACGATTGATCTTGGTCCATTCTCATTGGATGAGCATATTCATTGTTAGTGTTGGCCGGGGTAGCGGAAGCATAGGGTATTGGTACTTGTGGTAGCAATTGGCGCTATCGAGAGCTTCCCCAATGATCCGCCACCTGTACCATGGCTACACTCCCGACTATATCAATATCCTTTATTTGGGACAGTGGATTTATTTAATATGTGACTTGTTGCCGGCCCGTCATTTATTAAGAATTCTAGTGACGACAAATTGATACTTTGAACAAAAGTGACATCACCAGACACAGCTTTCTGTATGACCAATGCGCAGGCTCCATCTCCGCCAGTCCAAATACGACATAAAGTATGTCTATACGTAAGTACAATGTAAATTTGTATGTATCTTATTATTCACTCTTTTGTTTCCTACTCTAACCCGACGATAATCTGTGCGTGATGAATTTCATGACACGAGGAAGAAGATCAATGCGGTTTCAAGTTGTGCAACGATTGATTATGTGGCGTAGCTGGAATCCGCGGGGTATATTCTCAGAAAAACAAAATCGCATGCGGTTACCCTGCATATGAATTCTTCAAGTTCAGATTTGAAGTTGTACAGGGGAGAATTAAATCAATTAGTCGGTGTAGTTACACGAGTTAATAGATCGATTCCATTCAAGATCCACCTGCAGTCACCAAAACTTGATTATGTATGCTGCAGGTACCTGCCACACTATTCCAGGCCCTGGCATATGCGGGATCTCAGCCTCAGTCTGACCGCATTGGAAGAAAAAAAGGCCACGAGGTTACACGACATGTACATCTGGGCATGGAAGAGTAAAATAAGGAAAATATGCGCGAGCAGCGCCAGACAATTACCAAACCACAAACCACGGGCGGCGGCGGTGTGTCTACATTCAAGTTGATTTTGAGAGGAATGATATTCCTTTGCACGCTCGGCCTCGGCATCTACTACCCAGTATTAATCTACCTCTATGTAGTACAGGTGCCTGAAGTAGTACGGTAGCATCACTCAATTTTCAGACTGTGTCGCTGCCAGTGGATTCTAGATAATTCCAGCCCAGGTGATTGTCGGGCGGGACAACCCGATACTAGATAATATTTTTAAAAAAATGGCGTACAGCATACTGAGAACAGACCAACTCTTGACGGTCTAATCGGCCAATCGAAAGTTTCGTCAAAGCCTTGGAGATGAGACCAAATCTTGCCCTATCTATTTGTCATGTTCCTGCGCCGCGCGGGTGATTACTTCCCCAGGATGTCGAGGCCCTAAGATGATCCCAAATTCAAACCACTGACTCGGATGCCGAGTTTGTCTGCTTCTGACCGACCGAGTTATGGCGATCTAGCCCTGGCCGAGCTAAAGGCCTGTCGTGCGACTATTCGAGACCAAGAAATGACACCGAAGTATCAAACCCCGCGAATCAGTCCGCCATGCCTACTCCCAAAAGTGGAAAGAGACCGAGTCGTGTCGGTCAAGTATGCAGTGGAGGATTTTGTCGGATGTGCTTCGTAAAGTGTATAAAACAATCACATTGGAAAATACGATTCTTACACAAAATGATCAGTAATGTAGGATTCACCTTCCACTTGTGACCTAGCGAGTTGTGGAAGTGGTTGCTGATATCGAAGCTATTGCGGCATAAGCATGTACCACGCGGTGCCTGAATGCCAACCCCAACCATTGGTGTTCAGGCAGAAAAAAGGAGAAAGAGAGAGAAAAAAAAAGCCACTTGACTCCAGCCCATTTGAATCAATGTGATTCCCTCAAGGAATTTTTCCAAGTTATTTGCCTTGTTCTGCACCAGAAGTACGGTGCATTTGAAGAAGGCCGTTGTTTTGCCCCACATTTTGGGCATCAGTCTCGTGTCTGTTTGCCAGGAACGCGTTCGCGCTCGCGCGCCAGCTGCGGGACAAGACGCAAGCAAACGACATTTCCGAGACAGATTTTCAGTACCGATTAGCTATGGATTTTAGGTCTAACTCCTGACTCAACATCAAACATGATAGCCACGGGAGACCCTCGTTCTGAGCGGACAAGAAAGAGTAAAACTAACAGAGCAGCCCACTTTGTGCCGAGGGACCCGCCTAGCAGCTTTCCCCAAAGCTCCATCCGAACTGGGAGCAATGTGAGTCGTTGCCGTGATCGAAAACTGGCCCGAGCATCGCAATCGCAAGAGCGGTCCCATGGTTCAAGATTAGGGGGCCACCGGAGCTTCTCCCCAATTCAAGGCCTGTGCCGCAGATCGTAACCCTTGGAGGAGAGGGGTGAAAGATCGCGCACGCCCACACGCGCCCGTCACTGTGATTATGTGGAGGGGGCTTGCATTCGGCTTTGAAGGCTGGTGATGCCCATTGGACCCCCCCCGCCCGCGTCATTCCCGGAGATTTCATTTCTCGCTGGTCGTTCTCTTCCAAGCTTGTCTTTGTATGGAGTAGACTACTGTGCAGAACATGTGACTGGTGGGAGATGCACCAGTCGAAGGATGCGATGTGCGTCGCAAAATTCTACTGCGGACTGGAAACTGCAGAATCACCGAGACTGCGTAAATTCACGTTTTGGTTGGATGATGGAGGGTCAATTCCGCACAGCAGACTACTGTAAATTCGGTAAACGCTTCCTTCTCCATTTGAATTCTATTCTAACAAGCGTATTACTGTATAGATACTAGGAAAATATTCATACGACTCAACAGTAACTACGGAATAAGTAGTACATACTAGACCATATCTTTTTGGGGGTCCAGAAAGGCTGCACGATGCGTAATGCTCCAGTTCTAGACCGTTGACGGGGCAAACCGCCTTCCTTCGCCGTCTCCATTTTCTTTTCTTTGATAATTTTAGCACACAAAGCTCGAGTCAAATTCCAGCTAGCAATCAGGCTAAGAGCTACATGATTATGATACTACTTGGACCCCCATCCATCTACGGAGTATGTACGAATGTTTTCAAAAGACAGTTATGTTGTATACAAACATACTCCGAGTCTGTATCGCGTCTCGTTCGCAAACTCTTGTCCCTAATTGGAATTTTTGATATATCACGAGATGATAAATCCGAGTCTCTGACTGTATTCTGTACGAAGGGCAGTCCCTTCTTGGCCCTCTACAAAAGTACTCTGACCCTCACCCTCAAGGCTGAATGAGGGAGACGGTCTAAGACAGAGCGGGTCCATGTCAAAGATTTCCCGTCCGCCCATGCCTCGTAGCTGCATCCGCGATGGACTATACCCTAACTATAGATGCAAATGCAAGCCGCGGGTGGTTCTGCAATGGGACCGACGACGTTGCCTGGCCGTTCCGATGCTCACGATAGCTCAAATTCTCCCGGGGAAGTGAGGATGTCGCGTTTGGTGGATCCCCCACCAACGCTGACGCCAACGCGAACCTCCCTCATGTGTCCAGCGGTTCATATCTCAATGTGATTTCCGCCCCACGCGGGAAGATGAGGGGGTGTTGGTTGTTGCTGTTGGTAAAGGGAAACAAAGACAAAAAAAAACAGACGGGGGCGAAAAAAGCGGGCCTGTTCAAGTTGGTGGCTGGATTTTGATGTTGGATTATGGAGTGATATTTTCTTAATTAATTAATTTTCTATTTGCCTCATTCTTTCGTTGACCGATGTGAAAACGGCACGATCGTCTTATCACACTCCATAGAATGGTTTACGACCATCAATTGCTCTCTTCAGCCCTTCGTACTTCGACTAGAGATAAACTATATACATACACCTAGTGTCTCTACGGCGTGATGTGCACCCGACCAGACTTATTTCGCCCGCTGTCACTTGGGGGGGGCCGGTCGCTGCGCCGTCGATCCCCGGAAAGATAGTTGACAGGCAACGTGAGGGCGAAAATCGCCACAAGGTGACTGATCGAGTCTGTGTTTGGGGCTGCAGGCTCCAGCACACGGCCAGTGCATTTTCAAGACATGGGCTCGGAGTAACCCCCACAAGAATTCTTTCGTGGCTGCGTTGTGATTCGCGCGGCACAACGGGAGGCTTTTTTTATTTATGGTCGGCTTCCTATGAACAAATTAAAACCTTCCAAAAATTGAGTGTGAAAAATAATAATAATAACAATAATAATTAGGAAATGGGCCTTCGGTCTGGAACGGGAAGCGTTCGGCAGATGTAAGGTGGATTCGCCCAAAAAACAAGGTCTGGGAGCACTTAACCCCATAAGAAAAAGTACGGGTTGGTATTCCGTACTCTGTAAAAAAAAAGTGTTCTGTTCAACAGTGGTACGCTAGGTACGCTAACTGCCAGGCGAGCTTCGTGCTTCGTGCTAGTGGCGCCATTGCGGGACAAATGTTTGGATTGCTATACGGCAGAGAGGAGGGAGTTTCTTTTTTGACAGAGAGGAAAGAAGGTGGGTAAGAAAAAAAACAAAGTACGATGGAAAAAGAAAATTGAAGAAAATAAAAAGAAAATAATCTGTCATAGGGGAACCGAATGGCGGGAAAAGGTACTATTGGGCCTAGAGGTACACCTCCGTACAGATGGGATAAAAGCATTAACCAATAGACCATGTAATAGTATTACCAATGATACATAAAAAGAAATCAGGATTACCAGGTCTATACACCATACACCCCCCCCCGGTCTGTAATGCTGTCAAAATATAACTCATCACCCCCAGTCAATACGGGGGCAATACGTCCGGTGGATCCCATATGGATCGTCCCGATCGAGTCCCAGAAGAATCAAATGGGTCCTCGACTCCAGAAGAGCTCTCGTTCTTATTCCTTTAATCCCTCGCCCTCCTCTTTTTCTTTCCTTTACTGCTCCATTTTGCAGTCCCTGCTTTTAATTTTTCTATTTCTAATTTGAATCCAAGTCCTTTCTCTTGGATCTTGTGCCATTGCCGCCGGTGGCAATATAACATTCATTCATCCCTTTCGTGACGTCTCTCCGCCCTTGCGTTGAGGATCGAAACTACTACACCAACGAAGCCCTAGAAATAGAAGAAGGAGATTCCACTTTCGTCATTCGCTACTGCAAGTCAGTTCGCGGGTCTTTGCTCGTCCTTGCTTTACGATCTTCATCTACAGGGCTGGCGCACTTGGACTCCCTTCATAGACGGAGACGCAGTGCATGATCCCCAACCTCGCATTGACACTCAACTTGCGACTTGTCATCCCTCCCGGCTGGATCCTTCTAATGTTCCGGACTCCTTTCTTGGAAGTCTGTTACTGTTTATAGTTTGATTACTTGATTGTTATTGTCGAAGAAAGGGTGCGTTAGATCTCCCAAAGTCCGAGACCTTTCTTTTGTTTCCCTTTGCTCCTACCCCCAGCATTCCTTTGGGACTCCTCTCTCCCTCGACTCCCTTGGTATCGCGCATTCTTTTCCCCTCCACAAGGAGCACAAACAGTCTTCGATCCCTATCGTCCTTTCAGCCACCCCATCATTGCTGCGCTCGCGCCCTTAGGAAACGGCTCCAATTGACCTTGATGTGTAGGATTATCCCAGCCATCTGTCGATCCGACCCCCCTCCCCGCTCTCTCCTCCCTCAATACACCATTCGACACTCTGTCCAATTCACCTTGTTGGAATAGTATTCAGCAAAGCATGTCAATTGCATCCATCATCGACTAAACGCATCCGGTCCGTGACCATAGCGGTTTCTGAGAAACAACAATCACCACCACAACCAACAGCAATATCAACAATTACTTGTCCAACACATACCACACAGAATAAAGATAACAGATTCAATGAAGCCGAATATACCACCGTTAAACATCGCCAAGTCGAATTCCCATATCGACGACGTCGACGTCGACGCCGACCCCAACAATAAACAGACGCCGGCTCGTTTCTACTCGAATCACGGCCAGTCGGAGGCCACCCCGCCATTAACGCCCCAGGGAACCAAGGAACAACACATAATGGAACAATCCGAAGCCCCGAGAGTTGTCTTTCACAACTATCTCCGTGCATTCTATCCTTTTCACCCAGCTGGAAATGTCTCGCCATCAACAGTCACTCTGCCCCTCGACCAAGGCGATATCATCCTGGTCCACTCCGTTCACACCAATGGCTGGGCCGATGGTACCTTATTAGATTCGGGACATCGAGGCTGGCTTCCGACAAATTACTGCGAGGCATACGACCAGATCGCCATGCGTCCGTTATTAAAAGCCCTGACTGATTTCTGGGACATCATTCGCGGAGGATGCGGGTCATCATTAAAAGATTTTGGAAACCAGGATTTAATGCGAGGACCCATTGCCGGCGTCCGCTTTCTACTTGTAAGTCCATTGGAAGAATAGCAGCAGCAGCTGTTGAGAGGCCTTTGTCTACGACATGGATGACCCCTCTCTCCCCGCGGGACCAAACTGACCCCATCATCAGGAAAAGTCAGAATGCCTGACGCGGGAATCCCCGCTTGTTAAGAAATACGATGGGCTACGAAGGATCCGGAAAGCTTTGCTGTCCGATCTGTCATCGCTAGTCAAGACCGCCAAACGATTTCAGGAAGTCGCCAACGGTACCCCCGCTGAAGATGAAGTCGAAAGCATCCTGGACGAGATGCTTCTGAAGGCGTTCAAGATCGTCACCCGGGGTGTTCGATTTCTCGACGTTTGGGACCAGGAGGTTGGACTTACCCGGACAATCGCCGATATGGAGGCCGCTGGTGAGCGGAGCCAACATGAACTGCCCCCGACGCCAGCATCCGAGTCTTTCAGCACGGCCGATACTGCGGTCATCCCCGACACTTGCTCGGAACGAAATGAGTCCCGCCAGCTGAACCGAAGCCGTATGGATACAAGCCAGGCATCGATGCGCACAGAGATGTTCGAGCCCTCCCGCCCTGTCTCAGTTTCAACGAAGAGGATATCAGTATCGCACCGCGTCTCCTACTCCGGACCCTCATCTGCCATTCGCGCAGACAATCTGGCCTCGGACCGACTGGGAACTACCTACGACGCCTTCCTGGGTGTTCTTGGGTCATTCATCGGTCTACATATGCAGTCTCGCTCCTCGACGGAGCTGGTGACCACCACTCAACAAGCTGTCTCCTCCTGCCGAGCTTTGTTGACTGTGGTTGAAGCTGTTTGCGAGCATGACACTCAGCATAGCGTTCTCCTGCAGGAAGCCCGTGAGGCCATGTGCGAGAAGCTGTCTGAACTCGTCCACGCTGCCCGTGATGTCTTCCGTCCGGCCCACGCACAAGAAGATGATCTTGTCTTTATGCCGGATGAGGGAAAGCGCTTGGTCGATGCGGCGACGGACTGTGTGCGGGCTGCAGGGAACTGCCTGGCCAAGGCTCGAGTGGTTCTGGAGCAGAACGGTGACATTGAGCTAGAAGCAATTGATGAGGAGACACCTAGTCAGGGGGTGCCTGATATTGTGGAGGAGAAGGCGGAGAGTAAGGAAGAGGTAGAGGAATATAAAGAGAAGGAGAGAACTGATGAGTCAGGGAAGATGGAAGAAACGAGCGAGAAGAACCAGGAAGAGGAAGGAGCGGACAAGACAAGATTGCGCCTTCCCCCGCCGCCCCTGCAGATTCCCAATTTGACAAATTCGACGAATTCGGCAATTTCGACTTCAATTTCAATTTCAAATGGGGCCATCGCGACTTCCTCGACTGCCACTGCACTTTCCGCTCCTTCCACTCCGGGCCTGACTGATGCAGCCAGCGCTAACACTGCAACAACCCCCTCTTCTCTCTTCTCTCATCTCTCTTCCTCCCACGCCTCTGCTCTGTCTTCCCTTCCCAATTCCGCCATCCTTCCCACACACCTGGAAAACTGCCAATCCTTTTCTTCCTCTTACGACTCCTACCGTGAGAGTCACCCCAAGTCTGACGTGAGCGAAAGCTTCGGTCGAGGTGTGACAAGCACGGGTAGTAGCTTTACCTACAACAGCCACGCTCGTGATTCCGAGATGAGTGGCGTCTCCCAGACTTCTACCAGGGCTACCTCGCCCGATATTGGTGGTAGCTTCACCGATAGCTTCAAGGTCCCCTCCCTCAAGGAGAGTATCAGCCACTCGACCTTGGCCGAGGAGAATGAGGAGACCGAGGCTCACTTGCTCGAGAAGACCTTCGCCTATGAATTGGTCTACAAGGAAGGCCAAGTGATGGGTGGCAGTATGCGTGCTTTGATCGAAAAGCTCACTGCTCACCAATCTACCCCGGACGCCACCTTCGTCTCCACCTTCTACCTCACCTTCCGCCTCTTTGCTACCCCGCTGGAGTTCGCTGAAGCTCTCTCAGATCGCTTTGAGTACATCGGCGATACCCCTCACGCTGCTGGTCCAGTTCGGTTGCGCGTGTACAACGTGTTCAAGGGCTGGCTCGAGTCTCACTGGCGCCACGACAGGGACAATGATGCGTTGGAGTACATCCTCAACTTCGCAAAGACTCGTCTTATGACTGACCTGCCCACTGCTGGAAAGCGTCTCGTCGAGCTGGCCGAGAAGGTGTCTGCCGTCCATGGCCCCGTTGTTCCTCGTCTCGTTTCCTCCATGGGCAAGACCAACACCGCGATCGCTCAATACGTCAACCCTGATACCCCTCTCCCCCCTTGTATTATCGGCAAGAAAGAGAACCACCTTTTGAAACAGTGGAAGGATGGCTCGGGCTCAATCAGCATCCTAGACTTCGATCCTCTCGAGTTGGCTAGGCAGTTGACCCTCAAGGCGTCTCGAATCTTCTGCTCCATCCTGCCTGAGGAGCTCCTTGACACCGAGTGGACCCGCAAGTCTGGCTCATTGGCTGTCAATGTCCGCGCTATGACCACTCTGTCGACTGATCTTGCTCACCTGGTCGCTGACTCCATCTTGTGCTTGGAAGAGCCTAAGAAGCGTGCTGCCACCATCAAACACTGGATCAAGGTTGGAAACAAGTGTCTGGAGCTAAACAACTACGATTGCCTCATGGCAATTGTCTGCGCCCTGAACCTGTCCACCATCGAGCGTCTGAAGCGGACCTGGGATTTTGTCTCGCAGAAGACCCTAAACTCCTTTAACAATCTGAGAAACATCGTCAGTGTGGATCGGAACTATATTGTCCTCCGCAAGCGCCTGCAGAACCATGTGCCACCCTGCCTGCCTTTCCTAGGAACCTACCTGACCGACTTGACCTTCATCGATCACGGTAACCAGTCCCTCCGCTCCCTGCCGACTGATGATGGTAAGATGGCTGGCATCAATTTCGATAAGCACATGAAAACCGCCCGCATCATTGGCGAGCTTCAGCGATTCCAGATTCCCTACCGCCTGACCGAGGTGCCTGAACTGCAGACCTGGATGCAAAATGAGCTTGTTCGCGTTCGCTCCAATGGTGAATCCGCCGCGCAGAAGTTCTACCGCCGGTCCCTGATCCTCGAACCTCGTGTTCATTGTAGCTCGACCAACCTCCATGCTCAGGCCCAAGCTCAAGCTCAGGCTCAAGCCCAAGCCCAGTCTGAGTCCAACCCGCCTTCTATGCTCGAGAATGCCAAAGACAAGTTTGACTTCCTCTCTTGGACCAACCCCTCCAAGCCGAAGTCGATCGCCACAAATGGCTAAGCCTTTCAGCCCCCTTCTCTACCCCACTCATACCACGCACACATACCGCATCCTATTTTCCCCTCTCTTTCTCTATGCAAGATACCCCCTTCTCGCTCTATCTCCTTCACACATCTACGATTTAATGACCAAATCCGATTTCTTCTTCCTTTCTGGCTTGCCGGTGTCTTATCTTATTATTTCTCCTTGCCATATTTATCAATGCTGGCTGCATATTCTCCTTCCCTATCTTTCTGTTCTTCATCATCATGTTCTGCGAATATCCCCTTTTATTGCTATTCTCTTTGGGCGGCGCTCGTCTTTTTTTGTTATGTTTTTATCTTTCATCATTTCCTCTGAACCCCCGCGGGGGAATCGGTCTCAAGAAAAGCGCTTTACGAAAACGGGTCGGGCCTGGGTCCGGGTGGGCACAAAACGGCGTACACTCGGGGTTATCGACCTTTTATTCTCGTTTCTTATTTTTTCTTTGGTCTTTTCTTCCTGATTTGGGCTTGGGAAAATATCGGGGGCTATGGGTATGGGGACTTAGCCAGCGTTTATTAGCAGGCTACCATGTCTATCCTGCGATTCATCCTTTCTATCTAGAAAGGATAAGCCTCGCGGCTTATTTACAAGTGCAGCCAAAAGCTGCCTGGAATGCAACGAGCTTTGATTATCAATTTCTTCCTTTGTAGTCTCGTCTTGTGTAGTCTAGTAGTCATGCCATGCCATATTGTAGGATGTCTAGTATGTACAGTCTTTTGTCTTGGTCTTGGTCTTGGTCTTTGTTCATGCTTGCTCTAATTGTCTATTCCTGTACATGTGTATGTCTTTCCGCGTTGTGATATCTTCACTCCTTCCCATATCTACCTAGGTATGCATGCGTATGTACCGACTTGCTTAGTTTCACCGCGTCACAGACGAACAGGCTACTTATCCCGGGCACCACGAAAAGGTGCAAGTCTCGCTCGAGGGGCATCCCCAGCCCCAGACAGGGAAGGGAAAGCCCCGTACACAATGCCCGTACGGGTGGGCGTCTTTCTTCTTCTTTCGTCTTGTCTCCGGGGCCTCTGCGTCTTTCTCGTCCCCAAACCCAACCACCCAACGCGGGTCATGGTGCAGGAAGAATGATTGGACTAGGTCGATTTGATTTGACGCTCTGCTCGCCCGGATGATCCCTATTCTTCTCAATCTTTCGAGAACGACCCTGATATCTTCGTCGTCTCCCCACACAAACACAAATCGATCGAAACCCGCCCGTTTCTTCCCCCAAGTAACACTGGCGATGAAAGTGAAAACATCTCGCTGTAAAGAATTTCATCGCCGTCTTTTTTTGTCCCCTTTCTGTTGATTTTTCCGTCTTTTCTTGCAGGTTTTTCTTTCACGAGACGGGCAGGAGATTTGATTTTGTTCTTCCACGAGTGACTCCGCAACCAGCGGTATCTCGATCAGTGGTATTTTGACCGCTGGCTCGTCGTCACTATCCATTGAATCAGCCACCTCGTCTGTTTCTGCGATGCTGGGCATCGGCAAAAAGTGCGTGGTGTATTCTGGTACTACCGGCAAGGCCCACATCATCAAGTCATCCAGACTTTTCCCAAGGTTGGAAGATGTGAATTGTCGAAGCTCGGTGTATTGAACCTTGAGCTTTTGATCAAAGTACCCCCAAACAACGCGGACTTGGCCACCGAGGAATGTGGTGACGAGCAGTACCTGGGATAGTGTTAGAAGGGTGAATGTGTGGCCTGCAGGCAAAGGGCTTACTGGGACGACGTGGTGCGTTTTCTTGTGCATGGTGACTTTGTTGTCCAGTTGCCACCTGACTCTTCTTTCCCAGTCGCCATCTTTCATGAGTCGTAGTAGTACTTGTAGCTCGGTGGCGGTGGGTTTGTCGGGGTCAGCGTGCGCGCTCATCTGCAGGAGTGCCATTCGGTGGTTTCGTCGTTCTTCGACGACTTCCACGGCCCGGCGGATTCTGCATTGAACCTGTGTGTTGCTGGACACCTTTCTGTCGCGTGTGATGCTGCTGCATACGATAGTCAGACTCGTTTAAAGAAAGACTATCGCTGATGTGGATTTAAAGTCGGGGGAGGAGGGATCAATAGGAGTGAAGAAAGGAAGGAACTTACAGGATATCCTCCCATTCGTATGGAACTGCCTTTTCGAACTCCAGTTCCCGGTAGTGACGCCCGACTTGGATGTCGATTTCGTGAGCAAGAGCTTGATACAATTTGAGGTCTGCGTCAGGCTTGAGACCTTTCTCAGCGTGGAGGAATCGACTTCGTGTCTTCATCAAGGTGGGCTTTCCGAGTAGGCCCAGATGATCCCGTCGTCCGAAGTATGGAGTCACGGATGGATGTGTGAGACCAGTTTCGAAGTCCAGATAGTTTAGTTCGATGCGATTTTCCATATCGTATGTGATCGTGTTGCCCTTGGGGCTATCTTTGAGAGAAGCCAGAAGGGTAGACATATCCCTTTGTCTCCGTTCGTGCTCGAGCACCCAGAGCGGAACGCCACTATCTCGAAGTCGCGACATGGTCATATAGTCCGGGTGCTGATGAAGAGAGGAGAAAGAAAAGGCAGAGTTTTCATTCGGAACTGAGATTTGTAGTGCAGGGCAGCCGCGCCATAGTCACTGATTCCAGACGACCGTGGTACGACCAAATGGAGGCATTTCCCACGGATTTGAGAAGTACTAGTACGTTTTAGGGTATTTCAAAGATAGTACTAGTCATATCTAGGCGACGTCTTGCTTTATATCAAGATTAGGTTCGGCTTAGTTATCTCTCACAAATTTCAAGTTGAGATTCCATGGCAGGCCGTGGGGAAGGACCCTTGGGATTCCCCTGAGAAACGACGACGGGAATAGAAAACAATGTTATACTAGTAGTAGTGAGAAGTCAAAATCTATTGACATAATAAAATAAAATGCCCAAGTAAGGAATCATATCTTGATTTAGTGAGATAAATGGCAATCTTTCTAAGACTTTAACAGCCAAAAAGCATACATAGTAGGTATAATCTGATATTTTAGGTTAATAATAAGAAACTTTGAGCACTAATGGAAGGTGCTCAGGTGGTAAAGTAGTTACTAAGATTGTAATTAATCTTGAATTGTATTATGTTTTGGACTTTTTTGACTGTAGGAAGAGGAGAGCGCAAGTAGGAAGCTAGCAGCTGATCAAGCCTAAGGTAATTCAAGTTGAAGAGGTAGATTCAATTTCCAGCCGTTTTTTTCGAACTAAGAAATGAAATATGGGACAGCACTGAAGCTAAAACAATAGGGAGAGAGTCTCGATGAAAATAATAATTGCACTTTTAGCAATCCATCACTACTACAAGTACCTAGGTTGTTCCTGCTACGGAACCTACTGAAAGAGACTTGCGGAGATAAACCACCTCGATTTCAAGTTGTCTCCCAAAGCATTAAAAGCCGGAAGTAGGTATATTTATCTGAAGGAAGATAATGAACACTGGGTCACGGTCTATTGCTGCTGCGGGGCGCCGAGGAGGTTAGCTGAAACCTTCTGAATTAAAATCCCTAGGTAGTACTTAGGCACGGAGCTTTGAAGTGTATCTATGGACCAAAGAGGAGAAGTGTCGTTATGGTAGCAGTTCTGCAAACCTAGACCTTTGCATGACGTTCATCTATAGAAATGATGGAACTTTTGCGTCCGCGAGATAATAGGAGATGACGTCGTGAGGTCTCCAGGGGATATCCTATTCAATTCAGGTAATAATTCGAGGCCAGTAATGGATAGGTAGAAACTGAGTGAATGACGAGGCTACGTGATATTTGGGGCATGTTCGGCCATGTTCAAACTTGAACTCGCATGAAATATTCCAAGGTTTTCTTTTGTAAAGAATCACTTGAAGTCAGGTCAATATTAAATTCCTTTTTTTTCGAGAGATAAAAAGAGTAGAGCAGACCAAATCACACGCAACTGGAGAGTCGTAGTCCGTAAGCACGTGTGTAACCGTCCGGAGCTCCAAATGAGGGGCAAAGTGATCTATCGCAGCACCTAATCTGGAGAGGATAATCCTCGCATACTAAGCCCCTCCGCCAACCTTTCTTCCTACATGAATGTCCGTGCCACATCAAGACCTGAAATTTTCAACAACTCTCACCATCTGGAGGACGGAAAAAAAATGCAAGCGACGTATCAGATCGTATAGCTGGGGCGTCAGGATGAGGAAGGGCCCCGTCGCACAACGAAGAGTTCTTGGTCTTTGCATAATACAGATGCCTGGATCTGCATGCTTCTTACTTTCCAATGGGCTGGGACTAATCGGAAGCTGGTTAAGCAGTGTAGGTAAGACATGTGGGTTTATGGCTTGCATGATGAGGGGTTCCAAGGTTGGTTCATGCAAGTTCATGCAAACACATGAATGACATATCATCAATGATGTGGCGGGCTGAGAGGTTCAACAGCATAGTAGTATTTTCCATGTATGATTTGGCTATGAATCTTCATCCAGGTCAGGCTTGTGTATTTGTATTTCGCATGGCCAAAAGAAGAAGTTTCCAAGTTACCATACATGTCATCGTGTCTGTCTTTGTTTTGAAAGATCGGTAGCAAACGAGGACGACTGCATATTTAATACGTAGGAGTTCATGCCCAGGGGAACAGACCGTCTGGGGTTGCAGGGGTAGGTGGCTTGCTGAAAATGCTCATTGACACCTGGGCATCGATTGTCCTACCAAAAAGGGTGTTTGGGCGGACCGCAATAGGCGATGGAGATATATGTATGGATTGTCTGTGCCTACGTACATCTATTTCCCATACCGATGTCTGAAAGCCGCCGAAAAATCCAAAGCATTATGTTCAAAGCAGTCATGTGGTACGATGTTCGCCTCAGAAGCCGAATTATCATGCTCGGAATGTGCTCGTAGATCGAGGATAGGGATCATTGATGGCCGTCCGTGGGCACATTGAAATGGAAAAGCACATCGGGACAGCCTCGTGACTAATGTCTTGCACTCATCAATACTTAATGGGTCATTGAACATGATAGCAGTTCGGCAGGCACGGGAGTTGAGAAGATCAACGATCCCCTGGGGACAACCACTCATCTTGTGTACCCATGAATGAGGAAAGACGGGATCATCTGCTAAGGCGGCGTTACCCTCACGCGGAAACATGTCTGAATCGGATAAAGAGTTCTTAAAAGGTGTCTTTAATGCTTCTGCTCTCCTACCGTCCTCCTCCCTCGTCCAAATTTCCCGACGAAGTAAGTCACTAACCAAATCGGACTCAAGACGGCAACGCTCAGCGATGAGAATCGGGAGTGAGGTCACCAAAACCACACCTCCAGATTGAGATGGTTTAATTTTGTAGTGGATACCCCAACGACCGAAGAATCCCAAGTATTTCCGAAAGAGCCCTTGCTCTGTAGATGAGACATAGAGCGTAATGGGATCGACATTAGTTGTCCTGACTGTATTCCCATGAGGCGAATCAGTCGGTGCAAGGAACATATCCTGGAAAAGCTGTTCAACACGACACCGTTCATCTGCTGCATGTTGATCTACCAAGACAAGAACGTTGTCTTGGTCAAAAAAATTGCCATTAGGAGTGGCGATATCCATCTTCGCAAGAATAAACTTTCTATCCACCTGAGAGATGATGGTTGCTTCTGCAAGAACTTGTCGACGGAGCTTGCCTCGGAATTTAGCGACTCGCGCACCGCCTAGAGATCCAATATCCTGGAGACAGTTGTGCAAATTGTTGATACTATTGTGTGGATAGCTCTCACCAATGTCAAGATTCGGCACTCGTCTTTCTGTTCGACTGAAAGTGGGATTATCCCATGACTTCAGCAAATTCTCGACCCAGACATTCTCTGCAGGTGCGCTTTTCCCCTGCGGCTGTTCATTCGGAGCGGCAAATAGACTTCCCGATCCCAACCTCGGCCCAATAGACACTGATTGAGGATTGATTGTCTGGCCTGTGCGTGCATTGATTAAATGGGACTTTCTTGTATGTGGATCGCTCCAGGTTACATGTTGATCAGGAAGCGCATCAGACAGCGGATACCCCACCCTTTCTGAGTCTGCATCTCGATGGATTATCACAGGGGACACGGGGTTAGTGGGGAGACGATGTGATGGAATTGAATCATTTGCATGGCGTTGTGGGCTTGTATTAATCCGTGGACGTTCTGGAAGAGACCGAAATTGTCGCTGATCATGGATATCATCCTCATTAATCCTGAGATCGCTAGAAGCTTCATGAGAGGATGTCTGAAATGAAACATCCTTGGCCGATTTGACCCTTGACCAATGATTGAAATTTTGACCAGGATTCACAGCTTGCGACCGTTGGAACGTGGGTAGTTTGACACGAGCACCAAAGCTCTCCTCGGCGTTCGTGGTCGAGCTCTCTTGCCTGGGGTTAATAGAACGCCCGAAACTTTGTTGATCGCTATTCTGAGTCTGATCCACTCGGTTATATGGACGGGCTTGTCGTTTTGAAGCACGAGGGCGTAGGTTTTGCTGTTTGAGGAATTCCCAGATCATTGCCCCAAGGACGTCGATAATACGCTGAAGGGACTTTTCGGAGTCTGGGGCGATGTCATCAACATCATCACAGAGGCTGTGAGATGAGGTCGTGTCGATTCTTATATAGAACATCGGCCATTTATTAATGGGCTTTGTTGAGCTCCTGCCACTCATGCCGGTCTCGGAGCGACCTAGCCCAGACGAAGGACGAGGAAGAGAGACGGCACGAGATAACTGCCCAGTACTACCAAAGTCCGACAGAGAGATCATTCTGTTGACTTCGCTGAATAGCATATTGGAGCCATTGCGCGACAAGATTGGTGTGTTACCTAACGCGATGAACTGAAGCTTTCTTGAAGGGGTGGGCTCAGTTGAGATAGCGGCGTTGATTGTGAGATCCGGGACTGTGGCGGATAACGCATGCCATGTATTCATGGCCGGAGATGTGACTAGTCCAGACTGCGATAGAACTGATCCAATACGTCCAAGATCAACCTGATTCAACCCGTATTGATCATTTCCTAGCCGAATGAAAAAGCGCTTCCCTCTCTCGACATCAGTGACCTTCAGCTTGCAGAGCTGAGGATTGGCTAGCATTAGAGTTGCTAATAGGTATCTCAGTTGTCCCCACTCCCGCTCTAGCTCGTCTGGTTTCTGAAATGCGAGAGCTCGACTTTTGACGCGCACCGGCATATTCCCAAATAGGTCATTGACGGTCACACAGGTACCATGGTCACCAACTCGGAGATTCTGATGTGCTGGCGCAGGAGTCATCCGCGCAACAGGTCTTGAGTGATGGAAAATGACAGAGTTCGTGGTGCTGTGTTGGGAATGACGAGACGTCACAGTTAGCAAAGCCAGGGAGGCCAAGGAAGCCAGAAATAAACCTCGATGGCCATACATGCCAGGCTTTTGAAACTTCGACGTATCTGCACAGTGTCAGCTGGCCGCTTTGATCGCAGATTTCGCGCTTGCGCTGCCTATAACATACAATGTGCCTTTCCAAGCCCACCGTCTACCTCGAATTCAGCCTGAGGAATACCATCACCATCGTCTTCCACGATGCAGCTTCCACGTTTGAAATCCACGGATATGAGGACCGTTCGTGCGCTTGCATCCAAAGCGTTTTTCACTAACTCGTCCACCACGCCACTGAGATGAATGATTGAGGTGGAGGACTTGATTTTGGCAATCACATCCGGAGGAAGCGGGTTAATAACTCCGGGGGAAGTCATGGCAGGGTGAAAGCTACCAAGGGTGGTATATACTCGTGTTTACTCTCCAAGGCATATTCCGGATATATTCCACTAATGGCAGTAATATCGCCAGTGCATGGCGGATGTGGCTTCAACCAGGCGCCATATGGAGAAGTGCGATGTGGAAAATGGGACTCAGCCGGAGCAATAACCAAATTGAATATGACTCCAAGTTCAAGTTGTCAAGTGAAAGTGTATGAAAATGGAAGTAATAAAGTGAAGTGAAGTGAAGAAGGCAATGATTGGCAAGAGCACATGATCCACGGAACAACAGTCATCCCGCCCCTTTGCCTCGGTGCGCTTCTTCCTTGACTTGCGTTGAACTCCCCTCCAACTTGTGGGAGTTGATCTCTTCACGGGGCTATTGGCTTTTTCAATTATTTGACACCATGGCTACTACTGAAAGCCTTCCTCGCGCGCATGGTGAGTCTCTTCTCTTCAATACGCTTCCCTTCGCCCCCACCCTCCTACCGTGCTTGGCTAATCGTTGGGCATATACAATATAGATCGCAATGGTCGCCGCCGCCCATTCTCGAGCTGGATGAAACGTCTCGCTAGTCTGAAGAGCTCATCCGACTCGGGTAGTCACCGCTGGTCCCATAAACGACACACAAACACCAAGGGCAAGAAGAGCAACGGTCAAGGCAACAATCCGTACCCGCTGTCCGGAAATATTAACCGCCCAAACAACAATGACTCCTATTCTGAAACTGGGGATCGCGATGGACAAGGCTCACGCTCGCGAAGTGATCCGTCGCTAGTTTATTCCGCCTATGAGAACCATATTCATGCGACAAGCGGCGCCAAATCGAATGCCCCGACTGTATCGACTAATGGGGATACCGCGATCTCCGACGCTGGATACTCCAAGGCGGGCACATTGGCAACAGGTGGCGGAGAGATCAGCACCCAGGGTGGAGGGGAGGGAAGCACGTTCTCGTCACCTGCGCCTTCAGTTCGATCATTGACTACAACCTTGACAACCGTGCAATCGGCGGCGCCGTCCACCCAACTATACCCCGCGCCGAACGCACAACAGGGTCATTCCCACGGCAATTCCACCCACGGCTCCACAAACCAACAAGTTCAGTTCTCACACCAGTTTCCGAGTTCCTCATCACCCGCCACTGCCGTTCCGCCGCACCTTGTAGCCCAGAACCAACCCATGACCTACAACACCGCAACAGCCAATAATGCCTTGACAGATAATGCATCGATTCTCACATTGGCGAGCTCGTCCAAAAGACGCCGTCGTAACTCCCTGGACACCAATGCTTCTGTTCGTGCATTAGCGCCATCCTCGGTTTTCGGTGGCAGTCGCGAAAGCTTGCCACTAAGCGTTCTCAGTGGCAACGTAGTCGAACCGTCCAATACCTCAGCCTTCAATGCACAGGGCGTTCTCACTCGACCGAGTGTAGTTGGCTTGGCTAGCGCTGAGCGCATCAGCGTTTACTCGTCCTCTGGTACAGCCCCTGTTGTGAGCAATACCGGCGAGCGGGGCATCTACTATCCAGGAAAGCAGAACACTGGTACCGGCGATGGTGCAAGTATTCGTAGTGGTGCACCTTCGCATGGTCGGAATGATAGTACGGCTGCGAGCATCACTGGCGTTACTAGCCCTCTTGCTATGGCATCTGGCCGCGTTAGTCGACGGAGCTCTGGATGGGGAGAGATTACTGGCGATGAAGAGGAGAAGGGGGAACGAGGTGAAAGGACAGAGGACAAGTCGGCGGATCGTCCCGAAGAGAGGCACGATGTCATTTTTGACGAAGAATCGAGGACGAATTAATGTCGGCTGCGCGTGGAAGCAAGCAAGAGGTTCGTTGTTGAGCTGCGTCGCAAGAGATGATGACCAAGACCACCGAACGAATTTACGCAAAGTCCGGATTGACTTCGCACCGAAGATATCACTAATGACTTGACGCATGGACACTGGCTAATTGGGGTTCTCGAGGATTGATTTGCGGCGTTAAACAGTTTTTGGCGTTCTTTTCTTTTCTTTTCTTCTTTTCTTCTTTCTTCACTTTTTCTTTTCTGGGTGGGAATTTGATACCTTTTTCGGCGAGATCGGCTTTTCATTTTATTCCTCTTTCCTTCCTACTTCACTGCGTGCATACGTTACAAATTGTACTGTGTATCCATAACAACCAAAGTCAGGCTATTGCTACCAATTGCTTTTTCCAATGCATTACCGGTTTTCCAAATCGTCATTTCTGCGTTGCCCATTAATGTGAGGCAACACCACGTCGCCGGATGATCATCGGCATATCATACTGGTATACAAACCAGGCATTGCGATACGTCCACTCATGTTTCGAGTCCACAAGTTGAATCTAGATACCACGTTAACCATTACACTCCAGGGCTATAGCAAAATGTCTTCGGAGAGGCGATTTTGGATTCACTCACATCAAACACGTTATACAGGGTGGCAATCAATTTCTTGATTTCCAGCATAGCCAGATAACGTCCCATGCAAATACGGCCACCACCGCCGAAAACAAAGTCAACGGTGTCTTTCATTCGTCTCGAGCGGGCCTCGAAATGCTCGTTACTCTCGTCTTTGCCTTGGAACCAACGATCCGGGTTGAACTCATCCGCGTCCTCTCCAAACACTCCATAATCTTTGTTCGTCACGGCGGGGTTGATTCCAATCTTCGTACCAGCAGGGAGATACTGTCCATCTGGGAGAGTAAATCCTTCTTCTGGCACAACGCGCTCGAAGATCATGGCAATACCAGGGTTGACGCGCATTGCCTCGCGGATGACAGCATCGAGGTAGGGAAGATCCCGAATTAGTTTCCAGGGAGCAGGGGTGGGGAGTGAGGCGTTTTGCAATTCAGCTGCGAGCTTTTCAGATGCAGAGGGCGATTTGGCTAGGTAGTATAAGATAGCGCGCATGGTTGCAGAGCTAGTATCACCTCCAGCTAAGATGCTCAGCATCAACCAGTTCACGATTTGGTGGTCATTGACCATTTCCGGGTATGTTTCCCTCAGCTGCAGGTATTTGTCGAGGGTGTGGTCAACTGAGCCAGCAGTGATCGATTTGTTCGATAGCTGGGCCTGGTACTCGGCGACGACCTTAAAGGCGTACAAGACGCCGGTCAGAGTGGGCTTTGGTCCAATCCGCTTGATGGGATTCTTGTCTAGAAGGTTGTCGATCCATGGTATTTGAGAGATCTATGAGAATAGCAGGTTAATTAGCCATGTTGCTGACCACATTGCAGGGATGTAGATTTACCGGAGCAAAGTATATGAGACCCTTGGTCGAGTCTGTGATCAAGTTATCGACATCTTTCTCTTGGTCGATGAATCCATAGTGGCGGCCAAAGCTGAAATTTGCAGTGACATCCCAAGCGACTGGTCTCTACGATTAGTAAAAATTACTCTCCATCGAGGCTTTTTTATCACTCACAGAAACCAATCCAGTCATCTGCTGGACAAACCGTGCCCGCATTGTCACCATCCACGAATTTCAACGCGACCTTTTCCACGAACTTGGCTATAGTCTCATCAATCAGAGGCTCGTATTCCAAGACCTTGGTCATACTCCATAGTCCACGAATCGGGCGAATATTCTGATTATGCCAATCTTCATCTTGAGAATTGAAAAGATTAGACATACGGTGTCCTTCGATGAGGACATCATTCGGTCGGTACATATCACTCTTCATTCGCGCAAGAATAGGTCAGCAGAGAAATAATGAAAACGCGCAGGGTAACTCGTTTCGCAGTACCTTCTTCCATGGATTACGTGTCGAGTAAATCGTTCGAATCAGATTAGGATCCGAAATGCTCACACAGTTCGGACCAATTCGCACTGCACTGCCATACTTGCGATGCAGTTTAACATGCTTGGTATCTACACGGCCGCGAAAGGTGTGAAATGCCCGCCACAGGTTCGTACTTTTGGCCAGTAAAGGCCCAGGTACAGCTCTCAACGGCGAGAAGAAGATGTCCCATAAAAGCTTGGTCAAGACCAATAGGCCAAGAGCTGCCAGACCCTCGACCCACAAATCGCACTGAAATGAACCGAGCTCTGTCATTTTCCGAAGTTGATGCAAATACACCTCCTTCAGCGTATCTGCGGGGGATTAAGGGGGATTCAGAATTTCCCAAGCTGAAAGTTTCAAGCACACTAAAGAACAGTTTAAGTGCGGGGGGGACATTGATTCCAATTTGGTAGCTTCCCATAGGCCACTAACGGCCCCTGTCGCTTGATGCCGAAGGTGAAGAATGGGCGTATCAATTGCCCAATAGAATTGGTTGCAAAAAATGAACAGGAGGTCATGGCGTAAGACTAAGCACAATGAATACCATTTACCATGTTGTCGGTGTTTTGGAAACGCGACTAATGAGTCTAGCTATCTTTAGCCAACTTCGTAGCTCTCCGGCACGGGGCAAAGCGGGATGTGGAGTGTGGAGTTGTTATTCCCCTCGTGTTGAGTGGCTAACTCCAGCTGAACATTTCTCAAATAGGACCGTCCAACCTAATTTCATTTTTGACAGCTGTGCTGCCAATTTTTCTGACTTTGCCTGATCACTTTTGGCGGGATTTTGGCCATCCTAGAGATCTCAAACAAAGTCTAGCAATATCACAAAAATCTGTAGGGCGGGATTGCTAGGAAAAGGGCTACTACATACCTGATGGGGCAGTTGCTGGGCACGTTCCCGCATCTTCGGGATGACAGGGCCCACATCTGTTTTCCTCGTAAGCGAAGCTGATGAATTTGATAGATCCCCTGGTGATTTGATAGGCGCGAAACGCGATGGGTACAGATCGTAACCCCCCGCTCAATAATCCGGTTGAGATATCCGGACCAACAGATGGTGCCTGTCGTACTGCTCAAAATCGTTAGTCTGTGTCGGGAAGTGCAAGGAGAGAAGGAGAGAATTAATCTTAAAAAACTCTTCCTTTCGCCCAGGGGGTAAGTGGGAATAGGTCAGTTGTTGGATTTTGTGTGTACATTTTTGAGACTTGCGACTTCTTAGGACGTCGAGGTCTTTTCCGCAATGGCAAGCGATGTATCCGCATCCTACCTGGCCGAAAGCAGGTCTTCGACAGTCCAGGGAGTGATGTGGGTAATGGCCATTGTTCCTCTAGTTTTTGTTTGCATGAGATTGTATGTGAGGGTGTTTCTGAAACGAGTTTTCGGCTGGGATGATTTTATTATCATCATCGCTGTTGTGAGTATACTATCCTATTTCCCCAATATGGATATCTCTAGAATATTAACCAGTTTACCCTTCCGCAGTGCTGTTTGATCGCTTACGCTGCCGTATGTCATGTTGCCTCTACCTTGGGTTTAGGGCGACATCTTGCTATAGTTTCTGAAAAGCCTGAGCACCTCATTGAGGTGGCTCTCTTGTGCGACATTGGCGAGGCATTGGCGATTATGGCTTGCACACTGGGAAAAACATCCTTCGCCGTCACACTACTGCGCATTGTGGTCCACAGATGGATGATTATCCTATTATGGTTCGTGATCGTGACAATGAATTTGGTCAATATTCTCGCGGCATTGTTCATCTTCGTTCAATGCAAAGACCCACGTCATCTTTGGAATACAGCTATTCCGTCAGAGTGCTGGCCATCTAATGTCTTCACCAACTTTTCTTTATTTGTCGGCGGTACGCAATACATCATGATATCACTCCTTCCCCTCCATTTCCTTGAAATGCGTGTTCTAATCGTGAGATACAGCCTACTCCGGCGCCCAAGACTTTGTGTTAGCTTTGCTTCCATGGACTATTGTCTGGAACCTTCAGATGAGAAAAAAAGAAAAGTTAGGTGTGGCTTTTGCAATGAGTCTCGGAATCTTGTAAGTTTCCTCTACAAAAGAGATGTGCAACGCTAAGTCATCACAGCGCTGGTGCTGCCTCCATAGTCAAGACCACTTATCTAGTAGCGTTGTCTGCCAAGTCTGATTTTACTTGTGAGAAAATTTTCCTCCTTGAAGAAAAAATTCCCTTGCTAATGTAAAAACTTTCGAAAGGGGAGCTCGCTCCACTGTTGTGGTGGGCCGCTATCGAAGATGGATTGGCCATCACCGCCGCTTCTATCCCTGCGCTCAAACCAATATTAATCAGAGTCTTTCCTGGGTCCTCCGCGAGAGAAAATTACGATATGATATCATACCCGCCAAAGTCATCACAGCAAAAAGTTTTTGATAACGCGCAAGGAGAAACACTGACGGATATTGGGCATACCACAATCCATGACAGGGGAAGCCAGACGGCGATTCTGAAGCCCCCTTCGCCAGGCGAAAGAAATGAGAGTATCAACATGACAACGGAAGTTTCAGTGACCTATATCAAATCTTGATGGTTACTAGTTACTCTTTGGATCTAGCTATCAACTGGTGCCTTGGAAAATGAAGCCTCGAGAATGCATGAGAACTGGCTCCTTGTCCATATGGTTGCAAAAATACCAGTAAATTCTGAATTCGTAACAATCTGCTAGCTATTAATGCTTCGCCTCATTTCTGTCAGTTCAGTCTGTCTCTGCTCAGAAAAATGGAGAGAACGGAAATGGAAAGGACAACAAGATCATAAGGTGAAGTTGTTGTTCTACAACTTGAGGTAAATTAGTTTATTGGCATACCAAGATCTTTATGAAATCGCCTACGATGGCATGAGAAACCTTGATATAGATTTCACGATGAAAGATAAAAAAGTGAAACTTCATTTCAAGGGTCCTAGAGGGGTAGTGACTACTTTTCAGTCCTAGCTTTCCCCAAATCTTCCGCCTGACCAGCTCCAAGCAATACCTAGAAGTCGATACAGACTCTGCTACTTCCGAGAAGGCCACATGGTAATGGGCACTGTTTCGGAGGAATATTCGGTAAGCCAATTTAAAGCAGGTAGAGTAAAGCAAAATGTTTGATAAGTAGCTTACGCATATGTTAGGACCAGTCGGAGCCGATGCAAGCGGGCAGAGATTCGAACTTAGACAGCATCCAGGCAGAGGCCCACCCGCCACACAAGTTGTACCGCTTGGACACTGTGGTTTTTTACTTAGCATCAATTAACATCATTTACCAAGAAGTGTTTGACTTACGCATATTCCGGCCGAGGGACAGAAGGGACTTGTTAACGGACAAGCCACGCAGATGCCGTTCACGCAACCACCACCACCTGGGCCAGGTGGACACTAAAGAAAAAAGTCAGTCAAATGAAAGTATTGAAGGATTTTGAAGAATGTGGACTGTGACTTAGACATACCGATTTGAAGCACTGGCCACAGTTGGCAGTACTCGATGCCAAATCAAGGCATGTGCCTCCGCAACAAGCAGGGAATGTACCGTTACAAGTAGGTGTATTGCAAGATCCACAGTGAGTGAGACTGGTACTGAGATCATAACATGTTCCATTACAACAAGCAGGAACCAATCCCAGGCAAGGTAGTGAAAGGCAAGAGCCACAGTGATTCACATCAACACTTATATCAGTGCAGTTGCCATTACAACATTCCGGATTATTACCGGTGCAAGGCGCAGCCGAGCAAGAGCCGCAGCGACTAACGTTCGTTGCCAAATCCGTACAAGTTCCGTTGCAACACGCCGGCTTGACTCCCAGACAGGGGATTGCAACACATGACCCGCAGTGATTGACATCGGAGCTCAGATCGCTGCATGTTCCCAGACAGCAGGCTGGATTGACACCAGTGCAAGTTGGTTTAGAGCAAGAGCCGCAGTGTGTTTGATCCGAGGCCAAATCGGTACAGGTTCCATTGCAGCACGCAGGTATGATACCAAGACACGGGAAGGCAGTGCAGTTACCGCAGTGCAGAATGTCGGTACTAAGATCGGTGCAGACCCCAGTACAGCAAGCTGGATTTCCACCTGTGCATGGAGATGAGACACAGTTTCCACAATGTATCGGACTCGATGCGAGGTCGGCACATGTTCCATTACAACATGCAGGAAGAATACCACCACAGGGTGGTCCTGCGCATGATCCACAATGTGTTGTACTTATGGCCAGGTCAGTGCAGGTTCCGTTACAGCAAGCTGGCTGTAGCCCAAGACAAGGTAACGCAATGCATGAGCCGCAGTGGTTGATATTGGCCGTCAAATCTGTGCAGTTTCCAGAACAGCAAGTTGCTGCCGTTGGTGGACACTATTTTTCAGGATCCTTGTTAGGAACGTAGTAGGGTTGAATAAAAACTGAAGGGGCAATCGGGTAAAAAGTGACCCGATACTTACGGTAGTCAGGCAAGTTCCACAATGGTTGTTGTCCGAAATTAGATCAGTACACTGTCCAGAGCAACATGAAGGCTTGATTCCGAGACAAGGAAGAGCAAGACAGGCTCCGCAATGATTAGGATCGTTGGCAATGTCAACACATCCTCCCAGACAACATGCCGGCTCTGTACCGGTACACTGTGAACGATGATGGTTAGAAAAAACAAAATTTTGAATCCATGAGATGAAAAAAAGATAACTGACAGTTTTATTACATTTTCCGCAATGATTAGCGTCGGTAGCTAGATCAGTGCACTCTCCAGAACAGCAAACAGGTACAAGACCTATACATGGAGTCCCATTGCATGCTCCGCAATGGAGAATATCGGAGTCTAGATCGGAGCATATGCCGGAGCAGCAGACTGGATCGACGCCCGAGCACTAGTAGTAACTTTTCAATACAATATCTGGATTGATCGTAAAGAGCAAGCTCACCTTCAAGCCGCATAATCCGCAATTGTTTACAGATGCGGTCAAATCGGCACAGGTACCATTGCAACAAGCGGGTAAAACCCCAGAGCACTTCAACGGAGTAAAAGATTAGAATGACCTGCAGAGTGAACCATCACATGTAGAAAAGGAAAACTCACAGGAACAGCATTACAAGCGCCACAGTGTTGAAGACTTGTGCCAAGGTCTTGACATGAGCCCGAGCAACATGCGGGTTGAAGACCAAGACACTAGTTATAGCGCCCGATGTCAGTAAAGAAACCCCAGGCAGGGCTATGCATGACATATTGTCTTACTGGATTTGCTTGACAGGTTCCACAATGTAGGGTTGAAGAAGCGAGATCTGCGCATTGGCCAGAACAACAGGCGGGGTTGGTTCCTGAACACTGTAGTATAAGTAGACGTTATTATGTGGCTTTCTAAGGCCAAAAAAGCGCGAAATACAGCATTAGCACATACGGTTGTTGCATTGCATGCGCCACAATGTTGAAGACTTGTTCCTAAATCGGTGCAAGCCCCGGAGCAGCAACCAGGGATTTGCCCAACGCACTATCAAAGTGTCAGTTTCAATAGTTAAAGTTCATCAAAGGATTGGAACGTACTGTCACGCCACAGTTACCACAGTTGAGAGCATTGGAAGTTGTGTTAACGCAAATGAAGTTGCAGCACGACTCGCCAGTGGGGCACTGTGGTATGTTTAGATTACTTTCAAATACCTAAGTGGGGGCACGAGATTAACAACATACAGGTTTCCATGGAAAGAAGGAAGCGCATAGAATTTCTGGATCATTAGTAGCTGCAGCTGTCGTGCTAACGACAGTTATAGTTGCGCTCGGGGGCCTTATCCTCGAAGGTTTTGCAGATGGGCTTGAAGAGGCCTTCGCTGGTTTTGCTTCAACTTGACAAAAATAACAGGATAAAATCCCTAAATCCAAGCGGTTAGGTTTAGGCAAAGCAAAGAAAGTTTTCGACAACGCCTTACCAAGAAATAACAGGCATTTTAATGCTCTGGTCATGATTGGTGATGCCAGGCAAAAATAGATGGCATCAGCGAGGTTTCAAATGAGGTCAGTCCTCAGGTTTAATCGGCTTCTAACCTTTCAGGGATTGGATATTAAGTCAATTACAAGGCAATATTCGACTTTAAGAGGCTGAAATAGATTTTTAATGGCCTACCACATGTTAAGCATTAACAAAATGGCAAGGTTGAATAGTTAATTCTATATGCTCATTGTGTGACCCTGTCGAACGGGTCCTACCCACTACTCGGATAAAGATATTCATGATCTAGTGGAGGCGATAGTTTTGCTAGCCTAGTTTCCACAGAGCTGCGTTGTAGTTACTCATTTGCATCGTATTCTTCGGCGCGTAGTCTGAAGTTGAAGCTGGTGATGTACCCACGAATTACAGCAATTCTCGCCGATTGACAACTTGAAGGTGTATCTATCAGAATATGCTTAAATACCATGTTACACAACTCAAAATTATACCGATATCCATTAATTTCACCATGCAATTGCGGGCCCTTGACTGTAACTATAAAATACTAACTAGCATGATGGATACTGCCTACTACTAGTAGTACCAAGCCTCTTAATTAGGACTCGGGATGCAAGGCTTGTATCCAGAATTCAGGATATATTGAGTCTTATTAGTTTTGTTCTGAACCTTGGAACTTTGGAAGATAACCCCTGACATCTTACCCATTTAGGCATACGGAGTACAAGTCGTCTGTATCACATCATGCATCGGTCAATGACACAGTTGCAAGGAATGCTGTGCGACCTTGAATCATCCTAGCAACCTTGAAAGCGATAATCAATATTATATAGTGATCCCGCATAAAACCCCGCGTACTCGTTCCACCCAGGTTACTGCTGCTCCTATTCATTATGTGGCGTATCCTTTGATTCTTGATCTGGATCATCTCGGCTACTTTCGAAGACAAAAATGGGCACACCATGGCGAGGCTAATGCCATTATGTATAGGAAGATTCTTTCATAAGGAAATAGGACTCAATTGTCGGCTGCTGAGATCACTATTGGTGAGAATCTTGAACCCTAACTTTTTCATCGCTGATAATTGTCTGTGTTCGCCATGCAAAGACTTTATATTCTAAGTAGTATTGGGGGACACAGTAGTAGTGGAGGACGCAGGAGTAAGGAAGGGTGCAGTCGTAGGGGACCTCACTGTCGTAGACGTTCCCGCAGTTGATGCTCATAATCTGGAATGTGTCAATCTGGGTGGTTGGAGGTCCTGAACCGCTCTGATTAATGGCACCAGGAAATGCAATTAGGATAACTTGAGCCTTTGCATTGACTTCATCAATCCATTCTTCGGTAGCTTTCATAACGGATTCTTTCAAATACTGTCCTCCTTGGCCATATGGACATTGTCCTTATTAGACGTATTGCGCGTCTGCCCAGGTAGAAGGCGTTGTCAGCCATCTTGTATGGTGAGAGGCAGGGATAATGTGGTAATCGGAGGAGAGAGATACAGGGAGGACTGGGAGAAAGTGAACTTGAAGCCATCTGAATATGGAACTTGAAGGGACGGCACAAACCTTTTAACCCGCGTGAATGTGGAAGGTTGGCGTGGAAAAGGAAGGAAGGCGATAATTATGAAGTGAAAGATTTGAAGTTATTCAGTCATCGTACATTCTTTCAGTGCTATTTGTCTGTCAGATCCTGAGTCCCGTCGGCCGACGAATTGCCTGAATGACTGGCGTTTTCAATCAACTTGAACTTCTCAACCTATGAATGTCAGCTTATAAAGAGAAATAAGTAGTATTTACAAGATATAGGGGTTCAGTCATTAAAAATGCCTATCATTTCAGATCACTTGTGAAAGTTGAGAAATTTTATAGTAATTAAGGTGTACTGAGGTGGTCACTTTTATTTCGAACGGCTCCGGCCTCGAAGGATGTGATGACGAAAAAGACGGCCAAAGGCCCATGGCTAGGCAATTAATATACCCCGGGGCTTGCTGGAAGCTACCGTCAATACAGAATTTAACGAAGAATAAAAAGTCTGCAATGCATAGGCCGGAAATTGCCCCGAAGCTGACAAACACGACGGAATATACGCGCGACGCGACGCACTGACACCAAGGAACAGCCGTCACATTTCTTTTGTAAGCAGAAGGATAATGGACTGGCATTGAAGGCAACTTGCGACTTGCTCGACCACCTGGGCAGACTTGTTTAATTTTGACAATTTTCCCGAAATGAGCGCAACACTTCCAAGGTTGGGAATTTGAAGATGTGGCAGAGATACTAGTAGTATCCGGAATATTTACTAATGGCTTTTGGAAAAAGGCTGAAGAACTACATAGAACTTTGGAAATTGCGGATAGCCTTGCACGATACATTCCAGGGCTGAGGATAGTAATTGGGCTGTCTTAGTGCCGCAAAGTAGGCATCGGGCTCTGGGGGTTCCGAAACACATCATCCGGGTCAATCTCTCCCTTGATCTCTTCCAGACGAGCCAAATTGGAGCCCCAGTATGCCTCGGCCCCATTGGCCATGAGAGGGTCAACATAGCCCGGGTACGCAGCATAGGGATGATCATTCGGAGTAATCATCTTATTCACCCGATCCAAGAAAGTAATTTGAGTCTGAGACACCGAGCCCAGAAGATTTATCGAGTAAGACTGCAGCCAGAGCAAGACATCACGATGGGCATATGCAGTTGCGTCAGTCGGGATATCATTCGTATACCCACCCTGGAAGTCAAAGAGCAGAAACCAGATCAGTGTGCCCTTGTCTGCAGTATCGATATACTCAAAGAGGCTGTCGATAGTCTCATTGCTCATGAGGTTTTTTGATGTCCAGCCTGTAGACTTAGAATAGAAATTGGAAGCGATTCCTCCACCCAGCTTTAATGCGGCTTCTTCAGCCCAGTCGCCTACCAGCCCGAGCCAATCCTGGAAGACAACTGCAGTTCCATTGACGCCTGGAAATTGACTTCCGATATCAAGGGCCTTATACTCTTCCTCCGTGCCAAAAAATGTTCCCGTGATGATGAGGGTATCCTCCAACAAAGTAAGTGTAGATGCCAGCTTACGTGTAAGCTGCGGGTTGGAGATGTATGCCTGCCAATGTTTGAACAGACTAGCTCGCTCTTGTGAACTCCCTATCTTGAGAGTGTATTCGTACTTGACAGCAGTGCCGGGCTCAGGCTCAGTGCGAACAGTAAATTCGGTAACAATACCAAAGCCAGAAGCCGCGCCCTTGATTGCCCAGAAGACGTCTTGGTTCTCGCTCTCCGATGCGCGCACAATACTCGAGTTAGCGAGGACCACCTCTGTTTCCACGATGTGGTCAAGAGCGGCTCCGAACTGTCGAGATGTTGGCCCCAGACCTCCGATCGTGAAATGTCCACCAGAGCCAACCTGCGGACAGGTCCCGTGGGACATCGCCCGTCCTCCAGCATCGTGCAGACGCTGTGTCACATCTCCGAGTAGTGTGCCACTCCCTATTGTCGCATGCCAACTTGTGTTGTCCATGGAGAATTGTTGTAGGTTCTTGAGGTCGACTATAACGGCACCGTCCGTTCCGCCGAGACCTAGAAGCGAGCGGTACACATTAGCAGTCTATCTTGAGATGAAAGAGGTAGGAAGCCCGTACCGTAATTTGCGTAGCTATGACCGCCACTCTTGGCTTGAACATGGTATCCATTATCCGCTGCGCATTTGACAATCGCTGCAACTTGATGCGATGAGATAGGGAATGTGACGGCAGCCGGAGTCACTGGAATATTTAGATTATAGCGTTTCACATCGGCAACTTGGTAGAAAGGATCTCCAGCAAATGCAACACGACCGCTGTCAGTCAATGCATACTGAAGACAAGTCTTCAACTTTGGCTGATTGCTGTAATCCGCAATGGCAGCTGATACAGCACCCAGGGTGAGCAAAAAATTCCTTACAGCCATCATTTCCCTTGAATAATAACAGAGACCAGGCAATACAGAGGAAATAGAACAAAAAGCAGTGAAAGAAAACAGTGAAAGAATTTCTTAGTCCAAACAACGGAGAAATGCAAGGATATTTCAAGACAACTTTACGTGCCTCCACCTTCACTGTATTTGACGCCCGGACTTTAGCTTGCGTGGTTGACATCTCAAAGAACCAAGCGTTCGGTTAACACCGTCCGAGAAGCCCATATCGTTAACCTGCATTATACAGACAAGGAAAATGATTGCCGTAAAAGCTCGGTTCCTGCATGACCGGCTCGGGGAGTTGCGAGTCCGAGCTTAGATATACACCCCAAGAGGTTAGCGGCAGCCCCTAGGAGGAGAAACGAATTCGGGGACCTTTGATAAAAGGGGTTTGTATAGGACCTTTGTTCCTACGGGGGCATGGTCTAGCGCACGGTCGTGATTGGCGTTATATTTTCCTACAAGGGTCAACGCTCAAAGGGATGACAGGTCCCACTAGACCGGATACCGAGGTGAAGTGGGGGCTTGATGAGGAACATGTGTTAATTGAAGGAGGTTGAGTAGCGAAGCAGCGAATTCATAAATGGGAATGCATGGAAATAAATGGGGTGAATGAAGTGCGGAGGGCTGTGGTCTCAGTTTGGAGGTTTCAATTAATGAAAAGCTATCCCAAGAGTCAATCTCAAATATCTATACAGTGTTCAAGCGTACAGTTTCATGAAAGTAGGCTTCTTCGCTTCCGGCAATGTAAAGCTGAAATGTCCCTTGTGCCCTTCATCTGTACCATCGAAACTCTCCATCGCCCAGGGAGGTAACATCAGTGTTTTGTACAGACAAACACCATCATGATACCTAGCTCTCAGGCTCTTGGCATGGGCTGTTTTCCTTTCTCTTTTTTCTTCCAATGCATGACCTTTCGCGCATTCAATATTTCCATGGGAATTTCTATCAGAGAGGAAAAATTGCCCCCGCAGAAACCGTACATGAGGCTCTGCTTAAAGTTGACGGGCCCCAAGGTTATTCCAAGCCAAGCCCTGGTTCAGAGTCACATGGGCGATAACCATATATGTGGAATGAATATCACCAAGTTCTCGAATATATCATAGAACGATTCAGCTGATTCTTGCCTATTTAGCATTTCATAGAGACGTGCATGGACTAACACGAGGCACTATATACAGTCGCCTCAGTGAGAACTACGCCCGTCGGACACGGCTATTTTGCGGGACAAGGGTAGAGAAGATTGTCTATTTCGATACAATTGCACTGTAATATCATCACTCATGGTCGTCTGCCGTCATCAAGTCTGCAGATACGATCTGAGATCACGTAGAGAGGGCTGCTGGGGAAAAATAAGAGGAATATTCAAGGGGCGCTTAAAACATATGAACAAGAAACTAAACAATGACAAACAAGTCCAGAGCCCGGTATGAAAGTCGCTTTCCACCGAGTGCCTGATTTTAGTCGTCATACATAGCAGCAGGAGGGTAGAGGAGACAAGAAGCAGTGCGAGTGCCAATGACAGAAACACGACAAAGGGTGTATTTTTTTTTCGGCTGAGGGGTTGTGTTTTTCCCCTCAATTTTCTTTCGCTTTGGTTTATTATTTTGTTTTGGTGGCACTTCACGCAAAAGTTCCAACGCCGTGCTTCGAGTCGGAGGTACTTGATTCGGCGTTCTGGGATGCCAGGAAGCTCTTGAACATGTCCGAAATGGCTTTTTCGGATTGCTCGTCGCGCTCCTCGGTGCCGTTCTTCTCCATGATCAGACCACGCAACCAGTGGTTCTCCAACTCGAGCTGGGAGACGCGAGCCTCGAGGACGTCGTTCTTGTCGGTGGTCTCCTTGAGCTGCTTCTCCAGATTAGCCTCGCGCATCTTCTTCTTCACGCGGAAACGAGCACTGGCGGCGGTGTTGCGACGACGCTTGTCCTCCTCAGCAACATTGCGGGCAGCCTCTTCGGCACTAGCCTGGGTAGACTTCTGGGTGTGCTTGCGCTTGGGCCCAGCAGCGGGGGTGGTGGGCGACACGGCGCTGGATGCCGGAGTCGGAGCCGCCTGAGGGGCGACCAGGGGTGCTTGAACAGGAGCCGGGTTAGCCGCAGGCACGGCGGAAACCGCCGAGAAAGGCTGGTTCTGCACCGGGATTTGCTGAACATTGACTGAGCTGAAGTCGGGCTGGTACTCAGGCATATTGCCAAGGCCATCTGTGCGAGAAAATAGTTAGCAAGCCATCGTCGCAAATGCTAGCATCACTATTGGTCGCATCGTGGGATCGGTGACCCATATGGGCCATTTTGGGGGTTAGGAGATCACGTGGAATGGCGTAATAGCGGAGTGTGTTCGCGTCTGCGACAAGCAATTTCCCACTCTTAGACTTGACTGGTGTGAGAGAATTCGAGGGTCCCAATAAACAGAGTTCCAAGCGCCACCGCGTGGATGCCCTGCAGGGCCCCGAAAACTCTGTATCACCAAGGGCCAATTGCTCGGCGAAAGCGCTGTGGCAAAGGGAAGAGGCACAATTGTGCGCCGGAAAGACGACATCAGCCCCATCCCCTAGCCATGCAGCAAGCAAACTCGAACATATGACCCAGCCAATCAACGATCGGACGATCATTGCAAGGATCATGCAAGTATGGTTCCATGAACACGTCCATGTCGGTAGGGCAGAGGGGTATCACGGCGGCTTTCGAGGTGGTATGTCACGGCGTGGTGTGGTAGTGGTGTGGTATTGTCCAGGAGAACATGCCGCCGAGTCCTCTAACCCTTCAACCCATTGATGCGACCAATAGAGTGTGATGAACAATAAATCTGAAGACCAAGCTTACCTTGGAGGAAGTCCAAAAACTTCATGTCGGCATTTTGAGACTGGTCGGCCGCCGCGAGGGTCTTGTCATCCACAGAATCGAAATTAGGCAGGCTCAGGTCGGTGAACTTGTCGAAATCGAAGAACTCGGTGTTGGTGAACAGAGCCAGCTCCTCATCAAGGTTGAGGGTGGTATGTTGCTGCTGCTGCTGCAGCGCCTGATCGTAAGGCGACGGGATGGCGTTGAGATCATCGAGATATTGGGAGAAGTTTGGGGCACGGCGCCCGTTGTAAGCGGCCATGATTGCGGTTGTCGAAATCGTAGACCTGGAGGATATGCAGGGCTATTGTTCTGGGGGAACAATGAAGGAATCGCGATCGCGAAGTGTCAAAGAGGCGTGACTCGGGCGCGCCGGATGCGGCTCCGGTCTAGAAGTTGTTCGGCAGCCCAGGCGATGAGGGCGCGGGTTCGGTGAAGGGTGTTGCGCGATGATTCCTTGACGCTGAAGGAATCAGGGATGATGAGTACGGAGATGTAGGAGGAGAGAAAGGTGGAGGCGAGAGTGAGGGTGAGGGCGAGGGCGAGAGTCAGTGTGGGCGGGGCCAAGTGGGTTTTTCCTTTGAGTTTCGGTGGGGGGGAAGATGGGGATGAGTAATCCACCGAGTAAGGATGACACAGTTTGTAGATGTAGTATATAGTTAGTTAATACGAGAAGAAGTAGAAGTAAAGTAGAAGCATAGCAATTAGATCAGATTATCCCAGATCACCTACTATATTCTCTCGTCTACTAGAATACTATACCACCTGTTGTTCCCATCACTGTATAGTACTCTACACTACCTTAGGGTACAGTGCACCCTGCTTATCAAGATCAACGGCCGAGGATCGGAGCCCACTGGGGCGAATCCACGGAACCCACTCCAAATGGGGACAAGAGTTCGCTTGACGGAGACAGAGTACTCCGTACGGAGTACGAAGGACACAATTAATTTATTAAACATGGGACATTCCTTGCCTGATTCATCTCACTCAATTCCACCATTGCGATGCTCTGACTATTGGTCACGAATATGCCACTCTGCTGCACCTGCAGTCAAGAATAACCCCAGGCGCGGCATCCGCGGGAAACCTGGTTGGATTTGTAAGCCCGCGACCGGCGCGGGATTCCATGGATGCCTTCCATTTCAACGTCCAATGGTTGCAATGCCTTCCTGATTCTTCCGAGTTCTCTCCGACAGCCAACTCCCGATATGGAATGTATTCCCGGCATCTGACTATAGAGCAGGGTACAGATGGACAGGAAATACTACGATCTTAACCTGTCCCACTGGCATATATACAAATTTACTGCCATTGTACATCCAGTGATTTTTCCATGTCGTGGTCAAAGCTTATCGACAGGGATCTCAGCCGTAGCCTAAAATATGTATCATACCCAACTCGGGGTTCTATACTTCCAGGGCTTATTTCAACCCGCCTATAGTGAGACCCCTTTATAGCACCACAGCACCATAGCACCACTAGCACAGTCCCTGCACGATCTTTAAAAAGATGCACGGACACACCATCGATCGAATAGCACTGTCCGAGCGTGACACCTGGCCCTGGCGTCGAAGCTTGAGATCTCCGCACTCTGACGAAATTCCCATCTTCAATGGTGTCTTAGCCTCAATTGTAAGGGGGGTCTCTTGGCAACCACGAGTGCGGGGACATCCTCATGCAGCGCACCCACCCTGGGGCATTACCTACGTACTCTTAGCCCTATGCGGTTTCCATGTGCTAATTTACCAACGTAACAATGAGCTCCATCATTCCATTCTTGAGACGATGTCCAATTGCAACGAGATCTTTCGTTCTGAATGCGCAAATCAACGAACACCGGATCGGCAAATCACGTGCAGACAAGAAATGTATGATATAATATTCACGTGATGATACTCCACCATTATCAGCACGTGACATTTGATTGTTGACATCCATCCCATCCCATTCACACCGAGTGCATCGGCTGGCGCGTGCATTTCATTTTACACCTCGCGACAACGATGCAATAGACCAGGTGTGGTGTAACTGGCAATATTAGTTTGAACTACTTCAATCGGATCATTGTCACACTATCAATTCCTTGACCAGACATGGCGCGCTCGAGGACGGTTCGCGCCCCGACAACGGCTAGCCTTCCAAACAGCCTGCGCATTCCCTCAACGACGCCCTCCCTCTCAAAGACCCTGGGCAAGCTATCCAGATCAACATTACTGGATCTAGCTCTATCATGGCTAGAAGATCGCAACGTGGAGTCTTTCCCCCCATACCTGCAACCCTCCGACACGAGCAACAATGACAACGAAGAAACCCTCCCATACCCCGCCGCTGAAACCCTCGCAGAAGTTCGAGAAGCATACATCGACCTCCGCGATCGAAAGGGTGGAAAGCAAGAGATAATCGAACGAATCCTCGAAGGTGACTGGCGACATGGCATCACCCTCCGACAACTCGCGATGGCCGACCTGCGCTACATGGACGACCGACCAGCAAGTCTCCGCTGGACAGCAATGGAACTAGTCCGAGTCAACGACGTCGCAAATTCCAAGTCAAAGAATATCAGCGATACGATAGCAAGCGCATCAGAAGACTGGTCCTCACACATCCCCCGCATCCAAGCAGCCAGCTTCGTGAAATCGCTCCACGCCGAAATCGCCCCCCCTCGTAAAAGCACACTACCACCTCTCACGCTCCTCGACACTCCCTCTGACATTCCTCCGAATCTTCATAATCGACTCTCCCTACCAAAACCCCCGCCAACAACCAGAAATCTTCACCGACGCAACCCGTATCATTTACATCGCTTTCCCAGACAGCTGCCCCTACTTTTATACATCATCAATAACAACCTCGAACGCTTCCAGCAGCACCAGCTTAGGCGCAGGCTCACTCGCAACCGACCCACGAACACTCCAACGTCTCGTCCGCGAAGCAATCCCCAAAGCTCTCTCCCGCCCGCACCAAAGATTCACCCTAAAACCCACAGCCCTCGCCGCAAAGAATCTCCAAACTCTCCTCACGCTCCGCGGACCCGGACGCTCCACCTCGTCAAACGGCGCGTTTAGTATTTTCGCAGACGCGGCTCTGGAGGGGAGTCCGTTGGATCCGCGCCCGTCGAACACAGTGCTAGCCGAGGAGCATATGCGCGGGCGAGAGGGTATGTCTTCCATGCATGATGATAAAGAAAATGATACGCACAGTCACGACGATGCGTCCAAGTCAGCGCGTCCGGCCACCAATAAACGCCCATCTGGTTCTGGCACTGTGACGACGACGGAGAGAGCTCTTTCGCCGGATTCTAAGAAGAGGCGGTTAGCTGTGGAGTCTCGGTTCGGGACTGTGGGGTGCTCGATTACGCCTGCGCCGTTAGATCGGCTTGATATTCGGCTTCTGGATTCACTGGGTGCGAATGACGATGACGATCCCGATCCCGATCGGAACGCGGCGAATTTGGCCCCGGCTGTATCGGTCACTTTTACCGGGTCGGATGTTATTGGTGGAATTCGAAAATTGGCGGAACTAGGCGTTGTTGATCCTGAGCACATGCCTTCTTGGATGACGGGTGAAGAAGCTGTTAGTACGGCTTTTGTTCGTGAAGGGAAGCGTCTTCATGTTGAACGGTGAGGGACAGTCAGTATTGATATTGTCCCCTCTTGCCTCGTGCTAATTTTTTTTCTTATTGTTCTTTTGTTTCATCTGGTGTTCGAGGTCAGGTTTGGGAGTTGTGATACCCATTTGATTATTTTCTTCTGAAATTTTTATATCAGTCAGCTTCTGAGGGCCATTCAGCCCTTCTCAAGCTAAATTATCTCTTTTCAATCCCGTTTGTGCAACTAGTTACGAGCCCGAAGATGTCACAAACTAATGGGTAAAGGAGAAGTTCCAATTAGCTGATAATAATAAGATATGCTCGCTCTTGGGATTGGATATCTCGGTATCGATATAACAGAAAAAGAAAGTAAGGCTAGTAGGAAGTAGAAAAGCAACCCTTGCAACCGTAACGCCGTCAGTGCACGATCGTGAACATGGCATGTCAATAAGCTAGCAAGACCTCGCCTCGCCTCATCTCATCTCATCATCCATGCATTGTAGCTGAGAATTGTAAGCAAAAAGGCCCCGAGCCGAGGAGCCCCGAGCCGCTCATTTTGATAATGGAACTCCTCACGGCTACGCCACTAGGAGGATCAAAATCGCCGGGCAGTTGAGAAACGCGAGTAAACGGACAAGTCTAGACAGAAGCAGGTGAAGTTAGCAATGGCGAGCGCAATCAGTGGAACAAATTCCCAAATATCCCGGGCCAGAGGAGGCGAAAGGGGAGGGGGATAGCTACAGGGAAGGTCCCGTACCACGTTTAGGACTCAGATCGAATTCGGATGCCAGATTGAAGTAGCCTTCCGGTCCAATATTGGCAGTGTTTTTACGAAGCGACTGTGCGTCCATATTGGCAGTGTCGTTCTTCCAGGGCGCGCGACTGGTTGATTCATCATGGTTAGTTACTGCTGATAAAACGAATGGTAGATAGGCGGAATGGGATTTTTATCCTTTTCAAAAAAAGATGTTGGTGAAGAAGAACAGGAAACGTGAGCAAACTCACCAGTACACGCAGCGAATGCCAGCCCCAGAAGATGTCCGCGACGCAGCGGCCCACTGGTCGAAACACTGCTTGTGTAAGTTATTACCACATGCCGATTTGCACCAAACGATCTTCTCTATGGCTTCGATCATCTCTTGGAAACAAATCGGGCAATCTCCATCAATGGGTTTGCGATTTCCGTCGTTTTCTTCGACTGAAGGGGCGGGACGCGTGAGGCTTAGAGAGGAGCCTCCCATAATCTCACATAGCTCCTGCGTCGAAGAATAGGTGAGATTAGTTCAGGATCACAATGTATGGGCCACATTCAATTAGAGATGCTAGGTGCTGCGTACCGACGAGAGAAATGCCAGTTGATACTGGAGATGCAAAGGTGCTTTGAGTGCGTGAACGAGGACTTTGGTTATTATTAGTAAAGGCAGAGAACGAGAGCGTTTAGAATAATGATAGTGATGATGGAATAGTGGCTCTCGAGGACCGGATTTCGTGTACTATACTTACCGTAGCAGATGTGCTTGCACTGATTTCCTTTCGCACCGTCAGGGCAGTCGCAATACGGGTCCCGTTTGATGGTCGTCTTGTAAAGATTCCCGGTTGACCCAACAACGTCGAAAGATACTTCTGGGACTTCCTCGGTGCCACCTACCTCATGACCGATGATAAACATCCTGGAAACTACAATTAGAAAAACAAACAGGAAGGCTTGAGACGGTTTGTCAGTGGTGTACGCACCGCGTTTGCTGGATTCGGTTCAAACGCTCCAGGTAAGAGAGCGGGGGGTGGGCACGCCATCTGCGAAGACGACGTTCAGGGGGGGCTAGAAATAGGAGAAACACTTCCTTCTGCATTCTTTGCTTGTTTTTTTGCCTTCTTTTGTGGAGGTGGGGCGTCTGTTGTCAGATCGATGACAGGTGCCGCAGCCCGTGGCCCAGGAAGAGAACTGTGATCAATGGCTCTTTTCTTTGTTGTGGGTTTATTGACCCGGCGAGAGTGTGGTGTTGCGACTAGACGGGGAATTGTATCCAAATCAGAGGTGCCATCGTTTACTAGTATGGCAGGCGCGTTGCCTTTGGGGACTCGGGCTGCGCTAGAACTGCCCATATCTGTTTTTGAAATCAGATTAAGTGAGCGTGATGGACTGGAAAGGATTCAAAGATCTAGTTAATTCCTAGTTGCAAGCGAGATAAGGTGATAAAGTAGGAGGAAATGACTGCAGTGCAGTGCAATACAGTGAGTGTGAGTGTGAGTGTAATGAAGATGAAGATGAAGATGGGAAGTGGTCGATGTGAAAGGAGATCAATATGACGTCATTTGAAACAACTCACCACTCTCTAGACTACCTAGTACTAGCAAATTCAACGAATTGAATGAGGGAAGTTTATTCATTGGCTTTTGATATCATTGTAGTTTCTTTGCTTTGATGATCTTCTCGAATCAAAAGTGGGAAAATCATGTGCTGGTGTCTTTCGGATTTATCTAGCGAATAGAAAATGATAGCCAAGGCTCAAGTTTTCGCAAATGTCTGTATTTGATTTGCCTTGAGAATTCGGAAAGATCAGTACGCCACTCCAGAGGGTGAATAGTATTGACTGCACCTTGTTCATGGAGCAGCCGGTAAGCGATCAAACAGCCCTGCTCCTCAGCTTGTGAGATATCCTATGTCATTGGGCATAGAAGTGCATATCCCGGAATCTCACAGTATCCCTTGTGTATGGGTCATAATTCGAGGACCCTGAGCTTTTGACCGGTGATCCAAGGTGCAGATGTTGTGAGAAATGGCTGGGGAAATTGGTACAGTAGTTGTCCTGGCGCTTCAGATGGAACCCGAAAAGAGGAACCTATTATTTGCCCTCAACACATCACGCCGGGCTAAACCCCGACACATTTCGCTTCGCTACCCCACGTCCAGGAAATCGACCAATTTGAGTTGCAGGGGCTGGGTCTCAAAAATCGCGGAGTGAATTAGGTTGATCACCATTGGTTGCCCTTTCAAAGCCCCTGTCTGTATGAAGGGATAACTCGGTCATCACTCTTGCCAAAATTCACCCTATAGGTTTGCTTTCTCCAACTTCCACAATGGCTGAATCCAAGAAAGATCTCGAGGACGAGATACCTGTACATGTTGAGCAGACCGTCGGAGCTCAGCAGAATCACGACGATGTGTTCGGCGAGCTCTCTGATGATGGCCCCAACTTTCGCAATGTGAATATACCATGTCACCAATTGACACTATGGTCAACTAATTTGGCTCCAGGTCGGCTTCGTGGGAACCATCGTTCTTATGATGAAATCTCAGATCGGTCTCGGAGTTCTCGCGATCCCATCTGCTTTCGATACCCTTGGCATGGTACCAGGTATCATCTGTCTTTTGGTGATGGCCGTCATCACAACATGGTCTGGGTATATCATTGGAAATTTCAAATTGAATCACCGGGGGGGTTTACAGTATCGATGATGCTGGTGGAATCATATTTGGTTTACCTGGTCGGATTTATCTGGCCACTGGGTTTTGTCTTTGTATGTTCAGGTATATTTCTTTTTCATAAGAGAACCCAAGGACTGATTCTTTTATGCTGCAGATTATATTTTTAATAGTGCATCAGCCATTCTCAGTCTATCCATCGGCATGAACGCAGTGTCTAACCATGCAACTTGCACCGCTGTGTTTGCTGCCGTCGCAGCGATTGTCGGGTTTGGTTTCAGTAGTATTCGAACTCTAGGTCGTATCACATGGCTTGCATGGGTTGGTCTACCGTGTATTCTTACTGCAGGTATGTATGGGAATAGACCAATACGAAACAGAGATTGACTCAATTCAGTTACTATTGTGACGATTGCGGTTGGGATACAGGAACGTCCTGCTGCAGCACCAACAACAGATGGCCCCTGGGTGTCCGATTGGAAGATTGTTGGCAACCCTTCTTTTGCAGAAGCAATTGCGGCAGTCTCCAATCTCCTGTTCGCTTTCTCTGGCACACCCGGTGAGCGGAAAACTCCGACATAATTCATTGCAACGAGTACCACGACAGAATGCTAATATTTCTCTTAGGGTTTTTTTCTATCGTTTCTGAGATGAGAAATCCCGAACGATACCCCGCAGCTATGGCTTCCTGTCAAGCAGTTGTCACCGTCGTATATGCCATCATTGGTGGTGTGATATACTATTATTGTGGTAGTTATGTATCTTCACCCGCACTCGGTTCAGCAGGCGGCGTTATCAAAATCATCAGCTATGGATTTGCATTGCCTGGGCTTCTCGGTACTATGACAATTGTTACACATGTAAGCCACCCAGCAGAAATCAAAGACAGGGCTTTACTAATTTTGATTGATTCAAGATACCTGCGAAGTTCATTTTCGTCCATTTATTGCGCGGTTCTAAGCACCTAAGCAGCAATACGCCAACACATTGGATAAGTTGGCTCGGGTGCACATTTGGCGTGACGGTAATAGCCTGGATTATTGCCAGTACTATTCCAGTCTTTAAAGCTCTGGTATCTCTTATCGGTGCATTGCTTGGCCCAGTCATGTGTATCCAGCCGATGGGGGCTATGTGGCTATACGATAATTGGGAGAAGGGCAAGGGCCAAAAGAAGACTAACGGTTGGATCATCGGCACCATTTGGAGTGTTGTTCTGATCGTGTTGGGAACTTTCCTCATGGTTGCTGGAACATACGGCTCAGTTTTGAGTATAGTAAGCGCCTATACTGAAAGTGGAGGCTCGGCGGCTTTTTCGTGCGCCGATAACTCCAATTCTACGTGATCCTAGGATAAAGCGGGGGTCCAGCAAAACATAATCAATTGTTCTTTTTAAGCTTGAGATTAAACCAGACACAGACAGCAATTGATATCCGCGGGCCACATTTATCTAGCTTTAATTGAACACCAGCAAGAGCCAATCTATATTCATTTCCAGATTAATACTTCTGAGTCATCAGTGCCATTAGCTGCAGACCAACTCTTAAACCTCCTTGTCGGTAGTCCCAGCTTGAACATATGGTCAATTTCAGCATTTGTTCTTCCTTTAAGCTCGGGAACCGTCAACCACGTGATAGCCGTTGTGATTGTGCAAATGACAAAGAACAGGAAGCCTGTCTTGGCACCCAGGTTCCCGGCATCTTTGTTATAGACGTATGGCAAAAGAAAACTAAATAGTATACTCGCGATATCAGAGGCAATAGTGCTGATACCCTGTGACTTGGCTCGCAGGCGGAGGGATGATGTCTCTCCAACAACTGCAAATGAAGCAGGCCATGCACCCACACCACAGATGACAACAATAAACATCATCGTTACCGCAGTATACCTACCATCGATGTTAGCAATCGAGAATACGTGAGCAGAAAATTGAAAGGTTGCCTTACCATATCGAAACAACACCGGACCAGCAGCCAGCAATACCCATACCAAGCCATAGTAATGAAGTTACCGATAGTGAACTTAATATGAGCGTCCGTCGTCCAACGACATTAGCAACCCACACACCGACAGCGTTGGCTACTAACCCCAAGCTAATTCCCAAAACAAACATCATCAAACTGTTGTGGTCATCCATTCCAACAATCTGCAGGAAATAACTCGCATTTGAGAGTAGCGAAAACCCGAAGAAGCAAGGCATCATCGATACGAATGACACAATAAGAGTTCGTCGTAGATCGGTGCGTCGGAAGCAGTCACGCCAAGGGATCTTCTCATTTTCTTCCTTCTCTTGCGCATCGGTTTTCTGCAGGTCTTTGACCAGCTGTGCACAGTCCTGAGTACCAGAGTGAAGTTTCTGCAGCGCGCGATGGGCGTCAACCAGTCTGCCGTTGCGCACAAGAAATGCGGGACTTTCTGGGACCAGCACGACAATAAGTAGCGTGATGGCAGAAAATGGCCACATAGAAACGAATGTCACAAGGTAAGCACTGCTTGTATCTCCACCCGAAGTCATAAAAACCACCAAAGCACCAATCAATTGACCTAACAACACAAAGGTCGGGCAGAGCGCCATCGCAGACCCTCGCAAACTTGTAGGCACTGTTTCGGATATGTAGGTTTGAGCAGTTGTCGTCAAGACACCGACACCGAGACCTTGAATGATCTCGCCGATGAGAAAAACGGCTCGCCGAGCATTAATGTCGGTGGGTAAGTAGGAAGTGTAGATTACAGCGACAGCAGCAGCAGAAACCACGGTTCCTACCACCATTGGAATTCGCCGGCCTGAGCGATCTTGCCAGGACGGCGAAACAAGTGCTCCCAATATCTGCCCGACAGCTCCAAGCGCGCTCCAAAGCGATAGCCACATTGATGGTATAATATACTCGTTCTTGTCGGGGCCGTACAGCACGCCAAAGTCCTTTTGAAATTGTGAGATCGATGGAACCGTGTTGACAATGACAGAATCGTAACCGCCCAATAAGAATGCTATCGCAAGGCCAATGGTGTAAAGTGTGATTTTGGGATAGCGTCGTACCTCCCCAAAAAAGGATTCCTCTGGTGGGGTTGGACTCGGCATGAGTGGGATGTCAGGCGCTTCGGTGAAATGAGACGAATAGAACCGGGCACCTGAACGGCGATTATCGGAGTCAGAAGATTCTGATTCTTTATCCGATTCATCTTGTAGAGGACTCAGATGTTGAGACTCGGGGTTGTGTTCGTCTACGGAAAGCATGGCTAACAAATGTGAAAGAATAGCAAGGCAAGGGAGTACGACGAAAAAAGTGAGAAATTCTTCAAAGCCCGCCCGGGGAAAAGAAGGTTAAATCAATCCATGATTGTTGACGATTCAGTCGTAATTACCCTCAGCCTTGAATGGGGGCTAAATCACGAAAGAGGACTTGATCGACTAGCGATGCAGAGATTGAGTGACTAAGACTTGAATAGTGCCTGTGATATGCTACTCCGTATTTAAAGACGGTCAACCATTCCCCACTTAAATTGTCCACATAGCCACGTTTATCCTGACTACTGGCAGCGTGAGTACGGACTAAGATGGAGAGTCAGCCTTGGTCTAGTTGGGGGCCAAAAAGCCCTACTATTACGCTGAATTCCTCTTTTCAAGGGATTTTCAACCTTCTACGCTCGTTTTTGCTTGTTTATCCGTTCATAAATTTATTTCCTGTCACAAATACCTAGGTAGTAATCTAGGATTAATTGTTTTGCCAGCTACGTCCTCTGATCCTAGAACTTGAATGAGGCTTACGGTCAACAGCCGCGAGAACGGACTAAGCGGGGCACACTACTGGCAAGCGCTTACTCTGAGCCGACTTGAGTATTCAAGTGAATTTATCCAGTGTGGAGACAGTCATTACTACTCAAATTATGATTTGGAAGGCTCTTTCTATAAGGGCTACTACTAGTACTACCCACCTAGGTACTGCGTGCTGTTCCACTCGATCCAAAACGAGACGCAGTCTTTGATTCGGGCCAAAAACATTGTCTTTTGTTATGTATATTAATGGTCGCTTGATGCTGCCTAAAGTGACTGCTATTATTAGCATGATGAAGAGTCGCGGTCTAATAAGTTGCAAATAGGGTACACTATAGGCGAATTTTACGCTTTTATGAGACTGATGTGGAAAATATCGGATTGAGAATCACGAAGGAGCTGCTAAACCTCATAATGACAGCATCGGTCACGTTAGAGCCAAAATATCTGGGGGGGGGGTTGTCGTTAAAGACATTAAAATCAGGAATGAGCGAATAGTATGGTAGCATAAGGTTTATTCAATATGAATATGATAGTACCATTAACCTTGGGAGTTAAAGAGTTAAGAGAATCGGTGCTGCTACTAAACAATATGGGGTCTCATGCTAGCAGCTAGCGCGTTTGAATAACTCCTCAGAGGTTTATAACAAATATGCACATGGAAGCTTGAGAGACGAAGCCAACAAAACAGCCAAAGGTAAAAAATCCGTAAGCACCATATCAAGAATTGTGCGTGGCATAATAAGCAAAAGGTCAAAATAACAGGGATTAAGAAGCCAGCTTTTTTTGCCTCGCTACTGGATACTTTGGCCTCAGCTAATCGTAGAAATCCTGGTCGGCCCGTCGAGGCTATAAACAGCCCCAATTCATTATGAAATACGCTTGGAAGTTGACAACAGTTGAAGCAAGATCTTTTTGAATGCTGGCAATATCTAGTAGGACATCAAAGTCCAGGCCCACGAACACAATAAAGAGCTTAAATACCTATACGCATAAATTGGGATAGTGTATTTCTAAGGACTCAGACGCTCATGAAAATAGCAGTAGTATTGAACGAAAGTATTAAGCCGAGAGAGAGAAGGGAAGAAGGAGAGAAGCTCCCATCGCAACTATCTACACATGAGCGGCTGCCTGGTTCATGTGTCCAGGCACGTTCTCAGGCACCGAGAGAGATTCGATCGTTACAGTATTCCAGTATAGCACGGACAAGGGGGGGGGGGCATAATTATTCGAGCGAAGCTTTCACGGCAGGAAAATTGCAAGGGAAATATTGAGTTGATAGTGCCTGTGATTTTGAAGGCTGTTTGAGGCACCGAGACTACTAGTAATAGAACGCTCAGCATTTCCGACGAAACTATCGAAACCATGAAACCTACAGCTTTCAATGCAACAACCAGAGTTTATGTCTTATTCCACGCTCTGAAAGAAGGAAAGATAACTTGAACTTCAAATTTGATTTAAGTTGAGTACTAGTAATGGACGTTATTTTCTAATTTGGCATACGTCCCAAGGTTCTTTCACAAAGGCATTCCCAGAAATGAGATAGTTCGGCTTACTCGTAGACAAAAATAGCAAGACTTGGCAGAATAAGAATTCTCACAGCATATATTGGTATGTAATCAAGTCAAGATTGAAATCTCGTCTTTGACATGGTCCGCCCAGACGCAGCAGACTCACCTGCATAGCGACCGGCATATAACGAGCCAACTAGCGACGCAAACCTCGTGGACCTCAGCAGCACCTCGGCACCGCAGTCGCAGCCAAACGTCGCCATGCCCAACAGAACAAGAACGGGCCGGGTCCTCTTACCCGATCCAACGACCCCTATGTAAGTAGGATCTGATACGTACTTACATATATGCAAGAGTATGAGTATGAGGAAAGCATCACATCGATATCGGCAACGACCGGCGTTAACCATCGGGCCCACCGCATACATCCCCGACACCCCTATGCGGAAAAGTCTTCTCCACCAACTCACGCGTCAATGGACCCGTCGAGAAGCTTACCCATTACAATTGTGGAGACAGACCGGGACCTGGTCGATCGACAACGAAGATACGCACGTTGACTACATCGGGCAGGCGTGTTCAGCTCCAGGCGGAAGCCGACTCCGCGTTGGGTCCAGCTCAGCAGTGGGGGTGGCATTGTTGCTCCGCCATGTTGTCATGGAGTCGCATGTACTCTGTACCCCTGTTTGGAGTATGAGTACATACAAAGCTCCCTAATCCCCAGTACGCGCGTGCAAATGCAAATGCACACGGAGCGCAAAGAAAGGCTACAAACGGAAGCCCTGACAAATTCCATAATGAGGCGCTTTTGATGGGTCCTGGTGAACAGAACCCAGACACTAGCTACGCTCATCGATCTGAGCTCGGTGGCTTTCACTAGTGTGAGGAGAGTCCCCGGGCCATCGGAAAGCGGTCGCCGGTATGTACTCCGTACTCTGTACTGAGTAGGGAGTACAGAGGACCTTTGTGTGCGGTCCGAGTCAGCTTGGCCAGATCACATTTGGCTGAGTCTGAATAGTGGAAACGGCTTATGCCACCTCTCGTGCTAAGTACATATCTATCTACGTATATGGATGCCTGTACCTCGTACCTCGTACGGCGTGACATTGACTCTCCACCAAAAACCAAAGGAGAAGCGGTGCGTCAAAAGGGGGGAAATAAAAATAAAAATAAAGCCGAAGCTAAGAAAAGTAAAGAAGTGGAAGCAAAACCGTCCCAGCTAGTCCGTATATCCGCCCTCTTAGCTTGTGTGCATGTCTTACCTGACGTCCCCCTTTCCCCATGCCTCCTTTGCACGGTATTTTCTTGAGTCGCCTAGGATCGCAGCCTATTTTTAGTGCGGTCGTGGAGACGCGGCTACCAGAGCCCATCACCCATCTCCACCACGGATTTTCTAGCTCCCAGCTCCAGGGCACGTTTGAAGAGTGGGGACTCGGAAGGAATACGATGGTGGGAAATGATTGGTGCTGGGCAAGGGACACATCGGCAGATGTGCGACGTGCACAGATGGAGCCATGCCCCTGGATTGGCAGTGCCAACTTGAACAATGCCGATTGATGAAGCAATCTAAATGGTCGGTGTTCACGACTCGGAAAGAAAGGAGAAATCTGGGAAGAGTGAGGGTACTACGTACCTAGGTATTATCGGAGCGATCGTCGCGGGACAACGACGTCAAGCATTTCCATCTACCTAGGTAAGAATTGGGAGGGAAACCTTGTCAGAACTACTTGTAGAACTACCTGGTGCCTGGTCTAGGTGCTAGAATATAATATTCTGGGACATACTGACCCGGTGCATGATCAAATACAATTATCCAAGATTTCAACTCCCTTTATCCCTAGGTACTACTACAGTGGGTGCTCAAAAAAACTTGCTTAGTATACTATTACTATGAGTATGATATAAAAATATTCTACTAATAAACTTGATAGTAGACATCCCGCACTGGCGGATGGTTGCCTACTCCGATGATATCAGATTCCTAGAGCATTGCCTAACGTCACAGCCACGGTGGCTGTGTTTGGCTTCGTAAATCCACCCTGAGGCAGCGAAAGAAAAAGTCCTATGGGAAACCTTAGGAAAAGGAAAGAGTGGGGCTCTTCCAATGATTGTGACGCGGATTCACAGCCACACATTAACCTACTAGGGCTGCGTATTGATATTACCATAGATTACTATATATTACCATATAACTTTGCTACAGGGTACCACAATGGGGACAATCGGTACCAGGCAATACGATCAATACTTACCATACCATACCACAACAAAAGAGTCCACCGCCCGGCGCCTGGGCAGTCTGGCCTCTATCCCATCCACATCATTCTTCCCATCCTACCGTCTTCTCACCATCTTTCTATCTTCTAGCTTCTGTGCAGAGCACTAGCTGGTCTTTTCTTCTTTCAACAGCCCTCCAGACATCCACCCCCCTTTCATCACAGTACGACAGACCCTTCCCCCCCTTTTTTCTACCCACCCGCCCCCCGAAACCTGCACCTGTCCCTTTCTCATCTCTCATCTTCCCCTTCTCCTCCCCCCTCCTCCTCCCCACCCAACGCCTTCTCCATCGCTATATCTGTCTCGCTTTGTGGATAGTTCTCGTTCTCTACTTTTGTTCCTTCAACTAACTTTCGCCTACTCAAGATGGCTGAGATCCGACGCAAGCTCGTTATCGTTGGCGATGGTGCCTGCGGTAAGACTTGTCTGCTCATGTAAGTAAAGTCTACCTTGAGACATCAGAGTTATCAAATATCCCTTCCTTCCCCTTACTCTTCTCTTTTACATTTCGATCTCTAACCAGCCTCTGCTCGCAGTGTTTTCTCCAAGGGTACCTTCCCTGAGGTGAGACTCCCCCCTCTCCCCCATCATCGGGGCCCTTGATCGGCCCCCCGAATCCCCCGGATCTCCCGATCCCCCGATTACACGCAACCACACCCAAATCAAACATATATTGGCACCGGCATCGACCAAGCTGCATCTGCATCCAGAAGCACGTGCTGACTGTTTTCGCCACTAGGTCTACGTCCCCACCGTCTTCGAGAACTACGTCGCCGACGTTGAGGTTGATGGCAAGCACGTCGAGCTTGCTCTTTGGGATACTGCTGGTCAAGAAGATTACGACCGTCTCCGTCCTCTCTCATACCCCGACTCCCACGTCATTCTGATCTGTTTCGCCGTCGACTCCCCTGACTCTCTCGACAACGTTCAGGAGAAGGTGCGTGTCACATGAACCTCCATCTTCCGGGGGACAAAAAAAGACCGAAAAACAGCCCCCCGGGAACAACGAAATAATCGGAGCATAGCCGCTGACATATTTAATAGTGGATTTCCGAGGTTCTGCACTTTTGCCAGGGTCTCCCCATCATCCTGGTTGGCTGTAAGAAGGATCTGCGCCACGACCCCAAGACCATCGAGGAGCTCCACAAGACTTCCCAGAAGCCCGTCAGCCCTGAGCAGGTATGTCATCTTCCCCTCAATACACTCTCATACCCCGCGCCGTATCCCAAGACCGCACGCACCACCGCCAATAAATCGCTAACTCGTCTTTTTTTTCCTACAGGGTGAGGAGATCCGCAAGAAGATCGGTGCCTACAAGTACCTCGAGTGCTCTGCCCGTACCAACGAGGGTGTCCGCGAGGTCTTCGAGTCCGCCACCCGCGCGGCTCTGCTTAAGGCCAGCACCGGCAAGAAGAGCAAGCGTGGCAAGGGCGGCTGCATGCTTCTGTAAACTACACCAACTGATATGGTGCGGCTCGAGCGAAAAGATCCGGTGGTCGAGACTCGGGCAAATTTGAATGTTTCTATTCCCAAATAAGGGGACAGCTGCTGGGCTTGCATACGAGGATCTGTGGATAATACTTTCGAAGTCGGGCGCCTGAGTCGTGGATATTCCCCCTGCCTGCTTTACTTTGTGCCCTCCCCTTCCCCCTCCTTTTTTATTTTCTCTTTTTACCCACAACCCCTGCAGTTGATCGACCTTGTGTTTCTCCTTTTTTTGCCTTTACTTTGCAGAATTTGTCTAGGGAGGCGTTGTCTTCATCATAACCCTGTGGGCCTTTTCTTTTTCTTCTATCCGCTCTTCCCCCTTACCCTACTTTACCGTACCGTACCCTAACTTCCCCTCTCCGATATTCTGTTTGTTACTCTCATCTTCCTCTCCCACAAATCCGACTCCGTGGATCTCAATGACAAATTGCCTCTTTCAGTGGCAGTATAAATCTTTCTAAAATTTCCCTCCATGAACATGGTCCTTTTCAGGATGGGAACCCAACAAAAACAGTATCCCAGCGCATGGAATGGAAGCTCTGGTGTAAGGAGCCTCGGAGGAAGAGTTTCTGGAAAGGTTTCGACGTGAAGGTTGTGCCCAGGTGTGATGGACAATTCTGTGGACTTCGGTTCGCAGCCCCATGATGATAGATGGATGATTCCCAATCTCGCGGAGAACTCGATTCGGTTTTTCTTGTTTTTTTGTACTGTTTTTCCTGATGTAGGTATGCATTGCCACTTGTGACTTTGATCCGATTCTTCTAGAAGAATTCTACCACCTACTAGGCAGTGTAGATCAATATCAGTCTCAGTCCTGGGGTCTTGGCTTCGACCCTTGGACCATGGCTGTTCAGTAGTATTGAACTCGGTTCATACAAGTACTAAAACACATCCTAAGCCTCGGGCGTCTTCCCAAGGTTGGGCCTTGGATGCTCATAGAGGCAGTGTTACTTGTTAGTACTAGTATACCCTACCAAACACTCCTCACTGATTCTAAGATTATCAAGTTCAAGTTGATGCCAGTGCTAATAGTACTAGTACCATGGCAGCGAGTCTCAGTCCTCTAATAGCAAAATGATAAATACATGTCAAATATACACTTATAGAATTTTATACGACTACATCCCGACTTGAAATCACCGATTAAACCGTAACAGCCCCTCAATATACCTCCTCGCATCCATACCGACGCCCTCCACCAACTTCGAGGGCGCGGTATCTGCCCGCCCAGACCCAGATCCAAGTTTCGACGAAGCACCACCCAAGTCGCGGAAAAAGCGAGCGCCACTGCTTACGCGGGAGTGGCCTGGAGAAACGTAGTCGACCGCCTTACGGACGAGGAAAGCTTCCTGTGGCTGGGCCTGTGGTGTTTCAGGGATTAAGTTTTGGGCTGAGGCTGGAACTGAGGCTTCGGCCATGGATGAGAGGGTTGCTGATGAAGATCTTGTTGAGAGGGGCGCTGGCGAGGGAGTGTCCTTGCCCGTGTCCTGCGTTTGTGGGATGCGTACCCAGATTATCCACCACCCGCGACTTGTTTTGCAGGTCCGTTCTAGTTCTAGAGGTCTGGAACGGGTGTCGGTATATGTTGTTAAGAGGCGGTGGTGGATGCCGAGGCTTTCGATGCGGGATAAGGGCGTGCTTGGCTTTGGTTGAGAGGGGGATGGGGTGCGTGGATTGTTTTCGCGGGAATGGGTGGATGGGGATCCGAAGGCTGGGATGTTGGGGATTGAGGAGCGGATTGTTAGGTTGGAAGGGTCGTAGACGAAGTCGTAGAGTGATTGGGATCGTGCGGCACGGTTGCTAGCGTTTGGGGCATCGGGATGGGCAATCCGGGCAGCGGCTGTTGCTGGTGAAGTCGATGCCAACAGTGGTTTTTGGAGAGGGCCAAGCTGGTGGTGAATGCTTGTGTAAAGGGTTGGTGAAGAGAGTGAGGGTGTTTCTGGGTCGAAAAGGAACGTGAACACGAATGGTTGATTCTGATATCGGAATAGTTAGTTGGTGACGGTGAATCTCATGGCCGGGAGTGGAGACTCACAACATAGATGATTGCTTGGAGTCTTTTCGTACTTTCATCTGAGGCATGGATATGAATGAACCTATGTATTATGCGGCTCTTGGGCTTGCTAGCTTCCGCCTCAGGCGCTGGGCTCTCTTCTTCCAAATCATCTAGTAGATCCAAGTCATCACGCGGACCGAGGATGAAGCGACCCAGACTGATGTTTCTTGGCCCGTTTCTTGGTTCATTTGATAAAGATTGCGCAGCATTTGTAGGATTGCCGATCTGTTGCCGAGAGTTCATCATCGGTCCATTCGCAGCCGCGGCCGGGTTGTCGGGAGAGGGGGAGACTGGTTTGGAGAAACTCCATGCGGAGCCATATCCAAGAGTCAGATATTTCATTACTGTTTCGGTTCCAAATCCTTGGTCATTCGTGGATAATGTGCTGTCGGTGGTTCCGTCCGCAGGGTTCGTTTCTTTTTGCTGGTCCGGGTTCGGTTGCGGCGTAGCGATGATCAGTGGACGTGGTATTCCTGGCGTATGGCTGCGATCCATATCGGGAGTCGAGGGTAGTATACCACTTTGAGAGACAGCCGTGACATTTTCGGATTTCTGTCTATCTCGCCTCCGTGGCCTGCGTCGACGTATTGAGGCCGGGTCCCGCCCTACTCCATATGACGTATCTCCATATTTATAAATGCATTCCATCCAGTGTGAAACACGTGCCAAAGAAAGACGGGAGACGGCTCCAAGCCCCGAAAACACAACGCCATCGGCTGGACGAGGAGTATGATCTGATCCCAGCCAAGCGTTTTGGTCATTCGACTTGGCTGTCGAGGGGGAATCATCTAGTTGGGCAGCCGGTTCGCCGAATCTTGACACAACTAGGTCCAGCAGACCATCTGTTCTAGCAACGAAGTCTTCAAGAACCTCTCTCTCACCACTGCCCCACTCTTCCTCTCCAACCCCTACGCCCAACTCTCCGCCAGCGGCGAGTTTGATGCCATTGTATATCTCGACGGTGGGATTTCCAGTCAGTAGAATTTCCCAATTCCAAGCAAACTTCTCCCAGAATCGCTCGAGAAAAAGACAGAATATGGATCGGCCGACACGTTCATAGAGCGCATCCAAGGAGAAGTCATGGTGAAGGAGGAAGAGGGAGTGTGCGCGGCGTAGTTGTTGGAGGAATAGTTGCGGGGGTCCCATTTCCCTGGCCGAATATTGATATGTGGAAGTGCCGTTGTTTTCACTCAAGGATGTTTGGCTTGGATCGGCGGGGAGACGAGTCAAGTCGATAGACTGGCGCAGATTAATGAGCGGTGGTGTTCACGTCATAGTGCCCTGCAAGGCTCTGGGCGAACTTACTGCGACAACCCACCAGTCCTGCTCCAACTGGGCAAAAATAAACCTTGCTTTATCAGTTTCAACATATTCTAGAGGCTGTCCCGACGAGAAGTTGCTGCGTCGCAAACTGGATCAGTATTGAGCATCCGCGGGGGAGGCGAACATGTCCCACCTGGCGAAGTTGACCATGCCTTGTGCCAGACCTATCTGGCGCAAGCGCTCATTTTTATCAATCCCCGCCAACTTCCCACTATTCTCCGCTATCGTAGAGTCATCTTCTCTTTGTAGATCGGTCCTGGAGGTGTAGAACACGATCTGGTCCTCGAGTGTCTCATCGGTGGGGCCGAGGGTTGGGTTGTAGATGGCGAGGAAGGACAGCTGCGCGGGAATCACCGAATCGGACTCGCTTTCAGGCATCGCATCGTAAGCAGATGTACAATGATCGAGAGCGGATCTGCGAATCATCCGGAGTCTGGGAACCACGCCGGTCGTCCAGTGGGCTGTGGTGTTGACATCACGTGCCTTATCGATAGAAGCTGCGGGATCGAAAGTGGAGGAGTTGCCGTCGTCGGCTTCTCAATGGTTGGCTAACTTCTTCACATACTACTGCGCCAGGAATCATGTTTGTGATACGAGGGGCTGGAGCCTTTGGGCTCTGCAGACATTCGTCTGCGGTTCGAAGACCAGCATTTCGTTGGTATACCACCAAAGCCCATGATCCTCTTCGGATCCTCTTTTGTGGCTCGGACGAATTTAGTATTGCCTCCTTGAAAGCGCTCCACGCCTATCACCTCAAACAACCCGATCGCATTGCATCCATCGACGTGGTCTGCCGCCCGGGCAAAAAAGTTGGGAGAGGAATGAAGAAAATCAGAGAAGGTCCGTGTACTGAAAGGGCCTTTCATGTATTCAGCGTTCTGATCTGTCCTATCTAGTGCCCATCAAGGAGACAGCATCAGCTCTTTCGCTACCAATTCACGAAATAGATACATTCACAAAATGGACAGTAAGTTTATTTAACTATGATTTTTATGCGAAGACTAATTTAAGCAGCCTCCGGTGACCCCGAATGGACCCATTAATCTGATCATCGCCGTATCCTTCGGCCTCTTTGTACCCCCGCGCATCTTGAATGCTGCGCGATATGGTGGTTTGAATGTACACCCATCATTACTCCCTGAGTATGAATGACCCTGAGGAATTGATGATTGAAATGAAGCTTACCTGGATGGACTAGTTTCCGTGGCCCTGCACCACTACACCACACTCTTCTTGCTGGACGGAGCCTCACGGGAATCACGCTCCAGACTTTGCATCACAAGAACTTTGACCACGGAGTTATCCTATCGCAGACTCCAAAGCCTGGACTTGAAATTCCAAACCCGGATACATGTACTGTCTCCGAGCTGCAGAATCTTGTTGCACCAGAGGGGGCGCAGATGCTAGTTGACGGAATCAACGACGGCCTATTCGTGCCACCCATGAAAGCAGCAGGATGGGTTCCTACAGAAGGAAACGAACCTCTCATCCATGCCGGCAAAATTCAACAAGAGGATCGACATGTGGACTGGGCTACTTGGACGATGCAAGACATTACTCGCCGCAGCCGAGTCATTGGGCCTCTGTGGAGCAGAGCGCTCGTCCCAATTAATGTCGGAGCCGCAAGTCCCGCTTTTTACCAAAAGCGCGCCATTCTTACACAAGTTGAAGAGGTTGAGCCTCCAAAGGGATGTGATTCTTTCGCTCTTGTCCCCGGGCTACCTTTTGCGAATGCTTCGCATCCTGTTGGTCCCAAAAAAGGAAGGGCGCTTTACGTGTTCACTCATGATGGAAAGGTGTTACGCATCGATCAGATGAAGGTAGAGGGAGAAGCTGTCGCCGAGGGTCTCCGTGCTGCGATAAAGGCTCGTATGTTTGGTGATCGGTCTTTTATCTCGGGCGGTGCGGAGTTTACTCCTTTCCGTAACCCTCTTGTATAATACTGGTAGTAGAGATGTGTAGGTGAATGTGTAAGATATGCTTGTCTACTACCAAGTGAATTTGATACCCTGTCCATGTTTTCAGATCTATTGAGAAACAAATTGTCCTAGTCCGTAATCCGTGAATTTACATCGAGAATCCAGAATCTAGATAAGATCATGATAGTTAGCCAAAGCCTTCAAATTGGAGATACAAGCTTCAAGAGAGATATTTCGTACCGATCTGAACCGATTGTCCGGTCATAGATGAATTCTTGGCTATCGTCACGTACATCTCCGCGGTATCTTCAACCTCGGGCTGGACAAGTATAATTAGTAGCGAGGAGATAAAAGCGGGGATTGAATTCGAGTATGGACTCACCACGTGCTTGAGGGGTGTCTTCTGAGTCCAAGCCTCAATTTTCTCAGGAGGGAATTGCTGGCCCTATTCCAATATTAGTCGTGGCCCATTATGAAATTCTCGGATAGCCAAAAGAAACGCACCCATTCCGTGAGAAGAAGACCTGGAAGTACTGCATTGACGCGGACCTTGGAGCCCTGGGTTTGGGCGAGACACTTCATGAGATGGATCACTGAAAATTATTAGAGCTGATTCTTTCATCACGAGAGTACTATTGGACGTACGAGCTGCCTTAGACACGGCGTAAGGAAGACTACTGCCAGTGGCGGAGACTCCCTAGATGAGAACCCAGTATTAGTCTTGTCAACTTCCATCAGTTATCAAGTGTGTCTCTTACTGCAATGGAAGATGTGATGATGAAAGCACCGCCTTCAGGATTGGCGTTGAAAGTCGGAAGAGCCGCCTTGAACAGATAGAAGCTGCTCTTGACGTTCATGTTCCAGCACTGTTCGACATTTAGTCCCATTCGGTGCAGTTTATGCTTTCAGTGGGGAACCGCGTACCTTATCCCAGTCTGCGTCGTCCATAGCGTCCAGATCACCGAAGTTCGTCATTTTCGTCCAACCCTTTCAAGAAATTTTTCGTGAGATGAGCTCTCCAAGTTTTGAGAAATGTATATCCATACAGAATTGGAAACGATCACGTCCAAGCCCCCAAGTTGTTCGATCGTAGTCTTGACAGCGTTGACACAGTCAGTCTGGCTCCCAGCGTCCTTTAGAGAAAAAAAAGAAGATATCAGTATTCAGCCTTTATATGCAAGAGCGATGAGATCTTCTTTGATACTGTCGCATGATGAAAACATACACCCTGAACAACAATAGTCTTCACGTTGTACTTGCTTGCGATCTCTGAGGCTGTGTTGTCGGCAGACGCCTTGTTCGACATGTAATTAATGGCGACATTACTCCCCTCAGCAGCAAACTTCTGAGCCACGAGAGCGCCCAATCCTCTATGCGATGGTATATTGGTTAGCAATTTGAGGCCAAACGCGGGGATCCCCACAATATCGGGGCATACCTTGAGCCGCCGGTAATTAGGACATTCCGTCCTTTGAGGGAGTATGGCATATTGAAGATATCGAGATAAGAATGAATGGGAAACAAAAGACAGTTCACTCGACAAGAAGAAAAAAACAGTGGATGGAAAAGAGAACCTGCGGAGTGACCGAGGTACTTAGAATGAGGGGATGCGGGGCTCGACGATGGGGACTAAGATTAACTAAGATTGGAATGTGTCGGGCGCGGCGACTTCGGGCCTGGCGCCATCGGAAGAAGCACCACGGAATCAAGTCCGATGACAAGCAAAAGCGAATAGTCCCCCCACTCGGGTGTCTTCCTTGCGGATGGTTATATCTTGGGACTTGGTCCTTATTGGTTGTGTCGGGTTGATGCTTCTACCTGAACCGTTCCCATGTTCACTGTTGTGTCATTTGCATGCAGGAGAGAAATAGCAACTTTTAAGGTCAGAGCAAGTCTGAGACTACAGTATACAAAATTAGTCATTACTATCCTCCCAAATAGTGTAGGTTATGATCTCCACTTCGGTATGTGGAGGAAAAGCTGTCGCGGAACTAGGCCGGGTTCGGCATACCTACAATATGGCTCTGGGTTCGAGTCTCTACTTATGGCCGAGGAGTTATGGACTCGTATGAATTCCGAGAAAGGCAATGAAAACTTGGACCACTTATGTGATTCATTTGGGTATATGAAACTAAAATGAATACTTAGATGACAAGCCAGCCCTGGTATTGCGTCCTTTTCATGCCTGGCCACGCTCGTCGTCCCTCAAGAGGACGCCATTGCACTATGAACGAGTCTGCAACTGGCAACAACAACTTTCCCGAGACGCTGAGACTTCGAACCCGTGCCCATGATTCCACGTAGATGGTTCGAAGCCGGGCAATCTCCGGGGCAGAAGCACGGCCAGTGAGCCAGCGAGAGACAAATATAAAGAACCGGAGGATTTTAGCTGCGAGCATCATGCAAACCGCAACGGCCGGTCCATTCGTGATGATTATATCGGGGTGTGGGGTCTCATGGTTGGATGGAAGTGGTTCCTGGCCGGGAACTGCCCGACAAGAATGAGGAAACAGGCCCAGAGGCAGTGGAGAGTCGAGAAAGGTGCTGTCAAGTATGACTGATGGACTCGTCGAGCTCTTGGTACTTCGAGGATTCGAAACGATTTGCCGGAGGTAGGGGGGTTGTCTCTAACAGATCCAGTCTTGTCTGTTGGGCTCTTGACATTTTCTTTCCCCGCGGGGCTTCTCTTGAAGATCGAAAGATTGTCGACTGGAAGATCTCGTCGGTCAGCGCTATCGTGCTGCTCTCCCCCCGAGTTTGGCCTCAAATTCGGCTGCCTTATTGGCACTGAAGTTATCGCCAGATGTCGTAACATAGGTTCGGTAGGTCCAGACACTGGGGTCAAAGGCTGCTTTGTTAAGCATATATAGCATCTCTGCAGTGTGGCCCCCGCTGCCCAGGACGATCAAGATGTGTATCGGGGCACCGCGGCGGTCGACTTTGGAGAGCGTGGCATTTTGGGAAATGAACAGCGAGGCCACAATGATCTAGAAATATGCCGGTTAGCCTTGTTAGGGCGGTCGGCACTGAAAGTTATAAGACAACATACCGAGACCGCGAGAAGTCCCAAGGCAGCTGTTGGGACGAGGATCTTCCAAAAAAGTTCCCAGAATACTTCCACCGGGGAAGCCATGGTATGATGTCACGGGTGTGTATCTGCTGCAATTGAAGGTTCGGAGTGAATTGAAGGGAAATGGTCAGCGACGATAGACCTGAGATCCGGAAAGCATCATGGCATAGATTTAGGAAATCATAATTGTAGAACCAGGACCAGGCCCATAGAGAGGCAGCAATGTTGATCTAGAAAGCTGTGGTGAGTCGCGAACGCGCATCGACACGTGCCGTGGGCGGTCTGTGCGGTGTGTAGTTCCTTCCCCTTCTGCCTCTCTGCGTTGTTCGCTCTCTCCGCCTTGGAAACTTGTAACTCTCGCAACTTACAACACTCAATTTGTGCGCTTGAGATGCCCTTACCATGGCGCTCTTTTCAAAACGTCTGACCTGCTTCTACTGTGGGCGGCGCTCCAAACAGCCCGTCCAGTCGCTCAATAGCACTGTCCGAAAGTTCCACTGCGAGAATTGCGAGGCGGATAACTACCTCGACCAGGTACGTTCCCTCGACTCGAGGAAGATCCCCCGGATAACCACAATCACCACAACTAACCAACATTCTCTAGAACGGAGACATCACAGACCCCCCAAGCGCTGAAACAAACCCTCAGGCTTATGGTCCTGATGCGCAAAGCCCTCGATTCGAATCCATTGGCTTCGAAGAATCCGACCTGTTTTGTTCCCGATGCATTCGCAACCAACATTTGTTTACCCACTCCTTGGCAGCATACCAAGCACCCTCCGATGACCCATCTTTTGACCATGAAAATCATTATGCCGAATACCGCAGAGGTATGGAAGACCGATATCCGACAGTCTGCGACAATTGCGAGCCGCGCGTGAGACAGCGAATTAAGCAAGCCGGGTATGAGGCAAAGGCGGATCACCTCAGGCGCATGATGGACCAAACCCGAGCCAGCAAGACTGCACGACAGGCAAGGAATCGTAGCTGGCAGAGCCTGCTGGTCTACGCCGGCGCTCTAGGCTACTGGGCGAGCTTCTGCGGTCAACTTGCATGGAATGTGTTGGGCGCTCTGACGGCCCCTTCGTCACCCACCGCAGATATCGATGTGTCTATGGACCCATCCGTCCATTTCATGACTTGTGTTGGTCAAACTTTGGAGGGTGGCCGGATTCCAGTCGAATGCGCCTACGATCTGGCGCCAGCTGCCGGTCTTGCGCTTGTGGCAGGAAGTCTTTCCCTATGGTGGAATCCACGCTTGCGCATGAAGATCGAAGGACGGTCTGGTCGATTCAAGGGTCTTGCCGAGTACTATAGAGTACAACTTATTGTCATGGTCGTCCGATGCGTGTTTTGGTCTCTACTGAAGGATCCCTCTGCGAGTGGCATTGAAGCAACCTTACCTGCTGCTTTGCATATGTTCATGATTCTCTTCACCCTATTGGTATGTCTTTTTTATACCCGTATTACCTACCCAAACTAACCTTTTAGTCTGTTATCATTTCTCGGCGCGTTATCCACTATGACACCCGGCCTCTGGTAAATTGGTCGGACAATTCTTGGGAGAGGGCGCCTCTACGGAGCACCGAAACATCGCCTGTACCCGAATCTCGTCCTGGACCGATTTATTCGACGCCGAATGCGAGCACCAGTCAAGTTCGCCAGCGATTTCCTTTTGAAAAACTCGGTTCCGCCCGGCCGATCGCAGAGAGTCCGCAAGTCATGTCCCCCACACCACCTCCCGAATCCGAAGACATGGACTGGACTCCGTCTGCCCCTCAAAACATCCAGCCGACAGTGAGCGTCTACCAACGGGATCGACAGTCGGCTTTCGATGCCCCCTCTCCTTTCCATGGCCATCTCGCAGCCGTTTCTCAACCGCCAGCGTGGAAGCTCCGTAACAAGACACCCGTGAAACCGATCGAACAAGTCATCGAGCCCAACCCTTTTCACCGAAATCTATCACATACAAAAAACCAATGGCAAAAGAAACCAACAAGTCCAGAACCTGTCTTCCAACCCCCCCAAGTTCTTTCCGGCAAGCGACCACGATGCCGCCACTGGCCTCGAGACCCTTTTCAACCGCGCCTTTGATCTTGGGGCCGAGGAGGCCCCAAGAAGAGAATGGAATCAATCAAAGCGCCGTCAAATTTCATATGCTATCAACACACCTCGTCACCTGGTACTACAGTATCTACGGCTGTTTTTGTTACTGGGCTCCATAACCGTATGGACATATTCCCAAAATCACCAAACCTCTATCCCTGGAAACTACATCGAGACATGCGCTCTGGGAAGCGCGAGTCTGATCTCAGGCTTTGCTCTTTTGGAAGCAGTCAAGAGACCCCTGGTCCAGTGGAATGGAATGGAGATATTGGTCTACATGACGGAACTTGGCGCTGCGGTTCACTTGGGTGCCCATCTGCCCCAAGAGGCCTTTGAGCGAGAGTATTTCGACCGATACGGAAAAATACTGCTCGGCTTCATGGCAGTTCAAGAAATATTGAATTTGCTTGCATTCTATCGATCAGCATCGGCCGTTCCGCGACCCGAAGACCAACAGAATGCTGTTTCGACCTCTCCGCGGCAAGAGGTTTCACCTCAAAGAGCTATTGGTTGGTCCCCTGTAGGATCTCCTGTTAGCAGCCCTACAATTCCCCAATCATTCTCCCCGCAACTGCAACAACAGTCATTTTCTTCACGAGCCCACCAGTTTTCTCCGCAACCGCAACCACAACAACAACATTTTTCTCCACAGCCACCCTCTCTGTCTTTCTCGTCGGCAGCCGGCGGTCTATCGTCCGCCCTGCCAACCGTTCCAAACTACGGGATTTCGTCCTCGCAGACCTTCGGGTCTTTCTCCTCTGCTTACAATCACAATCACAATCACAACCCACATAGCTTCACAATGGATTCGCTCAAGGCGAATGAACCGATTTCCGACTATGAGCAAGACTCTGATTCTGAAACCATTGCTACCGAATTTACCACCCGCACGGATGCCACGAACCGCAATATTCGGTACGGGCGCAATCCGAATCATGAGCACAACCCTACGTTCTCGCCCCGGCGGAGTGAGCTTGGGCCTGGACTTGGGGGGTTGAGTTTGGAAGATCGACCAACCCCTCGCCGCATAACACGCAGTCAGACCCAGCAACCGCTGACACCTGGACGGCGTTTCCCCAGCCGTGTTGTCTTTTGATATGTCCATTCTCCCCGTCACTTCTGTTTTTTCGGTATCTTGCATTTCTATCGTTGCTGTCATTTCCTTTTTAAAACCTGCGGCCGTTTTCTTTACCATCTCATTGTTATTTCTGGAGCCTTCGGCGGCCTGTTATCAACAAACTGGCGGTCTACGCCCTGGCACAGTTCATGAAAGTCTTAATTTGAGCGAGTATCACATACATAGCGGCGGCGATTCAATTTGTTTCTGTTTTTCGGGATCCGGATGCGTGTGTTTTTTTCTGATTTTTGTACATAGCCTGGGCTACCCTTCACGATTTACAATGAAACGACGACAACGATGTGCACATATCAAGTTCTCACTCTGCAATCTCCACAACTAATTTCGTACAACTCACACCCTGGAACAACTTGTCCAGGCCACCATTAATAGCCCCTAACCCCTTACCAACAACGCTGGGCTTCGGACTTGGCTTGATCAACCCCTTGGCCAAACTTTCCCTCAACCATGTTCCAATCCAGTATCGAAACTGCTCCAGCCTCTCCTCTTCCACCATCGAAGGCATCAAAAATATCGTCTCGACCCCATCCACATCCTCCGCATCCTGAGGAACTGGCGGCGCCGATGCGATCTTAGACGATGTCGCCATGGTGATCCCTTCTCCACGAAATCTCTTCAGCACAGCCTGACAATCCCCCAGCAGCCCAGTCGCAAGGAAACAAAACCGAACAACCAACCCATCCTTCTGGGCCGCTGAAAAAATCAAATCAACAACCCGCGGGTCCTTATAATCAAATACTCGTTCCGCACCCAACTGACCCACGTATTCCAGATTCGCCACCCCAGCCGTAGCATACACAGCCCCAAATGAGGAAGTAGGATCATCTCGCAGAACCCGGGCTGTTTGTACGCCCATGGTTCCGACACTAGACGATGCGCCCCATATTAGGAGGGCTTCGCTTTTCCGCACGGGAGTCTGTGCTGGTCCCGTCTGGGGGCCCGGGAGTTCCCTAGTCCCCGCGCCCTCTTGTGGAACCCCCATTTCCGTCCGTGGAATGCCCATCGCATCCCAGGCACTGAGTGGTACCTGCACAGCGACGGGTAGAGTCGCTGCATGGTTCCAAGAAATCGTACTCTCGTCCGGCAGGGGGACAGCGTGTTGCCATGGAACGAGGCAGAATTCCTGGAATGGGCCGTAGTCCGGGTCGCAGGATTTCCAGGCTGAGGCCGAGTAGGCGGCGATGCGTGTATTGGGTTTGAAGGAGGGTGGGACGTTTGCGCCGGCTTCGAGGACGAGTCCGGACATGTCGAAGCCGATGACTGTTGGGTAGGTGTCAGCGGGTATGAACAGGCCCTGGTCTCGCATGATATTGTCTGCGGGGTTTAGGGCGACGGATTTGACGGCGATTAAGAGGTCGTTGGGGCCGGGTTTGGGCGTTGGACGGGTTTCGAGTGTGAATGGTTGGCCTTTGGCTGGGGTCATGGCGGCGAGGTGGGCGATAGTGGTCATCTTGGAAGGTGGAATGGATCTCAGTATGAGGTTGAATGTAGATTGGGATGTAATGGGGTGTTACGGGATATCTAGCCTTCTTAAATAATTCAAATCTTGTCATTTCAAGTTGTTCAGCTTCTAGTTTTATACAATAACCCGTCCATCTCTGACCTCCCGCTGTTGATGCTGTAGAGTATAGATCGTGGCCAATCAGCATCCTCTGCTTCCGAGAAGTGGTTAGCGTGAAGTGGTTGGTGGGGGCTGTTGGGTGAATCACCTCCACCTCGTCCTTCTAGCTGTACTCACCTCGGGATCGAGAAAATCCCTCACTCTTTCTCAAGGACTTAACAGGCTGGATATCTGATTGAGAATGACCCCAAATCTATCGGATGGGCTAGGGGGGCGGGGGCGTATTACTGGACGGAGATCGAGATATGGCTGTCGAAATTGCAAACTCCGAAAACTTAAGGCAGGCGACTCGCGATTTGATAAGATTGGTCACCAATTTGGCTGATTAAATTTCCGTTATCCATTAGTGCGATGAAGGCAAGCCATACTGTAGCAAATGCCGCTCATATGGGGTATCATGCAACTTTATGTCCAACGTCCCCGATTTACACCCCATCGCTGCTGATTCGAAGAGGTCACTGTTAGCCCGAGCACAAATACAGCCCCAGCCTCCTATTAGTAGTTGTACATGGACATCTGATGGGTTTTCGTCTTATCAGTTGAATGCAAAGTGCCAAGACTTCATCACACGCTGTCTTGGTCGAAGTCTTATTAGAGTCATCTCCCCGGATGACCCCAACATGATCGATGTCAATCGGAGGCTTTTGGGACTCGCCTTTACAGTGAGTATCTATCATATCTGTCCTATCCTTTTAGCTTATAGCATAAGTAAAGATGGCTGAACGCTGCAGCCTCGAGCTAGACTAATATATCGCGTACAGCACCCTTTTTTAATGCATGCCTCTCTAGCAGTGGCACTTACATACGACCGCCACCTAAATAAATCAATAAACTGTCATCGCAGTCTGGAAGAGTGCTACCACTGGTCTCAAAGCACGACTCTGCTCAACAAGCGACTAGGAGAACCAATCGAAGTAGGAGACAAAGATCCAATATGGGGAACTGCCGCTGCTCTAGCCATCCTATCATTCTCATCCCCCAACGCTTGCACGCCAGAAGAATCATGGCCCATGAAGCCATCTGCTCCCTCGGATTTGGACTGGGTACGCATGAGCAAGGGAAAAAATTCCCTGTGGCACATCGTCGACCCGTTACGACCGGACAGTCTTTTCCACGTAATGACGGAGACCTTTGCTATGATGTTTTCGCCCTTGCCTGAAAATGGGATTAAGGGTGTATCAAGCGCCTTGGCTACTATATGTCTACTTGGAGAATCATCTACTGCGGAAAATAATCCTTATTTCTATGCCGCCCATGCAATATCCCGGATTCTGGATATCCCAGATAGCGAGATATCAACGGGGAATACTCAAATATTCATACTTAGTATCAATGGAGGTTTCGAAGACCTGCTGCGAGCGAAGGATCCGGTAGCACTACTATTGCTATATCTATGGTACCGCAAGGCAGGTCGCAGTATTTGGTGGATTGAACTCAGGGCCCGAGTGGAATGCCCTTCCATTTTCTTATATTTGCAAAAGTATCACCAGATGAATCCTGCAGTGCACGAGTTCCTGCCTGGTGGCCGGGCTCTCGCTGCTCACTGAGGTTGGAAAAATTTTTCACCGCAAGTAATGTCATACATCGCCATGCTCTTGGGCTGCGATTACTACTATTCGGCAACTGTCAACCTCTTTGAATGCAATACTGGTATTCTAGAATCCTGTGTTTATGAATAACATCTAAGCCATAAAAATATTATAAAAAGAGCTTTAGAGACCGAGTTTCCCCACTATTAGCAAAAGCCAATCTCATAATAAGTCCTGATAATTCCTGGTCCATTCCCGAACTACTCATGCGGCCCAAAATACATCTCACACTCAGGCTCACACGCCGTATAGGATTTTGGGCATGGTTCCCTGCTCGTGATAGGCCACATCCAATTAACTAAAACGCCCATCATCTCGAGATACTTTTTTTCGTCAAGTGCATCGATAAATTTAGTTCGCGCCGATTGTTTGACAGCTCGGAGCCAGCCGAAGTCCAGAAGTGGCGATGCCTGAACGCATAGCTTATCGGAGTGGGACGCGTATAGGACACGGACTTTGCCAGAAGAGTCATATTTGATGCAAATTCTCAAAGAACAAAAGTTAGACTGTTTGTCCTTTGCAAGAGAGCTGAATATCTAGTAAACCGGAAATGACAAGTCATCATACCGGGTAGTTGCAGCTCAAAAGTCCTTCACTTCTGCAGGAGCAGACTTTGATTCTTCCATGAATATGTTTCTCGGAACGCATCGCTCGCTTGATCTGCCAGACTACGACAGCAAGCTCGCCAGCCGAAGGCCAATTATTACTACCGCAGAGGGTGTCGAGTTGAGCCGCACACATTCCATGACTGTTGCGGGTTGTTGGCGTATCATGCGCAGTGAGCAACAAGCAGCCAAAAGCGCTCATGAGCCTTTTACGATCACTTATACCACCAAAGGGCAGGTCGGCGATCTTCACGAGTTCGTGGGACACGAGACGGAATGGAAAATCAAGTTTCTTGTGGTACGTGTTTTTTGAAGTGCGATTTTCGAACTGCGGCAATGTTTTCATTATCTCATGCTTCTCACCGAAACGGGATAGTTAGCTAATTTTGGGTGTGAGACTCAATCATGAACCGGGGTTACATACCTTGTCATCCATCCATTTCACATCATTAGCCTAGCAGTGGTTAGCGGGAGAGACTCGCGGTCGGCCAAGAGACAACGTGCGACTCACCTCTCACTGAGACTGAACCTAGTATCTTGTTCGACCTCCTGCACGTATTTATCCATCGAGCGTCTCAGGTCCGACGGCAAGACGACATTGGTATCCTCGAGGTCACCAGAGTAGCTTAATTTTTCCTCGAACGATCCAAGCCACTCGCGATCTGTCACCACCCCTTTCGCTATCTGCGAGTTGATGTCATGGGGATTGGGCAAGCCGAGGTTGGAGAGAAAGTAGCGGGTCGCGGGGATGACGTTTCGCCGGTCCGAAGATCAAGACTTCCGATCTCGACATTCAAATCTCGCAGCTGGGCACCGGCAAGGCCGTCATCACCCTGCCAATTGAAGACTAACAGAGAGCACAAAACTTTCTCGATGTTTCTGCGCCGTTGGCGATACAACTGGGCCTTGGGAATTTCCTCGTCTTCCATGGATGTCCTCGGTTGATTTGGAATATCGCATAAAAAGTTAGCGATCAAGTTTTTTTGCGAGAAAATGCTGGAGGCTGGTAGGCATGAACACGGCTCGCTTTTTGTTTTGGTACGGCGAGCCAGTGGGAGAGTGGCAGTGGACTAGTTACCAGAATAGGACTAGTAGATTTTACACACTCTGGGGAAATCGCAAGTGGGTCCCACGGGGTTGAGATTGGTTGGGACCATCGAGGAAGTGGGACTTCCCACCTTTAATGCTCGTCATAAGCGCGCCATAGTAACCGCCATGCTGAGCCCCCCGGGCGGGGAAAGGGGTGAAGGAGGCCTAGTATGGGAAATGAGAAAGTGAATAAGAATAGTTTTCTCACAAGTGAACACGTCAATGGCTATTGTAATTGATGTAAGAAAACTCGAGTACTCCTCAGAAGCGATGTGATAGCATGAAAAACTCGACAATATGCCGTACGACCTCGACTACGCGTGCCTATATCGTCTAGTATCCATATGCATACTTCTCTGCCTGGAGAGCCCCGGATTTCTCTGAAAGTGACTTACTGCCAACCGACACTACTCGGCTATACTTGACTGATCATACTCGTCCCTCATATTGTAAAGTATTTCCTACGAGAGCTGTCTTCAAGGGTCGCCCCATGCCAAAAATCAGCCCCTCAACACTCACTGCCTCCAAACGTACGCATCAGAGTCAGCATTCATACTGCATACTACCTACTGTGCAGAACTGCGCACACCGAGTCCCCGATTCACCATTCACTAGTACTCAATACTGCCCAGGTGAGTCACCAAGTCCCCCAGCCTCCGGCGACCATGGTTTTCTTTGCGCGATACAACTGTGTACTGCGCATAATTGCGTACATTGAGTCCTCAATTCACAATTAACTACTAGTCACCGAGTCATCAAGTTCCCCAGCCTCCGGTGACCATGCTTTTCTATGCGCAATACACCTGCAAGCATCGGGTCTATCAAGGGGGTGCACGGACAGTGCGGCAGTTCCCGAAACCTTAATGAAAAACTTAATAAAAACCTTAACATACTTCGGATAAGCGCGTCACAGTTTGGCACAACTACAGCACATTTACTGCCATTGCTGAACTTGAAAAAATCACCTGCCTGCCTGTTTGCCCGGGTATATAAAGCTCTTTCTTTTTCCTCTCGACTTTTTTTTTCTTCCCTTCTTCATCTCTCCTCTCTTCTTCTCATCCCTCCTCCAGCTCGGCCTAATCCCACCCCCTCTGTCTATGTCATCCACCTTTGTCATCCTCCCATGTCATGGTACTTTACCTCCATAGCTCTTTCCCTTTTGTAAGAAATACCTACCCGTCATGTTACCTCCCTCTATCATGTCTTCCCTTTCCTTATGTCATCCCCATTTCCCTTATGTCATATTACTTCATCATCTTATTTTATCGTCCTACTTTGTCATCCTCCACCTCAAGTCACCTTACCTCATGTCACTTCACCATGTCCCTCCACCATTTCCCTTTCCCTCTCATGTCCATACACACACTCCCTTCCTCCTCCCGTCTCTCTCTCTCCCTCTTTCATTTGACTTCATCGTCCTCCATCTCATGACAATTTCCTCCTCCACCTTCATCATTCAACATCATCATGCCACCTCCCTCCCTCTCTTTTGCTCCCATGTTTACATTCACCTCCCAATGTGACTCATCCTGATGGTTCCTCACCATTCACCTATCACACACTCGACACAGGCAAGGCACCCCCAGTTCCCCCCCCCCCCTGACCCTTTGGTCACTGCAACTGGCAGCTTCCTCTGGGCGGGGACCCTTCTCTCTTTTCAACCAACTCGAGTCCTTGCCAGCAATTGCTGACAGAAGCTGTCTCCCCTCTCCTCCGGTTCGATTCCAGTCCAGCCAGGAGTTTTCCTGGAAATGCCGCAGGTAAGGCATCCTCACCTTCTTTTTCCCACTCATCACTTTTCGCAACTCGCATTTTCTGTGTTTGCCTTCTGTTTCTTGTCCGAGCTTCAGGGAAGTCATTCCCGGTTGTCATCTCCGCAAATTTTGACTTAACCGCGAGGGCCCGCGAAGGTTTAAGTCATTACCAGCTTCGATCCCAGCTGACGCCTTCAGTCTTCTCCAGCTTGCCCGGCACTCGATGACATCGAATCGACTTTCTCATCTCAGTCTGCAGGTAAGGCATCCTCCCCCTCTCTTCCCATCTGATATTCTCCACTTCCCATCCGCGATTCGCGTTGTCTCATGTGCACCTTGTTTTCCGGCTTTCTTGGGACTCTCCTACGGGCCAGTCGGTAGTGGCTGGTGGACTCCCAGCAAAGTCCCTCTCCAGAGCCGTCCGGTGGTGGTGGGCAGGAGGTCCCTCACCCAGAAAGCCATTCATCTCCGCAACTACTCACACCACGATGGCGCGTGACAAAGGATTTAAGACCTTACCAGTTTGAAAAATAGCTGACGCCTTCAGGTTTCTTTTCAGGGTTTCCGACCCTCGACTTGGGCTTCTCATATCTACAGGTAAGGTATCCTCGACCTTGCTTCTGTCCTCCCCGAGAGTTTCCCTTCGCTCTATATGCGCATACACATTTCACTTGACTCGACTCGTCGACTTGCCATGGGTGTAAGTTCTTACCAGCTTCGTGCCGACGAAAAGCTCATTCTCCAGGTTCTCCACCTGTCCCGGTCTTCGTCGCTCAACTTCTCTGCATCTTTTCAGGTGAGGCGTCCTCGACCTCCGCCCTGTTCTAGACAGGCGCATTCCCCAAGGGCTTTCGACATATTTCCCCTTGATGTTTCGACTTTTTCCGACACTGCCACGGGTATAAGTCCTCACCGGCGTTGCTGATAAAGATGTTTCGACAGGTTTCTTCACGGATCGGGATCTTCTCTCACAACTTCGTGGCAACTGTTCAATTCCTTTCCAGGTGAGGCATCCTCGACTTCTGCCCTGTTCTAGACAGGCGCATTCCCCAAGGGCTTTCGACATATTTCCCCTTGATGTTTCGACTTTTTACAACACTGCCACGGGTATAAGTCCTCACCGGCGTTGCTGATAAAGATGTCTTCTCCAGGTTCTTCGACATTGTTGGTGTGGTGGTTCAACTTCTTTCCAGGTGAGGCGTCCTCGACCTTTCTTCCTTTTTCTACGACTCCGGGACAACGATTCGATAAACTGCTACGGGTATAAGTCCTCACCGGCGTTGCTGAAAAAACAGTCCTCTTCTCTTTTAGGTCTCTTCTCTTTTAGGTCTCTTCTCTTCGATCCTCTACACATCACATCGGCTTCCTCTTTTCAAAATCTCTCTAGGTGAGGCGTCCTTTTCTTCCCCTCCCCCCCCTTTCTCAACACTCCGAGGTGAAACCTTGTCAATATTCAACTTGATCACGCAAACTTGGCCACCTGAAATTGACCATTCAACAAAACTGCTACGGGTATAAGTCCTCACCAGCGTTGCTGATAAAAAGATCTCCTCTAGGTTCCCCCTCTCCCGATTCTCCACTTTATCATGCATTTGGCTTTCCTGGTCGCCTCTGCTCGGCATCTTTTCAGGTAAGCTGGCCCCGGCCAGATCTTACCTTTCACTTGTGCACGATCGGGTAAACCATCGTGTATCGACAAGGATTTTGCTAACTTCTTGTCAATGGTGTCAGTTCCCGCCAGACTTCCCCATGTTTCCTCTATATTCAGGCATCATATTTCCTTCGGTTATGTATTTCTGGTACGCTGGTCCTGGCCATGTCTTGCGTTTCTTTCTTAGTAATTGCAAAGTCTCCATGTTTCGACAGTGTAATGAACCAGATGGTTATATTACTATTAGCATGTCGTAGGTAGCCCCTAGGCAACCACGCCTCATGTATTTAGTTCCTTCCGGCCTGTCTTCCTCTCTCTCTCTCTTCAATTTGATTACTTTCGTTATCTGCTACCACACCTCGCCTGCGCGCGTATCGTATCTAAGCTTTCACAGACAGACTTGGGCCAACGTGGTATGAATGGTATCAGCCCCTGCCAGGTTGGTTTTCTGGGAGACTTGACTAGTTGTAAGTCTCTCTGGCTGCGGTCAACCCTTTCACCCCGGTAACCTTAGGAAGAAATCATCCATCTAATAATGCTTATCATACAGTACTGTCCTGACCGTATGCTAACCAAGTGTGCTTGTCTCCCTCCCACCTGACCGAAGATGTTTCCTCTAGAGGTCTTTCAATTCTTTGCGCTTAGGCAAGTGCTCTATAGGTAATATTTTCTTGGGTGTTTATCGCGTCTTCAAGTCACAGAGCTTGGCGGTACTCCGGCTCGAACCGAAGAGTGTGCAGAGCTTGGCAGTGTTTGTCACACACCAAGGGGTGTACAGAGTTCGGTGGTTCCTTGTACGAACCGAGGAGTGTGGCCAAATGGCGTTAACGTTGAGAGTTGTAAAACTTGTCCTTATTTTGTCTTTGGCTAACTAAGGTGTTTCCTTCAGGTTTACAAAGTTCCCTGATACATGATCCTAGATCACAATCCTTCTTTATTTCTCTTTTGCACCTGGCTTACCGCGCATAGTTTAGAATTTCAACTATTTATTTATAGAAATATTCATCGTACCCTCCTCACTCCAGCAAATTCTCACTGCTCGCGTAGCTAGTAGCTTATGGCTGCTTTGCAGTATGTACACAGTCATGGTGGCTAGGTCTGAGATTGAGAGGTTCTATTTCGATAGTAGGTGGGCAAGTGCTTTCGCTTGATGGAGAGGGACTAGGAATCGGAGCTTGCATCATCTCAATCTTGTAGCATTGTAAGGCGAGTATTAAAGATCATGTCCATATACATGCATGCATTCTCTACATCGCATGCTCACGATGAGCCTGGGTCGGCTGGTCATTCGCCTCAAGAGCCTTATCTCCTTGATCAATACTCACAGTTCTATCACCGTATCCGGCGAGCTCAGGATCAGCAGTCTTCTGCTGGACAAGCTGCGTGACGCCAAAAAGCTCATCCATTTTCTCGAGAGACAAGCCTAAAACCAACAATCAGTAAAAAGGAACGAAGAAGAACTGAAATTTCTCCAACTTACCCTTCGTCTCCGGGATGAAGAACCAGACAAATATGAACATCGAGAAGCAAAAGCAGGAGAAGATAATGTATGTTCTGTAATCGACGTTAGTAAAAAAGCATCACCACTTCACCCTAGCTAGTAACCCCGGCAGATCAAGGAAAGAACTTGAAAGCCGAAAGTAGATGAACTTACCCATATCCATTCGAACCAACCGTAGCTAGCATATTAGGCACAGCCCTCGCAACAACAAAGTTAAACAGCCACTGCGTCGCCGCCCCAAACGCAACATTCAACGACCGCAACCTCGCCGTCGGGATCTCAGAAACATAGATCCAGCAAACAGGACCCCAGCCGAATTGGAAAAACGCAGCGAAAAGGAATATACACACGAGCGCAACGTAGCCGGCCGGAATTACGGGGGCGCCTTCGACGGGCGGGGCGATGCGGATGTACAAGCCGATGTAGAGCATTGCTAGGCCTTGCGCGATGGATGTCCAGAGGAGTGAGCGGCGGCGACCGAGGGAGTCGGCGACGAAGATGAGGAATACGCCGCAGCTGACCATTTTCACGATGCCGTAAACACCGGTTGCGAAGAGGTTGGTTGCCGTGCCGACTATTCCTAGCTGTTGGTATTGGTTAGATTGTGCTTGGTGGGTGAGATTTCGGGGCATGGGGGAATCTGGAGCTTACATTCTTGACTGTAGAAAATTATTAGATTCAAGGTTCAAGAGAAGAGTATTTGGCACTTTAGAATGGAAGAGGGAGGACTCACAGATTTGCGGGCTATAGTAATTGATCGCATTAGTACCGGTCATCTGCTGGCAAATCATCAAAACGATGGAGATAATCGCGCGCTTCCGATTCCCGGGAATAAACCACATCTCCTTCATGATGTCCCAGAATCCAGAGCCAGCAATGAGAGCACGCTCCTGCTCCAACTGCAGAGCAATGGCTTGGAACTCTTCTTCCAGGTACGGATGATCTGCGGGCAGGTTGCGGACCTTGCAGAGGGTTGCGCGGGCCTCTTCCCATCTATCTTGCTTGGCGAGCCAACGGGGAGACTCATCGCAGAGAAGCATTCCAAAGAAGAGGAGGACAGCGGGGAGGCCTTGCATGGCTAGTGGGACGAGATACTGTGTGCTTCCGGTCATGTGCTGGACGGCTCCGTAGTTGATCCAGAAGGCGAGCATGATTCCCATAGTGATGAAGAGTTGGTATAGACCGGTTAGACCACCTCGGATTGCTCGAGGTGCGTTCTCAGAGACGTAGAGCGGGTTAATCATCGATGCGGATCCGACTCCGAATCCAGTGACCAGGCTGTAGGGATGTCGAGGTCAGGAGGGATCGTGTTTCGCAGGGGGGGGGACGATTGACATACCGTCCAATGTACATGGCCTCGAGATGACCACTCGCGGCGGTCTGCATAATAACACCAATGATACCAACCACGGCAGCTCCAATGAGCGCTTTCTTTCTGCCCCATTTATCGGCGCATGGGGAGGCTACCAGGGCACCGAAGAAACATCCAGCCTGGAGGGTGGAGACGATGTTGGCCGACAGATTTGCTTGACCAACTGGACCCAGACCTTCCAGTCCATATGTGCTATCGGAGGAGAAGTTGTCTTAGATACATTCAAGTTCTTGATACTGAGATCTGAGTAGGAAGGAGTGACTCACGCTTTGAATGGATCCATCGTTAGGACACCACCGATGATACCCGAGTCCATTCCAAAAAGCATTCCTCCACAGCATGCCTACATACGCCATTAGCGACGACATCACGGTCCTAGGAAAGATGGGACTCACCGAACACGCCAATGCGTACACTCTCCACCCATAGATCTCCTTGGGATCGGTTCTCATCGCCTCATTGTGAACGATCTTCTTCAGAATCCACGACATGGCAAGTGTGTATAAAGACCCCCCCAGAGGTCCTATATCAAAAGAAAAAAATGCAGATACAGCAAGAGAGGTTGAAGAAGAACGATATTGACTGCAAGGCAGGAAAGGAGCTCAGCCCAAGGCTATCCCGCGCATACGCAGACTATTTGAATCCCCCGACGGCAATAGGCAAGGAACACCAAGGCAGGACTGAGGGCGAGCAATGGATAACCGACGGGTACTGACTGATCGATCTAGCGACAAAGCGGGAGTCTTTTTTACACAAAAAAGAGCTCGAGCTCAAGCGAGACATGCGTTCCATATAAGAAGGTGTCACCCGAGCCCACACATTGTGGAAAGCTAAGCAGCTTGGCCCGCCCAAGAAACATCATGAGAGGTGGAAAGCGACACGAAACAAGGCGAGCAAAGACGGGGAAATCAATCCACGAATCCGGAGCGGTTCTGCATGGTCAATGTCATGCAAAGCCACTGAGTGAGCAGATGCCCAGAGCGCGGGAAAAATGCGTGATGCCAAGGGATAAAAGGACGAGGAGAAGGGGGGGACTGTGGACTGTCTGGTTTTCCCCAGCTTTCTACGTGAGCGGGGGTGTGGGGGTGGGGAATCGTTTAAGGTTGGCGAGGATAGTGGAGAATACCCTCAATGCGACTTCAAGAGAGTATCATCGGTCCCATTGGACTATGGGAGTACATGACTGGTCTCCGCGAGTGTGAACTAATTGGGTTAGATTTCAGCATTAGCCGGTCAACAGGCGATCCTTTCTTCGTTTGATGCTGTGGGGGTTTGCTGGAATTAGGGCTTGCTTGGCGGGTGAGACTGGGCGGAATCAGCCACTATACTACTATCTCTTGTGTGATGCAAAGATGTAGAAGTGCCGGCTGAGATTACTACTGGAACTAGTAGCATTGGCTTTCTCTTGCTTACTTGTCAGCGGATCGAGCGCTATATGTCAGGCGAATCAGTGTACACACCATCTCCCAAGGATGAAATGGGTTGATGGAAAAACGTGAGAAGGCTGATTATCTGCATACATCAACTCTAATTATAGCACCCGTAAGTACATGTAGTAGTATCTACTAGTTAATTCAATCAGTCAATGTTCTTAGGCTACTAGTAGTATAATAGGAGACTGGTAGACAGCAGATGCCTCGGTTGTGGCTAAATGGCTCGAATTTAGCCAGAATGATATGTCGATCGTTACCAGAGACAGATACCACCTGGCATTACTTGATGCCCATCAGCGTGTGCTACTAGTCGCCACAAACATTATCAAATTGGAGAGTATGATACAAATGTATTTATACACTAGGTACTCCGTACAATGCTAAAATATAGTACATGGTTTTGGGGTATCACATAATTAATGGCCACCGAGCATGTCTCCAAGGTATCGGGAAAGCTCCTGTATGGCAGGTTCGGTTGCTTCGTCTGTGCCAGCAAGACTGTGTTGCAGAATCTCAACCCAACGTTCAAAGGTTATCTCATGCAGTTTCTGGCCGTTCAAGACTTGGTGCACGCGGGTCGCTTGTTCAGAAGCAACAGTCTCATTCGAAGAAAACGATATGTCACTTTCAATGACAGCTCCATGTTTCAGGCGGAGGAAAGCACGTGTCTAGCGAATAGATGAGCATATATACGGAAGAAGGCTGTTTCTTTTGGCAAAGCTTACCGATGGGGGAAGTGAGGACGGAAGAGGTGGACGTTCACGGGGGTCGTCTTCGATGGGATATGTTGAGAAAGTGAACTGAGGAGTTTGCGTATATTTCCACTCCAATGACTGTGGGCGATGTTAGCTGTCGACTCTTGTTCCGCACACTAGTTCTTCCACTTACCCTCAGCTCGTCAACACCCTTCTTAATCCGCGGCTCCTGCTCCTCGTGGGCGTCACCTACTGTACCCGATACCCAGTCATCACCAGCAAAGATTTCCGGCTCCAAAGCACGAGCCCGTCGCGCCCGCAGGAGGGCATCGGAGTTTACCTCATAAAGACGCGCGAATTCCTCAATCACATTATCCATGACGGCCTGCATTGAGAAAAACGAGTCGGCCATGTCGCGCGAGACATTGCCGACGGGCGACCGAACACTATCCACGCCTCTCGCCTGAATGTGTCCACGGGCTGGAGAGCGCAAGAATCGACCCAAATCGTGGATATTGGGCGAATCCAACAAGCATGTCCCGTGGTGTAAAGCTCGGTGACGTGTGAGCTTGAAAGCAGATCCAGAGACCTTGCGCGCAGGAGGCTCATTGGGATCATTTTGTAGTTCTTCCCCTGGGGTCATGACGATATCGTGTCGTACATTAACGCTGGTGTTGACCGCTCCAGCGCGATGCAACGCGCGAACCACCATCTCCGCATGTTTATCTCGCGTAAAGGACGTTCGGGGTGAGATCACGCTGTAATTGAGATTCCCCTCGTCGTGGAAGACAGCTCCTCCGCCAGATCGTCGACGGACGTAAACGGCGGCATCGTCGTGTATATTTTTATTTTCGGGGCGGCGATCATTGTGTAGGGCGCGGAGATCGGTCTCTAGCCAGGGGTTTTGGTTGCGACCGATCACAACACATGGTCGGTTGATATAAAGGAAGAGGATACTGGAGTCGGCCGGGGCATTCTCTAGTAGGAAGTGCTCAATCGATAGATTGACGTAAGGGTCAGTCGATAGCGACTGATAGATCTGGTGGCGCGACGATGGGCGACTAGCGAGCTCGGCGAAGCGATGGATAGGATAGGAGGAATTGTAGCGGACCCATTGTGATCTGGCATTGAGCCGGGTTAAAGCGCAGGACCTGACCAGCATTGTAGCTGGGAGGAGTGTAATTGTCAAGAAATCCAACTTCCTAAGGTCAAGGTGTAAAAGAAGGAAGCAATGCGGAGCCGATAGTCGGGGCCGCTAGTCCCAAAAAGGCAACCATGAGTCGATTTTCTTTTGTCGCGTTCCACAAGTCTTCTTGCTTTTGCTTTTGCTTTTGGCCTGCAGCTGCTCTGAGTCAATTGCTCTTGGGCATTTCACATTTCTCCGATTTTCTCCTCCTTCTATTTTCTCATACACATTCATATCCCATCCGGCCCCAGTCCAATTCATCCGCCATCATGTCGACGTGGGGTGAACACTTCCGAGTCACCACGTATGATTACCCCTCCACAATTAACTCTCATCTTCGTCGCTGACTCTCGCCCAGCTATGGTGAATCGCACTGCCGATCTGTCGGCTGCATTGTCGATGGTGTTCCTCCTGGCATGCAACTCACCGAGGATGATATCCAGCCTCAAATGACACGCCGCCGCCCCGGCCAGAGTGCCTTGACTACCCCGCGGGACGAGAAGGACCGAGTCGAGATTCAGTCCGGCACAGAGTTTGGCGTCACACTCGGTACTCCCATTGGAATGCTGGTCCGTAATCAAGATCAGCGACCTAAGGACTACGGTGGCAGCACCATGGACCTCTACCCTCGTCCCAGCCATGCCGACTTCACCTATCTCGAGAAGTATGGCGTCAAGGCCAGCAGCGGTGGTGGTCGTAGCAGTGCCCGCGAGACCATTGGTAGGCCATTTATCATCCTGTCGATGCTGATCACATCAAACTAACCCAATCGATAGGCCGTGTCGCCGCTGGTGCCATCGCCGAGAAGTATCTGAAGCTGTCGCACGGCGTTGAGATCGTCTGCTTCGTCTCCTCCGTCGGCAACGAGTACCTCTACCCTCCCACCCCCGAACACCCTACCGCCTCTACCAACCCCGAATACCTCCAACTACTCGATACCATCACTCGCGAGAAGGTCGACGAGTTCGCACCCGTCCGCTGCCCCGATGCCGCTGCCTCCGAGCGCATGACCAAGGTGATCGAGCATTACCGCGACAACAACGACAGCATCGGCGGAACCGTCACCTGCGTGATCCGCAACGTCCCTGTCGGTCTGGGCGAGCCCTGCTTCGACAAGCTGGAGGCTAAGCTCGGTCATGCCATGCTCAGCATCCCCGCCACCAAGGGTTTCGAGATCGGCTCCGGTTTCGGCGGCTGCGAGGTTCCCGGCTCCATCCACAACGACCCCTTCACCACCGCGACCTCCTCCGACGGCACCCAGCGCCTGGTCACTAAGACTAACAACTCCGGTGGTATCCAGGGTGGTATCTCCAACGGCGCTTCCATCTACTTCCGCGTCGCTTTCAAGCCTCCTGCCACCATCGGCCAGGCCCAGACCACCGCCACCTACGACTTCGGCGAGGGTACCCTCGAGGCTAAGGGTCGTCACGACCCTTGCGTCGTCCCCCGCGCCGTCCCTATCGTCGAGGCCATGTCCTCGCTCGTCATTATGGATGCCCTCATGGCCCAGTATGCTCGCGAGAGCGCCAAGAACCGTCTCCCCCCTCTGTCCTCGACCCTGCCCACCAAGCCGACTACTGCTCCCAACGGTGCTTAGGCGTGCATGTGATGGGATAGATTTTATCTAAAAGCAGAAGTCTGTTATGGGCCATGAGAAGTTACATAGATATCATTTTGGTCGATTTTTAGTCTCGTTTCCCCCTACCCCCCTTTCCTTTCAGTTGCGATTTCACATTTTCGGATACATGTTTGGTCCTGAAGTATTCTCATTTTGGAGTTTGATATATCCTGTATAGCCGCGAGTTGGGCCGAAAACAAAATTATTGAATGGGAATGCATGAGCAATGAATCAATGAATACCTTTTTATTCGAGAAGCAGCACGATATCGGTCTCTTTTACGATCAACCGTAGTCTTATTACTAGTAGTTGCGGGTAGTCGACCGATAAGACCATTTAATGTCTTGAAATTCAGAACCAGATAATTCAATTTGTCCTCGAATCGTATCTAGAAAAGCGCTAACAGCCCCGGCACTCCACACGAGGCCCAGGCCAACTCAAACACCATAGGCTATGCAGCCATACAACACCCGTGGACTGCATCAAAATCATACCACAAGGTACCAATCCATTTGTACACAAAAACGATCGTCATCCGTAACCATAAGAGCATCTTGTACAATCATTCCGAAAAGGAAACAGTCATCAGGGAATCATCGCACGCTGAGAAAAGGCAAAGCCAAACATACAAGAGAAGTGAAAAAAAGAGGAAAACGAAATAAACGAAATGATAAAGAGAACCTGGAGACAAGCAAGCACTAAGAAGTGTGGTGTGGTCAGAGGCAAATTGGCAGGGGTGAAGAAAACACTTCGAGACACTTCATCTACCGACTAACAATCCGCGTGCCCGCACTAGCACCGCGACTAACAGAGCGCTCGGAGATGTTATCGCTAGCATTGCCATTCACGACTCGAAGCTTCTCCCGTGGAACGGTATATGTCATCTGAACATTACGGTCGTCGACCGCATCTTCAAGGTCCCAGTCCTCGTCACAGGTATCGTCGTTACCGAGATAACCCGGTGCACCGATGTAGAGATCATCACGAGTTGAGCGCGGTCCAGCAAAGTGTCCATCTGACATCCGTTTCTTCGCATTCCAGTCTCTAGCGCCCTGCTTGCGGCGGAAGAGTTCTGCTGAGGCACTAACGGCGCGACGGGGGGTACTTGTTCCACTTGCGCCGCCGGACTGGAGATTTGAAACGATGACGGTGCTTCGGCGATCGACGCCAGAGGCCAGGGGTGCAGATTCGTCTTCTTCCAGGCTGGTTGTTCCGCGGCGGGTTATTGTCAGTGCTCGACGGACGGTTTGCAGCATCCAGTCTGAAGTGCGAGGTTTGAATGCTGGGGCAAGTTTGGAGGGTGACGATTCGACGGGGGTGATGGGGGTGTCGATTGTTTCGTTGAGGAGGGATTCGTTCTCTGCTTGACGGTGGGAGAATGTGCTTTGGGCTGTTGAGTAGGAGTCTGCCGAGTAGGACTTTTCAGACGGTGCGGTCATTGGGTCGACGTCGCTGTTTGTCGTTTCTCTGCTGTGCGTTGAGGTTGCTGTAATGGAGTGTCCGCCACTGCTTGCCCAGCTTAAAGGGCGGTCCACGACGACTCCTTTTGCCTGGTTTACCTGGCCGGTGGGGTTGGCTGATGAGAAGGAGAAGTTTGATGAGTCTGATAGATTCGTCGAGGTCCTGTCACTCTTTGATGCATCGTCGACGGACCCGCCGTCCTTGCGTCGAGTATAGAATGGACCCAACCCGACGCCGAAGATTGTGCTTCGCGGAGTAGCGAAGGGTGTATCAGAGAACGGGTCATCGGGGTCATGTATCTTTGGCCTTTCCTGAGCGGGAATCGTTGACATCAACCGTTCTCTGAAAATGGCTTCATCTTCTTCTCGTTCGTCTATGGGATGGATATCACTGGCGGCTTCGCTTCGACGACGTTCCCATCCAGACATTCTGTTGTTGCTGTAAGAGCGCGGCTGGCCGACCGGGCGAGTGTTCCTGGTAGGACTGGAATCCATGAGCAGACCAGTCTGCTCTGCAGTAGCGTTACTTTGGTCTCGCGGCTTCCATGACGGCTTTGACCTGAGGCTTTCATTTCCTGACCACGAGTATGCGACACCGCTGTCGTGCCTCTCGCTCATTTGGGAACTGCGCATACTGCTCGCTTGGTTGGGATCATCGCGGCCCCAGAAATGGGCTCGTTCAGCTCCCAGGGCAAGTTCTCGGAGTTGTGAGTCCCGATGTCCTCGTACTCGGCGTTTGCGATCATATTTCCAAGCACAAAATACGATCAGGAGAATGATGGGAATACCTATTCCCAAGCCGACGCCTAGCCCAGCTTTCTGGCCGGAGGAGAGGCCGCCACTGTGAGACTTCGAGCTAGCTGATGAAGTTGATTGAGATGTGGAGGGGTTTGAGTAGGATTTCACCCAGCTGCTCGAGGTAACGTTGTAAAGGTAGATTTGAGAGTTGTGCTGCGATGAGGTGGCACGTTTGGAGGATTGTTTTGGGATACTGTATCCTCCAGCGATCATCAAGACATCTCCAGGGAGTAAGGCCGCAGAGTGCCCAAAGATTCCGGCCCCGTCAGCAATACCCAGTTCTTCGGAAGTAGTAGTTGAAGACGGAATTGTCCAAGTCCATGTGTCGGAGCCGCCATAACCTGCTCCAAGCTCGAGAACGGCGAATTGCGGCTCGGCCGGTGTAGAGGTATCTCCAACCCAACCTCCAATCACGTAGACCTTCTTCCCATCTTCAGATAGAACTGCGGCGTGACCAGACCGTGGCTCGACGGTATACGCATCACGAATCGCGAGCTCGGTCCGTAACTTACTTTCCGTATTCACGTCAACAAAGCTCCAGCTTTCTTGGGGGACAGAGAAGATGGCCAATTGCGACATGTTGAGGAAAGCTTGTTGAGTATGTCCACCAATAAACAGAAAGTCTCGCTGGACGTCCGTCGGGGAAAATGGAGGCGCCAGCGGAACAACCGCCATGCCCGCTTCGGGTACGGGAGGAGCGCGATCTCCAGTAATGGCAGCTTCATATTCCTTGCTTCCTTTGGACTTTGGCGCTAAAGTGGCCATTGTTTGGGAGTAATTTGCAGCCGATACCCAGGTCTCATCTGTACTGTTCGAGAATGGACACATCCCACCAAATGAGTATATCGAAGTGTCGCTGTTGTTGCTCGTCGCGAATGCGAATCCGGCGGCTAGGTAGTTCGGCTGTGTTTTCTTGTCGTCCGGGCTGATAGACAACTGATCCCAGGTTCCATTGCCAATGGAGCTGCTGTTGTCGGGTTTGAATCGCCATAATGATCTTTGACCTGCGCTATGACAGTCTCCAGTATAGACGGTAAGGATTCCTCGGTCGTCAATAGCTGGGATAAAGGTCGAATTTTGTTCCGTGCTATGGAAAGGCGTTTGCTCGAGCAAGGTGTTGAGGGACGGACTGCTCGTATTGACATCGGAGATGTTCAGAGAGAGGAACTGCGTCTTGCCCGTATCTGAGCTGGGGCGTAAGAGGTAGGCAAGCGAGTCATTATGTTTCGAAGATAGAAATAGCGAGGATGGAGTATATGGGATAGCTGTAGCGGAGTCGAGGAGAGCTAGTAAGAGCACGGTGGCCAGTGGCCTGCGCTTGACACGTCGACGTTCCATCGCGCCTGTAAATGTGAGACACAATCGATCAAGGAGAAGAATGCATTCCAGGATCGGCGATCATGGTGCCACGCGGTTGACAGGGTAAAAAGGGATGGATTGTAGCTCGGGGTTGGTATAGCTTGAATCTCTCTTGAGTTGAAAGGATTTCCTTTTTTTTCTCCTTCCAAATTAGAGGACAGAAAGGAAGGGGCGAGAACGTGGAACCAGGTGTGATCGGCCGAAGTTCAGAAGTGCAGTCCGAGGTGGATGTAAACACTAAAGCACTTCCACTAAACACGGCCTGGACCTTGGGCGGGTGGAGTCACCAATCACCCATGCTGGTTGCCTATTTCCAGATAAAATATACTACATTAATTTATTATTGGTTAGCTGACTAGAAATGTGGGAGAACAAAATAGAGTGCCGAGTGATCGATCTGCATCTCAGAGTCAAATGGTTGGTGAGATCATCCGGTTGTCCCAGCAACGCCTCACAACAGTGGCGCCGCCACGCAATCGCCCACCCACGAGACTGCGAGAAACTGGGAGGCGGGGGCTTGGAGGGGGCTGGATAATGGAATGAGTCGGGGAGTATCCCTAGAACATGATCAAGACGCACAGACTAGTAACTGACAAAGCGTTGACATTCAATTAACGAGATTTCAATCTGGATATTGATCCCTGGTGGGTCTGGTTAGAGGATCTATATCTCTTGTGGTTAGCACGCTGCACTGACGTTGGTTTCAATCAGTTTAAATTAAATGGTGGCAGGTTCTCGCTTGCCCTTATCGTCAATATGCCCAGCGTTACACAGAGAGGCTAACAGAGAGGCTAACAGAGAGCTCGATTCTTTCCAAGGTTCTCGCAAAGAATAGATTGAATGACGGTATCAAAATCCACTATTCCCTCCGTATCTGGTGCAACCCACCACCTGATCAACTGACACCAGCTCAAAACTACTAACTGGCTATGGCTGCAAACCTAGGATTTCTCTTGGGTGGCTTCAAAGTATGTGGCGAATTCCACCCCCGATTGAGCATCGCATGTCACGAGTCAAGCCTCCCGTTCTCTTGTCGAGGTGGCATTTTGAATCTCTCCGAGTTGATCTGCGATAGAGGTCATTCATTGAAACTGAATGCGGGTGTATACTGGATTTAATTTGACAGATGTGCTAGCATCAAAGACCTCAGCCTAATTACAATAATCCCCTCCGAATTTTCTGGCCTTGACGACAACAACAACATTGCTATGGCAGCCAAGATAGAGGCTTCCAGTATGGCAAATCTCCCAAGGACTACTAGTAGCTTCTGAAAAGGCGAAAAGGAATGGAAAAGAAAAATCCCGGATTCCATTCTGACGCGGACAATTGATCGAGTATGGGATCCACTGCTACGCGTTCATTGTTGGGACACATTGTAGTAAACTGTTGAGTACTGATGCCAGCTGGATTGATCTTTTGCAGATGATTTCTTCACTTTTTGTCGCTTGGGAGATTAACAAGGTCTCCGTAAGAGTTGCCGAGATTTGAACTTATACTAGACGATCTTTTGCACATGCTAGTGCTAACCCTTGGAACAGTCTAGTAGCCACCGATTACTGAAGACTCTGCCTTCTTTTACCCTGCTTAACATGATATTTAGGATTGAATATTTCTGGTTGGAGAGAATGATCCGATCCTTTAACAACCAAATTTTGATTCTGGAGAATGGCGAAAGTTGCTTGGGCTTGGTGGGTCCGTGAGGGGTATGTGCGATGGCTTGACCAGCATATGGTGGAAGCCTCCGAGAGGGGCTGCCACTTGACTTTCTAACCTCGGCGGAGAGAGATCACGGTAAGTGCTAGATTGGTCATTGAACGGCTTGCTTGCTTGAAACAGTGGAAATCATTTTCATTTCCAAAGTGCAATGGCCGCAGCATCATCTACTGGGAACCGACAAATATCCCGGAGTCGCTCAAGGGTGGTGTGCCAGAGATGTCATGCACGTAAAGTCAAATGTGACTTGCTTCTGCACCTCCGCGATAGAGGAATCTGCACAAACTGTGAAAAACGCGCCGAAATATGCCGAAAAAGAGAACATCCGAAGTCATCAAAGCCCCAGCCGCGCCGGAAATCCCAAGTCCCTGTGGTGACTCCTGGCCTTTCGTCGCAGGACAGTGTGGGGACAAACTCGCCATCGGCCTCGTTAATACAGGATGAGGAGATCTCCCGTCTCCCCGAACGAGTTCCAGGCTCCGCTATTCCAGTTCATTCGTCACCGGCCACTTCAGACAATCAAGGCTATATAGGAGAGTTCTCTGTACTATCTACCCAAGGCCCACTTTCTTGCGAAACTCCAGCTGTAGTTGGGGCTCTATCCAAATCGATCGAGGTACAAATTCAGACATCGACAGGAGCTGATCAACTACCCCCTAGACTAATGACTGAAGCCCTGGGTTCTTTATATTTCAAATACTTGTATCATCGAATCCCAGTGGTGGACCATCAAGACGTTGCCTTTGTGGGCTCCTCGACCCTTCTTCAGCAATCTCTCTGCTTGGCTGGATCTGTTCTCCGTCACCCAAAATCAACAAAAAGTCTTGTCGAAAGCGAAAAATTTTATGCGAGAGCCAAGGTCCTCTTTTACTCAAACCATGAGCATGACCCACTTACTATACTCAAGGCCGTATGCCTCCTAACTCTATGGACTGTGACACCCCCCGCTGTTGTGACTATTGATTCCGGCTGGAGCTGGCTTGGACTCGCCATTCGGTTTGCGTTCCAGATCGGACTTCATAAAGAGTCAACATACCCCCAGAGATCCTCACCGGGCTGTGCTCGTCGCATAGCCTGGTTCCTGTATGCACAAGACAAGTTGCATACAATTTGTTTCGGGCGGCCGCAAATGATCCAACTACAAGACTTTGACCTACGACCACCTTCGGTAACCGACTTCGAGAACCCTGAAGATGGACAAGCTCTTCAGTTTGTTCTTTACACAAAGTTGATGATGATATTAGCACAGATGTTGCCTCTCCAGCAGCGTGATCCGGCGGCAACTTCCGAAAAAGCCCTCGTGATTATCTCGGATCTCAAAGAGTGGGTTGGAAATATGATTTTGGATCTTCATATCTTTGATCATTCAGGAAGACTGATATACGACCGAGCTCTCTATGAGATTCTCACTTGGTATTTTACTTGCGTTATATCATTTTTTCATGTGCATGGCAGATTCTTTCATCCTTCGGTCATATCTACAATAACCCTCGTGGCGTCTTCTTGTATTATTCGCCTATATCAAGAAATGGACTATCGGGATGAAATCAACTACCTCATGCCTATCAACAACTGGTCCATGATGGTAGCCTCTCTCCCACAGTTAAGTAGCCTACGCCATGAAAACAATGCAGTCACAAGCGCAGAGCACGATTCAGGCATTGACCCTTTATCCCTCGAGGAACTGGATATTCTCCTCGAAATTATGGCTGAGAGAACAATAAAGTTCCCTGGGGCAGGAGCCGTGCTTGCAAAAATAAGAAGATTCAGAGCCGAAATCGTGTCCCAGGGTGTCTCCTCCAATGCTTTATTCGGGATACATGAACCCATCAAAAACCCCTGGCCATGGAATGAGAGAGCATATGTGACGATACCAGAAATTCCCGAATTGTTCCCATTCCCAAAGGAAATAAGTCCAAGGATGGATTTACTTTACACGATGGAAGTGGATGAATTTCCGACTGGACTTTTTGAGAATTTCACGGACTGGTCGATTGAGAACTTCTTCAATCTGGACGACTTCAACCCCTGTCCCTAAATTGCACGAAACTATTTGAACTCATTTTTATGGCTCTGAACTACAAAACCGTCTCGAAATATACTCAAAGATTGTTAAAATATGTGATCAAATTGCGATTTCTCTTCTGAAACAACTTGGAACTTGAATTATCAAGCGATATACATGAACATCACTGAATCAAGTTTACAACATCGATTTCGTTGGCCCAGGAATGGCCTTCATAAACTCCAAACGAGGGTACTCGTAAGCCTTGGTCATCATCTCCTTCTTAGCACCATACCACCTCAGCGTGATCGACATCTTCCCCCCTCCCGCCGGGGACGGCAACCAATTATTTCTCCATTTATTTGGCGGCTTAATGTCTGCAGGCTGCATCAAAATAAAAAACTCGCCATCCTTGCCTTTTTCACTTAGTGAAGTTCCGTCCGGAAATGTCATGTTATCACGGTCTCCAAGACAATACCGATTGATATCATTGGGAACAAGATATTGCTCAGCATCATATGCTGTCAGACTCCAGAATCCTGTCTTTACTAGAACCGGTTTCCGAGAAAATCGTAGCAAAACTGCCTCGTCTGGCTTGAGTTTCAGAGCCCGAGAGAGCGATGGGTAGATGGCCTGATCACTCGTCAAAGCCAGGTAGCCCCGCTTGGCAATTGAATACCTTGCCGCATAGTGTGAGCCAAAGTTTCCAAGATACTCGGGATACGCAGAGCTCCAGCCATTTCCATGGTTGAGGCTACCTCCAGCTGCATCGAGAAGAGCCTGGGCTTTCTTTTCAGCGGTGTCACACACATGTGAGATATCAGCTCCGTTAAAACAATTGAAGACACCGTTCTCCATGCCACTTCGCTTTAGAGCGAGAGAAATCCACTTTCTGTCCTCTAGTATCGGAGACAGATTATGTGGCGCAAGCTTAGCAGTCAGGCGCATCACGGCGTCGGCAACAGAGACTTCTTCAGAAGCACTGTTTTCAGGGGCCGTGAAAATAGATAGCTGGAAGGGAGGCGCAACAGACTTAGTTCGTGGAATACAAACGAGTCGAATCTGGTTCTGATATTTGTTCACAAGACTTTGGTCTGAGATTGACTGGTCCGTTGCGAAACGCGCGATGGATATGCCGTACGGTGTGGGGAGATTGGCGTATCCTTCGTAGTCCGCTCCCAATGGCAAACCAATGTGAAGACCGAATTCTGTATCAGAGAAGCGGATCAACCACTTTCCTGGGCGATGGCCCTGAAGGCTACTAATGTTGGCAATATCGTTACCATACCTGGTGTATAGTCATCAGTAGGCTAAAGCCCGTACAATATTCAAGGAATACGAACATGTCATAAAATGAATAGCACCAATAGCGTTCTTCAATCTTGGGGATCTCAATTTGAATATCATGCGACGAAATATCCATGAAAATAGTTGTATAAAGCGTATCAGAGTTAGGCCTTATCACTTGACGATCTTTAGATGTCGATAGTCGTCGGCCATGGCTCAGCTTGTTTGTAGTGGGGTTTGGCATTTGAGCTACAAACTTTCCGTATTCGATTAGAGGGTAGCCATACTGTATATTGTCAGCCATTAAAGCCGCTTTATATTTGGGTAACTCTTGAATGTCTGTACCATGTAGGCAAAATCCAGTGCCAGCTGCTTGTCCTTGGGGTCGTGAATTGTGGAGCCAGACATTTTGCTTGGATTTAGTGGTGGAAACCTTAAAGAAGAAAATATGAGCGCCTTCGGAGGAACTTGAAGTATACAATAGCCTTGGAATCTGACACTCGAGTGATATTTGATGCCATCATGAGATCCCATGGATAATACTATATAATGTTTTCGGCATCTTCGAATTCGCTGAATTGGTGAATACTACCGAGCATTCTTTATCCTCACCGAGATTTTCAGCAGGCTAGTAGCTACCAAGCCAAAACTATCGAGTTTGAGTTTGGATAATGGGGTAGAAATGCGGGGGAGATATTGGAGACTTCCGTTTCGGCGAGAACGCTTCTTGTACGACTACCGAGCTTGCCGAGACGCGACATGAAAAAGTCCGGAGGTGACACATTTATTCATTTTCCGCCCCCAGTCCAGAGAAGATCTTCACCTCGTCCCCAATAAGCAATCCAGAGTACGCAGTATGAAGACAAATAATCCAGATACCGAAAAAGCAATGACCGACCACCTCGAGAAGGCCATTCTGGCATCGCACGAGTCGAATGGGGATGAACTTTCGCCATCCGAGGAAAAGAAAATTATTCGAAAAATTGATCGCCGCTTGATCACTGCACTCGGACTCATGTTTGCGGTGTCTTTGATGGACCGAACTAACCTTGCCTCTGCAAATATTGCTGGAATGGCTAAGGAGCTCGAACTGGATCAAGGATTTCGCTATGTAAGTGATCATTTGATTATATGGGAAGGGAAAACAAGCTAAATTTCAAAGTCACTGAGCATCATTATGTTTTTTGTTCCGCATGTTATGTGCCAATGGCCCAGTGCTATCCTTGTGCAGAAAGTAGGCCCTCGTATCTTTCTACCGGGTGCTGTGCTCCTATGGGGAATTATAATGCTCTGTTTTGGCTTCGTAAAAAACTGGAAACAGCTTGTTGCCCTTCGAGTACTTGTTGGCATTTTTGAGGCCGGATTGCTTCCTGGAACGATTCTTCTCTTGCAAATGTGGTACCGCCGCTGTAAGTCTTCTTCGATTCGCATATTTGTATCGCAATTAATACATCGCAGATGACGTACATAAACGATATGCGTCTTTCTATTTGATCAGTCTAGCAGGTTCCTCCTTTTCAGGCGTTCTTGCCTATGGATTTATGCAGATGAATGGCATTGGAGGTTTGTCGGGGTGGAGGTACATTTTTATCTGGGAGGGGGTTCTGACGTGTTTAATTGGGATAATTGGTGCATTATTGATTGTCGACTTCCCCCAGAAAGCGCAAAATAGTTGGAAGTTCCTCAGTCCCCAAGAGATCAAACACATCATTCGAATCCTCGAAAACGACCGACCGGACGTTAAAGAAGAGCCGTTCAGCTTGCGCCGCTTTTTGACGCCTGCGCTGGATCTGAAGATTTGGGTGTATTGTTTCATTTTCTAGTAAGTTGTGAATTGACGATATAGAAAGCTAGAATGCCCTGTACTGACTGAGTCCAAGTGCTAACACAGTAATTGCGTATGCGATAGCGTTCTTTTTACCAATTATTCTAAACAAAGAAATGGGATTCGACGTCGGTATATCACAAGTGCTCAGCACTCCGCCTTATTTGTTTGCTGCAGCATTCATGTTCTTCGAGGGCTGGCTGGGGGATAAATACCGCTCTCGGGGTCCTTTGATTATATGGAACTGTCTGCAGAGTATTTGCGGCTTGTGTCTTATGGCCTGGACCAACTCATCGGGGATCCAGTACTTCGGTGTTTTTCTTGTCACTGCAGCTTCACAAAGTTCGCTCCCTTGCGTGATGGCATGGCAGGCAAACAATATCTGTGGGCAATGGAAGCGATCTTTTTCAAGTGCCAGCATGGTGATATTTGGTGGCACAGGCGGCATTACGGGCGCATTGGTCTTTAGATCTCAGGATGCTCCGAAATATCTTCCTGGCATATATGCTTGCCTGACGTGAGTTTTAAAATAATTTCCCGATGGTTCTCACTAACAAAATATTCTTAGTTGCTGCGCCCTCACTCTGATACTAGTGGGGGGGTCTTTCTGTACATCTTAACAGGCTAAATAGAAAAGCTTCAAATTCTCAAGAAGAAAGCGCCCTTGAAGAAGTACCGGGATTCCAATATACTCTATAGGGATTTCTGGGCCAAATAGCTTTTATCTCCTACATAGCTTAAATGCGACGCTTTCCAATCAAATACTAGCTCCTTGAGTTCGAATCGGACTTAATAGTATACCAATTTCTATCACGATTAAAATCTATTGAAAGCCCGACTTCCGTAGAATCCTGCCAATCCCGTCCATATCTAAACGCCTTGAAATCTTTGTCTCCAGCGAGTTGTGACACAATTTCAAGTGTGATTAGAGCCCGTAATTCCTTTTTTGACTTGGAATATTGTCATAGACAATCTTGAAGAGCAAAGTGATAATTTCCCCACGCTTCTGATAAATTTCACAGGCCGCTTTTACGACTTCGAAATAACCTTAAGCTGTACATACTCTACCTGGGTAGCCATAGTTCCGAGCTTGCCGAGGATGCCGAATTTACCGAAATACTTCATGGCGTGTGGTCTCTCGAAAACAGCAAGTAGATGCCGATAAATCAATGTCTAAGAGAAACTAGTCAAATAAATTGATATAAATTTCTATTCATCTAGTCTCTAGAGGTACCCGGTTTTATTGAGAGCAATTTACATCCTACAAAACCATATTACCTATCTTCACTACCATGGCGAGCGAATTCCCCGGGCCCGAGGTTCTGTGGCAGCCGTCGCAGCGGAAGGGCAAAATAGCCATGGATGAATACCGTCATCACGTCAACGAGAAATTCGGAAAAAATATGCAGGATACAAAAGCTCTGCATCAGTGGTCTATTGAGGAGCCGCACGATTTCTGGATTGATATATACTCCTATTTAGACCTTACGCCTCCCCTTCCTTCAACCACTAAGATCGCCTACGATGAGAGCTTACCCTTAAGTTCTATTCCAGAGTTCTTCGCAGGACATGAGATCAACTATGCAGAAAATGCGATTTTCTCAAATCCCAATCCGGATGCGCTCGCTTTGATTGGAATTCGCGAAGGCCAGAATATTTACGGAAGCGAGGCACACCTTGTTACTTGGAGGGACTTTCGCGAAAGGGTCAGAAAAACTGCCAGTGCGCTTAAGAACAGTGGTATCAAACGAGGAGACCGAGTTGCGGCTATCGTCGCGACATCCCCTTGGGCTGTTGTTCTATTTCATGCTGCTGCATCGATGGGGGCTATATTCACATCTATAAGCCCCGAACTTGGGGCCGAAGGATGTATTACAAGACTTAAACAGATCACGCCAAGCATCCTGTTTTTTGACAGCCACTCTATCTATCGAGGCAAAGCAGTGTCTACCGTGCCAAAGATTCATAGGGTTGCTGCCCAGCTTCAACCTCGGCTTCAATTATACGTTGTACCAATCACGCTGGGCTGTGAAGAGAAAAGATTTGCCAGCCTGAATTCATTTTTTGAAAGATCAAGCACATCGGACGAATTGACTTTTGAAAGAGTTCCATTCAACTATCCTTTGATGATATGTTATTCCTCGGGCACAACTGGAGCCCCGAAATGCATTGTTCACCAACACGGGATTGTTCTTCAATCCAAGAAAATTTCGGTTCTCCACAACTGCTTGACTTTAAACGACACGGTCATGCAGTATACTAGCACGTCGTGGGTTGCCTTTTACGGCATGTGCGGCCACTTGACAGCCGGTTCAACTCTTGTTGTTTATAACGGAAGCCCCTTGTTCCCAGATGCGACACAAATGCTTCGCATATGCGATAGATTTAAGCTCACATTTATGGGTGTTTCTCCGCGCTTGCTCTTGGAGATAGAAGCTTCTGGTGCAGTCCCCAAACGCGATTTTGATATCTCAAAGCTCAAAACCGTCCATACTACTGGCGCACCTCTCTCTCACGAGCAGTATAGGTGGTTCTATAGGGCATTCCCTCCAGACGTGCAGATATGCAATATTGCTGGTGGCACTGAGACTGGTACACATGTCATCGCGATGGATCCATCAGGCCCTCTCCATGCAGGTGAAATGCAGGTTCTCGGTCTTGGAACAGATGTGGATATCGTCGATCCAGAGACTGGTCAATCTATCGCAGATACGGGCGAGGCTGGAGAAATGATTATGAGAAAGCCATTTCCCAGTATGCCATGCTTCTTCTGGGGTGATAAAAGTGGCAGATTATACAAAGCGGCATACTTTGAGCGCTTTCCGAACATAGATGTTTGGGCGCAGCATGACTGGCTAAGGAGAAATCCAAGGACCGGAGGCTATGTCATGCATGGAAGAAGTGATGCTGTTCTCAGTAAGTTTGCTTTCGCTGGTTATCTGGAGGTAATGGACTGATAAACATAGATCCTTCCGGCATACGATTCGGCAGCGGCGAAATATACGCGATTGTTGAGGCACAACCATTCACCGACTATTTCAGCAACTGCCTTTGCGTCGGGCGTCGTAGATCAAATGACACGGACGAACAGGTATTCCTCTTTTTACTCATGAAGCCTAAATGCTTCTTGACTCAAACTTTCCGCAATGAAATCAAAACCGCGATTCGAAATGGGTTGTCACCAAGACATGTACCGAGATTTGTACTGTCAGTGCCTGATATACCCATGACTATCAACGGTAAACGAGTGGAAATAGCCGTGAAGCAAATCATCAGTGGCCAAGAGGTCAAGGTCAGTGCCACAGTGCAAAACCCTGAGACATTGGAAGCGTTCAAACGTTTTCGAGCCATAGAAAGTGATGACCAGGATGGAGCTCGTCTTTAGTCATTTAGACGCGCCTCATGTTTAGTTCAAATGAGTATGAAAATCTTTTATCCAAGAATCGCTGCAACAAGCTTTACTTGACTTTTCTTCGAGACTACTGTGGAAAAGGCAAAAAGAAAAAGATAAGATCTGTTTTCTGTTTTCGGAATACCGGATCCCTGAAGAAAACGTGATTCAGACAAGGTCGTTGTCCTTTGGATATTATACAGGTTTGGTGTATATGTACAAGGCACTCCGTCTCCTATTGTTGTGCCATTCAGGATGTTCGGAGGTGGCATTTGGAGTTGTCTTTCTCCTTCATAAGGCCGAAAGCTGTCAAATTGCTGAAATATGCGTCGTTCGGGAATTCGAAGCAACTGGGCAGAAACTTTGTCGCGATGAAGCAGTAGATAGACATGTCTTTGTAGAGGTTTGTAGAAGAGCATTTCCAGATCTGCTCGTCTCTACTTTGATGCCTCATCCGAGGTTTGGTGTTTATGATTGATTGTGTTCAATGAAGACGCCTCTCCGAATCATAGCAATTTCTGCCTATAAGGGTCAGACGACTGAGGGCATTCGTAATGTGTGTATCTCCGAGACCAAGTCGGCAGTGGTGGCTTGGCGAACATATACTTGTTCATGAACCAGGTCTGGAAAGTTGCAATATTGGTACTAGAGATCCAGTAGATCAGGAGCGCGGTCGGCATCTCATAGAAATATGTTGTAGCTCCGACATTCACCGCCAGGACCTGCATGAATATGCGCAACCCGCCCCAGAAACTATTTTGGAGCATCTGTAATTTTGGCATATCTGCCAGCTCCTTGCGCGATGTTTTATGCCATCCGTTGCGGATGTTGAGTATTATTGAAGCCGAGAGAAGCACCGGTAAAGCGCCCGTGGGGTCACCTGCCAACAGATCCGGAAACCACAATGCACCCTCGGTTGCGAATGTTGGTTCGATAGTCAAATGCAAGTGCTCAGCGCCATCTTTTTCAGAGGACATTAATGAGAGCAGCCATGGGACTAATCCATTTTGGTTCCCACACATCCCGCGCACACTCTCCATCAAGCTAATCCAGACCGGGATCTGAATGAGAGTGGCGACGCGGGCGAAGGGTGAAACATTCCATTTATTTCGCAATGTTTGATGTCTCATCTTGATCACTTTTGAGGCCTGAGATTTTGTGAGGCCGTCTTTTTGTCCCGACTTCATGACAATACCCGCCCAGCTGTTTGCTAGCGGTGCAATTTCAGCTTCTCGGCGTGCATGGATTTTTGTATAGATATGAAGTGGTAGTCCAACGCATGTTCGTACAATCAGTGCTGTGAGAGGAATTGATGCGACCCAGGGAAGGTGGGAGAGGGAATGAACGCCATGGAGGAAGCTTGCGGAGCAGTCGAGAATATCGTTGATGCTGCGGGTGGGCTTGGACGGATGGAAATGTCGAATTTGCGAGGACGCTGACGATGGGTATCTTTGGGGCCTCAAGGGCACTGAGGGCCGCAAGACCCGTGAGCGAACGGAATTCATTGTGAGGTAGAATAATGTCGAGAGAAAGAGTAAAGTTCAACTTCAGAAGTTCCCAAAGCTCCGCGGAAGTCAAAGCGGGTCATCTGGTCATCACATGATCCGCGTATGTAAGTTACGCTGGAGGCAACACGTCAACTGATGCCGTTTGTTGACTTTGAACTTCTCCAACTTCTCTTCTCCTATGGTACTATGCGCATTCCTTAGTGACACTTGAGATCATGGCCTTCCTGTCCAACGCCATTCTCGTTATTTTCGTCTTAGTCGTCACCGCGATCTTCCTGCCGCAACTCTCGGGGAGTGTGCTTGGCCTCGTCTTCCGCGGTGTGGGCTGGCTGATTCGCCGACGAACCCGTTCTCGCCGTGAATATGTGGTCGCGCGGGCGCGATCTGAGGAGGAGGAACATCGGGCGCCACGCCCAAAGGCCTCGTCCAACTCTCTGGGCCGGAATCAGGCCGAGGACGAGGACTGGGAGAAGGTAGATAGCTCCGGCCCTGGTGGGGTTAACACTACGAGCAGCAGCGATACCGATGCAAGTGGGGATGATGAGTGGGATGGTATCATCGGATTTTTCCATCCATTTTGGTACGGCCACTCTGCTTTTGAAACTTTCTTTCCCTGGAACTCCTTGCTTACCACCTTTATAGTAATGCAGGCGGAGGCGGCGAACGAGTGCTTTGGGAGGCAGTACGCGCAACACAAAAGCGCTGGCCCAAGGCAATTTGCGCAATCTATACTGGAGACCATGAGGTGAACAAGGCGACTATGTTGGAACGGGTTGAGAATCGATTTAACATCCACTTGCATACCCCCACGGTTGTGCTACTCTACTTGACAACACGCAAGTATGTTGTTGCCAGCTCATATCCATATATGACACTGCTCGGTCAGTCTCTGGGCTCGCTGGTAGTCGCCTACGATGCGTTTACCCTCCTTGTTCCCGATGTGTTCGTCGACACCATGGGCTACGCTTTCACTCTCGCGATGTGCAAGTGGCTCTTCCCAAGCGTACCCACTGGCGCCTACGTCCATTATCCTACCATTTCGACCGACATGCTCAACTCCCTGGATGACAAAACCGGCGTCCAGGGCATCAACTCTGGTGCTGGCAAGGGTCTGAAGGGTACTGTCAAGCGCCGATACTGGCAGCTTTTTGCGCTGCTTTACGGTTGGGTTGGCCGACACATAGATGTTGTGATGTGTAACTCTTCTTGGACAGCTGCCCATATCCGCACCATCTGGGGTAGAGACAAGGCGGTTACCACCACGAGTGAGGGAACTGCCTCATCACCAGCAGTTGTCTTCCCCCCGACAGCCGTCGCAGAGCTAGAATCAACAATCACAGTCGACGCCCAAAGTGAGAAAACACGCCAACCCGTACTCCTCTACATCGCACAGTTCCGACCAGAAAAGAACCACCCGTTGGTTCTGCGCTCATTTGCACGCTTCCTTCAAGAGCGCAACAACAACCCCGCTTACGCAAATATCCCCAAACCCCGCCTGGTTCTGATCGGCTCGGTCCGCCACGCCAGCCCCGACGAAACCCACATCTACAACCTACGCCTTTTGGCCCATGAACTCCGCATCCGCGACCAGACTACTTTCCTCTGTGACGCGAGCTGGCCTGCTGTACTCTCACACCTTAGCACCGCCTCCGTTGGCGTGAATGGCATGTGGAACGAGCACTTCGGCATCTGTGTCGTAGAATACCAAGCCGCTGGATTGATCTGCGTCACGCATGACTCCGGCGGTCCGCGCGAAGACATCGTAATTGACCTCGGCGACGGAGCGACGGGCTTCCGCGCCGAGACAGAGGAGCAGTTCGCTGCTGCTTTTGAGGCGGCGCTGGCGCTTCCGGAGGCGGAGAAAGTCGCTATGAGGCAACGGGCCCGGCGCTCAGCACTTCGGTTTACGGAAGAGGAGTTTTCGCAGAAATGGCTTGGTCAGATCACTAAGCTTGTTCAGGCCACTCGCTAGTCAATGATGCGGGAGATTGTCATTTTTACTGCCTTTAGAAGAAATCCCTACGCTACGCTTTTCGCTCGTTGTTCACTGTTGCTTATTATAAGTTGCGGTCCTGTAAATAGCCCGTTCGAGTTGATTCGAAGTTTCTAGGTTATTATACCATTCTACAGTCTCTGAAACTATCATACGCCACGCTTGGTGATATAAACCGTTTGGATAAAACCAAGGCCCCGTGGACTCGATTTATTAACCACCTTGGAAGGCCACTCCCATCACCCCACATTTTAACCTTGGTCTACTGCTTTCCATTCATTCCGTCACCCAGTTCACCAAATCTGCATAATCCGCATCGGAGGAGCAGATGGCATAGACATCACTTCACCTTTCAAGCCATTTCTGGGAAAGGGAAAAAGAAAAAGCGAAACAAAAATCATCTAGTTGCTACTAGTATAAGTAGCGGTTGAGAAGTTCAAGTCACCTCCATGTGAAGTTTCATGAAGAATGCAAATCACAACGTGTCTCCTCGAATTTTCACGCCCAATGGGGCATTGAATGGAATACCTAGGTACTCCGTGCGCTAACCAAAGTGATTTCCCCACCACGATCCCTTCAATATCATTAAAGGATGCCCTGAAGGAAGCATAGTCAGGTTTATAATTTAAATCGCATGAACGTGCGCCGGGTCTTGAGTCTTCTCCAGTTTAGCGCTCGTTGCTAGAAACTCTGCAGATGAATGCAGATGAATGCAGGAGCTCGTTCCTCCACGCCAGCATGGATAATACACCCACGACAGCGGCGGGCAATATATTGCAAAGGGGATAGACGAAATCATAAGCACCTGGGCACCTAATCTCAGAAAGGCAGACATAGTTCAAAATTTCCAACGTTGCATCAAAGTGAAGCCTGATCGGTAACTTGAACTTGAACCACCTGGGCAGGTGGGCACACTCGTAGGACATTCTCGATCCGAGTCGGTGCTAGCCAGTAGGTAGGTATATACTACTATCTTTTGCTTTCAAAAGTTTCTTTCCTCACTACTAACTACCTAGGTACTAGTTAGTAGTAGTAACTTCCAAGGGTTTTTGGCCTCAACCTCATTACGACTTAATACTACTTAGAATATCTGTGCGTTCTTACTTGAATTTGCCATATGCTGCTAACATAATACTACCAGTAGCAATCTAGATAGAATCATCTCACGTTCGTTCCTTACCTCGGTAGTCGCTTTTGAAATCAAGGCCATAGATGTTGTCAAGCCCCACCTCCTCGAGAAAATCTTTCATAAACTGCGGAAGAAAGGGGGCGAAAGAATTCAAATCAGCTTGATCGTGGTTGCTGGCAATCCCAAGTGATTCACAAAGCGCTTTGTCAATCATCGACTCGCACCAATCGCTGAATGAGTAAACAAAGCTAGTCTCACGTTGTCCACGTATCGTCTTCAACTCATCCAGTAGTTCTCTTTGGGCGTAGTCTGCTTCTGCAAGGAGAAACTTTGACATACAGGTTCGCCGATACTCGAACATATCTCTCATGAGGGTCTTCTGGAGATGGCACAATTGAGCAAATAATTCCACTGGAGGTTCTGGCGAGCGTGATATCATCTGCTCCAGACACCAAGCCTCAGTCGCATAGTCAGCTATTTCACGTGCGGCCTGGAGCGTGGATTCCAAAAGCGTTCCAGATTGCTGTTTTGATTGCCCATACATGACCCACCACGTCGGATTCTCGGATTTTATCGGCACGTATATTGGAAGGGCGCCTTTCATGATTTTCAAACCTAGAAAGCCTTCCTCTTTGAGACGATCCTCCGTGGCCAGCTTCATCCTTTGTAAATCCTCCTCAGCCAGCACCCAATGCATGTATGGCCGAGATTTGACCATCTGCTGATTATTCTCTTTCAAGCAGGTTGCTACCGTACACGCATTCTGTAAGCACCGCTCTGCGGCTTGGATATCCTGCTCATTTGGTAGAAGCGAGGTCAACCCTCTTGCGGTACTAACCAAAATATCAAGAATGGCGAGATAGGTCGATAAATCATACTCCTCCACGTTCCAGTCAGCGTAAAGCTGGGTGAATGCGTCTCGGGAATAGATATCGGCGTTGAAGATCCATTGCCATGTGTTTACAGGACGGTCAGATTCTACCAGTGCAACTATCAGGTCCCTAGCGTCCCATATCCGATCTTGGACCACAAGCGTTTTGTACAAAGAGCAGCAGTTGGACCACATATCAAAGCAGTGCTCAGGGACTAGATCTGTTTCTTGCTCGACGAGAAATAGGATCTTGAGCGCGTATAGTGCAACCTATAGATAGACTAAGTCAATATATCCCGTCTGACATGGCTCGAGGCTCTTACTCCTGGAGGCTCCCAAACCATGGCAGAAAGACTTTCGCCTGGCATCGAACGAATAGCGTTCCCCACAGACAGCACCTGGTCGTACGCCTCTTTCAATCTGCCGTGAGTGTGGATAGCAGAATATGCCGCAATGAGCTGCAGGTTGAACCTTTCGTTGACCTCTCCTCCCTGGAGTGGGTTGTCTTCTGGATCTTGCTCTGTACTCGGAAGTAATTCTTTTTTTGCTGCCATAAATTGCTGCAGTCGCTCGTAAGCCCCTTGCTCGACAAGCATATCAGCGTACTCTATAGCAATTGGATAGAAGTTTGAGAATGGCTCCAACGAATCCTGGTAAAATTGTTCGGCAGCATGAAACTGGCCCAGCCTCTTCAGCTCTGAGAACTCCTCTAGTTTACTCTCGACATCCTGCGCAATGTCCATCTCAAAATGGAGGGTCACGTCCTGTTTTGTAGACGCATTCCAGATGTTTTGGGCGCTTGTCCACGCATCTTGAGCGCTTTTCCACTCGTCCTGCTGGTTCTGCAGAGGATTTCTTGTCCACGTTCTTGATGAAGGCTTGGGCGGGGGGGCTACTCCGTCGCTCTTTTGACCTCTCGGCTGCCGTCTCTGCGTTCGTAAATTGTACATTTATGTCCTTAGGCTGGGTTGGTACTTTTCTTCTTGCCGTGAGCGCTCGGGCGCGATCCTCGCGCGGTTCTCCATTCTCATCTAAGCCGTCGAATACCAAGTGCCCCGACCCTGCTGGCCTGCTTCTGACAACCGATTCCTCCGATTCATCAGTATCCCCCGACTGGTCATTTCCATCGGGATCGGAGTAATGTCCATGCACCGCGTCATCGTATGTAATATCAAAAGGCATCGCTGCTTGACAAACGCAATGATGAACATTGGGGCTGAATCTCTGACACAGCCCGGAGTCTTGTCAGCCGGAGCGGAGACCCCTGCAGCTAAGTGTGATGTGACACGAGAGAGCATCACGCTAAACACGAAGCCGGCCTATTATTATGAGTATTTCGCTGACTTTCGTTTTCTTTGTTCAAAATCTCACCCGTGGAAGGTGAAGATTTACGCGGAGAATACCTAGGTATAAGACATGTTCGTCGTTCCCTCGACTCGCACTCGCACTCCCCCAACCTACTCTCGCCGCTACGGACGCAAATACCGAGGCCTCGACAGTTTTCCCGATGCCAGTCTCTGCACGCACGAACTTGGCAAAGTTCGCGCCGATTGCAGACTTCGTGTGTCAAAATCTCGATGGGGTCACTTAGGCCATGAAGATGCACCCGCCGGCATCGTCTATATGGATCTCTCATTCGACCAGCCACAAAATTATCGCCTTGCTAGCGCGAGGGTTGTCATTACATTGGAGGACATTCACCCTGACGAGATAACGCGTGGACGACAAGAGTCTGACCTCTATCCGCTACAAATAACAGAGCATTATGGCCCGAAACACCTCACTGGCGAAGCCACCAATGTCGTCGTCAGCAAGACTCTCCATCTCACTCCAGAGTTCAACTTCCTCGGCACTGGGGGTGGTGGTCTCGGTATTAATAGCGCAAAGTCATTGATTTATAACAGCCGTTGGACATTCAAGGGTCAACGCCATGTCGTCGACGCCGGTCCAGAATACCGCACACTGGAATGGGAGCTGTGTGAGAATCAGGAAGAGAGTCGTCCTTCGCACCCCAATGTGATTAATACAGCTTTCACTTTCCAGCATAATGACAAACCATTCCGCATGCGCGTTGATATCAAGGGTCGGCTGCAGAGCACCCGGCATCGGATTCAAAATAAGATGCGCAACCTGCGATTTCCCCCACATTCCGAGAAGGATCAAGGATCGAGTGAAGTGCTCGTTCGACCAAGAGATCATGCTCATCCTTTGGATTCCGTCGCTCGAGGCTTGGAAAGAGCACTAGAGAGAGAAAATTATATGCGGATTCCTGTCGAGGTGCCCGAAGCACTACCGGTTACATTTGCAGACGCCTCCTCAGTCTCGGGGTACATTGATGCGGCAGATGAGAATGCTAGTAGTGGGAGCTTATTGACTCCCGGGGAATGGCATAGCGGACAGACCTTGAGCTCCGCCTCTTCATCGACGACACTCGTTAATGAGCCTCATCCTACAGACACGGCAATGATCACCGATTCGCATATCTCAGAACTGGGTAGTGCCATACACCAATTTCACGAATCTCCGGATATAAAACTACAGAAGTCCCCAATAGCACTCAACTATCAAAATCTTAGGTCTGAGGACCAGCGAAAGGACGCAATGGTTCTTTTATCAAGATATCCAGCGTTGCTAGCGCTTGTACATATGCTAGTGGGAGTTCTCGGCTTATTTTCCACGGGCAAGGCGGTCCCCAATTCACCCAATAAATAGCAGGAAGAAATCTTATCTTTTCAATGTATGTATTTATTTGAAAAGATGCTGAGAATGAATAAATATGCCATGATGCCATCTGAGAATTTCACAGGCGGCAAGCCCCATAATTGACAGATGCTCCACTTGGTCCCGCAGTCCGATCATGATGTGACGCATCGTGGGCACTCATTAACTACTACTACTACTAGTAGTAGTAGTAGTAGTAGTAGTAGTAGTAGTAGTAGTAGTAGTAGTAGTAGTAGTAGTAGTAGTAGTAGTAGTAGTAGTAGTAGTAGTAGTAGTAGTAGTAGTAGTAGTAGTAGTAGTAGTAGTAGTAGTAGTAGTAGTAGTAGTAGTAGTAGTAGTAGTAGTAGTAGACTTTCTTGTACCAACTCAGGCTCAAATTAAGGAAATGCACAACGGATTTCTCCCTAGGCAGTCTACTCGATCACAGTGACACGAACACCGTATGCATGACAGGCAGGAAAGGCAATAGCCAAAACAGCTTAGTGCACGAAGGCCACGACAACGGTAATTTGTAAAGGAATTCAATTCGCACGAGCGGAATGACTGTTGTATCGGCTTATATTGCTACCGATGCATTATAATTTACCTTGCATGGGTGGCAGCGCTATGATTGATTCCTGAGGCAGCCAGGTCAGCATTGACAAAACCCCCACCTACGTTACACATAAGTACACCTCGACCTTCCACTCTTACCCAAAGGAAAGGAAAGAAACAGTCACTTGAATACGCAAAGCAAATAGCTGATCGTTTCCACTGCTCCGCGCCTTTCAATTATCTATCGCAAGAATAATGGAGGCCTACCCTTACAACAGGAGAAATAATCTCTCCTCCAAATCTCAGCTCAACGATTTTCGCAACCAGGTCTCCGTCCTGAAAAAGGGCCAGTCTGACAGAGATGGCCCACCCCCTGTGCCGACAGACTCGACTCTGCCCTCACCTACAATGGTGTACAGGCATACCTCCAACGCAAATGATACCGTGCGTCATCGCCGGCCCCGGCTAGAAGCACGCAGGCCCCGAGAATCGGTGCCAACAGTTACGGTTATTAACGAAATAAGTGAGCCGACCAATCGAGAAGGACTGGGATTCAATGACAGACGGCGAGACCCGGATCTTTGGCTGGAAGAAGAAATCGAGCTGCCGGAGAGGGTGCCCGCACGCCGCAGAAACACATTACGGGACGAAGAGACGACACCACGGAGGCAGAGTGATATACGAACGACCGAAGCAGAATGGTACGAGGAAAATATCGGCGAACGGCTGAGGAGACTGGAACGATTTGAAAAAGCTAAGCATGAAGCAACCGCAGCAAGAGGGTTTCACACAATAATGGAAGACAAGAAGCAAAGGGGCCAAGCATGGCATAAAGATGATATAGAAGAACGGGAGAAGATCAAGCAAGAGATCAGAGACGAGGAGGCGCGGCGAGTGTTCGACGAACAGAAACGTCGAGAGCATGAGGCGGCTATTCGCTATGCAGCTGTGGAAGATTACAAAACGCTCGAAAAGCAACGGCGTGATGATGAGGAGCAGCAGAGAAAGCAGATTGAGAGGGAGATTCGGGCCCAGATCGAGGTAGAGCTTGGTCAGTCTTTGGAGCAGGTCAAAGCAATTATCTACAAAGCAAAGGCAGAAAAGTCCAACGGCGCCGAGGAGAGACTCATGTAGTGAGAGATGATCATACCTAGGTATTAGCCATTACTATATGTCGGCTGTTGATGAATAAATCGAAGCATGCCAGGTGTTCGAAGGTTATAAGCTAAACCTCAACAGGTTCCGCGAACTTGATACATCTATAAATATCACAATTACGGCACCGTTCTACCTACCAGCAGAATCAAAAAGTGAACCGCGCCATCTGAATACTAGCTAATCACAGCAATCGAATCGTTGTAATGAAAGCCCAAATTGGTTTTCTATCGCCGTATTCATATCAAGCAGTGCGGCCAAAGCAGCGCTCACTGTGACCCTAAATTCGAACAGACTAATGTATGATGTAAACTTACTACTAGTGCTAGTAGCTTGTCCAATGGAATGATAGTCTTGGCGTACAAGCCAGATCCAAATTTATATGAGACGGTTACTTTAATTTTGGAACGCTGTGAAGCGCTGGAAGCGAGGCTATATAGAAAAGGGCTAAAGTTGAGTTGTGTAAATATGTGGTATAGTACTCCAAAACTAGAGGTATATCCAAAAGAGATCAAGAGTCGACAAAAAGACGGGTATGAGAGAAGGGAATCATCAAATGCATCACGATAGCAAAACTTCCGCGGCAACGAAGATGATCGAGTGTGAAAAAAGGAAATGAAAAGAAAGAAGCAGACTGCGAGGATTTGTCATTCGCCTCGGCTCTGCAAAAGGGTTGTTGGAAGAAGAAAGAAGGAAAGTAACACATCAAAGGTATAGTAAAGCACACTCGAATGCTGGTATAAAGTGTGTACCCAAAAGAGAAAAAGAAGCATCAAAACCCCAATTCCCACAGTAATAAAAAAAAGCTCCCCAAAATGACCAATGTATCTGAACGCCAAAAAGCTTCTATAAAGGGCATGGTCCAAAGGAAAGGAATGGGTCAGAAAATCTCGAGTGTGAGAACTCGAACAGAGAAGAAAGGCGAAGCCAAGGCTTTTCCTTCGCAAAATCCAAACCAGAAATTCCAAGAACGAATCGACAACAATAGGGTATAAACGAAGGTATCCATGCAGTAACTTATTTAGCGCCTCTGCTATCCAGTCCACTTTTGATCCTGGTATCCAGAATCGCCGCTTAACATCTGGCCACCGTACATGCCGCCTTGGCTATTTCCATAACCGCCGCTCATGCCGGAGTCTTCGTCATCATAGCCAAACTCGCCGCCAGAACTTGCATCGAAACTACTCCGACCGGCGATTTCGCCCGGATCCTCACCTGTGGCAGGGATCTGATCCCATTGCAGAGTTTGGAGTGCGGGGTATTGTGCGAGAAGTGCGGCAGGGAGAACGAAATTGCTACCAGACTGGCCATCCATTCCCGGAACTCCGGGCATTACCATGGGCTGTGGGACCGGTTGTAAATGTCCAGCTGCTTGTTGTGGCTGTTGCTGTTGCTCCATGAGAACACGGTCCCGTTCTTGGGATTCCTCATCTAACAAGGGCTTGATGCAGACTCGACCTGCTTCAGATCTGAAATGGCGACCAAGAGCGTCGGCACGGGCGAATCGACGACCACAACCCCAGTTTCCATCTCGTGACAGATCGCCTCGGCAGACGAATTTCTTCTCACCAGAATGCAACCCTTCGTGTCGTTTTCGGTCATGTTGACGGGCGAATGCCTTGCCGCAGACTGTACACACGAACGGTCGCTCGTCGGTGTGGGTTCGGAGATGAGAGCGCAGATTATACGCCCGTGTGAACTTCTTCGGGCATAGTGTGCACTGGAAATTGGCAGGGTGTTTCTGAACACGCTTGGAGTCTCCCGGCACCGCACCGGGGCGTTGGGGATCAGCCAAATCAAGAATGTAATTTCGGCTTTCGATCGAAGAGGTTGAAAGACGTCGGTTGGATCGGGAAGGGGATGCATCGCGGGATCCAGGGCTGCTGCGTGAGTGTGGAGATAGCGAGCGAGGAGTGGTGGGAGCAACAGGTTCGAGACTCGTGGCCGAGTTCGCCGGCGATCTTGAACGAGACGCGGGATGTGTGTACGGGTCAGACTTGCTACGCACACGGGATCCTAATGGGTTATTAGCATATGTGATGTAAATAAAAGTCAGGCTGGAGTAATTGAAACGAACGCATTGCAGGTGGACTCAACGAGTCCAGATCCGTAGTCGGTTTGGACGGTCCAAAACTTGGAACTCGTGATGGCGGTGCGAATTCCACGTTGATAGAAGGCGGGGCCATCGAGGATGCCTGGCCAATATCTGCCATGCCATTGTCGAAGCCCTGGTTCAAGAGCGCATCCCCCGGCGTGCCGTACATTTCGGTCGGTGCAGGAGGGAACTGTGACGTGGTGTTGGCATTCAGATAAGCGACATTGTTTGGAATCTCGCCTCCCTGTTGTGGCATGAGGCGAGGCGAAATGTATGGGCTGTGAAGAGGGCTGAAAGCCTGCTGCTGCTCAGAGAGGGTAAACTGCTCGATACCAAGCTGGTTGTCGTACAGAGCAGGGTCGTTTTGAGGAGCCAATGAAGGTGACGCATTGTTCTCAATGCCATCATACTCAATCTGGGATAGATATGGGGAGTGATTCGCCGAGGAAACCTCCGATACCTCAGACGGGGCTCTCCGGTGGCTCTGGAATGCGACATTGTTCATAACTGACCCCCAGTCTGCATTTGATTGCGCACTCAGATAATTCGCCGTAGATGGATCCAAAGAGGTGTGTCGTGAATGCTGGGGGGTGTAATACGTGCCCGGGGTTGATCCGGGAGGAGACATGGGGCCCGGGGACGACTGTTGTTGGTCTTGAGAGGACGGGTGTGAGGACGCAGAGGGGTTGGAGATGGGGCTAACTAGGTCGGCCGGATTGATAGCTTGGTGCATGGATGCCGGTCGTTGATGCATTTGGGGATCAAGGAGAAGCGACGAATCGTATTCTGACGCAGAGGTACTATGGGGGCTGTGGTTATGATAACCGGAGAAGTCCAAGTCGTTGGGATTATTGAGTAAATTGGAGAAGTTTTCATCGGGCTGTCGATGGTGTAGACCCGATTGTCCTTGGTCCATTTGGTTGACGATGTTTGGGTCAAAAGACTGCGACATGGAGATATTGTTGGTGTTGATCGCCGGGGGGAACTGCTGTTCGGAGGATTGAACGAGGCTCTGCGCTGGTGGGGCAGCCGACAAGTAGCCGGTAGCATAGCCATACGCGTCTGCGCCGCCGATTCCTGGGTCCTGGTTGTTGAAGGCTTGATTTGTCGCAAAGGCGGCGGACATGGAAGGATCTAGGCCCAAGCCGGAGGTTGGGTCGTGATACTGCTGAGTGTGGGGTGATGGGCTCACGCTGCGATGGTCTGGATTGCCGGGAGAGGCGCCCGATCCGTGAATCTGGTCGTGGGACGCCATGGTGGACTGGCGACAAGGAAGGACGAGATGTCGCAAGAAGTTGGGTAGGGAGACGAAATATCAGGTGATGATGGCCAAGAGGAGACCGAGACCAATTGTAGGCGGGGAGTAATCAGATCAGATCGGATCAAACCAAATTAGATCAAGGAGCGGGGTGAGGTTCAGGGTTAAACGCAAAGAGAGAGAAAGAAGGGTTATAAGGGGGTGTCATTCGCAAGGAGGACTCGACACTCGCGCAATGTGTTGTCAGCATAGAAGAGACATGATCATTGGGGGGGAAGGGAAGGGAAGAGAGAGATGCTCATGCGTGGGATACGATAGTGACTTCACGTGCGCAAGGCGGTCTGCAGCCAAAAAAGAAAGTGTGATTGATTTGGGCCCTAACCAAATAGTAACGCAGTATTGAATCGACGAAACTTGAAAGGACATTCAAAGGCCCACTCGTTCGAGTTGGGCCCCTGGAGGATCTTGTCTCACACCGTGAACAATGAAGAACTGGTGTTGGGGGTCTCCCCACATTGTCCCACTCTTTTTACTGTCGATAACAGCGATAGTTACGGAGTAGATAGGCCCATAGGACCATCTTCAAACTCAACCCAGCCCTACTACCCTAGGGTAAAAATTCCTATTATCAAATGAAGCCACGAGCCACTGTACCTGTGGCAGATCCCCGAATTTCGAATCTCTCAAAAAGACGGGCATACAAGCATCAGTGGAGCGGGAGAGGCACTATGGACTTTAGTACTTGCACAGCCACGCAGCTGAGTTTCACCCACGGTCTCCAGTCGGATCTATACCGTTTCAGGAATAGGTGCGGGCTCGGGCCACGAGGGGTCTGATTTTAGGGCAAGGCAGACTGCAGTCCGCCTTGTCTGACGTGTTGACTTATGGGGACTGTAACAGCAGGGGATGGCTGCCTTGAAGATAGCTAAAATTGGCTTTTATAAAGTCTATCAAGAATGCTTCTGCCTCAACATGCTTAAATTAGGACTTTGCACGTACGGAGTATAGAGGTTAGTTCAAAGAAAAGAAAAATCCAATTCAATTCAATTCAACTCAATCCAGCAATATGATGTCAGCGAAAATCAATGGATCACAAAGTGCATTCCACTACGGAGTACAGAGTAAGCAGGCATGATTAGTTCTGTCTTAACAATGACCATCGAATTATCTACAATAGAGAAATAAAGTCCAAAAATCAATGATCCTACTTCGATCATACAGAGTACAATTGAAGAGTGAAAATTGAAATCAAGTGAAAATATCTTCCCTACATATGTAGGTAACATCCACTCCCCACTACCATAACTAGGGAAATCCAACATCACGCATCAAACTTCCACTCACAGCCCACCAAGAGTATTCAGACTAGCCCTAGCCACATCATTCGACCAACTGAAGAACAAATTATCAGCACAGCTACTCCCCAACCCAGCATTATCCACCCAAGCCGGCTCCCAGTAATAAATTCCCAATCCACCCACAGCCGAAACAACAGCCGCAAGTTTAGTCAAGAACGTCTGCTGTCCCGCAACAGAGAAAGGAATACTAGACAAATCGCTGGGGAAAGTATACGCAGGCGACGGGCACGAGTAAGGCCAATCCGTCTCAACAACAAGAACATCCTTGCCATAATTCGACTTCAGGTTCGTGAGACTGGTCTTCAGCGAACTGAGCGTCGCAGCACTGTTATAAAATGGATAATACGACACGCCGATGTAATCGAAGTCGGTCGTTAACAGCGTTCCGACGGCTAGAACCGTGTCATAGAAGTACTTCTGTTCATCCCACGACCAGCCGTTGTCGAGGTGGATCATGATCTTGGGCTTCGTCGATAGATTGGAGTCCTTGACGCCCCAGGCTGCGGAGTGCAGGATTTGCGCGATGTTGCTGTAGCTGGTTGTTTTGCCGAGGGGCCAGAGTAGACCGGCCCGGATTTCGTTGCCGATCGAGATGATCGAGACGTCTAGGTCGTTCGAGGCGAAAGTGTTGCATACTTCCAATGTGTAGTTGTATACCTGCCATGCCAGGGTGCCGATGTCGGTGGTAGACCATCCGGATGGGGTTGTCTGGGTGAATTCCAGAAAAGTTAGAATCCAAGTTCAAGTTCAAATGGAGAAATAAAGTGCGAAAAGAAAGAGAAACAGAAAAAGAAAGAAGGAGGTCCCCGGGGAGCGTGGATATAACTACTACTAGGAGTAGTTGAAAACGTACCTGCGAACTCGGATCGGCCCAAGTATCACTATAGTGCAGATCAAGATACGTCGACATCCCCTGGTTCTGCACACGTTTGGCCAACTTGACATTATAGGCGAGATTATAATTGCCATCACTCGGATTCACCCAGACACGCTGACGAACCGAGTTGATCCCGGCGCTGGAAAGAATAGTTTCCAAAACCTGAGTCGTCCCAGCCGAATTCTTGTACGAGATTCCGCTATTTTCCTCGACGATCAGCGAGGAGATATCCGCACCGCGGTAGGTCAGGGCTGCAGTTGCGGGCGCGAGGAGCGACGCTGCTGCTAGGAGGAGGGTTGGCAGCATTTTGCCTGTTGATCGCGTGTGTATCAGGCTGACGATGGCGAAGTATTTTTGAGTCCCAATATTAAAGTTCAAGTGGTTTTCAAGGTGTGTTCATTCCTTGTTCTATTTCTACTTCCCAGATGCAGATCTCTTCTATTTATCGAAAATCACCTGGCCACTCTTCTCGGCCGTTTATACCTCTAACCCTAGCACATCTCGGCACTCTCCCCTTCGGGATCGGGAAGCTCCCCCTTATTAATTGAGTTCCGGTTCATACGCCTTCCAAGGTGAATTATTTGTCCGGAGAAGAGCCAGTCTAGGCTTAGCTGCATCGTGAAACGCCGGTGTGACGATGTCAGGCCAGGGTGGAGAAGAGGGGCCGGCGTTTACATCCATGCTAGCAATGCCGTGTCTTAACCGGGTGGAGAAATCGACGGGTTGGCTTAGCTTGGGGGCGTCGCTTGATTCCTGACACCTTTATTTCCGTGAGGGGCGATTACGGGGTATATAGATTAAAAGCTTAGATTGACTATTCGTCACACGCAGTGGTTCGGTGGTGGCTTTATCTCATTGGTGGAATGCGCTTTATTGTTGAAGAGGAGCTGACGTAGATTCTCGATGGAAGCGAAACCGAACGTCGGATTTGGGAAGTATGCAGAAACCCCACCGGAAAGTATCCAATTCTATCACAGTCTTGCACATGGCATTGGATACTAGTACTAGTAAATAGATGAAGTGAGTGGTAAACAATTATATCTGCTAGGGAATATCCCTATTAATTCATTTCGTGACATATCATTGCAACAGGCGATCACACGCCTCCCATCATTTATCATACCACCCCCTGCAACAGAGATCCAACAAACGATCATCACCCTTAAGGATTAGATACAGGTAAGCAGGAAAAATCGAGGCCAAGATCTGAGCGTTATGGTGCAATCGAAGACCAGAAAGAAGAAGAAAGAGGTGAAGGTGAGCGGATGGGTTTGGGTCGGGCGCCCTGCGAGGATGGTGTGGAAAGGAAGGGGGATTTCAAGTCCCTGGAGCCGCATCCATCTTTCCGTAACTGTGGTCGGAGCAAAGGGGAAATAGAAAAAAAAGAATATCCCGCAACATGGTAGGAGCATGCCCATGTCGCTGCGTAAGTGTATATGTACAATACGTGTAGAACGTATGAAACAAACTCTAGAAAGACACGTTCAAGTTCCGAATATGATCCCGTGGAGAACAGGAAAAACAGCAATGTGATATGCAACGACCCCTCAGTATACAGAAATGGTTGAAGCAAAGGTGGGAGGTAGTAATAGAAGGGGTGGGAGTGAAGGGTTGATCAATGTATTGTGCGATGACAGCATATATCAACTCGACTTGAGAGTAGGCTTGTTCTCGGACTTCGGAGGCGGCTTCTTCTTGCCGATCACCAGGACTTCGTCCTCCGAATCAGATTCTTCTTCCTCATCGTCGCAGTAGTACCGTGACTCATCTTCTTCCGAAGGGCGTGGAGACCCGGGGAGGCGGGCCTTGACTGTCTCGCCTGTGCGAAGTATAGAAGGTACCTGGGACGCAGTATCCGAATCTCTGTCCTTGAAACCGAAATAAAGGCCATCGCCAGAAAGAGATGAAGCGCCCGAGACAACAGACGGAATACTAGGATGAGAAGCACTCTGCGACATGCCACTGGTGAAATCGTCGGCAGAAGATGATGATATCGTAGCAGCAGAAGGCGTTGACCCGTTGAGACCATTTTGAGGTGGATCGGCGTGGTGAGGGTCAACAACATATGCATGGTCGGGGGGAGGAGCCAATGCTGGTAACTGCAATGAATCGGTGGAATACATAGCGCTTTCAAGCTTTGGGGCTAGCGCATTCTCCGCACTTGGCTCGATGTCACTCCTTCGACGGCGGAGGAGCGCCTCCTTGGTGAGATTGAAGGATTCGGCGGAAGATTTTCCTGCAAGCTGCTGAGACCGATTGCGTCGGTGGCCCACTGGCATCGATAGCCTGGACCCAGATGAAGCAGAATCGGCATTCCATAGGCCGGAGGCTCGCATGTGGCCAACGGCAGAGGCATTGCTCACTGCAAGGCTAGGCTCGGATCGCCGGTCGCCATCCAGAGAGGGTGTCTCGCCGGTTGGCGACGAGCGACGGCTACGGCTACCGAATGCCCCGGAGGCGCGTCGAGTCGCACCGCTGAAGATGCTGCCAATACTGGTCGTGCCGAGGGCTTCAATAATAGATGGTGTAACACCGGACCGTGGTCGACCAGTTGGAGTAGAGTCCATCCTGGATTGTTTCACTGTCTTGGTCGACTCGGCAGTGGACATGGAGGATTTGGCACGTCGGGGAGGGCCCGGTCGAGGGGTAACTGTTGGAGCAATGACAGGCTTGTTTTCAGACAAGACGGGAAGAGATTCGAAGTAGGATGCCCACGACTCTTCCTCCACCGGGCTTGCTGTGACACTCTGAGCGAGTGGATGCTCGCCCTGGCCACTGAATTTGGACAGACGGAATATATCTTCATCGCCTCGCAAGCTTGAGCGGCGGCTGTCACCGCCACGCGACGCCTTCCCGAAGGTGCTCGCGCTCGAGGCTGAAGAGAGCGTATCTGAGGAATTGTTCGCATTGCGTTTATCCTTCGAGGACCGACCACCAAACCATTTAGCCACGTTGGATCGTACTCGTTGGATGAATGGTACCTTGCTGACGGCACTGGTAACTTCTTCGTTGGAAACCTCGATTCTCTTGCCCTTGCTCTGCTGACCGGGATCCGTCTCCTCAACCCACATTTGTGGGTTAGGCAACCCGTACAAGGTCCAAGGGTGATGTTTGATCTCCTTCAGAGTGATTCGCCTGATCGGATCCTTGGTCAAAAGACGACGAAGTAGATCGTATAACTCATCATCTATATCCTCGTATTCAAGCACATTATCATCGCGAACATCCCTAGGTAGATTCAGATGGCAAAGGGAATCATCCATGACAGGAACGAGACGTTTGCGGGGAATGAAGACCTCCTTCTTCACAATAGTCTGGAACATGCTATACTCGTCATCCGACAGAAAAGGGAGACGACCAAAGACCATTCCGTACAATGTGACGCCCAAAGACCAAACATCAATGGCACCAGTGATCTTCGGAACTGACCCAATAGTCTCTTCAAAGTCATCGCCAACGTAACAAAGTTCGGGCGCATAAAATGCGGGAGTGCCGACCGTCTTCGACAGCTCACGGGCATCATCCAACTCAGTTGCGTCAGTTTCCCCAAGCTGTTCTTCCTCCTCATCTCGCATGGGCCTTCCAAGGTAGGAAACGCCAAAATCGGAGATTTTGACTCGGTGCCCGCTGGTGACGAGGAGATTGGCAGGTTTGATGTCGCGGTGGATGATACCTTGGAAGTGAAGGTACTCCAGGCCTAGAACGGAATCCCGAAATGCGCTGCGAGCTTCGGCAACAGTCAGGCAGGGAACATATGACAGGTCATCAGTATCGGCGGACCAGTCAGGTTCAGACGGGGCATAGCCAAAGCTGCTGGAAGCGGTGCTGAAACGGCGTTCGAAAGGGAAATCCGAATAAGCACCATACATGCTTCCTTCAACAGCTGCGAGCGAATCATTGGCGGAGGACTGGCTGGGGGAGTTTTCATCGATGAGCACGGTTGAGCGGGTGGAAGAGCGCCGCATTGAAAGTCCCAGTCCCTCGCCTTGCTCTTCCTCGTCGGAAGATTCGACACCATGCTCCAAACTCCAGGCAGGAATGGGCCCTTGTTGTGCGTCTGCGGCCTGCGCTTCGACTCGGCGTCGTGCCTTTTCTCGTTGTCGGCGGAGATATTGTGCCGTTCGGATAAATTGGTGGCTTTCTTCCAGAAATGCCGGAGTGTCGGGAATCCCTGCCTTTTCGCGATCCAGCCGCAACTTGTCAACGTGGACGATCTCTCGGACTCCTTTCTTGCGCCAGATGATCTCGCCGTTTTCCACATATTCTAAAACAATATAGACTTTTTGTCGGTTCGGGTCGTCGATGACCTCGAGAAGACTGACAACATTTGGATGCCGGGCCTTTTTCAAGATGGCGACCTCTTTCTTTACTTTATCTTCTGGGTTACCCAACTTCCCTAACCGACGGCGATTCGAGTAGCGTTGGACAATCTTGATGGCAACTTTCTGCTTGGTAGCGACGTGCTGACCAAGCTTGACCTTACCATGCTCTCCTCGGCCGAGCTCCTCGAGAATCTCGTACTGATTGATGACCTTGTTGCCAGTGACTAGATCTCGGTCCACTTCGGCGGTGTGGGTCTCTTTAGGGGGTTGGAGGTGACTTGGGTGGAGAAATGGGCTGCCGAGCGATCCTTCGTCTTCAGAATTAAGTGGCGGTGTGTTGCGGGGGCTCCTCATAGAGAAAAGGCCAGGACTTGAAACGGGTGTATTTCCCGCCGTTCGGGCAGCACGAACGTGAGCAATTCGAGTAGCTGTCTCGGCCTGTGTTGGGTATGAACTCCGGGACCGGAGATGATAGGTGGGATGTATTTGAGACTGGAGCGAGGCGTAGGATTGATCGGGGTAGACGGGGTATTCGGGTCTAGTGTCGGAGTGACGGGACTCTCGTCGAGGGCTCTGCCCGACGCTTCCTTGATCCGACCGCGCATCCACCACGATGTCTTCATTCAAGGCCTGAAGAGAGCTCGTTGAAGAGCGTGTGGAAGCGGCGCGGCCGGTGGCATAGACATGAGGGAAGGCTTGGCGGAGGGTTGCTTGAGCCTCGGCGATATCGGGGTGCACTGGTTGTTTGGTGGTTGATGACTGTGTCTGTTTCGTGTGGGCGTCTGTCTTATCGCTGGATGCGGGCGGTTGTGAAGACCCATCAGAGCGGTTGGGACCAGGTTTAGCGTCGAGAGAGACATGACTATTGCGAGTCATGGGCTGGTCCGCTTCCTCCAAACCAACAATGGCAGACTGATTTTCGGTCATTTTCAATTTCCCCTACTCTTTTGATTTTATAACCTCTGATCTTCTCGGTGCGGGCGGCTGTCGGATTTGTAACTTAGGTGTGCGAACCAAGAGTTCCGGTGTTGCAGTTGAGCATCCTCTTTCTTAACGCTGGTTCTTGCCTATAGTATGGTCGTTCAACGAGAGCTAATTAGAAGCTCGGAGTGGGAGCACCAAGGGACCGGCATTACTTGTATAGCGTGGTGACTTGGGAGGATGCGACGAGGACCCGGGGGGAGGAGGGCGAGGACGATGTCGAGGAAGCCGTGTGCCGGAGACCGGGCCGAATGGTAGGCAGCGATGGAATCGGATGTAGGATGTAGAGAATGAAGTATAGTATTGTAGACCTGCTACAGCACGAGGGATGTGGTCGCTTGCACGTGGAAAGGGAGAGGCGAGGGCGAAGGTATAAATATGGTTGACCCGGTCGGTGTGGTGATCTGCTTGAATGCTCGTGCAGGGCCTCGTGCAGATGGAGTCGAGGGAAAGGAAGGAGTGGGGTCGAACAATTCAAGAAGGAGGGTCCAGAAAAGAAGAGACAAAGAAAGTGAATAGGTTGGACTCGGTAAGAGAGGATGGAGGGGGAGGGAAGAAAGGGAGGTTGGGTGGATAAAAAATGGGGGAATTCGAGGAGGGAGAGACCTTAGTAGGGCAGAGCGAAGATCGGATGCCAAGCGCAACACTTTCTGCAGTTCTCAAGTTAGGGTCAACGATGGAATACAATACGAATACTTTATTACATACAAAGTTACACTTAATTTAAATACTTTGAATACTTAATACTTAAATACCAACCCTTAAGGCTAGAAACTTCAAGTTACATGGTGGGGCTTGTCAGACGGCGATTTGGCTTCGGCCGACACTCCGATGGTCCGTGTGGTTGATAGGAATCTTATTAGTGATCTTCTAGGGAGATATTAGTTATAACCTGGAGGTATACACATTATACTCTTGTAAGTGTAATAGTAATAATGAAAGTACACTAATTCACTACCAATAACCATAACCAGATTAACTTCTTCCCCTATATCATCCCATCCCACCCCATACAAGCCACGGTGGCGACCACATATTACGTCGAGGACTTCTACTCCGCCCGATCCCAGTTGGTCCATTTGCATCACTACCACTTTTTTTTTTCCACAATAGCCCATGTCTCTCAACTAAGCCCCATCCATACGTTCTCTTTTCTTCTCTTTCAATTTTCCTGTCTACGAGATACCTTCTCTCCTGATCGTGCCACCATTCAATCAATGTAGCCATCATCGCTGTACCACCTTTCCCGTCCCGATCTCGGCCCATGGCACTGATACTATCTTATGTCGACCACCACCCGGAACTGGCATTCCTGCCTTCTCCTCTCCATATTTTCTTGATGACCCGCTCAGATCTCCCTTTCGGTTCCTAGTCTGACTCTGACCTCACTTGAACTGCTGCGCGAACGAGCCTGCCATATTACATTGCCAGAACCCGCCAATCATCATGCCGCGCCCAACGTGACGCGGCTCAGCTCACCCCCAAGAGCCCAAGTACCGAGCAAACTAACTTCAACTTCTCCCACCCAGCTGGGAGAAATGATGAAGACCAAAACTATAATAATAAAAAGCAGGTTTACCTGGGTCGCCGGTGCTCGTCACTCTGGTAAACCCCGTAGTGCTGATAGGTGCTGATGCTCATGCTGGTGCTGGTCGGGGCTAGTTTGCGAGTCGCTCGAAGCCAACATCCTTTTGCCTTCTGATGGGCTGCAGACTACACTAGCCCTTCCGGTCGGACTTGACGGCGAGCCAGGGGTCGTGCAGGGATTTGCCCAGAGCGGATGGAGGAGAGTGGCATGCACAGTAGACGCGGGATCGGACTGTTCGCCCCTGCAGCATTAGCCAGTATCTGTTTCGGAAAGGGGAGGGTGTGAAGCCTGTGGTATACATGGATGTTCAGGAGTATCCATGATTATTCCGCGATCTCTCTCTCATCCTCGCAGTATACCATCTACTCTACAGAGTACTCTTTACTCTACTCAGCTGTATCAACTTGCCTGAGCGCGAGTCCGTGCGGAACGTTACGTCATGCAAGGGTCTGGGCCCCTATTGAGCACTAGTCCTCTTTGGATCATGTCCATTTCTGGCTAGCGCAGAGATGACAAATCTGCGTATACTCTGTAGTATACACTTTAGAATACTCCGTACAGAGTAACTATTCAGTTGGATAATTATCTATGGAACACAGTATACAGTTCTAGTAACTAGGAGTGCATAATTTGCCAATCTATTCAACATGCATAGACCTACTTAATGCACTCACGCATCCCTGTACTACGTCAATTCATCGGCTCCAGGTCGGTGCCTGTGTACTATGGTAACCACTTCATCCCGTTACCACAACTCCCTTCCAGGTCAATTGCATATTCTCAAAACCAAAACAATTAGCCCGCTACCACAGGACCCAATCCTTTCACTTCCGGCAACCCGGACAACTCAAACCAGCTTCAGACATGGAACTAGGAAGGCTAAAGATCCCGCGTTGCCGGGGTATCAACCTCGAGGCCCGATCCGATTCTCCTCGGAGACTAAAAATGTGTCGACCAGATTGGACAGATACCAGCACTCCCCTATTCCAATTTTAGCCCCCCCTGTCTGCCCACCTCGCCCCTTTAGCGCACCGCAACTGCGTGCCAGGATGTTTAGCGCTGTTCATACCCCGGCTAGTTTGCGCCGCCGTCTGAAGTTTCATTTCTTCATTTCCCTTAACCCCGCATGGAAGTTCGGGCCCTCTATCCGACTACGTCGACGTCCTATGTACATAGACAGCGGGGTCGTGTTGGATCATTAGTGCTAGACCCGGGGAGATGATTCAGGCCGGGGTAGACCTAAATGATTGGCTGCCTGTACGTACAATACGAACTGTGTACTCCGTACGGGAATACTGACAGGACAGGGCTATCGTGCTTTGGGGAAGCGAGACTGGCGAAATACTGCGTTGCTGATCGCTTGGAAATTTTCAAGAATTGCTCCGTGTTTCCGGTCACTGTTGATGCCGCATACATACGTACATTAGATGCTCCGTACTTGGTATTCGACTGTATACTCACTTTCTCTTCACTTACCCGTGCCCATTCAATTACACCCGGTTACTAACAAACGCCGGTCTCACCCATCCACTCAGCCATGCCCTGAGCGCCAACACGCAGCCCAGCTTTGCGCGCTTTGATCGCAAGATCCGCAACCACGATGTGGTCCATGCCTAACGAGCGCCAGCCCCGATCTGCAACCTCAACCTCCCAAGGCCTGCTGTGACACAAGCGGCGAGCCCCCCTTGCCTCAATCCAGTTTACTGGGCGTGCCACATCCTACCGCCTTAACACTCTGTGTTAACGTCGTGAGGCCGATTCGCAATCCCGCCACCACCCAGGCACCGTGCTATCCCGAATACAGATAAAATGCGGCCAGGGGAGGGGAAGGAGGCAACGCCGCTACACCCGGGTTAACGGATCATTCCAAGACTGGGAGTGCTGTTCGCAACCAAGTGGCACTTTTACAGAGACGTTTGATCCGTACTTCTCAGCAATGGCCGCCTTGCGATCTTGGCTCGAAATATCGCATCGTGCATCAAGCCAAAAAGGATACCGCCGATCGGCCGTTAAGGGGATCGCTACCCGTACTGCTAGGCACGGACTATGTACATACATTGTACACACATATGTGGGCTTTGCGGATCAGTCGCTTGGTTCGCTTCTAGGTCAACGTACATACGCAAACATCCTCAGATATGCAGTGTTCTGACTCGGCCGTGGGGATTGTTTGCTATCAGATTTGATCAGTGGGTATTTATTTCAACTTGAAGTTTATCTTGTGCGACGTGAAACTTAATTCGAAAAAGAAATCTCTGCGCGCAGTACTAGCAGCAGTGTATTCCAGGTAACAAACAAAGGAGATCTATCGGACGGATACATCAATTACAACTTGAACTTGAAGTCAAGGCACCCTTATGCTCGGCGACATGTGTGGATAAATTGCACACTGGCATTTTGTTAGAAATGGCGGAGCTAAGTCTTCTTTGCTCATAATGGCATCGTTTTCCGAGGCGTAGTACGAGGAAAGGCCAGTCGTATCTACTTTGTAGAAAAAAGTTTTTGTCTCTCAACCGATGATCACCGTAGCGCGTTTGGTTTAAGGATTGACAATGATGTTTTTTTGCGATAGGTCATTAGGGCAAAATGCATGAAAGTCATTACTCGTTTACTGGCCCAGATTTGGGCATAGTATGTACGATTCATTGAACTTGTCGACGACCCGTGGTGGCGGAGCCTTGATATCATGCTACACAGACTTGGAGGCGGTTATTCATCAATAGAGCGTTTGATCCATTTGACGAAGGTGTCACGGTGACATCCTATGCAGAAGTTCCTGAACTTGTCCACTGGTATCAGGGTTGAGAACGACTGGTATAAAAAATTAGCAAGCAGTAGCGAGTAATAAACAAGATTATACTGAACAGGTCTTACTCTATTCGGTAGGAGAAATTAAACGACATACATACATCACAGCAGTACGGAGTATAATCAACTAACTATTGAACCAGGATAAGAGAAGATACTGACGAGCAGAGCATCTAATTTGTCTGACCTACAGCATGGCCTGAGCGCCTGCATAGTGTCAATTTCAAATCAGAGGCGAGACAGTCTCGTCTAGGTCTCAGTGCATCCAAACCCTGTCCGAAAAATCAATAGCTGCCAAACATATAGCCCATTGTTCCATTGTCTAGCGGAGATGGCTCGGCTGTGGCTGTACAACGAGACCTGAACGGGAACGAGCGGGATGAAGAGAAGGGGCCCGGCCGGCTAAACTACCGAACAATCTGACGCGACAATCGCTCTTTGCTTTTTCCTTCTTCCCAAGCTGTCTCTAGTGTCACCTTCAGCTCTCGTATCAAAGTACCTGGGATAATGATCCATATTGTGGATTCTGATTTGCCCAGTGCATCCGGAAACAGACTCCTGCGATGCCCCTGACTAGTATTACCGGATGCCATCCGACGCTATCTTTGCCCGCTCCAACCCAGCCGCAGACTACAGCACCAAGACGGATATGGCTGAACCGCGGGGTCTGGCTTGCAGGAGCCCTTGCGTTCAGTGGAGAGAGGCACATTGACTAACCCCCAATGATGAGATGCTGAGCACATGCATTCTAGGCCTCCCAGCGCGCTAATTCGAGCCCACAAAAGCGATTGGTCTACCTTTATCGGCGGTATTGAATTATGGCGTCTTTCGACAAGTTCTTCCAAACTGAAATGGATTCACGGACACCCCGAGGCTGAGCCGGAAACCATAAACTCTCGTATAGGTTTCCCCTCTTTTCATCTTCGAGTTCTGCCCAATTTGACACCCGACAGACCAGGAGCTAGGTTAGCCTATCTGACCTTCCTCATCCAGCCATTCAGAGTCCATTCCAGGCGAGCAAGTAAGAGAACAGAGAGTGGGAGAGAAAAAAGCAAATTGGGCCCATGCATGGGATCAAGACGCCAGCCAAAATCAAAATCAGGCAAGCAAGCCGATTGGAATCGCATCCACACGAACTGGCGACACAAGAGACGAAACACGAGTCCGATATCCATTTAAACAAAAGATTGACAATATGACATTTCCTCTCCCGAACACAGTCGAGCCCACTTGATCACCCCATGATGGTCGGATTGGAATGCCAACCTATCAATTCGCGGCGTCGGACCCATGGTTCGTCGGAAGGGTGGGCCCATCCGAGAGACTAAAACCAACTTGGGGGGGGTCATTGACTGCCTCCCATGAATGCGGATGTCTGGACCCTTGGCTAGAGGAGTCTGGGTCATAGGATCCGGGGGAGACTGGGGAAATTGGAAAACTGGGGCGACGAGGGATTGGGAGGGAAACTTGGCCGAGTGGCTAGGGGATTCAATCGCACTACACTTCATCGCCTGCCTGGTTCTGGGGACTAAGGACTGTTTTGCGTGAATTTGCTTCTGAATAATCAAGTGTTCGCACCATCATAGTGTGATTCCACGGGTACCTGCGTTTACTAGCAGGGTCTTTCTCTGGGTTGGCTAACCTTTAACGTCATGCAACACTACTAGGGAGGAACTTGAAGTACAGTTCAAGTTGGTTGATTGGTTGGTGATATTGTAAAATACTAGTAGTAAATTTATACATACTTACCTAGGTAGGTAGGTAGGTAGGAATGTACTATACTAAGAAGAAATAAAGTAAATAGAGTGCCCAGATGTCACGGTGGAGAGTAGTAGTCTTAAGTTTAGATAGTTCAAATCAATTAACAGTTATCCTAAGAATTAATCTCATATATCTATCCATTATGTTTAAGTGTACAGTTTCATCAAAGTAGGCTTACTAACTTCCAATGAGGTAAAGCTGCAATGACCCTTTTGCCCGTCATTTGTACCATCGGAACTCTCCGTCGCCCAGAGAGGTAACAATGTAGTCTCTCCCCATTGCACCGGGCCTAGAACAGCCGTTTCTCCAACCTCGCCCCTGGGAGGATGACATGCCGCACTAATAGCAACACTCGTGGACCCAGTGACAGGAATTATGGATCTGAACTTCCGGAACGCTAGCACAATAAGAACAAGAACCATGATGGAGCCGACCAGTATGGACAGAAAGATCGGTCCGACGGAATAACCGAGGGAGCTGACGGTGCTTTGAGGTTCATTCGCCGCGTTGTATGTGACCAAAAGAAGGTAGTAAAGGCTCTGCGAGATGAGCCAGTGCAATACCATGTAGAGCACCAGGATTGGCACACCGTATTTGTATGGTATACTGAGCCAGTAAGTTGAACGTTGCTGGCTACCCTTAACGGGCCAAGTGACACGCAGCGCCTTGGAGGTGGCACCATACGAGCTGTATTCGCTCGCGGCTAGCATGCTGGTTAGAACGGCGTTGTAGCAGTAGTAGCTGATGGTGACTGCCAGCTGTGGTGTGTTGGCGATGACAACGGAAGGCAGCATGCTATTGGGAACACCGTCGAGGGCTTTAAAATTGGCAGTGGCTTCTGTGATATCTGAGCTGAACCAGCCCTTGAATGTGTTCGTATCTATCAATTGGCTGCCGATGGACCAGTGACCACCAAGTGCCTTTCTCAACAGGAAAAGTCCGACAATTATGCAAGCAAAGCACCTAGATCGAGAATGTCAGTATTGCCACGATGAGATGAGGTCCAAGGAAGAAAAGAAAGCCGTACATGAAAAGAGTTGCAAGCCATCGCCACCAACTCGCTGCTCTACCCCAGAGAGCTCTCTTTTTGAGGAGTCTGTAGGTGATAGAATCACGCTGCTCATTCTGCAGAACAGCCTGAAAGCCAGCCTTGTTAACCTTAGCCCAATCCCCTCTTCTTATATCAGCTCCCGACATCCAACAAAGACCCTTAGTCGTAGGATCGGGATTTTCCATGAAAGAAGCCACGGCATCACCAACAGTAAGTAGAGGCGGCTCACGCGAACGACCAATATGTGCCGCAAGAAACATGGCCGCAATTTTCGCAAACGCGGAAAGCATGATGGTCAGACAGATGGGCGGACTATATAGCAGTTGGCAATGCTCCTCGGCCCTGATAACAAGACACTCCTCAATAACTATGGACTGCGGGTGATAGAAATTGTCGCCACCCGTTTTATTGAGTGGATTGTAGTAACGGTCTGTTGCAGCATCAGATGGCATACAGTCGGCATTCAAGCCCTTGTGGACAGACTGGTTGGCATAAGTGTTCACCGACACCATATCAAGGCTGGAGTCGCCTGAATATACATCATCATAGAAGTAATACTGGGGATAAACCGGATTAGTCATAAGTATGGCGGAATCGCCTCCTAAGCTGACGGTCAGATTTGATGCAAGGGCGACGATTCCTCGGACTCCGGTCGCGGTTGTCTTGGCCTTGACCGAGCAGTCCGAAAGAGAAATGCGGTCGTAGTTCTCGTTTGCAATTTCGTTGACAAATGCGGACCAGGACATTTGGTACGTGAGATCTTGAGTCGCCCAGGCCCGCGCAGGACAGGAGAAACACTTCTCCAAAGCTGGAGTTGTCAAGTCGTGAATATTTGACGAGATGAGATCACGAGGACCGACGACAACGCCAAACTCATTCGTTGATAAGGATTCAAAGACCATAGAGTTATACCTAACCAGATTGATAAGATATTAGTCTATGTATAAAGGAGGGGGGTGCGACCCAACGACCGTTGCACAAGTTTGGAGACAATTCCCGCAGAAACAGAAAAGTACCTAGGTAAAGAAACTCACATCAAATGGAAAGGTGTAGCAGTAAGCAGCAAAACAACCCACAGCCCCAGTTTCGACTTCTTAATAGCCAAAAGATTCCTAACGCTCGCACTCCCAATATCAAGCCATTTCCAGCTCGCATGATGAGCATCAATCTCCTCTCGTGTGGGGGCAACAAGAGTCTGCATACAATAATTGCTGGCAGCAAGAATACACGTGCTAAGGACATTGATAATCAAATGCAAGGCGGTGTTCCACCTCCTGGTCACCGCGCAACTACCCTTATAAAAGACTGCGGTGCTCCCGAACCGGCTATTCTCTGGGAATCGACTCGCAAGTCCCGCTGCGACGGCGATGAAAATTAGGTTCAGGAGGAAGACTGTTGTCCCAGCCTTGGCACATATGTAAACTCCGTCTATCCATTGAGACTTTCGCTTTATGGTGGTGGTTGGGGCGGAGGGGTCCTCCGCATCTTCTTGATCTCCTTTGCGGTGTGGGGATTGTTCCTCTTGGCCGCCGTCGGAACCGCCACCTATTGCTTTGAATGTGACATCTTCCTTGGATGGTCGCGTCTGAATGGAGGATCTGCCGGCGACGGTTGATTGACGGGGTAATTTCGACGAGGAGTTTAAGGAGGAGGGCGAAAATGCGGAAGATGACGATCGAAAACTGGGTGCATCGAGAAGCTCCACTTGGTCATCATTCTGATCTTGACTAACATTCGAGACGCCCTGATAACGTTTTCTTGCGAATACTGATTTTTTGTGCTCCCACATCTGCCCAACGCCATAATTGACCATCCCTGATTCTTATTTACCGCGTTGGATCTAACAGCCGACCTCGATCTGGTCGAGGGAGGCGGGATGGGATGCACGTCAGTGGGGTCCTGCGAGTACAGAGGGAGGGCTCCAAAAGTTCTTTGGAAGAGAATGAAGAATGATGGTGCGAAACATTTGAAGATAAGAGAAGAGACGAGGCTCCGTGCCGTGTCATGGCACGCTAGGATGGATGCACTACTAGTATTTGGCCCCCAAATGCACAAGCTGGTTAATTCTTCATCAATATCCTGCACATTAATACCATACAATACCCTAGGAAGTTAGGCTGCTCTGTACAGCGGGGACAAATCCGTGACTAAAACCTTCAAGTTGGAAGTTTCCTCGTTTAGCTGGATAAGGAGGTTGCATTTTCCTCGTCTTGACTTGAAGGGGCGGAGGTACTCCCTGCCTGTCACAATAAAATTGTGACCCCCCCGCTCTGTGTTGGAAATTTGGGGGCGGACAGAGAGGATAGTACCTGGGTACTAACCCTGGAGTAGGATCACGGGTATTGGAAGCTGGTATAGATAAAGATGGAATTTTGACGATCTATTTCTTGTTAAGGTTGTTTGAACAAATAGAAACAGGTATAAAGGAATCGATGAAGAGAAAGGACCACGCAAAGGCTTTTAGCTATTCCATTGCTCACTCGGCCAATATGCCCTTCCTTCTCGGCTTTCAAACCCTTCAAATCGAGGGGTTCTATCCGCCCATGACTCGAATGCTTTCCAGCTGTAATATTCTTCAGCGTGAACCGATTCATTGAAGTACATATTTGCCTGGCTCAAATGCATGCAAATCTGAATAGCATCCTCAAACGCCCGACGATCAGATCCATATCCAGCACACCAATATGCGTAATGAGTCCGCCTATCATCAATCAACCGATATTCCCCGCTCTGTTCAGAGGCAACAATGCACTCAGCCCAGAGATCAGTGACCTCCTCCTCGTCATCCGCGACTTCCAAGCTCCAACGATCCACGGCGATGAAATATGAGGGAGGATGGACAAGATCACAATCCGGGGTCTCAAACCATGCTAGAAGGCCTTTTATATCCGGGGACTCGAGTTTTTCGGCCACATAGAACCACTCGGTGTCTTGATAGTCGTCAACCAGTCTCTCCTCGGCATAACTCCTGAGTCTTTCGAATTCTTCGGCAGTCATGGCTTCTATGACAAACACAGGGTATTGTTCCGCCGTATCTTGCTCTCCTTGTTTCTAACTCTAAGTTAGACTCTAGTCGGAATTTTGCATCGTGTATACTCACCATGATAGCTGGGATATCGTAGCCTAATGGCTGAAAATCTTCACCCTCCAAATTAGCCGTCCCTTCGGCCGCAGCACTGAGCAGCAGGTTTGCTCTATTGATGGGTGCGCGCAAAATGCGATGATCGTCTTGACCCTCGGTCCGGTACAAAAGGATTGCTGTGTCGTCTATCCTCGATTGTTCATCAATAAAAATCAGCGGCTCCTCCCCGCCTCGCTTAAACATCGCGCTGATAATAGACGAATCGGGTGTGAAATCAATCGGCCAGGGCACATCTAGAAGACGGCGAGGCTCCGCGTCAGGTCGATCAGGCCAGTTCTCCAAGTTGTCAATAACGACAAGCCTCCTCATAAAAAGATCCAGTTCTATATCTTCCAACGGAAGCAGAAATACCACCCTCCATGTTGGCGGCTCCTCCACTCTCCGATTCCGCGAGAACTCTGGAAGTTGCCAATATGGGAGCCGAGGCATCGTTAATTCAGACTGGTGATGGATTTTGAGCTGTTCGACCCCTTGGCCTTTTTATAAACCTCGAGAGAAGATTTTCCCTTTTGCGAAATGATCCACTATCGAGGGAATGGGGGCGCGATCAATCAACACAGCACGTTGTGGGGCGTCGGCCGCGGCAAATCGGGCAAAGGCTTGTTTTTCGACGATGCTGCCTACCGGTGCCTGAAACACTACACGGACTCACATATAGACATTCAGGTGTCCTCGCTTAAACCAGTTTGCTTCATAGATCATTATTTCTCTCCGTTAAATTTTTGAGTTCATCTACCATGGCCTCGAGACCTGACTCCTATATGCGGTTCCCGCCTACTAGTTGGCATCGTGTTGTTTCAATCTTGCCCCCTACGTCACCCTGGCCCGTTCTGAACAGAACTCGAAGGAAAAGTAGAGTATCAAAGTTTTAAGGCACTTGCAATTATAGAAGGTGGTGCTGGTATGTACATATGCGAGTATCAAAGCAGAAATGATATAAGCCTCCTCCGACACCACTTTATCAAGAGGATAGGGTCGGAAATGATCAATTGTAGATGAAAGAAAACCGCCATTCAGGCGTTCAAGATCAATATTCAAGAGGCAAAACTACAATAATCAGCGTACCTAAAGCTTCGATTTCGGGGTTTCTTCTGCCGCGCTGGCCTCCTTGTTAACCTCAACGGTGCGAGAGTCAGGGCCTTGGCCAAAGAAAATGACCTCGACGGTCACATCGTCACTGAAATTTCATATCAGTCGGGGAACGCTAGGCACGAAACAGCTTTATCAACATACCGGTAACGACGAGAATAGGGGCTAGGCAAGGTCAGAAGGGCAGAGACCATGTCCTTGTCCTTGCCACCCATGGCATTACGGACAAGGTGGGTGGCTGCGTTCTTGTCCTCGACAACAAAGCGGTCCTCCGCTCCGGAGATATCATATTGCTGCTGGCGGATCGGGCGGCGCTGACCCTCACCAGAGGCACCGTTGGTGACCTCCACGGGAAGCTTCTTCTGGTCAAAGCCGAACCAGCTCTGCAGCCAAGCCTTACTGCCACCATTGCCGGACTGCTGTTGTTCCAACCACGAGCCGACCAAGCCAACAACTTCCTCGTTGCTCAGCATCTCCCAAAGACCGTCCGTCGCCATGACAATGAAGTCGCCTTGCGAAGGATCAATCTTGGTAGTAGTGATAATAGGTTCGGCGGTAACATAGGGAGGAGTCTTCAGGTGGGGAGAGGGGGTGCGGCCGAAAAACTGCTGCTTGATCTTATCTTGGATATCCTTAGTCCACTTGTAAGTAGCATCACCAAATGACCGGCTAGGCTCTAGTTGGCCTAGAATACGACCGTTACGAGTAACATATGGTTCCCCAGGGTGCTCTTTACGCAGGCGTTCGATCTCGGAGGGCGTACCGCCGGTCTGGTCCTCAGACAGAGCCGTGGCAGTCCACTTCCCACTGGGACCACGACGGCCGAGAACCACACGCGAATCACCGGCAACTGCAACCTTCAAGTCCTTAGAGTGGGAGTCGTAGAAGCTCAGGAGAGCACATGATCCTGAGAGGGCGGGAGCGAGAAGCTCGGCAGCCACACGACGTGACTTGGCCTTGAGTACTTTGTCCACGCTTGCGTTGACGATATCATCATCGAGACGAACGAAGCCCTGCTTGATAGCAGCATCCACAGCATCGGATGTAGGAATCAATACTGACGGGTCGGCGGCAGCTGCCTTGTAAGTAGCGTTGAGTTCGCGTGCGACGTATGAGATCAGAACATTCCGTAGTTTAGCAGATGTTGTCCAGCCCCTAGTTTCTAGTTAGTAATAACCCCACGTCACTGGAGACATCTGAAACACTAACGAATGACCGTCAAAGACTGCCCAGAAATTCCAATCGCTGTTCGGGTCTCCATTTGTATTTCCAGCCACGTCCGATGGTACCTCGACAATCAGCTCCGCGTGGTCGTCCTCGATTGGGGAGTTGCTAGGAACCTGAACAATATCGTATCGAACGACTCCCTTTCCTCTGTTGACTAGGTATGATTCTTCGTTCTTTCGCAATTTCTCGGTAGCCTGCTCCGGGGTCAACATGTTTAGGACACGTCGATCCGAGTCGTCGGTCGTCTTCGCTAGAGGCTGGTCTCCCGAAAGCGTAGCCGTGTAAAACTGGTCGTTGCTCACCAATAAAGCTCGGCGCGTAGTGTCCGATGGGTCTTCGGCGTGGGCGGAATTGATTGCACTTGAGGCGAATCCACGGATATGGGTTGCGAGCGATTGGACTTTGGCGTCCCCGTTGCAGGCGTACCACGCTCCGGAGGCGACAGCGGTCGAGATAACGGCGACAGAGAAGTTTCGGAGATGCATCGAGGTTTGTAGTGCCGCCGGAAGGAAGGAAGGACGTCGGCCGGCGGAATAGTGTCTCAAGCTTTGTACTGAGGTGTTGCAGATGGATAGCGCACTCGGCCGTTTACCGGCAACTTTCCATACTGGGGTACGCCGAACCGCACGGGACGCGTGAGCAGCCACCAGACTCATTGGATCAAGTTATCGCTTGACTGTGAACTATGCCAGCGATGCCACAATAAGTTTGATATGCCTTTTGCAAGGTAAGTCCCAAAATTCTAGAGATACGGGAGTGTACAGAGCAGGCGTGCCTGGTTGATGATAAAGGGTCACGTGTGGGGAATATCCGCAGTCTAACCCGATTGGATTCGGAGTGTGTCGTCATTCCCCGCGGTTGCTTTTTTTTTTGTTGTTTCCTACAGTTGTTGCGGTGCTTTTCACTTTCTTTCATAGTGCCTGGACGGCCTTTTACAGATGTCCTCCCGTGCGATTCGCAAGCTGCAGAAGCAGCGTGAGCTGGAACAGCTGCAGGAGACCGTGCAGCAGGATGAGTCAAGCGACGATGAGCCTCGACGCCCCGCGAAACCCAAATTCAACGCCTTCGATCTTTTGAATGCCGGCGACGATGACAATGACAATGACGACGAAGATGGCAATGGTGGTAATGAGCCCGAGGAAGGGGCACAAGAAGACGAAGAAGAAATGAAGGAAGCGTCAAAACCAGATGTTGAACCCGAGTCAGCACCCACAAAGCCCAAGAGTGCCGGAAAGAAAAGAAAAAGAAGGGGAAGAAGGCCAAGTCGCCACCCGAGCCCAAACAACAAAGCAAGCAGGGCACAGAATTGGACGAGATTGATCGTGCGCTAAAGGATCTATCTACTGGCGAAGACCCATCGAATACAACTCTGTCAGCCTCTGCGAAGGAAGGGCGGAATGACTTGTTCCCAAAGACTACAAATGAACTTCTCGGTGTTGAGCCCAAGTTCTTGAACGCGACAAATGAAATGCGACGACTTTTCGGTAATGTGGTACTAGAGAACTTTGACCAGCCAGCCGAAACTGGCCGTCGTCGGGATCGCAACCGGGAAACGATCGATCTTGGCCAGGCACTGTCAGGACGGTACTCTCCGGCCAGTCGAGGACAGAGTTTGGCTGGAGTTACACTGCGACGGAACGTTCTTATGCAAGGGAAGGATGAGTGGCCACGAGCTCCTAGTGGAGGCCTAGGTATGGTCAATGCTGAGAAGCTTCCTTCGGGAGATTTCCTTTATCGCATCGTGCACAACACGGGCTACGAAGATGTACAGAGACAGTTCGACCTCTGTGTTGAGTCGATGGATCCCCAACGACTGATTTCACATCTGCAATACCACCCCTATCATATATCCACTCTTCTCCAGGTTTCGGAAGTTGCCAAGCACCAGGGTGACCATGCCGTTTCTGCCGATCTCTTGGAGAGGGCGCTCTTTAATATTGGCCGCTCAGCTCACTCTTCATTTGGAACTCGACTCAAGGACGGTCAAGCAAGGCTTGATTTCTGGGAGGGGGAGAACCGTGAGCTGTGGCTGGTTGGTTGGAGATATATCGCCAACTTGGGCATGAAAGGTACTTGGAGGACTGCCTATGAATGGTCAAAGCTGCTGCTAAGTCTAAATGACTCTGACCCGTATTGCATGAGGCTTTTGATCGACCACCTTGCCTTGCGAGGAAGAGAGTATGCGCAGTTTGCGGATCTGTGCACCCAGACTCGATTCAGCCGTGACTGGGCCGACCTCCCTAATATCCAGTGCTCATTGGTTATGGCTTATTTGCGCCTGAAAAAGCCCCAAGAATGTCGCCGGCAGCTTTCCCACGCTATGTCTCGCTATCCCTGGGTCTTCAGTAGGCTGGCACAAGAGTTGGACATTAAGCATGTTCCCAAGCAGATCTGGGGTAAGATGCCTCCGACTGCATCACACGAACTCCTTACCGAACTTTACATTACGCGAGCCAAGGATCTTTGGAACACACCCGAGGCTGTTTCACTTATCATAGAAATAGCCGACACCATCTCCGGGGAGCCAGAGCCTATCGAGCCCCCAGAAATCACCCTCGATATTGCCCGTCATGTGGTCTTGTCGGACATTCCTAGTGTAACAACCCACCTACCCAACCGTTTTGTCTCTGGGCGAATGTCTTCATCGGACCCTCTACCTCCTTACGAATCAGAGGCATATCGTCAGCAAGCCGATCCCACACCGTCATACCTCGCGCGGATGCCGGAGGGTAACCGGCCCCAGTGGCTACGCAATCTGTTGAATCAAATGGATGAGGGTGGTATCCATTTCCCTCGTTTCCAGGGTGGGGAAGAAGCCGGCGGGGATGAAGGTGACGAAGAAGTTGCTGGTGCTCTTCCGGACGCTCGAATTCGTCCTCTACAGGGCGACCAACAGGTGCTTGAGCAGTGGCTGCTGCAGGACGGATTGGAGTCCGTGCAGATGTTCCTGCATCAGCATGGTGTTGACCGAGGAAACTGGGGCGATGTATTGGACTATGCTCCTCTCACAGATTACCTAGAATCCCTTCAGGAAATCCAACCTGAGGCTTCTCGTCAAAGGTTACTACATGGGCCAATCCAGGAGATTATTGGTGAATTTGCTGTCAGCATGCTCGAGGATGAGTTGATGATTATGGATGACGAGGCTCATTCTGAAAGCAGCGACATTTAGTAGCTTTTTAGAATCTCCAAAAACCATCAAACACCATATTGAAACAACCAAGAAATGTTTACGACTGTTCAGGCCTGCACCTTGCCTGTGTCATCTCTTCACATATGATAATATAGACGCTCCTATATTTTGAAGTTGTCAATATGAGTCGGTTGACACTTAGTTGATGATTAGGGTACACAGAAATTACTGACAAGCTAATGAGATATTGGATCATCAGTTAGACTAAAGTAAATGTTTAATCTATCACACTACTAGTATTTCTGACCCTATTGATAAAGTTAGCTATGAAACATCACGGGGATTTCTGTGTCGATTCAGGAAAAATGAATCACCTGAATTATCTGCTGTGTACCATAAGACTGCACGAATCCAGTAATATTTCGTCGTCGTGGGACAAATTCTAGGCACGGTTAAATCAATGCAGGTCAGCTGAACTCGGAGTGTTTTCTGATGTATCCCAAAACCTTGGAATGGGTATTGCATCATGGATTATATTGATAGAATGGCCCAAATTCAATACCTTCTGTGGTGCTGGTATAACAATACTTGTAACGGAAAGGAGCTTTAATGCTTAATATAAATTTGCAGGTATCTTCCACAAGGTCACTGGTTTTCATCTTAAGAAGATCCTCATCTGCGACGCCGGCGATGAACTTGAAGCAGTTAACGTTTATTTTCACTGCATCTACTGGGGTAGCTGCCACTGCCTTTACGGATTCCGTGGAGGACGTTGGAACCCTTGGGGGCCTGACTCAGCCGTCAGGGTGTGGATGTATTGTTGGGGTAAGTTATGTTCTCCGTTCAAGTTTGAATTATACTAGTATGCCATGCTTTCTGGAGTAGGACTCTTGTTTATTGAATCTTTTTAGACGTGTCTTGAACCAAGCCAATTATGCACTGGGGTCGACGCGAATCACAATGCTCTATCTGCTCCCTGCAACCGACAATTTCCAGTAATTACATCACATACACTATGCGGATGAGCTTCCAGCGCTAACATATTACAGTGTTTGAACAATGGTCATCCATGCAAATTTTTCACTGATGTTAATTCTGCGGTTTGTGACCATTAGTTAGTTAGTTGAAGCCTTGGTGCAACATTACATGTGGTTCAGTATTACTGGCTACTAAAAAATTGAAAATCTTATAGGCGTTTAAGATTCAAATACTGGCTTCAAGTTATTCTACGTCTTTTTAACTTGTAGAACACTATTAACTTTCAATATCTGTTCTGAGGCTTGAATTATCAGGTGGGGATCCGTAATATGTGGAATGGAATGCCCAGTCTTCGTTGAGGGAGATAGTTTTTGTTCTACCCTAGGGTTCTTCTCTATTATCAAGAAATACCTACTAGTAGACTCGGAGATAAGCTGAGTATGCCAACCAATCATAGATAAGTATACCTAGGTATCCTTGTGCTATCTCATTCTCATCTCACGCAGGCACGGGGCGCCGCAGATTGCCCGTGCGCGTGCAGTGACAGCTGACTCATCCACGTGTTTCAAAAATTTCTGTTTTTTTTTACTTCCTCGAAGATCTTTCTTTTCGATCTTTGTTAAAGGGCTATTCGTGAAATTGGTGGTGTACCAATGAAGATTCCCAAGTCGCGTCCATCGATACTATACTCTACTTGACCTTATCCTGCGTCATTGTTTGCATTTGCTCCCCGCCGAAGTTTCCCCGGCCCACTGAGGAGTCACCTGAAAATCGATTGTGTCATAGCCCAGTCGCAATTTTTTCTTCTTAGCTCCGCCCCCATTCGACCACCACGCAAAATCCTATTTAGTGCATCGCACATCACACATCATGGCTTGGTCACAAATACTCAGCCGGATGGCTGCAGAAGACATGATCCCTCTCACGCCCCGAGAGGCAGCTTCCGGACTGCTAGGCTCAGTCTCGATGACCTGCTGGATCTTCCTACTGGTATGACACAGTCCACACCCCAGATTGCCCAATTCCTCCTCCTGTTTGTCGAACAGTGTCATAATGAGGCGCATAAGTGTCGCAAAAAATAAACACAGCACTCGAAGAAAAATAACTAACCGCGCCCAAAATCAGGTCCCGCAACTCATCGAGAACTACCGCAACGGCAATGCCGAAGCTATTTCCTTCCTCTTCATCCTAGTCTGGTTTATCGGGGACATTGCCAACCTCTTTGGCGGGCTTCTAGCAGGTCTGGTCCCGGTAATCGTCGCCATTGCCGTCTATTTCTGCATCGCGGATGGCGTCCTCATTGCCCAATGTCTGTACTACAAGGCGCGTAACTCGCGCCTCGAGGCCCACCACCGCCGCCGCTCATCTGTTGACACCCCCGATCCTACTACCCCACTTTTGGGTCGCCGGTTCAGCGACACGATCCCGCCGACACAGTCGCGACGACGCTCGTCGGGTTCGCTGCGTGGCTACCAGGCTGCCGCTGGCCGGCGCGAAAGCCAGACAGAAGACCCACTCGCTAAGATTGTCGAGGAGAACGAGTTTGGTCGCAAGGCGTGGGTTAAGAACCTCGTCAGTGTTCTGGGTATCTTTTTGGTCGGCATGGCAGGGTGGACAATGGCCTGGCAGACTGGCATGTGGGCGCCAGCGCCGCTGGAGAGTCATAATGACAATGGAGAAGCTACCAGCGGACAAGTGCTGGGCTATTTCAGCGCGATCTGCTACTTGGGGTATGTTTATTCTGATTTTTCCCTGCTATACGGACTTGGACTAACGAATGCGACAGCGCGAGATTGCCTCAGATCTATAAGAATTACAGCGACAAGTCCTGCGAAGGATTGTCCCTTCTGTTCTTCATTCTTTCCCTCTTGGGCAACCTTACCTACGGTGCAGGTATCTTATGCCACTCCACCGAGCGCGAGTACGTTGTCACCAATCTTCCGTGGCTGATTGGATCTCTGGGCACAATGGCGGAGGACGTCATCATCTTCATCCAGTTCCGCATCTACGCTGTTCAGGACGATCGCCCTTCCGCGGTGGCATAAGTGATTTTTCTTTGAGTATTTCTTTCGCTTGCAAGAGCTTTGTCTTTTCTTTTGTATATACGACTGCTATGTTGCTTCGAAAATTTGTTGCATTTCGCTGACTTTTTGCATGGGATGGTTGGACTTGATTTGGCAAAAGCATGGTGTTTGACTTTGGAAGGGTCATTGTATAGAATAGAGCCTGAATTCTCAATGAACAAGTTGAATTTGAATTATTTCACCTAGGTACCCTGTGCTCTAGTTATATGGCTAGAGCACGGGCAGAGTTATGTTCAAGTTCACGATAGCTCCACTCTCCATTTAGGTAAACGCTTGTGGCTATTCGGGCAGCGGGGTCTTCATGACGAGGAGGTCTAGGAGTGGGTACCGGAATCATAGAGGTATCCATTTTCCAGTCTCCATATATGCAGCATACTTGAATACTAGCCAGTCGTACTCATAGCCTTGGCAGCATTATGACGCAGGTAAATATGCAACTACGTGACCCTCATCACTAAAAATTTCTACTCGGTACCTCAAGAGAAGGTAGATCAATGACGAAGCTCATTAGTTCAAGGCGCGTGGCGTCATGATGCGAGAACCAGAGCGAACTTATCACAGGGCCTGAGAAGCACAAGGGCTTCGCACAAGGGCTTCCTACGTCAACCGGGTAGACCTGTCGCAGTACAATTGCAATATCGAATCAGGAAAAGGTGTGCCAAACGTCTTTCTTCAATTCCCCTAAAAATCTGGAGGCAACAATAGTTTCGGAGTCACAGCGGTATCCGATCCAGTCCACCTCTGGCACAAACTGATTCAGAGGTACACCGAGCACCCAGTCTCCATTGAATGTCTTCCGTTTGAATCTTTTGCTATTTTCTTTTTTTAAGTACCCGTGATCTAGGTCTTCGTTGAAGGGGTCGTGGAGTATCGAGTACAAGAGAGGTTCATTGAGGTAGCCGACATGCGGCAGCGGGATAAGAGGTGGGAAAAAGAGCAAAAAGGAAAGGTCTTCATATTCTTCAAGTTGGCGTAAACGCTTAGTCGAACAGACCGAATCCCATGTCGTCATCGGACTCCTCCTTCTCTATAGTGGGGGTTAGCATTTGAATCCGAGACGTAGAGAACTGTATCGCAAAGACTTACCCTCAACCTTCTCCTCGGCAGCAGCCTCGGCGGGGGCAGCGGCACCACCGGCGGCAGCACCACCAGCGGGGGCAGCGGGGCCACCGGAGCCGACGTTGGTCAGGAGGTCCTTGATGTCCTTGCCCTCGAGAGCCTATGGGTTGAAATTTGTAAGTCACGTTGTCTCGAAAAGGCGTCGAATGGAATCGGGATTCAATAGGAATGAGACTAGAGGCGTAATGATTCGGTGCAGGCGGAGTGGCGGGTGTCAGATATTTACCTTGGCGAAGATGGTGGACCAGATGGGCTCAACCTCAGCAACCTTGGCGGCAGTGATGAGGGTCTGGAGCTTGTCGGCCTGTATGAAGATATTGGAATTAGCTGGCTGGCGATTTCCATTATTGCGTGTCGTCTAGGCTTGAAACAGTTCGCTGCGATTCGTGATGTTCCCTCGCGATTCAATCAAGGGTGAGCTGCATGGTAGGGGCCATGAATAAGAATCCGAACGGAATTTTGCTCTTGCAAGAGTCAAGTCAAGTCTTCGACTGGCAAAATCACAATCACGAATGCGCGTCCTGTTCCAATCCTCGGCGATGTCGAATTAAAAGTGAGCACGTACGGTGACCTCAATGCCCTCATCGGCCAGGATGAGAGCGGCGTAGGAGCAGGCGAGCTCAGCGGTAGACATGTCGACGGGTGGGTGTTGACGTTGGTTGAAGACTGAAGATGGAAGAGGAAGCACGAGAAGTGTATCAAAGCACTATCCACAGCCGTGTGTGGGAAAGCCCTCGCTTAGGGCTATGGACTAATCAGGTCTAGCGTCCCTCCCATCCCGTGACTCTCTCACTAGTCCCAATGCGGCTCTGCTGACTAACGGGCGGAGTAAGCCATCCCGTATCGGCTGCGCGCGATAACCATCAATCCAATCGATTTGGATCCCGAGAACTGACATCACTTCCCATTTCATTTGGAACCATATCGTGTGGGGTTTGAAGAACAGCGTGCGCCCATCTTCTGTACTCTGATTACTACCTTCCTCTACAGTCTACGGTTCCTGCCTTTCCATCTTATTCTCCTCAACCCTCTCTGCGCACCCGGTCATGGATTCCCCCGCAGTCCCGGTCCCGCTGGATCCGCGGGAGCAGCCCATCCTCGAACGCCTCCTCCGAACTCGCGATGCTCTTCTCCTCCTGAAACAAGACAAGTCTTCCTACATCAAATCTCGCGATGTTCTCCCGCTTTATGAAGAAGTGACCCAAGAAGTGGAAAAGCTCAATGCTTCTCGCAAGGAGCAAGACCGCCGCTTGATACATAATCGACGTGAGTACCTACCGGGCGAGCCGTGGAATGATTAGCTGGATGAATCGCTAAATTTGATCGCTGAAAGTGGACTATGTTCTGGATGACTGTTTCCAGTTGATTTCGTTGCTCTTTTTGACCGTTGGTAGGAATAATGAAGCACCAGCAGTGTAAGTAGATCGCCCAACCCGGCGCAACCGGTCATTTCAGCTGATCCTCTACTCTAGCTACTCACTGGCAACTACTATTCAGGTAAAGCGAGCTTCCAATATTCTTGACCTTGTTCCATCGCGCTGACAATAACACACCAGCGCCTGCTCGACCATCTTGAAGAGGCTGGGTTCTATAGCTCCAAAGATCTAAATTCAATCACCAAGACTCTCGACTCCACGCGCGAAACTCTGGAACGCGGCCAGAACACATACTCCCCAGCACTCTTGGAACTTCTTGAAAGCCGACTAGAACAATGCCAGATCTCTCTGAGTAAGCTTCAGAAGGGACTTGCAGCTCTAGACCCCGCTCTTGTCCAGACTCACGAGACCTTGGTCTCTATTCTTCGATCCACATCTGCGGTCAACACCCGCTCAAAGGTATGCGCCGGCGATAAAGAATTGATTCCAATGCGACAATACTAACATTAAATTCTCTTACTTCAGTTCTCGTCCACCGAAGTCAACAATCTGCGCGAGCAATTGAAGAAGATCGAAGCAACTCAAAAGGACGGCAACTTCGTTGATGCTGATGGAAACCCGCTTGCCGGTCAAGATGAATTGAAATCTTTGATTCAGCGATGCTGGCGATGGACGGAGATTGTTCTTGAGCGACAAGGCAAGATTCAAGAGGGATTCCAGGAGCAATACGAGCGCCTACTTGAGATTCGTAACCAGTTGGATAGACTCTCCGTCACACAAGCTTGGTCTTTGCGCGAGACAGATCTCTTCGGATATCAGCGAAAGCTCGATCGCATTGATGAGGCGCGTGTTAACGGCAACTTTGTCGATGCCGAAGGCCAAGCTGCCGATCTCCATGCTCAAAGGGTATGTTCGTCTAAAATTGAGACACCTGAATTTAGCTAATCCGAGCCTCTCTCTTTTAGACACTGCTTTATTTGATTCGACGCAGCTATGCATACATCTACGCACTATTGATTTCATCTGAGCCCGTATCGGAAGCCTTGCTGCCAGTCTATAACCAGCTGCAGACGCTTCGCCGGTGTTTGATCGAAGTCAAGGAGTCTGGTGGCGTGGCAAACTCGAGAGAGTTGTATCCCTACAGCATGAAGGTATGACAAATTCCACCGATCTCGAAGTATCTCCCCAGTCACTGACCTACATAGCTCAATTCTATCGATAACATGCGAGTTGACGGAAAGTTTTATGTTGGTCCCGATATTCCTGAGGGCCAAGGAAGCGTGAATTCTTTGCTTGCTGAATGCTACGACCTGGTCTGGGAGCTACGAGCCGCAGTGGCAGATGATGATGCGCAAACTTAGGTGGAATTTGAGGTAGAAACATTTCTTTCTTTGTTATTGATATTTTACTCCATTTGGAGATTATGGATGGGCTTGCCACCGATGAAATACGTTCGGCTCGCTCTATGAGTTGTATGATTTGGGATCTACCTAACGATGTTTTGATTATTATTATTTTTGGCTTTTGCCATGAGAGGCGCTTGATTTGGATGGAGAAGGCCTTTTTTGGGGGTATTTGACATCGAATGCTATCACCATTCAGCTACTTCACCATTAAGCCTGAAGCAAAATGTCGCCACACAGTTTGCTTAGTTAGGGTTTCCCTCACAGTCCGGATAGGTCTGCTTTTGCCATCTCCATGAAATGTAGAGCGAGCGTCTTTAGTCGGTAGGGCTCAAGTCGAAGGCCGTCTGCCCTTTAGTCTCCATTCTCTTTAGTCTCCATTCTCTTTAGTCTCCATTCTCTTTAGTCTCCATTCTCTTTAGTCTCCATTCATCCATGTATACAAATACAAGAAATTGGTCTGATGTTTAATTCATGATTGAACCACGACGAATCCGTATCGCACTTGATCATGATGGTGTCCTAGGTTGATATGTGCCGGTTTCAGGTATCAATATGGTTAAAGATTGTACCGGTTGTGAAGGGCATCCCAAGATTTAAACCAGTACTAGGCTCAAAGTGATTGCGATCGGCGATAGGACCGGATGTCCGACGGCTCATCTCCTGAGGCTTGTGAAGAGGCTAAGAGATAAAGGCTTGTTGTTTGCATTGGCCAATTATTAGGGAACTTAGTCATAATAGGATCCTACCTTCCGGATTCATCCTAGTGGCATGCAGGGAGCTATATAGCCTTAAGGCACCATTTCAACAAAGCGGGGTTGTCTTTTCCTTTGAACACCCTGATTCATGTTCGAAATGGGGGTTTACTCGAAGATTGCAGCACTCGCTGCGCTGGTGCACTACTCAGCAGCGCAATTCGTGCCTGCACCGACCGACTTGATCACAAAGAAGGGCCATGCCGGTGTGAGCGTGCGGTATAAGGAGGTGCCTGCTGGAATTTGTGAGCAGGATCCCAATGTCAAAAGCTATTCCGGTTATGCCGATGTTGGTGAGAATGAGCACATCTTCTGGTGGTTTTTCGAGGCTAGAAATGGAGATCCCACAGAGGTAAGATCAGTCCTTTTCAAGCCTCGATTTCCCATATGCTAACAAGTCCCAGGCACCTCTTACCGTCTGGATCAACGGAGGGCCGGGATCATCTTCAATGATTGGGTTGTTCCAGGAGCTGGGGCCTTGTGGAGTTGACATCAACGGCACAGCTTATAACAACCCCTATTCATGGAGCAATGTGACAAACATGGTGGGTTTTGCGAAAGGAAACTCTTCGTTGATTAGAGCTAACCTTTTTACAGCTCTTTGTTGATCAGCCCGCGACTGTTGGGTTATCGTATACCATCCCCATCCCCGGATATCAGGATGATGACGGCAATCTCATTCAGCTGCCCGATAAGGAATGTCCCGAATATGCTGTGAAGTACGGAACATGCGGAACATACTCGAAGCCAGATATCGGCTTAGTTCCCAATTCAACACAAGGAGCCGCCCCAAATATGTGGAAGACATTGCAAGGATTCATGGGAGCATTCCCCCAATACTCCAGAAACGGATTCAGTTTTACTACTGAGAGCTATGGTGGTCATTACGGCCCAGTATTCAACGGTATGGGTAATTGAATTGAATAGCTGAAAGTGACACTAACAACCCTACAGACTACTTTGTGAAGCAAAATAAGAAAAAAATCCCTGGTGCGATTCATATTGATCTCGAGAATGTTCTCATCGGAAATGGCTGGTTCGACCCCCTGATTCAATATCAGGCGTACTACAATTTCTCCGTCTACCCGGGAAATACCTACGACTTTGACCCATACAATGCCTCCGTCAAGGCAGAATGGTATAACAATCTCTACGGAGAAGGAAATTGTGTCGATCGGACTCGCGAATGCTACGCTACTGGTCGAAATGACATCTGCTCTACTGCCGACAGTTTCTGCGCCGCCAAAGTCGAGAACATGTTTGACATTTACTCAGGGCGTGATGAGTACGATATGCGCGAACTAACCCCTGACCCTTTCCCATACTCGTTCTATGTGGATTATCTCAATAGCCCGAAGGTGCAAGCTGCCATCGGAGCGTACCAGAATTTCTCAGAGTCATCTCAAACCGTCGGCAATAGCTTTGCGAGCACAGGTGATGACGACCGTGAGTCTGGAACAATTCAGCATGTGCGAAACTTGCTTGAAGCTGGGGTGCAGGTCGTGATGTACTTTGGAGATGCGTAAGTTTTACATACAGCGAGACTTTTCAATCGATCGATCTAATTCGAAATTCCAGGGACTTCAACTGCAACTGGCTTGGTGGGCAAGTTGTCGCCCACGAAATCAATGCTCCAGGTTATGAAGAGGCAGGATTTGTCAATATATCCAGCTCCGATGGTGTTGTCCACGGACAGGTTCGACAGAGCGGACTGTATAGTTTCGTCCGCATTTACGAGTCTGGCCACGAGGTGCCTTTCTACCAACCACTGGCTTCCTTGGAAATGTTTGAAAGAGCCATTTTAAGGAAGGACCTTGCCACCGGTGAAAAGCATATCACTAGAGGTTACAAGACCAAGGGAACACCCACGAGTGACTTCCGAGAGGGCAACAGCACCGTCGTTTTCAAGGTTCTTCCTAGCGATGCCACTTACAACACAACTCTCAACGGGCCCGATCTTTCGCCCTTGGACTCGGCCAGATTTCACTGGCAAGCAAAGCGAGGAGAATCTAAGAGGGCTTCGGGCAAATACAATAAACCTAGAAGATCTATTATTGGGATGCATTAATGTGCGACCTATGTACTCGTATTGAGTTTACATTACTATCCCAGCTTTTGTTTAGCTTTTGTAGAAATACAAAGAATTTCGGTAGAATTATGATTACATTCATGGATTGCCTCAGCATTTTCTAGAAGCATTCAAAAACTAATGTGTATCTCTTGATGTCATAATATTTCTTCTAATATCTGTTCGACTCAAGAAGTAATGATTTGCAGTATACTATTAAACTCAAAATCTTCATGCGATCTCCTCAAACGCCCGAACGATGAAAGACCGGCCCTCAACAATCACCTTTTCACCAGGAATTCTCCAAGAACCCTTGCCTTCTCCCTTGAATCCAGACTTCATCGAAGGAACAGCATCAGCAGCAGGCCCCACCAGATACTTTTCCTCCCACCCTGCTCCAGTCCATTCTTCCCTTCTAGCTGTGACATCGGACCCGGTCCTCTTGAGAGATAAACCTCCCTCTGAGCCCTTTTCTCGAGAATGGGTCTGAATCTGGTGGAATGCCAGGAATGTTCCCCAGATGCGGCCGAAGAACAGTTTGTTCACAGTCACCTCCCCTTCCTGCTCGCTTTTGGTAGGATTCTCATCATCGGATTCAAGAATCCACGAAATGCCCGTCTTCGCACCTTCAGGGCCTTCTTTGAATGGCAGGTTTCGCCAAACCTCCTCAAATGCAGTCATCGGTTGCCCAGGAAGATCAGGATGAGGCATTTCACCTTGTTCAAGATCATCGCCATTGGGTAGCGGGCTAAATCTGGCAACATCGACCATTCCAATCTCATTGAGAGAGTCCAGTTCGCGGGTGAAGGAGATTTTGACTGAAATACTCAGTCAGTATCAGTTCCGTGAGATCGGCTTTAAAAATGAAATTATTCTCGCTCCAGCAAAAGTTACGTACGGGGTGTTTCATTCGGGTTCTCTGCAATGTTTGTACCGGCCATAGCCCAGTCGATTCCTCCAGTCTTCTTGTCCATGCGCAAGTCAAGATAATACTCTCCCACGGAAAGGACAATTGTATCCGTCGTCTCCTCCGGGACCTCCGGGACCCATCGGAGCGAAATGCGAGTTGTGAAGGCGCAAGTTGAGCCTAGTTCAGCAGCGGTAGCCATGATCAATTGATGTGGATGACCTTGAATCTTGGGTAAGGAAAGAATTACTTTAAATTTAGGCGGGGGAGAATAATATTTAATCTCCCACTACTCATAATGCGGGTGTGGAGTAAAGCGTGCGATGTGGGCTGGGGTTGAAATCGGCGATGATGACGAATCGGGAAGCTCCAAGAGATCGGACCGGCACCCAACTTCGTTATCGCCATCACTCCAACTGGGAATGTTCCACACATCCGGCTTGTTTGTAGTGTTAGACCTGGCCTTTCCAATAAAGTAGTTGGGTAGTTGGGAAAATACGAGCAAAATAAGTCGTGAAGGGGTTTCCTATGATATCGTTTATGAATTGAAGGCGTTTCAAAATCGCATGTCGAGGCTATCATTGGGTATTGTTAGATAAGATTGGGTACTTTAGGAAATCTAAAACTACTATATCCTCCCCTTGGTCGACAATGTTTCGTCATGACTAGTAGCTGTGTATTAAAAAAGGTTCTTATAGTATCTACCTATTCAAGGGTGTTGTAAAACGGAAGGACTCTGCTCCAATTTCTCAATTTTTGTCTCCATGTTCTAAATTTGTATGTTAGCAACACCAGCATTTCAAGGTTCTCTTCATCTTAATCTCAACAAACCAAACACCCATGTCCAGCAATCGAACCCTCAGCGCTCGGGCTTCCACCAGTGCTCTCGGTCGTCAGTACTCAAGGATCTTTAATGGTACGGCAGTACGAACATGCCCTGTGATGACATGGAATCTAGTCTCACTTATCTCTCAGATTTCTCTGGTGAAGAATCAAAGAAGTCACTCCGTCGCAGTTCTCTGGCTGATAACATCACGAATGATAACTTGAACAAAAATGACATGGACACGTCCAGAATTCTCAAAAACGAAACCAACCAGAATCCTCAAGTTTCGACGCCTGTTGGCTCCAATTCTGTTCCTCATTCATCACACTCGGGTGGTCCAAATATTGCCTCCTCGACCACCCCAGATCCCGGCAGTCATACTGAAGGAGTCTCGTCATACAAGAGGAAGAGGACATCGGACTCCGAACTTGACAAACAGAGTTCCATCTACAAACTTTGGTTGGAGACTGAAGATCCCAAGTCCCTGCTCAGGGACAATCAGCCTGCAGAAGTGCTTCTAAGATACATAAAGTCGTGGAAAATGGCCAATAAGATGCGTTCTAAGCTGGTTCAAAATCCTTGCTTAGTGGACAGTGACATGCTCAAAGGGGCTGTCGCCTGGCTTGAAGAGTTCGATTGGTTTTCAGATAGTTACTGCAAGGCATGCAAGAGACATCAACATGAACTTTGGAATGACTTGTCGGGACTGATCTTCTGAGTGCTTTTCAATGATCTATTGCCTTCATGTGCAAGTCGACAGTAAGATCACGCGGAGCATGGCTACAACTTTCTTGATTTTGTTTGGATACTTTCAGATCCCAAAAAAGAAAAAGAAAATGTATTTTTCCCCTACTCGGAAAGGTGATTTGAATCAAAGCCATAGCCCTATAATGTGACCTGTTCTCATGGTTATACTAGCTTTACCGCACTAGGGCTGTCTACAGTGGCCAGCTATTTTAATTTTCATCATATGGTAGATAGCCCTGTTTCTAATAGTACAAATAATCTTGTCCAAATGCTTTAATATTTGTCTCCCAATAATCAAGCAGTCACAAAACGATGTTTTGCCACTAGAACTATACTATGCGTTGCACTCTTAATGGAAAACCCGGTATCGGCGCGAAGGCGGACCAATCAGAGGCCACGCAAATAACGAGACCGCCGACCGCAAAAAAAACAGCCCGTCGGGACTTCCCTGACTCCATTCCCCAGTTTCCACCCTCCACACTCGAAATGGTGAGCCAGTTATTATGGCACAGGGCTGCGGCCTCTCGCGGAGTGAGTTGACTTCCTATCATATTGAATTGACCTCCAATTGACCTTACTAACTTACATTACTAGCTCGCCGCACGCCTGTCCCCGCAACATCTCGCCCGAGGCTTGGCCACCGAGGCCGCCTCTTCGCGCATGCCGCCCTACCCCAAGATTGTTCGCAACCTTGAGCAAGTTCGCAAGGTTCTGGGCTCGGAACGCGCCCTCACTCTCGCTGAGAAGATCCTTTACTCCCACTTGGCCAACCCCGAGGAGTCCCTGCTCACTGGCACCAACAATGGCCGTGATATCCGGGGCCAGGCTAACCTTAAGCTGAAGCCCGATCGTGTGGCCATGCAGGATGCCTCTGCCCAGATGGCTCTTCTTCAGTTCATGTCCTGCGGTCTTCCATCCACTGCCGTTCCCGCCAGTATTCACTGTGACCACATGATTGTTGGAGAGCGTGGTGCCGACACCGATCTGCCGGCTTCGATCAAGGGTAATGCCGAGGTTTTCGACTTCCTGGAGAGCGCGGCTAAGCGCTATGGAATTGAGTTCTGGCCCCCGGGTGCTGGTATCATTCACCAGAGTGTTCTGGAGAACTATGCCGCCCCGGGTCTGATGATGCTTGGAACCGACAGTCACACCCCCAATGGTGGTGGTCTGGGTGCTATTGCTATTGGTGTCGGTGGTGCCGATGCCGTCGATGCGCTGGTTGATGCCCCTTGGGAGTTGAAGGCCCCCAAGATCCTTGGTGTGCGTCTGGAGGGCCAGCTCAGCGGCTGGGCTTCGCCTAAGGATATCATCCTGTCCCTGGCTGGTAAGCTGACTGTTCGTGGTGGTACTGGCTTTATCGTTGAGTACTTCGGCCCTGGTGTTGAAACTCTTAGCTGCACTGGTATGGCTACCTGCTGTAACATGGGTGCTGAGGTTGGCGCTACTACCTCGCTCTTCCCCTTCTCGCCTAACCACGTCCCCTACCTTGAGGCCACTCACCGTGGTCATGTTGCTAAGGCCGTGGCTGAGATCGCTGGCTCTGGTCCTAAGAACCTGCTGCGGGCTGACACTGAGGCCCAGTATGACCAGGTTATCACCATCAACCTGTCTGAGCTGGAACCTCACATCAACGGCCCTTTCACTCCCGATTTCTCTGTTCCTCTGTCTAAGTTCGCCGACACTGTGCGCGAGAAGCAGTGGCCCACGACGTTCGGTGCTGGTCTCATCGGTAGCTGCACCAACTCTTCCTACGAAGACATGACTCGTGCGGAGCACCTGGTTAAGCAAGCCGAGGCTGCTGGCCTCAAGCCTAAGGCTGACTTCTTCATCACCCCCGGTAGTGAGCAGATCCGCGCCACTCTTGAGCGCGATCAGACTCTGTCCACCTTCTCCGAGGCTGGCGGTGTCGTTCTTGCCAACGCCTGTGGACCCTGCATTGGTCAGTGGACCCGTACCGACGAGACGCCCAAGGGCGAGGACAACGCCATTTTCACTTCTTACAACCGTAACTTCCCCGGTCGTAACGATGGCAACCGCCGTACCATGAACTTCTTGGCTTCTCCAGAGCTCGTGACCGCGCTCGCCTACTCTGGCAGCACTACTTTCAACCCCATGACCGATTCCCTGACCACCCCCAGCGGTGAGAACTTCAAGTTCCAGCCTCCTCAGGGCTCACACCTTCCCAGTGCTGGTTTCGAGGCCGGTAACCCCGACTTCCAGCCTACCGCTGCCGTTCCCGATGCCAGCGTCCCGGTCGCCGTCTCCCCTACCTCGGATCGTCTGGCTCTCCTCGAGCCCTTCGCTCCTTTCCCCAAGGGTGACCTGAGCGGCCTGCAAGTCCTGTACAAGGTCAAGGGCCAGTGCACCACTGACACTATCTCCGCCGCCGGTCCTTGGCTTAAGTACAAGGGTCACCTGCCCAACATCTCCGCCAACACTCTGATCGGTGCCGTCAATGCCGCCACCGGTGAAACCAACGTCGCTTATGATGAGAACGGAGCTCAGTTCGGTATCCCCGAGCTTGCTGAGCAATGGAAGGCCAAGGGCCTCGAGTGGCTCGTCGTCGCCGAGGACAACTACGGCGAGGGCTCTGCCCGTGAGCACGCTGCCCTGCAGCCTCGCTACCTGGGTGGCCGCGTCATTGTGACCAAGAGTTTTGCTCGTATCCACGAGACCAACCTCAAGAAGCAGGGTGTTGTCCCCCTTACCTTCGCCAACCGCGAGGATTACGACCGCATTGAGGCCTGTGACAGCGTCGACACTGTCGGTCTTTACGACACCCTTCAGGCCGGTGGCCAGGGCGATATCCAGCTCCGCGTGACCAAGCGCAAGACTGGCGAGACCTTCATGGTTCCCGTTAACCACACCTTGAGCAAGGACCAGTCTAGCTTCATCCTTGCTGGCAGTGCGCTGAACCTGCTGGCCGCCAAGGCCAACGCCACCAAATAAATGGTGGTGAGGAAGCGTTTATATCTGTGACAGTATGTATTTAACAACCCAAAGTTCGGTTTTCAATCACTTGGAGAAAGGCAAAGAAAAGAAAAAGTCGATATCTGCGGGGAGTTGTGAGTCCAGGTTTTGTTGGAGTACCGCTGCTAATTATACTAGCATGGACAATTTGTATCTGGAGAGGTTAGATTTTTCCATCATTTTTTTATCTCGTTTTTTTGCGATCTAGATGATATCCAATGTGATCTGTATTCTAATTTTAACTGTTCCTCGAGTAGAGAATAAAGTAAACAGTAGTGCTGACTAGCATTCTCGTTCCTGAGTGAACATGACCAGGCCGGACCAACCATTCGGCTTAACCCCGCATAGTGGAGAGAAGACTCCAAATTGATAGGAACCTTCTGGGTGTCCAATTAGGGTTGCCGATGTATACATACGTGGGGCGCCCGCCCTTTAAATGACATCTCTGCCCAGGCGCATATAAGAGCACGACGTGCTCTTCAGATAACAACTCGACATTCTTCCAACCCCACGACTCACTATGAGTTCCACAAACGATATTCAAAAGCCTTGGATCGAGACTCCACTAATTGAGTCGGCAACTCTATCCAAGCTTGCGGGATGGTAAGAAAGCTCTCTTCAATGAAAAAAGAAATCCCAGAAAAATTCGACCTTGCCAGTACTTACCTGTAATCCCTGCTACTTCAGTCGAATCTTCCTTAAGCTAGACCTTCTCCAACCATCTGGCTCCTTCAAATCCCGGTACGTCGCAATTATGCTCCAATTCCTCGCAATATCCCATCCCATCCCATGTTATTACCCCTCCATCGTCGCCACCGAGGCAGAAAACCCACAAAACACCAACCATTGGATATAATTCGCCCTGAGCAAAGAAAAGAAAACAGAATCAAAACTAACATCAGCCAGCGGCGTCGGTAACTTCATCCACGCAAACCTCAAATCGCACTCCCAAAGCCACCCACCCCATTTCTACATCTCATCCGGCGGAAACGCAGGCCTCGCCGCCGTGCGCGCGGCGCAAGACCTGCACTGTAAATGCACCGTCGTCGTACCGCACAGCACGAAGCCATTCATGATAAACAAGCTGCATCAGGCCGGCGCAACAGAAGTCATCCAGCATGGAGCCAGTTGGTTCGAAGCAGACACCCACCTGCGAGAACAATTCATCGACGCCGAGCATAATGCCGACGGGGCTAATGTTTACGTACCCCCGTTCGACCACCCGCTTGTTTGGGAGGGGGCAAGTAGTATGGTTGATGAGATTGCGAGACAATTGCCCGCGCAGGAGGGTGCTGCATTTGCCGCGGACGCGGTCATTTGTAGTGTAGGTGGGGGTGGGCTTTTTAATGGGTTGGTTGGTGGGTTGGAGAGGTGTTGGAAGGATTCTCGGTCCGGGGCTGGTACTAGTAAGAATGTGCGCGTGTTGGCTGTTGAGACGCAGGGTGCGCATGCGCTTGCTCACTCGCTGCGTGAGGGGAAACTATCTTCGCTCGATGCGATAACCTCGCAAGCTACTTCGCTCGGCGCGTTGCAGGTTTCGTCCCGGACGTTTGAGCTTGCGAGTAACCCGCCGTCCGGTGTGGAGGTCACGAGTGTTGTTCGGTCGGACGCGGAGGCTGCGCGTGGTGTTGTGCTGCTTGCTGATGAGACGCGTTTGGAGGTTGAGTTGGCCTGTGGTGTGAGTGTTGAGGTTGCTCTTAGCGGGGAGTTGAAGAAGGTCATTCCCGATCTCAACCCGGAAACGCGGGTTGTTGTAATTGTTTGTGGAGGTAGTAATGTCTCTGCGGAGATTATTGCTGGATATAGAGAACAGTTGGCGACAGGCTGGGAGTAGTGGTAGTAGTAGTAGTAGTAGTACCTAGGTAGGGTACTTCTATCTGGAAGCAGTGGGAGTGGGATTGGGAGAGGACGGCTAGAGTCATGGCGAATAATTTATGGAAATCGCGGGGCCTAAATCTGGCTATTTAGGTAGACTATATCATACTACACTAGCACCTAAGCAGGTGCTTAATTTGAATTAAATTAAGTACAACTACCTGCCTAGTAAGAGGCCTTGAGGTGATCGCCCTGACCTAGGATGAGCTCCGATGGTCAGAGGTATATACCTACTACCTACTGGGTAGTAATAGCACCTATTGGTTAACACATACTTCCACAGTCCGTAAGCCCTGGAGTGCCCAGGTGCCCAGGTGGAGCGCTCTTACCGACTGGCTAATGCCCGGGTGTAATTAACTTTGGAATGGATCGTTTGATATCACGTTTGCCAAGGATATAGCTAGTAGGATCTCAGTTTATACATCTGCACCCCAACTTGAACTTTGTAAGTGACCAAATACACTACTAATAGAAAAGACCTCCCCAAAGTCACAAAATGCAAAAGCTTTATTCATAATATCATAACACGAATAAAAAACAAGATCAGGTCTAGCTCGTACTCGTATGCTCGGAAAGGCAAAACCCAGCGGCGCTGAAAAGACATCTCACGAAACCACCAGGGCCTCTAGAATTGACAGGACAGCAACAAATGACCACCGGCAGAAGAGGGAGGGAAACCGGTAACAGAGACTTTTGGACAAACGATCTATTCGCTGCCACTAGCACTGCCATGGTCCGAGTCGTCGCCCTGGGGTTGCATACCCTCAGCCATAATATACTCCGCCTGTTGGAGGGCTTGCTTAATCTCGTCGTTGTTGAAGACCAACTCGACCGGCTTCTGATTATGCTTATTCCGTACCCGGGGGTCACAGCCAGCCTCGCACATCATCTTCACCATCTCGGTGCCTAGTTCCCTGTCCTTGTCATTGGCGTATCGCACGGCAATGTGGAGAGGTGTGTCATCGTCCATTCGCGTCTTCGGGTCGCATTCGAAGTACTGGATGTCAAAGAGGGAGTCCATCACGTCGTCTGTCGCGAGAATTCCGTTAGTGCGGGGCTCTTTTAGGAGAAAGGGACAGGTTCGGGGTAGCTTGGTGCTTGGCAAGAAGCGGTCTATCCACGTACAGCTTCCGTAGATGGCGCAGATGTGCAATGCGTAGTTGCCCAGTGGATCTGTCACGCTGTTGAAGAACTGTGCCACTTCCTCATTTGATTTCTCCTCCATCGAAGCGAGGACTTGTTCCAATAGGTGTGGTTGGTCGCGGCGGCAGGCTTCCACGACCAGCTCGCGGGGTGAGGCACCCTAAGACTGAAAGTTAGCGGTTATGCGAAGAGCAGTAGGAAAACGAGAGTCGCAACGCACTTCTTCGCCAGCCATTGTTTGAGTACAAGTCGCAATTCGGAGGTTGTTTGGGAGAAGGCAGTGGTTCCAGTCGCGCGGCAATAGGGACAAGGAGCTAGTCGGTGTGAAACGGGGGAAAACACGAGACGAAGCGGCGGGATATAGAGTGAAACAGCAAGGGGCTTGTTCCCAGAATTTCAGTAAAAGGCGTATTTACAAGCAGAGAATTTCAGAGCTTCGGTCAGGGTCTCTGTAGCGTGGCAGTGTAGATGTTTGTTCCCCAGGGACATCCCACGATCATGTGACTTACCGAAAACCCCGCCGTCTAAATTTAGCCGCGCGGTTAGCTTGCCAGCGCAGTTGGAGATTTGGTCGTCCTGCAAGTCGCCAGCGGTTGAGCCAGCAGGCGAGAGTTACGCTTCTCTTTGCTTCTGCTTTTATTACAGATATATAGGAGCCTCGATTCACCTGGGATAGTGAGAGTTTGCGCCAGCTGAAATGCCGCTCGTTTGTTGGTGATCCCCGGATCGAGAATCGCACGAGAAGAAAGCTAACGACTCCCACCTTCAGTCTGCCCTAACTGCAGCAATGCGCTGACAGTTTCCCGAGCGGAGTCCACAACTCAACATCCGATGGGTATCAACCGATTCGAGTGCCGCACCTGCCCCTACGAGCAACCCATCGTGCGACAGACCATCTTCGAGACGACTGAGATGAAGCAGAAGGAAGTGGAGGACGTATTCGGCGGCAAGGAAGAGTTCGCCAATGCCGATAGTGTGGGAAGTACGTTGCGAAAGATTCTCCTATCCCCAGTCTATTTTGTAGACCTGCCTTTGGGTTGGGTCTCAGTCTGGATCCTAGTTGGGGCTGGAAACTGATTACAATCTCTCTCTTCAGCGCAATGCCCAGCCGAGAACTGCAACGGAGACCGTGCATACTTCTTCCAGCTGCAGATCCGCAGTGCAGATGAGCCGATGACTACATTCTTGAAGGTAAGTGCCCGCATCTCCCCCCTTACGCACACGCGTGCGCCGCATTATCTGACAGCTGTACACAGTGCTGCGACTGCGGTGCACGGTGGAGAGAGAACTGATCTGATCGACGGGATGAGATCAAGAGTGGGGGAAAGTACTCAATTTGGAGGGGGAGTTTGTTTCCCATATTTCATGCGACAAAACATAATGGCGCATCATATAATTTTTGCTCTTTGCTTGGTTGGGCGTTTTGGTACGAACACATACACATGGCTACGGCGGCGGCTGTAGATGAGATACCCGAATTTGATCGACCATACGTCAATGATAGGCCGGAGCATTTGCGATCGGCGACTTCTAGGCTAAAAAAGAAAAAAAAGGAAAAAGAAAAAAAAGTTTTTGGAGTTGGTTGTAACCATGGGTCTTGCCCAGCCTCATACTTTTTTGCGATACTTCCTGACTCAATGAGGGGGTTAGATAGGACCACTGTACGGAGTACGGAGTATAATCGTACAATTTATTCTACAATTGCTATCCATGAATCTTCCCAGCCATCAGTATTAATTTTTGTTTTTGACTCATTGAATCTCTCTATTGACGTCTGTGGCAAAAATGCCTCTGCATGACATGTGCAGCCTGGTGGTGATGGTGGGTCTCGATTTGGCGGTGACTGCTGAGTGCCCCGCGGGAGGGGTAGTTACTTTACGGAGTAATCCTGACTCGCAAAATTGGGCTGCATTCGGTGATATCTGGAGGGGTAGTCACCAAAAGGGGAGCTCAAAAAATCAAGAGTAAAAGAAAACAATAATAAAAAGCTGTGTGAATCTAAAATATGAGTACGGAGTATACACAATTCCACTTGAGGAGGCCCGACGACTGCGTTGCTGCCCAGTAGTGGGCTGAAAGGACCACGATGAGGAAGAAAATTCACATTTGAGTGGAGACCCGTGGGATGGTAACCAGGGAACGAAAATAGGGTGTACTGGTACATTGAGCACCGTAGTAAAAGGTATGTTGATTGAAGTAGAAGTACTACGCTAAACAGCCCACCGCAGAATTTTCTTGTTGTCCCGCTGGAAGGACCCACCAGAGCTGACATTGGCCAATCGAAGCCCACAGAAACGAAAGGGCTAACCCAGCCCACTTCGCCTCTTTCCCTCGCTTGCCCCTCCATATAAGGATTTCCCCTCCTCACCCCTCCCACAGATTTTTTTCTTTCTTCCCTGTCCGCATCAGTACGTATATCTTGCCCACCCCTTGGCTTTTCCCTCTTCTTTTCTCCTTTTCTCTTCTAACTCTCTGCTGCACAGTACCTCTACACACGCTGTAGAATCTGTGCAATTTTTTCAGGCTTCTCCTAGTATCTTACAAAGAAACTTCAAGAACCTACCGTCACCATGGGTAAGGACGAGCGTACTCACGTTAACATTGTCGTTATCGGCCACGTCGATTCCGGCAAGTCTACCACTACTGGTCACTTGGTAAGAAATATCTCCCTCATATCCCACAGTCTTTGAGGAAACAATACTAACATCTCTTCCCTCTTCCAGATCTACAAGTGCGGTGGTATTGACTCCCGTACTATTGAGAAGTTCGAGAAGGAGGCTGCTGAGCTCGGAAAGGGTTCCTTCAAGGTTGGTTCCACCCACATCAAATATCCCCAAATACAATATGTTCATCATGCTGACCCATTCAATAGTATGCCTGGGTTCTTGACAAGCTCAAGGCTGAGCGTGAGCGTGGTATCACCATCGATATCGCTCTGTGGAAGTTCCAGACCGCCAAGTTCGAGGTCACCGTCATTGATGCCCCCGGTCACCGTGACTTCATCAAGAACATGATCACTGGTACCTCCCAGGCCGATTGCGCTATTCTCATCATCGCCTCCGGCACTGGTGAGTTCGAGGCTGGTATCTCCAAGGATGGCCAGACTCGCGAGCACGCCCTTCTCGCTTTCACCCTCGGTGTCCGTCAGCTCATTGTTGCCCTCAACAAGATGGACACTGCCAAGTGGGCCCAGGCCCGTTACGACGAGATCGTCAAGGAGACCTCCAACTTCATCAAGAAGGTTGGCTTCAACCCCAAGACCGTTCCCTTCGTCCCCATCTCCGGTTTCAACGGTGACAACATGCTTGAGCCTTCCCCCAACTGCCCCTGGTACAAGGGTTGGGAGAAGGAGGGCAAGAACGGCAAGGTCACCGGTAAGACCCTGCTGGAGGCCATCGATGCCATCGAGCCCCCTGTCCGTCCCTCCAACAAGCCCCTCCGTCTGCCCCTCCAGGATGTCTACAAGATCTCCGGTATTGGCACGGTTCCCGTCGGTCGTGTTGAGACCGGTAAGATCATCCCCGGTATGGTCGTCACCTTTGCTCCCGCCAACGTGACCACTGAGGTCAAGTCCGTCGAGATGCACCACCAGCAGCTCAAGGAGGGTGTCCCCGGTGACAACGTCGGCTTCAACGTCAAGAACGTCTCCGTCAAGGAGGTTCGCCGTGGTAACGTCGCTTCCGACTCCAAGAACGTAAGTTACTTCTGAATACTCGTCACTCACTCTGGCTCCTCTCTAACCCTTTTTCCAGGACCCCGCTATGGCCGCCGCTTCCTTCAACGCCCAGGTCATTGTCCTGAACCACCCCGGTCAGATCGGTGCCGGTTACGCTCCCGTTCTGGACTGCCACACCGCCCACATTGCCTGCAAGTTCTCTGAGCTCCTCGAGAAGATTGACCGCCGTACCGGAAAGTCCGTTGAGGACTCCCCCAAGTTCGTCAAGTCCGGTGATGCCGCCATCGTCAAGATGGTTCCCTCCAAGCCCATGTGTGTTGGTAAGTTATAATAAGTCCCGCGCTCCCCTATTTCTTTTGATACAGTTCTAACTCGCTCTACAGAGGCTTTCACCGACTACCCTCCTCTCGGTCGTTTCGCCGTCCGTGACATGCGCCGTACGTTTCCCAATTCCCCTGAAATAGAGCTGAACATTTTACTAACTGAAGAACAGAGACCGTTGCCGTCGGTGTCATCAAGTCCGTCGACAAGTCCGCTGGCGGTGCCGGCAAGGTCACCAAGGCCGCCCAGAAGGCTGGCAAGAAATAAGCGATTTCACATGATGCAGAGATGCCGTGATGATTTTCTTACAAAAACGCTTATGGATCGAGCTAGACCTAGCTTAGTTTCTCTAAAATTCTATTAACAGATTTGAGACTCAAACTGAATATGTAGACTTCAACTTTGTAACACGTACTTTGATAGCCGTGGCTCAGGATGTCCAGTATAGTATTCCAGGGTAACCAGAACCATCTGCTTTATCTTGCAGAAAACAATCCACACCATGATCTTACGGCTAGCTTGCTATATCAAAGTAACACTAAGCACTACCATAAATCAAATGTACGCGCAAATATGCTATGGCTAAGGGTCCGGGGAGCACCTAACTCTTGGTTGAGAAACAATTTTGTATGCAAATCTAGTAGGTACCTTCCTAGGTAGGTACAGTGCAGTTGCGAAGTTTTGAAAACCCCGACTGAAAAAGGGAATGCATTGGTCTGCTGAAACCTCTGGCGCAGCGCATAGCATGATGGTAAGAGGAAGAGGAAAATAAGAAGGAAGAGAAAAAGCAAAGACTTATCCATCCCTTTTAGGACCCACTGCTTTCCGGGATATGACAGGAACCTTTTTCGACACCTCAGGCATTGTCTCCAATCACACTTATCCCATTGAGCATCGACCTCATTTACTGGTTGTGCCTTGAAACACCCAAAGCACCTGTTAACAATGCACTCATGACCCATCTCCCGACGAGCTTTGGGGTTTCTTGCAATACTGGCACATATAGCAGTTCTCGCGATGCTTCTCGATCTTGTCCTTGTGAAAGCGTTTCCGACATGGATTGCAGGACCAAATTTCACAGGTCTTCATATGCACCGGGGGCGTCTTCGACGGGTAACCTTCTCCCACATCCAGTACATATCCGTGTCCGGCAGAGATCCGGATTTCCATGCTCAGCTTCATAAATCTCCGGAGGGAAGCTTCCCGCGCAGAGCTGGCAGCGTTTCCAGGTGCAGTTTCACGATGTGCGGCTATTTCATCCCTCTCAAAGCACTTCAAGCACTTCCAACATCTTTTTTTTTGAGCAGACCTTCTCGTGCTCTGGAAGTTTGCCAGTGGTTTTCTTGAATCTTCCCCGGCATTTCCCAGGTGTAGACTTGTGAGACTCCTTGTTTGCTTTAATAAAATTATCTCTACTACTAGTACTAGTACTAGTACAAGCACCGCAGCGGTAGTATGGGCAGACATCATCGTGTTTCTTGATATCTTCTTTTCGAATGCTTATTATTTGTTGACATTTGGAGCATTAGAACTCGTTGCATTCTGCTAGATGACTCGGGTTTCTTCTTTTGCGGCCTCCATGTGCTTGTGACATCTTGGACAACACCAGATAGAGCATGCTCGTTTATGCTCTCCAATGTCACCAATAGCCAAGACTTTTCTGCATTTATGACGTTCCTTTTTTCGGTGCGAACAGTTCTCCTTGTGGGCTAGAAGTTCGTCGTTGGTGAAGTTTTTCGAGGCAGTAATCGCATAGTCTGTCTGCCTTGTACCAAGTGTCCACAAGCTCGAACCACGGATCTTCACAGCGTCTGAGATATTGGATCATTGTAAGCGGATGGCAATGGCCATTTCTCGCAAGAATCTCTTCGCAATGAAGACACTTGACGGTTTCGTAATGAAATTTGTTATTCGCTATGTCTTGGGATTCCACGAGGTCGAAATGGCTTTCCACAGTAGATACTTGAGTTCTATAGCTATCCATATGAATCTCCATATCGTTGTATGTTGAATTCACATTCTGGGTGCATACTGCGCAGGAACTTTACGCATGGCATGTAGACGTTCGTTGGAAACCATCATAGCTCTGTCCGAAGAAGTTCCTTATCTCCCAATTCTTCAGCTCTGCCCTGACGTGCCTCATGTTGACGACGAGAGATTAGTAATAGCCACTATAGCTACACTTGTTGAGGCTTCCCGTTATGACTGTCCTTATGCTTCTAAGCAGATTTTGCTTGGAAACCCGAACATTTAAGTCCAATAGCGGCATTTTTGTGTACATTTGGCTCTTTGGGGGATATTCGTTGTTATTGGCATCGCCGTTTCAATCCTCATGCGATAGCATGTCAGCATATCCTCGTTTTCAGCGAGGTATTCGATGTTTTCTTCCTCTTCGATGTGCCCAAAACAGAGACCGTCGTCAAGTAATTCTGAATGAGATAATTGACAAAAATGGAGCTGCTTACAGCTTCTGTTTAGCAACTTGCAAGTATGTGGCCATTGTTTCTTGGACAGAAGCTCTTTGCACTCTACGAATCGGTCTCAAGGTCCAATACAGTTCCAAATTCTGGACCCCACGATGGCAACGATAGCTACAGTCATAATATTCCTCTCTTTCACTGGAGTATATTGGAATAATTACAAGGTTTCAAGCATATCCGCTTACTAAGGGGCTATTGCATTATCAATGGCAGTGACATCAACATCAACACATCACGAGAAGAGGCAATAGATTAAAGGGTAGGAAAGGGAACGGCCTCGAGTATGGGTGGGGCAGTGGGGTAAGTCGTAAATCTTCAAAGACTTCAAGTTCAGGTGTGGGCAGAAGTGGCGGGAATCTTGATCATCCTCAGCATCTTCGTCGGAATTTTGGTCAAGGTCATCGGGGGTATATCGCAAGATTTCAGAAGACGCGACTCGGAAAGACTGTTAGTAGTCGAGGGGTCAGCGCTGTTCGAGAAATTCCTTTGTTCAATTCCTAAGGGTGGATACGTCATAACGATCTCAAAGATCTCAAGAGCTGCAAAATCATTGCTAGAATCATACTTCTTTATGCAAGATGCATTTGTTTTGTAATTACTCCAGGGTATCAGGGTATCACAACAGTATCACCAAACTACAGCCAGGATATTCCAATAGGAAAGATAAACTGGGCCATGCAATAACTACAGACATTCAAACCGACCCGAATCAATCCGAATCAGTGGCTGAATCTTCCTCACCCGAAGACTCAGAATCGTGCTGCGTCGCAGGGGCAGAGCGCCTGGACCGTCTCGGCCCCTCACGCCGCCGCGCATCTGCATCTGCATCCGCCTCCACCTCCTCTCCGCCACCGCGACCACGTTGTCCACTCGATCCAGCCTCCTGGGTTTGCCCGGGGCGTTCACGAATCCCCAGACTCCTCCTCAGCCTGCCCTCGAACGCCTCCCTCTCCTCTTCCTCCATCTGTGTCATTTCCCCGCCTAGCACGTCTTCGTCTCCGTCCCCATATCCGGGGACCCTGCCGCTGGCTTTGGGCGTTCCTTCTCCGCGTCCATAAACCTCCCGAACAAGCCCAGCCACGCCATTCGTCCCCACTTCGACTTTACCCCGCGGGCCGACCAGGAACTCGATCTGTTCCTCCCCGCCGTCCATTTCTCGCGTTCGTACGAGGTAGCCCTCGCGGATCATGCGCAGGAGGAGTTTGTCTGTGCGGTCGATGGGGGTGTGTGATTCTGCGTTCATGCGGGCGAGGTAGCGGTCCAGTTTCGGTTCGGCGAGTGAGCCGCCGTTTAGCGTTATCAGGGCTATGATGAAACTGTAGAGTCCTGTGTAGGTACTTTCTGTGCCTACGGAGGGCGCTTTGGTGGGGGGTAATATGGCGGATGTTTGGTAGGATTGTGGTAGTGTTGTCGTTAGGATCCAGGATTTATTTCCGGATGATGGTTTGTCGGTTTTCTGAGCGGCTGTTCCAGAAGGCGGGTATTAGTCTCTGTTTTCTTCTTCTTTTCTCCGGTCACTGGGTTTGGATCGCGAATGTTCGCCATTGTAGACGACCAAATGAATGAATGAAAGGATAGGATAGGATGGATCCAAACTCACCCCGCCGCTGGGAAATAGTCGTCTTCTCGCGCGCAGGTAATTCAACCATCTCCATTCCAAACCGAGTCTTCAGCTCCTTTTGCGCTTGCTCAAAGACAACCTTGAACTGGCGCGTTCCCTGCTCGCCCAAGACTTTGGCGCTGATGTCTGTTCGACGGATGGGAAGACGTGAGTACTCGCTCGCGAGAGCGAGACGGACCATTTTTTTGACCATGGCATCGAGACTTGATGGTGCGCCGCTATTGCCATCTTCGCTGTCATCTCCAGCAGCTGAAGAGGAGCGCGTTCTTTGACGACGAGCTGCGCTAGGTTGGGGGACTTCGTCGTCCGAGTCCGCGGGCTCGGGCTAGTTCAAGGTTAGTGGGGGTGTTGGTTTTGAGTTGAGTTTGGTTCTTTCTCACTTACCGCTTGTCTTTTGCGGGCCAGAGGCATTATTTTGGTCGTGTTGTGGTGTCAAACTTGAAGTTTGAGTTCTGAGGGCGGAGTAATGATGGAGAGTGGACGCGACGCGACGATGCGATGCGATCAAACGTCGATTTTACCGCATCCGGGAGTTGGTCCGTGCGCTTATCTATGTCACCCACTAGTTGACCCAAGAGCACCTGCCATATGCGAATGGACTCGGATGCTCTTGGATTGAGTTTCGGGGCTTAAGGTATTAAGATAAATTATTCTTGTAATTAAGGGGTAGTCTGAAAGCTTCATTGACAAATTGGTCTGTTGGGAATAGCACTAGTACTAGTCGTAGCCTGCCCAGGTGAAAATGATAGCGAACAATTTGAAGCTTGAACGATCGACAATATATGTAATGGAGTACCCCACCACATTTAAGAACAAAGAAATCAAAACGTGAATGTCCGGGCGTGAACGTGAACTTAATTGAAACAGACGGAATAATAGGTATTATTTTTTCTCTAGGAAACAAGGCGGCGAAAAAAAAAAGAGGCGCTCAAGCAAAGAAAGAAAATCCAAATCTAATCAGTGGTTGTTGGTCTTCTCGTTCACGACTTCCTTAACTTCGTCCTTGGCAGTCTGCAACCAGGTGTTGACCCACGCCAATGACTCCTGCGAGATGACCAAGCTGGTTGTGATAACGGCCTTTCCAGAGGCGAAAATACCGTCGCCACCGCACTTCTTGTATTCCGATCCGTAGGTGTCGAAGAGGTGGTGCTTGACATCACCAGCGACACGCACTGGGTAGCCAGCGGTGTTGTAAATGGTGCCGCGGATCTTCTGGGTATCTTCTCGGACGATGGGGAAGCGAGTATCGATCTGGCTCAGACCCTTGTCACCGAGAGTGTCGGCACGGGCAAGGTAAGGTACCACATAGCTGTAGGGCACAGAGAAGTAGGGCAGGACGGGCTTGGCCAGGCGGGTGTAGCCTTGGTCGGCGAACTCGATGGACTTGGCGCCGAGTGGGTTGCCCTTGAAGACGGCGATAGAGTCGGAGACCACGGGGTAAGAAGTGAGATGCTAGTGAGTCAAACAGTAGTGTTAGCCAGTGGCGCAAATCAAACAGGACACGGCGCTGGGTAGCTGCATACATCGAGGAATTGAGAATGGACCTTCTCGCCGTTGACGATCGGTTCACCCATCTTGTCAGAGTCGGCGTGGGGCATGAAGAGAAAGAATGAGATAGAGAGGGTGTGAGTGAGAGAGAATGAGATAGAGAGGGTGTGAGTGAGAGAGAAAAATATTCCAAGTAGGACAGAGAGAAGAGAAACCAGCAAGTCAAGTAGAAAAGAGCAGAGAGCCAAGAAGGAAAGAAAAGAGAGAAGGTGATGTGGGCTGTATATAGATTTTCACATGTGATTGCGCCCACATTATGCAATTGCCATTGGCCTCACAAGGCCCCAGCGCAATCGCATCATCTGTGCGCAGGGATCGTATTCCCCGGCTGGGTTTGCCTTAGTACATTATTTCATTCTTTCATTACTCTTTTTATTTTCTTTTTCCCGTTTTTTTATTGTTTTTTTTTTTCCAAAAAAATTTATGCTTGGTTGCGATTTCGGTGCTGGATCAGACCTCTTTGCAGCTTGCCCTGACGCCATGGCAAATTTTGGCTTCCCGGTAGCGACGAGCACTCTACTTGACAAGTATATCCCGAATTTGACGCCCAACACCCTGGAACAACCTACTCTTCCCGAAACCCAAAGAATAGGACAACCCGTTGCGCAATCATCATGTTCAGCACAATTGCATTAGCTTGCAACATGGGTTTGATAAGACCTCCCTTCACATGTGATTGCGGGTCCAACGTCGACGCATTTGGGATCCACCACTACTAGACCATCTTAGCCTCACTGATCGACTCTACGAGAAGCTCGCCATGTACAACTGTACATACCTCGCAACAGCACTTCCAAATCACAAAACCTGCCAGAGTGAGCACACTACCCGGTGAGAGCGCAGGAATCTACACTACTCGACGATTGACTCCCCGCCATGAACCTTGTTCCTCCACGAAACCCCCACTTCGAGAACCCGGGCTTGGGGCGAGAACATCATAGATGGCCCTCTTATCAGCCAAGAAGCCGGCATGCCTAGAGCCGACATGCCTTAGTTTCATGACTGGCTTCTGGCCGTGACACCTGCAGCCCGGAGTCAACTTGCTCCTCCCGCCTGGAAAGAAAAAAAGAAAGATCCAGCCTCGCTCAACTTCCCTTGCCCCCCCCCCCCCTGCTGTCTCCTGCACCTTGTATCCACTCCCCTTTGGTCTGAGCGTCGCCTAGCAATCTCCCTGTATGGACCAGCGGGAAAAAGAAAGTCCCATAAATCTCCCCATTGTCATCCCGCCTATTGTCCCCCCCCTCTTCCCATTGCGAACGACCCTAGTCAGCTAGCCAACCGTTATGAAAGTCGAAAGCCGGAATAGGGCGATTAGCTCGTGAGATCAAATTGGAAATGGGGACCGTCGGCGATGGACGGAGTACGTATGCGGCTTTTGAAAAGCACCATAGAGGCACAAGGTTCTAGCCAGCTTCGCGATCGGCCTCTACCCTAGTTGATCCTGAGCCCCTCTCCTCTCCCCTCCCCCTGCCCCCAATTGCGCGCGTTCCCGGCGTGCGACTGGTACATTTGATGATTCGTCGTCCAATAATCCGATCCTCGGCGACTAGATTGTCAAAGGTCGGGGAGGGGGGCAATTGCGAAACCGTTGAGAGCGGCTACTCCCTTGTATCAAGATTTAATACTCACGCGCGCATACTGCAGTTGGTCAATTGGATGGGCGCCCGGGTACTGCTGTAGTCGGCGTGGAACTGTGTCACGATAGGTGAAATGGGGAGTCCCTGTGTATGGTGTGTTGTATTTTGTGGTACATACATGCTGCCATGAGCATAAATCGGAGGCTACGGGGTTGAGACATCTTGTGCACTGCATGTGCTTGTAATGCTGCTTCTGGGCTGGGGTTGATGATGACCTGCGTCTCGGAGAATATGGCTTGTCTCGGAATGATGTCTGAGCTCGGGAGCTTGTTCGATATACTTTTTGATTTTGATTTGGGTTTTTGGAAGAGAAAAAAATAGAACCATTTTGTTGGCTCTGTGTCTTTGGCCCGCGGAACTGTTTGCTTTTCCGACTAGACGGCAGAATGGCAACATCTTGGTCGATCTGGTGGCAATCACGCTGGCTTAAACCTCCGTGTAGATCGGTCCATGTGGGTTGACCGTCAATGTTGAGTCGGGTAAGGTCGCTTGCGCTATAGTTTTTAGTTTGATGAGCATGCCGAGCCGAACAACGGATTATTTCAGTACTTTTGCCTTGCTTTATTTTCTTGTACGTAAATATTCTCCGGGCTTCTTGAGCTACTGGGCTCTCCGATCCGATTCGTGATGATACCGTGAACCTTGCCTGTCGCGGTCAATCGTATCTCAATGCAGGCTGTGGTGTGGCAAGTTCCAAGGTTGCGCCACCACGTAGGGCCTTGGGAAATCTTGTGAACCTAGGCAGGCAGCGATAGAAGAAATACTACCTGCTGGTTTCAGTATCAAGATGTGGTAGATCCTATTTCCAAAATAATGAGATATGCTTTCTTATTGGAGCGCAGACGGGCTGAGGTGGCAGATCCTGCGGCTTTCCTCTGCTAATGGTCTAGATGGGATCTCGGCTGCAGATGTATACATACATACCATGTACATGCATCCCTGCCGTCAACCGCGGAAGCTCCTGATTGAATTGCTTCTGGAATCTAAGCGGTTTCACATGCGAAGGGGCTTTTGGAATTAAGGAAGATCCGCCGCTGTCGACTTTTAAAATGGTTGGTGTAGTCAAGATAAGATTTCGATCACATGGGCTTTGGAAAGCCACAAGTCATGCCTACGCGCTTCTTTACTCTAGACCTGGCGCGAAGGGAGACATGTGACCGGAGGAGTCGTTCAAGAGCATGTTTGCAGCTGGAGACTGATTCGTCAAGTTGCCAAGTACAACTAGGTGGAAAAGTTCTGCCTGGTCGGGTGCTTGGGAAAACATCCCATCAACATGATGATAATATGGATGCGGGGGTTCAGGAATGGGTGTAGGACTCTGAGATTCTGACGTCAAGCGCATGGGGAGACCGGAAGAAGTGTGCTGGCAAAGAAGCTGCAGATGCATGCAAGGATTCGTAAGAAGGATCATTGAAAAAAGAATAATTGTTCATATTTTCCATTTCATTCAGGCAGGCGCCAATTTTGTAAGGCGCCCCCTTCGCTCAAAACTGGAGTTCACCGATACATTCCCGATTCTGTTTCCAGCTATGGTATATGCCTTCCTATCCCAATTCAGGGAGCGGAAAATGTGCTCGATGCTTTTTTCCCCCTCGCCTTCACCTGAACAACGACAAACGCCCGTGATAAACCGTTTAGAAGCCTGGATGAGAAAAAAAAGAAAGTCAGTAAAAATGATTTGAGAGGATCGCAAGACGAAACGGTAGGTTTTTTCGAGGTCGTGGATATCGGGTGGGACGTACGCAGAGCAGTGAAGAACCAGCGGTTCTTGCCGGAAGTGTAGCGGTCCTCAAGAGCCTTCTTGATAGTCTTCTTGGCGTCCTCGCGCTGAGAGACCTCCTTGAAGGTGTCCTGGGAGACGACACCCTTGAGGCCCTCGAGCTCGAGAGTGTAACGAGTGGGCATCAGGTGGTTGTAGTTGACGACCTTGATGAAAGGCTTGATCTTGGAGCGGCGGTCGACAAGCTTCTTACCCATGCGGCGGGTGACCTTGAGGGGGTAACGCTCGATACCGGCGACAATGGCGAAAGGGAAGGGGTGGGCCTTGGAGCCGTTGTCCTGAGGCTGGACAATGACGACCTGTAGTCGAGCGGAAAAGCGCTGGTCAGCACTTGATTCACAATTTCACAATCTTGAATTCCGGTCCTCCATCAAATTGGTTTTTTTTTTTCGTGTCGTCAAAAAGAAATGGCAAAGCCGTAGCTATTCCGTCGCTGAATCGAAGTTCCAATGATGCAGTCCGTCTCTCTTTTCAAATTGTGTGCGCAACTCGGAGGGGGAAATATGGGCGATTTGTCGTACCTTCTTACCGGCGTAACGGCCACGGGTAATGATGGCCACACGGCCGACCTTCATGACTATTTTTCGCAGTCAGTATAAAATCGTAGAGACGGAGCGATTAGAATGAATACTCACACTTCATTGTGAATGTCCCGGTTGGCGAGGTTAACGGGTGGGTTGTCGAGTACGGAACGGTCAGTTAAGATCGAAGTGTTCGTTTTTTCGCCTGGGCGGGCAGAGGGTTCAGGGCAAAGCCGATTTGTGTGCCTCTGCTTGATTGGCTGTCTTACCGACTGGAGGGCGCTAGCTGGAACGGGGTGGTTACCCCATTGGGGGACCGGGGGAACTATGTACCGAGGGGGAGAGACACTATGAAAGCCTTACTGCCTGAGTGCCTTACTGCCTGAGTCCGAAGTGTCTCACCGCCTGACTGATGCCCGACGTCACCGCCTTCCAATGTTTACATGGCGACGGTCGTAGTTACCCGTTGCTAGGGCCCACATGTGATGTGTAGGCCGCGTAGTGGTCCGTAGTGGTCCCCGGTCTTGTTCGTGGCTCCCTCCACTCTCCACCTGTTTACTTCTTATCAAGTTGATCTCCCGGTTTGATCGAGACTTTTACACCGTCTTTTGCACTTTGTGTTTTCAGCGAATTTTGCTCTGCTCTCCTCTGCGAGCTTGTTATGCCTTTGACGACCTTGTTTTGATCCTATTACGCATTCTCCAAACTTGAACTACATTCCTATTCCCATATCCTTGCCAATACCTCACTGAGACATCTCGACTTCTTCTCCACGACAATAACACACCATGCCGTCCCAAGATCGGGACGTATCTTCCCGTGATCGGGAGCTTGTTCGGCATCAGGGCTCTCATACCGACTCTGGTCGCCTCTCTGTTCCAATGTACGTGATTCATCTTATTATTCTACCAACCAAATACCTACCATGAACGACTGGAAGAGGATGCTAAAGCGTCGCTCGCGCAGGTGGGACAGTTCTGATCCTGAACGCGCTCCTCCGCCACTACCTTTAAATCCTCGCTCAATGAGCCCTGTGACAAAATCCAATGTGTCGCCCAATGTTCAGGCTATCGCTGCCAAATTCACAGATAGGCCGAGCGAGAACGCTCCGAGCTCCTACACAACAAATTCAATGCCCAAGTCCGGTTCACCTGAGCGACAGCTGGTCAAGGGCCATTATCACAAGCGCATGCAGTCTCTACCACCTGCCGACACCAAGGGTGACACTCGCTCGGAGTTTTTGAATTACCTCGAAAACCGATCACCAGAGCGTCCTCTACGAGCAACAATTGTTGACCCCGCAAGCAAGCTCCAGGACACAAACAAGTCTGCTGGCTCACCTCCAACCCGTCCTGCTGAACGGGAGCTTCCCAGTTATATCTCGAACCGATATTTGTCGAAGCCCATCTTGGGCGAAAACACCCCCCCCCTCCGCAACAATGCTAGCACTTCAGAATATGCAGCTACCAGAAAATGACCCTCCATCGCCCTCCAAAGCCCCCAAAATGATCACTGCATCCGCTGAGCCACCTCAAACCGAGCGCGCGACTCCCACCATGGGCTCACTTGAATCGCAAATCCTGAGCCTCACCGAGATTGCGAGCAGTTTGCAGCGTGAGATGTCCAATCTGAGCCGACGAAGTAAGGACAATGCCACCGATCTCGTTAGCCTGAAAGCCGCAACGAATGCCCGAGACGAAGATATTAGGGTGAGCCTGAAGCAGCTGACTTCGAATCTCACATCAAAGTTGTTGGATAATGATGGCCTAAGGTCTGATCTCAAAGCTTTCTTGAAACCCCGTGAAGGCATTAACCCAAGTGAACCGGATAGTTCTCCCAACTCCAAAAGAAGCTACTCCGTGCCACGCATGCCGAGCCCCAATCCTTTCAGCAGCTACGATCGAGAATTTTGCGGTTCCCCGGGACCCATTTGCTCCGACGGCTCTGCCAGCATTGCCTTGCTCGAAAAGGTTCTTCGCGAGATGGCCACAAAGGAGGGCGAGGAGAGACTTTTGGAACTTGTGGATGAAATCAAGACACGTCCAGCTTCATCAGTCTCTGATCAGGATGCCGATAAGAAGGTAACCAATATGCTCGAGGAAATCCTTAATATTGTGAAAGAGGACCCCTCTAGCAGAGCTCTTGTGCGTTCGATGCAGGCCATCAACAGCACTTCTCCGAACGAAACCAACACCCAAGGAACGCGATCTCTGTCTACGGGCTCTATGGATCCCAGCGCTACCGTGCAAGCTCTCAATCTCGCCAAGGGCGATGTGAACCGATCCCCATCGGACGAGGAGGACATGATGGCCATTCTGAGAAGCGTTAAGAACAGCGTCATTGAAGGAGGTGGTATGACGAATGGCGTTAAGAGCCTTGTGCGTGAATTGCGCGGCGAGGTACTCGGAATGGGACGTGACCTGGCTAGGAAGCTTGAGACCGTCGAATCGAGCCGAGCTATCGATGATCAAGAGAAGCCTCAGCCTCCCAGTGCGGAAGAAATTTCTGACATCGTCCACGAGAGCCTGCAAACCCTCCAGGAGCAGCTGGCTGCTACTGTCGAAGAAAGTCGTCAGACCTCTTCCGCGTTATCTGATTTCCAATCCACCATGAGTCTGGCTTCTATCTATTCTGTGGTCAAGAAAGCTCTTGATGAGCTTGAGCTCCCCCAGCCCCAGGCGGCGGAGCCTCATGGATCTATAATGGAGAAGGAGGACATCCTTGACACTGTTCGCGAGGCTTGGGAAACCTATAAACCCGAGATCGAGTTACAGAACTTCGGCCTGGAACGAGATGAGATCTTGGATTGTCTGTCAGAGGGCCTTAGGGACTACCGACCACAACATGAGCAATCCATTACCTACGACCAGGTCCTCGACGCGGTCAACACCGGCATGCAAAACTTCAGCCCTCCACCCATTGAACACCCTCCCTCTATAACTCGCGACGAAATCATTTTGACAATCCGCGAATGTCTGGAGAAGCCAGAGCCCACGGCACGAGGCTTAGATGAAGACCATGCCAATCACTTGAATTCCATGAAAGATGAGATTCTGGGTGCTGTTGCCATGCATGCCGCAGAGAAGCCTGCTTCTCATGGCTTTGACGACGAGCACTTCAACCAATTTCACGCGATCAAGGACGAAATTCTCCACGCCGTTGCGATGCACGCTGCCGAGAGACCAGACTCACGGGGTTTGGATGAGGAACACATCAATCTCTTCCATTCCATTAAAGATGAAATCCTTGGTGCCGTGGCGATGCAAGCTATCGAGAAGCCAGCTTCCCGAGGCTTGGATGAGGAGCATATGGACCACCTCAACAACATTCGTGACGAGATTCTTCATGCCCTTTCGCAACATGCCACCGAAAAGGAAGCTCCTCGAGGCTTCAATGATGATCATATGGAACATCTAGACTCTCTCCGTGATGAGATCCTGAATGCAGTGACTGGATCCATGGCCACCCAAAGCATGATCAGTAAGGAGTCTTTCGATTCTGGCCTCGGCCGGGATGAGATCGTCAGCGCAGTCTCCGATGGCTTGGAGGCCCATTTCACAGCCGCCAAGGATATGGAAGAACCTCGCGTTTCTAGGGGGGGATGTGATTAATGCTGTGAATGATGCCTTCGATTCCCAACAGGCCGCTCTTAGCACTGCTGTTCAACCCAGCATCTCTCGTGAAGACATAATCAGCGCCGTTGCTGACGGAATTGAACTTTCACGCAAAGATCAAGACACAGCACTTGCCAATATACAACCTTCTGTTTCACGCGAAGAGATATTGGAGGCAATCGCTGACGGACTCCAAAATTCCAGCAAGGATCAGGACTCGGCGATCGCGAACATCCAGTCTTCGCTTTCCCGAGAAGAAATTTTAGACGCCATTTCTGAAGGCCTTCACAACTCAAGCGAGGCAGATAAATCCGCCCTGAGTACCAGTGTCGGTCCTCAAATCACCCGCGAGGATGTCTTCCAAGCAGTTGTGGAGGGGATGGAGAACGCTAATACTATGACTCGTGAGATCGAACTCAACAAAGATGATTTAATGGAGGCAATCACTGCCGGGCTCCATGAAGTGAACAGCTCCGCAAACGCGAATGCTGGCGATCAAGTTATGGACCGCCTGCAGGATGTTGTTGATGGCATGAAAGAGGAATTCAAGCAATATTCCGCGGCCAATGGCAGAGACACCGAGCAAGTCCTAGATGCCATCAAGGATGGTCTTGACGTGGTTCGAAAGGAAATTGAAGCTCATGTCGGAGCCACCCCCGATGAGGCCGGCAAACTTGAGATCATCGATACCGTCAAGGAGGGCTTCCGACTCCTCCAAGCCGACATGGAGAAGACAATCACCGAGGCCTCCTTGTCTAATGAGTCCCGCGGCAACCCCGATACGCCAGAGCTACTAGACGCCATGGAAAAGGAGTTCGAACATCTTCGTGGTACGATCGTGAACATGGTTGTTCGTGATACCACCGCAGGTGACAAGGACGAAATTCTGGACGCCATCCGAGAACTCTCAGACCAACATAAGGCAAATGCCGGAAACGATCAGGTTGCCAGTAGTATTCGCGAAGAGTTCGAAAATATCCGCGAGCGTATGGATTCTAGCCTTGTTCGATCCGAGCCTAGCTCCGATAAGGAGGAGATCATTGCCGCTGTCCGTGAACACCTGGAGAGTATCCGTGAAGAGACTCTTAACCGGAAGGATGGAGGCGAGAGCATGATGTCTGCCACCGGTGAGCTGCTCGACGCATTCAATGACGGCATCGACACCATCAAAGATGACCTCAAGAAACTCCTGGAGAAGCCCGCCGAGTTCGACACCGCTGAGGTCCTCGATACCATCAAGGACGGCCTTGCTGACCTCAAGCTTGACATTGACTCCATTCGGCAATCCCAGAGAGAAGCCGACGATGCCAGCACCGCTCGTGGTGGCGAGCTTATGCTTGCCGACCAACCAAACCTGGGTACCGACATCGAAGGACTGAAAACCCTCATCACCCAACTCCAAGACAAGGTTGAATCTATTGACTCAACACCCCGAGCACCCGAGCCAGAGCCTGCTGAAGATGCGCTGAAGAAGGCTCATCTTGATGAGGTTCTTGTTGGTATTCAGGAGGTCCAGGTTGTTATCGCCGAGATGAGCGCTGCCCGCGATTCTCAAGAAGGCCAAGTCCGCAAGGAGGATATCGAGGGTATTGAGCATCTCATAATTAGCACCAAGACTCAGATCGAGGAGATCGTCTTCCCCGCTCCTGATCAAATTGCTACATCTGAGCATATTGGCACCCTCGAGGCCATGATCCGCGAAGCCAAAGACACCATTACTGAATTGTCCTCTCGTATGGAGGCCGAAGCACCCACGAAATCTGACATGGGCACCTTGGAGGGTTTGATCAAGGATGTTTGGATTGCTTTAGATGAACTTAAAGGCAAGACTAAAGAAGGCGAGGAAGGAGAACGCGAAATCGAAGAGAACGCCGACTCTGACAAACTCCTGAAGTCTGACTTGCAGACCGTCGAGGCAATGGTCTTTGAGGTCAAGTCACAGATTGATGAGCTGAAAATCCCTGATGCCGAGACTCTTCCAACCAAGGAAGAAGTCCAACAGCTGCAGGCCCTCGTCACCGACTTCCAGGAGAAGATGGAGGCAAACAACGACATGACTGCGCAAGGGTTTGATGCTCGGAAGACTGAACATGCCGGCTTATTTGAAAAGATTGATGAGGCTAAGCTTGTCGTTGGTGAGCTCGGTGATGAGCTCAAGAGCAAGCTCGATGGAAGCAGCGAGGGCCTCGCTGAGCTCAAGCAGCTCTTGGAAGGCCTTGCCCTCTCCGCCGAAAATTTCAGCACCGTCGAAAGCATGAAGGAGCTCACCGACCTCATTAACCGGGAGTTTGAGCGTGCTCATGGCGAGGAGAATGCCAGCAAGCTGGACCAGGAGGAGCGAGATGCTGCGGCTATGGTTAAGCATGATGAGATTCGGGCTGCTATTATCGTGGAACTTGGTACCAAGATTGACGAGAAGATCGGAGAGGTCATGGCCAAGTACGAAGATGCTCATAACTCCCTTCATTCAAAATTTTCCGAGACCGAGGAGCGCGATTTGGCCCATGCCGAGGCTGTCACGACCACGAGGTCTCTTGCTGAGGATATCAAGCTAGTCATCGGTGCCATGGGAGACAATGTCAACCAGACTTGCGAGAGCATCGGCGAAGACACAAAGGCCCTGTTCGGCAAGGTTGATGAGTCTTACAACCGAATGGAGGAGATGCACAATGAAGTCAAGTCACAACAAGAGCAGTCGCGGACTGAAAACGAGAGAGCTGCTGCTGCCACTGAGCGGGTTGAAAGCAAGTTACTCGAATTCAACCCTCAGATTCTCGAAACCGTTCAGCAAATCTTGACAGTCGTCAGCCAGCACTACGATCACTCGCAGAAGTCTGCCGACGATTTCAGGACTGAGCTATCTGCTCTACCGAACAACATTCCAAGCATGCTTCCCGCTCTTATGCCTCCTCCGGAAACCAGCCGCGACCTCGAGGACGATCCTGTACACGGCAAGCTGAACGATATTCTCGAACACGCCAAGAACACAAAGATTCACGATGTCCTCAATACCCTCCTGGAACACTCAAAGAACGATCAGCTTCATGATAAGCTTGACCGAGCTCTGGACCAGAGTGCGGGTCCCAAGGATGAGATTTATGCCAAGCTGGATCAACTTCTGGATCACGCTGCCAACGACAACAGCTCGCTGCATGAAAAGCTGGATGCCCTGCTTAGCCGGCCGGAGCCCACTGCGTCCGACGAGCATTCTGTCACTCAGATGATGAAGCTTGACGAGATGCACAAGGATATCATGGAGAACACTCGCAAGATGAACGAGATGTTTGCCGCTCAGTCCGCTATTGTCGCCGAGGATACCGAACGAAAGCGACGGGAAGCTGAGGATGCTGCGATTGCTCTTGAGCGAAGAGTGGCCCAGCGAGAACAAGTTGAAGCGGAGATTGTCGGTTTGCACGAGGAGAAGGACTCACTATTGAAGATGATCCAGACGCTGCAGTCCGAGAAGGATGATATTGCTAAGCAGAACATGAAGCTGAGCAAGGAAGTATCCGGTCTCGAAACTGCTCTTGAGATTCGCCATGAAGAGATGCAACAGATGGAGGACCGCGCAGATGGTCTTGAGAAGCGCATCTTGGAGGGTGTTCTGGACCATGCCCGCACTGTGTTGCTCAGCCGCTCCACCGGCAGCCAAATGAATCTCAGACGCAACCGGAGTGCACGCAGCTCTCGCGCCGGCGCACGTAGTCCTAGTGTGACTAGCGTCGCCTCTACTGCCCGAGAGTCAAAGGATCCCCGCAGCCTTCTCGGTAATGGCGTTGGTATGGCCTTGAAGCGTGGGCTGTCAAACAACCTCAACGCTGCAGCTTCTCCTGTCCAGCCAAATATTGGAAAGGAGCGCCGCATCCTGAGTTTGAGTCATGTTACAGGCAACCGAGGAGTGGACCGTCAAGCTAGTGGCAACGGCGGTCTCGCGAACCTCAAGCGCAGCCATTCTGTTAAATCCAACTTTTCGCTACGCAAGTCCTCCTGGGCCGGCCGAGTGTCTATTGCCGACAAAGAAAATGAACCCTTCCGGGAAGAGGATGAGCCTGCCAGCGAGCCCGAGAGCGACGCTGGAACTGAACGTCGGACCAGCTATGCGGGCACGGAGCGCAAGTCCAGCTACGCCGGAACCGTCACCGATAGCGTGGTGACTGGCGTGACTGAAAGTGTGGCCTCGACTGATCGACGAACCAGTGGCATGAGCAGCACGACCGATGGTCACACTCAAATTGCCGAGAGCTCAGTCGGCGGAGACGATGCCGATGAGCACTCCAACTATGACGAGCATGATGAGTCCGACAGAGCATCTGAGTCTGAAGGAGAGTCAGATGATGCCCATACTGCTCGAGGGGATGACGACCAAGAAAATGACGACTCTAAGGAAGAGCTCGACGATGATGAGTTGCAGGATCTCGTGGACAGAGACATCTCAGACACTGCTTCTCAGATGGAAGCGCAGGTGTTGAAGCTGCTGGAGCCACCCACTGATAGTGGCCTGGGCACGGAGACTGCGCTTTCCACATAATGTTATTTATTTTGTTTGTTTCGGCATGATGATCGGGAGTTTGGGTTTCCTCTGTTCTGTTTCTGTTTCCTTTTCATATACCACCTGTGTGTTACTGTTTTTCTGTTATTAAGACTCTGTATGATTTCCCTTTTATGTCAATTAATGAACATTCCTCAACGTCACTTCTCATTGTCATCTTCTGTAGTCATCCAGTAGAAAAATCAAAATTCTTAGTTGTACACCTTAAGGTATTCCTTGTGACCGTGGTCACCTGCCATGATAGGCAGGTGGTCAGGTGATGTCCCAACGAATGTTGCTGCCTCAGGCTTGTGCCGAGGCCGCCTCCTCCGGAGCTACATTGAGACCCTTTTCTTTAGCCTCCTCGTCACCCATGGATCCTTCTGTGCAGTGAAAGGAGGCCATCCAGTGTGCTCGTCAGCTTCATGGTAGATTTGGGGCATATTCATTTCTCCCTTGCATAGTTATCCACCACCTCACTACCGGCCATCCGAGCTCCCCACATCGGGTGATAAGCTGCTCGACCGCATCCCACGATGCTGGACCCCCTCGGCCCCCCTCCAGCATGGCTGCGGAATTTGGTCGAGCCCTATGCCCTCTCTCTGAGCAGCCCAACCCTCCCTGACCACATCCATGAAGTTATTCTCGCCTTCGCCTTTTACCAGTTCATCCACTCGTTCTTGTCGCCATGGTTGTCGCCGATCCTCTTCCCGAAGCACTACCCCAAGCTGAATGCCCGGACCAGGCTCAACTGGGATATTCATGTCGTTTCTTTGGTCCAGAGTGTTTTGATCAACGTTGCTGCGTTGTGGATCATGTTCGCTGATACCGAGCGCAGCCAGATGTCGACTGGTGAGCGTGTCTTCGGCTACACAGGTGCTTGCGGTTTGATCCAAGCACTTGCGGTTGGATACTTCATCTATGACCTGATTGTTAGCGTCGTTCATATCAATATGTTCGGTATTGGCTTATTGTTCCATGCCGTTGCCGCTCTCTGGGTATTCAGTCTCGGCTTTGTGAGTGGAATACCCGCCCAGCTGTGCCTTTGCGCATCTACAAAGAAAGACACATTTCTAATATTTGAATGATTAACCAGAGACCGTTCGTCAACTACTACGCCCCCGTCTTTATCCTCTACGAGCTTTCCAGCCCATTCCTCAATATCCACTGGTTCCTTGACAAAATCGAAATGACTGGCAGTCGCACTCAATGGTACAACGGCATGCTTCTCCTCTCGGTCTTTTTCTGCTGCCGTCTCGTCTGGGGTACATGGCAATCAGTCATTGTCTACATGGACATGTGGAACGCTTTACAACAAACCTGGTCCGCCGCATCATCCCCTCTACAAACCCCAACCACAGTCAACGCAAACGTTTTCCGCCCAGATTCCGGAACCATGTGCCTTGACGAGACATGTGCACGTGCCAACGCGGAAATCGCCCGCTTCAGTGACTTCACGGCATCTGGCGTGCCGACTTGGCTGGTTGTGACCTATGTCGGGTCTAATCTGATCCTGAATTTCCTGAATTACTTCTGGTTCTCCAAGATGGTGGAGACGGTTCTTAAGCGGTTCCGTACACCTCCCGCCCCAGAGAAGGAGGAGAATAAGAGGAAGAAGGATGCACAGGATGGCGATCTCAAAGAGCTCAAGGAGAATATCCCACAGGACATTATCCTTGAAGCGGCTGCCAAGCTCGAGGAGCAGGAAGGTGGACGGGGAGAGCTGGGACTTACCCCGGAACAAATCTCCACGGCAATCGACGCGGGATTCGGGGAGGAACTGCGCCGGCGCAGGGCCGAGTTGGTCGCCAAGGTGCCTCTTCCCGGATCTTGAGGAGATAGACCTGGTAGAATAGAAGGGTTAGGTGGCAGCATTGGAGGCATTTGCTTTTAACCAGTGTCTCGGCTGTACACCGTCGCTTTTGATATAATCTATGGCCCATTCAATTGACCTCGCAAGTGAAGACTTTTCGTGGTGAACTCGGTGCCAGTATGCCCTTTGGGGTGGCATTGAGTGTTTACGGCCTTGTTGGTGTTCTTGTGATATTTTCTATTTGTTTCATACGCTTTGGGGGTCGATGAGTGCTTGAGCTTTGTGTCTTTGCTATAGCATACAACCGTACATATCTCATGCTTAATGACAATCCTATTGAAATGTCGAAAATGGTGGCCCTTGCATTCAATATCAACCTTATGATCAGATTGGCACTGGAAAGGATTCTCTTAGATCCGGAGAGAGCATAGTATACCTACCTACTGGTAGTACATCGAGAAAGACCCTGCTTCCAAAGCCGATGTGTAATTAACTTACATACCTGGCAGCACTGTATCCAATACGGTGGGTAAGTCTGAACCTGAAAAGATCGATATCGAAAGATATCATATCAATATAGATGAACAATGCATTCCTCGATCTAACTACAACATTAGTCTCTGTAAGATTCCATCCACGTCCTCGTCAGGGCTCCTATTGTCGACAAGTCCCATGGCCATCGAAGGCTTTGTATAGCCTAGAAGCTGCAACATCTTCGGACTCATCTTCAATAGCTTGTTACGGGGCACCGTCAAAAACTGATTCTCTTCAGTTCTGTAAATCCCCCGTACAAAGAACAGGCTATACATAGTGCGAACTGAGCCTGGGACAGAGTTGTGACCCCCGCCGTGGAAAGCAGATCCAAGGAAGATTAAAGCAGAGCCGGCTTGCATCTCTGGTCACAGGTAACAGGAAGTTAGTAAATGCAACATTTTAAGAGACGGATGCACTCTTACCAGCAAAACAGACTTCATCCACCGTCGCCATGCGGTGATCGTTCCATTTATGACTCCCGGGGACGAACATCGTCGCACCATTTTCTCTGGTAACATCGCAACCGGCAATCAAACAGCCAAACTGACTAACGCTCTCGAAACTCCAATCCTCATGCCCAGAGTGCCGGATGCGATGGATATTATCATCTCGATGAAGACGTTGTCTGGGAGCCCCATACCCAATATTCATAGAGAGACTCAGGCTAAGCAAAGGGTCGATCCTGATGGGCTCTACCCAATCCTCGCGATATACGGTGTATTTCTCGAGCAGAATATTTTCCCGAAGACTATCTAACAATGGATGCTCGCAGATCTCAGAGACGGCGTCGGACTTTCCGACCAGACCTGGGATGAGAGTAGTTTGAGACGGGATAATGTGAAAAGCGTCGCCAGATCTTGTGTCGTTCGCTGCTTGGACAGGTTGATTTTCTTTCCAGGATTTCAATTCCTCTTCAATCGTGGCCATTTTGTCCTCTGAGACCAAATCGCTGATTATCACACCTCCATCCCGGGCAATGACACCTAGAATATAGTCCACTGATGCGGTCGCAGGAACAGTCACTATGTTTTTCTTTGGTTTGTATGAGGGGTCGATTGGGGCGGCTGGCGCAGGGACATGTGTCCACTCAGTTGAAGTAGGTTTCATCCTGATCGATTCGGGCTTCCAATTCAAATATATGAGAAACCTTGGAAAGCACCTCGGCAACGGATAGTTGAATATATTTCATGAAGCGAGTTCAACTTGAATTTCTGCAAGCACGGTAAGAGGTAGTGTTGGAAATATTTATACCTACCAAAGTACCTAGGTATACTACTAGTACTATGTGTCAACTTCCAAGGTTCAAATGTCTTCTATTGGTAGATGTGGGTACATAATAGGTCTTTGATCGGGTTTATATCACAGGAAGGTTAATTGCGGGGAGAACACAATCTAACCGGAAACGGAGAAAATTATGAGAGCCATCGGACTGAGGCGCTTCTAGTTGTTTCTCCAGAACACTACCTCTTTTCTCAAAAATTTGAGGAAATATAGCCTGAGTACTTTCGACGGTTCGAGTGCCCAGACTAGGTGGGTACGAGACCACATCTAAGTTCAAGTCAAGTTCACTTGGGAAGCCTCAAACTTGCCCAAAGTTGAACGCCGCGCTTCAAGTTCCAGATACTACCAGCAAAGTGGGCCAGAACGGGTCCCCCCTAGAGCCACCGTATTAACGTTATCCCCATGGGTTCAAGTTCTTGGATTCCCTAGATTTTGGGCCTGCGCGAAAGGCAAGCCTATCGAGTTAGGCTAGCTATAATGGGCTAAAACATAGCAGCGGAGCTAAATAGTGGATAAGGTAACTTTGATTGATCTGCTATCTGCTAGCTAAAAATAAGAGAGGGCAGTAGGTGTAGGTGGCAGAGGTCTCGATGGAGCAAACTCAACTGTCTTCTTCCCTATACAGGCGTCACCGAATACTTTGGGTTTATCACCATTCATCATTGCCCTCCGCAGGGTCGTTGATTTGGTCAGAGTGAGCACCGGCATGGTCGCTGTCGTCACGCAGATGGGACATCTTGTGTTTTCGCCTTCAGAACAAGTGGCGGGATTCGTGCTTTTGTAGTTCAGTAGGAGTCTTTTAGTCGAAAGGCTGCCTCTTCCTCTGTCTTAAATTTACTGAGCTGACGGTTCTTCCAAGAAAGCGTCAAAACTGTGGTATGGACCTAGACCAGGGATAGCTCATGGGCTACCTGGGATCCTTCCTGTCACACCAAGTATAGCTGCACTGAGGGGCGTACTGATTTACTTGAGTCCTAGGTCAGACACATCTTCAAATGCAGAAACGGTGTTGGGCTTGGTGAGAGAGTAGTGTTGGATCAGTTTATTCCCGGGGTTGGCAGCGGCGAGGAGATGATGTTGAACAGATTTGCCGGCATGATTCTTGAAATAAGCCTTTGTCCCAACTTGCTTCTCAATATGGTCCGTATGGGCGTGTATGATCCGAGGCTGCGAATTCGGGAAGTTCTTTTGGTACATATCCGTGGCCTTGATAGGTGGTATCGTTAGCAACTGAGTTTGTTATAGTCATAATAATAACCTGGCGCCTTATATTCTTATTGCATAATTTGGGGTTTTCCTGGCTGGACTTGTGCCTGTTGATGAACAGTGAGCACTATCCGTTCCCGGGGATGTCCTGACTGTGTATAGAAGTTGAATTTATCGCCATCTAGGTCTATTATGGCGAGCGCCAATATTGCATAGGATTTCCCAGTGCCAGCGGGACCTTTGATAGTGTACAGCGGACCATGCATCGCCCTCGCGTTTCCAAGGAGCAGATATTCGATTGGCAGGAGGATTGAATCTGCTTGTCCCCTAGGTACTATGTCCCTTCCTCCGCCGTTTCCCCTCGTTTGCTCGACTTCCTACGAAATTTGAAGTCAAATCAAGAGAATAAATAAATAGTAATTATGAAATATGCCATGAACCTCAGATTTTGAAATGAATTAACCATGCCTTACATACCCTAGCTACACCAGACCAAACACCGCATAAGCGCCCCTAAAGGAATCAAAATACAACCAACACTATGTGAATCTGCTTAGCCGGAGCAACAGAAACTCTACCTAGCAGCTTCAGGCTTGGCCAGCATATACCGCACAGCGTCCTTCGCAACGGGTGTCTCCCATGCGCTGTTCGTGCCTCCCCGGCGGAACTCCGGGCCGTTTGAATCGGCGGAATCTCCAACGATTGTCTCGAGATCACGGCGCTGAGAGTTGACCCAGCGACGGAGGAAGGCCACGGGGTCCTTGCTCAAGGCTGTGTAGAACGAGTGGCGTGCGTGGGAGTGAGTGAGCGCTTGGACGATGAGAGCGACTTGGTCGTCCAGCGAGGCGATCTGCCGCATGCCAGCGGTGTATTTGGGGTTCTGCGTCAGCGCCATCATCTTGGTGCGCAGCGGATCTTCCACGGCAACACGGATATCATAGATGGTGGGGGTAGGTTCCTTGTGGAATTCCTCGTCGACGCGGATGGTATAGGGGAGCTTGATCGGGTCCATAGGGCTGGTGTGAGGCCCAATGCTCTCTGGGATTTGAGGGAAGAACATTGTTTCGCGGCCAAAGATCTAAGGAACGTTAGACAAACGAGATTAGGGGTATAGAATAGTTCCTGCTAAGATTTTTGCTTACCGAACGAAGACGGTGGTCACAGCGCACCTGGCGCTTCTCTTCATCCTCTTGCAGCTCCATTGCGCGAATGTAGTCCCAGATCCCGAGCACAATTCCGCTGCGAGTCTCCTCTTCGACATCGAGCACTTCAGCCAGCTCCTTGCTCAGCTTATACCGCTCTGGAGTCTCATCCCGTACAAGGTTGACTGTGACGTTCAAGTTCTCTTGCGATCCGCGCGAAAACTGAATGCTATCAAATTCGGCGTTTGGCGGGGAAGAGGGCGCGTTTGGTGGTACCTGAGGCTTGTTCCAGGTGATCGGCTTGACTTCTTCGGGAACAGCAGTGGCTGGCTTGTCGAAATCGACAGTGATGGTCTTGAAGAAGTGAGAGAAGCGCTGGGATTGTTTCTTCGCCTCGGACTTCTCTTTGTCTTCTTCATCTTTGTCCTGGTCCATCGCGTCACCACCAGCGCCTGTGGAAGCTTCCTCATCATTCTCTGGGACGGTAGGGTCGCTGTCATCATCTAAGAGGCGGCCTTCGATGCGCACTTTATACCGACCTGATCCGGGAGTGCTGCCGGCGTCCTGCCAGGGTTGGCTCTCGACGGTGTTGGTGATCCAGATGCGCATTGTTCGATATTTCTTGACGGTCTTGCTGATGGAGTCCTGGATGTCTAATCGCTTGCGTACGACGGCGGCATCCAATCGCTTCTCCAAGTCGCGAAGATTCTTGTATTGCTCGACACCTTCGCCGATAATGACTTCCTCAATTCCGTCAGGGATATTCTTGTCGGTTGGCTTGCGACTGCGGCGCAGAGAAGCATCATTGGGGTGCGGCATGGCGCGCTGCACGGGCATATATTGAGGGTTGACAGCGTGTTGAGGCATTGGCACGGGCATCGCGCCTAGACGACGTTAGATGGGGCTGGATGGAAAGGAAGGGTAAGGGGAGCTAACCAGGCGCCGGGGGACGACGAGGCGCGGCTGGGGACCGCTGGGCGGTCGGGGGGTAGCCCCGGGCAAAATTAGGCTGCATGGGAGCGTTCATTGCCGATCCAGAAAGCAGTGGGCTCCTGACGTGGAGTTGGGTGGAGGATGAGGTCGAGCGAGGGCGACGGGAGGTCGCGATTCTTTTACCGCCTTACCCGATTCGGAAGGTCGCGAACAGCCGTTTACCACAACATGAACAACTAGTTGGAACTAGTTAGTAGTAGAATAGCATATAACATCGTTGGATATAATCCATTTATTTGATTGTCATGGTTCAAATATTTGATTACATAGCGCGGCACTGGCATAGCCTGGATTTTACGTAGTACGGCTTGGGTTGGGAGGTAGAGTGATGGTCGTGATAGATCCATTAGTTCCCATGATCTAATATCATTGCATAATCCTATTCCCGGATATTCCCTCTACTCCAGGAGCGAGGCCTGGTTAGTATACAGTCCTTCCACCACATTGCTCAACTTCTCAATCGTGTCCAGCGCCGCATCATAGGCCTGATCACGTTCCGTCTCATCGTATACAATCAGACACCCGGAGCCTTGATCCAATACACCGATGATCACCTTGTCGAGGATCATCTGAGATAGCTTGCGCTCCACTTGTTGGACGTCCAGACCAACCATCTTGGCAATGTGGTCCAGCTCCACCCGGCTGAAAGGCTCAATGACCTTGATCAGGTTCTGCTCCAACATGGCATCATAGAGGCGGCGAAGGTGATTCCGGATAAACGTGTCGCTGCCGAGTTCATATCGGTAGTCTGATAGTGCCTTCTCATATTCCTCCAGAGAACGGTTGGCGTGGGCGCGGGCCACCGCCTTCATGGCCTCCAGACGTGCACTGGCGTATTTCTGGGCCTGTTTGGAGCCAAGCAGCTGGGTCACATCATCCACCAGGTTCAACATAATCTTACACAGTAGCATGTACTGTAGAGTGGCCGTGGCAAGCTCGCCCTCGTCGAGCGAGCTGTATCCTTCCAGCGCCTCGATGAAGTATGAGTAAGAAGTGTTGAAGTCTTTGTCCTCGGCGTGCAGCATACCGCTCTGCATGTCCAGACTGGCCTGCAAATTGGGAGGAGTGTAAACGGACGCGGCTGATGTTCGTGCTGCTGTGAGAGCAGCCCGGGCCTTGGCTTGGTTGCCCAGGGCATGGTACACACGAGACTCGAGCAATTGCACTTCCACCAACATCAACTTATCATCAAGGCGCTTCAGCTCACGAAGAAGGGAGTTGATGAGGGTAAGGGCATCGTAATAGGTCTGCTTCTGCATGTAAATCGCGACGAGACGGGCTTGGAGGTTTTGTCGCAAGAAGGACCGTCGTTCGGCGACGGCCCACTCTATGCATGAATTGATGACGGCGACTTGAAGATCGAGGGTGTTGGGGATTCCGCTGATGAGATCAAGGAGTTGACGGACTATGAAGAATGGTTAGTTATGGTCATATCAAGGCTTTGATGACGCCGCTTACCCAGCTTCGCTGTCTTTGCTTTGGCAAATGACGAAAAGGTGTCTCGGCTGGTCTTAATGAGGTCCGCAATCTCCTGCGGCTTCTTCGCATCCCGATACAGCTCGCCCAATCCAATCAATGCATGCTCATAGTCTCGCGATGAGGCTTCTGTGGACCCTGGCCCTTCAGAGAGGATCTTCTGATAACTGCTAGCGGCTTTCGAGGGGTCCTGCTTCGCCAGGTCCCGGACCTCCTGTATCCGCGGAGACACCTTGGTGGCAGCGGACATTGTGGAGAGAGATGTGATGATAGAAGCTCAGAAAACCGGCAATTCAAGGGTTGTAGGGACGTCAAGGGTGGATGATGAGAGGAAGGTTGATTGGGCCAGGCGTGAGTCGGGGAGCTAGGAAGCTGGCAGCTGCCGCCGGTCTCACCGCCCGCTTAGCAAATCATCCCGTCAACAGAAAAAAAAGTTGCTCCGCCCGGGATTTTCTTTGCATACAATACGCCACCACAAAATGGTCAGTTAGGACGGCATATGTCCCCTTTTTGATCTTGATACTAATTTCTCGGTAGAAAATCAAAGCACTTTCTCGCTCTACGGCGTCGCAGCAGGCCCCCGGGTCCGGCGTCGTCCGCCAGTCGCGCAATCTCGACCCGTCTCAACATCCATTCGAGCGTGCTCGCGAGTACACTCGTGCTCTGAATGCCATTAAGATGCAGCGCATGTTTGCCGCACCTTTCTTGTGTCAAATGGGCGATGGTCACGTGGACGGTGTGTACAGCATGGCAAAGGATCCTGGCTCACTGGAGCGATTTGCCAGTGGCAGTGGTGATGGTATGGTGAAGGTGTGGGATTTGACTACTCGCGGAGAAGTTTGGGAGACTCAGGCACATGAGAACATGGTCAAGGGTGTCTGCTGGACCCCGGACAGAAAACTTCTGTCATGCGCAAGCGACAAGACGATCAAACTATGGGACCCGTACAACTCTTCACCGGATGCACCTCCCATGACCAGCTATCTGGGCACTGGTGCCTTCAACAGTGTGTCGCACCACCGAAGCGATCCAGCATTTGCCGCTGCCTCAAACATGATCTCCATCTACGACCTATCTCGACCTTCATCCTCGCCATCGCAGACTATGCACTGGCCTACTAGCGTTGATACAATCACCTCGCTTGCATTCAACCAAACCGAAACTTCGATTCTTGGCTCTACTGCCCTTGATCGCTCAGTCATCCTATACGATCTGCGGACATCTTCGCCAGTGCAAAAGATGGTTCTCAAGTTGGCCTCGAACGCCATCGCTTGGAACCCAATGGAGGCCTTCAACTTTGCTGTGGCCAATGAGGACCATAACGCTTACATCTTCGATATGAGAAAAACCGACCGCGCCCTGAACGTCCTGAAGGATCACGTGGCTGCTGTCATGGATATCGAGTTCAGCCCGACAGGTGAAGAACTGGTTACGGCATCTTACGACAAGACCATCCGTCTCTGGGACAGAGCACGTGGACATTCTCGTGACATTTATCACACTGGGCGGATGCAACGGTATGTGAAAATCACAATATTTTTCAAAAACATCTTACTTATTATGAATCTAGTGTTTTCTCGGCCAAATTCACACCGGATAACAAATATGTGCTGTCTGGGTCGGACGATGGTAATGTTCGTCTCTGGCGTGCCAAGGCCTCCGACCGCAGCGGTATCAAGAGTGCTCGTCAGCGTACCAAGCTCGAATACGACCAGGCACTTATCAAGCGATACTCCCACATGCCCGAAATCCGTCGCATCAAGCGGCAACGCCACCTGCCCAAGCCTGTTAAGAAGGCTGGTGAGATCAAGCGTGAGGAACTTGGTGCTATTAAGAGACGCGAGGAGAATGTGCGCAAGCACACTAGCAAGGCCAATCTGAAGTCGAGGACGAATGAGCGTGAGAAGATGATTCTTGCTCGCGAGCAATAGACCGACCCACGAAAACCTGTTTGCATCTCAGACCGGCTGAGAATTGAGCTGATATTCACATGGCTGCCAAGATATGCAACTATACAGAGATGTGCAAACATCAAATCTGTCTTATATACAGGATAGATTTACTCGCCTCATTCTTCCTTCACGTGTGCCAAATTATCAATCCACTCGACGCTTCTTCGCCGCTTTATGGTCATTACGATTCCCCGATGCCACAGCATTGTCAATACCGCTCACATAACGAGCCACCTGCTGTATGGCACCGGGCAAGATGGCGTAAAGATTTACCAGCTTTGCAAATGCTGGCAATCTAAGCACCCCACCATGCCCGCTGTCAATCGCAGTAACAATTTCACGAGCTACTTCCACGGGCTGCAGGACTGGAGCAAAAAAGTGACTCGGTGTCCGGACCCAGTCAAATAACGGCGTGGCCATCTGGCCCGTCTCGACCAGTAACAGTTTTATTTGCTCGTGCTCGCGGAGCTCCGATTCCATAGTTCGGTGCAGCGCGCTAAGACCAGCCTTACTTGCCGAGTAATCGGTTAAGCCTGCCGGAGACAATTGGCCTAGCACCGAGCTAACAGTCACAATGGTCCCTCCATTCTCGGCCTTGGCTATGATCCCCGGCAGGAAGACTTGATACAGATGGAATGCGGCCATAAGATTGGTGCGCACCGTCTTCTCAAACGCATCCGCGGGCAAGTCCAGGAGCGCAGCACCGTTGATTCTTGCCGCAGCGCAATTGATAACAATAGTCGGAGTACCCAACTATAACCAATTAGCGATCAAAAAACAATCAAGAAATAAGTCAAAACAAATCCATCCTAGATTCAACATCCGTAAAAGAGAGATCAATCTCGAAATGAAAATGAAAATACTGTAAACATACCTCCTTCTCAACCCTCTTCTTAACATCCTCCACCTCCCTCCTTACCCCAACATCGCACCGATAATAACAAACCCCTTCACCCAAAATACTCTCCTGCTCATCAATCCCGCCAAATTCCCGAATATCCAAAACAGCCACCGCACCCCCCTTCATCGCATAACTCTGCGCAATCAACAGCCCCAACCCACTAGCCCCGCCTGTGATAAGCACAACCTCTTGATCCGAATCCACCGTCCGCGGAAGACCATGCGCAACACGGTGGTTGATCGTCTGCGCAACGAAGAGCGCAGATAGAAAGACCGCATATGCGACCGCGCCTACAAAGGCAGGCGCCGTGGGTGGCGTTACCTGCGCGCGGAGACAGAGGACGACGATCCAGGCGATGAAGGGGGAGAGGATGGTTCGTTGAACGACGCGGTAGAGCGTATCGATGGTAAGGTGCTGCGACCAGGATCTTTGCAGCGAGGGGGCTGGGAGCACCGAACTCGTCCTTATGACCTTTGGCGCGGACATTTTTGGTAAATTTAAGGTGCCTAAACTGAGCTGCGAGGTTTGTATCGCTGTCGTTGGGGGTGTTCTGCTAATGGCTTCTGCGGTGGGATGTTTTTTTCGCGCTAAGAGTTGCGGCAGTTTTTCTCACGCGGGCTTGGCGACTGGCGATTGCACGGGTGGTTAGCGCATGGTGGCTGATCCCGTTGATTAATTGGTACTTTAGTTCGTGCTCCCTGCTTGGAGAGAAAGAGAGAGCTGTTGGGTTGAGTGTGAGTTGACAACTTGAACTCGGGGAAACTGGGCCTAGGCACGCGCGTGGGGCTGATAAGATCGGGGATCGGCCCATTGGAAGTCCCAAATACTCTACAAATTAACAGAATACATTGCTAGGTGGGTAGTAAGTTGAAATTAATTGGTCATAAAATTCATAAGTGAATTCGTTAATGAGTGAATCCTACCCTAGGGTACATAAAATAAGACAGTGTTTCCTCCCAAGCTCCTTTCCTCTCAGAACCCAATCTCGGTATCTATCTACCCAAGAAGATATCTTCCAAAAGTCGTAACCTGACCCCATACCCTCCTCGGAGTATATAAATCAGAGACTTTCAAGACATGACTGAACGTTTTCGACTCCGGGTCTTCCTTCAAAATGTCTAGGTCGGCAGGCTCCCGAGAGAGAGCGAAACCATGACCTGCCCGTGGATACTTTCGATATCCCTCATCGTCCTCAACTTTCGGCCTAGGACTGGCGGGAACTGGACTGAATGTCTTCTGTTGCGCTATTGAAGCAGTGGAGGGCATTGTGAGCTCTGGATTTCTCGACGAAATGTGGACCAGAAAGTCTACTAATTGAGCATGAGAAAGACGGGAGAAGTAGGCGCGCCTTTCATCCGTATTCATCGATGCGCCTCCGAATTCCGATAGCCCTTTTTGTTGAACTGGAGTATTTGGTTCCTGCGTCTTAGAAGGACGAGGGCCAGTGGACCGACGCTGCCGATATACGCAACGGTGACAGTGCCACTCCTTGTCCTCATCCAGAATGGCATCATCGGGGATCTCAGGGTCATGACACTTCTGGTGCCAGGTCGACTCACACCCGCTGCAGAATACAATTGGGTTTGATTTAGGGGTGGTGCCACGATCACATTTGGCGCAGATGATGTTGGCCATCTTTTTGCGAGCGGATCTCTGGCGTTTGCCGGGAACGGTCACCGGAACGGGACTGGGGACGTAGGCCGTGGGCGCCTTGATCGCTCTCCCAGAACGACTCATTCGAGCATTAGGTGATGGAAGGACCTCGTCGACGGAATCTTCGCGTTTCATGCTAAAATCCTCTTGCGATTTCTCCTGCTTGAAGGTGATCTTCAGCCGTTTCGCCGGACGGTCGGACGACTCTTCAAACGCATCGGCATTGTCTCGAGGAGAATTGGACATTGCACCAGGGAGACAGATGGCTGCCTGTATCTCTTTTATAGGTAACAGAGATCGGCCTGGCCGGAGACGGGAAAGAGGGCTTGGAACCTAAATCGTGGTTGAGCTGGCGGACAGAAACGTCAAGGGCAGAACAAATTTTTTTAAAAAAAAATATTATTTAAATGATTTGGGCAAACATCCATGGATTGTCGGTTCAGTCAAACGCGACTCAGCATGGCACGATGCAAGCACAGGGAAGGGAAGGAGATGTCGTCCCGCCCAAGGTCTGTATAGCCTCACGTGATCACCAACTAACCCTGAGAATCTGGAGGATCAAGTGTTCAATTAGGATAATCAAGTAACCTGAGTACTCTTTCACGAATTGAAATCAGGATAAATTCCAACGTAGTGAGGTTATTTGATTCGTCTATGTACATTCGTGCTAGTTCAAGTTTTGTATATCTACACTGCATCCTCTGACGTCCGCCGGTTATGACAGCACACCCTCCTCCTTCAATCGAGCAATATCTGCCTCACTATATTCCAAGATTCCCCCCCAAAATCTCGTCGGTGTGTTGACCAAGAGTTGGGGGGGAGGGGTACGAACACCAGGTGTCGCCTCTGAGTACTTTATGGGGGTGTTGACCAACTTAATGGGGCCACACGCCGGGTGGTCAACCTCCGTTACCATGCCCCGGGCTTGCACTGTAAAAAGAAACATTAATGTTTGTGTTTAAGATGTGATGTATCAGAGGAACATACCGTGCTCGTGGTTCAGTGTTCCCTGGATATCGTTCACCGCTGCATAGGGCATTCCACTGCCTTCAAAGAGGTCCAACCACTGCTTGGTCGTCTTCTTTTGGGTTGTGCTTTCAATCATCCCATCAATATCAGCACGATGCTGCACACGGTCGCTGTTAGTGACAAAGCGAGAATCAGTTTTCCATTCAGGGAAGCCTAGACGATCGCATAGAACACCAAATAGCCGATCATTGCCGCCGCCAAAGAGAATGTCGCCATCCAGTGTTTTGTAGCTTCGGTAGGGGACAATTGACGCTGATGATTATTAGTATGCCGCTCGTCATATTTTCAGTGTGAAGTCCACTTACGGTGTGCAGTACCCCATCGGCCGGAGTCCTTCTTGCCACTGATCAAGGCAGAGCTAGCCAGATTCGACAATGTTGCGACTTGGCAGTCGCTGAGACAAGCGTCAATATGCTGTCCCCTGCCCGTGCGAGCACGCGCAAGCAAAGCTGCCATAATAGCATTGGATGTATAAAGACCAGTTGTCAGATCAGTCACGGCCACGCCGACCTTGACAGGCGCGCCATCTCGCGCTCCGGTGATATGCATCAAGCCCATCTCGGCTTCCACCATGACATCGTAGCCGGCACGGTTGCTGTAGGGTCCAGTTTGGCCATAACCGGTGATACTAGCATATATAAGCTTGGGGTTGATCTCTCGTAGAGTTTCATAGTCCATTCCATATTTCTTCAAGCCCCCGGGCAAGTAGTTCTCGACTAAAACGTCGCATTCCTTGGCTAGCTTGTGAAGAATCTCAACGCCTGACTTGTGCTGGAAAGACAACCCGAGGGATTTCTTGTTGCGATTGACCTATCAATGCAGTTAGCATACCGGGTGCCATTGAGATCAGGCCAATGAGCTCATACGGCCAGGTAATAGGCGCTCTCGCCCGGTCCCGTCTTCGATGGGTCTTCGTATTGGGCATATGGCGGGCCCCAGGCTCGGGTATCATCACCACGAACAGGGTGTTCGACTTTGATGACGTCCGCTCTAAAACATAATATGTTAGTAGTTGCATCTCAACTTCGATCGAGTAGGCGTGAACCAGAGCTTTTAGAACCCCCACTTACCCCAGATCACCAAGAATTTGAGTACAGTACGGCTATATCAAACAAGATCAGGTCAGCACAGAATCACGAAATATCCAGGACGTACACTCACTCCAGCCAGCACTCGGGTCATATCAAGCACTCGAATGCCCGACAGGGGTAGTGTATCACTCAAAGGCGAAACAGCACTGGAGTAGCTCCGCAGCGGCACGCGACGCCAGACATTATAATTATAAGAGCAGCCAGAGCTCGCGCGGCGAGAAATCGCCTGAAAGCGAAAAGCGACGTTCATCATATAATGCCAAAACATACAGCGTGGCAAATTAAACAAAGAAAAAAATTGAAGCTCAGCACAGCAGTTGATTTAAAGGGAAGCCTGGATATATCGAAATTCCGCTAAAACGCCGACACCGCTCGGGCGGCGGGCCCTGAAGCCGAGGTCGACCGAAGTAACCCCAACTCTTCCTAAGGTTTCCCCTCCTCCAATCCCTTGCAGATCCACTCCGCAACAATGTTTACTGGCCTTGTCGAGACCATCGGGAGTTCGTGACATCTTCCTGCTCCTTCTGCATAATGTCGTCCAGACTAACAGACCTCCCCCTTCAGCCGTTACGGCCCTAGAGCCCCTCGATACCTCGCAGAGCGGGGGCGGGGGCACTTCGCTCACCATCTCCGACTGCGAGGAGATTCTCTCCGATGCTCACTTGGGCGATAGTATTGCTGTCAATGGTACAATTCTCTGCAGCTAAAGGAAGACAATCTCGCGGGACATGTCTGGCTAATACTCATTGGAACGACAGGAACCTGCCTCACAGTCACCGAGTTCGACAAGACCTGGTTCAAGGTCGGTGTTGCGCCAGAGACTCTTCGACGTACGAATCTCGGCTCCCTGACAACCGGCTCCAACGTCAATCTCGAACGTGCAGTTTCGGCGAATACCCGCATGGGTGGTCATTTCGTCCAGGGCCACGTCGATACCGTTGCGCAGATTCTGTCCATCACACCTGATGGCAATTCCTTGGTCTTCCGCCTGCAGCCGCGTGATAGAGACATCCTCCGCTACGTTGTTGAGAAGGGTTATGTCACTCTGGATGGTGCCAGTCTGACTGTCACCAAGGTCGTTGACGGCGAGGACGGATACTGGGAGGTCATGCTCATTGCCTACACCCAAGAGAAGGTCGTTACGGCTGGAAAGAAAGCTGGCGAGTTCGTCAATGTTGAGATCGACATTGTGGGCAAATATGTCGAGAAGAGCGTTGCCGGATACTTTGCTGGTACTGCCGGTGGGGATTTCGCCATTCTAGAGAAGATGGTGGCCCGCCTGGTTGAGGAGAAGCTGAAGAAATAAATATTAAAAAGACGTGCACGCATTGATGCCATTTACGAGGATCTGAATTAAACAAGAAAGCGTCCAATTATTCTATCTCAAAACTTTTTGATTCATTCCGTAAATCTTGTACATGTACACTGGGCCGTGAAGAATGGGTATAAAATGGGGGTGACTGCCTAGGATGTGGCTGTTCGATGGTCAAAATCGACCGCAAGCCCGGTCCGGACTGCATTTTATAGCCTGATCGGCATGACAGTCTGCGAAGCATGCTCACCATCTCCATGGAATAGACCTTGAAGACTTGGGCTGGGGTCAAGAACCAGATCCGGTCCTGGAGGGGTGTTATGACCTTGAGATTCAAGGCCATTCGGGGCTGGCTAGTTGGGGGATGAACCAGCCTTGGTAACTGACAATTGTGAAATCATCAGATCCTTCACTCCTCCATAGACTCATCCGAGTCGTCTTCGTCCCTCCTTCATCATCAAAGTCATCAGAAAGCCAATTCTCGTCGTCCATATCAACGTCCTCGTCGTCTTCATCATCGTTGACCTTCTCGCCATTGGCCCTAGCCTTGGCCTTGTCCTTCTTCTTCCGCTCAATGTTCTCCTTTTGCTCCTTCTTGCGCTTCTCCTTCTCCTTGCGACGAACGGCCCAGTTCTGATCCAGCTTCCTAACCTCGGCAGCAGACTTGGTGACATAGTCGTGCCACATGATCTTGCCATCGCACACACCGTCCTCGACCTTCATAAGTCGGAGCTTCAGGCGGGGTCCAAGCTCCACCAGCTTGACTGCGCGCTTCTCAACACCTGGGGTAGAGGCCTTCTTATCGGCCTTCTCGCCCTTCTCATTAGCCTTCTGGCGTTGTGCTTCACGCTTGTTGAGAATCTTCCGGGTTGTGCTCTCCGCAATCTCCACCTCGGCATCGGTATCAAGTTCAGTCTCACTCGCGGATGTGTAACCAGCGGCGGACGGGTCCAGCAGATAGTCAGCAGCATCCTCGAGTTTACCCAGGTTGGGAACAGCGGCCTTCTTCTTTTCTCTGTTGCGAATCTCCTTGGGGTCCAGGCGACGGATGCGTTTTGAGACGCCGGTTTTCTTTGTGGCAATCGCATAGTGGCGCAAACTCAGGACGTAGGAGTCATCTTCTTCGGACTCGGCCGGTTCACGGTTCAGGAGCATCACACGACGAATTGAAGAAAGGGGAGTGGCTGTGGGGTTGATCGGGGGGAAGAGTGATTGGAAGATGGTGGTGGTGAGCGCTTCCAGGCGTTTCGGGACTTTAGCGTCTTCATCGACATCGGCGGTATTGAAGTTGTTCATGACTAGCAGAGGGGCGGTCTTGTGGTCCTGACCACCACTTTGAGGGCGCTTCATTGATCGTTCCACATCTTTGCAGAGGGAGTAATTCTCGACTTGAAAGTGGAGGGTAGGGCCACGGGGCGTAACGGCGAGTCGCATGTTGGTGTTTCCAGTCTTGGACTTAGAGAAAAGCATCAGATGAGTGACACCAAGAGGACCAGCCATCACGGTATAATCGCGCAGTCGGTTAGATTTGCGTTCCTAAAGATATAAGAATTAGATGCCGTTGAAATTGTCAAAAGCAGAAGATTTGAAAACCATACCTTCAATCGCACAGCGGTATCGGGCTCCATCATGCGTCGGACATCCTTGACAAGCTGAGTAACACTAGTACCAACTTGCGAAGCACCGACTCGAATAACCATGGACTTCGGAGTCTTGGTCAGAGCAGCCGCGCCACCCTTGGGTGCCGCAGAGGCATTTTGGGGGCGGGTATGAGTGCGCTTCTTGACACGAGCCTTTGCCATTGTGATTGGTGATTGGTGAAATGAGAAATCACCGACAAATAAAAGGGGAGTTGGAATTGAAAGCTGCAGGGAGATCGGTCTCGGAGCTGGAAGTTTTTTTGGTCTCCAAAAAATCCAGCGGAGAAGGCCCGGATCAACAATCATGCGGATAGCCAGACCCACTTAAATTATTTTGAGGTTCGGAGTTGACTTCTCGACCAGCGCTACTTTTCTTCTCTCACCAACGACGCAAGAATGCCTATGGTCAAGAAGCGCAAGGTCGCCAAAGAGGTGGCCTCTCCGGTAGAGGATAGCGATTCTCAGTCTTCGCGCTCCGAGTCTCCCGCGGTTGAGAATACCACCAACGATGACGGCACCGCCGAGAATACACCCGCACCCAAGTCGTTTAAGGAATTGGGCATTATCGACTCATTGATCGAAGCTTGCGAAACCCTAGGATATAAAGCCCCGACTCCTATTGTGAGTATCTTTACCTATACCAAAACCCAGCGGGATGGATCTCGGCGAGTATGATCCGTGGTCGGTATTTGCCAAAATGGATCCTCTGCGCCGATTCCTCTTTGGTCTCGATCTTTCTTGGTGAACTAGGCTGACAATGGCAAACTCAGCAAGTCGAGGCGATTCCAGTTGCACTTCAGGGACGGGATGTCATCGGATTGGCCGAGACAGGTAGTGGAAAGACGGCGGCGTTCGCTCTTCCAATCCTACAAAAGCTGATGGAAAATCCCTCCTCTTTCTTTTCCCTCGTACTCAGTCCCACTCGAGAGCTTGCGTACCAAATTGCGCAGGCTTTCGAGGCCCTTGGATCGACTATCAATGTTCGCACGTGCTGTCTTGTGGGTGGTATGGATATGGTGCCTCAATCGATCGCGCTCGGCAAGAAGGTTGGTCCTGAACATGATTATCCTGATTTTTATATACTAATACTCTACTCAGCCCCATATTATCGTCGCTACCCCCGGTCGTCTTCTGGATCATCTTGAGAATACTAAAGGGTGAGTAGGCGCATACCCATCAATCAAGATCTAACTGACTCTTCGTGCAGCTTTTCCCTTCGGGCACTGAAATACCTCGTCATGGATGAGGCTGACAGAATGCTGGACCAAGATTTCGGTCCTCTTCTCGATAAGATTCTCCGAATTTTGCCGGCCAAGCGTAACACTTTCCTTTTCAGTGCCACCCTTTCCTCAAAGGTCGAATCCTTACAACGGGCATCCCTGTCCAACCCGGAGAAGGTCTCAGTGAGCAGCAAGTATTCCACAGTGAAGACTCTCCAGTCCTACTACTTGTTAAAACCCCATAAGTGGAAGGATCTCTACCTCTGTTTCCTTCTTAATGAATTCATGGGTTGGTGCCCCCATTAATCCAAACAACAAGAAGAAAGAAGACTAACAAAAGCAACAGGTCAAAGCGTTATTCTCTTCACTAGGACAGTTCATGAAACCCAAAGAGTCGCATTCTTACTTCGAAGCCTGGGCTTCGGAGCTATCCCGCTGCATGGCCAGCTTAGCCAGTCTTCTCGACTCGGTGCACTTGGCAAGTTCAGATCGAAGGCCCGCGACATTCTCGTCTGTACAGATGTTGCAGCCCGTGGTCTTGATATCCCAAGCGTTGACGTCGTTCTGAAGTGAGTTGAAAATTGACAAATTTACATAGAGTCATCTCACTAAATATTGCCATAGCTTCGATCTTCCCACCGACAGCAAGACCTATATTCACAGAGTCGGCCGAACTGCCCGTGCGGGTAAGAGTGGTGTTGCCATCAGTTTCGTAACTCAGTACGATGTGGAGTTATTCCGTGAGTTCCCTTCCCCAGAAAGGAAAAGCATATTCCCGTTGCTAACGAACTATCAGAGAGAATTGAAGATGCTCTGAACCGCAAACTGCCAGAATATGAGACCGAGAAGGATGAGGTTATGATTCTGGCAGAGAGGGTCAGCGAGGCGCAGCGTTATGCCATTATGGAGATGAAGGCATTGGACGAGAAGAAGGGCACCAGAGGAAACAAGTTTGGTAAAGGCAAGCGCACGCGTGATAATATGGATCAAGAGGAGGGTTGATCAAGACCATGACGTGGCTGGCCCAAAAGTACTATCTCTACATGTACCTAGTATGAGTTTAATGTCAATAGAAAAGTCTCTTTTTCACATTTACCTCTGCTCAGGTAGATAGTGCGGTGCACTATCCTAGGATGACACAGGCAGTCCTATCATGGCGATATGCGAGAATACCTGCTAATTACACCTACCTCACTATGTCATTGACAGGGCGTCTGCTGCCCAGCTGGTTAGCATCCCCCAAGAGATTTACTATTATTGTTACATTTAAAACTAGGGCTATTGCGCTTGTTCCGGCCTGGTGAGAATAACATAGCAAGCGGGACATAGCCTTCAACCGTTCTAGTCAAAGAAGGAAATGATAAGCATGCAAAGAATTTCATTACTGCATGAACATGATATTGACTATGTTGCTAAGTCATACTGCTCTCAAAAGGCAGAAAATAAACGCTGTCGTCATATTTTGGTGTAGTGGTTCCCTGATAACCGCGTCAAGTGAATCAAGGGAAGCAAAGTCATCCACTGTTGTATTCCGTGGTTGAGCAATTAAGCCTGCTGACCGTCAGTGCCCGCTTCACGCACAGCATTAGCAACGCGAGTAGCAAGGTCATCAGCCTCCGATCGGCTAGCAGCCTCGGCGTAAACGCGGACAGCATCCTCGGTACCACTGGCACGAGCGAAGCTGCGGCCCTTGTGGTAGCGGGACTGCAGGGACTCAATCTTGCCCTGAAGACCGGCGGGAGACTCAAGCTTGCGCTCTGCGTCGTAGGCCTTGAAGATCGAGCGGTCATTCACCTCGACGCGGACCAGGCGCGAGGGGGAGATCAGTGTAGGTGCCGAGCCACTCCTTCGGGGTCCAGCCCTTGTGAGCGAGGATGGCCTCGACGAGGAGCATGTCGGAGAGAGCATCACCGACGGCCTGGTTGATCAGGTCGGTCAGGGCCTGCAGGCATTCTAGGGCGCGCTGCTGGGCCGGGGACTGGGGCTCGGTGTTCTTGATGGCCTTCAGAGCATTCTCAGAGAAGGTAACGGTACCGTGACCGTTGGCCTCAAAGTAGACACCAACATCGAATCGCAGAGCGGCGTGGTGCAAGTGCTTGACACCAGTGTTGGTGCAGATGATGGGCAGCTTGAGTACCTTCTCAATGTAATCAGTGCTAGCACCGTTGGCGTAGGCAGTTTGAACGACTCCGATCTTGAGCTTCGATGCGATTCCGGCGCTGCGGGCAAGGTCGCCAATGAAGGAAGCAGCCAGAGTGGCGATGCGGTCACCGTCGAGAAGTCGGAAAACGTTGCTCTCGTCGCTGAAGTAGTAGACCAGACGGTCGGCATCACCGTCCAATGAAGCACAGCGATCAAGAGGACCGGCCTTAGACGAGGGAGGGGCACGTTGCTTGGTCTTCACGTAATCGGCACCACACTAAGAAAAGGCTTGTCAATACATTGCGCCATACGGGAAGAATAGGATGCAATTTTACCTCAAAGTTCAGGCTGTCGGGGTTGATCACATCATCGTTGATGACCTTGATGTCCAGAGGGGTATCAAGGAGTTTAATGAGCTCCCTCAGCTTAGGGCCACCGACACCATTGGCACAATCGACGGTCAGGGATCCCTGGACCTTAACGCCTCGCATCACCTTCTTGAAGGAATCTACCAACTTCTGGTAGTATCCCAGCTCGGAGGGCTCGCCGTACTGGTATTGTGTTCCAAGGGTGTTCTTGCAGCGCACAACGTAGTGAAGCTGAGGGGTGGTCATGTACTTGAAGTCGATAAATTCAACCTGAGTCGCGGTCAGGGCGGCATTCAGCACGCCGACAAGCCGAGAGCCAGAGGCACGAGTATCTCTAGCAAAGACCACGCGGGCGGGGTTAGTCATCTTGACATCGATCTCCTTCACCAGCTCATCATAGACATCGGCGATTTTGTCCAGAGGGGCATTGGCAAGCTTAGTGGCATATGTCTCCCACTCGGCCTAGCAATCGGGGGTCAGTAACCAGGGGCAATGAAAATTTATACGACTGTTTGAGTATTTCTCACCTCAAGCATCTCGCCCTAGAATTTCCCATGTTGATTAGATATGATTCAAGTCAGAATGCAGGGGTTGTGGGCAATTGTTTACTCACCATTGGGTCAACCAGCTTCACGCCGTTGTCCTCTGCGGGATTGTGACTCGCGGTGACCATAACACCAATCCATTGTCCACTGAGCTTCTTGGAGCGCAGACCGGCAAGTAGACCGACAGCAAAGACGACGGTGTTGAGAAGGTCACTATTCAGATCCGTATGTTAGGACGACATCGACGTCAACAAAGGACGATCGCGGGGTTTGTGGAGGCGGGGCTGATCGAGGCTGAGAAAAACTTACGCCTTCATCCGGAACTATAGTCGCAAATCGAAAAGTAATTAGCTGACGTTCGTAGGAGGGGTTCTCTTTGGAAATGTGGACATACGCCTGCGGTGCCATACTCAAAGACCTTGCCCTCGGGCTTCTGGTACTGCAGCGCAGCCTCTGAGATTGCTTTCTTGACAGCTGGAGACGCCATTGTGGCGCGAAAGGCGGCGATCAAAATTAAATCAGCGGATAGGAAATGTGAGTTAAGGAAGTCGGGCAATCGCTAAATGTTGACGGAGAGAGTGAGGTGAGAGGGGAGATACTTTGAAACAAAAAAAAGAATGAGGGGCTTTTGGGTGAGACAACAGCGACTTAATGCGACGGCCATAGCGGTGAGCTAATAGTCCAATAGTGGGGGAAGTAGGCGACACGCCGTAGGGTCGGTGCGTGGAATTAGGGCCGTGCACAATGGTCAGTGCGTGTGCATTAGTACCATTACTTATTACGGGGCGCGGCTACGAGAGGAGACCGAGAGGAGACCGAAGGTGGGGATGCGAGGAGTTCGGAATTGCAATTATTATTAGCAACACAGACCGGCTCGGCTGTGTCTTGTCATACATGGGGAAACCCTGGCTTGGAAATTCCCACCGCACTTTTCTTTGGAGAGAGAGAGTATGTGAAACAGCCACCAAACAATTCACCTACGATTTAGGCTTTCAGTCGGTGGCTGGCGATATCATCCTGTGTATCTTTGATGAGGAACCTGCCCGCAGATACAATACATTAGTCACAGAAAATGAGGGGGAGAGGGGAATAAGGGAACAACGCATCCACAATGGAGAAGAACTCACGAGTACCACCAAGCTGTGGGGACTACAGTGCCCAAGTGCCAAAGGCTGTGGGCATCAATCAATCCGTTCCATGGAGGAAAGTCGAGCAATTCCAAGCTCATGGCCAGGATGAGCCATGCGACAATCATTCCAGGCCAAGCTGTCCATGACTTGAGATGCTTCTTGTATCGGACAATACTGAAGCCAGTCCACATCAGGTTCTGGATGATACCGACTGCGACGTTGGCTGCCATGTTGTACGTGTAATCCCAAGACCAGAAGGTGAGATAGCAAACATGCAACGTATAGAGCAGGATACAGATTGCTGTCCACAGGCGACGCAGGGTCGGTCGGTGTGGGGGGGTTCTCCAGATCCAGACGCAAGATTCGGACCACTGCCAAGTACAGACCGTACAAGACACTGGCGCCAGCGCCCCAGTAGTCGAACTTCTCAGTGATTGCAAAATCCCTGGTGTGGAAGATCATGCTGAAGGTCCAACTAGCCAACCCGAAGTATCCAAACGCCATATAGTATTTCCGGAGAGAGTGCCAGGCCGGGATCGATTCCTGGATTCGAGACATGCCATGCCAATGCGCCGCGAAATTGAAGAAGGAGAAGAGCACCGAAAAGGGCTCCTGCATCCCCAGCATTCTGCGGAAAGGCCATTTACCATGGAATTGAACCACGGGGCTCAGCATTGGGGGGTCCCTCGAAACTCGTTTGTCGGTGATGACATGTTGGCAGGTATAATCGCATTCAGCCGGGCAGGTCCAGAATAACAAACGGTGGAACAGAGCTAGGACGGGTCAGGGGTGAAAGAAAGAGGGCGAACGCGATAGGGGGACTTACATATCGCTGAGTTTCCATCCTGGCAGTTCTCGCTTTTACAGACCTGTGTTCGTTAGTCAGGGCATGGGGCTCATGAAGCTCATGGGAATCGAGGGAAGCAGCGTACCTGGACACATTCTTTGAAATCGGGGAGATGGTCACCCAAAGAAGCGGTTGAATGACCAACAAATAGAGCCAGTAAAAGAAAGGCGAAAATTATGGCGGAGTTGACTCTTCTGCCTAGATTCATTGTGGTCCAAAGGTGGTTTAGGCCAGCAACGCGTAAGCTTTAGGGGAATGGCAGTTTGCGGAGCAGCGGGCGGCCATTACCAGAGCGTCGCGTGAGTCTTGGCAGCCATTGTTGACAGCTCAGCTCCGGGATTTAGTTACTAGTACCTCCATGGATGGTTCCCAGATTCGAACCTATAATATACCCAGCCATTGGCTCTAAGGTCTCAAGTAAATACTTTATATTCTTGTGTAACTTTGTTGATTTCGCCTCTTTGGTCTTATGCCAAAATACTCTTAAAAAGCATCACATCTAACTTGAAGATCATGATTATTCTCGACTTTGTACTAATACTTCAAAGATTATAAGTATTTAGATCTCGTTTTTTTTTTTTTGCATAGCAGGCCTTTCAAAACCTCTACATCTCACTCTGCCGAAATTATAACGTGGTATTGATTTTCCTTGACAGGTGAATACATGCAGGGAAGCCCTAGTCACATGACTACATCATGTGACATGTGGCATCCGAAATCGGACTAGTGCGGGCGGGGATTTTGGAGGAGCTTGGCGGCGAACTGGAAAAAAAAGTCGGCTAGTCTTCAATCTAAGTTCCGACTCTTTTTCTCCAAGTCTGTGTTCTCTTTTGTCCAGATTTTCATATATTTTTCCTACCAACAAAATGGAAGGAGCCGAGAACACCCAGGGAGGTAACTCCAGCAGCGCCGATCGCATGGTTGGCATGGAGCACTCCGAAGTGCGCTATTTCACCAGGTATGGATTTAAAGCCTCAAGTTCGTGTCTTGCTTGCATGCTAATTATTACATAGCTACGATCACCACGGTAATCAATCATCTTATTCCTTATATCTTTTACGTGACTAGTCTGCGAATGGCCTGGCTAACAAGCGATTTTCCACTTTGTGCAGGTATCCACGAAGAGATGCTTGTAAGTACAATCAGACGAAACCCAGCTTGTTTGTCAAGCCAATTCGATCCAATGATCTAATTTGTGATTCCCTTCGCACAGAAAGACGATGTCCGTACCCGCTCCTACCGCGACTCCATCTACCAAAACCGCCACCTCTTCAAGGACAAGGTTGTCCTCGATGTTGGCTGCGGTACCGGTATCCTCAGCATGTAGGTGCCATACATTACACAGAAATACGATTCCATAACTTGCGACTAACCTGCTTGGAAGGTTCGCTGCCCGTGCTGGTGCCAAGCATGTGATCGGTGTCGACATGTCCTCCATCATCGAGAAGGCCAAGCAGATCGTTCACGTCAACGGGCTTTCCGACAAGATTACCCTCCTCCAGGGCAAGATGGAGGAGGTTCACCTCCCCTTCCCAAAGGTTGACATCATCATTTCCGAGTGGATGGGTTACTTCCTTCTCTACGAGTCCATGCTGGACACCGTCCTGTATGCCCGTGACACCTACCTCGCCCCCGGTGGCAAGATCTTCCCCGACAAGGCCACCATGTACGTTGCTGGTATTGAGGATGGCGACTACAAGGACGACAAGATCGGATGTGAGGCGACCCTTTTACCAGTTTTCGATGAATTCGCGCTAATTATCTACAGTCTGGGACAACGTTTATGGCTTTGACTACAGCCCCATGAAGGAGATCGCGCTCACCGAGCCCCTCGTTGATACCGTCGAGATGAAGGCCCTTGTCACCGACCCTTGCCCTATCATCACCTTTGATCTGAACACTGTCACTGTTGCCGACCTCGCCTTCAAGGTCCCCTACAACCTCACTGCCAAGCGCAGCGACTTCATCCATGCCATGATCGCTTGGTTCGATATTGATTTCAGCGCTTGCCACAAGCCCATCCACTTCTCTACTGGCCCCCCACGCCAAGTACACCCACTGGAAGCAGACCGTCTTCTACCTGCGTGATGTTCTCACTATTGAGGAGGATGAGCAGGTTTCCGGCTGGCTGGAGAACCGCCCTAATGACAAGAACAAGCGCGACTTGGACATCAACTTGTCGTACAAGTTTGAGATTAACGACCCCACCCGCTTTGCCGAGGGCAGCTGCTTCTACCGCATGTATGTTTTTCCTGAACATCTCGTAACCACCGTCACATAGGCTAACATTCCTTTTTCTAGGTGCTAATTTCTGGGTTTGATGGCTTGTTTTATTCATGAAATGATCATAATCATCTAGATGCTGCCGTGTGCTTTTGAGACCGCGTGTGCAGCCTAGAATTTTCAGGTCTGGATTTGCACAGTCATATTTGACATATTTCCGGTCTCGGTTTTCTTTCACAGGCGTTACTTTCTTGGGTGGCAGGGTAAAAGGCATTACTACATGGCGCGATACGGAGAGATGATTATGAAGCTCCTCGAATCAAGTAGATACCCCCGAGTCGATGCTTAGTAGTAACTCCGACGCATCTGATGTCCAAATCTTGGAATGTTTGTAGATGCATGCAGGGGAAATACTTTTTTGATTTGAATATACATTTCCATTCTCCGTAGAAGTAGAATAATTTGGGTAGTCGTAAGTGAGAATATGCCAAGTAGCTGGCGCTGGGACGTCTCTTCGGCAATGACGGTAACAAATCATTATCAGATCCTCGGCTCAGGTCCGCCCCGCAATTCCTCAATCCTACTTTAGCTTCTTCTCCGCAGCATTTTTTCCCGCGCGCTCTTTCTTTTCAATCCCCCCCTTTCCTTCTCATCATTATCACAACAGTCTATTGTATATATTCACTATGTCTGCTCCCGGTGCTGGTCACGAATTCCCCGCTAAGCCTGTGTCCTGGCAAAAGCGCGATGTCCTGCTCTTCGCTAACAGCATCGGCTGCAAGGCCGACGAGTTGCAGTTCCTTTATGTATGTCCAGCGAGCCAATGGGGCTTATGTGTATTGTCTGACATGTTAAACAGGAGCTGCACCCCAAATTCTCGGTCTTCCCGACCTACCCCCTGATCTTGCGTACGTTGCACCTCTGGTCCTTTTTTTGGGCATCGCTGGCAGTAAGACTGACCCACTTAAACAGCCTTCAAGCTCACAGATCAGGAGGTGACAAACTTCTATGAGCGCCAGTCGGCCGTCCATATCCCTGGTGTTCCGAAATTGGATCACCGCCATGGAGTCGATGGCCAGCGCAAGCTGACCATCCTCAAGCCGCTTCCTCCCACTAGCGCTGGACGCAAGTTTGAGCTGCGCAACAAGGTCATCGGTGTCTACGACAAGGGCAAGCCCGGTACTGTCATGGAAACCGAGCAGTCTATTGTCGACGCCGAGAGTGGCGAGGTGTACAACAAGGTTTTGACGAGCGGCTTTTTGGTCGGACAGGGTAACTGGGGTGGACCTAAGGGTGCGTTGTGTGCACGACTCCTAGCCTCCCAGAGAAATACTGACCTTCTTTACGCAGGGCCCTCCACAGTTAACTTCCCTCCTCCCGAGGGCAAGGCTCCTGATGCCACTCATGTCATTCAGAGCACTAATGAGACTGCTCATCTGTACCGGTACGTTTGTGGAATTTTAAAACTTAAGAAACTAGGACAAATACTGATTTCAATCTCTAGTTTGAACGGAGACTATAACCCTCTGCACGCCACCCCCGAGCCTGGCCAGAAGATGGGCTTTGGTGGTATCATCATCCACGGCCTGTTCAGCTGGAACTCTGCTGCCCACGGCATCCTGCGCGAGCTTGGAGGTAGCAACCCTGACAATATCAAGGAATTCCAGGCTCGCTTTGCGTCCCCTGTTCGTCCCAATGACAAGCTTACTACAGAGATCTGGCGGATGGGCAATGTCCAGGCGGATGGCTTTGAGGAGGTCCGCTTTACTACCAAGAACCAGACTGGAAAGGTTGTTCTGAGCAATGGTCGTTGTCTGCTGAAGGTTGTCAGCCCGAAGAGTAAGCTGTGAAGGTATAAAATGTGACTGCTATATCGCTTTTGCCATACTACTTTTATGGTGTATCGGTTGTATATATCAATTTTACCAGAACTACACCGTCTGCATTCCAAGGTTTTCATGAAAAATGATCCTGGAACCATGGAAAATACCTACGTACTCACAGTCCACGGGTACTTCCGGTTCCCAAATAGTTTGATAAAGTTAGCGAAAGCGGCGTCTGTACTATTCCGACCCGTTCAAGAACAAGATGTTTCCCAAGGCTATATTTACCTAGGTACCTGAGATCCTACTAATGACTTCAAGTTGGAACTGAAACAACATTCAACCGTTGGATATCACAGGATACCTTACCTTACCTAGGCACCCTACCTAGATAGCCTATTAGGCATGAATATCTTCCGAGTCGTACGTGGGTCTGGATCCAATCGATAAGATCGGGAGTGCCCCAGGGTAGAACCGTGACTGTTTGACATGATGAAAGTTCAAGGCGAGTAATAGTTCAGAATCTTTGAATTTGCCCCTCACTCAGGTACTGTTATATATTATTCTTTCATATGATATATGATTCATAGTTAGTTCAACTGTTCAATCTGGTCTTCCATACACACTTACTGTTTAGTGTCAGTGTCTCTCATCATACGTTGTTTGCCTTGGCAACGCTTTGCGAATGCACGTGACTCCCATCGGCCGAGGCCGTTTCCCCGGAGTTTCGGGCTGTTCCCCCACCACCTTCTCCTGCATCTGCATCTTGAGCAACAGTGCAGACAGAAGACAGGACAGAAGATGAATTTTCGCAGCTCCAAGGCCATCTCAATGGCTGCTTGGCATAGCACTCTGAGGTAAGTTTAATTGATCTTAATTCACGAAGTTCGAGTGCTGATATACCCCCCAGAGGCACCATTTCACGGTCATATGCCTCCAAGAGTGGTAACTTGGTACGTCAAATCCGTATTTGGACCTCTAGTGCAAGATGAGCGTGGAAGAATCGCACTAATTCTCAACGATAGCCCATACGGACCATTGAATTAGACAATCGCTCGTTTTCCAAAAGAAGAGCCCATTCGCCGTCATCCATTGTTAGCAAGCGTCTAATGTCCACCAATTCCACGGTGGGCACATCAGAGCTCCCAGAATATCTGGAGACGCTTTCCAAAGTACCCAGTCTTCGTTCCAGCATGGCGAGGGACTTGAAAAAAGGATATGTAGTGCTACTGCCACCAAATACTAGTACCCAGTATTACAAGTTGTGAGTCGCCTATTTGAACCCATGAAATAATTTATCGCTGTAAGTGCTAATGATAGGTAGTGGGTCCTTTTTTCTGAGGTGAGTCGCAGGGGAGAGTACGTTCGGGAGCTCGTCTCTTGAAAGAATGATCGCTAAGAGGTCATGGGTTACTAGAGAAAATTGTCAATGCCCCAGGTGTGTTCACCCGGACACGAAGCAGAGGATTGTTGAAATTGGCTCGGTATGTACCATTTTTGTCCTGGGGGGGGGGCTCATTACCATCCATGGATTATAGAGCAGAGGGGCTAATCCAATATAGATCCCATCGGAAATTACTCCTACCAAGTTACAGTGCGGAACCCTCAAAGAAGGTGCTCAAATCACATGTATGACTTCAATCAATGTTTTATACCAGGCATAGCAACTAATTCTTGACAAGGGAGTGATGGTCATGAGAGTGTTTATCCGTGGGCCTGGCTAGAAAGGCACAATGTGTTTAGGCAGAACTTGAAGTACAAGGTGGCTGTATATGGTGATTGCAAGCCAAGGTATGAACATTTTGCTTTTGAAGTATCGGAACGTTTTCGCTGACAGTACTGGATGAAAGACATTTTGGCAAATTTGATCCCAAGAGCAATTCCTATCCTAAAGTCGAGTTCGAGAAGGTGATGTCAAACGATGCATCCGTTGGAGACTGGCTGAAAAAGATTGTATGTCCCCTATATATGACACCGAACCCTCAGCATGTTAATTGGCAGTAAATTGTTTCTGACGATTCGCCTTCTCCTTCGCAGCAAACTTTCGGATTCTGTTTCATCAAGGGAGTCCCAATTGACCCAGAAGCAACTCAGAGTCTTATCGAGCGCATTGCTTTTGTGAGAAACACTCACTATGGTATTCTATCAGCACGGACCCCTTTCTCGACCGAATTCTAAATTCATATCTAGGTGGCTTCTGGGATTTTACGGCCGATCTCACCTTCAAGGATACCGCATACACTAATGAGTCTCTTGGTGTCCACACAGATAACACCTATTTCACGGATCCCGCAAGACTTCAGCTTTTCCACCTTCTGTCCCACACAGATGGATCGGGAGGCGAGAGCTTACTTGTGGATGGCCTATCTGCCGCCTCCGCGCTCCTGACAGAGCATCCCGAACATTACAAAACTTTGATCCAGGTTAGACAACCATGGCATGCCAGTGGCAATGAAGATGTCTGTATCCAGCCATCCTTCACGACCCCTGTCTTTTCTATCCATCCGGACCGAGGGCGACTCTATCAGATTCGCTGGAATAATTACGATAGAGCGCCCAAATCAGACTGGTCATTGGAAACCCAGAAGAAGTGGTACATGGCTGCTCAGTGCTATGACAGAATCCTAAATGAACCTCGAAGAATGATCCAGACACAACTGCAGCCTGGAACAGCACTCAGTAAGTACATAATTGCCACCGTATACTTGCTCAATCATGAACTGATTCCCTTCCTAGTTTTCGACAACTGGAGAATGATGCATGGCCGCACCGAGTTCACAGGGAAAAGAAGGATGTGTGGAGGATACGGTATGTGTCAAAATACGCCCAAAGTTCCCTTCAACAGAAACTTGTTGATACTAATAAAACCTGGGCAGTCAATAATGATGATTACATTTCACGGCTTCGTCTGCTTAGTTATGGCCGAGAGGAGGTGCTGAATAGTCTGGGAAGCCAAAACCATCCTGACGCGGGAAAGGGCCCTTATTCGATTATCTAGACTGGGTCAAGAATTTATTCGCGCTATTTGAATGTAGAAATCGCATCGTATAGAAAAATATGGCTCCCATAGCGGACTTAAAATTCGGAAGTTACTAGGCGAGCAACTACTAAGCACCTTACTGTTGATCTACTCACGTGACCGGCTGACGTTGTTGGAGCTCGGGCTACCTACAGCTATTCTCCAACCTTCTACGTCCCATTCACCTTCACCTATCCACCCCCCTACCGATCATCCGCGTGTTGCAACCCTTGAATCGATTTAATACGAGGTCATTATTCATTAATAAAACGCTCATCATGTCGACCCTCGAGGACTTGGACGACCTTGAGCACGAGAACAGAGACAAGAAGCAAGACCAGGGCGATGACGGCAAGAAGCCCAGCGGCGACGGTGACGCCGAGATGGAAGATGCTGAGAAGAAGGATGATGAGGAAGAGCTGATTGATGAGGAGATCCTCCACTCCAGCACGGCAGACATCGTGAAGCGACGACGGATGCTGGAGAACGAAATGCGCATCATGAAGAGCGAGTTCCAGCGTTTGACACACGAGCAGAGCACAATGCGAGAAAAGGTTAAGGATAATCAAGAAAAGATCGAAAACAACAGGTATCGTTCCATTCATCTCCCCAGCGGATACTTGCTATCTTCCAAGACAGCAGTTGCTGCCCGCGGAGCTCGCAAGACCCAATCAATTGAATCATCACCTTTCTGTTTACTGACATCCCTGCTTTAACTTGCTAGACAACTACCATACCTCGTCGGAAATGTCGTTGAGCTCCTGGACCTTGATGTGGAGGCCGAAGCCGCAGAGGAGGGAGCCAACATCGATCTCGACGCCACTCGCGTCGGCAAATCCGCCGTTATCAAGACCTCAACCCGCCAGACCATCTTCCTCCCGCTCATCGGACTGGTTGACCACGAGAAGCTGAAGCCCGGTGACCTGATCGGTGTCAATAAGGACTCATATCTCATCCTAGACACTTTACCAGCAGAGTATGACAACCGCGTGAAGGCGATGGAGGTCGACGAGAAGCCGACGGAGAAGTACACGGATATCGGTGGTCTGGACAAGCAGATCGAGGAGATCGTGGAAGCTATCGTATGGCCCATGAAGGAGGCGGAGCGATTCAAGAAGATCGGTATCAAGGCGCCGAAGGGTAAGATCACACTGTTCTGTAGGGGTTCTCTTTACTCTCGACGATATTAACCTTCTTTCTCTTAGGTGCTCTAATGTACGGTCCCCCGGGAACTGGTAAAACCCTCCTTGCCCGTGCCTGTGCCGCCGAGACGAACGCCACTTTCCTGAAGCTTGCCGGTCCATCCCTCGTACAAATGTTCATTGGTGATGGTGCCAAGCTGGTGCGTGACTGCTTCGCCCTGGCTAAGGAGAAGGCTCCATCAATCATCTTCATTGACGAACTTGATGCCGTTGGTACCAAGCGTTTCGACTCCGAGAAGTCCGGTGATCGTGAAGTCCAGCGTACTATGCTGGAGCTGCTGAACCAGTTGGACGGATTCGCGTCCGACGACCGCATTAAGGTCCTCGCCGCGACTAACCGTGTCGATGTATTGGACCCTGCTCTGCTCCGATCCGGTCGTTTGGATCGTAAGATCGAGTTCCCCCTGCCGAACGAGGAGGCTCGTGCGAACATCTTGCAGATTCACTCGCGTAAGATGTCCGTCGAGGATAGCGTCAACTGGGCCGAGCTTGCCCGCAGCACGGATGAGTTCGGTGGTGCTCAGCTCAAGGCTGTCTGTGTTGAGGCTGGTATGATTGCGTTGCGGAAGGGTCTGAGCAAGATTGGTCACGAAAACTACGTTGATGCCATCGCCGAGGTTCAATCGAAGAAGCGCGACGCAAATGTCGGTATCTACGTTTGAATTGGTTTTTTTACCCCTGAATGTTACTACATCTCTTTTTATCTTTACCACCTTTTTTCGTCATGTCATGTATGTACGTTCGGCGGCCCTCAAAATGAGGCCGGTAATTCGCTATGCATGCAGACGACTGCCTCTAAACCAAATAACATTATGATCCATTCTAGACCCCGTCGAGAGTTCATTTTACGCTCGCAGGAATCTGAATACTACTAGTAGATCTGTAGCACTCCAGGGCTGGCACGGATGAACTTGACATACTAGCATTAGTAGGCAGTCCATATAGGCAAAACATTTTGATTGGTCGATTCTAGCCCTGGAGTAAATCAGGCGTAGCCTCATTTGGATTGCTGGCCAACATCTTCAGGTTCGTTTCGAGAGGTAGGAATAGCTTCAATACACACATTGCACTCTTGCAGTTCCGTCACCGGCCTAGGGCCTTACGCTTTGGTGGTGGTTTTGGCGCCATTCCTATATTCCATTCGACCCGCACGTTCTGTACTACTAGTACTAGTACGAGGTAGCAACGCAGGAAATGGCCAAGATCACGGTGATATAGAGACCATTCGCTCCAAAAATGTATCCATGAATTTTTCTTTTGTTTTGGAACAAGACCAAGGAAAATAAACTAAAGACACATAATGCGACGGTCATAAATCCATATAAAAGCCCCTTAGCTAACAGCTCAGGCATCACCTTCAAACGCTACACTCCACTTATTGCATATTACCAAACCTGGCTCAGAAAGCCCTTAGTTCTTAGCCTTGTCATCCTTGAGCGTAACGATACGGTTCAGAATGAGCTTCTCAGGCGTTGTCTCCCGGTCAACGGCATAGTATGCAGTACGCATACCCTGGAATCGAATAGCGTGCTTGTTCTTCTCAACATCCTGCTCAGCCGCAGACTTAGGCCAGGGAGCCGACTGCGAGATTTCAGTAAATCCAGTCTCAACCATGGCATCGGGGAAGATCTCCTCGGAATCAGGGTTGATATCGGCCAAGAAGCCCTCAGGGTGAGCAGAGGGGTTTTCGGACTTGAATAGCGGGTTGGTGGCGCGGACCTCGGCGCGGATAGGACTGTTTTTCGCGGGGCAGTCGGCGACCCAGTGAATGAAGCTCTTGGGCTTCTTTGCGGCCTCGCCTTCGGCGGGCTTCTCATATTTAGCGTGCACGACTGTCACGTTACCGGCGGCGTCTTTCTCGAAGGTTGTGGCGGTGATGGGGTAGGGGGCCTTGAGGAGACCGACGGTCTTGCCGGGGGCGAGGCGGAAGTAGTCTGGGGAATCGACTTCGCGGAAATCAGAGCGCTCAATGTAAACGGTCTTGGTGAAGGGGATGGTGTGGGTGCCGAAGGAGGCTTCTTTGGAGAAGGGAACTTCGACCATCTCGAGGTGGTCATCGGCGAGATCGTCGATGACAACCTTCAGAGGCTCCGTCACAACCATCAATCTGGGGACGGTTGTCTCGAGGAATGTGCGGACTGACTGGTCGAATCGGTGCATTTGGACGTTGGTCACGGCCTTGGTAACTCCGAGTTCGCTGACGAAGTTGAGGATGGCGTCGGGAGGAACACCACGGCGACGGAGAGCAATGAGTGTGTACAACCTAGGATCGTCCCAGTCACGACTGTTCTGGAGTTAGTTCTGCATCACGGTAGTTAAAGTTGAAGAATACTTACACATGACCCTCCTTGACCAGCTTGATAATCTTCCGCTTGGATAGAACGGTGCCGGTGATGTTAAGACGCCCGTATTCGCGCTGCATTGGTCGGTAGACATCCAGCTTGTCGTTGAGCCACTCATAAGACTCGCGGCCTATTCGTGAAGTTAGCCAACCGCGTCTCATGAGATACGCGAGTACAAAACCTACTGTTCTCGAACTCGGTTGTGCAAAGTGATGAAGTGATGGATTCCAAGCTATCAGAGAGGCCTAGTAAAAATTAGTATGAAATCATCAGGCACAGAAATAAAGACCAGTAAGACCTACCATGGGCCATATCGTAGGTGGGGAACATCTTATATGTTGGGGCACGGTGATGTTGCTTTCCTCCCTCGGGAATTCTCCAGGCAAAGAGATCCCACATTTGGGGGTTGGGGTTTTCAATGTCCTGCTTCATGCGCAGAGCCGCCTCTCCAGCCTTGTACTTTCCGTCACGCATAGCACGGAACTCAGTCAGAGACTCCTCGGTGGGACGGTTGCGGTGAGGACAAGCAAAGCGCTTACCACCCTGCTGACCGTCCTCGGTCTGACCACGCTGGACCTTGACCTCGGCCTGGGTGCAGTGGCAAACATAGGCGCCGTCACGCTTGATCAGCTCCTCGGAGTACTCATAGAGACGATCGAAGTGGTCACTGGCATGAGTCTCGCGCACAGGCTTGAAGCCGAGCCAATTGACGATATCCCGGATAGCAGTATAGTAGATCTCGTCCTCTCCCTCGGGGTTGGTATCGTCGAAACGCAGGATGCACTCTCCGCCATGATACTTTGCGAAGCCGAAGTTGACAGCGATAGCCTTGCTGTGTCCAATGTGAAGATATCCGTTGGGCTCGGGAGGGAAACGAGTGCGAACCTTAGGGTGGGTTTCGGAGACGGGGCGCTCGTTGTAAACGTCGTTGAGGAAACCAAGCTTGAACATGACTTCGGGGTCGCGGGGAGCAGCGGGCTCTTTAGCTGCTTTCGGGGGCTTAGGCTGCTTTGCAGGCTTTGGGGCGGCTTTGTTCGCGGCTTTCTCCAACGCCTTTTGCGCTTTCTTTAAAGCTTTCTTGGAGGGGCCTTCTTTTTCCGCGGGCGGGGCGGCCTCCTTGGGCCGCTCAGGCAGATCAACAGGCTTTGCTGGATCCATGATTGAAATGTCCCAAAAGTCCAGAGCAGATGTGAAGCAATTGGTGGGGTTGTTATTTTTCACGACCCTCAGGGAGGGGCTGCGATGCTTATCAGTCTCCGTTCGCTTATCGGGCCGATGAAACACCGGATGAGTCATGCACCCACTTCCCCAGGTAACTCGAAGCATACCGGAGTATATACTTACGATAAGACATGAAAAGCCGATTGGTGTTATCACAGTGACTGGAATGAGCCTTAATGACTCAAGAATAGTCAATAGATATTGTAGATTAACGAGTAGCTGTCGTTACATGGTAAATGGTAAATACTGTACAGGACGCAATGTACAAGCCTCATAGGGCGAAATGATAGGATACAAGAGCCAAAGAACCAAACCAGGGGAAGTAGTCAAGCCGCCACCCATTACCTGAAATCTCGGAATGATGCCCCAAAGAGGTACGAGCCAGCGAGACCTCCATGGAAGACAAAGCACCAATGAGACACAGGAGGAAGTATAGACAAAGAAATAAAAAGGGATCGTGACAGTCGCATATGAACCGATTAGAGCCACCTGTCATGCTCACATGTGCATTAAGACCAATAAACGCCAGATGCCAATGATATCTGGCGTATGTATAAGTACGTAGAAAAAAAAGATGTTGAGAAAATAAATCCAAAAGCACCAAAACACAGGTTTGACCAGAATGCGGGGTATAAGGCGTGATAATGAGACAAGGGAGGAGGATGAAAGAGTGGGATAGAGAGCGTGTGAGGGCGGTGTGGGGAGTATAAGGCAAAGCCTCTCGTATGAAGACAGAGACGGCAGGTTTAGAAGAGTTGCTTCACGTTGATGAGCTCCGAGTTACCGGGGCGGTCGCGTTCCATATGGAACCACCAATCCCGGCCCATCTTATGGTTCCAGGATCCGGTGCAGGTATCTTTTTCCCAGGGTAGAGCGGAAGACGACGTATGGCTCATCGGTGTGATGGGTGTTGTTGGTGTTGCAGGAGTACCGGTAGACCGGTTCCCCAGGCTGCCCCAACCGAAACGCGAAGTAGTAGTAGATGAAGGAGATGCGAGTTCCTCGATCGGTGGGCTGATGGGTAGCTTGCTATTTGTTTCAAAGCAATGAACGCCAACCCCAGCTGCGTATGATAGTGACTGGTTGGAAGCAAGTAATTGCTTCCACCCAATCAGACCACCTTCCGATTCTTGACCGGGGATATCAGGCCGAAGGTGGAATCGGGGAATGGACGCCCCTGTCAAGGGGTCCCGCACACCCGAGCGACCCATGAAAGCCGGCATTCGAAATTTGTAAACTGTCTTGGGTCCGTCGTTGTCCAACACGGGAGGATTGTGTTTATATTGTTCGGACGCTTCCCAGATTCCGTAGTCGTCGATCTCCGGCTCTGGTTCTTCTTCGAAATTTGCAAGTAACGCGTTGTCCGGTACATAACCATCTGAGTAATCCTCGATCAATACTGGCATGCCCGATTCTGTATCCTTGGCGGCCATGTCAATGAAGGTTTGAGCTCGAATTCGAGATGATGTCAGGTTGTTCCCGGCAGGCAAAGCAAGGGGTCGAGTGCTGACGGAACCGTGCGAGCTCCGGGGCAAACTATAACGGTCTGGTCGAAGTAATGCTTGGCCCTTTGTGATAGGTCGGCAAACTGCCTGCAAGGCACCGGGAGGCTGACAGTCGTTCGGCGCCCGGAGGGTTTCCAGACATGGAAATCCCGCTGCGAGAACACTCTGGGCGAGATGGAAATTGGGGGTGTCGGATTGTTTCGGAGATTGCTGAAAGGGTAGTGAATCAAGTTGAGTGAGTGCTGTGCCAGGGTCCGGGCATGCCACATCCCAGTGGAGATACTTCAGGCTGGAAGAAGCGAGAATGGGTTGGAAAACCATGCCTTCCTCTTCAAGCGTAGGACACTTGTCACTTTGGATAAACTTGAATCGCTCAAGCTGTATGAGAGACGCGAGTAGCTTGGAGATGACCAGCAGAGACTCAATGTTCTGCTCCACTAGGATAAATGACTTAAGCGACTGCGATTCTGGCCGCATAGCGTATTGTGCAATACCTGCATCAGTCACACCAGGCAAGTTCTCTAAGCGCAAAGATTCTAACGGAGGCAAACATAGCAGTGTGCTATCAGCGAATGCATCCTCGTTGAACGAGGATATGCAGAGATTCCGTAGAGAGGGCAAGAGGTCAAACATGCGCAGGAAAATACTGGGCTCCAAAGCACCGTTTCCATTTAGACCGTATAGCATCAATGTTTCCAAGTTGCTCCATGAAACATGATAATCCAGGAACTCGAACATTTGAGACGGCCCCAAACTTCCAGGGCAGGAATCATCACGAGGCGACAGCTCAGTGACCTCCGCTGCCTCACCAAGAACCCAAGTATGTTCTTTTAATCGCTTGCGCGTTGACAAGGCGTGGGTCAGGCGATCAAATTCATGATGGTAAGGGATAGACAGACCCAAAAGTCGCTCGAGATTGGGACACACCATAACCACAGAGGCGACCAAGTCTCGATATTCTTGCCATTGCGCGCTTTGCTTTGTTGTGGTGAAGAGTAAGTCCATCTGGGGAACCCGTAGTTCGCGGACGAGATTGGCCAGCATGTTTCGTTCGCGTAGGGTGCGCCTCAACAACTTCAGACGGCTACCTCTCTTAAGACGGTAGCGTTTCAATTGGGCGGGGAATCATTCCCAACAACATGAATTTGAGTATATCTGGAGTATGGAGTATAAGTTTCTTGTTGTTCGAGACCAACAGGGGATGTAGTATGGTGGAAACTCACAGTCGCCCTCGAACGGCCCTTTCCCAGGACCGACAAGTCAGGGACAGTGCATGCAGGTCGCGATGAAAACAAGTTGTGCAACCTGTCTGGTGTGGCGCCTTGTGTAGTACTTCGAGGTTGTTAAGGATGACATCGTAAACCTCCTGGGGGATGCGTCGCTGAACGGATTCGATGCTTTTGGGAATGGATCCAACAGAGTCGAATTGACGGTAGGAAGAGGCTGGCGAAGAAGGCGTATAACCTGTTGGCGCGGTCGAGGTTGTGTAGTTGGTGCGATAGGAAGAAACGGAAGAGGTACGCGAGGTTGCCGGCTGTGCCGCGACGGCGAATTCCTTGCAAGTTGCTGCATCCTGAGGAATTGTGTAAGGCACAGCAGGGTTTTCTGGTCTACTGGCAACGACGCTCATGGTGAATTGGCGTGCCTGGCATCGGAGGCGTGGCGCGTGTAGAGGGGAAAAGAGGAAAAATAAGGCGAAGACAGGCGGGGGTCGAGGAATGCAGGGGTGGTGGTGTGTGGTCAGTTGTCGTAATTGCCTTTAGAGATCGTCGAATTCCAACTGAGGTCAGTGGCAGTAATCCGTAGTGGTCCTTTGATTGTATGACCTTTTGGAGGTGGTTGGAGAGGGGAGAGTGAGAAGTTGCCCGGGGGGGACAAGGAAGGACTACGGCACATCAGTTGGCGCGGATATCCACTCTTTCCTTCTTGCACTTCACACTTCACCACACACTCTTTCTCTCTCTCGCTCGAGGGGTCCGGGAAGCAGTCGATCATCCCCCCCACATCCACTTTGCTCGTGGTGAGCGGAGAACCTGACAGGGGGGGGCACGACGGTTCAGGGGTTGGACTACTCAATCCTCTAGACCAGAACCGTCAGGGATCCGCTGCGCGTTGGAGTTGATCCATCAGCATCCTCCAACCAGCACCCTCATCACACTCGCCAGGGCACTCACTTCCTTTTTTTAAGGACTACTCGAATTATCTTCTGAGCCTGTCAATGCGTCCAATCTGTCCCTTTCAAAGACGGACATTGCACACATGCCTGCGTCGAACACGAACGGCTCTGCAGCATGTTGCTCGCGGACGGTTCGTGAGCTGCAACACTATACCTATATTGGTATAGTATCATGTTCAGTGGGTCCTTGGACCTGCATGGAGTGGGTCCACTGCCCCTTTTTTCGCGGCTTTTTCTGCCCTGCTCTGCATTCACACCTTGCACAGATGTTATTGTATTGGCGGCACTACGACTAGTTGGGACTACGGCGCATACGACAACCATCCACATTGTACTCTACCCTGAGCCTTAGGCGGTTTCAAAAAGCCACAAGAATAGGCTTGGCCAAAGAGGATCCTCCGGAGTCACAAAAATGCCACTTTGTGTGCCCTGTCTGACTCAACCTGCGGTCTAAGCGTGAGACATGCGGCGCCCCTCGTCTAAATAGGCAATGGTTCAAGAGCCACGAGGTCTTGTTCTAGACGTTGTTATTACTGGCGTTCGCTGGATTCCGATCTCGCCACCCCGGTCTCAAAATTGAACGTGCTCGCGTAGATTATTGGCAACGGAACCCCGAGATCGCGATCGCGGTGGATCACCGCAAATTAGCCCACCAACTCCCACAACTCCCAATCTCCAGTCGTTTCCTTGTGGGAAGCGGAACCTCCATCTCATCCTCGCTGCTACGCTCTCTTTACAAAAACCTAAGCGTATGTCCCTGGTTATAGCACGCTAATCCCACGGCAGAGCTCTGGGCAGCTCGGGGATGATCCCAGTTTCCCGCATTGAGTGATGTGGACAATTCATAGCTGAAGCCCGATCTGGTGGAGACAGTTCCCACTTCATCGACTCTACGGAGTACCATGACAGCCAATTGCACTATTGGATGTTAGCCTCCCAGTTCTTGCACGAGAATCAATGCCGCTCTATCGGTGTTGCCATGTGAGATTTGGAATTCCGCTGGTCCACTTCTCCGCCTCCACGATATGATTCGCAGTGCCCGGTCCTGTTTGTAGAACTAGGGTTTCCCACGAGGTCGCCGTATCCCATTCTAGATGGCAGGGTCCACTCTATTTTCTATTTTCATGTATTGGACTGAAGCAACTCACAATAATAGAAGCCGATCCACGCAACATGCCGTGCATATGTACGGAGTATGGGAATACCGAATCCACCCTTGTGGATCTTATTGACCTGATACCTTTTCTAGAAGATCCGAACATCGCCGCAGGGACAGGAGCTGAATACCAACAAACGTGGAGGTCTAAAGCCGTCCCACTAATTTAGGGGTTATGCGGACCCTGATATCTCATCGCCCCGCTTGTGTGCCGCCGAGGGGGTCCCGCTATATATCTACGACTTGAAGCTTCGCACGGCTCGTACTAACACTACTAGTAGATATAGGTGTCAACCTCAAAATATTATGTTCTCGGCCTGTAGTCCATTCTAATCTTGAATTTGAACCAGTAGTATTGGGTTCAAGCCTGAGCCAAGTATACTAGGTACTTTGAGTCCTAAACTTGTGTTCCAAACTTAAAACCTATGAGGTAGGTAGGGAGATATTTATAGACCTTGTCCCGCGTTTCGAATGGGTGGTCTCCAAACTTGACCACGGTCATCTCAGGCTTCAGTCTGCGTTTCAGGAGGTGTTTAACTGGTGCTCTTCACCGGGCGTGACCCAGTGATTGTCCACTACCGCTAGTACTGCTAATAGTTTCGGCATACTGGCAATTCTGGTCGTGTCACTCTCCGATAGACTCTAGGCAGTCACAGCCTGTCTAGACTAGTACTAGTAGGGTCCAAGATTTTTATGTCGCAGACTCAAACTTGAACCTTTCCCAAATATTCTATCGGAATGATATCCATGATGAGAATAATTCAAGCCATTACTACCTTGTAGGTACCACCTGGGCAGGTCCTTCCAAAACAATTCGGACGGCTGGAATGCCTCAAAGTAACCTAGAAGTTTCAGCCAATGTTTTGTCTCATTTAATCTCCGGGTGCCAGGAATGTGGGATACTTGGGAACTACTAGTATTACCTACTACCTAGTAGTTAGGCAGTAAATGAATGTGCCCCAGCTGGCTGAGAATTATACTACCAGTACTAGTACTACTACTAGTAGTATTACTATCTCCCAGGCCTCCTGAGGTCCAAGTTAGAACCCAACCTTGGATACCATGGTCCATGGATGCTGGGCTAGTACTACGCAGGTCAAAGTTGAAATTTACCTACTACCAGTACTAGTTTTAGTAGTAGTACTAGTACCGATACAAAATGTTTGTTTTTCAATTTTGTAGTTTACCTATAATCAACCGCTGAGTAACATTATATACTATATTCGCACGTATAGATTAGTAGTATGAGTCTATTCGTAAAAGTGTCGCACAACTGGCGAATGTGTGGCATTTCCATACGCCGAGCCTCCATAAGTCAGATACCCAGACTCAACAGGCCCTGATTGCAACAAAATATCCTCCCGATCCCCAAATGTAAAAACAGTCTGCATTCCCATGACCATATGCTGAAGGATATGGCAATGGTACATCCAGACACCTGCATCGGTGATTCTTATCCGCCAAGCTCGCCACCCAGACGGGGCGAGAGGCTTCGTCTTCTCCCGGTATCTGTAAAGCACAGAGGTGTCACGTTGGACTGGGCGATAAGAACCGAGGAGTTTCTCATTAGCGGTTGCATTGTACTGCCCATCGCCTCCCCCGATATCATAGTAGTGTCTGCCGTGAGCGTGGAAAGGGTGGGCATCAACACCCCCGTTGTTGAAGGTGCCTTGGTTCTGCCAGACGATTTCGATGACTTCGCCGATTTTGGCGGGGAAAGTGCGAGTGATGTTGTCGAATCCATTACCACGAGCGGTCGCTCGTTGATAAGTGGCATGGGTGTCAAGGTTTCCATTATATATGTCGATCAGGTATGGCGATTGTGGAAAGTTTTGCACCCAGTCGTATCCGTTTTGGAGCCAAATAGTATGGTCACTGACATTCTGGTGAACATCGATAATGATTCTGCGTGAGACTTCCTCCAGTTTGGGGAATCCGTGATCTGGGTGCAACGATTCTAATTCATAATCAAGCCAACCTTGAGCAATCTCCGCCACAGGTAGTGGTGGCGGCGAGGGAACAGTCTTCAAATCGGCATCAGTCCCGCCCGAGTATTGCAGGACGGCAAAGTTTGTTAAAGTCGTTGGTCTTGCTAGAGTCGTAAGTTGAATATAGAAGTGCCGTTTTGTGGCTTTTTTCAACTCTGCTTCGGACTTTGCAGTCAACAGTACGCTATATCTCTGACCGCTACCAATTTGCAAGAAGCTGGTATTCAGAGGCTTGGTATTGTGGCCGTCCGCCTCGATGATAGTGACATCGTGGCTCTCAATGGCGAGAGAAATAAATGATAAAGCGGTGGCACCAATGAATCTCAATCGATAAGATAGGCCCGGTTCGATAGAAATCGAAGCCAGTTGGCAGGAGCCTGTATCATTGGTTGCCTGGCGACTGCGTCCATTCACCAAGATTGCCTTGGTCTCTCCACTCCATGTGAAGTTGGTGGATGTGAGTCCGTCGATAATGTGCTTGTCAGTCTCATTGAAGAAGTCAGATAGCAAGATCGTACGTTCCTCGTCGTAATGGGATGGCGGAGGGTCGCATGAATCCACAATCAGCGGGCCCTTAGCAGTGACAGCTTGAAATCCAACGTGGGAATGATAAAAATAGGTTCCCGCAGTACCAATTTCGGGTTTCACTTCGTAGTCAAAGAAGTGACCTGCAGGAATAGGCCACTGACTTGCCGCAGGGGCACCATCAGAGAATGGAGCCGTAAAAGCCGTGAGGCCGTGCCAGTGCTGAGAGAGAGGTCAGCGCTAGGTAAAGCCCGTGTTTGTTTTTGGGCTGCCTACTATCGTGGTGTTCTCAGTCTTCATGTCATTATATACGCGGATCCAATTCACCTGTCCCTCCTTGAGACGCAGCTCTGGACCGGGTGATGATCCATTGACAAGGACTGAATATCTGGTCATACATGATTCGGTATAGTTTCCAGCCGTGACTCGCAGGATATGATCCGGTTGAAAGGTGTTGTCATGGTGAAAAACGGATCCGAGAGATGTTTTTGCCAAGCCAAAAAGCAAGGTAAGACCAATTCTTATGCCTTTCATTTTTGCGGAGGTTACACAAGTTGCATCATTAGAATTAAAATAAGCTTACTTCATGATCGAGGAAGTAAAGGCTTTTAATAAAGGCGAGCCAAGAATGTCGTAGTGGACGTATCTCACCATAGTCACTAAGGCATAATTCATTTCACTTCAATTGACAGTAAGACCCTTTTCTTGATTAGGGGGCACGAGGCGCCGCTTGACTGTGATTGGCTTTGAACGCAGATCAGGCCTCCAAGTATTTGATTTTGGCTCTCTTTCGGGAAATGATGAGCGGTCAGGTATGGTGAGTGTTTACGAGCCTTCAGGTAGCGGGCTCGTCCCGACCGCCTTTTTGGATAGATAGATAATGAATGCAAGATAATTGTAATTTCATTGAAACTGCTGTTTCGATTTTTGGCTCGTATATGGGTGAGTATATCAATCATCTGTAGCTACTTTGGACACACATAATGCAAAGTGATATTTGATAGATACAACTTGAAATGCATCTCTTCTCGTTTCTGAACCTTGCTTTTGAGAATTTAGCCCCCAAATCAAAACACTGGAATCATCTTTTGCGAGCGCTCTGGCCTTCTATAAGTCTTTTTTTAGGCGTCCTCTGCCTTTGTCGAATCAATTACCCGTTTCGCGTATGTGGAATCCCCGGCATTTCCAAAGTCGGAATACGGAGTACCATAAATGTAGTCATGCAAACCCCTAGCATCGGAGATTAAATCAAGGATGCCTTGACACTTCTGCCTCTGTGTCAAGCATAAAACCCAACTCAAATTTAATTTGCAAAGCCTTATCATGAAAAACAGAAGCCGTCCTATGAAAAATATTAAGTGGCGGTATGATACTAGTATGCTATACGCGATTTTCAACTTTTCTTTTATTCCACTCATTTACTAATTTTATGTTGTGACTCCGACATTATCACTTGAAAATTTTGACAGGCTGTTTGAAATTAGAACGAAGCAGGAAATGACATGAGTTGGGCAGATGCAACTCGGATCGCTCGCACTGAGAACGATGATCTGCAAACATCGGCGAGAAAGATGCCCTGGGCGTAGAACATCGTGAGATCGCCCCGTGATAGGTATTGAGATATTCGCGGATCCAAGCCAGGTTGGAGTATTAACTGGCGGGATGAGCAGAAGGGAATTGTTGAAAGGCGACAATTTGTTCCGAACATCAATTAGTATGCGTACCCTGTTACTTTAGTTCATACTAGTACTAGTAGCTTTGACAATTCTTCTTCTATTTTGGTTTTTACCTCACCTAAAATCTATTTCCTCACTCATTTGGCATACTTAGGAATTTGAAACGGTGACCAGTCCATTTGTAAAATTTCCTGTCATGTCGGACATCGAAATCCGGGATTTCTTGCTGCACGCTCCACGCCAGAACCCCACCAGCTTCGTTACATAAATGATCTTGGCCCAGTTCTCATATTTCTTTTAAAACACATTTATTGCACAATTTCAGCACATTCAATTTTCTTCAAAATCTTTCCTTTGCAGTTATGGCGATAGAGAAACTTCGCATCGGTATCGCAGGCCTTGGCCGTATGGGTGCGCATTTGCATTCTCGTTGGATTGACCTTGTATCTTACTGTAAACAGGAAAACGTCATGCGGTGAATTTCCACGAGCTCACTGCTCGTGCAAATGTGGTAGTCGCGAGCGCTCCTGATCCCGTCGAGCACGAATGAGCTGTGAAGAAACTTGAAGATGCTCAAATCTTCCAGGACTACGACGAAATGCTTGAAAAGGCCGATATAAAAGCTGTTGTAGTTGCGAGTATCACTGCCGTGCATGCAGAGTAAGCTATAAAATCTATCAGAAAAGGCCTTCATGTTCTCTGTGAAAAGCCTTTAAGTGTCGATCTCGAAGTTGTACGTTGATTTCTTACTTATGCTCATGAACTTTTATTACTGACGAGCGACGTTACGGTATAGGCTGAAACTGTAGTTTCGGCATATGAGGAGTCTCTCAAGAAATATCCGCAGCAGGAAGTGATGTGTGGGTTTTCTCGTCGCTTTGACGTTTCATATCGTGAAGCCCATGCAAGAGTTTCAAAGGGCGAGCTTGGATCCCCAGTTCTTTTCCGATCTCAAACAGCAGATTTGCATGATTCATCGGGATGCTTCGTCGAGTATGCGAAAACAAGCAGTGGTATAATTGAGGATTGTTCTATTCACGACATCGACCTCATTATTTGGTTCCTAGGTGAGAACCGTAAGATCAAGAGCTTGCAGGCAGTTGGTGTTTGTGCCATCCATCCTGGACTAGAGGCGAGCAATGACCGGGATAATGCGATCGCGACTGTGGAGTTTGAGGGTGGAAGAATGGTGGCGCTTTATTGCTCACGTGTGATGGCGGCCGGGCAAAAAGACACCTCGGAAATTATTTGCGAGAAAGGTCTAGTGAGGGTGAATATGCAAGTGAGAAAGAATCATGTCGAGATTCATGACTCGCAGGGTGCCAGACGTGAGCTGCCGCAACATTATTACGAGAGATTCCGGGAAGCCTTTATCACTGAAGCCTCCGAATCCACAGCATGCTGTTTGGACAATTCTCTGCCTCCAATAAGTCTCCAAAGCTCCGTTAAAGCGGGTTTTATCGGACAAGCATTGCAGAGAAGTCTTATAACGGCGAGAAATTTTTCTTTGAGTAAACTTAAAGAATTCAATAGTTAGAAAGTTCTCTTATTACTGAGAAGCTATTTATTTGTCTATTTCAAATCAGCTTCACGCAAAGTTTGAGGATGCAAGTTTATCGTCGCTACTTGTATTAATTCCTCATCATGATAACATCCATGGATCTTCTGCGAAAAGTTTTACGTACTAGTAGGACCAAAGCTAAGGTGGTCATCTCCAGGGTTGTTTATTCTAAACAGTCGGCATGGTTTCAGGATCGTATCAGTCATGCGTAGAAGCATTTCCTTTCCGATCCAGGAAATTTACTCAACGGTCGGTATTAGGTCTCCGAGCTAAACACTAATTACTGCGATGCCAATCAGTACCCTCGTATTGGGCTCCACAACTGCGGGGAATTGCCCGTCGTCGAAGTGTTGAGGGGGCTATTGGTGCTTTATAGACGAGTTAAATATGTTGAACTTCTCATCATGACAGCATTGTAGTCACAGGACCTCGGGAATATTATCTCCGACAGCTGCGGTGTCCTGCGAGGTGTAGTTAGGTACTATGTACCCAGGTAGGTAGGTTGATCTTGAGAGCCTGAAGCACCGCACCAACAACAGTTCCTGCCGTGTTTTGACCAGGAAATGCTAAGAGTAATAGACCTCTCCTAGGCATGGAGCAAAATATTCGGAGATATTAAATGAATATATCGAGCTTGGCAGATGCTTCAATATCTAGGTACTAGCCAGGTATCATGGATCATATTGGGTATTCGGGTGTAATAAAAGACGCCCCCAAGCCAAGCATTTCCTCCCAATTTGATCTTTCAATTTTCGAGCATCCAGAATGGGAAATTTGAGATATAAACCAAGAAGGATCTTATTTGAGTATGCCTCTCGAAATTAGAGAAATAGGTCACAAAAATTGGACAATACTTTCTACGATGGTCTGCTTAGGGTTATCTCCACATGCCTCGATAGCGAAAAGAAATCCGTAGAACCTCATTTATGAGTCTTTAGCTTTATAGAGCTAAGGGGAATACTGTCAAGGAGTTTATTGTGTGCTAAAGAGCGACCTATTACATACTAGCTTGAGGCGTTTTTGGCAATTTGAGTGGCCTCGAAACTTTGCATATGTCAAAATGGAGGAAATTCCACGCAGGAGCCATCACCACCTAAGAACCTTTGTCGGAAAGAACTCATCAATGAGTTCAAGATAGTATGGCTAGACTTTTATTAGCATATAGTTGCAAGATCCTCATTTTTAGTATTTAGTCTTACCTTCAACTCTTCAACGTTTGGTACCTCATCGCTCTTGGAGTACAAGTCATACGGATTGAAAGCTCGCACAGCTTCAAGCATCTTATTATCATGCTCATTCATAAGTTTATGATAGGCGTTCTCGCGATGCCATGGATAAAATGAGTGGTACCGAATCATAGCCAAACCCTCGGCGGGAATCGTCGACTGATCCTTGACAATATGATAAAGGTATTCATCATGGCCCCAGCAGAGCATGATATTCTCTAGGCCACATCCAGGGGAGTAGATGCCAAACTCTGTGCTGTATACTGGATTCTCAAAATCCTCGTTTTTCTTGAAAGACTCAGTCCCGAAGATGATTTTATCATCAAAGGCACATCCGACGGGGAACGTATCCCCTACAACATCCCACTGGCCCTGTGCACCAAAGAAGAAAAGAAGTTTGCCCAGATCATGGATCAACCCAACAAGCTGCATCCAGCGAGGCTTACCCTCTTTGCGGATAGCTTCAGCAGACTGAAGCAGGTGTGTCACCTGAGATTCCTGGGTGTCGGGATCATATTCATCGATGAAAGTGTTCAGCTTTTCCATTGCTTCCCAAACAGTCATATGTGCGCGGGTCTTGTTTTTGAAGTCGTTACGAGCCTTCAAGTTAAATGCCACTGTTTGTAGGGTATGTTGCTGAGCATAAAAGTTTTTGACTTGGTCACAAGCATCGTTGAACTGGCGGAAATTGTTCTTGTCCTTGGATTTGTCAAATTCTGATTCATCGTACAGGTCCTTTGAAATTTCCTTTGCGTTCGCCTTTAGGACATTGACGGCGTCGATATTGTCCGACGTGGCTTCGATATTTGCAGAACTTTGCAAGGCAGTGGGTGCCATCTTGAAAACACTTGACTTTGAAAGAGATAGAAAGTAAAACGGAAGAGATAGATAATTCAATGATAGAGGTTGCCTCAAAAACCCCACCGGTTTTATAGGATCCTGAATCACTGAAATTGTATCGGGAAGTGGAAAACGCTTTCCAGTTTCATTTGAGACTTCCGGAAAATACAATATAATTCCAAGGTTCTGAGGCCTTTAGGCTCACAACACCCGCACACGGAAAATCGTGTCCGAGAATAATAGGTGTAATATTTCTTGCTTATCAATTAGAAATCATTGGTTCGTGGGTGGAATGCCTGCAACTTATCACAATAAATTAACCCTTTATTCTGGAAAGTAGTGCGCGAGCTAGAGGGCGAGGAAAAGTGAGGGAAACCTCTTATAATTTTATGATACACAAGATAAGTGCTCCAATAGGTGACTTGAACGAAATATGACCCCAAATCTTCGGACTCTGAGGCCTCACCAGAGGTTATTTTGAGTCTCCTAAGCCGAATTATTCGGTCTCCGAGTCCTTTTGCCAAGGTGATGTGTCACGCGGTGAACGGAATCCGAACTCACCCCGCATCCGCCCTCTATTATACCAGGTTGCATGCTGGTTGTGATAATTTGATAACCTGGGATATCTATATATTTTGGCAATAGTACTATCTACCTATTAGACAAGCTATCCTATTACTGAGTTTCCTGAATAGATTGATTATGCTACAACACTGAATACTTCAGGGCCATTCTGAGTACTATAAAATTAGCCTTCAGATCATGCTAAAAGTTAAGTAGACTGTTTTTTGCATTGTTGATATTACATGACATGAAATATGATCTCATTTAGTATAGTGTTTTAGAGTGGCTAGGAATTGCGTCAATAAAAATGTGTAGTGTTCGTAACAAATGATGCCTCAGGCGACAATATTATGTCATATGGTTTTGGGGAGATCCGTTGGTACAGCACGCGTACTAGTAAGTTTTAGGAATCTACTAACATCAAAGGATATGAAAGACTGATGCCCAAACGCAAGGTTGAGTCCTGGTCGGAAGACCAGTGCAATAATACTTATCGTCGAATACGTTCACTCCGCGCTTGTGGGGAGTGCCGCCGACGAAAGCGCAAATGTGACGGACGGATGCCCTGTTCGTCCTGTGCGGGTCATGGTTACCGCTGCGACATTAGTCTTACAGCGCTTCCTCTCGAACAAAGTACCGGGCCAGAGAAGCTCGGCGAGCCATCTCCAGAGATTGCCAGTGTTAATCAGCCCGAGGAACAAGACAAACAAGAGAACAGTGACTCCTGGGACAAGGTGGTCACTCAGAACCGCCGCGCTCGTGTTATTAGCCGTCATAGCGCCGCCGCCCTACCACGCGTTCTCGGCCATGAGTTAGACGATCCATCACCCCCACGATTGCATTCCTACGCGTGGAACATGGGTATCCGTGCAGAATGTCGAACGAAGTTTGTTTCCCAAATCACTTCACTTATTTCCGAAGAAGAGTGTTGTAGCTTGTCCGATGTGTTTTTCAGCACCGTCGACTCCACATTCGCCTTCATCCGACGAGAGTGGTATTTTCAACAGCTGCAGTCCAAATGGCAATTCATGCAAAGCGAACCGGGTCTGGAAGCGGTCATATGTGGTGTAATTGCCTTGGGGTCATTCTTTTCGAACCCATCCCATTCTCTCGAATCGAAGTTTATCAACCAGTGTGTGCTTATTCTGGATATGGCAAATGCTGAGCCCACGGCTTCCCCGAGAACGGAGTTCTTGGCTGGCTGGATTCTGCGCTCCTTGTATATGCGATTGACGACACGTCCTCATATTGCGTGCATGGCGAGTCAAATGGCCATGCATCTTTCCGAAGTGCTGGGTTTCCATCGCGAGCTGACATCCGGATCTATGACCACGACGTCGGACCAATTGCACGTGGATCCTGATGAGGCCGAGACAAGGCGGCGTTACTTCTGGACTGCCTGGTCTTTGAACTACATTTTATCAACTGAATATGGTATTACGCCAGTGCAACTGCGCGCAGTGACTTGTCACCTGCCCTCCAGAGAAACTGCGTATGGATCCGCTGTGATTTTGAAATTTATTGAAGCAGTCCGTGTTTTGCAGGACGGTTGCGAAGGTCACGAAAGTCTGATCCTGAGAGGAGGAATCGATGATATTTTGAGCCGTCTCACTCTCTCCGAGAAAGATGGAACCACACTCCTTGCCACCTTTCATGCTGACATCTGTCTTTGTCTGTTACGCCGGGTGCTCTGTGTCACTCGTTCTATCAACAAGTCTAGCACCTGTTCCGCGGTCACCATCTTGCAAAAAGCGTTTGGCAAGATTCGCGAGTTAGTCGATCTACGGCAGCCATGGTGGAACATGGTCAGCATACCATTCCAGACCATTTGTGTGTGTCTATGGTTCAACTCCCTGCCGATGTTGTCCCTTCTGCGAGATGCAATGGATCTGCTTCGGTTGCTTGCACGTACCTTTGATACGCAAATGACTCGAGAGGCACTGGCAACTGCTCAGCACCTGATCAATGCATCGCAAGACCAGGAGGAAACCAAAAGCAGATTACGACAGGCAGCGCTGGATGATCTATTGCAGTCAGAGCCTGCGCCTGATGTGAGCCTACTGTTTCCAGAGTCAGGGTTTGACTCGCTGGATGATTGGCTGTCTCTGCCTTTCTAAGCTGTGTTTTATATTATAGGATATGATTCTGAAGCAGCCTGGGATTTATTAGTCCGAAAGAGGCACGTTCTTAGGTAATGAATCATCTCAGATATACACCGCTGAAAGCTTATCGTTGGAGGAGACTTGGAAGTAGGTAGCCAAGTGCCTCCAAGCAATCCGCGAACTTCAAATAGAACCAGCTCAACATAAAAGGGGGAAACAAGTGCTGTCGGCATGATATTGTAGCATGCAGACCTATGGATCGACAAAACAGGGCAGTAAGTAAATTTTGTAACATTGCTTCGCAACGACTAATAAAGGTTGCTACTATAAACCCCAGCTATGACGACACATATTTGAAGTTTGTTATATAGAGATATCCGGTATGTTAAATTTTAAATTTTAAATTTTTTGGTTGTTGCAAGGTGTTATCTGTGTTCTAACGTACAAGAGTCCAGATCTATTAGAACAATATTGGTCCCCATGCATTTCTTCCTAACGACTCTATAATAACTTCACCAAAATAGAAAACATCTGCTTCTGAATACCATATTCCCACCACCGCCCCTGATCAACCACACTGGAAGGATGATTATGATCAATCCCCACGGACCTTTTTTAACAATTCCACAAACATGGAAGGCATCTGCTCTTCAACACCAGCTTCCCGCCACCGATCCAGATCAGCCACGCTGATCTGCTGAGTCCTTAAGCAGTCATCCAGCGTTGTGGACTTGACTGTTAGTGCCGGGGTGGTGGGCATGATGTTCATGCGGAGTCCCTGCAGAATCTGGCGCAAATGACCTTCGGCCTTTCCACCACCCCTCCCTCCGTATGTCACAATCGCCGCCGGCTTGCCCCGCCATTCATGGAACAATAAGTCCAGTGCATTCTTCAGAGCGGCGGGAATACTCCAATTGTATTGTGGGGTCACAAATATAAAAGCGCTGTACTGTTGCACAGTTGCGGACCAGGCTCGTGTAGGGTTGTGGGCGTAGTGAGGTGTCGGGTCGGTCTCCGGGAGGTGCGAGGGCACGGCAGGCTCACTGTATAACGAAAGGCCTTGGTCGCCGATATCAAGAATTTCGATCGCTTCGGTTTCAATGTAGGGTGCGGCAAGATTAAGCACATATCGAGCGATAAAGGGATTCAGTCGAGGCTCGCGGATGCTGCAGACAACAACGGCAATTTTCTTGGACGACATGATCAATGGGGACTCGGAAGGAAACAGGTCGATTAATGGTGAATCGAGGTTCTCATTGGGGGTTTTTATGAATATTGAGTTATTGCTACTACGGCTACTGCGGATACCGCGGAGGGAACAGTCAGAGGTTAAAATAACCTTAACTATGGATGAGTCCCTTCCTTCCCCCGCGGATCCCCGCGGACCACCGCGGAGTGGTGGCTTCTACCTTACCCGGCCAGACCACTGCGGATATTGCGGAGGGACGTATCTTAAAAAGACCGTTGTGTAAAGCTGTCATTTGTTGGATTTATTAATTAGATATTACCAATTATAATCCTCGACATGATTACGCATGCTACGAAAACACATGAGGAGCTAGCGAGCTCTCAGCAGAATGTCTCGCCACCCAGCACAAGACCTATCCGCCAGCAGCGTTTCCATGAAAAGGTACTCATTTTCTCTACTCTTGATAACGCAAAGGAATATGAACCATGGAAGAAGTATTTCTTTACTGGTATTGTCTCCCTCGCTGCGGTCGCTGCACCACTTCAGAGCAATATGTTATTGCGTGAGTTTTCCTTGTCCTATACTATACCAACTTGAATGCCAACAAAACTGACATTACTTTCGTCTACACAGCCGCACTATCAGAAATCGCAGCATACTTTCACACCTCTCGGTCGCTTGTAAATCTTTCCGTCGCATTCTATATCTTATCCATGGGTATCATCCCACTCTGGTGGTCGGTGATCTCAGAGCTCTACGGACGGCGTCCGGTTTACCTCATATCTTTTGCCATTTTCCTGGTGTGGAACATCGTTTCGGCGGAGAGCACTTCCCTCAGCATGCTGATCGTCATGCGCGTTCTATGTGGAGGCGCATCGGCATCTGTACAAGCAGTTGGGGCGGGAACCGTGGCCGACCTCTGGGAGGTTGAGCGGCGTGGGCAAGCCATGGGCTACTTTTTCTTAGGTCCAATGGTCGGTCCGCTCATATCTCCCATCCTGGGAGGCATCTTGACCGAAAAGCTTGGCTGGCGGGCTACTCAGTGGGCCACTGTAGTATACGGTGCCATTGTTTGGCTTCTTATCCTCTTTTGCCTTCCCGAGACCTCATTCGCTCGCAAATCTTTGACTCGTGAACAGTCGCCCGACGCAAGTCCCAACGATGTCAATGAAAGCTTCACGATAATTCGCCGTATTTGTCGCATCTTCCTCGAGCCGTTTAAGGTCCTAACCTACCTGCAATTCCCCCCAGTCCTCCTCACAGTCTACTACGCCAGCAGCACGTTTGCCTGCTATTACGCGGTCAGCATTACCCTACAGACCATGTTTTCCGACGCCCCGTACTTCTTTTCACCGATCATCGTCGGCCTTGTCTACATTCCTTGTGCCCTAGGTTCGATTACGGCGTCGCTTTTGGGCGGCCGGTGGACCGACCATATCATGCGGCGACGGGCTAAATCATCTGGTCGATTTAATGTGGAGACCGGCCAGATCACGTATCTCCCAGGAGATCGAATGGGAGAGAATGCGTGGCTTGCCTCCTTAGTGTACCCGGCGGCGAGTCTATGGTTTGGCTGGACTATTGACAAGGGTGTCTTCTGGCTATGTCCGGTGAGTTCTGTGCTTTTGAACTGTCTTTCTTTTCCTCCTTTTCCTTCTTTTTTTCATCGCTTTCTTCTGAACGATTCGTGCTGATTACCTCTCCCTCTTTCGTTACAGTGTATTGCGACATTTTTCTTCGGTCTTGGAAGCAGCACGATCTTCAGCATGACGTCGACAATGCTGACTGAATTATTGCCAGGAAGGACCAGCACCGGTGTGGCTTTGAACAACGTGCTGCGCAATACCCTTGCGTGCATAGTCGTGGTGGTCATGCAACCTTTGATCACTGCCATTGGACCCGGTTGGATCTTTACTGGATTGGCGATCATCGGCTGGGCAAATATCGGAATCATCTGGTCATTTAAAAGTAATGCGGTCAAATGGGCCGAGGCTATGGAGACTAAGCTATCTCATAGATAAAAGCGGCAGCATTTCATTAAATTTAAAGAAGCAAGAAAGGGCCGGCGGTCATTGTTTCTTTCTGATTCGTAGTAACCAAGCAAATATGTACATACTACAAGATATTACAAGAAAGAATACTTAATTTTAATTCTTGTGTCTTGTAGATTCCTCATTTGACTTCTGATACGGACTTTGAATTCTGTTAGCCCAAAAAGAAAGTGTATACTGTTACATTTGGCTCCGGGGCAGCCATCACGTCCAAGAATACCATGATCTTGTGATATCCCGATGGACCACTCATAATCCATGTCACTTAGTTCGAGAGATGAAGTGTAAATAACATCATAAGCGAATGAGGCGTGAAGACATTCCACGACTAAATTTGGTCTCTTCTCCGAAGTTCTTTCTATGCGCCTGGCTATGAACCAAATCTTTCAACGTGTGCTAATCCTATTGTACGGAGACTTAATAACTAAAGATTATACTGACCTCTTCGTCCAACTAGTAATAGTACTGATAATCTGACAATATTACTATACGAGATACTCTCTGGCAAAGAAAAGGCAAGCAAACTACTACTACTACTATATTAATTGCCAAGCCGAGGTTGGGATACCAAGAAATGGATAGATGAGGATGATCGCCAATGAAAAGTGGGGCCCAACCCTGTCAGTGGTTCCTGAGACCCTTGGGCAACTTGAACCATCCACCACTTCAAATGATTCGGGCCCATATTCATCTCCGTGCGGGGAAGAAGAAGCCTTTAATTGGAAATGGTTGCATCCGCGTCCGAGCATGAAGAGCAGCTAAACCAGGTTGGGCACGCGGAATGTGGAATGTGCACCAAAGCTGCAAGACCTCCGACGATCCCAGCCCTGCAGGTTCGCTGCTCAAACACATCACACGCATCCACCTGTGCCTTCGCTTATGCATTTTATCTCTCCGACCCCGATGCTTTATTCCAAGTTGGGGTAATGATCATCTGTGAGACCCGCCCTCCGAAGCTTTAGAGCAAGCCTTCAGCTGTGCCATCCTCTCAGGCTGAGGTTCAAGGTGGGCGCGGGTTGGGATACAAGTACTTAAGTACTCGCATGTCTCCGCTTTGCGCGACTTGATGTCATCATTCGTACTCCTGCCTCGCTTTCAGATACCGCCATCACTTTGACTATGGCTAATCTGCGACTGGGGACGGCCTTTGCCGGGCTCGTTTTGACCATCCTGGTGTTTATGCAGTTGCTGGCAGTGGTACGCTATAACGATCGAGTCCCTGCCGGTAGTTTCGATCGCAACTTCAACCAGTGGAGGAGCAGAGCCAATACAGCTACGGACGACGGTCTATTCTTAGTGGGCGCGGGCAAAGCTGATGTGACTGGGTATGAACTCAAGCTTGATTTATTCCATTATCTGCCCCAAAATCAGCCATTAACCCTTTCTTTAGTCCTGTTGTCGAGGTGGATTTCAACGGCTATGCCAGCTTGAATCAACTAGGCACTGGTTTGCGACAGAGAATCTATTCTCGTGCCTTCATTTTTGCCGATCCCAGCAAGCCCGGGGACGCCTTTGTCTACCTCGTCCTCGATACCCTCGCGGGTGACACCGCTGTACGACATGGAGTTCTGCAGGGACTCGCAGCCTTAGGTGGTGACTACGAACGCTACGGCCAACACAATGTTGCACTTACTGGGACACACTCCCATTCCGGTCCTGGCGCTTGGATGAATTATCTTCTTCCTCAGATCCCCACCAAGGGCTTCGACAAACAGAGTTATCAGGCGATTGTGGATGGCACCATTTTGTCTATCAAACGGGCCCACGAAAGTTTATCCCCGGACGTCTTTCTTTTGGCTCTATTGACCTCGAGGACGCGAACATCAATCGCAGTCCATATTCGTACGACCACAACCCTGAAGAGGAAAAGGCACGGTACTCGGCGAAAGTTGACAAGACACTAACCCTCCTTCGTTTTGACCGGGAATCGGACAACAAAACTGCCGCAGTCTTGACCTGGTTCCCTGTTCACGGGACTTCCATGTACAACAATAACACCATCGTGACTGGTGATAACAAAGGCGTCGCCGCGTATTTGTTCGAGCGGAGTGTTGGCAGCGATTCACGATTCGCGGATGATGTTGTCATTGGATTTTCCCAGGCAAATGTTGGCGATACTAGTCCGAACATCCTTGGCGCTTGGTGTGAAGATGGTTCTAACCAAGAATGCACATATGCGGACAGCACTTGCGGCGGTACAAATGAGGACTGCCATGGACGGGGCCCTTATTTCCGCGAAAAGGACAATGGTGCAAAGAGCTGCTTCGAGATCGGCAAGCGCCAGTATTCGGCAGCAAAGAAGCTCTACGAGCAATTGGATTCAAATCCAACCACTATTACAGGCAGCTCAGATGTCAGGTCTTTTCACGTGTTCAATGACATGAACGGGTATACATTCGAGTCTCCCTTCAACGGGAGCACTTTGAAGACATGTCCTGCGGCACTTGGATACTCTTTCGCTGCGGGGACAACAGATGGACCGGGTATGTGATGAGTGTATTTTACATCCTGAATTATTGCAGCCACTAACATTTTAAAGGTGCCTTTGATTTCACCCAAAATGCAACTGGGCCAGCCACGCAGAATCCGCTGTGGATAGTAGCTCGCGCAGCTATTCACCAGCCATCACAGGAACAAAGAGAATGTCAGGGCGCCAAGGAGATCCTGCTAGATGTCGGAACGCTTACAGTACCCTATGCTTGGGCGGCAGATATCGTCGACATCCAGGTTCTTCGAGTCGGGCAACTCTTTATCATAATCTCAACCAGCGAGGCCACTACAATGTCGGGAAGACGATGGAAAGAGGCCATCGCCAAGGGAGCAAAAGACACACTATCTGTGGATGACCCCCCTTGTTGTACTTGGTGCTCCATCAAATAGCTACGCGCACTACGTCACGACAGAGGAAGAATACAACGTCCAGCGATACGAGGGCGCCTCCACTCTATATGGGCCCAACGAACTGGCAGCATATATCAATTTGACTCTCACATACCTGCCCTACTTGGGCAGTGCAGCGAGCAGCTCCAGCCTCCCCGATATTCCCACCGGTCCCAGCCCTCCCATCAACACAAATAACTCGCTAAGCTTCATTACTGGAGTCGTTTACGACGAACATCCGATAGGAAAGTCTTTCGGACAAGCCACCTCCAGCCCAGACAATAAAACTTACAGCCCAGGCGACACAGTCAGCACGACCTTTGTCGGCGCAAACCCCCGCAACAACCTTCGTCAGGAATCCACGTACGCGGCAGTGGAGCGCAAAGATCCGAGCTCAGGTGATTGGAAAGTGGTGCGCAATGATCGCGACTGGAACCTGGTCTTCTCCTGGGAGCGGACCAATCTGTTGCTGGGATATAGCGACGTTACTATTTCCTGGCAGATCGAGGACGACTACTACAGTGTTGACGATCCAAATCCAGTGCAGAGTGGCACGTATCGTATGCATTATTACGGCGAATCGAAGAGTGCTCTCGGGGAGATATCGTCATTTGATGGTATTGGAGGTACTTTTATGGTGTCTACATGAGCGTTGCCATTTGTGGTCTCCGTTGAGCAGATCAAGCCAGTAGCAGCCAATATCTATATGAATTCAATGAGGACATTAAATCTGAGGATATTGCAATCATCTTCATATAAATGAGCTGCTTCGCTAGCTACAACCTTAGAACAGTGACGATGATATTGGATATCCACCTGGGCATATGCGATATTACTCGATCAATCCAAGGCCTGATTTCAATGAGTCTTATCAGCCAGGAAAATGGCTTGAAGTCGATGCTTATTAGCTTGTTTATATCTAGTTCACGCGTCAGAATCTCCCTTCTACTTATCCAGTGGGTGTTAATTGTGGGTCAGTTGCAGATTGCCCCAAGACCACAAGATAAATCTTGAAGTTATTCTTCGAGGGCAAGACAATTTAGGGATTGCGAGCTAAAGCAGTATGCCACATTGCCCCCACGCATGCTTTCGAGACTGCTGGAGTAAAATAATTGTATAAATTGTGGGGGTTCAAGTTGCTGGAGGAGCCGCTTCAGGTCTCTTCTGTAGAGCACCTGGAGTGTTGAAAGTGCGGCGATACACTTCTGCCAGTAGGGTCTGAATCCAATCAAGTACACCGAATGAATGCTCCAGATCGATATCGGAATATGAGCAGAAGAAAAGCAAGGGAAAAGCAAGTGAAAGTATTAAAATGGACACTGATAGAACGAGGTCACATGACAGACCCACCGCCGAGCCCGACGCCTCAAGAAAGTCAATCCGATCGCGATCAAAGATTCAAACCCCCAATCACCCTCAAAATGTCTCTCATTAGCGAAGCACACGACTCCCTGCCATGTAAGACTATGCATTTTAGACCCTTTTCCAACGAAAACTAACACAGTCTAGACATCGACACCCCGCCGACCGAGATCGCGCGCCAAAAAGCCCAGCAACTCATTAACGCCGAGCTCGCCCCAGACCACAGCACAACCCTGCACCCTTTAATCCCCGCCGAGCCCGAATCGCACATCAGCGCATTCTTCCAACAAGAAATCGACCGCAAAGCTACCGGCGCCCCGCTGTCAGGCGGCATCGACCTGTCCCGCTACGAAGCACCCGAGGCCCCGACGCGAGCCTCAGACACCGATGCACCAGACCTAGATGAGTGGCGCCAGGCACTGCAGAAGGCATACACATCTAGCTCGCATCTTTCCAAACGCTACGAGAACCTGACCCTGCTGGAAGAGGGCGGCAAGAATGCCTGGTTGATTGGAAACTCGCAGCTGGAAGATATCCTCCGCAGACTGGAGAAGGAACTTGCAGACACAAGAGAGGCTGGGGACGAGGTGAACCGCCAGCGTAAGATTGCGCAGGAATCTAGCCAGGGCGAGCTGGCGGGTCTGCAGGATACGTGGAGGCGCGGCGTTGGTGCGGTTTTGGATGTCGAGTTGGCGTCTGAGGGACTCAGGATGCAGATTCTGGAGCACAGGCGCGTGGCGGCCCAACAACAGCAACGCTAAGGCCTGGATTATCCGGACTTGAATGGAGTTTCTTTATCGGAGCTTCATTTTTTCTATATCTTCGTCCCACTTGCGTTGCCAAGAGACCACGCTTCGTCCGAAGGGGTCATGTTTAGTCGTCGCTGAGACTCATCTGACCGATGTATCGGACATTTCGGCGAAAATAACTGATATGGGCCTGCGAATCACTACCTTTGCACCCAGTGCCGACCACTGTCTGCGAGTGCCCAAATATCGCCGGATCGATATCTGGACGTCCCTGGAACATCATCTAAACTCTGACCTGCTGGCCTGGGACTAGGTATTTCTTTCACAATGTGGTTCGAGCGCCGAATTGTGGCTACCTTCGCAGCCTGATTGTACTTCTATTTCAGTTGAAAACTTCGGGGGTTCTAACCCAACTATGATACCAAGAATAATATGAATGCTAAAACACTTCAATTTGACCATATTTGACTCCGGCTAGGCTATGCTATTAAATGCTAAATAGTGCAGTAAATTGCACCGTTCATTAAATCTCCGATTCACATTGAAAATTACTGGCCCTCCCTTTAGATTTTCATCCCGGGAGAGACAAGATTAACATCAACCCCATTCTCGGTAACAGCCACGGGGCAGCTTTTTTCAACAGTGTCTGCTATTCCAGCTTTGGAATTCCAGTCTACAAGTTGCTTGCACATTCCCTCCAAGGTAGTCAGGGGCGGATTGTAGCCGAGTCCACCCAGCTCAGGCGCCTGTTTCGCACGAGTGTCGTCGGCAACGCAAAAGGCACCGGAGATGGAGAAAAGCGAGGGCTGTATTTGGTCCAAGTCTCCTTGAATCTTTGGCAAGAGCCAAGGTAGGTACTTGAACTGGATGATGGAGTAGAACTCGATCAGGTGCGCGAGTAGGAAGAGCGGCATGGGGGGAATCGTCGGGAACGAGACGGGGGTTTTCGATAGAGTTTCCAGTAGCGTATATATATCGCCGAAGGAAATGGCTGGGTTTGGATCTGTCACGACAAAAGACTGACCGCCGGTATTCGGGAGAGTAGAACCAGGCTGGCTTTGTTCGAGGAGTCGTTGTTCGTAGAGGAGGTGAGCGATGGAGACGTTCTCTGCGTTGACGAAGCTTTGAATGACGGGTCGGATCCAGCTGCAATCATGTCAGTAACTACTGTCGATTCTTTACTTCCGATGTGGTGTCTACTAACGTTGGACTTCCCTGTTTGCGCAAGTATACACCGGTGAGGGTCATACTCGTATCGCTTCCGATTCCATAAATCCCATTTGCAGGTCGGATACATCCAGTGCGGAAATTCGACGAAGGATCATCGGCTGCGCGAATCATTCGCTCCGCTTCCACTTTGGTTACGGCGTAATTGCCAAAGAACTCATCGTGACGCTCTGGTAGCTTCGCCTTGTCGCTGAGAACCTGGAATGCACGCTTGGGCAGTTTCGTCCAAGGAGCTACCCAGATCCCCATTCTGTGAAGAGTGGTGGAGCCGGAGGAGGTTGAGACGAAGCAGGATGCTTTGGCTTGTCTCGCAGCATTGAGAACGTTGCGAGTACCATCGACGTTCACCTTGACACTCCGTGACAGGAACATCTCCAGTCGCTCTTGTGGGCGGATACTGGCTGCTGTGTGGAAGACAGTCAAGGGGAGCTGGGCCACGCTCTCTGCCCATGGCTGCTCGAAAGCGGTAGTGACGTTCAATTCATCTGTGATGTTGGTTTTGACAAAGCCCACACCTTGGTCGAGGATATCCTGCGTAGGTGACAGGAGATCTAGCACACGGACCGCAGAGGGATCTTCGCCCCGGGCGAGAAGGTGTGAGACAATCCAGCCGCCGACAAGACCTGCATGAGATGATATGTTAGAATAGCTCGTGTTTCAAGAAGTTTTTTGTATGTGAGATTTGATTCGTGGTTTTGCTTGCTGTATTGCATGCATGCAGAACATACCGGATCCACCCACAACTACGTAGCGTCGGGACTGTTTCGGCGGAAGGCTCTTGTTGACATCGATGGGAGATTTGAGGGCCTTTTCATATCCGGCTTTGACTTCGTCCACGGTCCAACGGTGTGGAGATGCTTCTTCTGCCTCTGGTGGGACCGCCTTCATGACAGAATTGACATGGTGTAGATAGAGGCCAACCCCGAACAGCGTGATGAGGATCGGGATCATCATACTGGAAGAAATTCGTAGACGAAAGGTGAAAGGTTTTCAGCAATTTTTGCCTTTTGCTAGCCAGACCCCCGTGGGGAAGAAAAGGAAAGAAGAAGAAGAGGAGGCTCAGAGATGGTTCATAAGAGTTCAAGATGGTAGGGATGAGATGTGTTGAGGAAAGACCCAGTGATCAGTTACACCTCATATCATATATCCAAGACTACGGAGTAAAAACTTGAAGAAAAGAACTGAGTAAGAACACCGAACATTTTGATAAACCTAATTAATAACACCGGGCATAGTTGGCATAGTAATTCAAAGAATCAAGACCAATTGTCCCTCACCAATTTTGGGGCAAGATTTGTAGGGTCGCTTAGAGAGTCAAACGGCTCGGTTAGCTTTAAACGAGATGAGGCGGCGTTGTGGTTGGTTGGTGCCACCAGATCTCTCGGTCGATTTCCCCGAGCTTTGATCAATCAGGCATGAGACAGCGAGCCTACGTAGTGGGGTGGGGTTCGTGTTCATCTTCATTCATGTCTACAGTACGGAGTATGTTCGTGTTCATTCTCAGCCACTTACCATCTCCATTTCGGCTTTTCGGCCTCTAACACTAGAGTGCTTACCTTAATCTCTAGGATGCCAAGATGGCGAATGGGAAGCCAGATGCTCCTCTCAGAAGACCCACCCCCTTTCTTGGGGAACAAACCTTCTTCTCAGTATGCCCATGGTAGTCACCCTAAGGATTCTGTGCTTTCGGGAAGGCAGTGACTTCCCTCATGGCGTGGAGTAGATGGCTTCGCTTCCTCTCTTCAATCTACCTTAATCACGACTTTTAGTGTCTTAGGGTATCCACACTCGTGGTCTCTGACAACATTCTTATTTCGCCCAATAGCACCATTATAGTGGCTCGGAGGCAACATATGGTTTTTATCATGTTGAATACTCCGAGTCCGGCTCCTCCTTCAATATGGATATCTTGATAACTTCACAAGTTTGGCGGGGGTTTGTCTAGAGTTTCGCGGCTATCAGATTGACTCGCTGAAAATAGCATGGCAGAAAACCCCCGAAGTTCTCACGGTTCGTCGTCGCGGAAGCATTCCGCCCAAGATGAATATTAAAATGGGCTCGCCATGTCATCGGCATTGCGCTTGTCGGAAATATGCGCCGTACCTGTCGGCAATCCGTGTTATTATTTTAATATTCAATTTGCCGACTTTATGGCCCGATCGTGGCCGTTGACGGTACCAGAAGAGCCGATGGGATCGCCCACCACAATGGAAAACTAACTTGAAGTCACGAGCAGAGAAGAACAGGCACATATCGCAAAGAACCCCGACCCCCGCAGAAGCAGACGCTTGGGTAAACTGCCCAGACTTGTCTTGTCAGAAAGCAGCACCCAACCTAGGGCTTCTTTGTTAAAACGTGACAGCAACTGGGGATTGCGCATGTATTCGGCAAACCGGCACGCTAAATCCACCCGAGGTCTGTATCCACTGGCACCGGCTTCTCTAAGGTCCACATGGGTGCCGGTCCAAATAGGGGATCCTACCCGAGTTCAAAGACAGAAAGATGGCCAGAACCAGAACCGCTTATGGGGCACTTCAAGATGGAGTTCCCATGGGGAATGACTCCAGACGGAACGGGTGCAAAGCTTGGAGGGAGGGAGCCAAAAAAAACGACCGGATAGCCTACGAGTTCTTCATATAATACCTTGGCGAAAAGGAACAGCGCGTATTGAATGTCTATGAGCACACATTTTTTTGTACATCTGTACATCCAGTATCGATCTACGTTACGAAAGCTCGCACTGGCCTCGGCCTGCTTTCCGAATCAATCACATCACTCGGGATTAGGGTGGTTTTTTGGCCCTCGTCGTCGCAGAATTAGGCTTATCACTGCCCGAGCCCCACCTCTTCAGGGCCGGAAATTTTCTGATCCAGAAGCTGATCCTAAATTGCTGAGATTCCCACTTTGTTGGCCATTTTTCTAAGATCTCTCTTATATTCGGTCTTGGCTGTGATTGGGCCCAGTCAGAATAACCTCGGCGGCAGGGCCATCCTTTTGATAGCCTAGGCTCTACTTGCTTCCCCTCAATTTTCTGTCCAGCTAGCCGGCGATTTGAGAACTCCTTCACCTCGAAGGCAGTGTAACCGCCCCCCCCATTTAGTGTGGTTTCAGATCGAGAATAACAGATATATGCCTGTTGTACAAGATACATCCGAGTCGCTTTCAACAACATAATACGGTCTATAAACTCAAAATAGCCCCGCCCGAACCTTCATATAGTTTGGCCCATCACTCTTACTATTCGCCTCAATTCCCCAGCATGGCTTCAGACGGTTCACATATGTCTGATGAGTACACACAGGAGAAATGGTCTCGCAACATCGAACAGTCTCGCGAATCAGACTCAATCGGCGAGTCCATCTCCTCGGTCGATACTCAAAACGATCAAGATGCGCTAGGCAAGACTCTCACCGTTCGAGCCTCTCGAGCATCAGACCATATGTCTCTCTCGCAGCGTGTCACAACCATCCCGACAAATATGACCGCCGATCCGAACTATGAAGTCGACTGGGATGGCGAAGATGACCCCGAGAACCCAAAGAACTGGACCCTGCGATATAAGGCCATGGGACTGCTCTTTCTATCTTGGAACACTCTCATTGTGTAAGTTCTACCGTGAGACAGGAAGGAGAGAAAGCCAATGTGGAACGAGACCGGGCTAACAAAATGACAGCGTGCTATATTCCACCTCATATACATCTGGCGTTTCTCAAATCGGCGAGGAGTTCAACGAAAACTCAACAATTGTCACTCTCGGTTTGACATTCTACCTTATCGGACTCGCAATCGGCTCAATGTTCATGGCCCCGCTGAGCGAAGTCTACGGCCGGAAGCCCGTTTGCGTCATCTGTCTATTTGTCTTCACAATTCTCATTATTCCCTGCGCGCTCGCCAAATCTGTGACAGCTCTGATAGTTGTCCGCTTTATTGGAGCTTTCTTCGGCAGTGTGATGATTTCCACCGCGCCTGGAATGGTCGCGGATTTGGTCCACGATGAGCATCGAGCTCTGGCCTTTTCAATTTGGAGTATAGGCCCACTAAATGGACCCGTCCTGGGACCCGTCATCGGTGGGTTCGTCACACAATACCTAGGCTGGCGATGGATGTGTTGGATTGCGCTCATTCTGTCTGCTGTGGCACTCGTTCTTGCTGTCATTCTGGAGGAGACCTATGCGCCTACTTTGTTGCAAAACAAGGCTGCCCGTCTGCGCAAAGAGACTGGTGATGAGCGATGGTGGTCCCGCTATGACCGGAAGGAGAGTCTCTATCTGATCTTGAAGTTGAATCTCAGTCGCCCATTTGTTATGGCTGTCACTGAACCAATTTGGTAAGTACCATTCCAAGCATCTAGTCTGGAGTCTAATGAACGCGAGCTAACATGTTCTCCTTTTAGCATATTCTGGAACATCTACGTCGCCATCGTGTACGGTATTCTCTATCTCTGCTTCACCGCTTATCCCATTGTCTTTAGAGATATTCGCGGCTGGAGCCTTGGTCTTTCGGGCCTAGCGTTCCTGGGTATCGGCATTGGCGTTCTAGTTACCATCGCCTGTGAGCCTCTCGTCCGTCGACTTATCAACAACCACAAAGTGGACCCGGAGACAGGAAAAGTTCACCCAGAAGCAATGGTCTCCTTCGTGTGTATCTGTTCAATCCTCATCCCCATCGGCGAGCTCTGGTTCGCGTGGACCTGTGCCCCGGCTTCGATTCATTGGATTGTCCCACTGTTCGCGGGTATTCCCTTCGGCGCCGGCAATACAGGTGTTTTCATTTATGCGTCCAATTACCTCACTCACAGTTACGGAATGTACGCCGCCAGCGCCCTGGCCGGCAACTCCGTTATCCGCAGTGTACTTGGCGGTGTGCTTCCGCTGGTTGGATCATATATGTATGACAGCTTAGGGCCAAATTGGGCGGGGACTTTGCTCGGCCTGTTGGAAGTTGCTATTGTGCCGATCCCCTTTGTGTTCTACAAATACGGGCATAAGATTCGCATGAAGAGCAACCTCATTGTGCGCATGCAAGAGGATAAGAAGAAGTTGGAAGGCAAGCGCGCGAGAAAAGTCACCGCGCAAGGAACCGCGCGTCCAAATGACGAGGAGAAGCAGAATGAGGGGATCTGAACTGGATGTATTCTGAGCTCGTGGTGTTGTTTCTGTTTTCCTTGCCTGATACCTGATACCTGATACCCCGTCTTCCTTGCATTGGAGGTGCTTGAGAAGGTCCAATCGGTCTCTTGAGAGACAGCAAAAAGTGTTTGCTTGAACGAAATATTAATGATAATAGTAGTTAATGGGTTAATTCGACCAATGTTCGACCGGACTTTGTCTGCTCTATCCCCGTAGAAAGGTAACCAATGTGATCAGTAACAAGGACAAACCCTCGCTCTGGCTGTCGAGAAGCAATTTTCAACCAACGAACTGCATACGGCGTTCCACGTCCAACAGATTGCGTAAGATTCGCTCGTACTCTCCTAGAGCAATGGCGCCCGCTGGGTAGACTAAAACCGCGTCGATGTACACCGGTCGTGACGGGATAGTGCTTGGTACTTTGGCGGCGGACGAAGAGTCGTTTGAATGCTGTGACTGTGCGTCAAGCTGACTCGAGGAGAAAGAAGCAGATGGCGAGTGACAGTCTCTGACATATCCAATCACATTCAACCAGGCGCCTACATGCAGCTCCTCCGAGGTGACATCTTCAAGAACAGCATTGATGTCGACCGGAACTGTGTTGGCTTCTTCTTTACCGCGTAGATAATTGTGTTCGAGGATGAGATGACCCTCAGTGACATTATATTGTCTCACACTATAGTCAGTTTTGAACTGGTTAGTATAGATTATTTTCGAGTATTACCATTGGACGAATCCCTCAAACGTACCAGCCCAGAAACCGGACCTTCGTATCCGCCGGGAGACAAGGCAGTTCGCAAAGAAACGCGCGTTTAGAGGCACGCGGCCCATTCATCCCAAAAGCCCGCTGGGGGATGGGAGGAAAACAACGAGTTGCCTCAGCGAGGACCGGCCAAATAGGGTCACACGTGACCTGATCGGCCCGCCGTATGTCATAGGCTCAGCGAGGGGAGTTTCCCCTCCATTTGACATTTGACATTAAACATCGGGTGACTTGAATCTTGCACGCGATATCGATTGCCTTGTTCAAATCCCTACCTCGACTCCACATCGGGTACTTTCACTACCGTCAGCCAGCACTTTGTCTACTGCGCGCAGTTGGCGTTCTGCCTGGAGCCTATCCTACCCTCCACCCACCTCCGTCTCACCTGCTGCACGTCGCTCGGCGCAATACAATCCCATCTTTCATTACCGGTGCTGCCTGATCGTCCACAAAAAGGGCCAGCCCCTATACTTAACGACCGACTTTCGTCTTCCTCGCGAACTCCCTATACCAACCCCACCCGCCTTCAACGATGTGGTCCTGGTTCGGCGGAGCCGCCGCTCAAAAGCGGAAGGATGCACCCAAAGAAGCGATTCTCCTTTTGCGTAGGCAGTTAGATATGTTGCAAAAGCGGGAGAAGCATTTGGAATCGCAGATTGAAGAGCAGGATACTGTGGCGCGGAAAAACGTCAACACAAATAAGAACGGTACACACCATTTCCCTTATCTTTTCTCCCGAGGGTGAAGGCAGATGGATACATTGTCTTGTCCCGGGATAGCCTCGAAGATATTCTTATCGCGGGGAGTGTTACAAAGTCTATGAAACTAATATTTTACTTGCGCACCCTTTTTAGCTGCCAAAGCCGCACTCCGACGGAAGAAGGCCTACGAAAAGAATCTCGAACAGACAACAGCCCAAATCGTCCAGTTGGAGCAGCAGGTTTACTCCATCGAAGCGGCCAACATCAACCACGAGACCTTGCAGGCGATGCAGCAGGCTGGTCAAGCGATGAAGATCATTCACGGCGGAATGAATCTCGAACAGGTTGACGAGACAATGTATGTGATTGCACTAGTGATCGATCCATGCTATGACTATATCGAAAGCATTTCTTCTTATTACAGAGCGGACTCGCTGACTCTCAAAACAGGGACAAACTGCGCGAACAACACCAAATCAGCGAGGAGATCGGGCAGGCGATTACCAGCGTTCCGCTGGGCGAACAGCTCGACGAGGACGAACTGGACGCCGAGTTGGGGGAACTGGAGCAGGAGGCTATGGACGAGCGTATGCTCAATACTGGCCCTACACCAGTTGGCGCCCAGCTGGACCGATTACCGGCCGCTGGAAATACGGAGCGTGAGTTGACTTTAGCTTCCCTCTCCCTTCTACCGCAGACAGAGCGCAATACTAACTATTTCAGTGGGCAAGAACAAGGCACAGGCAGAGGAAGAGGACGAGGAGGCCGAGTTGGCGAAACTGCGTGCCGAAATGGCCATGTAGTTTACCCCCAGACTCCGACTCGCTCTCTCTTTTTCTTCTCTCTCTGCAATCCACTCCCCGTCCTCTACCTAACAAGCCACCGCTCAATTATTACCGCATTTGCAAATTTCATCTCGTCTCCTTGGCTGATTGATGTCTCTTACCACCTATGCATTGGATGCCTCTTTCGCAAGCAAGCCCTGTTTTTTATCGTTTTGTATCCTGGCGTTTCTCTCTCTCTCTCTCTCTCTCTCTCTCTCTCTCTCTCTATACACTTCAATATGGTTCTCACCTATTTTTCCCACTGCGCAATCTGCTGCCCAGCCTGTCCCCATGGACCAAGACTTGGACTTCCCTTCCCACCTTTAAGCAGTAGACCTGCTAATACTTGCAATCCGATCCCGCAAAGCTGATCCGGCGTGGTGTGGTATATCACGCTGCCATCGCAGTGGGCCTTGGACTATTTCTTTTTTTATTCTTCTTTGTTGGCTTCTGTCTCGATTCTAGATGGATATTCGATATGACCTACGGTTGTGATCTAAATGGAGAATTTCAGTTTACTTGATCCACAACCAATAAGCCCTCTTGACTAGACCTTTCATTTAGATCGTATTCTCTTCTCCATATCCATTTACCCTCTAGCTTTTTAGATATCCAGCCTGCGTAGCACAGAGTTAAGAACCCAAAATATGAAAACCAAAGGGAATGGGAAATAATGGCAGAGGTTAAAGAAAAGAAGAAGAAAATTGGAAACAATGAACATAACTCCCCATGGCATTTTCACCCGCCATGAAAAAAAAAACCGATTCCAACCCATGCCGAACACCGTCTCGCCATAAGAACAGAGAAAAAGTTGAAAAGAACCAGATTACCACGAGCAGATGACCGAAGCCAAAAGAAAGAATAAGGGCCTCGCGGTAGATAAGACTAGGCCTGGCTCATCCATCTGATGTATCAATACACCCATCTCGGCTTTCCCCCCCTAGGGATACCATGCATAGCTCTTAGAAGGCACAGCGCGCTGGGTATCTGTTGCTTCGGTCGTCCATTTCATCTTCCACTCTACCTCGCGCGTGGCGGATTCGAGAAGAGCCTCTTTGCAATTGTCGGGCAGGAGGGCAATGATTTCGGGGGACATGAATTCCGGATGGGCGGGGTTTGCAATGCTGACTAGGCCGTTTGGTTGAAGATTGCGCAGGTCTCCGTCCGGTCCAGGGACGCCCATGTTTGAGTAGGGCGGGGATTCGAATATGATGTCCTGCACGACGTAGCGGTTGGATATGTGGGCAGGGACGGGTGGGAAGACGGAGGCTTGTTGTTGCTCGGGCTTATTATCTTGGGTGGTGGGTTCGTTGGTGGAGTCGGTTGGCTCGTTGGGGGTTGATGGGTTGGTGTCGGGGTTTTGGTTTGCGATGCTAAGCGATGACATGTCGGTCATTAGGCTGCGGTTGTCTGGTGGTGGAACGCGCTCGACGCGGCAGTGTGTTGGCTGCATGACCTCTGGATATTGCATGGAGTTGGTGTGGATGTCGTAGATGCCACCCATGGTGGATCGGCGGTGCTCGAATAGTTTCGAATTGAAGGTGCTAGAGGGAAATGATTAGCCTTGGTTGAGATGTTGTGTTGCTCTTTTGATCGAGAGACCTACCTTGCGGCGCGCGCGTGCTCGACCATCCAGTTATCATCGGTGACTGGCACACGTCGTTTCTTGAGATCGACTGGCTTTCCACCTGCCATTGGTACGGATGGTGCTCCTGTGTGATAGACGGCGCTTGCTCCGTGCCAGGCAACATATTGGTTGCGGTTATATGGCTCACCCGGACCTGGGAGTTTGTCCTCTGGCACGGCTAGCTCATCTTCAACATCGCCCCGCTCCCGCGCAGCCTGCTCATCATAGTCGTCGGTAATTTTCTTGCCGCCCACAACGATCTTTGCGCCAAACTCACGGAAGACAGAGCGCGCAGTGACTACACCAATCGCTCGACCCTTGTAAGAGTGTGGGATTATGTCGCGCTCAATTAGATCCCGTTTCGCGTCGTCGTCGATGATGATTTTGTAGAGCATCTTATGCTTCTGGAAGAACAGGTATGAATCGCGGAATCCAATACATCGGGCAGGTTCGGTTGAAAGCATGTACAGTTTGTTGTCGCGGTTGAGAATCGTAAATGTACGCACACGGTATTCCCGTCCTTCGAGAAGGTGGCCATCTGGGTCCACTTTGGCGTCGCCGATAGGGTTCGGAGGGAGAGATACTTCATCCCCAATCACATCCATCATGTTCCCTTCCTTGTCAATTGGGATTTGGGTGAGATGGTTGGGTCCACGGTTGCGCGCCCAGCGTCCACCACTGGCAGCCGGGCGACCACGGCGTCGTTTAACAGGAGTTGTAACACGTAATGGGGACTGAGCGCCGTCTAGGTCGAGATCTTCAGGCCGGGGATTCTTGGGGGGACGGCCAATCCGTCGTTTGCGGGGGATTGCTGGGCGGCCTAGGGCGGGGCTGTCGCCCTCGAGAACCGCACTTGCATCTACAGCGGGTGCCGCAGCCTTGGTGTCTTCCTCTTGTTTCGATTCGGCAGGGGTCTCGGCCTGCGCATCAGGGTCCGCGGCGCTTTCCCCTTCAGCTTCAGCCTCAACGTCGGCTTCGGGTTCGACATCTAGATCTTCATCCGGGGAATCTTGATCTTCTTCTACCGCGGGAGATGATGGGTCGGACGGTGGCAGATCAAGCATTTCATCGTCAGAGCCATCGGGAATTACTGGCACATTTTCTAGCAGGTATTAGTCGCGAAGCGCGTCCAAAGGGGTGAGTTTGCGACGAAGGCAATTTCTCGACAATCCCAAGGCTAAGTGGTGGGGTGGACTAACTCATTGATTTGGCTGCAGCCTGGGCGGCCGCTCTGACCTTTCGAGGCATAACGGCAATGAGACTAAAGTCACAATCCTCAATATAGTTGCAATGTTCGATGGTAGGCAAAACAGCTTGGCGGATGGATGATAATCCGATATAGAGCACGTGATGTGGATGACAGAAGTTGATGCCCGATCGGTCAGGTGTATGATGACTCACTCAATTCATGACTAATCATAACCTGACTAACCCAGAAGCTAAATACATAGTTAATACACTGTTGTTGTGCCTGAGGAATACTTTGTCCCACATTAATGACATCACAGCCTTGAGGAGGCGTGTGGATCAATTCGAGTTCAGTTGCACTTGCTTGAGGGGATCAGCAGACAGCACATCCATTTGATTCTAGGCCTTTCATGGCCTTCACTATGGCAGGTTCTCCGCTGGTCGCATTCAATTTCCGTTGAGGAGGTACATACATCCTGAGATCAGAGGGCTAGTCGTGCGGAGGTGAACGGCCGCACGATGAGCTCATATCTGGAGAATCAGCCACACCAAAACGCTCACCGGTCGGCTAGCACGAACAAAATGCGCCGTTCTCTCCCGATTCCTTATCATTGGCGACAGGCTATGGTTCCCGTCTGCTAGGGAAAGCTAAGGGGGATCAGAGCCAGTTAAGGCCTCTGGGCACTCCGTTTTCCCTTTCACCGATTTTTCGGCCAGATAACGGTACCGAGCGGTTTGTACAGTATACGGATTAGCTCCTGTGCCCACGCTGTTCCTTACGGTCTTACATGTACATGGAAAATGTACCTGTACGTCTATACTTGCCGCTGCTGCGTACATAGGCAAAGCCGCCAGTAATTATCACATGCATGCAGTCTCGAATTCTTTTATTTTTCTGGCGCTTAAAGCACAGCCGATGAAAAAGAAAAAAAAAGAAACCTGCTTTTCAGTGCAGAAACTCATCGTCGCTTAGACCCCCCCGATGCAAGCTGTACTACGAAGTAGTAATCCTTTAGTAGGTAGAACGGCACGACCCTCTCGAGCTTCCTGTCAACTGGAGAGCCTCCGTCATCCCGCAGAGTAGATCCAATCTCAGCACAATGAATTGGTCCTCTCCCCACGTCTCCAGATATTTACTGTATGTCTTCGGGCGACGGTGCTCCATCACGGTGCATGAGAGATGCGGTGTCCCCGGGAAGCAAGAGTCGGCTGCATGGTTGTAGATCGTGGCACAACTTCACCGCAGCTCACGCAGATGACCTACGAATTGAATCTCGGGTGTCTTTGCGCCCCGTGGCCGTACGAATAAACTAGCATGCATGCGGGTTTATGCTGCCTGTCGACTAGGGATGATGCGGAGGCTTTTTTGGGGGGGTCTTTATTCTAGGGTTTGCTTCGAGTTGCTATGTTAAGATGCGCTGCATGTACATCTTGTAACAAAAAGTGTAACAGAATCCTTGGGCCGAAACGAACTACTGTCCCAACACCCCCGACCAATATTCAAGTCATCCCTGACCGTTCAAGCTGCGAACGGGGGATGGGGAATTCTTTTCCAATGGCATTGTGATTTGTGAATCATTAATGCCCATGGTGAGGGGGATCTTGCAGATCTTTCCCCCGCCTCGGGGTTCGGATTGGAGAGTAGGTTGTTGTTTCTCGTAACAGCACAATCATGACCCAGCTACTGTTGCTTTCCTCTAATTCTTTAGATTTTCTTCAGAGTCGCAAGATCACATTTGTGGCACGTATATTTCCCGCGAGGAGCGCGCCCGGCTCTTAAATCCATCAAACCAGAGAGCGCAGATGACAAGCTCAGGGCCCCAATGGTGGGCGCCCTATGACGCAGTTGGTGGGGATTGGCTCAACATACCGCCAGATGGCGAGTCAAGAGGCACCACGAGAAGGGAAGTGAACACAGAGCTTTCGCTGGTATGCAGCTGCAAGGGGAGGCCAAGCTGGGCCGGGCCATCTTGCAAGCTGCACGATCACACTACGGAATTGCCGATCGGACTCGATCTATGTAGCACAGATTGAGAGGGAAGCATTGTACCATATAGGGTAAGAGTCATTCATCAATCAAGTCATACATGAATGGGGAAGAGGGAAGGGGTCCCTCGGATCAACAACCACATGGCAATATAGTTCATGGCCGATGTAGAATGGAGATCCTTGTAACGTCGGAGCTCTAGCGCGATGGACCAAAGGATGTACCCCGCCAACGGAGCGGACGGCGGAGATGGCGGCGATTGTTCGTGCGGCTAGGGAGATGCGGTCAAGGGTGATGGGAGAGGGGAATTGTGCAGGTCAAAGGAAAGGGAAGAGGAAAAGGAAAAGAAAAGCGAAAAGCAAAATTCAATATGGACAGGAGGCGAATAATAAATTGCAGAGGTCTCGGATTGGAAGTACCTGGAGTATGTGATGAGCAGTACGGAGTACCCTAGGGTACTCCTTGGGGTACTACTAGCACTCCTTAGGGGTACTCTAGGGAGGATTGATGCCATCGACCCACTTGACTAGCCTCTGGATGATGTAAATGATGCCCATTTTCGCTTGTACATACATAGGGCAGCGATATACCAGATACAGTATAGTAAGATACCGTGTAGAGGATAGAGGATACAGAGTATTCTAGAATACTGGGAGACGGAATAGAAGAATGTAATCTTAAGTATACTACTAGTATTGTACAAAGAAGACTAGAATTATTCAGCTACATAGGTAGGTCATTCCAACCAGTCCCTTCTGTAATCTCACATGCTCAGCTGATGGAAATGGTCAGCCTCTCATCTATCTACGGTAGTAACCCTGTGGGTTATTTGCCTCAGCCCCAGCTCCATACCATCCTAGGATGACTATGACTAGGCAAACCATTTATTCATTTATCATTTATTATTACCATTTATCATTCACATTTCTTACTTCTATTCTACTCCCTACTCCCTACTCCCTACCCTACCCTACCCTACCCTACTGTACTCTACACTACCCTCTCTACTCTACTCCACCCCGAAGGTCATCCCGGGTTCCTCCCGCAATCTCCCTTAGCTCATCATCGGGCGGCGTCACAAACTTAACTTTTTTTCCATTCCTGCCTTTCCCGTTCTTCACTTCCTCCCCGCTCGACCCCCACCTCAGTCTATTTCATCCTCGTTTCCTGGCGGAGGGTATTTCGCTGCGTTAAATGGAAGCGCAATGGCTGCTGCGCAGAGTGGAACCGAGTTGCACGGCGATGCCAACATGAAGCCAACGTGAGTCTTCTCTCTATCTCTATCATGATCTCGAGGATCACCTGGACACCTTCGACATTGAGACTCGAGTCCATTTGGAAGGTGGCCGGTTTGCCTCATACCTTCTCTCTCCCCTCACACTGCATTGCATCCGACCCTCTCCTTTTCCCTTTCCCCCGAGGCGACCCTGCAGATACTTTCATCATTTTCCCCTCCTCTTTTCTCCCCCCCCACGTCGGGCTCACACCGGACTTTTCCCGCTAATTTCACGACAACCTGGGAACCTTCCGGTCGCGATCGATGTCTCACTTCTTTATTGCATTTTCTCCATCATCAATCATATATTTGTGAAATGTCCCCTCATGGGAAACATGGCTAACCTGACCGGATTTGATCTGATAGCTCCGGACCAGAAGACGACAACCAGGACCAAATTGGGTCGAACGGCTCAACTCCCACGGGAATCGCAACACCTCAACCGGACCCTGCAGATAAGCGTCTGCCATCCATTATGCACAACTATTTCCAGGTTGGTTCCTTTTCCGGTGATCGTCAAGATAAAGAAGCGAGTCTGCCGCGGCTGTGGTCCTGTCTTTCGAAGCCCTTCTCTGCGGATCCCCACTCAGACACCCACCAACCCCACCATCAAACCCAACATTCCGATGCTTCCTCCGACTCTTTCGTCATGATGGAACGAGAGGAGGCATCGGATCAGATGGATGACTTGTCGAATCATCACAATCATCACAATCACAATCACAATCCTCCCACTCCTCCCCATTCCCTCCTGCAGACGGATTCTGATGAGACGGGACTCGACTCGAGTCCAGACGGGGGGGTCTCCATTTACAACACCCTGAAAAATTATCTCGTTCCACCCACCCGCGCTGAGAGCCCCTCTCCTTCTCGTCGTCAGACTTCTCTACCCGTCTCTAGCGTCTCGGATGACCCCGTTCTTGCCACCCACTTCTTCAATCCATCTCTCTCTCCTGCCTTCAACCCGTTATCTTCCCTGGCCGATCCATTGCCGCCGCACGACGAGAAATCGCTCGTCTCAATACCATCCGAAGAACTTGCCAAGCTGACTCTGAACGCACCCGATGGGGCGTATCTTAAGAATACCCCGCCGCTGACCCCCCGTGCTATGTCCAACGAGGACCAGTCTGCGGATAAGCAATCCGTCACCTCGGCCCCCCGTGAAGCCGAAGAACCTCAACCCACACAACCCACCCAAATCACCCCTGATGAGCCCGAGGAGATGGAATCCTCTACCGACGAAATCACCATGAAACTCGACGAAGCCTTCCCCCGCGAATCCTCCGCATCCCCATCCAATGGACCCCCTGTCGGTCCTCTCAAGGGTAAATTGCTCGTGAAGATCTCTGAGGCTCGAGGATTACGTCCTAGTTTCGACCCGTATGTTGTGTGTGTTTTCGAGTGGAATGAATACATCTCCAAGGGTGCTCGTGATGGAGAAGAGGAAAAGAAGCGACGTCAGATGGAATCCGATGCCGAGGCTGGTATGCCCATGGCCATTCCAATGAGAAGTCGCCAGAGCAGCCACAACACTGCCGTCGATGCCCAGAATCACAAGGGCAGATCCCCCCGTGACCGATCCTCACTGGGATCACGAGGCGACATTGTAAGTTTCTTCGCTGTCGCAGATTTTTCATTATTCTCACCCTCCCGTTTCATCTTACTGACTGCCTTGCTTTTTTTTTTTTAAGTGATGTTCTGGGTGACCAGTCAGAAGTCGACGTTACCGTTTACGATCGCAGCGATTCGGAAGCCTTCTTGGGCCACGTCCGTCTGAGCATCAACCTGAGAGAGGACCACAGCCGGTTAGAAGGGTGGTTCCCGTTGGTCGCCCGTGGAGCCGGAGATAGCCCAGTGTCGGGTGAAATCCACCTCCAGATGCAATTCGAGATGACCGACCGAAAGAATGTGGGACCAAATGATTTCTCAATTCTCAAGCTTATTGGCAAGGGAACTTTCGGCCAGGTCTACCAGGTCAAGAAGAAGGACACAGAGCGCATTTACGCGATGAAGGTTCTTTCCAAGAAGGTTATCATCCAGAAGAAAGAAATCGTGCACACACTCGGAGAGCGGAACATCCTCGTGCGCACCGCGATGGCGGCTTCTCCATTCATCGTCGGACTTAAGTTTTCTTTCCAGACACCGACAGATCTGTATCTAGTCACAGATTACATGTCTGGTGGTGAGTTGTTCTGGCATCTTCAGCGTGAGGGTCGCTTCGAGGAAGCCCGGGCAAAGTTCTACATCGCGGAGCTGATTCTGGCTTTGCAACACCTCCACGACCACGATATCGTTTATCGTGATTTGAAACCAGAGAACATCTTGCTTGACGCCAACGGTCACATTGCGCTCTGTGACTTCGGTCTTTCCAAGGCCAACCTTAGTCAAAACGACACCACCAACACTTTCTGCGGTACTACCGAGTATCTCGCCCCTGAAGTTCTGCTCGACGAGCAAGGTTACACCAAGATGGTTGACTTCTGGTCGCTGGGTGTTTTGGTCTTTGAAATGTGTTGTGGCTGGAGCCCGTTTTATGCCGAAGACACCCAACAGATGTACAAGAACATTGCTTTTGGTAAGGTTCGGTTCCCCCGGGATGCTCTCAGCACCGAGGGTAGGAACTTCGTGAAGGGTCTGCTCAACCGCAACCCCAAGCACCGTCTGGGCGCCGAGGGTGATGCAAAGCAACTTATGGAACACCCATTCTTTGACGACATTGATTGGGATGCGCTTTGCCGTAAGCAGGTCATCCCGCCGTTCAAGCCCAAGCTCCAGTCCGATACCGATACCTCCAACTTTGACCCGGAGTTCACTAATGCTCTGGAGAATAACAACTCGTTGAATCTGCGGGCGGCCGCTTTGGCCAACGGCCTGATGCCAGGCTCCACCCCTCTCTCTCCCGGTATGCAAGCAAACTTCAAGGGCTTCACCTTCGTGAACGAGAGCTCTATCGACCATCACCTCAAGAATGAGCCAGAGGAGATGGAAGAAGACTCGGTGCACGACGGGGGTGGCAACGAACCCACCGCCCGACCAACTCGACCGATCAGCGCATGAATGGCACTGAGTCCGGGATATTTAACGTTGACGACAATTTTGACATGTGATTACGTTTCCCCTTTCTTTCGTCTGTCTCTCTTTGCATGATCATGGAGTCTTGATCCGGCATCATTCAGCCTGTACATGCTTCGGATGCATCCTGGCCCCGCAGATATGGGTTTTGTTCTTGTCCCTTCCGTTCTCTTTACCCGGGTAGCGTTTTTCCTCTGGTTTTCTTTTTGCCTGTTTCCGTTGGACGATGATACGTGTACACGACCCGATTTTCTTTTATCGCCGTCGTGTTCACCAACGTTATGTTCATCCGCTCCAGCCACATACCCCGTTTTTCCAGGCAGACCTGCATTTTTGGGGAGACTAGTTCCATCTTTGTTTCGGTGTGAATATCACCGAGAATCTGAAATACCAACCAGTCTCCATCTCAGCGCGAATTCTCTTTCTCTTGATTTCTGTCACTCGATTTGAAATGGTTTGCACCCGGGTTTCATGCCAGCATATCTTATCCTTTTCCCTCTTTGCCCTGCACTACTTTCCATCATTTTTTGAGTCAACTCTTGATTCCCACAACGATAACATATGTGCAACTGTCTCTCTTCCTTCTTCCTTCTTCATTTTCTATTTTATCCGTCTCTGCATGGCAGTAATATCAACTGGTATTCCCTTTCTCTCTCTTTCCCCCTCAAGGACAGGCAAGAACGGGCTAGCTCAGGCACACTTGGCACCATCCATCATTCATCCACCTAAACTAGCAACCCATCCCGCTCTCTCAGTCTCTGGTTAGGTCGGGCCGATGAAGAAGCGACCATCTATTTGGCTTAGTTCTGCTCTTGGATTCTTCGGGTCGGACTCATTTCCATTTTTCAAGGCGTTCAGAAACGGGCAGCATGGGCGCGCAGGTAATTTCGGCGGGCGAGCTCATTTTCTCATGTGTTTTTATGCGAACCAATCTCATACAGAGCCATCCATCCATGAGAACTACCCGGACAAATGGATCTTTTGTTTTCCATCTATCTCCGGATTAAGCTTGTAGGTTCTGTAAATGGAATAAGTTCGGGACCTCCGGCATTGGGACGGGAAAGTCGTAAATAAAAATAAAAAGATCCAATGCGACCACGATACCCCCCGTTCAAGAAAACTAGGACTGTGGCTAGACGGAACGATTTTCTATAGATAAGCTTGGCATCATCCTTCTCCCCACTTCCATCGTCCACTGATTCGCCATGAACCAGCCATCCACCCCGTCAAGCCATGCAAGTGACGGAATGGAAAGTCTTTCTCAAAGAAGAAAGAAAGTCCATGTCCTGCTTGAGGGGGCTAACTGCCACTAAAACGCTGGATGTACTACGCGGGGCAAGCAACCAAAAACAATAGATAAAACGCAATGCTCGACAGTTCTGAGCAAGATACCATCACCCCCGACCATCACCAGCGCGCATAGTGGGACGAACTTAGACATTGGCAATTAGCAGAAACCTCAGTGGGATTTGAAGCTTCTTAAACCGTGACCGTGACCTTGCACTCGGAAACTTTTCAAGAAGCTACATGGATCCAATCTATCTTTACTTGCCCAAAGCACACACAAGTCAAACCAGCCTCATCCAAGCAACATTTCAATCAAAACCCCTCCAAGAGGAGAAGAGGGAAAAGAACACACCCTCCATCATGTCTCCACCATCCAAACCACCACCACCACCAAATTCAACACCAATAATAATCCCAACAACATACACAAAAACAACACCTCCCGAATCCTTCTCCTCCGCAGAATATGGCCACCTAACATGGCACACCCTAATCTCAGCCCCAACAACAAAAACCACAGACCTGAGCGCCGGCATCGCAGTCTGTCCCCCCAAAACAGGTCACCTGTGTTTGCACCGGCACGAACAGGCAGAGATCTACCACATCCTCGCGGGCGAAGGCGAGGTTACGATTGACGGGGTCGTTAGTCCGGTTCGTGCGGGGAATACGGTGTTCATCCCCTCTAATGCCGAGCATGGAATTGTGAATACTAGTGATGCGGGGGATTTGAGGCGGTTTTATGTCTTTCCCACGGGTTCTTTTGGGGATGTTGTTTATCGGTTTTCGAAGGATGAGATGGGGGTCAAGTCTGAGGCGGGGGTTGAGGGGGTTAAGGCGAAGTTATAGGCGGTTATTCGAGTTATATAGTAGGACTTATGTAAAAGGTTCAAGTTCGCTCGGGGTGTTTATTTTACTAGGCAATGTCTATTGGATGGAGCTGGTTGGTGTCTTGAGTTCCAAGAGTTTGGGACTGGGGTATTTTGAAAGCAATTTGAAGAGGTTTCAAATTAGTAGGTATTGATTTGCCTTGTATCTTGTCTAGGTGGATGACTTAAGGCACCTGCGTCTAATATTAACCGTAACCATCTGGTTCATTACATAGGATATAACTTCCTAGAAAGCAATTTCATACAACTAGTTAATAGTTATCATTCATGATGATTCTAGTAGCGAGGATAACTTTTATAGTGAGTCTGAGCCGGGCGGCGCGGGCGGGTTGGTGTTTATTCGAGAGGAGTTTTGGTGTGGCCTAGGATACCCAAGGTCATCCAGCGCGTACTAGTAGTTTTGCCCAACTTCCTCGGCCATTTGCAGGTACCTAGGTAGTACCTAAGCACTCAAGTTGTTACGACCTGATCGACAATTCATTGTGGTTGGGTTGCAACTAATCTGCCTCGTACTATTAGATACTGCGGGATTAGACCAATTAGTTATGATCTACTCCAAAATTCAGTCTGTATTGAGCCAATAATAGAAGTTTCTCACGAGCGCCTACGCCCGGCACTGCCACCGCCGCCTGCCTTATTAATGTTTCCGGTTTGCCTTGGGCAGGTAAGGTTATTCGTTAGATTCCCACATGTTCTTTCAGTATTCTCTTTCAGTGTCGTGTCTTGATCCTTTTCAGAGCTATCCTCATGTCCTTCGATCGCCGCTAGCCAGGACTGGATAACTAATAACGATCGCAAGGCTTGTGGACCAACAGCGGGATGACTTCAACGCTAGCATTGTCGCTACAATCCTCCGCGAATGCCTATATGGCTTCGCTCACGATTGATGATAAAACCAGACAATCTTTTTCCGACAACCTGAAGAATGCTTCTGCGGAAAATGTGATAGATACCGTGAGACAAATTCAGCAGTCGTATTTGACCCGTCCCAAGATTGAGAAATTTGTCACCAAAATGGGAGACTGTATGGCTCGACTGGAACGTTTCTTCCGCATCATTGACATTGCAATTCAAGCCGACCCTACCATATCAGCAGTCGTGTGGGCAGGATTGCGGCTAGTATTTCAAGTATGCCGGAGAAAATTTCTGTCAGCTGCACCGGAAGGCTAACTAATCATATTCGTTTTTAAGCTAGCCGGGGACTTTTCGTCGTTTTTTGAAAAATTGGCCACTATGATTGACCACATGATTTCGGCATTACCCGATTACGACCATTATCTCAGGTTATTTCAGGAGGACGAGCCCCTGAAAGCCAGTATCGTCAAGGTTTATCAGGATCTGATGGATTTTCTGCGCATAGCAACCCGGATATTCTTCAGAAAGAGCAGTATGTATCAGTGTATCATCAAGAGCGAACATTCATGTACAGCTTATTATCTGACATTTGATTCGATACAGAACCGAGATCGATGATGAAACTCGCAATGGATATCACATGGACTCCTTTTGATCAACGCTTTGAGAACATTGTGAAGCGTTTCAAAGACCATCATGAGCAAGTGCGCAGTAAAGCCCTTCTATCATCTATGGAAAACACACAAAAGGCGCATATAGAAGCCGATCTTGAACGCAAGAGGTCTCAACAAGATAGAGAGGTGTTGAGCAACCTGGAAAAAACAACTACAACACTAGTACAACATCAGTTTGAGGAGAGAAGAGGTATTTCGATTTTCCAATGGACAGCCATTTTATACTTACCTTTTGACTCGATATAGAGAAGGTTATTCGAAGACTGCTAGATTGGCTTGATCCCAAAGACTTTCAGGATATGATTAATCGTATTTCCGGTTCTCGACATCCGCAAACCGGTTTTTGGATACTTCAATCGAATGAATATCGTGATTTCGTAGCTTGTTCAAGCATGAATACGTCAATCGACCCCGATGAATCAAAAGTGCCTAATGCCACGTTTAATTTCTTACCGACCGGGAAGGAAGAGAGCTCAACAGTGGTCGGGTCGAAGCAGCGAATCCAGGACGCGACTGAAATGGAACTGCAGAGCAATCTTTTGTGGATCTTTGGTAGATACTGTGTCATTCAATATTTGTTTCAAGGGATGATGATAGACTAACTTCAAGGGTTAGGAAATCCCGGTTGTGGAAAAACATGGTTGACCACCCTCTTGCTAGATGACCTTTCGCAGGAAAGCTCCATCAATGAAAACCAAGAACGACAGCAACGGACAGTCGCTCACTACTTCTGCAATTATACTGAAAGAACATCAACTTCAGATATTCTTCGCTCCATACTCGCCCAGATACTCCACGCCCACAAGGATAACCAGGATGTTGTTGATGTGTTTTGCCTTTCCTATACCAAGTCAATAACCTCCTTCGCGACCTCAAACCTTCAACTCATGCAGTTACTTCAACTGACACTTCGTCAACTGCGTGATGTATTTATTGTCATTGATGGTCTTGACGAATGCCGGGATAGGGATGAAATAGCTCCATTTCTTCGCAATTTATCACAGGAGCGATCATCGGTGAAGATTTTGGTACTTGCAAGGGATAGCGATACTGTATTACGTTCAAGTTTCGCGCTCGTGAAATCCTTGGAGATAACTAGCACTCTGAACTGCCCGGACATTCTCACTTATTCGGCCTCCATAATCGATGATCTCTGGTATCTTGCGGGCTTACCCGAAGCAGGGCTCAGCAAGGACGATTTGGCAAGAAAATTTGCAACGGCCTCAAATGGAATGTTTCTGTGGGTGAAACTGACCATGGATTGGCTTTCTTCTCCTTTTCTACGACAAAAGGATAGAATCAATATAATTCACAACATTGGCCTTCCAGAAGGTATGGAGACTTTGTATAGTCGGATTTTTGAGACACTTTCTCTCCAACCAAAGACACAAAGAGATTTTGCCGCCAGGATTCTCACATGGACATGTTGGTCGCATGATCAATTGGAATTGGACGAGCTTGAGGCCGTGTTGAATTTTCGCAACCACGATGAATTCTCGTCGATTGTCAGAGTCGGCTGTGCTGGATTAATAGAAATCACACCATGTGAGTAAGAAAGCAATTCTTTCAATTGAGAAAGAAAACCAAAAAAAAAGTTCTAATCATTCCTATCGCTACAGTCTTCAAAGTACAATTCATACACTTGTCCGCAAAAGAATTCATCCAAAGCTGCGAAAATTACTTGGCCAGTGAGACCATCAGCTGTATAGGGCTTTTTCATCATACTAGTGATGGTACAAACTATCTTGCACTGAATTGCCTTGAGTATCTATCAGATGAAGTGCCTGGAGAACCACTTTCTGGCAAGATAGACCACCCATGCGATAGGGATTTTGTTCGACGCCAGTATCCATTCTTGAAATACGCCACATACAACTGGATAGCGCATCTCGATGTAACAAAGCACACATCAAACAAACCTCTTACCTCTAATGACCTAAAGCTCCTGGCCTACGTTAGAACATTTTTGACGTCACGAAATCGAATCCTTATGTGGGCGGAGGCGCAGTATACCCTGGGGATTCCATTGGCATGGGAGAGCTTCAATCGACTGCTAGCATGGGCCGATGCTGTACAGGGCCGTTCTGATAACGCAATAGACAAAGATCTGGTTGATACAACTAAAATATTTGTCACAGAGTTCCAAAATATGCAAGTCAATTTTAATCGTGTGCTAGGTCGCAGTCCCCACAGAATATGGAGCGGGATTACAGATTGGTCCAGTCCCGATGGTCCTCTCAGTTCTGGATCATCAAGAGTAATTAGATGTGTGCCGGTTGCACCTGATGGACCTGATGATCACAAATCGACTACCTCGTGGGATACAGATTCACCTGTCGCAGTTGTCTCCGAGCTCTCGTTCGATGGAAAGAATCTACTGGTTTGTAGTGCCTGGGCTTCAAGGTATGATTTATTTTTTTTATCTTTTTTTTAATAGTTATAAACCTTATTGACTCTGATAACCAGAGAGTTTTCTTCTCTGCTTCATGGTTTAGTCAAGAGTAAGTCCACTCGGGTGTTGGTGAACTCCAGGGCTTATGATAATTGTTATCATCATCCGCATATTTTTCTCTCCCTGCTTCCGGAAAAGCTGCATGGTAACTACTATTGGGTAGCTAATGGCTTCTAGTAACTAAGCCGACGAATGACCATGAAACCTCAATTCCGAATCTCGATTTCAAATCCCTCGCTTCTGGATGGATCCTACGCCTTGAGACCTGGGACCTAGTCAGCAGAAAAAGGCAAGATGACACCAGGGATCTTCCGTTAGACCCGGCACAGGTGGAGCCCCAGTTACGAAAGTCAGTATGTTACAGCAGTTTTCGGGACCAGGATGGTAAATTTCAACGAAGACTGCGGTTTGGATTTCCCATGGCACTGTCACCGAAGCAAAACTTCATTGCCGTATTAGGTACAGTGTTTCGCATCGTGAAACACACAACATTGAAATGCAGTGGAAATTGGTGGGTAAAAAAGTTGGAAAATCAGCAAACAAATGACAGTTGTTATCATGATTTTCGCATCAAGTTCTCGCCGTGCGATCGATTTGTCGCCTATCATATCGCGAGGCGCTACCGTGAACCGCCTCATTTGAATGGGGGGGAGAATGTCGAAGTTTTCGATCTTGCTCATTATACCTCTCGCCCAATCTGGAGTCGAGACGTACCTTGCTTTTTTAATAAGCCTCTAATCAGAGAGGTCGAAGCCTACGAGTCCATCGCAGGATCTTTGAATCTGGCCTTCCATCCCACCTTACCTCTGATTGCCTGGGCGGGTCCGATGATGGGAACTTACATATCAGACTTCATCAATTTGAACATGATTGGTAAGAAATTATGTCCTGGAAGCGACACGATCTTATTTCTAACAAGATGTCTCGCTGTTTAAATTTTAGGCCTGGGCAGAAACGTTACTCATCAACCAATAGGAGAGCTTCGTTTTTCCAACTGTGGAAGGCTTCTCCTAGGAAAAGACAGTCGGTCGAGTAGCCTGGTCTGTTTTACAGTGATGGAAGTGATGGAATCGGAAATATTGTCACTACCAGGTCCTCCTGACAGCTCATCGAAGAATTTAAGCGAGAAAAGGATTGAAACAATGCCACGGAACTCATGTACAGTGTCACAGCAGATTCTCCACATATCGGACCCATCCAAATCGACTCATCAACAACTAAGAGTCGGAGACATTCAATGCGGTGGCCCCGGTGGCAGAGACTCAAAATCAGTGGTAGCCCTCATGGAATCCTGTGAAGGCGAAGTGAGTCTCATGCGCGACGAAATTGGGATTGAACAGCGGCGCATAGCTTCAATTCCGCTGCCTCTTACAGGACCTTCAACTGAAACGCGAGTATTGCAACATGCAAACATGGTGGATGGATGCGATGACCAGCTCACGGTTGTTCTCAGTAAGATTGGCCGTTCGTGGTACACTCAATCTACTAGAGAAGAGTGTCTGGGCAGAGACCCAGTCCTATACATTCGACCTACGGCTGATCTTGGGCCCTGGCAATCAGCTCCTGATACTAGAGGCTTGAAGAGGAAGTTTGAGATTGATTCAGATGAGGTAAGTAGGCTACTAGGGGCATGATGTGATAGTATCGTTTCGTTCGCCGGGGCTCTCAAGTGAGAATTTCCACCCCAAGGTGCCCAGGTGGACAGACGGTCTACTCCCACTTTCACTCGACAGCGTCCAGGAAAATTTGTAAATATCAGCCCCAGGGCGCACATCCAGTCTATCGTTCTTTTTTATTCCCCCACCCCGCAGCCATTCCAAAGAAGATACCCCCAGAGGATATCCAAAAGAAGCTTCAAGATAGGAACGCACGTGCCTTGTCGCCTAATTCCACCCATGAGTATCAAAATGAGCGGGGAAAATAAAACAACACCATATACCATAAGGAGCTTGCCCTAGCTACTCCCCGAAACCATGATAACATTGCACTAAATTACGCATTGTTAGTTATCTCAATACTCTTGTTGGCCGTTAAAGGTTTACTCACACGCGACAGATAGAAACTTTTTCATAATATAGCCGCCGACACCAACTTCTCTAAAGAGGAGCATGGGCGACCACCGACCGCTTAGCAAACTAAATCCATATGCTCACTGTTGCTTACCTCTGCACCTCTATTTTCAGTAAGGAGGTGAAAATATTTTGAGACGAAGGTTGGGGGATGCTGGGTGTTAGGAAACGCACGTGACTTGACGACCTCGAGGTTCCTGTGAACTTGGCGGTCATCTTACAGCTGAGGACTTCAAAAAATGGCGGCGCGTAGTCTGATGTAGGCCAGATCGATCTACTCTAGCCTCCACAGGACTAGCAGCATCCTAGGATACTGTTTGGGTTGCCAATTGGGTTCCACCTGGGCAGTAATAACACTTTATTTTTATGTATAGACTTAGATGCAGATTAGGTAATCTATGAGGGACTTAAGGCAATTAATTAGCTAATAGTATCGTGATGTTAGTATACTAGTATTATTGTGATCGAGAATAGATAATATTGATACATATCTAGGTACTATACATACATACCTAGGTATCTGGCCAGTGTGATCCGTCGGCATTAGCGTGGATGGTGGCGGCGCTAGCTGGAAATACTACAATGTGAACTTTGAAAACAGCCAAATTAGCATACAAACCCTCTTTCAGTTGAATACCGATTCAACACATTTACCATACATAAATTGCGATCTGAACTGCCAATGGACAGTTGGCATATTATTGGCCAGAGAGTATATGTACGTATTCAAGTCTCTCCCTTCCCCGCATTTTACTATGTATTTTTCTACGAATTTTCACTACATGCGACGGAGAATCGCCGCGTGGGCCGATGTACCTACTACTAGTTGTATGCATGCGACTGTAAGACTTCAAGTTGGAAGCTGCATGCATACTCAAATTGAAACCGCATATGCCATGGTGTATCCGCTGTAGGAGTGTGTTTTAATACCTTGCTGGGTACCCAATCTGATCGTAGGAGTGTTTCTTTTCTTTTTTACTGAGGGTTTTCACTATAGCGTGAATATCGGCGAACCCCTGCTTGGGCAGGGTTCTGTTGTTTGCGGGCAAACTGCTAAGTCTGTCGTTAACTATATGTGAGACACACGCCGGTCAGTTAATATTAGGATGGGTGACCACCTACACAAATACAAATTGTGACTGATGCATGCCAGTGCTCTTTATCTTTCTATTGCTTTATATAATTGCAACTCGACGGTATTCTGCATCATTCTACGATTCAACGTATTCCCGAATTATCACGCATAGACGAGATGTGGCGTTGCGTTAGACAAGGAGATCCCGAAACCACTATTGTGAGACTATCCTAGGATGTCATGATGCATATTATTATTCGACTGGAATGAGAGGGCTATGCTCAAACCTTGGAAGCGATCGCCTTCAACTGGATACAATCGGTGGTGTTGAAGCTGAACATGCAGAGAAACTCTCAAATATTTTCTGCAGTGTGAGACGGCACGTATGCTTTTTGGTTATATATTGTTCTCTTGATGTTTTTGAAGTCGGAATATCTTGCCTCAGTATGGATAAACATGCATGCCAAGGGCAATATGTCAGCACGGCAACCTTTCTGCACAACAGTCACAAAAGCATGGAGCAGGTACATTATGTTTTAATTGGCAATGACTTCATTTTATCCAAGGCCGGCAAGCCCAAGTGGCGTAGCTGGTACCAGCTTCAAGCTGCAGTGTAACACGCTGCGATGTGACACATTGCGCGTCTGGGCAGAATATCGGTAATTCCACCAATTTTTAATTGATCACATAGAGAGCCGGGGACTGGAGAGCCTTGTAACTTGAGGATCCTTTGACTTAGCGTTTAATCGAATGGACTCATTGAGAACCTTTGAAATAAACATATAAATACGGCTATGATTCCGTACCCAACCCTTTAGCAACCATAATCATTTTGCAACACCTACTGCGACAAATAAACCAATAAACCGCCGAAATTACCCGTGGTATCATACAACATGACTTCGACCCACTACGCATTCAACAATGACCGCATCCGCGACAATGAGGACAAGGTATTGCTGGAGCGCATTAATGAGTACTTTGGGGCCTTTTCCGTTGCCGATGCCGACAAAATGAACAGTATGGTGGCTGATGATTATCACATGACCGACATCCGTAAGAGCTCATTTCTCTCATCTCAATTGCCCCTCTAATATCTTGGCTCCATATAGCCCTCGCTATTGTTAGGGCACCTAAAGAGGCTTGGTACGGGGCGAACAAGGGATTTGGCGGTCTTATGACGAATATCTCAGTTGAGGCCATTTCACTTCACGGAAGTTCCGAGCCCGGCTCATTTGCGGTCATGGAAAACGTGGTACGGTTCACTTTGGCCGTTGATCCTCCCGAGGGAGCCAAGCCCAACCTTCCTCCTGGAATTAAGAAGGGCGATTCCACGGGTATGATCATGCTATCTACGATATGGTGGAACAGTGAAGGGAAAATTTCCCGCGAACTTGAGTATGGCAAGCTGCTGTGGGAGGGCTTTGATACCAATGAGTTCAACGTATGGTGAGAGGAACAAGCATGCGAACTTCCTGATGGATTATGAGAATTCATTCAAATACAGATAGTCCATGGGGGGGAAGATATGGTAGCATGGAACACTAGTCCAGTCATTACATTAGTCATAGAGCCGTGGGAACGGCATCAACAATTATCATGTTGGGCCGGATTGGCTTCTTTTTCGGTTCAAAGTTTCAGGACTCGTAATGTATCAAAGCTACTGGTGTCTATCACTGTTATGTGAAGACACCCAGGTGTACCCATACAGACATGATTTTCCATTTGCTTCAAGCACTCTAGTACCCTAATACTTATACCTAGGTATATCTAGATGGTGAAATGCATCCTTACTGTATCATTTGTCCGGCGTCCGCATCTATGCTAGTAATAGGTCTTGAGGGTCTCTGTCTCTTAGAGAGTGACTCGCTGCGTGTGCTAGATCTGCAATCGCTTTACTCACCCCCTTTCAAGCTCTATATGAATTCGCTCCATTGAACATCTAATACATACGACCATAGGGTGTGGAGAACAGGGCTTCCCGTCCGCTCAGCCGTACTTAAGCCACACGCCGGCAGGTTAGTAGTATGGTGGGTGACCACATGCGAATCCCTGCTGTTGTATGTTTTAGTTTTGCTTTTGCCAGTTATTTGCATCCATTTTTGATTCGTTCGGTTTGATCCTGTCGCTTTTCTTCAGTCCTTTCTTCACCATATCAACTTACTACTTAAAGATGATGCAGATGTTTTTTTTGTCTTGACCGCCAAGTCATTACGGGGCTTCATTATCTTGCGGGGAGCTTTAAAAAAAGCGAATGCAAAGACATCTGCCAGAGGTTCCTATTGGGGTTTGATATCAAACCTCCAAATAAAAATGTAGAGACACCTCTATCTCGACACATTGCTAAAACGGGTCTGGGACCTCGTGGTAAAGAGCGTCCAGATCTAGGCATTAAAAATTAATATTACTCCGAAACTATATTACATCCGCCTTTATCTGTGAATATCACAAAAAATATGTGTGAGTAATTAATTAATACAACCTTCTATTAATTCTGCATCACAAGCCCGGGACTAGGAATATCTATGCCAGAACAGTTTTCAGATCTAACCTCCGTAATGACATCATACGGGTAAGGGATAGTCCAGATCAAATCATATCTGTAAACAAATTAGCACGTCCTTAAACAAGTTCACAAATCGGAACAAGGGTATGCGGCCGAAGCCCGATATCGCCAAGAAAGTCGGGATGTCGATCCCTGGCAAGCCGAGGGCTCCGCGACCGAACCAAAAAGATTCAAAAACACATAAAATAATGCTCCGGCACTCCGTAAAATAGACAAAAAGAAATCTCGCTTACCGATCATAGGGATACTCAAGTGGATATTCCGAGCCCAAAAACCACTGAATATCGGAGAGCGTCCCGTGTCGCCAAGAGATCAAGATATTCCGGGGCCCATCGTAGGACCAGATCGCGTCAGCTACGCACGCGCCACTTTTGCGCGAACAATGAGTGTCAATTTTGAGGCCGAGGTCTTTCGCGAGTGGACGGACTGTTTCGAATGGTCTGCCGTGTTTGCCGTCTGGATGCAGTAGAAAACAGTGTTAGTGATGCCATTTCGCGTAAGCGGCTGAAATGTTGTTTGTGGTTCGCGACTTACGCTTCTTCACCGTTGGCGCAATGATGTACCCAATATCATATTCGGACTCTGCACCGAAGACCGTTCGCAGACATTGCGCTCGTTCTTTTCCCTTATGGGTGAGTCGGTGGTCTTCTTTATCGGCTGGTTTCTCGCCATGGCGAATAAGATAAACAGTAGGGGGTGTTCTGGCGGACGCGACGGTCCATAGGAGGCAAAAGGCCAAGACCACTGATGGGAAAAGCATAGTATCGACGAGGTGGTGATACTACTATGTAGTTCTAGTACCCCAAAAAGAGCCTTGGACAAACTAGGGGGGGGAGAGGGCAGATGAAGAATATAAGCTTAAAAGAGTAGGAAAAGCTTGCCGGCGCTGGTCGGCCCAGCTTCCTCCTTTATGCACTGGGTCCCTCCGATGTGGGATACGACAGCTATTACAGATTCTGTAGCACAGAGAAAAAGGAAATTGCCAGCCAAGTGGATCACCGGGCAGTTTGTTCAATGAGTGAGCGGCAGATGGGGCATTTGGGCTGAAGGAGTGCGGTCGAGTGACGAACTATTCGCGGAGAGATTGTTTTGATTGGACTGTAGCGGGTGAGCCATTAAAGCATCCACTTAAATTGGAGGCTGTCTCCAGGGCTTCCTGTTGATCATGTCTGCAGGTTTTGCAGGTCTGACTGTGTGATTGACCACTAGCATGCAGGGGATGTCGAACCAGTCTCATTATTGAGGTGTGGTGCAAGTTGTTATTGCCGTCTGGGTAGACTGACGTGTTATTGTTTAAGTACATCATGATACTAACTAGATATTACCTAGGTAGAAGCGAATATATAGCCGTGATTATTGATGATGTCCACCGGTGCTGATATGTATGTGCTAGCCAACAGACAGCCCTGGAGACCTTGAAGCTTGGATAAAACTAGTACTAGGACTATCCGAGAAGGAACAACTTGAATCCGAGTCACTTCTGTCGGCCTTGGACTTGGAAAAAGCAAATCCACCAATTTGAACTTGAAAGTTGCGAACTGAAATTAATCGTGGATTTTCAAAGGTGGTGACTAATTCCATTATTAACCCAGGACCATTTCTGGTATTTCTGTAATTATTACCAAAACGCTAACTTCTCCACGGTAACCCGGAATAGATACTACCAGTACGGATACTTTTGAGACAATATCTACTGATGGACTGAACTACCCCATATTGATTAAGGACTGTGATACCGGCCCACCGCCGCGGGTTGCTATCACCGGATCAGTCGGGCAGCCGATGCGAGAGATTGCCGTGTGACAGTCGATGGCGGCTGATCTTTGAAACTTATGCTTGTGCACCAGCGGAAGAACCATGCTAGAAGGTTCCAGCTAGTACAGAGTCCGAGAAGTCAAGCTTTTCGCATGCGACCGCAACAAGTCTCCTGATTTGGCTGATGACCCCCGTGTCGCCGGGACCACATCGGCCCCAAAGATTGGCTGGATGTCCAGGGGCGAGTGAGCATCCAGCAGGCAGATGACGAGTTGCGTCATATGGTATTGGAGTATTCGATCGGTCGCAGTCCCTTGTTGATTCTCGGACGCTCCGTTGGGCCTTAGGGCGATTTTTGTTGCTTATGTCCAGCCACCAGCCACAATACGAAGGCCATGGAGAAGGGCAAGGGATATGACTGAATGGATGTGGGGGCCGAAAAGGTACTCTTACTCGTTGCACCGAGGCCAAGAGGAAAGATGGAGTGAGGGGCTTAGCCATTACTAGGCAGCCAAAATAAAATTCTCAACCGCGCTGCATGCCGAGAAGGTTGGCCGGGGGAAATGAACTTGGCGCCACAAGAATTGCATCAATGTGCAGTAATAGGGCGACATTGAAAGAGGCGCGGTTAGGCAGAGAGGGATAACCATGTTCCATGGAAGATTCGAAGAATGATCGAAGGATGCTATTTTCGGGAACCCCGGGTACACGCGTACGGCCGCAAGACGAGTAGCGCGCGATTTAGCGGTATTTGGTGGCTCAGCCCTGTGGCCTGCATGCATCGCCACAGCAGATGTGCACTCAGTAGGGTGGGACGCAGCGATGTGCACTGCAGGGCAGCGCAGTACATACTGTATACAGTATGTAATATGTAGGTGCCAGTGCCAGTGCAGTGCCTCACACCTGTGGCGGTGCACCACTCTCCGATGGTTGCACTAGCTGCACTAGTTGCACTAGTACTCTCCGTTCAGAGTAAGTCAGTGTAAGTCAGTGTAATCGGAATTCTCTCGATGAGCCAAGGCCGCTACTGGAAAGTCTGCGCCTCGCAGTTCCGTAAAATTGCGGCCATGTGGGGGTGCTTCCGTCAGCCCTGTGGCTGCCGGTCATTTAGGTATAAGAGACCTTCCCCTCCCCCTCTTTCCATTCCCCTCCATCACTCCATCACTCATCTTTCACTCCCATCTCACCACTTCTACACACTTCATCTTTCAGAACACAATGTCCGGTTACGATCAATACAACCAGGGCGGCTACGGTCAGCAGCAGGGTGGCTACCCCCCTCAGCAGGGCTACGGTGGTCAGCAGGGCTACGGTCAGCAGGACTACAACCACCAGCAGCAGCAGCCTTACGGCCAGCAAGGCTACCAGCAGCACAGTGGCTCATCCGACTACTACAACCAAGGCCAACAGGGCCAAGGCCAGTATGGCCAGCAACACAGTGGCTCATCTGAGTACTACAACCAGGGCCAGCAGCACGGCTATGGCGAGAACAACTCCCAGTATGGTCAAGGCCAAGGCCAAGATTACAACCGCCAAGGGTATGTTACATTTCCGCCCCCACTTCCTCCTCCATCACATTATTCCAGTTCATAATACTGACACGTCTCTTTGTAGTGGCTACGAGCAGCAGGGTGGTCCCGATGGAGCCCAGGAGGGCGAGCGTGGTCTTGCTGGCGCTCTCGCCGGTGGTGCCGCCGGTGGTTTTGCCGGTCACAAGGCTAACCACGGCTTCCTCGGAACGATCGGTGGAGCCATTATGGGCAGCATTGCCGAGGATGCTATCAAGAAGCACCGCAACAACAACCGTGATGAGAACCCCAATGGCCCCCCTCCCCCGGCTACGGTGGTGGCTACGGCGGCCCTCCCCCCTCCAACAGCGGTAGCTCCGGCATGATGGACCAGCTCGGTGGATTCTTCAAGAAATAGAGGGCTTCCGCCCCATTTTTCTTTCTTTATCTGCGCCTTGATTTCTTCCAACGTGACGACCTTCCAAAGCTCATGAATTTCCTTTACGTCTTATCTTTGTGGGAATGGCTTGCGTGTGCCTCTATCAGATCTCCATGTTTTCTTGTCTAGCTTCTTTATCATTATCTTTCTTTTTCGCCTCGAATTGAGGAATGTATCATGACACAGATTTGCATCAATAATGGAGACTAGCTCCGTGATTCTAATCGGATCTACATTCAAAACCATCCCACGATCTGGACCCTCTATCTGTAAACTGGTAGGATCATCGGTAACAACGGAACAAAAACAATCTACATTTGCCACCCGCGGGGCTCAGGCCCTCAGGCCACCACACCCCGATCAGGTCTAGCGTGTAAGCCCTATTGCCTCAGGCAACGAAGCAATGCCAAGCCCGACAAAAGTTCGCGCGGACACTTCGACAACGCAACTGCTTCCCCGGTCAATTCCATTCCATTCCCATATAGCCCAGCATGATTGTCCGGAGATTTGGTGTGCGGCAGAGTGAGTGATCTCAATTGATGACAGATTGCAATATCCGAAGGCTGTCAAACTAACATTGCACCTCTCGTCCAGGCCGCCAACTGCTCGCCCTGAATCGCCGGTCTCCGATCTCCAGTCGCTTTTTATCCACCGAGACCCAAATCCCAGTCGACACAGCACAGAAGGAGGCACCTGTCTCTTCGCCAAACCCCCTGCACGAGGTTGTCCAGGCCACACAGAACCCCCGGAGCCTGGCGCAGAAGCAATTCAAGAAACAGGAGCAGCAACGTGAGCACCCCAGCCAACTCCGCAAATATCATTGCCCGACCCAAACCTAACCACATCCTTCCCGCACAGGATCCAAATTCAACAAACTCGGCAGCGCCGTCACAGACTCTCACGACCCCGAAGGTCTCCTCAAAAACCCACCCCGTCCCTCCGACATCACCCTCGAGCTCCTCCTCGCCTCAGGAACACACTTGGGCCACTCGACCTCACGATGGAACCCCCAAAACTCGCGCTACATCTACGGTATTCGTGAAGGCGTGCACATCATCTCCCTCGACGTGACAGCCGCCTACCTCCGCCGCGCCGCCAAGGTCGTCGAAGAAGTTGCCGCCCGCGGCGGCATCATTCTCTTCGCCGGCACACGAAAGGGCCAGAAGCGATCGATCGTCCGGGCCGCCGAACTGGCAGGCGCCTATCACATCTTCGAGCGGTGGATTCCTGGCTCGCTCACGAACGGCCAGCAGATTCTCGGCCACTGCGCGACAAAGGTCGTCAATGCGTTGGACGAGGAGTTGCCAGAGTTCAAGGCCGATTTGGCGGATCGTCCGTCCGTGAAGCCTGATCTGGTCATTTGTCTTAACCCGGTTGAGAACGTTGTCCTGCTGCACGAGTGTGGCCTGCACAATGTTCCTACTATTGGCATTATTGATACCGATGCCGATCCCACTCGCGTCACCTACCCCATCCCCGCGAACGATGACTCCCTGCGCGGTACGAATCTGATTGCTGGTATCCTGGGTCGTGCGGGCGAGGCGGGTCAGAAGAGACGTATTGAGATGGCTAGGGAGGGCAAAACTCTTTATAAGCCTGTTACGGCGAGTGAGCTGCGTCTGGATCCGTTCACGGGCGTGTTGCCTGGTGCCGAGCAGACCAAGGGCCCTAAGCGCGATTAGATTCGGGCTTTGGTCGGCTACTCGTTTTTGTTACATGTTTCTTTTTGTATGTTCTGGCATCCGGGCGACTTTCATGAGCGTCGGGCCTCTTTGTACTGTATAGATGATTCCAGCTAGGTCTTAGGGTGTTATCTCCTCATCGTGTATTAACAGTTGTTTCTATTGATATTTGAATACCGAATGCCTCTGAAGCATATTACTCAATTCTTGCTCTTTGTGATACTGGTATCATGGCCCCTAGCCGTAGTTCTCTAGACGAGCTACTCGTGCAGCATCATTTCCTACGATGTTAATATCCTGAGAACGAAGCTAATGAGAATGGAGAAAGGTGACTACTGGCATGGTGGAAGGCGATCCTAAATAACCATTTCTATATTCATTCTATTCATTACCACTGTTCGTTACAAATAGAGAACACTGTCGGGTTGTCTCATCATATCATAAAGGCAGCCCATTAAACTTCACTCAAGCCTTGAGAGTATACACAACACGTCCACGCGAGTCAGTGCCCTTAAGCGAAACCTCCTGTCCAGAGCTGGAAACCACACGACGGGAATCACCATTGTGCAGAATAATGTCCAGTTCCTTCCAAGCGGGAGCGAAACCGCTCTTCTCGTCGCGAATAAAGTCAACCAAGACCTTCTCCTCGGTGGAGCTGTAGCGCAGAGTATAGACGGAAGTCTGAGGCTTCTGTGAAATACCATCATCTTCATACCAAACATTCTCGAAGACACGCTCATGCGAGGTACCCTTAGGTGGGAAGACTTCAACACCACGGTAGTCATCTAGCTCCTTGACGCCCTGCGAGGCAGCGGTCTCATCGCCAGGGACACGAGTGTGCACGCTCTTGCCGACAGGAATGGCCCCACCGACGCGGGCAATGAGTGGGATGCTATCCTTCCACTCGGATGGGATAGAAGCCCACTGACCCGAAGCAAGGTAGTTATATGGCGCATTCATGTTGACATAGCCGTAATCGAAAGCGTCTCCAGACTTGCGGGGCAGGTAAACATCCGCAGTGTCGATACCAGCTTTGTAGACACCGCCGACGAGGATAGAATCACCGAACCAGAACTGTTCCTCACCAGCCTTGAGTGCCTTGGTCCAGACCTCGGGGTCAGACTCGTAGCCCCAGCCAACCCAGCGCTGTGGTGGAGTCGCCTTCGTATGGCTTTCCAGCCCCAGGGAGTAGATGTATGGCATCATTTCATAGCGGCGCTTGATAGTGTCGCGGACGAGAGGGGTAATCTCAGGATACATGAAAGGCTCAATAACGTCACCGACATCATTGTTATCAGGAGAAGTCTTGAAACAATTGATCGCGAAGCGGGGAGAGTGGCATCCTAGTTGGATCCAGCGAAGTAAAAGTTCAGGCGAGGGCTGGGGACCTTCAAATCCACCGATATCGTGACCTTCACACTGCAAGAGGGACATTCCAGCATTGAGCGAGAGCGCATTGGCGCCCTTCATACTTTCCCAGCTTGTAACGTTGTCTCCACTCCAGGTACTAGCGGAGTAGCGCATGGTACCGGCAGTGGCGCTGCGTGTGAGGACAAATGGGCGGTACTGGGGCTCCATGTCGAGGAGGGCGTCATGGGAAGACTTCCCCATCAGTTCAGTGTGTATCGCGCGACCCCATTCTCCCACGTTGTTTGGCACGGTTTTCTTTGCGCCTGCATCAACCATAGCATCGTCCAATGCTAGGGTCCAATCATCATTGGGCAGAGTGTACTCGTTGTTGTCATTCCACATGCCATCAATACCGACTTTCTTCAGGCTCTGCACTCCGTTGTACCAAAACTTGAAAGCATCTTCGGAAGTAAAGTCGATATGACAGCCATTTCCGCCAGTAGCACCACCCGCGCTCCACAGGCGCATGTAGCCAGGCTTGTCGGTATCAGGGTCTGTGAAGAAACCACGGGAATCAATGAGGCGCTGGAAGTCAGGGTGAGACTCCAGGAGGAAAGGCTTGATGTTGGTAATGAGTCGAATACCATGCTGGTGCATCTTGGCAACGTATTCCGCTGGATCGGGGAAGCGGCTGTAGTTCCAGTTGAAAACGTTGCGGACCTTAGGCTCAACTGCAGCAATAGAGTACCCGGAGCTCATCTGATGAGCCGAAACTGGGATTCCATGCTCCTCTAACTTCTCTGCAAACTCAACGAGAGCTTGGTGTGCAGGCGGGGAGTCCAGAGACGAGTATTTGTATCCACCGGAGATATAACCGTAGGCCCAGCGCGGGACCAGGAGAGGGAAGCCCACCAACTCGGCGTATGACTGAACCACCTCTTGGATGTTCTTTCCAACAAGCAAATACTGCTCCAGACCACCATAGTCTTGGCGGTATACCTTGAAGTGACCCCAGAGACCATCGATCTCTGATCCCACAGACCATGATCCCCGCCCATGTGTTGTTGAGAAGAGAGCAACGCATCCCTCAGGTGTAGCCTTGATCAAGAGCGGGATATGCTTGTAGAGGGGATCGGAGTTGTAGACATCGTAGCCGAAGCAGTCTGTGGCAGAGAGCTGGAAGGTGCGGCCACTTAAGTCCATTGGAGCACTCTTCTCGCCGAGTCCGACATGCAGAGCATTTCGATCGTGAACAGAATAGCTCGCAATACCGGTGGAGTCGGCGACATAAGAGCGGAGAGGCAGGTCTTGGTGGAGAGGTTTGTCGGATCCGGTCCAGGAGAGCGAAACGACAGGTGTGTGTTCCCACTCAACCTTTGCAGTGACACCGCCGACATCAATGGTTTTCGAGCTGCCCTCGTTCTTCGCAAAGACATTGATACCCTGGAGGTTGACCTCGGGTTTCTTAACGCTAGGGTAGGGCGGGAGGTGGTGCTCAGGAGAGGTGAAGGTCACCCGGAAAAGGTTCTGACGAATAGTTTCAAAACAAAAGTCAAAAGGAGTTTTGCTGCTGGAGCTACTCCGCAAGTTCACGGAGGCATCTTGTTGGGAGGTCGAAGAGACCTGCTGGTACCCACGGGGACAAACTTCTTTCTGGGGCATTTTGCTTTGGATTAACGATTGTGTTTCACGAAAGACGAACGAGCAGAGAGTCTCGGCAGTCTGGCATATTTGTAGGATTCTTCATATTTCGCAAGACTCGCGCAGAAGTCCGCAGGACCCCCGCGTGAGACCGTAGGTGATGGGGCGATGTAGAAGCGGAGATCGGGGATCATCACCGACGGCCGTCGAGAAGGACTGCCCCAGGGTGGACGCGACATGCACTCCACTCCTGTCAACCCCACAATCCCCAGACTCAGAATCTCAGATCGCCAAAACTCTCTCCCGCTGCGGATTTACCTACCGAACACCGAGCACTAGCCCTTTATAGGCATCTCCGTCTCTGATGTTCTCGCTCGCCTCTTCCGACCCCCTCATGCCCAGGAATTGATTGGCTCTGATACACCGGAAGTTCTCCGTTTTCAAGCCAAGTGCCGCTTCTCGCCAGATCGAATGACCAGAGGTGTGGCATAAGTGGCATGAGTGGCATGAGTCGGGATGTTAGGGGCTAACAAAGTTATCAGAAGCCGACTCAACGAGACGAGTCTAGTGCAAGTCCGGGGAGATCATAAACTTGGTTTCCCCACGGGGTGTGCAAGCAATCCTGCCAGACTAGTATCTTTGTTCTTCTCCTTGCTTTCTGAAGTTTTCCACACAGCAAGTCACTTTATTCCCATCTCTACAAAGTCTACGTTGCTCTTACACATCAAATATTTGAGTGACTTCTTTTGTCATTAGCGATGTCACAAGTGGATGTTGCTCCTCCAAAACACCAGCAGGATGAGCATGTTGAGTCCATCGAGGCCGAGGCTGAACAGTCCACCAAGTCTGCTCTGGCATCTCAAGATGTTTCAGGGGTAAAAAAAGATGATGCACTGCAGCTGATCGAGGATATGGGGTACTCAACTATCCTCACCCCCGAGAATAACAAGAAAGTGCTGCGCAAGATTGATCTGCGTCTTCTCCCTATCCTGCTAGCAATCTACTTTCTCCAGCAACTGGACAAATCGACCCTGTCATATGCATCTGTCTTCGGTCTCATCGAGAAAGCCCATCTCCATGGCAAGATGTACTCGTGGCTGGGATCGGTGGTTTACCTGGCCCAGTTAGTATTCCAGCCCTTGGTGTCTTACCTGTTGGTCAAGGTGCCACTAGGCAAGTTCTTAGCCGTATCCTGTTTGCTCTGGGGTATTGCTCTATCCTGCATGACTGCCGCGAATACTTTCGCTAGCCTGTTGGTATGTCGACTGTTCTTAGGTATCTTCGAGGCCGGCATCGGTAGGTTTTCTCTTTTAACATCACCTTTATTCCTATGCTTACGATAGATGAACACAGCTCCGGCTTTCATCGCCGTGACCCAGATGTGGTATCGACGTCGTGAGCAGCCAGTAAGATTGGGTTCGTGGTATGCGATGAATGGAGTGGTCAATATGGTATGTACCTCCAGTCGGACTCGTGTTCATTGGCCCTAACTATGGTGCAGTTTGGAAGTCTCATTACCTATGGACTGGGACACATTAACTCTTCTGTATTCGAGCCATACCAGGTAATAAACTCCCAGTTTTGTATAGAGAGCAAGGTGGCTAAATCGATACCGTCACAGATTATCTTCCTTTTTTTCGGACTGATCACTGTTGGCATGTCTGCCGCAATCTTGTAAGACAGGGTCTCCCTTCTAGAACGTGGTTAACAAATGCTAATCAGTTGCAATTACTACAGCTTTCTCATGCCCGATTCTCCAATTACTTCGAAATTCCTCCCTGAAGAAGATAAACTAGTGGCGATCGAAAGGTACCTCATTCCTCCAAAAATAATTTTCGATTTTGGCTGATTGGTGGATAGACTTCGCATGAACCAACAGGGTATGGAGAGCCATGAATGGAAATGGGACCACGTGAAGGAAGCCGCTCTTGACATCAAGTCATGGCTTTGGTTTTCCTTGATGCTTACTATCTCGTATGTAAAGTTCAACCCAGTGGGAACAACGCCTTGCTGACCAGAACCAGAATCCCGAGTGGTGGAATCACGACCTTTGGTCCGTTAATTGTGGAATCTTTCGGATTCGATCAACTGAATACTATTTTGCTTAATGTCCCTTTCGGGGCAGTGCAGTTAATTGCCACGATGGGTGGCGCTTGGCTAGCTACATTTTGGAAAATGAAGAGCCCAGTTCTGGCATTACTGTGCCTTCCGCCTATTGCGGGATGCTGTATGCTTTTGAATATTCCTCATGATGGTTCCCACAAGGGACCTCTTTTGGTCGGTTACTATATTGTGAGTGACCAGTACTTCTCCTTTCTCGGATTAGCTATCGTTACTGACTTCAACTCACAATCTAGATATCCGTTTACCCTGGCATCAGTAAGTTGCCAACTCCTCTACTCCGCAGTAGAATGGAACTAATATCTCTCAGCACCTTTGATTTACTCGTGGTCCGCCGCAAACACAGCCGGCGAGACTAAAAAGAAGGTCACTACCGGTATTCTGATTGTTGGACAATGCGTTGGTAATGTATGTGTCCTTTTTACCCTCTCCGAAAATAATTGTAGTTTGCTAACCGACTACGCCGCTAGGTTATAGGACCAACTCTCTATACCACTGAAGAAGCACCGCTGTACAAGCGTGGTCTTACCTCAAAGTAGGAAACCAACCTTGGAAGGCTTCTCATCGAGATATACCGCTAATTGTTCAATAGCCTCGCTCTATTCTGCGTATTAATTGTTTTGATTCTGTAAGGTCTACATTGGAAGTATGTCAAAAGGCAAAGCTAATATGATCTAGATTGAACGCAACTTATCTGTTTTTCCTCAACAAGAAACACGAAAAACAGCGTGTCGCTGCTGGAAAAGACGCCAAAGTGGTGGATCACTCGATGCACGCCGTAGGGGCTGTGGTCACGGACAAGGAGGGAGCACCCATCCAGCAAGTAGTCAACGATAACGCCTTCAAGGATCTCACCGACTGGGCGAACGAGGATTTTGTGTATGTATACTAGTTGGGCCGACATTTGGGGAGCCACGAAGGAAGCTAGCGAAATATTCGTAAATGCAAAATATTCGAATTTTACCATTACTGGTTCATAGGAGCGCTTACACATAACTGTAAAAAATAGATAGCATCTCAAATAAAGTTCTCTACTCGATACTATTGAATGTCCAGGTGCTCCTACCAAGGATTGGTTGCTGCCCCGATCATCGGGGCCCGCTGTTAATAGCCGATCGTCGGTGCAGTTGCCGAACCCCGCGTTTCCTCATTCCCCAGACCCGAGCAGACAATTCTTCACGTCCACGGAGTTCAGGGCCGCTTGAGCCTTTCTTAGTTAATATGGAGGAGGAAGATTCTTTACATGTGGTCCCTGCACCGATTGGGAAGAAGCGCATTCCAGCAAGTGTCCAGACCCAGGCCCCTATTTCACATGGGTACATCTCGGGTGGCCGAACAATGGTTAATGGTTGGGTTTATTTCTGTATAGAAAGCATGCAGTGCATGTAGACTATCTAAGGTGACTATCTAATTACCACCGAAATCCTGGATACATTGAATTGACGCTCTAACAGGTCCGATGTGACGGAGAGAGACCGTGTGGAAGGTAACGCCAACAAGATCGACATTTACATCTCAAGTTCTATATTGACAAGAAATAGATGTGAAAGATTGGAGAAACAATGCGTTTTCTTTGAGATTCCGAAAGACCCCGTCTCAGAGTAAGAATCTCCAGTGCCACAACCCGCCTCTACGGAGAAATCAGACAATATCCTAACTGCACTAGGCGAATTGAAGGTATTGAATGCGAAGTTCAATACCTTAGAAGACAACTTGATGAGATGCGAGACCTCCTACAGCATAATCGATCCCATACATCAATTTATTCTCGAGAAAATGTGTCTCCGTGCCAGGTCTTAGAATCGCAACAGCACGAAGTTCATGGAGATAGCGGGTGCCCTTCGTCTCATTCTCAAATCACCCATGCACAAGACGACATGGTGACCATTGTGGTGCCCGATAATCAGGTTCACTTTAGTACCCACTCTGGAAATTCCTATCCAAGACCCAGGCCAGATCTTTCGTCTCCGCATGAAATCTTTGTTCCACCACGGTACGAAGCTCCTACCAATGGACTGTCTTCATTAAAACGGAAACGATCTTGCTTCGAGATCAGTGAGGATTCTGTTGCAGACTTTATTGATAAAGGTCTTATTACAATGGAGTGTGCTGTCTCTTGTTTTGATACGTACATCTTCCCCTACGCCCCGTCTCCAGCTTTGGGATAATGACTAATTCAAGTCCACAGCTTTTTCCAAGGTTGCGTATGTCTCGTCGGCTCGTCAAATATAAACCAGTATTCTAAAACTAACACCCTAATCCGAACTTCAGGATCGATATATTCCAATCTTTGACCCTCAATATGATACCTTCGACTCGGTAAGATCTCGAAGTAGTATACTCCTCAATGCAATATGCACCATTGGAAGCATGGTCGAAATAGGTCAATTCAACCAAAACATACCTTGATTACCTTGATTAACCCTCATACTAGGTACTGGAGACCAGATGTCAGATATGCTACACGCTGAACTGAAAAAATGGATCAACGTCATAATTCAAAATAAGGGACTGAATTGTCTTGAATCAGTACAGGCAATGCTGGTGGTCGCTTGCTACTCTGCAGAGCGGCTTCTTATTTTGTCTTTTGCTACTCGAATGGCGCTTGATCTAGGTCTACATGAGGCTTTTGAAGAACTCACCGAGCGAGTTGCGATGAAGAATGATGAAAACCTATATGAAGTTTCGGACCATGACTTTGAGCGAGAGCAGGATATAATGAGAAAATCAAGAACATGGTTCGGTCTTTTGGTGCTTGAGCATATGTGAGTACTACTTTGACTAAACAGTCTTCGCTGAATTCTGATGTTTTTCCAGATTCCGAGTTGATGGAGGGAAGCCTCCCGGTATTAGGCTAATAGGGAATTCTCGACGCTGTCGAATTCTACTCAGTCATCCATCCTCTACAGTTCTTGACCTTCGATTGTTTTCTCAGGTCGAGGTAAGTCTAGCAGTGGTTCCGCGCGAATAAATCAATGATCTCCAGTTAATCTAATAATTCATAGCTCAACATCCTGCGAGGTAAGGCCAGTTTGCGGCAAGTAATGTAATCTGAATCTCACTATTCTCTCACAGCAACAATTAACGACAATTTGGGATCGGGGACAAAACTGGATCGGCCCGGAATATCGGACTTCGTTCACGAAATGAAAATTGACCTGGATCTATGGTTCGATGACTGGCTTCGAATAATTGAAAGCTCGACAACCGCCCGAGATGAAAAGCCATACCTTCTCGCTGCACTACGAATACAAAAATGCTGGGCAGAGATGATGCTCAACTGCAAAGCTTTACGAGCCATGGGTGTCGAAAACGTAGCCGCCATGTCAGCAACCGAACGAAGTATCCTTCTCACGGCCAAGTCTAGTGCTCGCAGACACCTCCGCCTCATCATCCTTGAGCCAGAATACTACCTCGCCAAACTGAAATACGCAATGGACTTTGTCTGGGCCAAGTGCGCATTTTCATTCTTGCTTCTTCTCAAGCTTTCGCGACTGCTTCCTGAGCGTGATGACGAGCACCAGGAGCTTTTTGATCATGGAAATAGCTTATTGCATGAATTAAACAAGGCGGGCTCGAATTGGAGGCATTCCGGGGCGGGGAATATCTATCTTCAAATTTTGAAGGTGAGTATCGAGAAATATGGACGGACTTTGCAGGAATCCCAGCAACCCAGTAGCGGCGGCGGCTCTACAGCCACATCGCCATTCTGGGAACTTTTCGATGCCCAAGCAGATCTTCAGTGGTTTGTGCCTGAACAGTTTGTGTCAGAGTGGGATTTTCCGGGGTTGAACTTGTTTTATTTCCCTACTGCTTGGCAGGATTCCTTTGGAGATTTCTCCTTGGCTATGTAACATACGGGTGATGCACCCAGATGTACGTTATTTGACGAAGCTTGGTTTGAAAAAAAATCATGAAGTGGATCATCTATCCCAATGGTATTCAGAATCCATAGCTACAAACCAGTGTAACCTCTAAAAAGCTATTTTAACTTTTGTGCGGCACCCATCGATTTCCTGATGAACCGGGTGCTGGATATCATATCTAAACCCCAAACAAGAAAGCACATTAAGTCATCATGAACAAGTCTATGCAAGGGCCTTCATGGCGAGCTCGACACTATGAAATTTGTCAGTAAGTGTAGAAGGCGCGTTCATCCGGGGGGAAACATACACAACGAAAGTTCCGGCAGAGACAGGCATAGCCCTCAGCAGGGTGGGCGCAATACCCTTCCAGAAACCACCCAGACCCTCGATAGCGTAGGTCTTGGCGATGCAGTCGCGCATGCTGCTGTACTTCTGGGTGGCGCCGAATCCATCGGTCTGCATCTTACTCTTGATCACATCGAAGGGGTAGCTGGACAGCCACAGAGCCTCACCGGCAAGACCACCGTAGGTCGCGACCTTGACGGCGGAGATATCCTCACGCTTGATGTTATTACGCTTGGCATCTTGGTTCATCATGTACTCGAAGGCCATGAACCAAGAACCGTAAGCCTGGGCCTCACGCAGGATGGTGACAGCCTGACCACGGTAGAGGCCGCGGAGAGCGCCATTGTGCGAAGAGATCTTGCGAATGCAGTCGATTGGGCCATCGTACAGACGACCGGCGCCGTGAGGCTGGGCCTGGAGACGGATACGCACGTGCTCGATGGGACCGGAGAGGACGGAGTTGGTCACACCGGCGAACGAACCGGCCATGTAGTATTGGAGATAAGAGAGGGAACCATCCGCGTACTTCTTTTGGTTCAAGGCCTCCAGGCGACGACGGGCCTCGTGGAAAGCACCGAATTGAACACTCACCTACAAAGTCGGTTAGTCTCGGTGGTTGGTGGGGGGGAGGAGAGGGGCATTGGAACCGCAATTGTCACTTACACAGGCACCGATACCAATCAGAGGAGTCAAAGTTCCCTTGTAGAAAGCAGCAGGACCCTCGGTCTTGAAAATCTGCTTGGCGCACTCCGCGGCGCCGGAGTATTGGGTGGTGGTCTGCAGGCGCACCTTGACAATGTCTGGGGCGGGTTAGCGGGGTGCGATTGAGACGAATGGGACGGGCGATTGGAGAGAATGCGATCACAAACCGAAAGGTTGACCTAGAACAGAGTTGTATTAGCAACAGCTTTCAATCAATTTAGGGAAGGGGGGATTTAGAGAGGTATCAGGTATCCCGTGAGCCCTCGTCACACACATACCCAGCAGAACCTGAGCTATTCCACCAGCAGCGCCCGCGGCCAAATCCTTAACGGTGCGCAGGGCATCGGCACCCTTTTCAATATCATCGAAAGCCGGGGACTCCATTGTGATGTGTGAAAGGGTATCCACTGGGTGAGGAAGAGGAGAAGAAAGCACCCCGGACTTCGGACTCCGGACTTTATATAAGTGAATGTCTATCAGGGACGCAGCTTATCGAGATGGCGCCATCCGCACGCTGATTCGCTGGGACCGCCGAGGGAAACGGGTTTGCCGTCGGGAAACTAGTTATGTAAGCATTGCTTTGCCAAACAGCCGCAAAAAGGTGGAGCTGGAACATGAGCAGCACAAGTATGCACAGGCGCGCGGTTTTACGGGTACGTTCTAGCTTTGGCATTCTCTTGGGGTCCAGCCAGGTTGTTCTCTGACATATTGACTGATTGCCCTTCTTTCTCCTCTAGTTCCCGCGCCGCGTCGATTTATATTCGACCCCCTCTCCAGGCCTCGTTAGTCGGTCCTTTCGATCCTCCGCTATCCGATTGAATTCTGTCGGCTCTGGCTCTGGCGATGGAGATGGTACTGCTTCAAATTCAACGGCTCCAGTTCCCAAGTTTGGGAATCGATGGGGCCCGAAACTAGTAACTAAACCGACTGGATTGAGTTCCGCTGAACAGGCATTACGCGATTCCCTCAAAGCTGCAAGTCAACCACCTCCCAAACCAGAACAACCAAGACAACCAAAACATCAATCCCGGGAACGAAGACCATTTGAAAGGCATCCGGGGGCTACAAGGAATGGCCCAGGTGACCACTCATTGAGATCCCACGATAAGCCGACCTCATTCCGACGAGATCGTGTTCGCGAGCGACATGAGCGTGAGCAGAATGGACAACAACCTCGAAACCAAAGACAACTGCAAGAAAGGCGAGAAAATGATTGGACGTGCAAGTCATGTAATGCTCATGTATTTGCTAAGCATGTGGCTTGTCCATTTTGCAGTGCACCTCGACCGGATGTCGCTCGCCGGCGCGAACCGCAGACCTTTTGGAAGGACAGAGCACCCGCTGGTCGAAAGGGGTTTGGTAAAGACGACTCTCCGGATACAACGGCCGTGAAGTACCGGGGACTGAGGGACGAGTTAGAGGAATCGAAGGTCGACGAAAAGGAACAAAAACAACCGCTTGATCCCGTCTCAGAGGCAGAGGCGAAGCTGGAAAAACAAAAAAGAAAGGAGGATCGGCTGAAGGCAAAGGAAGATCAATGGAACTGGGATATGTCTTCTTTAGAGAAGCTGGAAGCCAGGGAAGCCCAGGAGCAAGCGGCCGCTTCCAAGAAACCCGCACGCAAAGGTCAACGCCCGTCCCGGTCCGAGGGAGACGATTTTGACCCAGAAGAGCATGAGCGACTTCGCGAGGAACGTAAGCGCCTCAAGAAGGCCAAGGCGGACAAGAAGAGGGGGAGATCTGCAAAGGTCGAAGCCGCTCCCACGCCCATCTACCTCCCCGAGTTCATCAGCGTCAGCAACCTGGCCGATGTCGTCGGTGTGCGCCCCAATCTATTCGTGCAGCGCATGGAAGAAATGGGCTTCGAAGATGTCATGTACAACCATGTTCTGGATGCGGAGACTGCTGGCCTAGTGGCCGCGGAGTATAACTTTGAGGCTCTCTTTGATACGGAGAACCCCGACCTCGAGGCTGCTGCGTTGCCAGAAGATCCCTCTTTGCTCCCGTCACGTCCCCCTGTTGTCACCATTATGGGTCATGTCGATCACGGAAAGACTACCATCCTAGACTGGCTGCGTAAGTCATCAGTCGCGGCCACTGAACACGGCGGTATCACCCAGCATATTGGTGCCTTCTCGGTGCCAATGCCGTCAGGAAAAACTATCACCTTCCTCGACACTCCTGGTCATTCTGCGTTTTTGGAAATGCGCCGCCGTGGTGCCGATGTGACTGATATTGTCGTCCTTGTTGTGGCCGCCGATGACAGTGTCAAGCCACAAACCATCGAAGCTATCAAGCACGCAACCCAAGCTAATGTTCCAATCATTGTCGCAATGAGTAAGATTGACAAGGAGGGTCGCAACCCCGACCGAGTCAAGCAAGATCTTTCTGTTCATGGTGTCCACGTGGAAGACTACGGTGGTGATGTTCAGGCCATTGGAGTGAGTGGCAAGACTGGCGAAGGAATGATTGAACTGGAGGAGGCGATTGGCGCTTTATCTGAGATGCTCGACCACCGTGCCGATACTACAGGCAATGCAGAGGGTTGGGTTCTTGAAGCGACTACCAAGAGCTACGGCCGTGTGGCATCTGCTCTTATCCGTCGTGGTACCCTGCGTACTGGTGATATTATTGTTGCCGGTGAAACGTGGGCTCGTGTTCGTACTCTTCGCAATGAAGCTGGAGTTGCCATTGAAGAAGCTACCCCCGGCATGCCTGTTGAGATTGACGGCTGGAGGGATCAACCAGCCGCTGGCACCGAGATCCTCCAAGCCCCCACCGAACAAAGAGCCAAGGAGGTCGTGGAGTACCGCCAGGATCGTTCCGACAACAAGAAGCTGGGCGAAGATATGGAAGCGATTAACGTTGCCCGCCGAGAAGCTCTTGAGAAACGCAGACTTGAGGATATGGATTCGGATGAGACAACTACTAAATCAGCAAAGCCCACTGGCCCCAAGCCAGTGAACTTCATCATCAAGGCTGACGTTGATGGTTCCGCCGAGGCAGTTCTCAACTCGATTGCCGCCATCGGAAACAATGAGATCTACGCCAACATCATCCGCTCCGGAGTCGGTCCAGTAGGAGAGTTTGATATCGAACACGCGGCCAGCGCCAATGGCATCGTGATCTCCTTCAACATGCCCATTGACAATAACATGATGCGTATGGCTGAAATGGAGGGCGTCCAAATCATGGACCACAACATCATTTATAAGCTCATCGACGACGTCAAGGCCAACCTCAGCGAGCATCTTCCGCCAACAGTCACCCAGCGTGTCACTGGTGAAGCCGAGATCGGACAGATCTTTGAGATCACACTCAAGGGCCGCGAAAAGACTGCCATCGCGGGTTGTCGTGTTCGTAACGGTATGATTCAGAAATCGCGAAAGGTCCGAGTGACCCGTAATGATGAAACTATCTTCGACGGTAAGATATATCCGCAAATCTACGCTTCAAAGCTTCCTACTAACACCTTCCAGGTACCATGAACTCCCTTAAGAACGTCAAAAAGGATGTCACCGAGATGCGCAAAGATACCGAGTGCGGTATTGGATTCGAGGGCTGGACTGACTTCGCTGTTGGCGATCATGTCCAATGCTATGAAGAGATCTTTGAGAAGCGTTATCTCTAAGAATCTTGAATCTTGAGATATTGCTGGCATGTGCATGTAATCATATCTTTGTACTATATTCTGCTTTCCGTGTCTGCATCTGGTGGAGTTTGTTTGCAATCATCAATGGATATAAAAAGGCACACTTGTTAATAGGACAATAAAACCCTGGAACCTTCTGATGGATCTTAAATCAAGACATGGATCAAGTTCCACTTTTCAACCCCAGAGTTTGAAATTCCCCTCCGGGCACCTGGGCAACATTCTAATACTGGGGGTGTTGGGATTTGCGATTTCGACTTCAACCTTGGAACTTAAATTTACAATAATTCCAGCTGCATAATCTTGAGGCTTTTTTTTATTCAGATTGTCCCTCGGGCCATCAATAGCGAACTTGCAACCCCTCTTCTCTTATGTCAGATCTGTGGTCGTCCGCTCGCTGGACTGCACAATTACCTTGGCCGTCATGTTGACATTCAAGGCGTTCGGTGTGTTTGGCTTCGCCTTCTTCACTGGCTCATGGCCATACAGAGAAGGGCCTCATACTGTAAGGTTATGGGTGGAGAAAAAAATACGGAAGTGGTAATTTGGATTGAGTAGACAGTGAAGCTATCTGAACATAGAAAGGACGGTAAAATTGATGCCCGAGGCAACAATGCCTCAACTCATGTGCAACAACGACAACAATAACAGAAGTAGCAGAAACCGACCTTCCTCTGCCCTCCCCAATCCTCCCTTGATATCAGTCTAGGTCTGAGTCTCAGTCCGAGTCCGAGTCTGATAAGGATGAAGATCAGGATGATTCTGAGAGCAATTCTATGCGCTCGCGCACTTCCCGTTCGCGCCGTTCTCTGTCTTCTGCAAGCAGTGCTCTGTTTCCAAGTAAATCTGTGATTAATTCCGTCATAATGATGGCGGCTACCAGGAAGCCAAGCACGCGGTTCAGTTGCTTGGTGATTTCCCACTGTTCCTCCTCGCGCTTTCGTTCTGCCTCTTGATGTGCGAGCGAACACTGTAGACACGGGCGAATAAACAGGGGACAGAGAGGCCAGCAACTATGCCGACGGAGCGACGCGTATGTTCTTTCTCTTGCGGATCGAGATCTATTATTAGATGGGTACAAGTATCTACTACTGGTGAAGGTATCATGACGACGAGTGCGGCGTCTCCTCCCCTTCTTGGAGTGCTCGATGTAAGGGGCGTAAGTAATACCGGAAGTAGTGAAAGATTCGGAAGTATGCCAAGATGTCGATCTACTTAGATCAGAATGGTCATCGGTATACAACCTCGACAAGATGGTCGTGTTCGTAGAAAGGAAACTTGAGGGTAGTTCTCTGTGATTTGAATGGTATTTCATAGCGGCTGTAAGGGGGGAGGATGCGAACGAGGGGTGGTGGCATATTTGTGATCTCGTATTATTGATGGCCACGAAGTGTGGATTCGCCTTGGCAAACTTATCGACCAGGACAGAGTGATTCGGAATTCCTAGTTTACCACGAGCGGGCCATTTGACGAAGCCGAAACAGCCTGGAGGGTTGTTGTCTGTTTTTTGACGGGGTGATTCTATATTGATAGAGGCAATTATCGATAACCCTGTTCTTGTGTTTCCCATTATCTCACTCTTTTTCAGATCGCACTATCTGTATTGCAGATATCTGTGTCGTAGACGGTGGGTGTGTGAGGCGAGGTTTAAGTCAATCGACAGTATCTTTGCGGCAGTCTCTTGGTATCAAAGAACTCAGGGCAACACGGGCAACTTGATTCGAAGGACCAGAAACGGTGAGATGGAGATGGCAGTATGAAATAGCTCAAAGAAAAAACGAGGTATGGGGAAGAAGGAGGAGGTGGTGGCGGGAGAACGGGAACTAAGCTCAGGCACCAATATCAATACATGTTGTGGAACAGGGCTCAGTAATCCATATAGGTGCACCAATAGAAATCACAATGAGTCTGAATTACTAACAAGCCCTTAGCTGGCAATTTGGATGGGCTAAATACATGATTAATTTTGGTGGATCTATAGTATCTCCGTTTTCCGGGTATCCACCAATCCTGCTGCTCCAACAACATGAATAGCCTCATCAAAATTATCATAGCAGTCTGGGACTTGAGAACGCACTAGTATATATTCAAAATCAAAGACAATCCTCCTAACGCCTGGCATCAGTCTTTAGCATAGTTACAGGATGGCTGTCGTATTGGCCTAGGCTAAAGAAAGTTTTCACGAATTCCTTCTGATTCCCTCTACGTTCGCCCTCATTTCAGCCTCGTAAATTATCTTGGTGATCAGCCAACTCAAGTATTGATACCCACGTCGACTTCAACTCCTAAATTGAACAATTTATTAAGCGTCCCGTGTTATCTTCAATCAAACCCCTTTCATAAACGACTATATGGTTCGATTTTAAGCACACCGTCTCGCTAAATTCTCCGGCGATCTTAGACTAATTCACATTTCATTATAAGAACCGTACTACTCATATTGTATTATATCACTCAATCCATTGAAGGAGGTATGGTGCCGCAGACTTATTCTAACGTCCGCAGTACGTTGATCCTAAAACATGACGGCGGGCTAGATCTCTTAGCCTGGACTGACTACGGCGGTGCCCCATTTATTGAACTAGAAGTGTGACGGCATGATCGGCAAGTGGTAGTCCGTATAGGATACAGGCCAAATTTCTGTCGCAGAACACGACTGTTTTCTCTAGACAAAAGGTATCATATGATATATACTGATTTTATATTCCCTGGAACGTGTAAGAATATCTATAGGGTAGGGGAGAGGGCCTACTAATCAGGAGGAAACATGTTAGATTAATGAAAGACTGTTCCTTAAGGGACCAATAAATCCAACCAAAGAAAATCTATATAAAATGGGTTCTGCACAAGTCTCCAGACCATATTTCCATTTCCCAATCCACCAAAACAATATAGACTAGCGCAGCTATAAGGCCATGGTGAGAAACGGGTCTAATCCGTTTCCTTATGAGTGCTCAGGCCGATCGTTTCCCTTAGCTGGTCTTCATCGGTTACCTCACACATTCCAGAAGCTCCGGGTTGCGATCCCGCAGGACATTGGGAAGCTGGGGTGCCCGCAGTATAGGGTGGTTCCCCTAGGTATCCACCCTTCGCGTAATTTGCAACTACCAGATATTGGCCAAAAGGACATTTTCGCGAAGAAACAGCCATGCCAAGTTTATAGCTTTTGGCCCAGATAACCTAGAGTTTCGAACAGGATTAGTGAGTAAGCTTCGGTAGTGGAAATTCTGGAGAAAAAGGTTGACATTTATGACATACCTGCGTATAATGATTACATACCTGCCCAGCAGGGCACGGATAGTCATATATATAGTAATCCTTTTCTTCAGCCCAAGTGGCTGTTGCGTTCTGGAAGATATCTACTAATTCATCTGAGGAATATAGATTTTGTCCAACAGAGTCGTACTTGGCCGTATAGTGCTTAGGATCATATGCAAACTCGCAGTTGTCAGCCCATCCCTGGGCTTTATCGGCGAGTTCATCATCCCAAGTCATCTCTAACATGTCGGCAGCCGGAGGATTATTCACAGCAAGACGATCTATTTTAATTATTAGAAAAGACCTTGTAGTAATAGATTCAACTTCATAAACATAACTCACATTGATTATGCAGGTCCAGGGCAGAGTACTATTCATATAACGCGTGAGCCTTTTGCGACAGATTGTATCTCGAATCAGCCATACCGTCCGCTCGGGAGCTAAGTCTGCCAGAATCCCCGAAGAGCAAAGAAACACAGTGAAAATGCTCAACAAGACGTTGAATGTAGACACCATTTTGGCGAGTCAAGAATTGATGATAAAGAAGAACGTGCCGTGGAACTTCTGCAGCAAATTGGGCTTAAGTAGCAATTTATAGAACTAAATTATTAATTAATCGTAAATGTGGAATTAGGATACTTATCAGTGACTAAAAACACTAGTTTATTAATTACTGCACGAAATATTATTTCTTTTTCTTGATGAACACATATTGTATATGGTAAAGCAATCCCCGAAGTCACACCTAGGGCCAAATCTTGATATCTGTTCAATCACCTTCCCCTATTGTTGTAGAATTATTTGGCAGCATACGTGTGTGTGGATAAGCCCAGGGATCAGCAATTGCATCAGACAAAAAGCAAAGAGAACCCTAAAATATTCCCGTATTGGTCTTCCATTTTTTCGGATTTCTAAAACTTTATACCGCCTAATTTCCTGATTGAATTAAACAAGTCCGACATCTTCATAATTTATAAGTACTTCGTAGAGTTCCTAGGCCTACTTGACCATCCTGTGTTGACCTGCTACAGGAGATTTCGAAAACAGATTACCCCCCAGACAGGCACTCTTTCTTTCCCAGCGCCCCACCTAAGGTGACACTAATCCTCAAATGGCTAGTCACAGGTCTCTATAGCAGTATGTTTAGGGGGTAATACGATTTCAATATCCCCTGTACTCCTGCCTTCATAGGGATAATGCAATTTTCTATACCAGTTATTTTCTCTCGATAGCTAGTGAACTAAGTAACTAACTAATGATTTCTAATTACGTAATTTTATACTTAATGAAATAGTGAACTAGTTACTATCTAAACTTTACTTTGCGTTTATTAGAAGATAAGTTCTTAAATAACAATTTATGGTGGATCTTTATCATTTATTGATTGATCATCGATAGCCTTTTGTTGATCACTGCTAGTTTGTGTTAGTCATTCTCGAAAGCGCTTTAACCAACAAACATTGGGAATCACTTTCCTGGCCCCACTGCCAAGACTATATAATGCGGGGCATCTATCGAATTAAGAGGATGAGATTGAGCTCCATCGTAAGTTACATACTGCATGACACTGTTTCATCAAATTTGAAATTATAATATATACAGTGGTGTTCCATGAGTACTTGTAATATCCTCTTATCCGTCATCTAGTCGTTGTTAGCGCGGATTTTAGCGCCATGCACCTGCCCTAAATATAACGCGTGGTTATTGATCCGTCACGCTTCCATGCAGTAATCAATTGGTTAAAGTGTAATTTTGGCCTAATTCAATGGGCAATCCCCATAGGCTGGGACGGGCCAGAGCCCGATGGTAAACCATGTACGGGCTGCAGATAAATTGTGTCAGTAGTTACCGGCTATATTTTAAGGTATGCATCAAATATGATTCGTTTTCGTTTATATTATGCAACAATTGAACAGTAACGTTCGAATCACACAAGAAATACACTCGTGGCATTAAAAAATAAAATATCTGAAAGACGGCCGTCAAAAAAAGGGTGTGATCGGATTAGGATACGTTGTGATGCGATGAATTAGCAGATTCGTGGTGAGCATTCAAGTTTGAGGTTATCAAATCCAGATGCACCAATATATGGACACTTATTATAGGAGAGCAAAGCACCAACTGCATGCAAATGTAATACAATATGGTTGACAATCTTTCTGTTGGTGCAAACACATTTGCGTTCTTTGATGAGAAATTCAGGGCGATTCCCCCAAGAACATCATTACTAAAGACTACTATATATACAGACCAGCTCAAGATTCATATCTCAGAAGGAAGATGGTAAAACACTGGCATAGTCGATGGGCGGTCGATTTGAACTTGGAATTTCACGAGCATTATGTAGAGTCATTCAACAATAACCATCGTTTAGGGGGGGGGGGGTCTATTGGGAGAGTTATTGGGATAGCGATTGATACCTCAGACTATGGTCATTTCACCTTGAACATACAGATATCGAATACACGGCAAGTGCGATCCGATAAACAGTGGGATAGTACCTATGTGGGATGAGGAACCAAGAAATACTAGTGCTATCTTCCAAGGCTAAGCTTTCATCCTGGGTGTATAGAAATAAGTTTGAAGCCACTCATTTTCTTCTAAGACTGGTAACACTGGATTCTTGGGATTATTGCGTCTTTTCAACCTTGCAATACGTTTTAAAGTCCATTCCATGTAATGGGGTTCCGAAGTAGTGAATAAGCTTCCTCGCCAGTAAGGTATACTTTTAGGCCTAGTGATCTGAAAGTGGAGTTTCCCAAGCTTGTTACAAAGAGCACTAGTATTCTGATAAACAGTGCTGATATATGAGCTTTCACCTGGGCATGGGTAGAGTTTACGGTAGTGTGAAATCAGAGCCCTGGAATCTTGTAAAGGCCTGAAGGACACATGCACACATTTAGGGAAGTGACCGCTTCCACACTGACAACCCATAAAAAATATCTAGTACCACCTGGGCAGCTAGAATGGACAGTCCAGGAAACGCCTACTTCGCCTTCCACCGAACTCTACCAACCCATCTAGCCCAATCCTGTACATCCTCTCTCTCCAAAATCCTGTCCACGGTATACCACTCTCTCGCCAACTCCTCATTACTAGCCATGCGGTGCACAAAGCTATGACAAGCCCGACAAAGCCACGCAACACTATTCAACACCCACTCCTCATGCCACCCCCTCTTTATGACCTTTGCGTGCACACCGCGCGGAATAAGATGATGGTACGACAGAGGAATCCAGTCGCGCTCGCAAATCTCACACGCGTCTGTTCGTGTATTCACCCATGCGGGCGGTCCGGTCGTCACGCTTGAAATATATTCGTTCAGCACAGGTGATATGAATTCTGGCAAATCGGTTGCGTCCGGGATGAGACCGTATACGGAGAGGGTGTCTGTCACTTCGACCGGGATCGGGGAACAGAGGTTATCCAGGACAGTGCGGTTCATCGGACTGTCTTGGTCTTCTGGGATGTAGCGGGCTTTTAAAACCGCATCGTTTTGGATGGCGGAGTAGGAGAGTGTTCTCAGATCGTCTGGGAATGTCGTAAATGTTTCACCGGCTATAAACTGGAGACGGATGGTATTAGCTTTGCTCTTGTGGGAGATTTTTTGTTGGATTGGCATATACGTCAATAAATTCAGCCAATTCTTCCGGATCCGCTCGTTCATGCTTTATGACGATTTCTGTGCTGGTCACGTCTTTGCGTCCATTGCGTTTTGCTTTGCCCCGCCGTCTAGAGGTCTTTGGTTGCCCTTCGGAGCGGGCAACGATGGCGCTCGAGAGACACTCTCGGAAGATGGTGTAATTATCATCGGAGGTCATTGGGTATATAACTATCCCATTGTATCCGGAGAGCGTTCCCGGAGTTTATTCTTGCGAGCTGTTGGGGTCGAGTAGATTGGTTGGAGGTGATTGGAGGTTCTGCCCGCGCCACGGCAGGGACGCTTGACATCATCCGCATCCCTCGACCTAACTAGACCTTGCCAAAGCTGATTCAGATTGACCGACAAGACTTACCATGGCAGACAAAACAATTGTGGCTTTTGACCTATACGGCACGTTGCTGTCTACAGAATCTATTGCGAAGCAACTAGAGACGTATATCGGTACGAAGGCAGAGGCTGTCTCCGCCCTCTGGAGAAGATATCAGCTGGAGTACACGTGGAGACTTAACAGCATGGGTAGGCGACTGGCTGCAATGGCATTTGCAAACTGCTATTAATCATGAGCAGAACGCTACGAGGACTTCTCGATCGTCACAAAGAACGCCCTGGTCCATGCTTTGGCCGAGCACGGCGAGCAGTTGAACGACAACAACATCACTGCTTTAATGGAGGCCTACGATCATTTATCGACTTTCCCCGACGTCAAACCTGCCCTCATTCGGCTATCAGCCGACGCGAGTATCCAGCCAGTGGTATTCTCCAACGGATCCAAGACCATGGTCTCTAATTCCGTGCTACGGTCGCAAGATCTCTCCATGCACGCCAGTATATTCCAAGATCTCATCACCGTCGACGAAGTCCAGCGCTACAAGCCCTCACCCGCGAGTTATAATCATCTGGCCACCCAGATGGGAAAACAGGAATCGCAGATGGACCAAATGTGGCTCATCAGCGGTAACCCGTTCGATGTTGTCGGGGCGCGGAGTGTTGGGATGCAGGCGATCTGGGTTGATCGAGTAAATAAGGGATGGCAGGATGCGGTGGCACCAGAACTACGGCCGTCGGCAATTGTACACAGTTTAGAGCAGGTCGTCCTGGTAGTCCAGGGTCGCAGATAGTCCAAGCATTGCAGTACCCTGATGTGGCAGCAATGACCGAAGGAGATGACAAAAGGGATGTACCGCTGAAAAATATTTCCAAACGCTCCACGTCACAAAGAAGAGTTTGGGGTAAGCCAGCAGAATCGTTCTGTCCCCCCATTTCCCCTCTAAGAACCCATTGAGAGATGTGGTTTCCTGAGTGAATAAGGGGGGACTTCAGTTTATGTGGCCCGTTAAAATTCTGGCGAAGAAGCCGGGCTTATATAGTGGATGGTTTATTACCTAATCCAAGCTAACTATTTCTGGCTATCGAGATTCGAAGCCTTAGGCATAAGATTAGGTAATAGGTATGCTTCCGGGAGGCACTAACCTAGGGTACTAAGTGGACAGACACCCCCCTTGGCTATCTGAACACCCTATCCTGCCTATTTAGAGAAGTTGCTGTGTGTGGATAGTGTGCTAATACCACGAGCAGGAGCTACAGTAGGAGGCCAGAATGCTACTTTCTCACCTCCAGGCAGGTAACTGAGAATGTACTAGTACGATCTCAGTAACCAACATACCACGTGACCTGCTATCGATAAGTGGAGCTCCGAAAGTGGAAACTGCGGAGCTTCTGAACAGGCGCAACTCAACTCTGCCCTCCACTCACCTCCACAACTCTTCAACGAGTCTCAAGATGCCTCGCATCTTCGACCGCACCAGGTCGGCCTGGTTATACCCCATACGGGTATGCTCTCATCTATTCTGTTTTGCTCTGTTCCACCCTAATTGACTCGTTCCAGGGTATCCATTACTTCGCAACCCACCGTTTCCTTTGGCCCTTATTCAAGGCTCGCCTCCTCCCGATCATTCTCCTGTCGAGCTTCGTCTACTTCCTACTCTTCTTCTTCACATATCTTCCTCAAGTTGCATTTTTGTCCATCTTCCAGGGTGCTGGAGCCTGGGTTAACGGTGCATTCTTGGTGCTCGGTGAAGGTGCTGCCATTGTCGCCACCTTGTTCGAGGCCTTTTTCGTTGACGAGACCCTCGTCGATATATTCGATTCGGTTCTAGTGAATGAGGGTCAGGAGGAGCTTGTCCTAGCCTCCCGCGTCATCTACCCCGAGGGCGATGACCCAACAAATCGTCTTGGTACTCCGACCACCAGCGCCGTCTATTCACCATTCTCGCTGCGACAAATTCTCGAGTTCATCTTCTTACTCCCACTCAACTTCATCCCGGTGGCTGGAACGCCCATGTTTCTTGTGTTGACAGGGTACCGGGGAGGACCCTTCCACCACTGGCGTTATTACCAACTTCTGGACTACTCGAAGCAGCAACGGAAAGAGAGCATCAGCAGACGCCAGCTTCAATATACTACGTAAGTCTGCTTCTAGTGATCTGAAATCTTTTGCGTCCTGAACTGACCATTATCTTGTAGATTTGGAACGATCGCTCTGCTCCTGCAGTTGATCCCACCCTTTTCGATGTTCTTCCTGATGACTACGGCGGCCGGTGCTGCGCTGTGGGCGTCAGACCTCGAGACTAAGCGGCAGCTTGCAGAACGGCGACCACGGCAACTAGGCGACAGTTATCACGACGAATATACGACATAATGTTCAATCTTTACGCAGAGCGTGCATACTTGTTTTTTATCAATGCAGCCACTTTTTTTCGGCATCTCCTGTCGCGCCACCCCTTGAAATTTAGTTGTAGTATGAAAAGTGGGTAAACAAGTTCTGGTCGAAACTTAGTTGATCCCTTAAAATGGACCTTTGAGTGGTCCTCTGAATGGTCCTCCCCGTATTGAAACCAGCTTTAGTCCTTAATTGAACCCTCCGGAGGGATTACGTGCTGCACGTGACTTTCCCCGAGGCAAGACTGACCGGCGACTGCGACTGCGACTCTCCGGTGTTTCACTTTGCAATTGATCTTGATCTCCTGCAAGATAAAGTGGGCAAAGTGGAACTGTTATTCATGTAGACTTTTACCAATTGCCCAGCTCCGAAGTCATTACAACCATCTCTCACGACAATCGCACGCCCAGATTGACACTGCCCAGTCAGCTGACCGCTTCTGGCCGAGGCTCTGTGTACCTGGCCGAGTTCTGCGAATCTTCGCAGGGAAAGCTGGCATCCGGCTGCCCGGCAAATTGTGGAGAGAATCCTCTCGCATAACTCTGGGGACCATCGGCCCGAAATCCCACATAACTTCTGCGAGCGAGTGGGTCAATCCAGGGTCCCCCGCAACGCGTGGATGTACGGGACTTTTACCTCAAACAGATCTCACCACTCTACAGTCATGACCATGGTCTGAGTGTACGGAATATGAGCACTTTGCTTGAGTATATTGCTCACGAATGGACCCAAAAACAAGGCTCCGCAAGGCCTGCGATGCCTGCAGCATCCGGAAAGTGAAGGTTCGTTCTGCACCTGTCAAACCCTGCCTCGTCCAGTTGCTGATATCCTTTTTCAAGTGTGATACTGGGGGTCCACCATGTCGGTCATGTGCTACTTTGGATATTCCATGCACATATGAAAGGCCGAGTAGGCGCCGCGGACCTCCTAACCGCCATGCCGAGGCGCTGAAGAAGCAAAAGCTGGAGACGGTTGCGTCGCCGACAAGTCTATCCGACTATCCGCTAGCGAGCACGCCGCAGACTCAGCCTGCGTCTACACCGACGCCGGCGCCGGCGCCTCTTCCCACGCCTGTGTTATCAGGGCCTGCATCCTTGGCTTCTATCTCAGCAGAATCCATCTGCTCTCTCCACACGGTGCAACTTCTCCTTGATGATTTCTTCACATATATCCATCCTTTAGTTCCAATCCCTCATGAGCCCACATTCCGTGCGGCATTTGAGCGCCGGGAAGATGCTTCTAGTGGTACCTTTTTGGCTCTTCTAGCTTCCATGATCGGATTCCTAGTCGCCTCCTTCCCCCGGCGGCCAAAATTGCGCTTGAACACGGAGGCGGAACGTTCCGCCTTTCCAAATTCGATTGCGCTTGTGAAGCGATGCCATGACGTTGCTCTTCAAGCTAGAGGTGTTGGGTATCTTGATCGAAATGCAACTGTTTACGATGCAGCCATCAGCTACTTCCTAGGTGTCTGTGCCGGTTACATCTACAGCATGCGCCGCTGTCGCATTTACCTAGCGGAATGCCGCACTATGTTGCAGGTTTACGATCTTTGCCGCGCCCCTACACCTGCTCCTACCATGGCAGCCATGAACGCTGCCAGCCCAATGTCAACAATGTCCGCAACCTCACAAGATCAGCAACCACAATATCTTACGGATAACAAACCCGTAGATTTGATCTCCCAGGAACTTGGGCGGCGACTTTTCTACGTTTCGCTAGTTGGGTATCAAAGCCTGCTCCAACTTGGATCATCCGATATCAAGATGCATGTCCCACCAGAAACCCCAGCGGATCGCTATCCGCCATACCCGCTTGAGGTTGATGACGAGTTTCTATTTCCAACCCATATCAACCCACAACCTGCCGATCGTGTGTCAATAATGGTCGGGTTCAATGCCAATGTACGTGTCTACGGTTCATACAATTCCCTCTTGGCCTGGGAGACAGCATTCGGCAGTGGTCAAATATTTGACTGGGATCACCAACGCTCATCATTATGGGGGTGTCTTCAAACCGTCAAGTCTGCTCTGCTCAAAGTTCCTGTCGAACTATCACTCTTTCATCCCAAAAGAGCCTCTGCTAGTGGTTTAGCCGGGCATGACGGAGTCGGCTCGGTGTTCAATTACCCAGTAGACCATATCTACCAAGAACGACGCGCTATCCAGTATGAAATTCAGAAAGCGAATATTTATGCTAGCCAGCTATGCACCAGGTCATGGCTGGTTGAAAAATATTGGAACCTGTTCGAGACATACGCAAAGTATGGCAATTTAGCAAGACCTTCGATTCCAAACCCTGCAAAGCCGCATATCAATATGAAGGACGAAGGGTCTGCAGAAACAGCATCAGCTGAGAAGCCTGGAGCTTTGTCAGATTCAGCTGCTCAGATATCAATTGAAGCACAGGCAGATCATATCGGCCAGATGATGGCTGAAGAGCGAAAGCTCGTCATCAAAGATCTCTTCGTGCTTCTACGAACTGTCAACGAAGTCAACATGGAACCAAATGGTGCCAGCATTGTAAGTCAATTCCAATATAGCTCCAAGTCTCCACTTTCAAGAAACTCACAACAAGAACAGACAGGAAAAATCCGACAAATAGCCTCCACTCTCCTCAACATGCCCTACTATCCCAAACCAACCACCCAATACCCAAATTCCTCCATCATATCCGAAAACCCGCCAATTGAACCAGCAAAAGGAAACCACCAACCCAATCCAACCTCAACCGATGTCCCAATTCTCACACCCGCAGAAGCAGAATCATATCTCCACGCCTTCATCGACACCCTCATCCGACTCGAGGGCTACTCATCCGCAGCCACGGATCCCGGCAGCGTGATCGAAGGTGTGAGTCCACGCGCTAATGGGCGGGCCATGAGCTATCTGAGTGATTACGAGCGTGATCAGGAAGAATTGAGTCAGTGGGCGAGTCTGAAGGAGTATCAGCAGAAATTTGCCGAGGCTGGGGGTGTTTTGTCGGAACTATAGATATGTCAGCCATCTAGGGATTGGATTATCTATACTGTTGTGAAATTTACTTACTATCTAATCTTTCAAATATTTGATCCCCTCCAAGTTACTGCGATGGCGGATGGATATCTCTTTCTGGCTGGGATGCTTACATTTTAAATCGAGGAATGGTAGTCCACCGATATCCATGGATCTACCGAGAACTACAACTTGTGCATACTCAAACCTCAGGCTGGAAACCTACTTGTATGGAACGGGGAAGTACTAATTGTAGCAGTAGTACCTGTTCGTATTGGATGCTCGAAGTCAAAAACGAAACCTAACTAATGCAAAAGCCATCGCTCTCCAGGGAAGACAGTATGGGTCAAACTCTGAGGACCTGGCCATTTGGGTATCTTTGTAGGGCGTTACTCGAAATATTAAATAAATGGTATCCAGAAACAGTTTTGCATGAAGAAGAGAAAAAGAGTGTTGCGCATAGTAGAACTTATCGAGCCCATTCTCTCGGCATTGAGGATCAGTGAGCGGTAACAGTCACAGTGTATGGCGCCGGCATGGGAACAACAGACATGATACCGATGTCATTGTCAACCTCGCTCAAGCTGGAGGTGGAGCTCGAACTCAGGCCCAATTTGGCATTTGAAGCTGCTTGGACGATCTTCTGGGTTTGAGCAGCGAGGGATCCTACAACGGTGACGGTCGGTGTTATTGTGACGGTTGGCGTAGTCTCAGTGGCAGGGTTGACGGTTACTGTGACTGCATCGGCTGTGACCGTTACTGTTGCCGGGGGTGTGTATGTGTTGATAGACAAGGGGTCGCTGTTGCTGGTGGACGTGGACTTGGAAGATGAAGACGAAGACGAAATCTCGGGCGTGACGGTCGCTTTCTTTGGCACCGATGATGATGATGATGATAATGAAGTAGTCTCTGCCGTTACTGTTATCGTCGATCCCGGGATGATGAGTGTCTGCTCCTCTGTCTTTGTTGATTTGATAGTGATTGTCTCCACTTGCTCTGACGTGGGGGTTGGAGTGCGGGTTACTGTTGCCGTGGTACCTGGTACTGTTACGGTGTCTTCTGTGACTCGCGTGGAATGGACGGTGGACGTATCGTCTTCTGGAGTCGCAATCAGAGTCGGAGTTCGAGTGACCGTCGCCGTAGTTCCCGGGACAGTGATAGTGTCCTCGGTAGTGCGAGTAGCTTGAATAGTGACCGTATCTTCATCCGGGGTCGAAGTCCGAGTTACCGTTGCGGTCGTACCAGGTACAGTGATAGTTTCCTCGGTAGTGCGAGTAGCTTGAATAGTGACTGCATCTTGTTCCGGGGTCGGAGTAGCGGAGGTATCAATCGGCGACGTCTCGCTTGTATCGTGAGTTGGTGTTGAGCTCAACGTAGATTCTGCACCGGCGGGGGTGCTGGAAGTATCAGTTGTGGTGAGCGCAAGAGAAGTGACAACCCCGAGACTTGAACTTGTCGATATCCTAGTTGTAGAAATGCTGCTCAAAGTACTTGACGCTGTCGATGCAGCAACTGTCGTTTGGGGAGTTGCAGAATCCGTCTGCCCAGAACTTGGTGTTGTAGAGGTTACCAGCGGATAAATTGATGCCACGCCTTGGAAGGCAGAAGACTGAGGGTAGATTGTCAAATGGACTGCCGGTATTGAGATATATGGAGCTTGTTGTTTAGTTGTCGAGGCGGCGGTGGTTGTGAATGGAGAAGAAAGCTCGGTGATTGCAGGTGTAGAGGTAGAGGCATTTACCGACGAAGTGAGCGGAAAGTACGATGAAGAGGTTGAAGACAAACGAAGAGAAATATATGAAGAGGATGGATAGGCGGAAGATAGGGAAGAAGATAGAGTCTTGGATAATGATCCCGGGATCGGCAGAAGACTTGGAGTTGTGCGTATTGGTGGAGCAGAAGTAGGCATGGCTGAAGTGAGTTGAGAAATAGACTGGCCAGAAGTAGTCGAAGGTTCCCTTGAAAGATACGAACTAGAATTGGGCGAAGCTGGAAAAGACGAAACCCCTTGAAAAGATGATGAGGTTGGAAGGGGAGTTGAAGAAAGCACATTGGAGGCTGTTATTGGAGCATATGAGGGAGTCACAGCACTTGGTATGGCCGAAGACGACACTAATGGTGGTGTGGATGGGCTTTCGGAAGATTCGACCACGGTTGATGACGGGTATACGACATCTGGAAAGGTGGACGAGAAGGTGGTGGATGACACTTCTGCACTGCTTGTAGATGTAGAGCTCGCCGACGAAGGTGATGGATGTGAAGAGGTAATTGGGGTTGCCAATGAGGAACTTGACGGCACGAAACTCGATCTTGTGGTCGTTTTCGATACAGGCGTCGAAGGATCCGTGGTTGATATGGTAGATGATACCGTGACAGTGCTCGGGGAAATGGTCGTTTCCAATGTGGGCGTTGATGATGGAGTAGTTTTGATTGCTGAAGAAGATAAAAATGAGCCATCCACGTCACTTGAAGATATGGTTGACTCTGATGTAGTCACTGGGGAAAGTGTGGTCGAATGGTCGTGTAACCAGGAGATCAGTGGGGGCATACCTGAAGTGCTGGTTGAAGTTGAGGAGGGAGTGTTGATACTATTACTACTAGTAGTACTATCCCTAGTAGTACTAATAGTAGTACTTTCAGTACTTTCAGTCGTACTTTCAGTCATACTTTCAGTCGTACTTTCAGTCGTAGCAGGTTCCGTATAACCAGGGTAGCCTGAGGGAGCTGGAAGGGGGATGACTGTGATATCCCGTTGAACTAACACAGAGGATTGTGGTTGTGGATGTGATTTCTCCGCAGAAGCTACCGAAAGTGAGAAGTCATCCTGGGAAGATACAAAACCCAGTGTCGAAGCAAAAGAGCGAAGAATCGGACCGGCCGAACAGGAACATGACCACGCCAGCGTGGTGAACACAGCGAGACGGAGGAGGCGCATCGCAGGGAGAAGTAATATATAAGAGATGGGAGAGGGAGAGGGAGAGGGAGAAAGATAAATAGAAAGAGAAAAAGAAAAAAAAAACGGGATCAATCCAAAAGATAGACCGAGACCATGATCGAGGAGGAGTAGTGAGTAGTATAGTGAATGTAGAGAGAAAATCAAAGAGAGTATTGCATGGCCAAAGCCAGGCAAGTAAATCAAATCAATAGAAGGAGATATCAATGAAAGTGAATCACAGCCTAATAATCTCACAAGGCCGCAACAAATGGAAAGAAGGAAAATGACCAAAAAAAGAGCGAGCAAATACGAGGCGCCAGGGCAGTCCTTATAAAATGAAAGTTGAAAGGAGCTAGCCGCCTATGCTTCCATTGATCTCTACCAAGTTAGGGCCTGGGCCCAATCCAGAATTTCACAATCAAAGACAGACGGCCAGGGCGCTTTGCGAAACCAAAAGTCATGCTGGAAATAGCACGCAACAAAGACAGTTCGCTGTTGCAGTTGGCGCCCGGTTCTCTGCAGGTTGGTTGCTGCGCCTGCTGATTGGCTGCCCCTTGGACCCACCGACTTTATTCAAACAATCAACACTCCTTCTGCGCCAATCATATCATCGCCAGGATCGCGGACTACTAATAGGCTAATTATAGCTGCAGCTAGCTTGACAGATGCAGGCTGCAAATTCAAATGGCCTGCAGATGGCCCTAAGGTTTGAAATTGAAGCTGGCCCTACTGGAAGCGCCCCAGCAACAGCGGGTCGGATGGGAAGAATTCCTCAACATATCAGAAAAAAAAAGAAACAGCAAAGGGAACAAAACGGGTGAACAAAAACATACAACAGCAGGGATTCGCATGTGGTCACCCACCATACTACTAACCTGCCGGCGTGTGGCTTAAGTACGGCTGAGCGGACGGGAAGCCCTGTTCTCCACACCCTATGGTCGTATGTACTGGGATTGGTAGAGCATGGGAATATAGAGATAGATAGCAGAAGAACTACTACAGGCATATGAACAAGATTTGTATTTCGATGAATGATAGATCTCAAGGTAGGTAGGTTAGAAAAGATAATGGAGAGTAGTATTTTTCCCATCATTGCCCTGTCCTGCTATACCTTCCCCGGTCGAAGAGTCTGTCTAGAATATTTTCATAATGTAATAAATTGACTACAACAGTTTCCAAGCTCGAGGATCTTAATATAATTAGACAGATGATGTCGGCATCCCGTTTTTCTGCGTTAATGCGAAGTAGTACCAGCAGACTCACGGTATTTCGGTGTCAGCCTAGAACAACCTTGGAAGTTGGACTATCGATGCTTTTCGGGTAAAGAATGCGAACTATATGCAATCATATCGGACAGAATACTTGTCTACCTAGGTAGCATTACTATTGGCTTTGCTGTAACTAGTAATTCTGTACTTGCTACCTACTAGTAGGTAGGTATATAGCTCACCCACTAGACTATATCCAATGCAGCTCTCTACATTCCCTCCATCTTCTGCATAGCCTACGCACAATCCATTCACAGACTTACAGGCGTGATTGTATTGAATTAAGTCTGTCAGGACTTGCCTCACCATTCTTCCCTCTTTTCGGTCTTCTTCCCTCACCATCCCTCCCCTCCATCTTCTTCTAAATAAGCCGTCGCTTTGAACTCAGCTACCGCGGCCGCGGCGCAACCGCAGCCGTGGCCAATCGCATCAATTTCAAGGTTTCTTGCACTACAGCCGTCTATCTACAAAAATTCTGGTTCATTCCTGTAGCACCCAGTGGGAGGATACCTAGGTATATTTTTGAGAACACACCATGATTTCCAAGGTTGGCAGCAGTACAATATAATTTCTAAGTATGAAAGACAACAACTGGCCAGTTTTCAACACAAGAATATCACCGCACATAGGCTCCCCATACAGACCCCTAGACTCCTGCATAGGCTCCTACCCAGGTAGACTCCCTGCCTGGGCATCAGTAGGTATCTACTACTATCTGAGTAGCAGAACACTGCTATTACACAGCAGCTTGTAGTCCGCCCGGCTAGTACGTGGGAATCCACTGGCAGTGATCATAGAAGACTCGGACTCAAATTAGAGTGTTCTACTAGTACTAGAGAAATCTGGAAGAGGGCGACTTGGTAAGCTAATTCAACTTGAAGTGATTGACTTGTTTGATATATGAGCAGTCGAATCCGATTGAATTTCTTCCGGTTATCAGTGTGTAACGAACCCTTGGGAGAAAAATAATTGAGATATGAGAATCATCGTAAATTTTCAATCATCTATCTCGTCTTGGTAATTCTAGATAAATCACACTCTATCGTCATAATAGTGATGAGGCTTTATAAAACAAACACATTCGTCCACGCATAATTAACACAATGATCGTAACGCTAAGCATTCTCCTTCTGCTCAATCGCACCCTTCTCCTCGGTGTGCTTCCATACCTCGACCTCGGCAGCTTCACCCTGGGGCAGCTGGCGGGCCATGGAAACAATGTGCCAGGGTGTGGGGGCATCGCGGAAGACGGAGTTCAGGGCCTCCAGGTTGCGGTTCATTGTCTCGGGGTAGAAGAAGTAGACGGAGAAGGGAATACAGGCAGATATGACCGCGTACATAATGTAGTACTGGTATCCAATGGTGTCGAGAGCGACGGGGGTGATCATGACAACCACGAAGTTCCACAGCCAGTGGTTTCCGGTGGAGATGGCAGCCATGGCAACACGCAGGCGCATGGGGGCAACCTCGGTACAGTAGAGGAAGTTACCACCCAAGAAGCCGACGGGGTAGAAGGAGTTAAAGAGGAAGATGAAGACGGCCGATACAACAGACGCTTTGTGGTTTTCGCCGAAGCTGGTCGTGATGGCGAGCACAGTCATACAGATAGACATACCAGCACCACTGATCATAAAGATTTTACGGCGGCCCAGGCGGTCAATAGCGAAGAAGGCGATGAAGCTGCAAAGGAACTTCCATGTCATAGCACATGATGACAGGATACGTGCCAAGTCGCTCGTCATGTGGAGGTTCTCCTCGAAGATGGTCGAGACGTATGTTGAGATGAGGTTTCCACCGCACATTTGCTGGAAGAACTGCAGGGCAACACACAGACAGAAACGGTAAAGAAGACGCTCCTCATCGGGCTTCTTGGGGTTGAAGATGTCCATCAGCGAAGCACTGTCGACGCTGACCTCGAGAGAAGTCTCAATACCGGCAATCTCGATACCGACAGCCATGTCATCATCGGGAACACCTTTATAGGCGGCAAGACTCTTTGTGGCTTCTTCAACACGACCAACAGAAACAAGCCACCTGGGAGATTCGGGAAGGAGGAAGACTGAGACCAAGACGACCAAGGAAAAGAACAGGGAGATAGCGAGGGGAATGCGCCATTCGAGGTTGCCAGCAACCTTGCTCAGACCAAAATCAATCCAATTACAGAGGACATAACCCAAGCAGATACAAATTCCATCGACGACAACGTGTTGACCTCGATGCTTAGCAGATGTACACTCAGACTGCCACACTGGTACGGCGACACTGAATTGGCCGACACCGAACCCAAGAATGACACGGCCAACGACGAACTGTGCGAGGCCATATGCAGCAGTCTGGAGGGTTGAGCCAATGATTGTGAGAATAGCACCGATGAAGATGACCTTTCGACGACCCAATCGGTCACCTAAAGCTGTACATGAGAGGGCACCGATAAGGGCACCGAGTTGGTAGGATGCAATCACGGCACCCTTAGCAGTAGAATTCTTTGATTTCAGAGCACCGGATGTGTTGACGGTATCGATCTGCGGGAAGATACCAACCCAGCTCTGCAAAGTAGCCAGAGGGCCCAGCCCGGATTGGTTGTAGCCGAAGACGATAAAGGCGGGAGCAACGATGAGAAGGGCCTGGGCAATGTGCAAGGCCTTGCCACGAAATAGCAACCCCATTTTGAGAGGAAAGCGCAAAAGCGATATGTGACGAACAAGGGAGAGGAAACAGAGAGAGAAAAAAGAAAGAAAAAAAAGACAACGGGAGTGGGTTGTGATTTAAATCCAACAAGGTGGCCCGGTTTCGGTTGGAGAACCCCCAGTGATATTCGTGGAGACCCCGCAGAGGGAAAGAAAAAGGCACATTTCCACAGATGCGTGGTTAATTACGTGGGTGGGGAGTGTTTGGACGTGATCTAATGTGGTAATTTTCAACGGAATGCTACTGGTGCACAGCACCGACTCCATGGGGGTTGGTATGTCCCGGTAGAGGATCGGTATGGTTTTGGCCCCTTTCGGGAGACGTGTGCCAAGATGGCTCGGTGGGCGAGACAAGTGCATCGTTACGGGACGCCACGGCATAGTATAATTACGTTGGAAGGAATGCCGACCGTCGGAGAAAACCCGTAAATTGTGTGATCTGCGGGGCGTGGCTTCGGATTGGACCTGATCCAGACGGAAATCATGCGCGAGCCCACTCGGCCCGATTCCCTAATCTGCGTCTGGGTGTGTCGGTGTCAAGCTGAAGGCTCACCGGGGGGCGGAGACGGAGACGATATACCGAGGTGCTAGCAAGAATGAAAGACTTGGGCATGGTGAATGTTTCTCATTTTTTTCCATCTTGGAGAGCCATCCCCAGATCGTACAACGGCAGTGGAAGGATTGACGCAGCCAAGACTCGGTGGCATCCGGGCAAGCTTGCCCTCTAAAGCTTGGGGTGCGTCGGGGTAGTCGGGATCAGACCAGTTCGGTCCAGGGAGCCTATAAGCAGGCGTGGTATAGCTCATGTAAGGCAAATTTGGGAGGCTTGTTTGGCTCTTCGCGTGGCGCCAAGGGTTTCGCAGAGCCCTGCCAAGGTATCGGAGAAAAATTCTGAATCCAATCCGGGGAGGTAACCTGGGGCCCCTGTGGATCGCCAAAGTCAAATGGGGATATAATGGACGTGGGATGGTCGGTGAGTGGGGGTAGTGGAGAAGATGGAGGTAGTTGAGACGGGGTGGTCCATGGATTGGGCGGATCAAGTTGACTTGATGGGATGTGATGGCGAGAACGAGCACGGCTCCACCTACATCGGTCACCTTCCGTCTCTCTTTTCTTTCTTCATAACGTAATTCCAATCCTCACCTCAATCTTTTTGGGCTGCAATCTTTGCTGACTAGATACTGCAGCAAATGTTCAACCTCAGTATCCCTAAAAGAAATCAGCTAAATGTCCTGCCGCCACGTCATTGGGTAGTTCTTATACTGCCAGTGGCCAACCATGACCGAAATCCACCTCAAACTCACACGGTACGGCATATGCTTAATCGAGGAAAGAAAGTCTATTTTCAAAGTCAACCGGGCATCAAATCTATAGAAAATTCCGAAAGAACCCGGTGTCAGCACATTGACCTGGTTCAAATTATCGTCCGAATGGCGGCACTTCCTCAACAGGGCTCTCTACTACGAATACCCCACAAATTAACTCCAGCTTTCGTATTCACCTCCGTTAAATCTTGAAAGCCTATTATCGGGGAAATATCTAGCCATGACGTTTCAAACTGGTCTGGCGTATGCGCACTAAGAAGCCTCTCTTGACGAAGTCACGCCTGGTCTCCGAATAGCTCCGATCTGATATAATTGAATATTTTCTACACATTCTCTCGAAGACACAAATTAAATACACCTGGATATACTACATACCCAACAGAAATTGAGATTAGAAATCAGGCTCGGGAAATTTGGCATGTTCCACTCTGTCTCAGCTTTTGTTGGTGGCTGACCGGGTTCTTCAGAAGAAGATGCAACTAATATACTCGGTGGAGGGGATCATAAGCCTACGTAGCTCTCCCTTATTTAGCCATTTGATCATCCTGTCAATTTCAGCGCCATCCAATGAGCGCATATCAACTAACACAATGCCTTTGCTATTGACTCCGTCCTTTTTATTGCCAACTCCTTCCCTGGAAAACTAATGTGCATGCAGAAACACATAATGCTGGTCGATTCACATGGCTCGACTATTTTTACTGACATCCTAGTGATAGCACTGAACATAGCAGATGGTCTGGATCCGACATTTTGTCATGTACTGCTCCGCAGAGTATGATGCTTTTGAATGGAAATGACAGTCAAGAATCCAGAAATTCATTTTATCGACTGGAGAAAGACGGAATAATAGTCTGAAGTCCACGGTATGAACTGGATCTGAAATGTCTTGGCTTAGGTGGCTACTGCTAATCGTGTTATGTTCATCTTGATTAGCCATGGTGAGTCCGAGTTTGTGGATGTTTTCATGTATTCCCAATACCTAGCCATCAGGCTTAAATGAATGGGATAGGCTGATGTTACTCCCTGAAATTATTTTCTGGATTATGAATGTAAATGAAAAATAAGAACTCTTAGCTAAGTGGCTCTCTGGTTAGGATGCTTACCAAACTGGTTCTGGGGCCAATATTTTATCGGTATCAGTCTTTTAATTTTTGGTTTTAATTATTGGAATGGGCATCAATAACTGAAATGGGGGTTGGGATTTCGTTGGCCAACAGGTTTCGATCTAAATTGTGACAATTCCAAGGCTGTGAGGATGCTGGGGTACGACACAGATCAAGATACAATGAAATACCAGGCAACGTGTACACTAGCGGTTCGACGAAAGTAATAAACCAAAAGAAGAAAAAGAAGCAGGGGCAGAAATTAGGTAGAAATAAAGGGTGCTGGAGTAGATGCCATCTTCATCTTACTTTAAGATGAACTCGGGAATGAGCTCTGAGTCGCAGTTGAAACACAACTAGGAGAAGCAAGCTAGGTATTCACTACTATTATCTATTCAACTACGGTCCATCGCAGAATAGAAATACTTGATCATTAATCCATGATATTATCCACTATGAATATCAACAGGACTTTGCATCCATACATACATGCTGATCTAACCGTGATAATGTATCGTAATTACGTAGCTAATACTGGCTGGCGGATAAAACAGGCAATACCCCCATACCATCATCAAAACCCCTTTGAGTTTTTGATTTTTTGCCATACTGAAATGGTCCTCACCGACCTCTAGACCGCCCAGTAATCTACCCTATACCATCATGTAATTTTACATGTTCCGGACACGCTTGTTTTGAAAGGTTGCTTAGGCTGGACAGACCTACCTTACGTAATGCTTTTTGAAGCACACCTTTGACCAGATAATGGTGTAAAGAGAAGAGCAAGGCGTGCCATAAGTATTTTATCCTATGTTGCCCATCAAATACAAAAAGAACCTCGATCAGACCGAGTTAATGGTTCAACAAGTTCTCATTCAACTACACCGATACAAGTCCGATACAACAACCACCACTCCGAACAGTCTAGACATGCCGACGGTCCTTCGTTTTCTCGTGTTCATTTTAACCAAAAATGGAATGTTTTTCACTCTGTTTTTTTGGACTGATTTGCTCTCACAGTCTCTTTCATTTCTCTTAACTTTTGACCTCGCGAGTCACTCATAATTTTACGGTCACGTGTGGGAATCGATACCCAGATACGTTGCTGTATTGTCTGGTCTCATCATCGTGAACTCCTATGATAGCCTGATCGGGTGAATAGAGATGTCGACCTCGAGTCGCCGACGGAATCGCTCTTTAGCTTCATGCGAACCATGCCGGAAATCGAAGATCCGTTGTGATCACCAACAGCCTGTCTGTGCGTCTTGTCGACGGCGGGGCCGAGAGTCACTATGCTCCTACCATCCGGCGCCACTCACCAAACATGGCAGTACCCAGGCTCGAGCCGCATCAATTCCATACAATTCTGACCGCGTTGACGAGAACTTCACTCTAGATTCCCTCGGGTTCGTTGGCGTTTCCAAGCCCAATTCTTCCATAAGAGCTCCAAGCTTCCAGTCATGGCCTTTTATACCTGACCGGAAAGGCTCGCCAAGTCGGGACTCAGTCTCGAAATCCCACAACGAAAAGGCTCGCAGTGAACAGCTAGCTTCATTGACAGAGATAATATGTGCCCTCAGGTTTCTTCCGACTATCAAGAAGCTGGTACATGATTACTTTGTCTACATCGGTACCGCACTCGTTCCAAAGGCTATCGTTCACCAACTTTTGGAGATTGTTTGTAACGATCTGACCAAATCCGGATATATCAAACAAGAATCAGAGTCATGCACTAGCGTTCATGATGTTTCTCGGCTAGCCGAGAACATACTTTACTCGACTTCGTCAGAAGCAACCATCTCAGCAACCATGGATGTCAAGAACTTTTGCGCCATATTCTGCGAAGAAAATCTACGCGTCGAAACATTAGGCCTGTTATACACGCTTGCAGCACGAGCATCTCTATATAAGTTCAATCACGCCAAGGTTCGAGGCGACGCATTTATACGAGAGATGTGTTGGTGTAGTAATTCGAGCCTACGCCTTGCTCGTGAACTTGCACCACAGACGACGGATCCCATTATATGGCTGGCCCATGAAAACTTGCAACTAATGTCATTACTCGAGGGAGATGCTAGTAAGTCTTGAAAGTCATCGACAGCCCAAATCAGCACTAATGAATATCCCAGGCTTAAATGTGTGGCGTCGAGTCGGCGATCTTGCCACCGATCTATTTGCATTAGGTCTGAATCGAGAGGCAACATACTCCTCGGAAAGCATACCATTTTTTCTTGCCGAAAGTCGACGAAAGACCTTTGTCAGGGCATATTATCTAGATAAGATATTCGCAACGGTCTTCAACCGCCCTCCGAGGATTTCATCTAGACATGCAGACTGCAAATTACCTCTTGATATACCGGACGACGCACTTTTCGCCATATCTCCAGAGACCTTGAGCGAAATAAAAAATAACCCGACACACGACGGTTGGAATACAAGTGGAATCTGCACTCCTGCAACATGGGCCCGGCTCCGCTACATATTAGGGGAATTTCGAGAAGAAACCGCCGAGTATCAGATCCGATCAACGTCATCCATAGATGCCACCAAGCTCAGGTATATTGTCGTTCCCGTATACTACTACCATCAATATAGACCTAATAACTTCTAGGGAACTGTCCGACCGATGCCGTCAAACTTGGTGCAATCTTCCAGCACATTTAATGTACGATCCAAATTGCTGGATCTCCGATTTATCCCCTGCAGTCTGCTACCTGCACGCGAAAGTATACTTGTCATATCTTCATATTCATTTCCAGATATATCGAATGCTTGACGAGTGCCATACATCCACAGTTCCAGAGTTACTAGAAGTATCCGCAGACATGCTGGAGACCGTCGTGTTGATGGCGAACTCGTTGAATCGCACCATCTGCTCGCCACGAGACCTGCCTGGACTTGTAATATTTGCCATATTCCCTCCTTATATCCTGGAATCTTGATTGCTAAAACGAAAAGCTCGCTCCTAGTTCCTTATATACGGATTACCATCTGCAATCGTCTTGACCACGGCATTGGAAACCAACATCCGAGATCCTGCACAACCGCTTCCACCCAACATTAAATCTTCAACCGTGATCCGAAATATCTCCGTGCTGGTGTCCCAACTTGAGAATGTATCTGGTCCTGATGAAACGAATCATGGCTTCTGTGTGCAAGCCTCACAGGCCATTGCTCGCAAGCTGGATACAATACTAAACACCTCAACAACGCTTGCCCCAAGAGCGGATGCCGTCACTGACTCCGGAATGGAGGTCGAACAAGCCACGCACCAAGAGAGAGACTACTCTAATTCGGACCATTATATGTTCAACTTTTCCGAGCTCGATCAACTCGATTTTTCAGCTTGGGTTATCGACTTCGATTTGGTGACTGATGATGGCGTCTGGGATACTGTTTGAAAGATCTCAGTAGCGTACGAGCTTCAAGTTGGACTCCGGCGTTGTATAGATGGTCATTTTAAGTTATCAACTATAATAAGAGACCTAGTAATGGAGCCCCCGGTCGAGAATGTACAAAGTTTCTTAATACCTACGGGTTACCTTATTGATTTTTCTTCGACGTGCTCCTATGCCGGATTGTTTGAATAAGTAGACATCACTGAGCACAGATGTCAAGACTAAACCACGAACAAAACTAGACCACTTATTAGACAGTGTATCTTTCAGAGCACAGTCATATGAGTGAAACGCTATGACTAACTATATCACAAAGCCTTTGCGGGGGCAAGTCATTCAGTCAGACCCTATCACGGAACTGTCCTCGCTCACCACCGCAGCGCTAGGTCTCAAGCCCCGAGAACGAAGACCAGAATTTCTTCTTTTTTTTCTTTTCTTTCGAGGGCAGTACAGAGCTCGGCAGGGCCATCTGTTTCAGCCAATCAAACAAGCAGTGAGAACCATCAAAAAAAGAGAGAGGAGAGAAGAAAAAATCATTCAGACAAATCAAGTTAACAAGGAAAAAGGACCCATGAGGGGTAAATAATATCCCATACAAGAATGAATTTTAACCCGGTTCAGATATCAAAACGCTCTGCCCAATTTCCAATCCACATAATGACAAACTACATGAATGAGCAGAAGAAGAAAGAGAATCCCGATTCCCTTCGAAGTAGCCAGGCCACAAGCTGCGGTGCCACAGAGGGATGGGAGAGAAAGGTATAGGCGGATGGAGATGGAGAGAGAAAACAGAAAATAGAAAGGACGATGTATTAGAATTCGACGCGGTACGTCCGCTTAGAGTAGGGAATCAAGTCTGGTGAAGACACTCAAGCATGCAGCGACAATCTAGTATATGTTAGTATTTGATTGACCACATCACGGGTCGATATGGGAGGGGGTTAGCATACCTCCATTTGGAGCTCCCGGTCCTTGCGGTTCACTTCGTCGTTGATGGCCTGGGCCAGGTTGGCCCCAATTGCCTGCGAACCACCCGCCCGGCGTGCAAACGGATATTGAGAGTATTCCGCGAGCAGCTCGTCGACCTGAGCAAACGCTCTCTCCCGCGCCTCGTGGCTCATTGTAACCAAAGCATTTTCCAACACGTTGGCTGCATACGCGGCGCAGACCATTACGACCGTACGGAGGTAGCGGAACTCAGCATCCTCGGGCAACCATGTGTTCGGGGGGATGATAACGGTGCGGTTGGTGCAGATGTTGCGCACACGTCGGTGCAAGTCGTCCTTGGCGCCACCGTCGGCCACGGGGTGCGTCGCCATATCGAAGAGGAGGAAGTTTCGTTTCTCGGTCCGCAGAATACCCTTATCCACAAGGCCCTTGGCCAGTCGCTCGCGCACTTGTTTCAATTGGTAGCCGATCTTCATCAGGTTCCAGGTCTCGCCTGTTGGGGCGAAAAGAGATATGGGTCAGCATTTTGGAGTCTTCCACAACATTGTTATTCGCCATTGCAAGGGTTCCTGGCGTACCGCTCATCAGATCGATCCACGAGTTAACGCTCATCTTCTCGCTCGACTTCATCATCTTTAGTGCCTCGTCCAGCAAGACTTCCCCGGTCAATGTGTCGTCGATAACCTCGATCACGCGGTCGGCCAGGGGAAAGCGTCGCCGCGAAGAATCCTTCTGCATGCTTATACGGCCACGGAGGGCGAGCTCTATGACAATGCATCCTCGTAGGGCGTAGGAAATGTTCTCGTTCCAGAAGGACAGGTAACCCTATGATGAATGAGACCGCGGGTTAGCGATCAGAAGTCCGATCGGGCAACATAGACAAAGCCAATCCGCTCCGATATTTGAATCCATCTCTCTAGACTCACCTGCTTATCCTTAAGTCCCAGCAATAGCACCTCCTCCATTAGAGTCAACTTGGGTTGCTTGCTCCGCTCTTCGGTTTCGCTTAGGTCGCGGGGGTCGAATGCGATCTTGTGACCATTCTCTCCACTGGTGAACGAAGTCTCCGGACCACGTTGATCCATCGCGGAGCCATTCCTTGACACAGGCGACGAGACTCGACTATCATCTTGTTCATCTGCGCCACCGGCTCGACCACCGCCTCGTCGGCGAGTCAAGCCCCCGGCTGACATGAGGACGGAGTGTAGGGTTTTGGGGGAGGGGCGGAGGAAGGCGAGGGGGAGTCTCGGCGAGGAGAGACAGGCAAATTTAGTCGCTGGAAGCCGAACTGCGTGCCGGTCGCAGGGGGGGCGTTTAATTGTCCGTGTCAAGAGAGATGTCAGAGGTACCGCGTAGACCGAAAGTCTGCCGCTACCGCTACCGCTGCCGCTTTCTGGGAGTGGGACTCTCGGCGTCAGGGGAAACCAAGGACCGAGTGGGTTGGAAAAGCCCCGAGATAAAGGTGAATGATCAATCCAGGTTTATAAACCGTAGTGGACAAGAGGAGGTTGATTCACGGAGGAGAGCCAGTTCCGTTTAGGGAAGGATGATTGTGGGTGATTTTGAGTTGCAGTTGGAGTTGGGGAGGGACCAGAGTGGCTCGTCCGCTCACGAAGTGACAAAGACAGCCCGAGTACTAGTAACAGTAGTCTAGGAAGCACTTGCGCCATGCTTCTGGGTAGTATACAAATACATGGAATTAATTATTATTTTTTAGTCTTGCTAGACATTTGGATTGTAATTTCCTGATCAATTGGAGTTTTTTGTTGTTGTTGCGATTATTGTTAGCGGACATGGTACCTAGTACTAGTATACATCACCTTGTATGGATGGTTTCAGATATATCGTGATGTTGAACATGATATTAAATAAATATCAAAACTGAAGTCATTCCCAACATACATGCCTAGAACTTAAAGATACTCTGCCAGCCCTTTTTATAACCAGGTAGACCTTCCAAGGTTGCTCCGTGGGCCAGTCATATCGCATGATAGAGAGGAGACTATCAATGTTTCAAAACTGCATTCAAGATGATGTACACGATATAGAAGGAGTAAAAAAAAGCCACTGGCATGTATTCAGCATACAAAGCGGCGTTTCAAGCCAGGGGAATCCACCCGCGAGCAGACACCGCGACTGACGCCGACATCCGATTCTTTTTCTATCCGACCACCCAACCAATTCCCGGATTTTCAATTAGGTATCTAGTGGGCTACAGATGGGGTCAGTATATTGAGACAAGACAAGATTCGATGAAACAGAAGAGTAAAACATACCATCGGGCTGGGCCAGGATATACTCGACGGCCTTCTCAACTGTTCCAGCATCATGCACGTTAGCTATCACTATCACAATCCCACTGGCGCATCGGAGTCGACACCGAACTTACCACTGTGGATCTGGTCGGCCTCCTTGTCGGGGATCTCAATGCTGAACTCCTGTAGATGTGGTCGTTAGATATTGTGTGGTTTTTTTTTTTTGCGATACGCTTTCCCGAGGGAAACAACGTGGGTGCGTACCTCCTCGATGGCCATGACGACCTCAACGGTATCCAGGCTGTCCAGGCCAAGGTCGTTGGAGAAGTGAGAAACACCGTTGATCTGATGGAGCAAATTGAGTTAGTAGACTGATCGAGGTCGGAGGGCGGGCCCTTGATGGAGCTTCGCGGCTTTGCGATTTTGACCGAGGATGGACCTCGGATCATCACAAAGAATCAAAAACTGACCTTGCTAGCATCGGAGACCTATTTTCGAAGAGAGGAATTAGTTATTGGGGGCTTTTAACGGATTTCCGGGGGTGACGCGAATCCACCCGGAGATGGACACGAATTCTGACGCACCTTGTCGAAGTTCTTGAGCAGGTTGACTATCCGACCCTCAACCTCGTTCTTGTTCAGGCCTGCGGGAGCGGAGTAGGCGCGAATAGACTGGGAGACGTAGCAGGGAGTGAATTGAGGGACACGAGCAGCGATGGGAGAGCTGCGAATCTGGAAGGGAGCCGGGGTCTTAATGGCGACACGGGGGGCGGAGGCCCGAAGGGAACGGAGGACGGCGGAGCGGAACATTATGAATTGAGCAATAGCACGAAGCTAATAGAACAAACTGGAGAGTAGAAAAAAGAAGAAAGGTGGTGGAGGTGGTTGACGTGGGAGTGGAGGAATCAGCAAGATCGAAGAGATGGGAAAGGGAAGAAGGGTAGTCGGAAGTGCTGCACCCACGCAAAATCCTGCCGCCCGCCAATCAGCAACCGGCAGAAAGGAATGACCTAAGCCCAAACCTGCAACGCCAACGAACCTCAGTGCGACTCCTCCTCCCTCTTCCCCAACTTGACCCAATCGTCCCCCTCCCCACCACCTCGACTTCTCTCCTCTCCTCCCCTCACCAGCCACCATGGCATCCACTCGCCAGATCGCCAGGCTGGTTGCCTCTCGTCGCTCCCCCTTCATGCCGCTGGGTTCGACCGCAAACTTCTCTTCCTCGGCCATTCGCGCAGCTACACCCGCCGGCCCCCCCTCAAGCTGGCTTCCGTCTGCCCGTTCAAAAGACATGGGAGACCGATGGAAAGAGTGCCATAAACCGTGCTTCCGAGTACTTCCTGCTCATGGAGATGTTCCGCGGCATGTACGTCGTCATCGAGCAGTTTTTCCGCCCACCGTGAGTACACCCTTCAATATCCAATATAAGAGTCGGCTTCCCCCCAATTCGGGATACCAGGCCTCAATTGATTTCAGATGACCTAACAAACCTCTCTTGTGCATCGTAGTTACACTATCCTCTACCCCTTCGAGAAGGGTCCCATCTCCCCCCGTTTCCGTGGAGAGCACGCTCTGCGTCGTTATCCCACCGGTGAGGAGCGCTGCATTGCCTGCAAGCTCTGCGAGGCCATCTGCCCGGCCCAGGCCATTACCATTGAGGCGGAAGAGCGTGTGGATGGAAGCCGCCGGACGACCCGTTATGATATCGATATGACCAAGTGCATCTACTGTGGCTACTGCCAAGAGTCCTGCCCCGTGGACGCCATTGTTGAGAGTAAGTACCCAGCATTCAAGCTAAAGATCCCTTATCAGATGAGACTAACCAATCATCTTTTTTTCTCTAGCTTCCAACGCCGAGTACGCCACTGAGACCCGCGAAGAGCTCCTCTACAACAAGGAGAAGCTGCTCGCCAATGGCGACAAGTGGGAGCCTGAGATTGCTGCCGCTGCTCGTGCCGATGCGCCCTACCGATAAATCCGTTCCATTCGTCTTCGATGTGCTGTCTTCTGGCATACATCCCAGTGAAATGTGAATAAAATATTGGGTCCAGTGATGGAGACACGGACCTCTCCCGGACTCGCCTACGGGCGTGTATCAAAAGGAAAAAATCCCAGAAAGGGCTCGGGATTTTTGCCAGCTCTCCCTTCTCCCCTTCACACCTTGTACATAAATCACCCTTCGACCTTTTGCTATCAATTCTGTACTAGTCGATTCCCAAAGGAAGCCTTGGTTTCTGAGCCGGGCTCCTTTGTTCGTTTTTCACCTATTTCCTATGTCATGGAATACAGCAGGTTCATCTGTTTCATTAAGAGTTAAAACAATTCTGCAATACTTACATTTGTGACATTTCAGGTAATTTTTGAAAATTTGACCTTCATCTTCAATAGGGCTGTAAGCTTGCAAGCAAGATAGTGTAGATCGACCCGGGATAGATCAATTATGAAATTCAACGCTATAATACTAGTTGTAATACTAATCCTGTTTCAAGCCACGGTCGGCTAGTATCAGGGGTTCTAGCTAAGTATACCGTTCCAATTAGTTTGCGAAATCCGAAAGGCGACTCTACTACGGTAGCTTCCAAGGCCATAGGCATATAACTTAGGCAGAATGACGTTGTATTCACAGAATGAAGATAAATCGCTACCCATGCTGACATACATACAAGACATAACGGACAACTCATGCCGCTGAAACAGCGCGAACACCAAACTCCGTAATCCCCGGATGGATATTTCCCAGTCGATGTCTTAAAAACACTTTTCTTTTTTGAGGTACTTCGTGCGTTCCAGCTCGTGAGAGAGGGAGGGGTCTCCCGAATCCAAGAGGCCGTTGGGTATAGGCATGGATCGGGCCATATGAAAGATGGAAAGGAAAGCACAAAGGAATGGTAGAAAAAGAAAATAGGCACAAGAGAAGAAAAGAGAGAGAGAGAGGAAGTAAACGAAGAAGAGAGAGAAAAGCCGAAGCTTAGTCTACTCAAGCTTATTTCTTCTTACCACCTCCGTTGGTCTTGAAGCTTCCCTCAAAACCGGGACGGGCCTTCTTCTTGCCAGCGGCGGGCTTCTTGCTCTTACTCTTGTTGCCCTTGTTGTTCTTCTCTTCTTTACGCTTGCGGAGATTCTCCTCGCGCTTGGTCTGACGCTGGTCCTTCATGCGGGTGACGGTGTCGAGACGGTCCTTCCACTCACGCTCGGACTTCTTCTTGGCGGTCTCTTTGCGCTTGAGCGCCTTCTTGAGAAGGGAGGTGTCGTCGCGAACACGCTCGCCGTGGGCACGCTTCTTAGCGTTCAGCCAGGAGTCCTTCTCCTCAACGTCGGCACGTTGCTCTGCGGTCATGCCCTCGAGACGAGCCTTCTTGGCCTCAGCCATCTTGAGCTGGGCGGCGGCATCGGTAGGGCCACGGGACTTGTGCCCATCACGTGCGTTTGTCAGTGAAGCATCGGTTTGCTGACCATCAGCGAAGATGACACGGCCGAAAGAGAAGTTGTTGCTGGGGGATCCGACAGACTCTGCAGGGGAGCGGGGAGAAGCTAGGAGAGATCCAGAGCCACCGGGTGAGAAACGACGGGCCATGGCCTCGTCCTTCTTCAACTGATCTTCTTCTCTGGCCTTCTGTCGCAACTCCTTCTTGTGTGCTTTACGCTGCTCGGCTTTTTGGCGTCGGGCCTCGATGAGCTCTTGGCGGTTGCGTGCAGGCTTGCCGTTGAGGCCATCCGCTTGGCGCTTGGCTCGCAATTCATCAAGACGCTTTTGCAGGCGTTGCTTGAGATCTTCTGGTGTGGCCTTGAGGGCCTTGGGTTCCGATGATTTGGCATCTGTGTCGGCGGAGGGAGGAACAATAGAGGAGATGGAGGAGCTACCGGACTGAGGATTGGAGGCATCGGGAGAATTGCGGGTAGAGGAGGCGGAGGAAGGGTCTTCGGGCTCCTCGTGGAACTCGAGAGAGAAACCTGGCTCTTCGACACCGTCATCGAGATCGTCACCGTCTTCATTATCAGATTCTTCGGGCTGCTCGGCAACACCGTTAGACTTTGAAGCAGACTTCTTCTCAGTCTTCTTCTCAGCGGGCTTTTCCTCGGCTTTTTCCTCAGGCTTCTGCTTGTCTTTCCTGGCGGTTTCCTTGGCCTTCTTCTTTTCCTTTTGAGCAATCTTCTTTTTTTCCTTCTTCTCCTCCTTCAGCTTCTTGCGGGCTTCAGCTTCCTCTGACTTGGCAGCAGTGGACTTTTCTGTCTGCTTTTGCTTCTTGGTCTTGGCATCGCCTCGCTTCAACCCCTCCTTGGGATTTTCAGAGCCCAGTTCTCCGTCGGACTCATCAGACTCGAGAGTGCCATCCTCACGCTTGCGCTTGCGAGCATTTTCGTCCATGATTTCCTTGGCGGTCTTGTCGGCGGCCTCGGGGTCAAGCTTTGCCCGCTTAGCCTCGCGGGCTTGTTCCTTCGTCTGCTTTTTCCGTTGCCATTGATCGTCCTGAAAATTCGCACGGCTGTTAGCCGAAAGATCTCTCAAGAGAAAAGGGTGATATAAAAATGAAGAATCTAGTATCCAAGAAGAAAACTGGAACAGCAGAAGGGCGCACGTACGGTATTCTCATCACCATAGTAGTATTTGGCGGGAATTAAGGACAGCAGCCCGTCGAATGCTTGCGCATGGCTGCGCAGCCGATCCTAGGTTAAGTCAGTACGATAGTCGAGAATATGATGTTTGCACACGTACCTCGATATCATCCATACTGCCTGGGTATTGGCCGTTTGGATACAGAGGCAGAAGTCGGCGAAAAATTTGGGGGTGAGGAAATCTTGGCAGATCTCCACTCGCCTTTTCACCGCCCGCGCACAAACATTTTCGGTGTGATGGCCCGTGCTTTGATATTCACTTCCGATTAAGTATGTACTTACTACTCCGTACAATCTACTGCCTTTATTCATACGATATTCTATGAACGCAGAGGAACAAAATGTGTGAAATAACATTCCAACAGTGTGCTTACAATTGGACGATGAAACAGCTTCACCATCACCGCGATTAATTAACCCTCACAACCATCATCGCTCCCCGTCGACTCCCAGCAGAAGCGGATGCCCTCCCTTCTAGAAGCTTGCTGGCATGCATAAGATCAATAACCTGTTCTTCGTTACCCCGAACCGTATTATCATCAACTAGTTGCACCATGCGTCCCAACGCCGCAGCATCGGGATTTACTGGAACAAACCGACTTCGAACTCCACGCTTCTTTCGCCGAAGAGCATCTTGACCATCCACAGGGACCTGCTGCTTTGCTGGCCGTGGATCCACCGCTGTCAAAACAGACCCATGGTCCTTAACCACAGCTGGTGAATGTGCTTCTTGGAAGACTTCATCACCGGTGCAGTCCAGAACAATGTCCACAGGCTGCAATCGGCGGGCCCGAAACATAGCACCAATGTTGCATTCATCTCGAGTGGGTAGATGTGGAATGACAAGGACTTCATCGACATCCCAGCCCTCCCGAATGATGCTTTCTTCAGCAGAGGTGCAAGTCACACAGATCCATGGCCGCATGTCAAGGGCAAATAGTCTATCTGCTCGAAGTAGCTGCACGGCGATGCGGCCGACTTCACTGTCCCGCGCGTTGGTGACCAGCACACGCAGAGTTGTATCCTTCTTCTTTTTGAAACCGTTCCCATTGTTGAACGTATGACCTTGGATAAAATCAATGCTCTTCTTCCGCCAATTTGAACTGCTTCCGCTTCCGCTTCCGCCTGCCTCTGTAGAACTCCTGCTAATATCCCCAATGGGCCCACTGCCGGATTCGGTTTTGTTCCTGTTCAAAGCATGCATATTGATAAAGTCAATGCTTTTCTTTCGCCAACCATATCCATACCCTTTGCCGCTACTGCGTCCACTGCGCCCACTGCTCCCACTGCCACTGCCACTGCCGCTCCCTTTGCCGCTGCTAGCTCCACTCTTTTTCGCCCCAAGACCAAGGCCGCTCCCACTCCCAGTTCCGCTACTGTTTCCACTGGAATCACCCTTCCAATAGTTGTGAGGGTCGTCGGGATCAAGCCCCGCGTAGCGAAAAAGAGCTTGCCAGGCCGTCAAAGCCGGTAAAGCCAAAGCTGCGGCCTCAGTTGCAGTGATACTCTTTGGCTTGAGAGTCAATTCGCGTTCTGTTGCAACGACATAGTCCGCCGCACCTCCATCCCGTGTGTAACTCAGGACGCCGAAGACCACGTCACCAATCTTAAATCTCGGACCAAAAGGCCGACCATGATCCTGTGCCGGGGTACTGATAACAGTCCCACAGAGACTATGGAGCGGGATCTGCGGAGTCGTCTTTGTTGGATTCAACTCCGATGCAAGACGCAGCTCGTCTTGACAGAACGCTGCTGTTTGAACTTTGAGCAGGTACTGGTTCGCCGAGGGCTGTGGAGTCGGGAATTCCGTGTCGAGGACTAGCCCTGTGTGCGATGTTGACATTGCCGCTTCTTGAATGTCAACATCGGAGCTATCGACACCCGGCGGGACGGCCGGGGCGGCGGAGTAATATAGTGCCCGCATCTCGGCAGGAACCCAGCTTTCTTCGTCTTTGTTTGCAGAAAGTGGCTTTTGAGGATCTGGTTGGCCCATTGATCTGCCGTAAGAAGGCCTTGCAGGCTTGGGCTCTAGATCTTCCACTACTGGAGAGAAACCCGATGCAGTCGAATTCCCCGTTACTTTTGGAGACAACGCATCTGTGGGTATTGTATCGTCCACCACATGCGACTCTTGTTGTGGGGTGCGCGGATTATCTTCAGCCATTCGTGGGGAAAGTGGTTTTGAACTCGGTCTACTGTTTCTCGTTGCAGAAAATGGGCGAGTGGTTGTCCAGGTCTGCTCTCCTGATGTTGGAGAGGATTGTTCTGCTGCTTGTTGACTGCTCTTTCCTGGAGAGACAGGTGCCATTGATTTTCTCTTATTGAGAGTTGTCGGAAATTGTCTTGGAGGGTTTGGCCGGCCCATGGCTGCGGACTGGCTGCCCGATCCTCTTGGAGAGAACGGCCCCGGCGACCTTTGCTCATTTAGTCTCGCTGGAAATGGCCTTGATGATACTGGCCTGTCTATTTCATCTGGCGAATGTTCTCTGGATGTTTTGAGAGTTGAGGAGGAAGGGTCTATGGGTGTTTCATCATCATATCCCACGGAATCACTCTGCCTGTTCTCTTCTTCTTCCATAGCTGGAGACAAACGTGAGAAGTTGGGCTGCTGCTGTTCAACAACGTTGTCTTCCAGTGGTTTGGAGAAAGACCTTGCTCTTCGAGTATGCAGTGGAGAGAAGGGCTCCGTTGGTCCCATTGGAGTCTCAAATGTATACATCCTGCGTGGTTGGTTGTCATTAAAGTGGCGGGTGATTATGGGGGGGTATTGTATTCGGTATCATCTGGAGGAAATGGGGGTGTATCTATCTGTCGTCCCCTGATGCCATACTTTGGGAACTTCATGCCGGCGCATTTGTTCATGCTGACGTAGGAAGGCTTAGGTCAATATGACACTGTTGGAGTGAACAATACTTCTTCATAGCAGCGACTGAATTAAATACTTGACAATTATTTCGAGGAATATTTCGGAAAAAACTACGATATTTAATAAAAGTCTTGGTGTTAGTATAGAAAAAGGCACTAGTTAGTGGTTGAAGTTCGGGCTTGGGTAGTAGAATCACATCACCGGGAGCGTGTGAACCAGGCAAGTCAGGTGAGCTCAACATCTAAACCGTCAGTTACAAACGAAGAACCATCAATAAATCAAATCTCCGGTTAGTATCCCAGCATAAAGAGCGTCTGACTGCCATCATGTGGCTTTTCCGGGGTGTCTTGGCGGTCAGGGAGCAACAAGAAATTCCGAGGAGTAAGAAATATGTACTTGGCATATCTCGGCAAGACGTCAGGGAGTGAAAGATGAGGTGTTTGGGACGCCGATTGATGGGGCGATATAGTTTATTAGCAGTTGGGTTCGATGGTGAGTGATCGATGGGTGGCGGGGGTAAAGTGACCTGGAAAGAGTCCCTGCATGTGTACCCTCAGTACTTTGGTACTTCGGTGCACCTCGAGATGACACAGCCCTGCAGACGCGCCTTGACCTCCACGCCATGTATAGCCTCTAACCTAACAAAATTCTATAGGGAAATCACACTTACCCAAGCCGATGAACGATCGGATCCTCTGTCCTCAGCTTGAATGCTGTTGGCCTCTTCAGCTCACCCCCTGGCAGGGTACGGGCTAAACCTAGAAAGAGGTTCCTCGTACGATTCGTCTGACTTGACTAAATGATGATCATCAGAGTCACCAGTCACCGGGGCATGGGGCATGAGGAGCGCCTGTTCACAGCCCCAACACGGGGGATTGCGATCAGATGAGAAGGGGAGGACTGGAGCCCTGTCGCCGCTAAGAGCTGATCGTCCGTGCTATATGATCAACGCCGTTTCCCCTGATGGCCCATGTTCTCCGCCTATGTGCACTCTCGGTACTTTCGGCATTTGCAGGTTTCTCAAGTCTGGCTTCTCTCAAGTTCACACTTTTTGAAATATATCCAAATCCATTCCGTCCCTCCAGATCTAACCTTCAAATTACCCCAGGTTTGGACCACACACGGGGCTGGACAGCGCGACCATGGCCCACGACCAAGAGTCTCCGGCCCCAGACCACAAACACGAGAGTGATGCAACCGAGCCGACGCCTCATCTGGAGCGTCGAGGATCGGCCTTTTTGAATTTCTTCTCGTCGTTTCTGGGTGCGAAGAATCCCCTCGCGAAAGCTGCGGACCCACATCAAAACACCGTGTGGTTATTCGACAACACGGCCTACCTACCAGTCGTAGAGGGCGATGGTCCCCCATCTTCATCATGGCAAGCCGAAGTTGTCGCCTGCATCTTCGAGAAGCATGGTCGCAAGGATGCCGGCAAGTGGATCGCCGCTATCGCCGATCACATCGGTTTAGACGGTGAGATGGGCAGCGACAAGGAAGCACACGAGCGCATTAAGCAGCGCGTGCAGCCCTTCCTGGACCATGTTTCACCGTCGAAAACCCTGACCTTGAAGGCTCAAGTGAATCGCGCACTGCAGTCGCACCCGATCGGCCCTTCCGATCGAAATGGCATCATCAGCCAGATTGTTGATCTAGGCGCAGGTGGCGTCCAGGATGGCACGGTTATTTCCCCGCATATCCATGGCTTCAAGCTCCCTGCTGCCAAAGCAGAGACTAGGTTCGCTGCGCCAGAAGGTTGGATGGTGATATCAGATATTGATGACACAATCAAGCGTACCATGACGATGGAGACAACGGGAATTCTGCGAACCACTTTTGCCGAGGAGCCTGTACCTATCGCTGGCATGCCGGAGTTCTATCAACATGTGCAGTACGAGTTGAACCCAGCTTGGTTCTACCTGTCCGCATCGCCTTACAATCTCTACCCATTCCTGCACTCGTTCCTCCATGAGCATTATGCGCTTGGTACCATTATATTGCGAGACTATTCGTGGATGGACGTTAGCGGCTTCATCAGGTCTTTTACCGAGAAAACGCAAGAATACAAGGTTGATCGAATGGAGAAGCTTCATCAGTGGTTCCCGCTTCGTCGCGTGCTTTGCATTGGCGACTCCACTCAAAAAGATCCCGAGGCTTACGCGGAGATTTACCAACGCTATCCTGGGTGGATCCATGCGATTGTTATCCGAAAGGTTACAAATGTATCCCATATGGAAGAGAAGAACAAACCGGAGAGATTTGAGGAGGCTTTCAAGGAAATTCCAAGCGATGTTTGGACAGTTTTCGAAGATCCGAACGAGCTTTATGACTTCGTTGATGGGCTCGGGATGGAAGATCAGGACTTGTAAATACCAGAGTTACCCATGTAGATATTATGTTGCTCGTTTACATGATTGAATTTAAGTTGTTTGTCACTAAGCGAGGAATGCACCATGGAAGAAGAGTGAAAGGCCTAGGGGCGAAATAAATACCTGTCTGTACTACAGGAGACCTCCAAATTACCTAGGTACACGCATCGCTGCATTCAAGTTCTTTCCAAGGTTATTGTAGTCTAATATGCTATACACTTATAATACAGCAAGAGTTTCCACCATCAACCTCAACACAGACGAGTAGAAATGAAGACCTCTATTTCTTGAATTTTTCAATAGCAGAGGTATCAACACCGATAGTGATATAACCGATCATACCGTTCTTGACATCCTTGCCGTCAGCAGCGACAACAGAGATAATAGGGCTGTATCCATCCTCAAAGCTGCCAGAGATAAGGGTATCCTCAGCATTGGTGGTGCGATTAATCTGGGTGTGGGTGGAATAAGGCTCCAATGCCATAATCTTCTCCTCAAGCTCCTCCGCGAAGTAAAGCTGACCAGTGCTGACGGTGTTACTGGCGACAATAGTACCGTTCTCTCGGGTGGTCCAATCGGTATGGACCTGGGCGTGAATGTGGATAGCGCGTTCGATATAGAAGCCTACCATATTCATTAGTCATTCATTCTCATATAATTTTGGATGATGGGAGGGATTCAACTCTTACCAGGGAAGATGGTTTTCATCTCCATCATACCGTGCGCATCTGTAGGCCACATTCCACGCAACCAGGTGGTATCGTCGGTGTGTAAATCCGTGACGCCGGTTTCAAAGTCGGAAATGTTCATGCTGGAGAGAAGCTCCTCGAAGGGAGTGTTGGGTGACAAGCCGGTGAAGGAAGAGTAAGATCCAGTGGCATTGCAGTGCCAGAAATCAACCAACGCATTGGGAAGCGGCTCGCAAGTGTTCATATCCAAAACACCAATGTCGAGCCACAGTGGAATTCCGATCTGGTCTTCGGTCATATCTTGGCGCAAAGTCTGGGATCGAGGCCAGACGTAAGGACCACGAGTCACTTCTGGAGTGAGAACGCACGTGCTATTCTGAATGTTCTCATAGTACGGAGCTTCAGTCTGGATTTCGAAAGTGGTGTTATGGTCTCCCTCCCAGCGTTTGGCCAACGAGCGTTTATCCATACGACGCTTGTTGAAAGTGGCAACGTGATCTGCGCAGCGTCTACCAAGGTGCGAGCGACGCTGAATTGTAGCGTGGGAATCGGGTTCATGATGACCGGCATGGGCCAGCACAGTCATTGCTGTACTGGCCAACAGAAGAAAGTTCATATGCATAACGGCGATGAAAAAGGGCGAGAAAAATGCGAGTTCAATGTATAAGAATACACTCCAAGCCTTTGGGTAAGATGAATCGAATGGAAATTGCTTTAAAATTTGGGAAAATACGATTTTTATAATGTTAATCGTGATCTTTCCGCTGAGATCAAGAAAGTGACGGAATTGGCAATTGGAGCCATCCTACGCGTCCAAAAAATGATCTGCACCTCCAAGGAACTTGTACTTTGTGCTAGAGATAAATTACGCGTGTGCAATATCTGATCTATAATTGATCAAATCATGTTCCTGGGGACCACTTCCACCGTAGCTGTGCAAGTGCCAAGCCTTTATTCCGATTACTACACATTCTGGCACCTTTTGATACATCCGCAAGACCCACTAATATATCATTCATGGCTATCATGATTTGTCCAACTTGAACATCTCGGTATCCTCGGGCGGGGCCGTCGGGATTATAGCCAAGGCATCGGACGGTTGCTAGCTTTCAACTTGAAGGATTCCGTAGCGGAGCCAGGACTTCTACCTACTAACTAGTAGGTAGCTTTTGTACGGTACTTCTGTCATTATGCGGAATGTTCCAGAACTTGAACTTGAACTTCCCTTTACTTGACTGCCTGATTGATTCGATAGGTTGACGTATATCGAGTTATATTGGCGTCATTTACGGTGAGCATTGTACTTATCTCGAGATTTGGGAAGAAAGCCCCACCGGCTCCGTGTCGAGCAGTAGGGTAGGCAATGCTAGTCTTCCAAGGTCGGATGGAAAGGGGCTGTCAATTGTCGAGGCTCAATGGTTTAGTTTCATCGTACATGGCTGTAGCCACTTTGGAGTAGCCTCTGGTGGGGTGGGAAACCCCCCTTTCTGATGTACTCCGTACTCCGTACTTCGTCAGTAGCTAGTTATCATGGGCCACATGTACTTATGCAGAACAGGCCGAGACATTGCGGATAGCGGCATCCGAAAGCTAAGGATTTCATACTGAAACATTTGGTGGCTTGCCTTGCGGCAACTGAGCCCAGCCACTGGACCGTTGCCATCCTTGCATCTACAGTTCGTAAGGAACTACATACCAACCACCACCTTAATTTTGAACGCATCATGCCAATGGCCTTTATCCCTTGAGTTGAAGCGAGTATAACCATGCTACATGTAATCTTCATTCGCTCACTCGCCTTTAAGGACCTTATACCATCCAATACCCTACTATTTAGAGTAGGAGCCACCGTGACCTATTTCTTCGATACCGACTGTTCCAGGGAAAGATTCACTTCACTTCACTTCATTTCTGACCCTGAAAAATCTTTACAGGCAAACACACTATGCCTTCGACAATAATTCCAACAATCCCTTTCCGACCCAGACGCCGGGGCAGATACCCACTTATAAACAAAGCCCAACATCGGCGGCCCATCGCGTTGCCAAGCTACAACGATGCGAACCCACTTATTTGCAATACGACGGCACACTCCCTGACGCATGCATGGCCAAGACATCGAGGAGTGGATTGCACTAGGTGTCAAAGACACCAGAATGCTAGTTGGGTGGAAAGGAAAGCAGAGTCGCGCAATCATTCAACGAAAACGGAGAGTTCAGACTGCCCCAATTGTACGGTTTATTTTGCCGCAAGATGAGAAGGCACTTGATCAAAAAAGTTATCTTATTGGGTTCGCCATGTTAATGCCTGTTCAGGGGCCATTTTTTGTCCTGCCTTGAGGCAGTTCTCTCTGGATGATACAAGTAAATATATCATCATAACGCCTTGCGCATCGAGTGATCATAAACGCATCAAATTTCATATTTCATGATGGTTGGAGTTGGTATCGTTCGCCCGGTGAAAAGCAGTAGTGGCTTCGCGAGTGTATATCTTGGAAATAAACCTGGGCCTGAGATAGCACACCCTGAGAAAAAGAGGCTGTGCTCTGGGTGAGACCATATCGTAATGATTTCATTATGCCTCTTTGTTATCACCATCTTTTGGGAGCCGAGATTTCAGCCCGTGAGAATGATGCGCTGACTGTCTCTTGTCCACGTCGGCGCTGGATTTCCTTGATACCGGTGCGATCAGTCACTGTGGTCGCGTTAATGATATTGTCAAAGTCATCGTCCTCGCTTCCGGCTGATCCAGACTCTGCATCAGAATCCACATACAAAGGTTTTTCCGGCGCTGCAATCTTTTCGGGCTGTGGCTTATCAGATGCGGAAGGGTTCTGAAACGACTTGGAGTTGAGAATCTTTTGTCGGATTTCGGCCATCTGGTCCTCTTCTTCAGAATCGTCGGAGATTGCGAATGGGTCTTTTTCTTCCTGTTCCTCTTCGCTCTCGTTTTCCTCCTCGCTTCCATCTTCACTGTCATCATCTTCATCATCGGATCCGTGTCTCGCCGGCAGTCGGTTGGTGTTTCCAGTGGTCCAAATATCGTTGGTACCTTCGGCACGACTGTCTTCGTATTCTTGTTCGATCTTGGCCAACCATTCCTCCTCCGTTCTCTTCACATCTTCCTCCGAGCTGCATGCGGCGTAGCGTTTCAAGAGTTCAGAATTGATCTCAAGGAAGGCCTCGCCATATCGGAAGGGTTTGAGTACCTGCTGCGCCCACTCTTCGTGACCGCAAATGAAGAAACAGGCGGCGAGCGCTTCGACGCAGTTCAATCTCCATGGCTTTCCGTAGTTGACAGTGTTGGCTGCGATGAGATAGGGTACTATAGACATGTATAGGTTAGTGAAATGGCCCTCGGGTCCTACTCATCAAGATCACATACGCAGTCTTTCGCATTTGCCGCCAATGCGTGACCAAGGGACTTCCTTGACTCGCACCCATGAGCACTCCACTACTGCAGCACCATGTTGCTCCATGAGCTCTCGATCAGCCGGGGAGATAATCTTCTTCGCATTGGGGCTAGAAGCTAGTGGGTTAGCGAACAAAATACGCCAAAGAAATCGTGAGTGAATTGGCGGGCATACGAAACAATCACACCAGGGTGGCGCTGGCCAATATGTAGATCGCGCATCAATCCCAGTTTCATCAAGCGTTTTCCCGAGCATCGCTTTGGATCACAGTGTCCCATATCCCAGCATGCGGCTTTGAACGCTGGTCGCGCCGAGACAACACCCTCCTCACCATCACCATTGTCATCACCGCGGGGCACCGGTCGAGAGCGGGGGTTGGAGAACTTCTTGCCTCCTCGCGAAAAGTTTTCTTTTTTATGGCGGACCATTTTGAATTCCAGAGAGAAAGCTCTGAATATGTAGAAAAGAAGATCGTTAGGGAACTTTGCGGGGTTGAGTTGGAGAAAGGGCAAAAAGAAAATCCCGAAGCAGAGAGGACAAGCCCACACGTGCAAGTTACTCCGCCCGCTCGTCTCTCTTCCATCTACAACTCCGCCAAGGTTGGGGGCAGCGTTTCTTCCCACTTCGAATCATCCACGCACCCTTGGTTCTCTTCTCTTCTCCCGACATACCCCTCTTGATTCCCTTGTTTCATTCCCCCACCGTCACCCTGGAGGCTGCATCCGCACGCATGGCGGCGAGAGACCGTTTCGGTGTCTACGCTGAGCCGGGGTTATCACCACTGCAGCGGGCAATCCGTGAGTTGAGCCACCTGATCATTGGTTGCTTGGACCAAATAAGAGCAGACTACTAACATATCATTGACTATAGGTAATGCCTGCGACCCGCAAAACTATGAACCCAACCTCGCCCTGAACCTGGAAGTCGCGGATCTGATCAACTCCAAGAAAGGCAATGCGTCAGTACCCCTCCGTCAGACAACCCCGGGGCCGTCGCCTACGTCGCGCAATGCTAATTACCTCTTCTCACAGCCCTCGCGAGTCCGCCGTCGATATCGTTCACCTTATCAATAACCGGAACCAGAATGTCGCGCTGTTGGCGTTGGCGGTATGTGATAGGAACCGAGAGATGACAGCTGGCGCGGGCATGGCTGACATCGGCTCCAATTAGCTTCTAGACATATGTGTGAAGAACTGCGGATACCCTTTCCACCTCCAGATCAGTACAAAAGAATTCCTCAATGAATTGGTTCGGAGATTCCCTGAGCGACCGCCTATGCGACCCTCCCGGGTCCAGCATCGCATCTTGGAGTCGATTGAGGAATGGCGCCAGACTATATGCCAAACATCGCGCTATAAGGAAGACCTAGGATTTATCAGGGATATGCACCGGCTACTTCTCTACAAGGGTTACGCCTTTCCAGAGGTTCGCCGTGAAGATGCGGCGGTCCTGAACCCTAGTGACGTATGTGTTTATTCCATGTTGCCTGTTTGGTTGCTGCTAACAACTCGGACAGAATCTCCGATCCGCCGACGAGATGGAAGAAGAAGAGAAGGAAGCACAGTCCGCTAAGCTTCAGGAGCTTATTCGAAGGGGAACCCCGGCGGACCTGCAAGAAGCCAATCGATTGATGAAGGTCATGGCGGGTTTCGACAACCGACATAAAACGGACTACCGCGCCAAGGCAGCCGAGGAAGTGTCAAAGGTGCAACAGAAGGCTAAAATCCTCGAAGAAATGCTGCAAAGCCAACAGTCTGGCGATGGGGCACCTGAAGGCGACGTATTTGAGGTTCGTTTTGAATTAAAAATTGAGGGGAGTGGGTCTGTTTACTGACTATATTGCCTACCAGGAACTTGCCAACGCGCTTCAAAGTGCCCATCCCAAGATCCAGAAAATGTGCGAAGAGGAATCAGATGACCCGGAAGCCGTTCACAAATTGCTGGAGATTAATGATAGTATACACCGTACTATTGAGCGTTATAAGTTGGTCAAGAAGGGCGACCTGGATGCGGCGTCAAAGATTCCCAAGGGCACTCTTGGTACCACTACCGGTGTTTCGAAGAACGCCAACAATGAGCTCTCGCTGATCGATTTCGATCCTGAGCCCGTACCTGAGCCTGCTAATGGTGATTCTGCTGGACCGTCCCAGAGCGGTGGTAGCGCACTGGAGAACGATTTGCTTGGATTGTCTCTGGGAGAACAGGGCCCTGCTTCTGGTGGAGGTATTTCCTTGGGAGGCCCTGGTAAGTCAAGAATATCTGTCGCAGTCGAGTTCCCGGCATCAAAGACTAATTTAGAGCAGTGGGCTTTCCTCCAATGCCAACTGGCCCCTCTCCCCTGGCCGCATCGCCAACACCTCCTCCGCAGGCCCCTGCCGGATTCAAGCCCAACTATGATATTCTCGCATCCTTGAACTCGTCACGGCCTACTTCCCAGTCTTCTACGCCGGCACCTGGGCCATCACCGCAGGTTCGACAGACAGCCACGCCACCCCAAGCCGCCGATCCATTTGCATCTTTGATGTCTGCTAGTCCTCGGCCGACCAGCAGTGCATTCCGACCGCCTGTTCAAAGCCAGTCCCCTGTATCATCGTCCCTGCTAGACTTGGTCGGTGGTACAAACTCATCCCCACAGGCACCAGCGCCCGCCGCTGAAGATGATGAATGGGCCTTTGCATCCTCGCTGCCCCCCCAGCAATGCCTTACCCATCAAGAACCAAGTACAAGTGCTGAACACTCAACTTCGTGTTGACTTCCTCGTCCAGCGAGTACCAGCATACCCTCGCCAGATCTTCGTCAAGGCCCTTTTCTCTAACCCTAACAGTCAAGCGATTGGGGATCTTCATTTCCAGGTTGCTGTAGAAAAGGTAAACCCCTCCTTGCTCTATCCGTGTTGTCTGGTACTAACAATAAACAGTCCTATACACTTCAACTCAAGCCCCAGACTGGTCGCGACATTGCGCCCCAACAACAGCAGGGTGTGTCACAGGAGATGGTTTTGGACGGAGTTGATTCGGGCAAGGGTAACTTGGTGAAAATTCGGTTCAAGGTTGCCTACAAAGTTGGTGGTGAGGCTCGGGAGGAGCAAGGGATGGTACCGGCCCTTGGCGTGAACTAGGAGGCCGCGGAGAAATGATGAGGAGAAGTGAAGGCCCTCGCATTGTTAGCACGCGGTTCCGAGGGACCGGGACCAAGGTTCGCCAAGGCTAGTGGTCTGATGCAAAGCCTTTCGGTCGATCGGAGTCGCATGGGCCTCGAGATCATACCACCACGTTGATTGCCCTACACCAACCTACTCTACTCTGCTCTGCTCTGATGTCTGTTCTCTTGATTGAAAACTTAGCGTCCCCTCTTCATGCTTGTTTATAAAGACCTGCGCATCTGCGATACAAGTTCAGGCTATTTGATCCCCTTTGGAATTGAGATTATCCCCCCTTTAGAAGTAACATAACCTAGTACAACAACTGGCACCTGAAACCAATCAATGCCATCTCCAGGTGCCGCTGCCATTCAAATCCCGAGTCTCGTTGCCAGAGTAATCGAGAATGCCGAGGTTAGAACGTAAGTGCCATACAACCTTTGCCTTCGCCCCTCCTTCCCAACACAACCATCTTAGATGCAGATCATCCGCAAAACTCAACTCTACTCAAGCTCAGAAGTTAAGTTCTCCAGATTGGATCGAACGGAGATCCTCGCGCATCACAATCCACTTCATGTCTCGCAGTCACATCCCCAGGAACGCAGTGCCGTTCCGAGCAAGATGTACTGTCGATCCCGCCGATCCGGCACTCGTGCTCCCTTCGCCAGCGAGCATACGATCTCAGCTCTCGGGATGGACCCTTTTACCCATCCCCAGTGAAAGGTACCCTATCACCCGGTTGGTCCGACAGGGATCAGATCCAAATCGTCGGGCCCTACTGGCGTCATGTCCTCCGTTTGTCAGAGATTGGTCAGGCCCCGTCCTTTGAGATCAGATCAGATCAGATCATGCCACATCACATCATATTGAATCAACTGGAAGTGGCGGAAATCAGCGGAACAGCACTAGACTCGAGCAAAGCATTGTGATTTGTACTGGGATGCTGCCGATGATTCCCCGAGTTCACAAGTCAAGTATGGGGGGGGGGGGTTGCGCATCAGCCCGACTTGCCTTGTTGAGCAAGAATTGCGAGGACCGAATATTCGGACGAATTACTTTACTCAGCCTCACGGGGATTTCGATCGAGCAGATTTGCGTTAATGTGCTTAGTGTCTCTTAGTGCGAGGTCTATCTAGTTTAGATAGTAAACTAACTAGTAACTAACTGTCGATCTTTCCCCACTGTTCGTGCAACGTCTAAAGCGGCCTTTTGTCGGTGTCACCCTAGACGAGCAGAGCAGAATCTGCAATTTTGTTTCATCCTCGCCTCGATTTCCATTTACCTAGGTACTACGATTCTTCCCTTCGAAAGAATCGTAGGACATGAAGTTTCCCGAGGACCTTTCCCGGGATATGGATTCCATACTCCCAAACAATCATGAACATGTGAAGGTACAACCGGGTGGTGGCGTGGCCAGGCCTATCGCTCGAAGGGGGAAAGACTCGGCCGTAGAATGGGCGGCTACAGCTACGAATGTACAACAGTACTGGGACTAGTAATAATATTCGTACAGAGTATACTAGTACCTAGGTGACCGTGTACTTATCTCGGCAGGCCTAGGCTCTGGGCTGTGGCAACGAGGTATCCCGCGTGGGCGCCATGGCTTTTCAGAATAGAATAGGCAGTTGTGAAGGAAGATTGTATCACCTTCTAAACCTGGAATGGTATTCGCCAATTATCAACGCCCAGTCTGCCGGTTGTCTTCGTTGAGTGGGAATTCTCCGATTCTAGGCGCGCACCGAGTACATCTCAAAGCAGGTCATTTTTCATGATAGGCTGGCCGGGGGTTTCAGCCAACCCTACGCTAGCTAATCTTGATAGTATGATAGTACGGTACTTGCAGTGGTGTATTGCGCCCGGGGCAGGTCAATCTGAGCTCACAAGTACGACGATCGCCGTTATCCCCACAAATTCACCAGACCTTGGCCTATATGGTGGGAAAGAGAAAAAGAAATTCCTGCAGGAACCAAACTGTGTATGCAACTGCGTGTGACCGTATGCTACGTTAGAATTCGACCATGATCGAGAATCCTCAATTCCCAATAGTACCTTAGTATCTCAAGTTAAGTTGCTCTGCCCGCATTAAGGAAGGATGTTGGGTACAGTCGCATCGCGGGGAGGGGGGAGAAGCAACTTTCCCCACTACACCAACCCGGTCTAGACCCAACGCATCACCCACGATGGGCTTGCTGGATGCTGCACCATTTTGTCGCTATGGCCAAGAGACTGCAGATTCTCGCATTTTCGTTTCTGTCCGGGAAGAAGTATCCGGGGGCGAATGACTGGTTGTCAGCAGCCTTGGGAGGGAAACCATAGGAACGCACCCTCTTATCCCAAATTACAAAATCTTCGTATCGGGGATGTGGCGCTTTCGAACGGACTCGCCGTGCCAAAGTCAGATCCATGGGTCGCAGGGCAAAGGAGACTTTTTCTCTTCGCGGCCGACCCAAAGTGGTTCCCTTGGATCCTGCGATCGCTGCGGGTCCCATGGTTGCCCCCAGCAAGCTACTTGCTGCGGATGAGAAAAGAGGAGGGTGAGAGGGAAGAGGGACCAGAGGAGGGGACCAACGAGATACATTAGAAGGGACTAGTACTAGTACTGCAGGGCCTGACAGCTCTCTCTCTCCCTCCCTCTCTCTCTCTTTCTCTCTTCCCCCCCCTCCAGTCGGAAACTCAAAACTCAAATACTTTTCTTTTCTATTTCTATTTAATTGTCCCTCGCCCCATTTTGCACCTTCTTCACGTTACTCCAAGTATACACTCTCCCTGTATACTATACCCATACCCATTCATAACGCATACCATTCTTCAATAATGGGTGTTCTGGATCTAGATCAGGATATCACTCCTATCCCCCGATCTCGGGAGGAGAACCAGGAGAGGTTTGTTCTACCTATTCTTCACTTGATTCATTACTTCTTACCTACTTTAAACCCTAAGAACCTTTTACTAACATTCCTTCCTCAGAGCCTTTATTGCTGCCTCACGGCGCAAGGATCGCAGTTTGGATGCACGTTTAGAATCTGCCAATCGTGCCTCCATGCTGCATAAAAAGCGCACTGGCAAGGCCTTCCATATCACCAAGGAGATTGTCGAGAAAGAAGCCATGTATGAGGAAATCGATGAACGCTACCAAGAGAAACGCATCCGCATGCTGCAAGCACAGAACCTGCAAATCGAAGAGCAGTTTCACCGTCATTTACTAGCTGCTTTCGCTGCCCGCGCCAATAGTAGCTCGGCTTCTTCCATTGCGAGTCGACGAGCCAGTATCACTCCCCGCGCCTCAGCCGACGGTGGCTCTTCCCGCAAGATGAGCCTGGATCTTTCGAATCTACGATCTCCCTTTCCCCACGGCATGGATTCAAACTCCTTGACTAGCCCTTTGGCCACTAGTGATGGCTATATGATGTCGCCGTCGGCAAACTACGACCCCAATGCCCAGTCGTACATGGGCTGCATGGACGGCTCGGACGGCTCGGCCTATTCTAATATGGTTGCATCTGCGACGACAGCAGCCCCCTCGGCGCAGATCCCAGCTTATATCGCTCAGCAAAATCAAGTTCCAACCTGGCCATCACAAATGCAATGGGCCGCCATGCCCCAGCAAGTTCCCACTCCCAACCAGACCCCGACAGACAGCCAGGCCGTGTACATGTGGCAGCAGCAAATGATGCAGCAAGCGCAGATGCCCACAAACCCGGCAAGCCAAATGCGCCAATTCAGAGATCGCCTCGCTTCTGCCCCAGAACTCCCAATGCACTCTGCCGTTGCACAGCAAGCCCCTGCCGCTTCTATTTCCGGTCCCAGTGGATTGGGCCATTCCCGCGGCTCTTCTCATCCCACGAATAATTTCCACAACCTGCAACTTCTCACTCAAGGCACTCACCTGGCCCATATGGGACTGTCCAATACGAGCTCACCGAAGATCGAAGCCATTTCCGCCGATACCCAGTCCACTCCGGATTTCTGCCCTACTCCAAACACCCCCCTCTCACCTACTACCATTGGTGTGATGCCTGCTACCATGCCCCCTACTAAGGATGGGGAGACGGTCTTTTCCCATGAGGAGTTAGATCCGGACTATAATGAGTTCAGCCAGTTCGCTTTGGGACTAGGGACCTCATCTCCACTGGAGCGGGAGCCCTTTGGGTTCGACGAGTTCGTTGCCCTGGACGAGTTTGGTACGGTGAATTGCTGATCCTATTCCACTTCTGTTTTTACTTCTACTTGCACTTCCTTCTGTCATGTCTTATCTTCTCTTGTCCTTCCTTGATTCCCAGGGCCTGTTACCCTTCGCCGACACCCCATTGTATATGACTGGCGTTGGCTTGTACATTGCTCTTGTATTATAGCTGTCTATTCTTTCTATTCATTTTTTATCTTCCTGTCCCGGTTTTTCTTGGTGTTGCGTGGTCCATGGCGTTTCTGGTTGATTGGATCGGTTTTTGGTTTTGGTTTTGGAACCAGTGTCCCACTGTACAGACTTTCTCGCCCGGTTTGCACAGGGGATCCACGTTTGCTATTTCCACTGTCACGAAGAAACGTATCATTTCAATTCATCACACCTTCAAAAAAAAATCCTCCTCTATTCTACAAACTTTCGTTCCCCCTCTCCCGCGCCCACATCAAGTTGGACTGTTTCTCCCGTCTTTTTACAAATAAAAACCTTCTTCCCTCACAACCCTTGGTCCCGACTCCCAACCATTGTAGGCGAACCCTACCATAGTAACCAGGCCACAAGCGAAGAACCATAGATCCGTAGTAAGTAAGTACCTAGAGTGGAGCTCGAAGGAGAAAAAAGGGAAAAAGGGAAAAAGAAAAAAAAAAAAAAAAAAAACCGATCGTTGCATCCAATCCCGCCGAAAACAATCAACGCCTCCACAACATGCCCCTTTCCGGCGTCCCAACCTTCAAAAAGATCGCATACTATTCCCATCCCAGCCCCATCTTCCCTGGATTTCCTTGAAGCGGGGGATCCACGCACTCCACCATCGCAACTCAACCCACCTTGACGCAGCTCTCTATGCCCCGCACCTCTCAACGGGCCGTGCCAGCTATACAGCTCGAAGCTCCGTTTTGCTCACGTCGTCTAACTTTGGACCTTTCGCCCGTATCAATTTAACTGGCCCGGCCAAGTGTAACACAGGTCACATCACATCACATCACGTCGAAATTAATGGATTAAATTGTTGGCGAGGATGCGAGCGGAGCAGATGGAGCCTTTATCCCCCTCCTACAGTATCCCCCAATCCCCACCCTTGCCCTTACCCATCCACCTCGCTTCGCTTCGCTTCGACGACGAAGTACGTACGTACACTGCAGATGAAACTACATCCCTGACGCAGAAAACAGGGTAGGTGGTGGGCACACACGCAACACACCGGGGCCCCCCTAAATATCGAACTCGACCAGGTGTTGGCCCTCACTATACCCGACCAACCGGAGTTAATCCAAAGTCGTTTGATCGGCAGAAGCTAATTAAATCCACAATTTTTTCCCCACCCCCGCCTGACATCACAGTGCATTCACCCCTCACGCTTGGGAGGCAGACTGGGAGGGCTGATTGGGTCAGAGTTTTAAAACTAAATTGAGGAGGGTAGGGCGATTCGGGGCGCAGATGGATGGTGGGGGTGGGAGGCGAGGGAAGAGTGGAAAACAGGGTGCGGCTGGCTAGCAGTAGCACGCGTGGTGTAGCCCGATTCAGATCATGCTGTACAGTACTCACGTAAAGCAAAGCAATCGTGTACTCGCATTCGCTCGGGGGGTTTTGCCAACTTGAAAGTTGAGTTTCGGGTATCAGTTCGGTGGTCTTCGGCTTTGGTTACTAGTAATTCCAACATGGGACGTCTTGACGAGCGCTCATAGGTAGAGGATAGTTAGGGCGAACCACCCTATCTACTACTTAGGTAGCCACCCAGCAAGGGGGGGGGGATAATTTCCCAAAAAAACGACCGCTTTCTTTATGTCCAATTGAGGGTTTCGGCTTGGCTTCTCCATTCTTCGTGTTCGCCGTGAGTTTAGATGAGGGGATGTGGAAATGAGGGTAGATTAAGAAATAATGCTAGACACAACCGGACTAGACTGAGGCTTGGCTGCTCGGGGAGGAATTTCCTCGAGAGAATGAAATGCCAGCTAGCATACTCTATACGCAGTCGAGGGGAACGCTTGGGCCATATTACGTACTGTGCAGAACACAGGACGAGGTAACTAGCAACTAGCTGATCCTTCAAAGGTATAAACCCCAAATTCTGGTGAGGCTGAGTTTGTTGCCCGACGCCATTCTCAGTTTGTGAATGTCAGCTGGCTAATTCCATATGCATATGCGGGTAGCTGAGTACCTTGCAGTGTTAATTGGAGATGGGGCTGGAAGAGGCGTTTTTGAACCGGGTTGCTGGGTTGAGGCGCGATTGATCGGCAGGGATTGGATGGAGGACAGGCTTTTTGTGCTACTTGCTGACGGGCTGCATCAATTGTACAACTACTAACCACGAACTATTCATTACAAACCTTGGAAACTGTTTTAATTATTGTTGTTGTTGTGGCGGTTACCCAGTTTCTGCTGTCACACTCTGCTTGAAATGACTTATTAACATTCCTCTAATACTAGTGAACACATAATAGTTACCTAGGTATGAAATATCAAATCCAGACCCTTCATCTACAAAAGCACAGCTGTAAATTGCGGGGTTAAGGTTGCAGCTCCCGCACAGACCACTCCGCATCGAGACTTCCTGCAGAGCAATCACAACTTTAACTGCGTTGGGTCTGGTTCTGGTGGAGCCCGAGATACGACCGCGCCGCTCACCCACCATGGTTCCTCTTAAGTTAGCTCCCAAAGCTGGTCGGGCACTGGTCCAAATCATCCAACAGCCCCCACTGACCCGTTAAATGGAATTGATGCAATAGGAACCCCGTGCACGTATCCTGGCGGATCATTGGTTTGGTCCCTCGCCTCTTATCCTGCAGCTTGGGAGCGTGAGCTCGGTGGGGGTGGCCTGATTGATCCCTGATTTCTCTATAGGACTGGATCGGCCCATTCGGCTCCGATAGATGGTCCATACTAAACTCGATGATTTTCGATATCCTGATTATTTCATCAGGTGCCTCGGTGGTGCCTCGGCCAGATCCAGGCAATGCATGTCCTATCTCGATGTCTATCTTGAGGCACATGGGATAGGATTTGATGGATCGTAGGTAGCGTGATAGTCCTACTGGTGAATAGGTTGGCAACGCAATGACATGATAAGCGCTTTGGCCTCGATTACCCCAATCGTGGCCGTTGAAGCCACCACGCATATGCAGCTATCCGCGACTTTGATTTCGCTTGTTTTTCCTCGTCTGGTCCCGTGTTTACGATCCTTCTGGAACTACGTACGGAGTATGCCTAAGATAGACAAATTGATTGGCAAAATGGCGTGTTTCGTTCGTAACTGCATCTCGTATAACAGCCATACTAGGCATATACTCTTGGCTATACCTCTCATGTCATAATTAGCCAGTAGCCAACCTTGGAAGAGGCTCAACCGTACGTAGAATTAGTCACCAATCCCCATCTCCCTTCACTTTGAGATATTTCTTCAAAGCCAGTCAGTGCACAAGAGAGTCCAGGAAGCTAATTTCCAGATGAGATCCCCTGCAGCACAGCGATCAGCCAATCATCGAATCCCGGACCAGGGGCAACTACATCCAATGGTCAGAGCCACTCGGGCCAGACAACGAGACAGACCGGACTGGACTTGGTTCACCCAGGATTTGTCACTGGAGCGGTTGGGTCCGGGGTCCTTTTCCCCAAGGTTCTGAGGTCGTTTCCGACGATTTGGCGGTGGCGTCTTGGTGCCTTACCTGGGTTCTCCTCTCCCCTCAAGCCATCAGGCCCTCAGGCCCTCAGCGAACCCTACTATCCTATCTAGGCAGCTGGTCTGAGACTTGGATTGGCCACCGTTACGAAACGAAGCTAAATCAAAATCAAATCAAAACCCCCTTGAACAAGATTTCGGGGAAGGTGAAAAGACGTTTGGACCGTGCGTGATACTTCTAGATTTGCGAATAAGGGCGTTTCGATCGGCGGCGTCAGATCGAGAGTACCTATGTCAGACTTTCCTAAAGAGGGAATATTATTCATTTCTCCAGGTTTCACAGAGCCTAATGGCAACAAAAGTACCCATGCATGGGTCAGACATGATTAATTGGTAGATATAGAGCAAATTACTAGTAGAGATTAGCCAGAACCAATCAGCCGGGCCCATGAAGACGTAAAAACGAAAAGAGTAAAAAAAAAAAGAATGGAAAAATGGAAAAAGCCAAGCGAACATCCCCGGGCATCCGACGACACGTCCACCAAAACAGGAAAAAGCGACATGAACCAGGAGAACAAATGGAAAATATTTACCCCGGCAGTTCAACCACTTAGCTTCATCTACTGCTTGCAGGGGCGAGCTGAATGGCCGAATTGCCGGCGGACCCGCTGCAGAAACTCTGCAATCCAGCATAAACCACTTTCCCATTACTATTGGTTGGGGGGATGACGGAGAATAGGGCAGATGACCGCTATGATCGACAGCCACGAGTCATGGGGGCGACTAAGCTGTCGGATTCAACTGCTGATCTGGGGATGGGATTGCATGTTGACGAGCCAATAGATCTAGATTCCAACGCTTATATTGAATACTTCGGTAGAAGAGGTGATTTGGTAGAGATAACACGAGCGCGTGCCTCTCATGCATTCCCTTGGTTGAACTTCGCTTTTTGTTGCGAGAATCTGGTTTATAGCACGGGTGTCGAACTTCCAGGGCAGAGGGGGAGGGAAAATCAGGTTCAAGTCGATAGTTTAGTTGCGAGATGGTGCCGGATCAGGACACGGTCAGCCGGGGAGAGACCGAGGGTTGATCTAGACGGGTCAGTTCGTGCTACGTTCGCGCTAAATGTGATCTCCAAAAGCCGATGGGGCCGGACGCCTCAATTTAAGACCTATTTTGGGGGTTGAATACTCCCTGCCACTTATCGAGGCATATCGGGGTGAGATCTGTACTTTTGTCATCAGATCATCCACCCGTCCGATGGTAGCCGTTTGGGTGGATGAGAGAAAAGGGGATCCGCCGTTGCTAATTGGTTGTCACTTTGCTGGGCATTCACTGGGCTGATATCATTTTCAGTCGGGTTGTCCGAGTGGTACTAGTAGATTTGAGGATCATGTTCGCCATCGCTCCCGGTTATGGGTAAGCCTTTTACCAGATAATATTTATTGGCATGACACGTACACAAGTGCTCGCTACGCATAGGGCGTGTAGGAAGGCGAGAAGAAGAAGAAGCGGAACTCTTATCCACAGAGACAAGGGGGAAAGGGAATCCCCCGATTTTGAACCGGAAAGACGAAAATTTGTCAGACCGATGAAAATTTGAAGAAAGATGTGACAAGTAGTCTGCAATCACCGCTTTCAAGACAATTCGCAATGTAGAAGTATGTGTTTGTGCGAAGAAGAAATTCTGCGAGACACAATTGATCGAATTAGACCGGCGCAATACAACACACCGTGGCTTTCCATAACACCTGAGATATCAACAAAATTTGAGTCACCGCTTTGACCTTGTACCGCCTGCCTATGGATTCCCAGTTCAAATGCCACGACTAAACATCTCACGGCCAACCTCGCCGCTGCGACGAACGCTCATGCTAGAAGAACTGCTGCGTCGTCGGCGTCGGAATTCGGCCGGATCTGCCGGGTTCAAGCCACTAGCGCGAGCATGGAGGTTCAAAACGTCCGTCAAACTGACAACACCAACGAGACGCCCCGAAAGGCGGGCGCCCGGCAATGCAGCTGCTGGCACAGAGGGCACGAGTGGCGGTGTCGCACCAGGTGTTGACTCTGTATTGGCATAGAGATGGGGCGGTGTTGGTAGGTGAGGTGTGGCCTGAATAGGCGCTGGGATAGCAGTCGAGGCTGGAGGGAGGGGAGAAGCTGGAGGGGATATTCCAATATTTGAACTGTTAGCAGCCGTGCTTGATGCAGTGGCTAGAGGAATATGCGCAGTCGAGTGAGAAGGAGTCGGCGGTCCTGAGGAGGCTGGCGACAATGGATCAGTCACCCAAAGGCTATAACAGTTAGCATCGAGGTCAGAATATCTTTATGGATGAAATTACCGATGGGATCGTGTCGCAACAATTTTCGCAACCGTGTGGGCCAGTGTAGAGGTTGGGTTAACATGGAAGACAGGGTACGAGTCTTGACCCTCGATCAACCCCCGGGTAGACAGGATCACGGAGATGAAATGTGTGCAGGTATTTTGGAGTAGAGGCAGGGAAGATGACCGGGTCAAAAGCTGGATCACCATTGTTAGTATTTGTATCCCTTCAATCGCTTGGTTTGCATACCTTAACATCCGTCGTAGATATGTTACCAATAACATTGGAATGATTGTCTACCACAACCAGAGACGAGATACCCTCGCTATTCATCAGCTGGAGAGCTTCACTGAGGGGTTTATCGCCGCTGGAAGAAAAAAAAGATAAGTATAGTCTTGTTTTGACTAGTTTTCGAAGCACTCACTTGATAGATATCACATTGTGCGAGCCAATCCGTAATTGGGCCAGCGCCTGTGGGTAAAGTTGCTCAATTGCAGGGAAGCTGCGTCCATTTTCCCAGAGGAACTTGACCAGTCTAAACTGACTGAAGATGCCTACAACCTCTTGGTCATTGGACTCTTTAACAACCACAACTCGGTGGATTCCACCGCCAAACGTCTCCACGGCGGTAAGAACATTCGCTGATGCGGGCAGAGTGATCAATGGCTCTTTCTCCATACCCAGGCCCTTAACATCTTTTAGGGGAATTTTCTCGCCCTCCCGTGCTTTCTTGGCAAGCTCATCGTATGATGCCCGGTTATGCTCCTCAGGAAGGGCCAGACCCGCTGCTAGAAGCAAATAAGTGTTCAAGTCCGAGTAGTCAAATGTAGCAACGGCGGAAGTTTTCTCTGGGGATTCGCGGATAAGCAAGACCGGGGTACCGGAGTCGATCAGTATCTAAAAAGCAATTGCGTCAGCTTCGCCACATACGAAGTACATCACCCAAAATGACTCACGTTTGTCGCTTCCTCAATTCCTGTGTCTAGCTCAACGAAACGCAAATCCTCTGGGCTAACAAGTTCGCCAATGGAGATCTGCTGCCAATCCCGACCAATAAATGCGGGGTCGACGTTCTTTGGAGGTGGAGGGTTATCGATCAAGCTCTGGATGGCAGACTGGTTCAAGGAAGGCTGTCGCCGAGAGCGCGGTGATCCCGGAGGACCCCGGAGCGTCTCGCTCAAGCTTTGGCGATGTTGATGATTTGTGGGGGGGCATATGTGACACGCGGAGCTGGTTGTGATTGCGGGATGAGGAGCGGGATTCGGTGCTGGACCGAGGTGAGCCGATCTCCGATCCGTTATTGGGGTTGGCGAGGGCGTTGAGAGAAGAATCGGAGCCTTCTCTCGGAATCGGTTGGTCGGACATAGTAATGAGAGACCACGCAACGAGCACACAAAGATAGAGAGCAGTTGCAGAGGCAAGTGTGTATCAGGTGATGGAGGATGGACGCGGGGGTTTGGCTTTGGCTGCCCTCGCCCAATCAGAACGCCTGCGTTACCTGACATCATACACTTAGTCATCACCGCCTATGGCGGTACTTTTAGAGTACCTGTCTGGTCAGCCAATTAGAGTGTGTGAATCTGTACCTTTATGTACTTTCACGTTCCGAGCTACTCAGACTAGCACAGGTTGGCATAAGCATGAGAGAACTATCACCAGGTATCCTATGAATAGATTTACAATCGAGATAATGCCCTACAAGAGGTATATTGGAAAGAAAAAAAAACGGGAACTAAGAGAGGTGTCTACTGGGAGAGATGTTGATGTTTGTCACGTGTATACTCGACACGTGATGTCAACATATCACAACCGGCAATCACGGCCTTTCACAGTCTCATATTGGGATCTTGGGATGGTTGGCTCACTTATATACGTGTCTTCTGGCAGGGCATGGGCCTAATTCTGGAGATGACCTATCTTCCCGTTTCTTTTGTCACGCATCTAGGAATCTCCGGTATCCCCCGATATACTGGCAACAGAGGTCATAAGCCAGCACCTCCAACCCCACTTCGTCAATATGTCTGGAGCCGCTTCAGGCCGGCCGACAATGTCTGTCATTCTTCACTCCCCAGGACCACAGGCGAACTTTAAGAGAGGCCCCCATTGGTACCATGAAAGTCCGTTCTTGCCATACTGCTGGGAGGATCGTCGTCAGGAGCTCGGAGCCCCTTCCTTAAAGCATGCGGCCAGACAAAAGGCACTCGAAGACCAGTCCGCATTGAGACTGGAAATGTTTGAAAATATTCCTTGGCCTATTGCGCTGGAACTGTGGGAGTACCTGGGTCACTGGTAAGCTCTTGAGCCACGGTATGCTTTGGGCTCAGGACTAATAGCAATTCCAGCAAGAAGCAAACATTGTTCATGTGGAAAATCATGGCCGCATCATACCCCCGCCATTTTCACACAGTCAGCTCCTACTATTGTCTGTTGACTAACCGACCGATGGAGCCCTTGAAGGGATACGTCGATATCATGAGCAGTGCAAACTGCGATTGGCGCGCAGTTCTCTCCCTTTCATCCGGGTATGCTACGACGGAAGACCTTCTCGCAATCGGCGATATGAAGAATCTCGTGGCTCTAGAAATTTCCAGGACGCCATGGAAATCACACAAACACGCCCCCGATATCACACCTCGAGCCGCGAACGAATTGGAAAACGGTGTCATTCGCACCTGGGTTGAGCTGGCAGAGTCCACCGGATCATTGCAGCATTTACGCGTCTTACGTCTTTATAACCAGGGCATGGTAAAGCCCGCAGCGCTCCAGCATTTAGGAAAGCTTCCAAATCTGCAACTCATCATTGTCAACCAATGCGATGATTTTACTGAGGCCGTTCGTTGCGAAAAGAGACCCTCCTCGGGCAAGATTGAGATGGAAGGATGGAATGTTCTCAGGCTTGATTGGGCTTTGAAGGATGCCACCGAAGATGGGCAAGCTCTACAGCATTTGGGTCCGTTGTTGGATGTTTACCGGAGTACACTTAATACACAACATAATTCCGGTAGTGTCAAGCCCAGCCTTCCTACCCTAGGGGCCGATGTACCAATTATAGAGTTTGGCCTACCGGCGATGGATCATAGCGACACGCAGAAGGTTGAGGTTCGTTCACAGTACGCGGCAAAATCAATTGGAATTCTCACTCGTGTGCCCGATTCGACCGGAAAGCGACCATTGCCGTTGCCAGCGGAGTCAAAAAGGAATGGGAAGAGGGTCATGAAAGATAGGGGTGCTAGGGATATGACAGATTTGCTGAAAGACTTTCTCTGATATTTTCTTTTCTTGCATAGCGACTGGATTGGACTGAACTGTTTGGGTATCAGCCTGGTTTCAGGGAGAATAGGCACAATTGAGATTCTCCCAAGTGGTAAGGCCCCAGAGGGCTCATTTGATATATTGCCAACTCCTCTCTTTCTCAATGAAGAATAAATCACTCACGGGGCCCCGCCTCCGCATTATTATTCTCACATTATGGTAGGTGTGGGCGCTAAGTTCCTGCAGTATGTAGCATTACGCCACAATCCTACGCTGTCCATGGCCCTAGTCCTGACCTAATAGTTGGAAAGCTTGCTTTCTTCAACTTCTTTACCAATTTCGGTTAATTGCTTTCACGGAGGGGCGTAAATTCGGCAAAACCCCGGCGGCACACGATGATCGGCTTGTCTGCGCCATAGAACTGGAGTTAATAGCCCCCCTAGTCTTGTTTCACGTGTTTTTCCTCCTTCATCTCATGCAGGATGCGTCCGGGGTGGCCGAAAAAAAAGCTCCATTTGGCGAGCACCATCTCTTTCTAGCGATGGAATAATAAGATATCGTGATGCTTCGTGATATCTGAGATTAACAGCAACGGAAAACACATTTCCGTCGGCATTGAATCACATGGTCTTAGAGACGTGCATTCTTGTTTCCCCGCAACTAGAACGGATTTGTGTACAAATTACCCCGCCCCTTTCACTAGCGTGTTGTGCCTGCTGGTTGTGGCCGACGCCTATTGTCTGCAGATTACCATCGACTCAGCTAAATCCATCTAACTCACGTGTGGGGAAGCATATTGTCTCTTGCAAAATTTGAGTCAATATTGAATCGATGACAAAAGAAGTAAAAAGTGACACTATATTTTAATGTATACTCATCATGCCCTTACTAGTCCTTCTCTTTTTTAGATATTCCACTACATCGGCAGGTCCATGGCTCAGTCTTCCCCAGTATAGTTTACTGCACAAACCAGATGGCCTGTCTTAGTTTAGTACCTCTCGGTCCGTGAGATCTTGAAGATGTTCCTGAACCTTATAATGAAGCTAGCTGCATAGCACTAAACAACCCAAGTACTTTCGCTTAAATCTTGAATTTAATATCTTCGACATATTAACCGGAGCTTTCAAACCTTGTCCTCGCTTATAGTATCAGGTGAAGGTGCTACAGTTCTCAGTCATTGGAGGGAAATCCCTACCCCTTTCGTAACAAGTGCCGTCTCCACATAAAGAACGGACTTATGCGAGTACTAGTAGAAGAGGACTATAAAAGAGAAACTAGAAGTGCGCGAATAAAACATGCATCAGATTTTCTCTACTCCAGTAAGAAACTTGAGCATCTCCTTGCTAGCTCTGAAACTCGCAGCTTTCATTCACTTTCCCCCGGCGATCGAGCAATCAGAATGCTGTCCAAACCAAGCGTTGAGCGCGCCAGTGCCCTTGCATTGCTAGGGCTTGTTGGTACTGCATCTCTAGTATCTGCTGGTCCCTGTGATATCTACTCATCCGGAGGTACACCCTGTATCGCCGCACACAGCACCACCCGCGCTTTGTATAGCGCCTACAGCAGTGCACTCTACCAGGTCCAACGTGGCTCTGATAACACTACAAAAGACATCTCGCCTCTGTCAGCAGGTGGTGTTGCAAATGCTGCTGCTCAAGACACCTTCTGTGCCAGTACGACATGTCTTATCACAATCATTTATGATCAGTCTGGCAAGGGAAACCACCTCACCCAAGCACCTCCCGGTGGATTTCAGGGCCCAGAGTCTGACGGGTATGACAACTTGGCCGGTGCCATTGGCGCCCCTGTTACTTTGAACGGCCAAAAGGCATATGGTGTCTTTGTCTCACCCGGTACTGGATATCGCAACAATGTTGCTACTGGCACAGCCACGGGCGACGTCTCGGAGGGCATGTACGCCGTCCTTGATGGAACTCACTACAATGGCGGCTGCTGCTTCGACTACGGCAATGCTGAGACCTCCAGCACCGATACAGGAAACGGACATATGGAGGCCATCTACTTCGGCGACAATACTGCCTGGGGCTACGGTACTGGCAGCGGGCCTTGGTTGATGGCTGATCTCGAAAACGGTTTATTCTCCGGTTCCAGCTCTACGCTGAACTCTGCCGACCCATCTATCTCATACAGATTCTTTACTACTGTTTTGAAGGGTGGTGCAAACAAATGGGCTCTGCGTGGCGGTAACGCTGCGTCCGGCTCACTCTCGACATACTACAGTGGCGCTCGTCCCACTGCGTCTGGCTATAACCCTATGAGCAAGGAGGGTGCCATTATCCTTGGAATTGGTGGCGACAACAGTGTCAGTGCCCAGGGTACTTTCTACGAAGGAGTCATGACTTCCGGCTATCCAACAGACGCAACCGAAAATTCGGTGCAAGCCAACATTGTGGCGGCGAAATACGCTACTACCTCTCTCACAAGCGGCACAGCACTCACTGTTGGTAACTCGATTTCCCTGAGGGCCACCACATCTGGATATACTACACGCTACATTGCCCACACCGATTCCGTTGTCAACACGCAGGTTGTCACCTCATCAAGCACCACTGCATTGAAGCAGCAGGCTAGTTGGACCGTCCGGACTGGTCTGGGAAATAGCGCTTGCTTTTCATTCGAGTCTGTTGACACTCCTGGAAGCTACATCCGGCACTATAACTTTGGGCTTGTGCTCAATGCCAATGATTCCACAAAGCAGTTCTACGAAGATGCAACCTTCTGCCCACAGACTGGTCTCAGTGGTACGGGTACTTCCATTCGTTCTTGGAGCTACCCTACACGATGGTTCCGCCATTATGAAAATGTCCTTTATATTGCAAGCAACGGCGGTGTTCACACTTTTGACTCTGCCACTTCGTTCAATGCCGATGTCAGCTGGGTCATTAGCACAGGATTTGCTTGAAGAAGTCCTCTCGAAGTATTCATAGCGCAGGCAGATAGTTAGTTATCTCAATATACTTTTTCTTATATATCAGAACTCTTGGCCTGTAATAGGGGGTCAAACTGCCCTGGTTTTACTACTACCACCTGAACTTGTTATCGATTAGACTTAACCTCTCCAATTACTGGTACAAGCTGTTTGAGACAAACCTACAGTAAGAAAATTGGGTCTCTGATCTACTACTGTTGATATTTTTACGTGAAGTGGAATTTCCTTGAAGGAGGTGCATATGCATAATGAGTTTTGCCAAGTTTGAGCAACTAACGCCCAAAATTTTAATATGAAATTATTCCTGTAATCCTCGCTTTGACAGAGAATCTACCCTCGATTGGATATGGCAGTGCCATGTCTCTTCCCAATCGAATATTATCCTCTGTCGTATTGACCAGCTCAACATCAAAGTTTCGGGCAAACATAGCCAAAGTCAGATACATCTCCGCATATGCAAGGCTTGGTTGTAAAGTCAGCAGTTATCTGTGGGATTTGGAAATTGGTAACATACTTCATTCCCAGGCATTGTCTGCTTCCTTTGTTGAAGGATATCATATACTTCTTCAGATTGGTTCCATCGTCTGATGCCCTGATCCATCTTTCTGGGTCGAATTTCTCGGGTTCGGGGAAGATGGTTGGATCATGGTGAACAAAGTATATCGCTTGGCTAACGGGGGTCTATTGGGATAAATTAGCTTCGTCGAGATTATCATCATATATCCCAATACTAGTAGTGTCTTCTTACTCCTGCTGGAATTATGTGGTCTTTGTATACGAGATTTTCTGTTGGTGCGATTCGAGCTAAGCGACCGCTCAGGCCGTATGATAGTCGAAGTGCTTCTTGAATGACACCCCCCTGGAAAATGTCAACAGATACTCTATTCATCTCTGCAGGGGAAAAACGGTAGTTCCTCACTAGAAGCGGTAATTTCTCCAATTGAGACCATGTCGGTTTACTACCAGGCGAAGGCATAACTAGCTTCAATTCTCCACGCAGTTTCTCCAGCAGAGTCCGATTCTTTGCCAGATAAAATGCCGCAATCGACAAAGTCCTTGCCGTTGTCTCAGTTCCTGCCCCAAATAAAACAGACGCCTCGTCTTCAAGTCGATTCACCGTTCGCTCCTCTTTCGGTACACTATCTGCCGTCAAGGCATCAAACAAAGTCCTCGGCCCTGTGGTCTTCTTTTCCGTACTTTGCAACGCCTCGGCTGCTCGTTGTCGAGTTTGGAGTCTCGTATCGACCAACTCCCCAATCGTACCGGAAAGAATGCCCCATTTCTTCATTGACTCCAATGGTAACCTTGCCAGTATGTGTGCAAGCAGGGGTATAAAACGGTTAATATGGAAAAGAGTGAACAGGGAATCCAATGCTTCCATGTGATTATTCTTAAAATCCGGCGCGATGAGATATCCACGAGACTCTCCATGGCAATAGTGCGTAATCATGTCCGCTGTCAATGCTGCAAACACAGATGGGAGGCCCAAGACCGTTTCCTCGTGGAACGCTCCCATAAAACGTTCTTTCAGCGTGTTGACCTTGTCCTGAATAACGCTTTCCAGATCGGTAACGGACCTCTTGGAGAAAAAGTTACTTAGAACTCCGCGTCGTAGTCGGTGTATTTCATGGTCATTTGTTGATGCCATCGCACCGGGCGTCAGGAGAGCAACAGTGAATGCGGGGTCTTTTTGACGAATTCGCATTCCGCCGGCGTATATTTCGTCGTAGAATGAGGGATCCTTAATGTGAACTTCACGCGGATTGATTCTGATAATAGGGCCTAGGATTTCTCGTTATTTCCCTCTTCCCTTCTCTTGATCGGCATAAGTTGACATTCTACCTACCGTATTTTTGATGCATCTTTTCGATCTCCCACATATACATACCCTTTCTAACAACATCGTGGTAGAATTCGGGTAGATAAGAGATGGCAGCGAATGTGGGACCTGGGATTGCAGAAAGAGGGTGGAAGAAAAACCGATAAGTGTAACGCGCAATGAAATACGCAACTACCCCTGCCAGGGCCGTGGGTATGCTAAACACAAAAGCCATATCGAATAATAAGAAAGATCGATTCCAACAAGTCGGACCAGATTGAAATAGCTGTATTTTTTCTTCAAAAATAAATCCCAGAAGAAAAGCAGTGCGTTTATGCAGCGTTCCCACAGCCGATCCTTCCCCTCACGCTAGCTTGGAACAATGCAGCACGTCGAGGTCATAGCCAATGGTGGACATTCCAGTCGTTGTTATTGGCTTCTAGCACCCATTGGCCAACCAAGAAAGGCGCTGACCCAATCGCCTTTTCGATCAAACTATCTCGTCTTATGTCAGATTATCGTGACTTTTTCCATCGTCGAGTAGAGTTATGATCACATGTTCATTAACCATGTCCCCATAGTATGATGGCTGGCAGCCATTGACAGCCTGAGTCGAAAAGTGTCTCATAACTATCACTCAACATGGCATAAAATAATATACCACCATTTCTAAAAAAAAAAAGAAGAAATTGTATCTCCCCGGTTGGGGCATATCGGCTCCATGTCCGCACCTTGTGGCGCTAAATATAAAGCAAATATGGAACAGGCAGAAAGACAGTCGCAATACCCCCAATAAAAGTCAGTGTCCAGTGTGGGCCGAGCCTATGATACATGATATCCGCAACAACAGACATTATCCCGGCCGCCGAAAGACGAAGCATCTGAGGAGACGCCAGGGCACTTCCATCGTGATATTCATAAGCGGCCGCGACGTACTGGTACGCGGAAACGAAAACACGGACAATGCCGAACCCCAAGACCACCGAATACATAATCGGAGACCACATCGAAATGTACGGGTACGCTGTCCAGCCCGTCCAGAAAAGGCTACTTGGTAGGGCCGGTGCTCCGAACATGGCCATGTAGAGATTTGACTCGGTCTCGGGCGCGGTAGATATCCCTTCACGTCAGTTTCATGCTTGGTGGAACTGGTAAGCCTGAGCATAGCACACCTACCACGATTCCTAGAAAACAGATCCCGGTCTTTCCCTGGTCCATGTGGTATACTTGTTCGACGAGCAAGGGCCAAAGCGATTCTTCGGGGAAGTAAATCCGGTTGAATTCCATCGGGGCTCGGTAACGGTCATCTCCTGTAAGGCGCCACAGCTGCTTTGCCTTCCAACTGAGACGGGTCGGGTTGTAGGTTTCTGGTAGGAACAGGACAAGGAGAACTAAAAATCCATATACGCAGACCGTGAGCCAGTCAACCCACCACCAAGAAATGGAGGGAGTTTCATTGATATAACCACCTGGTAGCGGACCAAAAGTAGGACCTATAAGATTATAATGATGAAATATGGGAAAGCATAGACTCTTTCGGTGATAGACCACATATCAATCAAAGAGGCTGCCGCACAGACAAGTGGTGCAGATCCGAAGAATCCAGCGAGGGCCCGACAGACGAGGCGCTGGCCGACATTTTGGGAAAGGCCAGCCCCCATATTGAAAATCGTGAAATACGGCAAACAAATGACATATAACAGGTTTCGTCCTGCTAGCTCAGAAAGAAGAGCGGTTAACATACTTCCAGTTCCCAGTCCAATAAGGAAAAGAGCTGGAAGAGAACGATTAGTTTCTTTTTATCTCGATCTCAGTACAGATATCACCCACAGGTAGGCACAGTTTCGAGCTCGAGATTGGTATTGAAAGTTTCCTTGTGGATGTGATCGCACTAGCATCAATAGTGAACGACATGAGAACGAGAGAACCAATAAAACCAAGTAAAGTAGTACATGTTACCCGACAAAAAAAAGACCAGTTATGCGGATCCATGGGGTCGGTATCGCCTTCCTATGTGACGAGTATGAGTTTCTCCATCTCAGACTCTCCATCAGTCGAGGTATCAGTACCATTTGTAAAAGCTCGATTCGGACCACGCGCAGGCCTCTCCCTCTCAATGTCCGTGATCATAATATCTGTACCCCCACCTAGAGTATCACGCGTGTTGATGGTATAGCGATCTGTTTGAACGCTCGGCATCTCCTTCGCACTCCAGGTGCTCGCGAGTCGAATGGCGGGGCTCGAGGGTTGGCCTGGACATGATGGTCCGATTGCCGTTTTGTCTTCTTTTCTCTGCTGCTTCGCCGTCGTCGGGTTCTCGGTTTCATTTTCCGCCAGTGGTGATATTGAGATGCCAAGCATTTCAGGCACCACACAGTAGTTAGTTATCAAACGAAGGGGGGGGGGGGGGTAAACAGGCTTATCGTCGTCTCCATTTCGATCAGGAGAATATGAACTCACTCTTAGAGAGCAAGTGTTAGCAAATGGCTTACTCTCACGGCAGTATGTAGTGCACGTTGACGTGGTTGCGTGGGGCATCTTGTATCTACAATGATGTCAGGAAGACTAATGGCTGTCGTCAGCAGCTGATGGAATACAGAAAATGTTGGTAATCACAAGTTCAAAACAATAAATCACAGACATTGCAACCGAGTCATCCATACCAAGAAGCTTTACACAGACACCAAGCAATGAATTACATACACAGTTCAATTCGTTAAACGCAGAAAATCACATATCATCGAATGACTTGAGAGCTAATTTTTCCCATCAGGACTTCCCATGTTTCACGATCTCACATCACATAAAGGAGGTTTGTATCTGCAGCACAAAAGTTAGCGAAAATCCAGTCAAGATATACCAACAAAGGGGACGGAAATGGAGGTAGGGTGGGTTTGGTACTTACCCAAAGGATGGCTGCAGCTCAGCTGCGGCTTTTGGGTATACTTGGTAGAAAGCTCATCACGAATGCTGTTCAGCAGCTGGACATAACTCTGCTGGGGGTTCTTGCGAAGAGCGGCGATGAAAGCCCACGACATGGCACCTGTGGCCTGGCCGGCGATCTGGGCATCCTGGCTAGTCTGGTCGTCCTTGCTGCCGGACCACATGACCACATCTGCAGGGCTGGTCTTGGTCTTAAGGTTGCGCTCGTACACGTCGTCACCCTTGGTGGCCTTCTTAATGAAGCCCATGGCAGTCGACATCATACCACCCATATCACCACGAGCGTACGCCGACACAACACCCAGCAGACCCTGACCGGCTTCCTTGGCCAGATTGGGCTCCTTGAGAACACCAGAGGTGGAGTAGACGTAGGGCAGATCCAGCGCAGAGCCGGAGTGGCAGGAATCGAAGATGGCTGTGAGGCGCACACCAGGGCGCAGCGACTGGACCATAATACGGTGCATCTCATCATCGACAATATGGCCGGCAACGCGGAAGTCCACTGGATAAATCACTTCGTCATATCCATCATCTTCGTCGCCATCGAGATCTGGTGTCTGACCGCCGTGACCTGGAGGAAAATGTTAGTTCTCGATCAAAGTCTCTGAGAGCCATGCCTCTTGCAAGCGTAGCCAACTTACCGGAGTAGTGGAAGAAGAGTGAGTCGTTAGGCTGCGCGTCCTTCACCAACCAGTGCATGGCGCGGAGAATGTTAGCCTTTGTCGGTTGGCTCATGGGGTTCTGCTGGTCATCCGTGAGGAGGACCATATCTTCACGGGCGTATCCGAAGTTCTGGTTAAGGTATGTGGACATGTTCTTGACATCATTAATGCATCCTCGCAATTGGCCCTTCTGGCTGAAGTAGTTAATTCCAATCAACAATGCCTTTCTCTTGCCGGTACAGCGCGAGTATTGGAAGCTATAGCCTTGCGGGGCACCATGTCCGAATGCCACCGGATTACTGGGAGGAGCAGCTGGGCGGCCACCTCCACCTCCACCTTGGGGATAGTTGTTTGCTATGGAATCATAGGTCAGCGCGTGTCGGGTGAGAGAAGGGCGCAGCGGAATGGAGTGGTAAGCGAACCTGGAGGGCGACCTTGCTGGTACATCTGCTGGCCACTAGGCGGTTGTTGATATCCTGACTGAGGGGGACCGTGCTAGAATGCGAGATCCGTGTCAGCCACTTCTGTTCCATCATGATATATAATGCGATGCGATGCGAAACGAAAAGCGTCTCCATCAAGGTGGAAACGTACATTATATCCCTGCTGCGGGGCGGGCGAATTGTATTGTTGCGACGGCTGAGGCGAGTGGCTATATCCGTAAGGGTTGGAGGGGGCGGGCGCCTGCTGGTGATAGGACTGGCCGGGGTAACCACCACCACCGCCGCCATAGGAGGGCTGTTGCTGATGATTCATCGGACTGCGACAAAGAAAGGTCAGTCTCAGTTTCATGGAAAACCCGGGGTCAACCGAGGACAAAAAGCGATCGCGTACGGGTACTGTTGTTGTTGCGGGGGGTAAGATTGCTGGGGCGGGGGATAGCCTCCCTGGCCGCCCTGGTATGGCGGATAATAAGACATGTGAAAGATAGATGTGAGAGATGTGAGAGATGAAAACTAAAAGAAGGTTCAGGTAAAAAGATGAGGGAGGTCGGATTGTGGAGAAGGACGATCCAAAAACAGAGCGGGAAGGACGGAGATGCCGCCAAGCCAGATTCGTCTGTAAGATATGGTGCAGATTCAACAGATTCAACAGTATGGTATAGAGTAGGGTAAAAATGATATGGAAGATACTAGTATCTGCCAGTATCTAAAAGGATTGAAAAGGAACATACAAAAGGGGAAAAAAAAAAATTAAAAAAATTGCCGCAGGAAACGAGGGAAGTTGGGCTAAAACACGAACTGTGATCGACCAAAGAGAAGCTTTACCTACTTTGGATAATAACTACGAGTGTTGATCCCTGTAAGGCGGGCGATCAGATTATCAGCAAAGAATTGAAAACAGGAAACGGGTGAAAGGGGACGATAAAACACCGTCAGACTTTATATTTGAACAATGCCCAGCCCTCGGCCGCTCCGAGATCCCACCCCTGCAGCCCAAAAGCCCGCCAACGAACTGCTACTAGTAGGTGGATTGGCCTCAGCCGAGATGGGAATAGGCCGAGTGTCATGATTTGCATGATTCTCGGCCCCGGAAGTCGTGTTACACAGACTTTAGACAAGCCCATGACGGAGCACCAAGTTACTTCCAATGGTCCCACTGGCGTGGATAGTGGAGTTAGTTACATGTACGAAATGAATAGCTGAAAAAAAAAAAATATGCCTAGATGTATTCGGGCGCAAAAGCAAGACTACTAGTTGAATACTATCTGCTGCAGGAATCTTAAACGAAGCACACCTGGACCCATTAGATTCTTCGTCTGCGGGCGATCTATCGACGATCTGTTCAGGAACTTGAACTTGAATCGGAGAAGAAGCAAAAGCCAATGCGAGTCCTTTGTATGTATGTACCTTGGGAGAGACTAGTTATGTCAAAAGTTCAAAGTATGTCTACACCTTTTTTTCTATTCTCCCCATGCTTTCATATCGCACAGGCCCCTTCCTCGTAACCATCCAACACACACACACAAAGTCAGCGCGCGTAGAGAGATGGCTCTTGGTTCACTTCCCCTTCCTCCCAGCAAGGCTCGTTTCATTAGAAGCCTGTGGTTCCTTTTTGCTGCAGTCTCGTAGACTTTCATCTTTCTCGTAGCATTAACTCGTTTATCGACGAGGCATTCCGCGGCCACGGCCTCGGAGCGCACGCTGCGCAGCACCAGGCGGCATACCGCGCTGGGGACCGCTTCCAGGCTGGGCAGATTCCTCGTTCTCTGTTGGGTGAAGATTGCATTAGCCAAGTACAATGCGAAAAGAGGGAGGGGATGTGAGGGGTAGAAGACAAAAAAAAGAAAGTGAAGAAAGTGAAGACAATAAAGTGGAGGGAATTGATAGATCACTTACTGATCGTCTCGTCAACACTGAGAATCAGGCAGGCTGCTTCTACGGCCGCTTGGATCGCGTTAACCTTGACAAGACTGGGCTCCCAGACGAAAGCGACCATGTTATCACGGACACCCTCGTTGTCAAAGTCAACACCGGCCCAAACGTTGTTCTTACGGTGCTCCACGCGCAGGCGGTTAAGAATATCAGTCGCGTCGAAACCAGCGTTGTCACAAAGCTGGCGGGAATAACTTCCAGAGCCTTGGCAAACGCCTTGACTACCGCCTGCTGCTTGTGGGGGACATTGCGGTCGGCGTAGCCATGCAGGTGGCTTGACAGCTCCATCTCGGTGGCACCTCCACCAGCAACAATGGTGGTGTTGCGCAGGGCGCGCTTGACAATCATGATAGCATCGTGCAGACTGCGCTCGACCTCAGCAATGAATTGCTCAGCACCACCACGCAGGATGAGAGTACAGGTCTTAGCAGCAGGGCACTCGGAGAAGACGTTGAAACGCTCTCCACCAATCTGGCGCTCCTCGAAGGCGCCGCAGGTACCGAGATGACGCTCCTGGATATCTGTGCATGTGGACTGGGTGGCGGCAGCGGTGGCCTGGCAAACACGGTCCATGTCGTCGGATGCGACACGGCCAGCACAGAAGATGTCACGGTCCGCGAAGTATCTATAGAGCATGGTGATTAGTACATCGGAGAGAGATTATTGGTTTCAGCGGGTGCTTACTGTGTGGCAAGGTCACCAATGGGCAACTTGCTGAGAACAACCTTGGCTCCGGTCTTGTAGATAGCCTCCAGCTTGTTATAGATGATCTGCCACTCCGCATCGACAATAGCCTGGTACTCGGAGACTTGCTCCACGCGGACCTCCGCATTGTCCTTCTCGCTCTTCAATTCCAACTCGACGTTCAGGCAAACGATCTTGGGGTTTGTGAAGTACTTGGGCTGCTGCTCGAAACCGGCGTAGGAGAAGGTCTTCTTGAAGGCGACACCGTTGACGAAAAGAGATTCCTGAAGGCCACCACCAGTCACCTTCTTCACTCCGATCAACTTCTCGTTGAGATCGTCCTGGTCGAGAGAGAGAACCGCATCGACAACCACTGCACGTAGAAATCAATCGGTTAGCTATCCAAATATCACACGTCCAATCTCCCCAAAATTCAGGGGATCTGGCGGGGCACCATTAACTCACTCTTTGTAAAGAACTCCTGATTCCGCTTGATAAGCTTGCTGTTCATGGCGGTTCCAGCTAGTCGCCGAAGAGTCTCGATCTTCTTTTCCTCGCTTCCTGCCGACTCGATCATTTCCACCGCAATCTCCTTGATCTTGTTGACCGCCATGGCGCTTGCTCTCCGCAGACCCTTGATGATGGTCTGCGAGCTGACACCTTGCTCGACCAGGTCGCGGACCTCCTTCAGAATCTCACCAGCCAGGACAACGACGGAGGTTGTACCGTCACCGACTTCGGCATCTTGGGATCGGGCAATGTCCGTGAGGATACGGGCGGCGGGGGTGGACAATGTCCAGAAGCTATCAGGGGGAAGACAATAAGTTAGTATCGTCACTTTCTGCTTTCCAATTTCCGTTGCACGTTCCGAAGGAAGAGATACAAACCTTCATCACAGTGGCTCCATCGTTGGTGATGGTCTGCTTGCCATTGCTGTCAACAAGCAGGAGGTCACCACCGTAGGGACCGAGGGTGCTCTTGACTGTGGACTGCACAGCAACGCAGGCGTTGATGTTGGAGATGATTTGACCCTTTCCTTGAGAGGCGTCGGTGCCTATAATAATGAAGCGTCAATGGTTAGCATGGCTCGCTGGAATCCCACTAAACTGCCGCGGGGGGGAAATGGGAAGAACACAGACCCTCCTTCAGCACGACGATGGTGGGCGTTTGGCCGGCGAAGGCCATTGTAAAATCGAGAGCGAAAGCGAGACCGTAGACCGTTTGGTTTCGAATAAAGGGATTAGAAGAGAAAGGAAGATGGTCCTTGGTCGTTACGGGGGCTCGGAGGGGTTCGCTGATCTTCGACCGCCAAAATTTCCCAGAGCTTCTGTTCCCCTCAAAATGCCCCCCGAAGCCCCAAGGCGGTGACAGCACACCAACATACTATGCAGTGCTCTTTTTACCTTAATTTCCGTATATTGAGTGGAAACACTTAACTTCTCTTCATTTGCAAATATACCATGCTGATGAATATCATAACTAATCTGTACAATGATTTTGGGTTGACCCGACACTTCCACAAATACAGTCGTCACAGAATACAAAAAGGTGGTATCCAAGGGCCTCGAGACACATCTAACGCCAAGGCGATACAAAATCATTCCAAAAGAAAACATGTGGGGATCCCAACTTAAGTAAAGTCATAATTTCCTTCCGATGGACTGCCATACTCGTACTTAGCGAGTAGCTCTGCATCATGTTGCAAGTCGTGGGAAGGTGGGTTCATCAACCCAAGCACCTCCTGTCGAAAAGGGTCGGAGCCGTCATCAACCATCATTTGATAGGCATTGTTCGCTGTGTGATAACGCATTAAATCATCAAAATTGGAAATGTTCATATGTGGAACCGGGGCGAATCCACCGGCCATGGCATGCTGCTGCTGCTGCTGCTGCTGCTGATGTTGCTGATGTTGCTGATGTTGCTGTTGGTGTTGTTGGTGTTGTTGGTGTTGTTGGTGTTGTTGGTGGTGGTGATGATGTTGCTGCTGCTGCTGCTGCTGCTGCTGTTGCTGTTGCTGGCGTCGAACTTGCTGCTGCAGCATGATTTGAGGATCGAGAGGCATTTGATTGAAGTTCGCCATGGGATGCACCGCCCCAGGAACGGTCGCAGGAGGCTGAGGGTTCATAAAAGGATTATGACTGGGAGACTCATCCGGTGCTTCATCCATATCCTGTGGAATTTCAATCGCCTGCTTTGAGTGATCAATCTCCATACTTTGATCGGGCACATCCGATGCCCCAACTGAAGGAGACGAATCCTCGTCCTTAGTGCCGGGAATTGGTGGCAGTTTGAGTGTCTCTTTGCATTGCGGACAGTCTCGAATCACTCTGTTGACGGTCTCTTTGATCCGAACCCAGTGATATTTGATGGCAATTGCTGCTGTGGTCTTGTTGATTCCAGCATGTTGCTTCAAATGAACCTCCTGTGCAATCTCATATTGCTGCTGTGGGTCTGATACTACTTCCTTATCTTTGAGCATAAGTCTTTCCGGTTCGCCATCCTCGCCACCCGTGAGCTTGTAATGAGTGGCCGCACTACGGAGTCGACTCTTTTCGGCTCGATCTGCACCACGAGGATACTTTGAATGCTTGAGATAGTAGCGAATCTTCTCGAACCGATCCTGTGAGACAGAGTCCTCGCCATCAAGACTAAGCGTACGGCCATATATAATTGCGTCGACATACTCGCCGGGCTGTGACTTCAGCTGACCTCCACCAGGGACTCTGCCGATACGCTTGAAACCCAGCGAGTCCCACAAGCGACAGGATGCAACGTTAGATTCGTAAACCAAGTTGAAAACAGCATATGTGTATCCCTGTGAAATATGTCAGCCGACTGTGGGGTGTAAATAGCAAGATATTCGCCAGACACCTACCAGTCGAGGAGACCATTCCAGGTATGACTCGCCCATTAGTCGACCAACACCCTTGTTTCGAGCAGCATCTGTCACGATGAAGGTACCATTGCAGACATGACTACTCCTACCGGGGTAATTGGGACGAATGTGAAAGCCACCGAGACAAATTTTGGTCCAATTGGCACCGGCCCGGTCCATAGAGTGCGTCTGCTCCGCACTCTCGATATCGCCGAGTAACATCACCACGCCAAAACTAGAGAACCAATATCGGCCAAATTGGGCCAATGGAATCGGTTCGGACATGGCATAAGTATCTCCCTTTTCAATTTCCTTGTTAAATTGATCGGAGAGATACTTCAGTAACGGCCGGGGTACATCGTCCGCGGAGGCGAAGGGCACTAGAGTCGCCACCGTCACCCGATCACGAAGGGTAACCTGTCGAGGAGCCAGCGCAGGATACTCCGGCTCGGGACCTGTTGATACGACTTCTGCATCTGCTTGAACCTCAGACATGTTGAGATAAGTTGGAGAGGCTGATCACGGGACTGTTTTCCATATTAGTCGATCCGGGGTTGTTGATTCATTATTTTACGCCGAAATCGCGGGGAGAGGACCACGAGGGTTGTGGAATCGCCACATCAGGTGAATGAACAGAATTGCAGCGATATTGCACCACCAACTCAGTAACAGGGGGAGGTACTGACATTCTGTACAGCTTCTAGAAGCCGTTCTGGCACTTCGAGGACCGCGTGGGTATTCTGGAGTCCGGAATGACTGCAACGCAAGTTGTCGAAGCCGTCGTCCTTGCTGACTCATTGGATCACATGACCGTTCATTCTGCCTGAGTGCCTTAATGCCTACTTCTTCAGGCGGAAAATTCCTCCCGTTCCCGATCCACTCTGCCCCACCTTTTATTTACAGGGAAGGTATTCGATCTATCTCACCAGCCCCTCTAGTGGAGCTGAGTTCGACACCGACATTTGCTCGTTGATTCCACTCTCAACCGATCCTGCAGGATATGACGGAGTGTTTGTTGGCCTGAGGCTTCCAAGCAAATATGGAGGAGGGGTTCGGTCTGATCTTGATCTGTTACTCAGGATCGGAGCTAGTCCCAATCACCCCCGAACTTGAGCACGCCACACAGACACTTCAATCGCCATCAGTGCATTAAAGTGACTTTATCTCCATAATGGAAGACACAGGCCCACCGCAGTACTATGAGAACACTTTGAGTCCTCTCCCGATAAATACAGAGACACTCGCCAAGTCATTTCAGGAGCTACGCGATGCTGTTTACGTTGGTTCAGAGTTGGTTCACGCCAACGAAACGGTGCCGGAAAAATGGTCCGTTGGAGGCATGTTTAAGCATTTTCCAGGTACGGTCAATGGTCTACTTCAATTCGGCGGAATTCTATCGAATCAACATCTAACCTCATACTGCAGGTGTCGCCCTTGCATTCCTGCGCCTTGACTACCAATCTTCTGTACTTGCAGACGCCGGTAAACCTTCGCCAGATTTTCGTGACTTCGCTTCGCAACGAATTCTTTCGGGTTTCCCCGATTGTCCTCTCCTGCCGTCTCGCCTATCCCCAGCTGGGTCTTTCTCTCCCATAGCGGCTGCTACATTGCATATTTTGTCCAAGGTGGCGCAGACCAACTGGCAATCTCATTCCAAGCCCAGCTTGGCTGAGGAGGATATCAACCTTCTTTACGATGCCGCCAATCTGGCGCTGCAAAATGGACATCTCGTTCCACATGGCGATCAAAAAATGGGAGGAGACGAGATGCTGTATGGCCGAGCAGGCCTACTGTGGGTCCTGCTAAACATTCGAGCCCATGAATTCGACGAAAGTACTCAGAAGGCTCTTTCTCCGATTTTCGATACTATCCCCCGAATGGTTGATGTGATCATCGATGCCGGTAGGCAGGGTGCGAAGGAGTATATCCAAGAGCATGGAGAGATGGAGGCACATCCTTTGATGTACCCTTGGATGGAAGGTCGCTATTCCTTCGGAGCGTGAGTCAAACTTCGATGCATTATTATCAAGAACCTCAACACTAATACTCTCGAATCAGCGCTCACGGAATTAGTTAGTATTCCACATAAACAATGCCCCTCTACCAGAACTTGAAGCCACTGACCATTCATTATCATTACAGCCGGTATATTGACTATACTTCTTTCCTCCAAGCCCGAAGAGCTCGAGAAGCACCTGCCCATACTTGGGTCCACCATAACAGCACTCTGCAAGCTTAGCAATGCAACAAATGGCCATCTTCCGATGGCACTTCCTCCAATGAGCTTCGGCCAACGCTCGGAATTTGTTCAACTCTGCCACGGCAGCCCCGGGACTCTCATTTTACTATCTGCAGCCTTAAAAAATGGCCCGCTTACTAGAGATTATTGGTGCCCAGAGTGGGACCAGACCATCTACCTAGGCACCCAGCGTATTTGGGAAGAGGGCATCTTATCCAAGGGAGGCAGTCTATGCCACGGGATTTCCGGAAATGCATGGCCGTGGCTCATGCTGCATGGTGTCTTTGAATATCATTCAAGCGATATCAACGAAGCCAGATGCTTATATACCAATCGTGCTGGAATTTCATCTCTACCAGCCCCAGACTTCAGCAAGGAGCTCACACCGGATTTCTTTCTCTCCAAAGCTCTCGCTTTCATGCTTCATTCTCGCGAAACTCGTCCATACAACACTGCATCCGCAAACACGGACAAGGAGTACCGTATGCCTGACGACCCTTACTCATTATATGAGGGACTTGCGGGCAATATCTGTGCATGGGCTGAAACTTGCTCTGTGCTCCAGGCGAAACTTCGCAAGATCGAACTGAGCGAGAAGGGTGTTCCTTATGAGAATGATAGTGCTTTCCAACAAGCTATGCGTAGCCAGTTGGGATTCCCCCTTATTGGTGGTAATGGGGCTGCTGGTATTCTTTAAACATTAGAACGCCCATAAGTATGTGAATTCTATTGGGTAAAATTTAGATATTTTGATTCTTCATGGAAAGCAACTTCTTCTGGCCTTTCATCAAATAACTCCTTCTTCAATTAAAGTAGCACGTAGCCATGAACTGGTAACTTTTCTCGAACCTTCTCTGGGGCTTTGATACAATCTGTTATACACATGTTTAGATGAAGACAATTCCATATTTATGTGAGCCCTCGGGGCATTTATCCGGCTGCTATTAGTGATGTGCTTCTCAAAGGTAAATGCAGTCTCCAGCACTATTCAGCCTCTTCAAGAGCTCTTGAAGTATTGGTTGCCCTTCCAATCCCCATGTTCCGATCTAACTCAAATCTTGTAAAGGTTAGCATGAGCGTCATAGATATCACGACATACCCAATTTATGACGAGCCCAGATGACTTATCCGCCTGTCTACCTATATTCTATAATGATTCATGTTTGTAGATAACTTCAAAGCAGTGAGCAATAATCATCAGCCATGAATTTTACAAAATTGAAAATTAAGAACGGTAGAAAAAGCTCGGCTTTTGAGACTTTTGACAAACCCCGGATTGGTAACGAATCCTTGCCAACATGGTGGCCTCGGACATAACACGGGCCGAACTGTAAGCTTGTTCTTCGAAATCAAGAACACCTCTTATTTTTTTGTAAATCTTTCACTACATCTTTTTATTATTTGAGATATCTTCAGGTCCCTCAAAAGGGTTATTCTCTGACGCCTATATCTAGTCAACTTTACTTCCAAAGACACATTTTCAAAAATGCCGCTCCTTGAGATCCTACAGCTTGAGGCTGATTCACTTTTCCGTGATGATAGATCAGTTTTAAATTACAATGAGAAGATCCAGAATCTGGTCCGAGCTTTTGAAGAGGTGAATCCTCCTGTCAATTTCGTTCTTGGAAGCCACCATCAAGACAAAAACGCCATTCAAATCACGTTTGAACATCGCGACGACTGGCAATCTACCACTTCTCTTTTGAAAGCCATTGAAGGTTTTTACGATGCACCCCTCAAGACTTTTCGAGTCAATCTTGAAAACTCGGTGTTCGGAGCAGATGGAATTGCTACGGCGAACGCAATAGAGTTCGTCCTGTCTTATTTTCCAACATCCAGCATCGATCCAGACTTTCAAAATAAGATACAAAAGGACTTCGTAAGGTTTGATGAGATATACAGCGCGGCTACGACGGGAGACCAAGGCTTGGTATATGGTTGGCTGGAAGAGGAACAGCCCCATGAGGATGTCGATGGAGGATGGGCAACCTGTTTTTTTGTCATGAGAGGATGGAATAGCATGGACAACTTTGAGGCCTCCACCAATACTGAAGCCTACAAGGAGGCTATACCTTTATTATTCGGATGGAACGCTCCGTTCAAGATGGTAGGTCTTTTTTGTCCCTTTCTCTACCGCGTTATAAGCTAATGAGCCCAGTGGCATGTTGAGCGTCAATCTTGAACTTGAAGGCCCCATAGAAGCATGAGTAGTACTATATATGCTTCTTTTATTTTATTTCAAGCCTTGCAACAGCGCTGTATAGCCAATACCAAAGTGCACACAGTTCCCACAACTCCTATCAAGTAAATTCTTCACATTTTGTTTGATAGAAGATAGGTTTTTCTTCTCTATAATTATGCACAGGATTACGATCAAATCTCTACAATATCACATGGAAGTACGAAGATTGGCGGCCATATCCACCCCCACCTTGCTTTACAACATATTGAATGGATTATGTGTACACGCCTACTTTGCGTCTCTTTCAATCCTCAGTCTCTCATAAAGCAGAGAGAGATAGGATCAGATAAGTCAAATAAATCAATCAACCTTCTAGGGTCTAAAAGTCAGTGTGGCTGGTGACTACCATAGATACTACTACGCTCTCAACTAAACCTTTTGCTAAAATGGCAAAGCGAGCTTAGGGGTCTGGAGGGTAATATTTGCTGATAACCTCTAAGTGGCGATAAATAGGAAGTTGCTGCGGTACATGATGGGGCCAAAGTCAGCCCCGACCTTACGGACCCCACTAACCTTTAGGAAGTGCGGGTGCGGGGCGCTCACGACGTGGCGGAGTCGGAGTCGGGCAACTGACCGGTCCCTCTTCAACGTCAAAACAGGAAGCCTTGAGGCAGAGAGGATGATTCAAACTTCCGTGATATATAAATGATGCAGGTCATCTTCTCAAAATCCCGGCCCCACCCACTTGACAATGAATCCAATTCCCCCGTCATACGAGTCAGCGACAGACCGAGATGCATGGGTGATAATTGCTCACTACATACCATCCAGCGACCTGTGCGCTGCTTCACTAGTTAGCCATCGATGGCACGACCTCTTTGTGCCTTTTCTATGGGGCGATCCTGCCTCTCATTTCGGCACGGATAATGATGCTGTTTATGGTAGGTCCCCGCAGCCGTCTACATCATGAAATGGAATAGCTCAAAGACTAACACATGCGAACAGTGGCCCTGACGCGATTCCGAAGAACCCTCAAATATGCCAGACCAGAAGTTCGAGCTTTAACTCATACACTTCACCTTCCGCCTGCGCTATCGGAGATCTATGGTGGCCCACGACCAGGGTGGCTACGCGACATTCTAGAATACTTACCATGTTTACAGTGCTTGATGGTATCGAAATTACCTTTCTTTGACCATAATGCCATGGTTGCACTGAAAATCCATCAGTATACCCAATATAATGTTCGTCTTCTGCTTGCAGACCATGAGCCAAACACTACGTCTTCGGGCCTTGCGGAAACAATTTTGCGGTTTCCTCTATTGACATACCTGGATCTCTCATACACAAGATCGGCAAAAGATCGCAGTGTATTATCTTCAATCTCGCAGCTGGAACATCTACAAGTGCTCAAGCTGCGTGGGATCGGCCTGAAGGATAATGATGCTGAATTCCTTGCCAACGCAATCGGGACTCGCGTTCGTTTTCTCGACTTGAGGAACAATTTATTGACTGATATGTCGGTCCGCTCTCTACTACAAGCTTCTTTTCCTCCGTCTAGTCAGCCGACACAGCAGCATTCTCCGAGAAGGACTGGTACTTCTCCCGATCCATTCTCTCAATCCATACGCATGGGCGAATCCGACTTCTTGAAATCCCCGCAGTTGGATGAGCAGATCATCAAGCTTCTAGTTCAGCCAATATCAAGCAATCCTTGGGTCGAGGACATTCCACACGCCGGTGTCACGCACCTCTATATCGCAAACAATCAAATCACTGTTGAGGGTGTAGCAAGCCTTCTGGCGAGTTCCCGACTCCATGCACTCGATGCTGGAACAGTACATACAGCTGATCTCATACACATGAAAACCTTATCCCGAAAGGCTGGGAGATACCCAGGCGCGGAAAAGCTCGTGCCTCTTTTAGGTAACATTGCTGGGGAAAATCTGACTTACTTTCGAGCAAACCATGCTGTTCTTACCGCGGAGCCTCCAGCAAAGGATGCTGCACCGACAACTGAATTTTTACCAGAGCTTCCATCTGATGATGTCAGCCGTGAATACGAATTGGACGCCAGCCAAGAAGTTCATGAGATGGCCAGTGGCGAGCTGCCAGTTTTTGAATTGGCGGATACTTCAATATCTGATGCTTCCAGCTCCAGAGAAACCATCACTCTAGCTCGACCCCGTCATTCGACTACTTATGAGGACGAGGCTTTGCCATCGGTCAGACGGGGATCTGCTTTCGCCCCAGAAGTCATCTTACCAAGCCGACATGAGGGGAGTGACAAGGATTCTCCTAGTTTGAGCCACGGCGTATCCTTGGGCTCAAATGGATGGGGGATCAGACGGGAGGATACAGTGTCCTCGATGTCAATCAGTGCTTATGGTGACTCACTGGGTCCCGACTCTTTAGGGCCCATAGCACAGTGCAGCTCCCCTATATCAGGCGATGATCCTCGCGCCCAAAGTATACAGGAACTTCTTGCCAAGCGTCCACGAAATCAGTCACTTCCCCTTCGGGGTGGGAAGGAAAGCCGATTCCCATACCTGCATCCCTCTCATATTCCACACTTAGAGACTCTAGTCTTGACCGATGTCCCGTCACATATCCCACCCAACTCCCCAGTTTTATACACCCTCAAACGGTTTATAACAGCTTGTTCGAATGAAGCGCTACTCGCAACACTACAGGCGGGGTCGGACTACTCGCTTCCACCAGGCAAAGCCCGTTTACAAGCCGAGCAGCAACGGTCTCGCTCGTTGTTTGGTCTTCGACGAATAATTCTCGAGATTACACCTACAGACACCTCCACTCGACTTACTACCTGGAAACCCGCTAGTCAACACAACGGTATATCGAACTCGAGCACCGGCGATCGCGACTCGGAGAATCTTTGGGCAGCAGCAACTGAAGACTTCAGTTTCTTTGGCGAAGAGGAGTGCGGGATTCCTGAAAATGACCCGGGCAAATACTTCCCCATGGCCGTACTGAACGAGAAGGTCTCACTCATGCCTTCAGACGATGACTCCACCTACTCCGGCAAGGAATCTCCCTTGCCTCGTGATGTCTCGCGGCAGGGTACGACCTCTGTTCCGGGGCGAACTCCTAGCCCATCGGGCCGCGATGGTAGTCCAGAGGACGAACTAGTCCAGAACGTTGACGTCATTGCCGAACTTGCTGTTTTCCGCCGGACAAAGAAAGCTGAATATGAGCAAGTGGTGCGGCGGGAGAGAGGACGGCGGAGCACGATAGGCAGCGGTATATCCACTGGTAGTTTTCTGCCCGTGTCTGCGCCTCAGATCTCCATGGCGCATTTCGTTGAGGGTCATTGGAAGGGCGAAGTGAAGGTGGTACGGAACCCGACGCCAAAGGGCCGCACTGGGACAGTGGACATGTATGGGAACTATTTTGAGAAGGGATATCTATACCCATAACGTGTAAATAGAAGACGCAAATTGCATGTCGAGGAGCAGCAGTATCAGAGTGATAAAAAACTACGAAATGACGACTAGTACTAGTTGCAACCAGAAGATAAAGGGTGATTTTTTGGTATTTTCTAGCCCAATATACGGACTCTTCCTTCCTTCCAGTCATGCAGAAGCCATCGTCATTTGGCTCAATTCGTCAAAAGGCACAAAGACAGGTTCGAATGGAATGGTTTCTTGAAAGAAAACCCCGGATGGATCCTCTTTCACACCCTCATCCGCCCATTTATTTGATCAACTCGTGCCCATCCATTTTTGTCCACTTTTCTTGGTCTTGTGCAGTGGCATTTTGTCGGAGACTTCCATCACAGATAGCACCCGAGCGAAACACCACTGCAATCCGTCGGTCAAGAACACGGGGAAAGGAAACAAAATAAAAGAAGTGAATTCATTTCAGACTAAGTTCCATTTTATTTTGTTCGTTGAATCACGTTCCTCTCCTTTACAGAGCCTTAGCGGCCTGGGTGGGTTGCAGCTTCTTGCCGTCCTTGTTGTAGCGGATGCGGGGAGGGGGAGCACGGTTGCGGCGGCCTTCGCGGGAACGGACACTGTAGAGTAGTTAATTAGTTTTTGAACGATTCGGGCGGTCGGGGTTGCGTATGAGGGATTTCGTACCGAACGATCTTGCCGTGGATAGCGCAGGAGACACAGTACTGCAGCTTGAGGTACATCTTGGGGACGGAGTACTCAGCGAAGACGGAGGCCTCGGAGATATCACCTATAAATTGGACAATTCGTTAGACGGTGTTCTGGTTCTGTATTCGTAGATCTGTCGAGGGTGCTACCAGCGGGATTCTCAGAAGTTCAAGTCGTATATGGCTTCACAGTCTCCCGGCTGGTGATAGATAGTGCGTGGATAGAAGGTTGTGAGGGTCACATACGGATGGCGGCGGACTCGACCATGTTGCGGATGGTGAAACGCTTGATGGCCTTGTCCTTGGGAACGCAGCGAGCGCAGTTGGAGCAACGCACGGGGTTAACGTGGCCGCGGCCGTTCTTGTTACGACCGCTAAAGAATCAATCAGTCATCGTGTTCCCTTGAGATTTGTTCATGTTCGAGTTGTGCGATGTTCCCAGTTTCCCCCATTCTCAATCGTCCGGCAATGCGCGTTTTTTGTGTAGTAATTTGCTGGATTGTATTCGATTCGAGTATAATAGGCGAATAAATGATTGATCGAGTTGAGTCGGCGTCATTGCGGAGATGTCGAATGGGAGACTGAGATCGCGAATTCATTGGGAGGGATAGGCCTTACTTGTTCGCCCGCTTCTTGACCATTTTGACGGATTTCTCTGTGGAGGGTCAGATGTTGGATCCTGCGACGGAAATGTAAAGGGGAGGTAGCGTACGGTTGATTTGTCGGAGGGTGGGTTGTCGAAGCTCGCTCACTCAGTGACTCTGCCGGAATGGATGGTTGGTATTGTGTTGTGGGAAGCCCTAAGCCCTTAAGCGAGACCCACGGACAAAGTTGACTGCCTTACCGCCTTGTGGCCTTATTGCCTTATTGCCTGGGCGGTCACCCGGGTCTGATGTCATCAAAATTTTCTGCCTTTGTGCCTTAATGCCTTAATGCCTGCCCATCAGCGGTGAACTCCCCCCTCCCATCACGTGGACGGTCACGAGAAAGACCTCTCCCCAAAATAGACTAGCGGCCGGGACAGCGCGATGTTTACGCCCGTGCATCTACCGAACCCCCCCTGGTCGAGGATCGTCCGACGACTCGACCTTTTTTCTTGCCGGACGAACTCCCTTGCTTTTTTTCTCATACCAGCTCTTGTCTTTTGTTTGCTTCACCCCTCTCTCTCCCTCTCTTCCCCCCTCCGCCCTTCTTTGTTGTGTCATTCCCCTCCTGGCATTACTATGTCGCATACTGGTACTTTTAGGGGAACGCCCAATAAAACAATCGGGAGAGGAAGGCTGCCCGACTTCGACAACTCAGGTGGTTCACATATCCCCCGTCCCCGTTCAGACCGTCCCGAATCCGTTGCCACTACCAACACCCCGGCTAGCGACGTCGGAAGCGGCACCATGAGCGCTGCCAGTACCAGACAACGACAGAATCAGTCGAAGCGTGATGAGGTGCGTGATGAATGATATAGGATCGGCATGCTTGAATATGCCTCGCTCGTCTACCCGACTCCGTCTTTTTTTTTTCTCGGATTGCCGACTAACTCATTGGGCTTTTGCAGGCTATCCGCCGTAAGATGGAGGCCGACCTCAACAAAAAGAGGCACAATCCGGCCAAAGCTCGCAACTCCCGCAAGGCCCCTCCCGGCACCGTGCTGGCCCTGAAGCCAAGCCAGGCCCTTCAGATCAAGCCCTCGCTCAGCATCGCCGAGGCCGCCCAAATGATGGCCGCCAAGCGCGAGGACTGTGTTTTGGTTACCGACGACGACGAGCGCATTGCTGGTATCTTCACCGCGAAGGATCTTGCCTTCCGTGTGATCGGAATGGGATTGAAGGCACGCGAGGTTTCTGTCGCTGAGATTATGACCAAGAACCCATTGTGCGCCCGAACGGACACTAGTGCTACGGATGCCCTCGATCTGATGGTGCGGAAGGGTTTCAGACATTTGCCTGTCATGGACGAAAACCAGGATATCTCCGGTGTCTTGGATATCACCAAGTGCTTCTACGATGCGATGGAGAAACTGGAGCGTGCTTATAGCTCCTCACGGAAGCTCTACGACGCATTGGAGGGTGTTCAGACTGAACTGGGCTCGAGCCAGCCCCAGCAGGTCATTCAGTATGTGGAGGCCCTGCGATCAAAGATGTCCGGCCCGACTCTTGAGTCCGTCCTTGACGGTATGCCCCCAGTCACTGTGTCCGTCCGAACTTCGGTCAAGGACGCTGCTGCATTGATGAAGGAGCACCACACCACTGCTCTGCTTGTCCAGGACCAGGGCTCCATCACCGGTATCTTCACCAGCAAGGACATTGTCCTGCGTGTTATTGCCCCCGGTCTTGATCCATCCAACTGCAGCGTTGTCCGCGTCATGACACCTCACCCTGATTTTGCCCCGTCCGATATGAGCATTCAAGCGGCTCTCCGCAAGATGCACGGTTAGTTTGGCCTAATGACACCCATACCTTGCAAGATACTAATGAGTAAATAGACGGCCACTACCTGAACTTGCCTGTGATGAACGAGGGTGGTGAGATTGTTGGCATGGTTGATGTGTTAAAGCTCACCTATGCTACTCTTGAACAGGTACTACTCTCTGCTAGAAAACTGGCTGAAATAACCGTAGCTAACACAAGTGCTAGATCAACACCATGGGATCCCAGGATGACGAGGGACCCGCGTGGAACAAATTCTGGCTTTCAATGGACCACGAGTCTGATTCGATGGTCTCCGGCAGTGCGAGAGACCAGCCCCATACGCCACACAACCGCTCCGTCATGAGCCCCGACCTGACCCGGTCAGGCTACGACAACAGCGTTCTACCTAACGAATCCGCCTCTCACCACGGCGGCGAAGAGCATTCCGAGGTTGCTTCTCACCAACACCACCAGCAGCCCGCGGAGGATGCCCCGTTCCCATTTAAGTTCAAGGCGCCCAGCGGGCGGGTGCACCGTGTGAACGTGCTCGCCACGGCTGGTGTTTCTGATCTCGTGGCACAGGTGACCGCGAAACTTGGCTCTGAGCTTGAGGCTGTTGGTGGTGAGGCCGAGGTTCAAGAAGGCCGCCTGAGCAACACCGGCTATGCTCTCAGCTATATGGACAATGAAGGCGACACTGTTTCAATCACGACAGATCAGGATATGATCGATGCCATCACCCTTTCACGTCAGACGCGCCGCGACAAGGTTGATCTGTTTGTCCATGACCCTACCCAGCCCCCTATCCCTGCCACTTTGGACCCGCAGCCCGCCAAGCCTGCAACCCCTGTGGTGGAACAGAGCAGCCCTGTCGTCCCCGAGGAGTCTCCGGTCGAGGAGCCTGTAACCAAGCACCGCCAACAGCAGTCCTTCTCCTCGCAGAACCAGCATCCTGAGGAGCAACTCATCGCGGGTGTTCCTAATGATCTGCTTCTGCCCGGAGCTATTGTCACTCTGGCCGCAGTCATTGCCGGTGTCTTCATCCTCAGCCGTCCCAGCGGTCGCTAAAATCCCCCTTTAGACATATCTTCCATTATCGTCGTTATCTCCATCATCATCTCTCTTCGTTCACATTGTTCTTCTAGCCCTTCTGTGGTTTCTTTTCCCGTCAATGGATCCTCCCAGCTCGACACCTTGGGTCCTGTCATCTTCGAGAGTGCATACCCCCCTTCTAATATTGATATTCTGTGTCGCCTTCAGATACCGCTGTTCAGGTAATGATCAGTCGCGGCCTTAGTTTAGCCTTCAATGCAAATACTTACTTCCTAGAGCTTGGGAAATCATGGTGGGGTCCACGGTTTCAATTGAATGTTGCGTAGTATGCCCACTAGCAGGTACTTACTGCTACCAATATCTAGTACCTAGGTACCTAGTTCCAGGGATGCTACTGATCGCCGGCTATATATACTAAGGTACTAATCGGATCAATTGAATGCTGAATATGAACTTAGAAGGGTTAATGAGTGAGGTAATAGTATGAGTATGTAGCTATGAAAAATCCAGTCTTAAGGACCTCGTTCTTATCATCTTACCAGTAGTAAGAACGGATTATTCTGTATCAGGTCTAGTTTGATGCTGGGGTATGAACTGTGGATTGTGCACCGGGGGGGGGGAGCCAAGATGATCACCAAGCCCAATTTCAGCGTGAAAGACTGGAACATATTCTTCATTGAAATCTCTTTTATATCTTGGAGGTAAAATCTATTAATTCGTTTGCCAATTCCCTAAATCTTGTGTTCAAGTGATCAATCACCTTGGAATACTGTCACAAGTACTTGTAGTGGCTATCGCATATCAATTCCCCTAATCATCAATCTTTTTTTCCTCCCTGCCCGCCCCACCAAAAACAAAACTCCTCTCTCCTTCCACCCCTCTTCCACCCCACCATACACTCCCTTCTCAAGAGTTATTGATCTGGGTTGATTTTGTCTGTTGGATCTTGGGAACAGACACACCCACCATGTCCCTACTCCCTCCCGAGGTCCATACCGCGCTGTCCCAGCTGCTGCGCGCCCTCAGCACACCCGACAACGCTGTTCGATCGCAGGCGGAAGACCAGCTGAACAATGAATGGGTTCAGAATAAGCCGGATGTCCTACTGATGGGCCTGGCTGAACAGATTGGTGGAGCTGAAGACACATTAGTGAGTTCACTATCACCCTTTACCCTCTCTAAGGGAGGAGGTGGTGGTCCAGCCAACGACCACAAGACTACCCAACGGTGGGAAAAAATAAGAACAAGGGCGATGCGGGACTGGCACCTCCTCCGTGACACTGGACCGACGGAATAGTATCGCTAAGACCATATCTCCTTCAAAAACCAGACCCGTGCTTTCTCCTCTGTGCTTTTCCGAAGAATCGCAACCAAGACCCGCAAGGACCCCGCCACTGGCGAGGCTAAGGAGGTCTTCTTAAGCCTCCCCAACGAACAACGAGTCGCTATCCGCGAGAAGCTGATCACCTGCCTCACCACCGAATCCGTTCTCGATGTGCGCAAGAAGGTTGGCGATGCCGTCGCCGAGGTAGCCCGGCAATACACCGACAATGGTATGCGGATCATCACCCTTGATACAACGTGGGATCTAATGTTGGCTCTAACACGCTCAATCTTCTCGTTACAGGCGATCAATGGCCCGAACTCCTCGGCGTCCTTTTCCAGGCCAGCCAGTCTCCCGAGGCTGGTCTGCGAGAGACTGCTTTCAGAATCTTTACCACCACCCCTGGTATCATTGAGAGGCAGCACGAGGACGCCGTGGTTGGTGTGTTCACCAAGGGCTTCGAAGACGAGAACATCTCTGTAAGTTCGACCGCAGCGTATATGAGCTGCTTATTCCCAACGGGGATTTTTGATCCCTAATGCTTTTCTTTCTAGGTCCGAATTGCCGCTATGGAAGCCTTCGCCGCGATGTTCCGTTCGATCAGCAAAAAGTCCCAGAGCAAATTCTTCGGTCTCACTCCCGCCCTTCTTCACATCCTCCCTCCCCTCAAGGAATCCAGCGAGAGCGAGGAGCTGTCCTCCGCTCTCCTTGCTCTGATCGAGCTGGCAGAGATCAACCCTAAGATGTTCAAGGCCTCGTTTAGCGACCTTGTCAAGTTCAGCATTGGTGTTATTGCTGATAAGGAGCTGAGCGACCAAGTCCGTCAGAATGCCCTGGAATTGATGGCTACATTCGCCGACTACTCTCCAAACATGTGCAAGAAGGAGACAAACTTTGCCCAGGAGATGGTCACCCAGTGTTTGAGCTTGATGACTGATGTCGGTGCTGATGACGATGATGCCGAGGACTGGAACGCGTCCGAGGATGTAAGTTATCATATTGTCCAAACCCTTTGAATGACTTTCTAACGACCCTCAGCTCGAGCCCGAGGAGAGCGATCTCAACCACATTGCTGGTGAGCAATGCATGGACCGTCTGGCTAACAAGCTCGGCGGCGAAGCTATTCTCCAGCCCGCCTTCTCCTGGATTCCCCGCATGATGTCCTCCACCGCCTGGCGCGATCGTCACGCTGCTTTGATGGCCATCTCTGCTATCTCCGAGGGCTGCCGTGACCTGATGGTCGGCGAACTCGACCAAGTCCTCGCCCTCGTCGTCCCGGCCCTGCGTGACCCCCACCCCCGTGTCCGATATGCGGGCTGCAATGCTCTCGGTCAAATGAGCACTGATTTCGCCGGTACCATGCAAGAGAAGTACCATGGAATTGTCCTGAACAACATTATTCCTGTGCTGGGCAACACTGAGCCCCGCGTGCAGTCTCACGCTGCCGCTGCTCTGGTCAACTTCTGCGAGGAGGCCGAGCGCAGCATCCTTGAGCCCTACCTGGGAGACCTTCTCGGTCGTCTTTTGGAGCTTTTGCAGAGCCCCAAGCGCTATCTGCAAGAGCAGGCTCTTTCCACCATCGCCACCATCGCCGACTCCGCTGAGACCGCCTTCGGTCAATACTACAACAACCTCATGCCGCTGCTGACGAATGTTCTGAAGCAGGAACAGGGCAAGGAGTACCGCCTTCTGCGTGCTAAGGCTATGGAGTGTGCTACTCTGATTGCTCTGGCCGTTGGCAAGGAGAAAATGGGCCAGGACGCTCTGGACCTGGTCAACATTCTGGGCAACATCCAACAGAACATCACCGATGCCGATGATCCTCAATCCCAGTATCTCCTTCACTGCTGGGGCCGTATGTGCCGTGTCCTTGGCCGTGACTTTGTCCCCTACCTGCCCGGCGTCATGCCCCCTCTACTGACCGTGGCTGCTGCTAAGGCCGACATCCAACTCCTTGATGATGAGGACCAGATCGAGCAGGTTGAGCAAGATGAGGGTTGGGAGCTGGTTCCTCTTAAGGGCAAGATTATTGGTATCAAGACCAGCGCTCTGGAGGACAAGAACACCGCTATCGAGTTGATCACAATCTACGCCCAGATCCTGGAGGAGGCTTTCGAGCCTTACGTCTTGGAAACCATGGAGAAAATTGCCGTCCCCGGTCTCGCTTTCTTCTTCCACGACCCCGTCCGTGTTTCGGCCGCTAAGCTCATTCCCCAGCTGCTTAACTCCTTCAAGAAGGCGCACGGCGGTCAGTCCCCCGGATTTGCTGAGATGTGGAGCAAGGTTGCCGAGAAGATCATTGAGGTGCTCAGCGCCGAGCCCACCGTTGATACCCTGGCTGAGATGTACCAATGCTTCTACGAGTCCGTTGAGGTTGTTGGCCGCAACAGCCTCACCCCCCAGCACATGCAGGCCTTCATTGAGTCCGCCAAGTCTACTCTCGAGGACTACCAGATGCGCGTGAAGCAACGGCTGGAGGAGCAGGCCGAGCTCGAGGAGGGTGATGAGGAAAACCTTGATTACGAATTCGCCATTGAGGACGACCAGAACCTGCTCAGCGACATGAACAAGGCCTTCCACACCATCTTTAAGAACCAGGGTAACACTTTCCTACCTGCCTGGGAACAACTGATTCAATTCTATGACAACTTCATCACCAGCCAAGATCCTACTCAGCGCCAATGGGCCCTCTGTATCATGGATGATGTTCTCGAGTTCTGCCCCGCGGAGTCTTGGAACTACAAGGACCACATTATGCAGCCTCTGGCCTCTGGTCTCACCGATGAAAACGCCGCCAACCGTCAAGCTGCCGCCTATGGTGTCGGTGTTGCCGCCCAGAAGGGTGGTGCCCCATGGAGCGATTTCGTTGCCGCCAGCATTCCCAGCCTCTTCCAGGTTACCCAGCACCCGCACTCCCGTACGGAGGAGCACGTTTTCGCTACCGAGAATGCTTCCGCTAGTATTGCGAAGATTCTGCACTACAACGCCTCCAAGGTGCAAGGTGCTCAGGATATCGTCGTCACCTGGATCGAAACTCTGCCCATCATCTACGATGAGGAGGCTGCTCCTTACGCCTATTCCTTCATTGCCCAGCTGATTGACCAGTATGTTTTATCTACCTCTTGACTATCATATTTTTGCTCTCAAAGACCAGCTGCTAAATTCTTTTACAGACAAAACCCCGCCGTCATCAGCAAGGCTGACCGTGTTTTCGGATTTATCGTGCAAGCTCTCGACATGGCGACTCTGCAGGGACAGACTGCCACTCGTGTTGCCGCCTCGGCCAAGCAGTTGGTGTCCGCGACCGGCCTGAACGCCGAGCAGATCCTGGCAGGCGTCAACCCAGACAACCAGGAGCGAGTTCGCAAGTACTTCCAGTAGAGAATTCGGGTTTTGTTCTATATCCGTGGCACTGTTTCTTGCCCGTCCCGGTTGCTCTTTTGTTAATCATTCCCCTTGGCCATGTGAATCCGATGCTAGTGAAAGACCTGAAATGTTTTCGTTAATTTCATATCCCATTTTCTTACTCGCCTCCCTCCCTTTCGTACACTTATTGTCGAGGTCTAAGTGACGTTTATTTAACTCTGGTCTGGCCATGGATGTAGATGGAATTGATATCGAGGCCTTTCTTATGCTGATGAATATGTACACTTGCAATATTCCAATGGCTCTCCTTCTACTCATCTCTCTTTCTCCCTATCTCCATTTCTTTTTAAAGTGAAGAAACTCGGCGGATCTCATTCGCAACCACCTCTTGCAGACCGAGTACCTTGGGCTCCCCAATAAGCCCGTTATCCCGCTGCTCATACAAAGTTCCTCCCTCGGTCCAGATGCGGCGCAGAGTGAGCACAGTCGCAGCTCCATTCCCAGCGTCCCATGCGGCCTTTTCCAGCTCGCGCAGTCGCTCAAGGGAGGTTTCCGAAACGGACTCCCATGGCTGACCAGTCGTTTGACGCTCAAACTCAGCCTGGATTTCGGCCGGGGTGGTAGTGAATGAATTCACACGCAGAGCTCGGTTGCGAGCCTCAGGGCCAGCGTTAAGAAGAGCTGACAGAACCAGGGTTCCCACACTGTATCCATGCGTTAGCTTATTATATCCAAAACAACGAACTTCTTCTCCTTTCCCAGGTATCCAAAACTAATATAGATGCAAAACCAAACCCGGAGATAGTACTTACTCCTTCATCGTAGTCAAGCTAACCCTCGCCGCCCCCTTTTCACCCAGCAACACAGCCTTGCGTTCCTTGACATCCCATCCACCGGCTTCTTCCAGCCCGGGCGTGAAATGAAGATACATTTCCGCAAATGGGCCCGTCACGACGTACGAGTAGTCGAGATCACCGCGTGAAATCTCCTGCTCGAGCACGGCGCGAACCTTCAACTTCTGCTGATGCGGCTTTTCATGCGCCGAGGCAGGACCGTAGGCGATGTCTGTGCCATACTCGGATGGGAAGAACCATTTCACGTCGGAACTTGCAGCTGCGAGACGAATGAGAGATATCTGCTGTGCAAGGGTGTTTCGGCCAAGGGCTGAAATGACGGTGTCGATTCCTGTTGCCCGATTAGTTTAGCCATTGCGATTCAATAGAGGTGAGGGTATAGTAGGTATAATTTGATAGGGTATCTTATACCATTGTATGCAGCCTTTACAGCGCTCTCATCTTCAACATCTCCAACAATAATCTCGACTTTTTGCTGTATCAGCTTTTCCAGATATGCCGATTTGGTCTCGGCAGTTCGTGCGGAGGTGAAGATGGCCACTCGGCCGAAGGAATCGCGGGCAGTGAGGACGGCTTCCAAGATGAACGAGCCGATTTGGCCAGTCGCGCCGAAGAGGAGGATATTCTTAGCAGCCATGATCTTGATATTTTAATATCTCTTTGGTATTTGTATTCTGGGTTAAGATTCAATTGGATCTATAGTATGGAGAAGACAAGAAGAAGAACCGCTTGGAATCAACGTGGGGCGCGGGGTTGCTTAGCAATCGAGATGGAAATTGACCCCATCGTCATGTCCTACCCACGATGATACCATACCTCATAGTACGCTATAGTATACTCAAACCACCATCTCCAGAATCTCCAGTACCTGTTCCTTCTCCTTTAATGGTACTGGATTTGACTGGCACCATCGGTCGTGTAGACTATGCGCTGCCAGTGCATCCAGCTTATCCCGGCCAACACCCACATCAGCAAGGGACCGCGGCATACCAAGCTCACGGATCACTGCATCGAGGATATCGCCAAGATCGGCCGTCTCAGTATCAACCGACCGGCTATGTAGAACCTCCGATACGATGGGGTCGTTAAGGAGGAACTCGCGAACTCGCGCTTGTCGATCCCGGTTGGCATTGTGCTTTGCATTGAATTTACACACAGCCGGGAGAAGAATACAGCTTGTTTCACCGTGACCAACTCCGAGAGGGCCGAGCTGTCGTTCTTCGTTAGCTTTTATTCCCCGAGCGAATCTTGTTGGTGATATGGAGTAAAGTGTAACAAACCTGATGTCCAATTCCGTGGCTAGCTCCCAATTCCACTGATCCACTCGTACAAGCCGCCATCGCATCCACTGATCCCAATTGGCACTGAAGATGAGCATTACGGTCTGCACGGTCCTTGTGACAGCGAAGGAGTCCGGGGACCAGCATGCCGAGTGCGCGTTCTGCCAGCTCGTCCGACGCAGATGTCGTCCCAACGATGGCACAGAGCGTCTCCACACAATGGTCCACAGCGCGTACGCCCGTACTGATCCAGATGGAGTCGGGAGTTTTCGCCGCTAGCTCGGGGTCCAAAATAATCAATTGTGGTCCACGGGTAGGTGGTTGAAAGCTATACTTCCGGCGTGATACATCTTCAGTCCCACCGGCGAAGTTGGAATACTCTCCCGCGGAAAGAGAAGTTGGCACAGAAATAATGGGTACGGTAGGCTTCTGGATATTTTCTCTCTTATCCGGACCTTCTGCGAGCGTTTCGAGTTCATCTGGCTTGCGAACATCATTGGCGAGGGCCTATAACGTGGATGTTAGAACACTTGATTGGCCTGTTGGTAAGGATCTAGCTGTAGATGCGACACATACCAAAGCAACAATTTTTGCTCCATCAGTCAAGCTACCCGCTCCCAGTGTGAGGATTAGATCAGCCTTTGCATTTCGCGCCTCCTCGACGATCTCGAGGACTTCGGACCAGAGCGTGTGGCTCTGCATTCCGACACGACACCCGACGACCCTGTCCGGTCCCAGTGCAGCATTCAAGCGGCCAAGAGAGTCGGTATTCCGAGCCAATGAGCCTGAGCAGATCACATATACGCGTGAAGCGTGGAAGGTCTCAGTGACATGTCGGGCGGCGGCGGCGGGGAAGGCGATGCCATATGAGAGTAGCGGGCGCTCGCGGCCAGAGAATGCCGGGCGAACGGTTTCAGTCATGATTATTCTGGAAATTGTGAAGGCTTGTAAAAGAGACAAATCGGATTTCTAATGAGCTTCCAGCAGAGCGAGGTCGTTATATCATCGCGAGTATAAAGTCTCCATGTGGGAGGTGAATGTGGGGCTGATATGTGGGTTCTCAATACTTCGTCACATCGACAATGTACGACTAGTACTTAGTCAGTACTAGTAACGATTACATTAGTAGGGATAACTTGTATCATCGATCTTTCTCATTATGAAATTGTACCAAATAATTATCCAGTACGTTTCTCTAACCGATTGATTCCTTTTTCGTTATGCCCACGGGACTCCATCGGTTCTCCTCTCCGTGTAGCCGAGAAAAGAAATTATTGAAGCGCTTAGACATCAGTCAACTAGTCTAAACAATTATGAACGCAATACTGGTAGGTACGGTTATTGTATATCACGTTGTGGAACTCTCAAGAATAAATTTTGAATCGTATTTGACGAATGTCCATGGATGTTGGAAAGCCAGGTATTCAGCCCCCGAGGAACCCAGCTTTAATTGACAACAAAATTATGGGAGCCGCCGCTTTTCACGGCGACGGTAGCAGTTGACTTCCCATAGACCACTCCGGCAGAAATCTTAGCACCGTCTCTCTTGATTGATGGTCTTTTAGACGAGTTGGGATATGGCAGAACGACATTCCCAGTCGTGCCCTTAGGAACCGAAAAACTCAGCGAATACCCATCAGACTTTTTCTTCCAAGAAGCTTGAAACTTCCCAAGTGAAGTCACAAAGCCGGCTTGAGCGTGTTCCAAGTCTGCAAACTGCGGTGCAACAGTCCAAGTCTTGCCTAATCGTGAGGTCACCGAGAGACCGACAATATACTCCGTTAACGCTGATGTGGGGCCCGACGACCAGCCATGTGCGTGAGAAACATATGAAGGGTCGTAACCATATCCACGACTACTTCTGTAACCAAATGTACCATTCTGCAGGTAGCCTTCAATAACAGTACTTTCTGTACCATTGGGATTGTTGAGATACCAGCCCCAGCTGCGCCGTATCAGATCCAGAGCACGAGTGGAGTTCTGAACGACGAAATGGCTTTGAATCTCGAATGATGAAATAAAGGAAACCACATTCTCTGGTAACTCGGGAGCTACAGCTCCGAGTGGAGTCCAATTTTCGGTCAGCTTCTCTGAAATACCTGCCGCACGGTCAGAGTCGACTACTCCAAAGAGAATGGCCATGCTGTTTGCATCTTGTGGGTGAAGCGTAGTATCCGTGGCGTTGTCTTTGAATGCACCGTATCCATCATCCCAGCAATATTCGTTGATGGCTTGCTTGAGATTTTCGGCTCTTGAGTTCCACAGGTTGGTCAGGTTGGTAGTGTCCCCGGCCCATGTTGCTAGCTCGGCTCCAGTCTTTAGGGTGTGGTAGAGGCTGTAACCTTTTAGCACGAAATTTCAATGATATAGTATCCAGTAAGAATTCATCATACATCATCTGGGCTTCTGTGTTGTTATATCCCTGCTGCCATCTAGCCCAATCGCGAATCCCTGTCACATCCAACAATCCGCTAGCATAAGTCACTTTACCGTAGATGAAATCCATGGCAAGAAGATAGCCATCCCAATTCGTCTCCAGAAAGGCCGTATCATTTGTGTACAGCACATAATTATGTGTGCCAATCATCGACCACATATGATACGTATCCGAGCCTTTCTGACTGAGTGGTGGTCCCGACTCATCAAACGCACCGGTTGATTTATCCTGCTAAGCCGTTAATCACAAATCACGTCCATCAACATGGCTTCACTTACCTGAGTGTTATACATAATTTGGAGCGCATTCTTGACACTATCAAGATCTCCCAAACTCACAAAAGCAGACGGAACGGCAATGCCCATATCACCAGGCCAGACCGCACGATCACGCTTGGCACCATCCACAATTATTGTATCACCAGGACCGAGAGTACCATTGTTTAGCCAGCCAGATGTGACCCCACTGTTAAGGCGACCAGTGGTGACAGGGACCTCGTTCGTCTGCAGCGTATAGGCCCCGCTGTACCAAATGCGGTTCAACAACTCATCACTGCAGTGAAAGTATCCCTGATAGGCGCGAAGATTCGACCAGGTAGGCTGAAATGCAAGCTCAAGAGTAATATCTTTGAGCTGTACAGTTGCAGAGTCATCTGTGATCAGGAAGAGTGACAGGTATCTGAATCCTCCACGGAGGTACTTGTCGGGCATGTCATAGGAGTGGGTCCCAGATGACGAAAAGTTCGCGTAGAGAGCACCATCGTGATATCGTGCATTTGAGGAGTCCGACCATTCTCCGATCCAGTTCTTCCCCTCGGTGAATGCAAGTCCCAAAGCGCCACTACCAGTTGAAGTGTATTGCAGGTGAACGATGCCGCCTACTTCTTTGCCGAAGTCGAAGACCACGAGCGATCCATTTCCGTGGAATTTGGCTGTCGCGGGATGAGATGAGTCTGCAACTGCATTGGTTTTCAAATCGGAGAGAATTGAGGCTGGTCGGACTGTTCGCGATGATGGTGCGTAGATATTCTTATCCCATACTCCGCTGAATGCACCTTCTGTTGGGCCGGAGCAGGAAACATCTCTCCAACATGATTGTGCATTAGAAAGATGAACTATTGAATAGAGACTGAGCAGCAGCCCTATCCAATGAATTACCGACATACTGTCCTTCAATCGGTATCTGTTGTGTTTGTAAATGCAGGGCAAGATTAAAACGGGGTTGAAAGACCCCACCGGACAGGTTTACATATAGATTTTGAGTCTAGAAAGACCGCGGAATTACATCAAAGGTAGACTCATACTCGGCCTTGAATACAGCGAGCCTGAATGGCTAAGCGAGATTGGTGAACGTGGGGAAGCTGGTCAGGGATACTGAAGATCTGCACTCATTGGTGGAAGAATCCTTGTCAAGCAATATGAACCCCTGCAGAATCAGCCGGGATCAGGGCATCGATCAGCATACAAGCAATAATGTGGCTTCAATGCGCCAGTAGCATCATTTATCAAGCCACATATGACACCTTCCGGGTCTTTCCCCCGCAATCTATTTCCTCCGCAGTCCGCGGCACCGAAACGCATTCGGCTCAAAGATGCCCGAGGCTGCGATCACTGGGGAAAATACGATAGGTATTTGAGAAAACCTATATCCTAGCTCTCCGTTGAATTGGCATATCTATATTAACAAGATAGAGTGACAATGCGGGGTCTCCAGATTTCCGCCGCCGTGCTCCATCTGGGGCTGTTATTGTCGCCTGTTCTCGCGGCAGTGACAAGCTCAGGTCCGAAGGTTTGCACCGTCAAGGCAAATGGACACAAAAAAGACGACGTTCCCAATATCCTCAAAGCCTTCCATAAATGTGGGCATGGAGGCAAAGTTGTATTCCCCAAGGACGAATCTTACTGGATTGCGACTCGTTTGAACCCTGTCCTCGAAGATGTGGAGATTGAATGGCGAGGAGAATGGACCGTATGTGACTTCCGACTTTCATCCAATTTCGGAACATTCGACTAATTTAGTTTCATATAGTTTTCCGATGACCTTGAATATTGGAGAAATAATTCTTATCCTATCGCGTTCCAGAATCATGCCGCAGGGTTCATTATCTCTGGGAGTAACATCAAAATTAACGGACATGGTACCGGGGGTATTGACGGCAATGGCAATGCTTGGTATACCGCTGAGGCTGGTAATACTAAGCCAGGAAGACCGATGCCCTTCGTATTTTGGAATGCGTCTGAAGTGAGTGTGGACAATTTCCACATCAAGAATCCGCAACTGTGGAGCTTGAATATTATGAACGGTAAGAATATGCGCTTCAACAATATCTACGTCAATGCAACTGCCGTCGATGCGCCATACGGTACCAACTGGGTGCAGAACACCGATGGGTTTGGTAAGTGCTCTTACCTAATACAATCCGGCTTCATTATTGACAACTATCAGATACAATGGATGTAGATAACGTCGAGCTCACCAACCTAATCTACCAAGGTGGTGACGACTGCATCGCGATTAAGCCACGCTCCTATAATGTCAATATTCGAAACGTTACTTGTCGCGGCGGAAACGGTATAGCCATCGGAAGTCTGGGACAATATCTGGAAGACTCGAGCGTTGAAAACATTACCATCGACGAGGTCAAGATCATCCGATACAATGAGGATATGCACAACTCTGCATATATCAAGACCTGGATGGGAGGTCTCACCCCGCAGAGTTCGTACGAGAGCGCAGGGCTTCCGCGTGGTGGAGGCTGGGGAAGTATAAAGAATGTGGTTTTCTCCAATTTTGAGATCAACGGGGCAAATGCTGGACCGTCAATCACCCAAGATAATGGAAATAATGGCTCATACAGTGGTACGAGTAAGATGAGCATTTCAGATGTCTCATTCGTCAACTTTACTGGGTACATTCAAACCAGTTCGGCTAAGATTGCTTCGGTATCGTGCTCAAACGTTCATCCGTGCTACGATATTGACTTTGAGAATGTGGTGCTATATCCGCTCAACTCAACGACGCCAGGAGTAGGGACCTGCAAGTATACGGCAAAAGACGGAGTCGAAGGCCTTGAAGGCTGCTAAGAATCCTGTACCTAGGTACCTATCTAGAATGCCGAAAATTATAGCGATGGATACGATTCACCCCAGACGATCATGAGATGAGGAAATGAAAATCCCGTTATACTATTAGCTACTAGACGTCAAATGTACAGCAAAAATTCTGCGACAAAATTCCTATTCATATGATAAAGTAGCCCTGAGGTACCCAGTTGGAGCTATATGCCAGCCCTCGCGTTGCGAAGCTTGGTTATATCCATCGTTATAGCCGTCACTTGAGGTGGTTGTCTGAAGGGCACTTTGCTTTCTACTAGGCTCTCTTTCTTTGATGTGTCTCCGGCCCTTTGCATCAGCAGCAAGCTTTTTCTTCGCATCACTGGCAGCGGCACGTTTTGCCTTTTCATCAGCGACACGTTTTTCCTCCTTGACTCTATTTTGTCCAGCCCATGCTTGCAGTAAGTACGGATTGCACATGCACCAAAAAAGAACATCTCGAGTTGCACTTGCATCTTCCAAAGCACTGTGCCCTTTTCCGACTTGTATGTCACGCTTTAGGAGTTCATCGGCAAGAGGCTTCAGGCCCCATCTGCGTCTCATTCGCGTGGTATGAGAAGTGGGAAGAAAGACAGCCTCCGCGGTCAATATAGCGGTATCCACGATATTATGGTGCAGTATTCCAAGAACCTCGAGATCATTGTCAAGGGAATGGCCAATAAGAATCGTATTCACGTCCATGAATCCCCACAACCTTTGACGCGCTGCTTTCCAGCCTCGGAGTGCCTCCCCAGAAGCACAAGCACGGCGCATCCGGGCTAATGAAACACCGCTATATCTGGCTCTCCAATCGATAACCCTCTCTGTCGGGTTCACAATAGTGTCTATCAAAACCTCTCCGGTGAAAAAATCAATTGCGCTGAGGGAGACGACCGCCGAACGCCCGCCCACAACTCCCACCATTTCACAGTCGACAACGATCGCCGTTCTCTTGGTGGTAGGGAATGTAGTTGGCGTTTGGAGGTAGTCTTCATCTCTAAGAGCGCGTTTACCTCCTCTCTGGTCCTTGGTCATATGTGATAGGCCCAAAAAGTACCCTTCTGCTTGAAGGCGAGCTAGCGAGTGTCGTTTTGCCTGCAGATATTCCAAACCCATATCACCTTGGGACATACAGTGCTGAGTATTGAGGGCCGTTGGGATATTGGTTAATCGTGCCTCTTTTAAATTGACTTAGGTGAGAATAGTCCTTCACTGAATGAGATGATATGGCCATACCTTGTGTGACTGTGTATACAGGTGCATCGCCGATTGATAACTTGTCAATTGATGAGGTCAATGAATTAATAGTATCTGTTGATAAAGCGGTGTTCTGAGCTAAGTTCTGATATGCATCCGATTCTTTTAGGATGGTACTTTGCTGCGTGTTTGTTGACATAGTGGGCTGTGGCTTTGCCTGAGGATTTGGGGATCGCTTGGCCCCTTCTTTGGCAAGTGGCCTTTGTGGCACGGCGTTCTGTTTCTCACGGCGATAGTACATTATGGAAGTCAAGTCGCAGGATGATTCACAATCATCATTCCTCTGAAAGTGCCGTACAAAAGACCATGCATCACCTACTGTTGCATAATTGCACTGTGCACAAATGAGGGAATGGTCTAAAGCCTTGAAATGAGCAGTGAGAGCGTGAAGACTCTTGAATCCACCTTTTCTGCATGCCGGGCACCTGTAAAGAGTAACCAGGGCTGTTTGGTCTGCCATTTCGGTGCTGTAAGTCTAAAGTCTGGGTAGGAAGGCTTGATAAAAAGGAATTTAAAGCGAGTCAGGGTCCAGAATTTGGACTTGTCATAGCAGTTCCCTTACCGCCCCAGCCGTACCGATGCCCGATGCCCGATGTACCCCTACACAACCGCATTGTTAAACTTACATTCCAACTTGGTTACCGTATTAGAATAACTTAAACTATACCATGTCGAATTTTTACTAGTATTAATGGTTTTGGGGTTTTTCATACACGTAAATCAGCTTGAAAATTCTGACTTTCAGCAGACACTAGAGAGTCTCGCCTGGGATTATCTATATTGAATCTGGGAAAGATACAGTCTTGCATTGTATCCATTCAGCTTTGATCAAGAAATTGAGAGTAAATACATAGTTTAGTCGTCCAATTATATCGTCTGGGTTCGAGATCATACCATATCACGTGGCTCCCCACACTCCAGCTCTCCGCCCCGAACCGACCGGAGTCCCGATTGAAGATTGAAGATACCCTTTCCAACTCGCAATCCATACATAGACACACCATGTCCTCTTCCCTTCGATCAAATCCCTGGAGGGCATACCAGTGCCTCGCCCGTCAAAGGGTTCGCATCCCCCAAAACACCCGCCACCTCTCCTCGACCACCCTCCGATCCGCCAACAATGCCGCCAGCAATCCCCTCCGATCCGCCGAGCGCGCAAAGCGTGTGCAAGAGGTCGCAAAGGCCAAGCGCTCGGTCGTCATCTCCACCGTGGGAATCATTGCCTGCGCAGCGACAATGTACGGATTGATCACGTATGACGTGTTCGGAGTCGAAGCATTGAAGAACAAGGAGGAAGCGACATTAGACAAACAAGCCGACGCCGCCACAAGTACCCCAACGAACAACGGCGCAATCAAAATGGACGGACCAACCGGCTTCCCAAGTGACGGCGGACCCCCCCCCGTAATCCCCGTTCACGGCCAAGACCTCGTCGACCAAATCGCAACGGGCAACAGCTCAGTCCCATATTTCCCCACCACCATCCGCCTACCCTCCCTCAAAGACGACAAGAAACAAGCCGGTGATGAACTCTCCACCGCCGACGGCGACGAGTACCAACTCCTCGGCCTGGGCATCCGCAGCGTCTCCTTCCTCTCAATCCAGGTCTACGTCGTCGGCCTGTACGTCGCAAAGGCAGACATCACCGAGCTCCAGCAACGTCTCGTCCACACAGCCGTCCACCCACCCTCCAACGACGCAGCCGCCATCTCCGGTGTCGGCGCCGACGCCGCAACATCCCTCGTCCCGCCCGAACGCCAACAACTCAAGGAAATGCTCCTTAGACCCAGAGACCGGCGACGCAGCCTGGTCAGCCATCATCAAGGATGACGGGATTCGCACCGCCTTCCGCATTGTGCCCACCCGTAACACGGACTTCATGCATCTCCGCGACGGCTGGGTCCGCGGCATCACGGCTCGCGCGCAGCAGAAGAAACCGGCCCCGGGCTCGGAGCAGCCCGGCGAGTTCCAGGATCAGGAATTCGGGACGTCGATGAATGACTTCAAGGCTGTTTTTGGCGGTGGTCAGCGTAAGAATGTTCCCAAGGGGCAGACTTTGGTTCTTATGCGTGGTGCGCAAGGTGCGCTTGATGCGCTTTTCCAGCCTGAGGCTTCGAAGCCGATTCAGTGGATGGGGAGGGTTTCGGATGAGCGGATTAGTCGTCTTGTTTGGTTGAATTATCTGGCTGGGAAGACTGTTGCTAGTGATGGGGCGCGGAGGAATATTGTTGATGGGCTGATGACTGTTGTTGAGCGGCCTGTTGGAACTGTCACTCAGCGGGTTGTTTGAGATTGATGAGGGGTTTTGGTTGTTGTGTACTATTAGGTGATCTCTTTGTTTTCTTTCTTGGGATTGTTGTGATGTCTTTGTTTCGCTATCTTGTTTCGCATCTCATGTATTGTACAAAGCAGCGTTGATTCTATTCGGGAACTACACCGGATAATCTCCACCTCCCAACTCAATTACTATTCACCACTACTATCATAGCGGTATGTAAGGGCTGTCTGCTTACGATTTGGAGATGCGAAATGGTAAGGGAGGTATCTCGCGCATGCATGTGCAATTATGAACCAGCTAGCTAGAAGTCATTACTCCTTCATCGCTCTTCAATTCAAAGTCTATTTGTGTTCATGAATGATCGGATTTAAAGGGCACCAGCGTCCTTCAGGAGCTGAGGGAGCTGGGCCTTGACATTCTGGAGGTCGGAGTTGCCGCCAATGTGCTTCTGCTTGATCCAGATGTTGGGAACGGTGCGCTGGCCGGAGATCTCGTTCAGGGCGTCCTGGATAGCGGATCCATCATCTAGAGGAGATAAGAATTGTGGTCAGCATGGGTTCCGATACTCGATTTTACTAGTGTTGCATCAGATGCAAGAAATATTGCGTGCAGGGCAGGGAGCGGGGTAAAATAAGCACGTCGGGAAGAAAGTTCCAATGCCCGTACAATAAACATTCCCCGCGGCGCAAAGCCGCTATAACTCCAAGAAGACTTGAAAAAAGGAGGGGCGCAATATATCCGAGGGAAAGAAAGGCGAGGGAAGTAAATGAGGACTAACCGATTTGGTCGAGCTCAACGAGGGTGAATTTGGCATCGAAGCTGTTGAGAAGGCTCTTGCTGGTAGTGCAGTAGGGGCAGTAGGACTTGGAGAAGACGACGACGGCGTTCTCATCGATGAGCTTCTGGGCCTTGGTCTTTGCGGCGGACATGGCGGCGGGAGATGGAGCGGCGAAGGTGCCGAAGAGACGTGTGAAAAAAGAAATGGTGGGCGAAGATTGGAAGGAAACCGAGCGGAGGGGGCGGTTTCTTTTTCTTTAAAAGGGTGGTTGCGGGAATGGAGTTGTTCGCCGGCCTTCGATTCGGTGATTCGGTCATTGCGCGGCGCGATGATGTCAGGTGATGATTTGTCATCGAGACCGAACATGCCTAGTTACAGGATACTATACAAGACAGGATACAGTAAACTATATTTACAACGTATATCGTGATATCTAAATGATCAGATTCATGAGCACAGCTATAAATGCTCGCTAAGCTCAACAGGAGTTAAAATAAACTAGACAAGAAAACAATAGAACACGCTCGTCAGGATTGGGAATATGGCAAAAGTGGCAACAAATGTGCGCAAAGGAGCAGAAAGGAGATGGAAAATAACAGTGCAGAATAGGGGGGGAGAAGAGGGTAAGATAAGATCGGAGTTCCATCAGATCTCCCTGACAAAAAAACAGATAGAAAAAGATATACACGGGTGCAGTAACCCCGCTCGAGAATGATTCAATGAGCATCCTTTCTTTCGGGTTGACTTCCAGTCACACCGACTGGATGTAAGGAAGAATGGTCACAGAAGAATTGAAAGGAAAAATGGATGAAAAGGAGTGGATGCATATGTAAAAGAAAATGATATGCTCCGGTGAGAATGACATACGAACCGAATTAAAAGGAAAATTTTTGTGTGACAGGCTAAAAGTGAAAAGGAAGAAGCCGAGTAAACACCATCCCACTGGGTCCGCTGAAAGGTTAAAAAGGAAAGGGGGCGGGGAGAAAAAAAAGTAGTAAGGATCAACAGAGAAAAAGAAATCGAAGGTTTTGGTGTCGGCGTTGGTGTTGATGTATGGACTGTGTGCCAATATCAAATGTATCACGGGGGTGAGGAGAAATGAACGTCCATCACATCACAATGCAGCATCCACAGCTCTTTTCTTTTTTGGGCTGCTGCTGTGCAGTGACCACTGGAGGATTCCAGTTGGGGTTGGGGGTCAATCCCAGCGGAGGTGTGTCCTGTACCTTAGGCATGGTACTGTAGCCGGTACTTGTGTTGGGTCTTGGTGGCTCGGGGCTCTTGGGAGGTTGAGGTGGTTCTCGGTCTTTCTCCTCGGCTGGCTGGATAAATTCATCCGTCTTGGGCGGCACGGGAGGCATATCGTTAGGATACACAGCGAGAGGCGCAAAGTCTCGATCGTAGGTATTAGGCGTCCGGCCTTCTTTCTCCCACTGTTCCTGCTGCATTTTCTTGGCAAGAGTGGGAAGCATCTGCTGGTCAGGCGGAAGGCGAGGGTCGGGCTTGTACATCGTGGCCAGCCATGGTGGATCTCCTTCAGGACGATTGACTCCGGTGGTAGGTCGGGTTTCGCCTCCTCGGGTGGTTGGTCGCTGAGATGTGTTCCCTGAAACTGCACGCGATCTCGCCGTCGAGGCCGAGGGCTTTCGGTTGGTAGGTGGGGCAGAGGTCTTACGGGTCGCAGATTCCGTGGCCTTGGTTGGGTTCTTTCTTGGGGTGTTCTGGGTGGTGTTGAAGTTGAATCCGCGGCTGTTGGGGCGGCTATTAGGAGAGGGTGTGGTTGGTTCGGCGTCGGTATTGAGAGGCTCGCTAGCTCTACGGCCTCGGGAAAACTCGTCATTCTCAAGTTCATCAGTAGCTGCACGACTGCGAGCGCCACGAGAATCACGACCACTAGCCAATGGCACCGGACTAGCCATCGAAATAGGTATCCGGGAAGAGCTTTTTCGGAGACCGGGGTTGCTGTAGATGCTGGCTGCTGCTTCGTCTGCAGCAATCTCTTCAGGTCTTCGAAGATCCCACTGGTGACGCTCCTCGCCATCGGCACCTACACGGCTACCCCTATGTTCTTCCCGTAGTTGAGGCCAAGGTTCCGAGTGCTCTGTGTTATGCGATGTCACCGCAGTGCCGCCATTCGCAGTACTCTGGTGGGAATCATGGCTCTGGCCACGTCCAGCACTCGACTTGCTCTCGGCTCTCATTCGTCGCTGGAACATTATGGCCGCCTGGTGAAGTTCCTCGCTCTCGATTTTGGCGAGTTTGTCTCGGTGAATCCAGCTCTCAGGGTTGAATTCTGTGGATTTTTCATCCAGCTCCTCGCCTGTATCTTTGCGGCTCGACATATCGTTTCCCGGGGTATCACGCATACTGCTGATGTCACTTCCATGTCGGTTTAGACTGTGGTCTCGTCGGCCGCGGTGTGCATAATAAGGGGCATCGTTTCCGGGCATGGTTCGGGAGACAGACGAGCTTCGTGAGCCGTTGGAGTTTCGATTCCTAGTCGATCTCGCACGGACGGAGCTCGAGTCATAGGAGGTCCGTGGTTTTGAGGAATGCTGGGGAGTGCCCTGTGCGAGAGGAGAAGATCAGTCAAAAGAGTCCTCGGGTGGTTTATTTTTCCCTTTCTTCTCCGCCTTTTCACCTCACAAGCTCCCCCAGATAAGGGAGGGAGAAGAAAACAAAGAAACAAAGTTTGAACCGGATGAAAACCTACATCGCTACCAATTGGTACAGAGAATTCCCATTTTTCATTGTCCACACCTCCAGATGGCAGGGCTTCAGTCGAATACGCCGTGGCAACGCCCGCCATTCCCAGGGTTCGGGGGTGGGAGTCTATGGGTGTGGTGGGGGGGGAAGGGAAGGGAAGATCAAGGCCAGTCCAGCTGGAACCCGCTTCAAAGGTGACAAGTAGAGGAGAATTCCGAGTCGATATCCGCTTGTGCCGTCAGGTGTGTCTCGATCAAGCCATACCAGAGCTTAGCCGAATACCGACAGAAACCAGGAAGTGGGCGAAGATGGAGAATTGGGGAGGTGGTAAGGGGAAATGGTCCCGCCGCAGTGGGGAGGGCCCAAAGAAGTAAATTGTAAATAGCCAGATACTGCAGGGGGGGTAAGTGGAGGTGCAGTGACTCGCAGGTGGCTGTTCGAGGCGCGGATTGGGTAAAAGTGGCTCTGGCAGATCGGGGTTCGTCGCAATCCACGGGTGAGAGCTACCGGCGCGTGATGGTTCCGTGGGTGAGTCGAGTCGAGTCGAGTCGAGTCAAGTCCAAGCTTCCAAGTTCAAAGCGGCGATTGAAGATTGTTTAGTGTCTCGAGGCAATGACACTGTTCTGTGTTGAGTCGAGGCGCGTACTTAAGTTGTACGCAAGGTTGAGCCACGAGGGGGAGGGGGGGTTGGGGGGCGGCGGCGAGATCGTGTGGTTTCACTGAGGGGGATAGAAAGACAAAGAGAGAGAGTGGGTGAGAATAGATATGAGTAGAGTTGATCCAAACACAAACACAGACACCAAAACACACAACTTTTGGCCAGGGCCAGCACAGAAGAGTGAAATGTGAATGCGAATGATGGGAGGGGGAAAGCAAAAGGGAGGAACGAAGAAGGAAGAAGGCCCAGATGGGAATAGCCCCATTTTTTCCCTTTTCTTTTATTTCTACGGAGTACTTTACTTCATACTCTCTACGGAGTACGGAGTACCCATCTTGTTTTATGTCACTCACTTTCTGTTGGACTAATTTGGCTAGTGATTGCTTCAATGGAAATGGCCCGTCCTGCATACTAATTGATTGCTTTACAGTATGAAGTATCGCCTCTTGATCACCTGGATCAGGGCCCTTTTTGACGGTTGGTCCGTGGAGCTTTGCCCCCCTGAACCATGCTGATCCCTGCAAGATCAGAGTCTGGCCCTTCTCAGCTTGGGCTTCTTCATGTCTCGTTGGAAGCAACAATCATTTGGTATTCTTATATTTACTCCGTTCAGAGATCGAACTGAGATGGAAGGCAGAGAAGTGAAACTGAAAGCCGAGGCCTGAGCGGTTGACTCCTCAGAAACGCCGATCCATGCAATGCCACTCCCTTCCCTTCGCCTTTTGACAGGTCCATAGTTCACAAAAGTCCGCGTCCCGTATGCAAATAACTAGTCTATGTGTAAAAGCTTCCCTTCCCCCGCAGTACATGGTAGCGACATCCCGAAGAGAGAAAGGGGGAAAAGAAAACAGAGAAAAGAATGATGAGGTATACACAGCGATGATCCACCTGCCTGAAGGTGATGATCGGGGGGGAGCTTTCTATTTCTCGACCTGGTCCAGCCGGTCCAAGTTCGCCTGCGCTTCTTTGATCAAAGCCTTGCGCGCGTTACGAATCGTCACATTGCCATCCGGCACGATTCCGTCTGCCTTGAGCATAATCTGTGCCAAGATCGTCTCGCTGAGCTTCTTGTGCTCAAACTCTCGCTTCTTTGGGTCGGTAGGCGGGTCCGCCACGAACTCATCACATAGTGGTACAATCTCTTGTTGGAGGTATTTAAGCAATGCAGACACCTGCTCCATTGCACCCAGGTCCTTGATGTTGGGTGACGGAGCCGGCATATACGCTGAGCCCGATCGTGAAGTGGGACGCGAGGGAACCGAGGGAGGAGGCCCCAGGAAATCATCACGGGGAGGGTTGCCCTCTGCCGTCTTTTTGCCCTTGTTTTTCTTCTTGTTCTTACTTTTAGACTTTTTGCGCGACTTGGAGGCCGAGCCTGAGTCTCCGTCTTCGTCTGCGCCGTCAGGACGGACCCTGGAATCGCTCAACTGACCACTGTCGCGGTCAGAGTGGTCACTTGGGGTGTTGGCGTCGACCTCTGACACAACGCACAGAACCTCCGAGTGCTGCTTGAGGCCCTCTGCCTTGCATGGTCGCGAGTCGTCTTTCAACAAATTTCCTTTGTACAGTAATCGAACCCGATTCGGGTTGTCGGCGCCCACTTTTGCCGCGGCCGCCTGTCGGAGCGCAGCGATGTTCAACGCACCATCGTCGATGGCGAATGCGGGGAAGTGTAGAGGGTAGATAGTACCGCGGTGTCGCAGGCGAATGATATCTGGCTCATTGTCTGCGGTGTTTGCTGCATATTGACCACCTTGCTGAGAAGGGGCCATTGTCGGTGGGTCGACAATATAATCCGGTGTGATATAACTAAAATCCTCATCGCTGACTTGCGGGGTGGTAGCGTAGTTTGGCGAGCGGCGCCAGAAGCCGGAAAGGGGGTTAGCCCAACTCATTCCGACAATGGTGAGTATGCAAATGAGAATAGCTGCGCAAATAGCGGTAGTTTGTTCGTCGGCGTCGAATGGGAGGGCTTGCGCAACGGAGCGAAAGGGCGTGGGGGACAGGTAAGTCAGATAGGGATCCAGTCGGGGGCGGAGGGAGTGCAGAAACTCGGGGATGTTGTCGGTGACGTGGTCTAAGTAGACAGCGCACTTCTCGCCCAAGGTGGACTGAGCGAGGGGAGAAGGCAGGAGAGTCATGGATCTCTGAAAAATGGCAAGAAGTGGTGAAGTCATGCTGCCTGCGGTCCCAAAGTACGCTGACAAGGCGGAGAGCGCCGTTTTTTTTGCCGTGGAACCTGCAAGTAGTTACTCTTACTTACCACTTCCCAGTTACCAGTTGCCAATTACCACTGCGTTTCTGGAACTGGAATCCCACCGATCATGGTCGAATCCGAATTTGTTCAAGTGTGAGGGGGGTGCCTTGTGTCTCAAGGCTGCCCAAATGCCAGTGGCGAAGTCGGCGTGGTATCCAGCACTTTCTAGTGTTTTTCTTCCGAGCCTTGGAACGGCTTGCTGATTCATTCAGAAGGAAGCTACAATTTGCAAAAGACAGGACTTTTTGTCAATATTCCTACCCAGACCCCCGATCTTTGGTGAACACCCAGCGACACCACAAGTCCAGTCTTGTCACGGTCATACGCCAAGATGAGGAGGTGTCAGCCTGTTTCAAAAGTCGTCACGAGCAGTCCTAGTGGCATCTACTGAAGGGGATCCTATTGAATCATGCTGTATACCTAGGTAGATATTATCTAGGTACTAGTAGGTAGGTAGGTAATAGTTGCCGACTTACGTGAGTGATAAGATTCAACTTCAAGTTCAAGTCTCACATGCCACTGGCAGTGGGCAAGGCGGAGCCCCAGACCGCGGGAGTATATATCTCTAGGGCTACCCGGGTCGTAGTAATTGTTTTGCGGAGTCGCCCACAGGTCGCCTAAGAAATACTAGTACAGACTTGAATACACTGTATGACTAGGTATATTATTATGATAATCGATCTATAAGACAATATGAGTAATTGACACTTGATATATATTCCGAGGTTCTTAAGGTTATTTCTCTTTTACTGTCTCTCAAGTTGTGCCCTTACACACGACATATACTATGGTTCCGCGACCAACGGAGTAGTAATAGCATGCATTACACGGCAAATTGCTTGCTCCACCCCTTTCGACCTGCTCCGCACAGCATTTTGATCTTTGGCTGGCAGCATGGCCTAGGCATTCCGAACATTGGAGGTAAGACTATCAACTAATCTCTTATGGAGGACAAAAAAGAGGCATGCCATTGAATAAGAGTTCAGAGGCAAAAAAGTACCTGCCCCCATCCAGGATCGAACTGGAGACCTCGGGATTGCAATTCTGTTACCAGAATCGTCATATGACAAGATATGAGACCCACGTCATAGCCAACTAGACCATAGAGGCTTGGTATGAAGTGTGGCGCAGTTTAATGTTATATGAGCCTAGACAAGGTATAGCGGCCCCCAGATAGTAACCACTGTAATCTCAATCAAGTTGATATATATTTCTTGTCGCAGCCCCGGAAAGCGCATGGAAATTAGACTGCACAAAATAAAGTCCTTAAGATACATATACTCGCTAACCGCCTCTTACTTCTAATCACTGCCCAGGTACTATAGTAACCTATCCTGTTATTCGCGACGGAAACCCGACCGACAAAACCACCAAGTTATAGAGGGAGAAAAACCTGCGATAGAAACACCCATGAGTAAAACTTTTGTTTCATAAATAATTTTAATTGAATTGTTACGGTTATCAAAATTTCAAGAAAAAGATGAGCGTTATTAGCCAGGCACCCTTCCTAACTCACCACACAAACATAGTAACCATGTACTAGCTTTGAACAGCCCAAGACTCACTGGATACCAGTGCTCTGTGTCTGTGAAAAATCTCCTTCAATGATAGAACTCGGAGAAAAGTATCACACATAGTCTAAACGCAAGACATTGGAGAGTCAGATGCCAGAGAATAACACTGGTAGATTATGGCCCTGCATCGCTGAATAGACGAGCCTCATCACGACAGAGCTTGTCGACCCTTCATCGCCAAGATTAGATTATATCTCCTATAGAAGAAAGTATTACAGGAAACAATGTGAGCTGGCCGGCCAACACGGCGCCATGTCCCAGAAACCCAAGCAGCGCATGGTAGCCCTGAAGATGTCTTGCGCTCGATATATTGACGGCTTGTTAGTCATACAAGCAGGTCATCCCTTACCTGGACTCTTATTATGGGTTTATTGAGTAGTAATCGCCCAGTCTTGCTTTAGTATAATGTTTTTATGAATGCCTGCTTTCAATCCTTTATACAATTGTGATATCCTCTGCTATGCTTAGCCATCCAGTAATTCCATCAGCTTTCTACGAAATATTCATAGAAAAGATCCTGACTGGGAAGTTTTCTCTGATTTAGAGCCAATCCCATCATTAGTAGGATCTCATGCAATTTAAGCGCCGTAGCCCCTAGCCCTTTTTAGATTCGTATGTTTGCTTTTCCGCCCCTGTCACTTAGCCGGTTTATGATCTCGTTTCTTTGTTCTATCTTCCATCCCCCCTTTTCCTCTTCATCTTGATGATACGCCACATGGTTTCGCTCAGGGAGAGCTCACGTTAGAGATGGTAATACTTGTCGGGTGAGCCTAGGGTTCTCGAGGAAGTCTTTATGTAGTGTGTTGACACGGCTGAATTATAGCAGAGATTGAATTTTCCGAGAAATTTAATGGCTAAGACTCAGCATCCTTTAATTGATCTTTCTCAAAATTGAGGAATTAGCGTTGTCGATATAGGTCATTTTTGGATGTACGGAGTACTAGTGATGCCATTACATAGTTCAAAAACGTCATCAAGTTGACATTTCAGGGATTTGAACAGCTGATACTTCGAAAATTGAACAATTCCATAAACGAGTAATGTATTTTATTATCTGGACAATATTTCTTCCTTTGGAAATCTTCCATTGTAAACTCAGTATTCGTTCACACGAGGGCTCACAGTAGCACGTGGTGATGAATCTTCCTCCTCCAAACTCAATGTCGGAATGCCAAATATCGGCCGTGCTTTTCAACCGAGCCTCTATGGTCTAGTTGGCTATGACGTGGGTCTCATATCTTGTCATATGACGATTCTGGTAACAGAATTGCAATCCCGAGGTCTCCAGTTCGATCCTGGATGGGGGCAGGTTCTTTTTTTTTATTTTTTTTATTTTATAATCTTTTGTTGGTCTGATAATCCGCCTGAAAAATGGGTGGGTCTATCTATCTATGTTTTAGTATATTGAATGCTTCTTTTTGCTTATGTGGTGGCTATGCAATTTCTTGCCGTTGGCACTATAAATCGAATAGTCAATTTCCATTGGGTGACGCCGTGATTTCCAAGCTTTTCGTAGGAGTACTAAGACAATGGAAAATGTGTAGAATTACTGGAAAAAGTAAGGTATGATGGTAAATCTAGTATGGAGCGAGCGAGATACAAAGCTTTGAACTTGAATAAGTATATTATAATGTTGTACTACTAGTAGTACCTAGCCTCAAACATTTTTTATGAATTCCACTGGGAGAAACCTAGCTTGAACTATCTCCGATAGTTACAGCAAGAACTTGAAGTAAAAATCCGAAAAAAAAAAACCGAATTCCAAAACATCGTAGATTCATTACTAGTATCAACTCAGTAACCAAATTCTCCAGTCAGAACCTCAAGTCAAGCTCAACTCTCATGCCATCCAAATTTCCATCTTCAGTTTGATTTATCTATCCACCCTATCATTCACACCCATCAAAATAGTACTGGACAATATACCAATCCAACTACCGACCAAACCATCTGTAATTAAGTCGACAGCCATGTCCTGAAAATGAGAATCCTCCTTCTCGTCGAGAAATGCTGGATTGAGAGCCCTTGCATCTTCAATCCCACCCAGGACAATACGCGCAAGGTATGCCTTGAGTGATCTGATTGCCCGATTTCGACCTGGAGAGTCTACTGGAGACTTATCATGGCCCAGAGGTTCAACCCGTGGCGGCGTATTGCGGTCGTTAGGCTCACGTTTGACCTTGTGGTTTGGTCCTGGTTCTGGCTTTTGCAACCCGGGGACGTGTCCATTTGTCTGGATGGACTTCTGTCGTTCAAGGTTGAACATCTAATGATGGACGGTAAGCTTGAATCCTGTGGTTCATACTAATGGATATCTTCTCAGAAGTTTCCTTCCAAGGTTCAACGTACGTGGTTTATAGGCTTCAGGCAATGCCTCCAGGTATGTCCTGGGACACCACAGTCCCAGCAGACAGGCCGAGATCGTCGCTTTCCAGACGCAGGATAACGATACTGTGGCCGATATCGATCTGCACGGTAATGATGGAAGGACGCGGATGACGAGCCCCCTTCAGTGACCTTGTATCGCCCCATGCTGCCTCTGGGGGAGGTAGGTCGACCCTGGGGGGAATAAGCTCTTGTTATTTAGGTGGCTAGCCCTTTAGAGATGGAAGTTCCCTCGGAATAGAGCGTGCGTCGTGATCAATATGAGGGGCGATGTTGTTGAAGTTCAAGTGGCGTGAAGAGGGAGAGAGAGAGAGAGAGAGTGGTGGTATTAGATACCTTGTAGCATCTATGAATTATTCAAGTTGATCAACGGGGTAAATAGTAGTTTTCTACACGTATTGCAGCATACGGATTTACCTCGACTTGAAAATTTACAGAGGCGTAAAAGGCCAGGGAGATGATTGAGTTCGAAATCCATGTACGGTAGATGACATACATAACTAAAAGGACAGAGCGACTCGGTGCAAAGTACAAAAAAGGAGCCGGAGATACGTAAGGTAGATAAAATGAGAAAACAACTCCAGTCCACGAAGATAACAGGTGAAGATACGGACAAAAAAAAATAGATACTACCTCTCACACCGAACTAAATGCCTTGTGTGATCGGAATCTCAAACTCGTGATACCCCTCGACCAACCCGTCCTTCAGCTTCGTGACAGCAACCCAGGAAGGGGCATACTGTCTCACTTCATCCAGAGCAGGAATGACACCGGGGGTGTTATCATCGCTCCAGATACATGAGACACGACCCTGAAGAGGCAAAAGCTCCTCTTCCTCAGATGCGGAATCGTGCTTGGAAAAGTCGACGTCGACGCTCCATTTCGCATCCCACGTCCGACTCCAAAGACGGATCTCGGTGAGGCCTTCGCTGGATGGGTGACGGAACCGTTTATCCGGGGCAGAGCCGCCCACGACGCTGAAGTTCTTGATCGAGTAGCCATCCATTGTGATGCGGCAAGAGCGCGTGTTTTGTCCTGCGATATCGAAGTGGGCGGAGCGAATCTCAGCGTTGGGGACGGAGATGTTGAATGAGACCCAGTCTGATGAAGGGCCGGCGGGTTTGGAGGAGGTGTTGCTTGGAACGACGTGGGGCTCTGGGCCATTCCAGGAACATTGTACGCGCTTGATGAAATCGGAACACTCTGTTTGGCCCGAAGAGCTGGGAAGACCTCGGACAACGTCTTCCACGAATGGCTGCATTCCGGTGAGATATGAGGTGGAAATACCCTTGTCCAGGTCGACTTCTTGGTGGAAGAACATCTTCACGCGGTTTGAGTCGGAGAATGGGAACGCAACCAAGTTGTAGATCATGGTGCCGATCAGGACGAGGAATAGGAAAATCGGGACGTGATAAGTGAATCGATGAATGTATGGCAGCATCGGGGCGAATAGCACAGCTGTCAGAATGGCGATGGATAGATATACAAACAGCTGCGGGCTGCCGTCTTGACCGGTTTGATGAAGGGCACTGGTGAGTATGAGCCCAAGCGGGGCGACCAGAGTGAGAATGATGGGTACGGTGAGAATAAGTTGCAGAATCCAAGTCCAGCGTGGCATCGAAGAACTCCATGATTGTTCGTTTCCATAGACGTTCGGATCAGCTTCTTCGCTCTCTGCTTCCCGGTCAGGGTACTCATTAGAGACATTAACGTAGTTTGCAAATGTGGTTCTCTGGCGGTTATCACGAAGAAGCGATGTTGATTCAGTTGCCTCTTCCTCGACATCGTCACCTTGGCGTTCTTCTCCGGATAAGAGTCGGCTACCAAAGCTGCTGGCTCGCCGCGAGCCTTGAGCAAATTGACTGATGTATTCAGTAATAGTCGGTAGGGAGAAGAGTTCCAGATACGAAATCCATGTCGCCAAGAAGGTCCCAGCGAAGTAGAAGAACATGAAGTAGCCACCAGCCAAGCCTTCCTCATTCTCATAGACAGTGGACACAACCAACAAAGCCCAAGTGACAACAAACAGCCAGGTCCAAGTGTAGATTCGGTGGAAAGCGGAGGGACGGGCAAAGTCAGCCACACAGGAGACAAACCAAGCCAAGAAAATCCAGGCGGATATCATCATGCTCCACACAGCGTAGCTGCTGCTGTGCGAAATGAAAGGGTTGACCTTGGTCACCATGTAGGCAAACCCCACAGTCACAGCAGTAGGAACACCGATCAAAAAGGGAAACCGGAAGAAACCACGCAAACCTCGAAGCGCAAATTTCTCATCACTGAAATCAAACGATGCCGAAGAACGGAACAAGTACATCTTATCTGCATGCGAAAGTGCGATGCTGGTCACAAGGAGAGTCAACGGCGCGACAATCAGGATCGTAACCGACAAAGCGAAGAGAGTATGCAGTTGGAACACAGCAAATGCAGCACCGAAGAGATCGAACCAAACCGCCTGCGTTCCCCTACCACTAGGCACAAGACCATCGTCCCGAAGATGTCCATCAAAGCGGTCACTGGAATCAGAAACAAGCTCCTCGGTGGTCGCCACGGATGCAGACAGCATATGCCAAACCGAGTCCAGACTGGTATGACGCGCATCATCCTGATCGGTATGATATCTCGCACGCGGTTCAAAAAAGGCAAGATCCAGACCGCGCAGTCCGAGCATGCCTTCGAAAACAACATAATCCGTCTGGCTACTAACAAGCCCCTTCTCGAACCCATTGGCGCTAAGCACCGTGCCGAACGGATTTTTCGACTTCGCATACGCCTGCGTAACCTCCGTATCTGAGCTGCGGAACAATGTCGCTCGCCCCCCAGCCCCGGCACCTTCTAGGTTAAGAAATGTGTGGGCGAATTTCGACAGCGGGTGCTGGCTATACGCGCGCGCACCGTTCAGATAATCTTCCTCGCCGTTGTTAAACAGCACCACTAGTCCGCGACGCGGGGCGTGACCGGGTGTAGTGAAGTACTTGAGTAGCTGAATACAAGTAACGACACCGACACCGTCATCTGTCGCGCCATACCCGGTCGAGACGCTGTCGTAGTGCGCATTGACCAGTACCCCTCCCTTGCCAACGGGTGTTTTCCCAGGAACCTCCCACCAATTGTCTGTCTTGTCTTCGTAGCCGCGAACATAAACGAGGATGTTCGTGCCTTCAAAGTACACGCCTAGACGACCGTCCACCGAGGTAAGGTTCGAGGTGAGGTCGTCGAAGACGAACACATCGGGCTTTTCTTCCTCGTAGGCGTGATACTCTGCTGCAGGAGCCGTGGACTTGGTAATCGCGTCGATACGTTCTAGCAACCAAGCGCGGACCTTGTCATTCCGGCGCGAATTATAGGGGTGGAAGCCGCCCGTGAGGATCTGCAGGTCCTGCCATGCCTCGGTGAGATTCAGGCCCTTGGGACTGGACTGTGGCGCGGTCGGGACGTTGGTGTTGATAACCAGGATGGGGATGAGTAGGGCTAGATACACCAGCGTCGTGATGATGGTGACCGGCCATGGGGTGAAGGCCAGAGGGTTCCTGGCCTTGGGGGAAGCCATCGCCGCGGGGGGTGTTGTCGCGAGGGGAGAGGGAGGTGGTGCGGAAGAAGTTTTGAGGTTGCTTCAAGAATGCGGGGATAGCTACGGAGCTACCATCTTTCCGGTAATGTCAACCTGAATGTCGTACACTGCATAATGTGATGCATCGCCGGCACGCCATATGTAGAATGGAACTGGTCAACGTCGGGGTAATTTTCAAGCGAACTAGAAGAATATAATTGAACTGAAATATTTTTAAGTAAAAAATGTATAACTAAAGATATACGCCTCCGTACATGACTGCATACTTTGTCGAGACCCGCTTTCTATACAATTGCAAGTCCGGGATGCGCGACTGAGATGTAACTCTCAGCAAAACCGATAGTATCCTCTACTAATGGTCTGCTTACACCTGCAAGTCGCTACATATACAGAAAGTAGTGCAGCACTACCATGGCATTCCACATGTAGAGGAAGTAGAAAGCTCCATTATCGCTAGCGAGCAAGGCATCTCCCGCGATAACACAGACACAGACATAAACATAGAAGGATAGAAAGGGTAATCTTCGCTCATATGGTTAAAGATAATAACAAAGGCTGTTTCTTGGTCTTGACTCCGGGTGCAAGGCCAAAAGGAGAGATCGAAAGCACAAAGGGGAAATAAAAAGCAAGGGATGCAAAAGATGAAAAGATGCGAATCGCCTTTATCGCCCATGGAGAGAAAGAAGCTGAGAAGAACCCATGAGGGGACAAGGGAGGGATAAAGAATGCGATGAAGAAAGTTGGGAAATTGGGTATCGTATCAGTCATGAGCAGGCACATTGATGTAGTCGTCGTCACTGATGCCCGTTGCATGCATCAGGCCAGTCATTTGCCCTTCGTCTTCGTCCAATTCTTCGTCATCATCGTACATGGTGGCCTCTTCTTGGTGTCGCTGTGGTTTTTGGTTAAGATGGTCGCGGAGCCGAGTTACGCCATCGCCACTGAAGACGCAGAATACGTCTCTTTGTTGCTGTGTAAATTCTGGTGGTGCTTCTCGGCAGAACGCTGTGAGCCCTTGGTCCAGGAAAGATTGCACGCCAGTCAAACTGAGATGCGTAAGACGGGGACAGTTATTGATCAGAGGACGAATTCCCTGTAGAATGTTAGAACTAGCCAAGACAGAACTCGGAGTCCAAAATACTTACTTCCATAGACAAGCTGACACAGTAACTGAGATGCACACGCTCCAAGTTGCTAACTGTTTGGCCACTTCTTGGGGGGGGTTGCCAAGCTCAAGATGCTGGAGTCAGTAATAGCTTGGCATTTGACCAAACCGATACGGCGTAGCTTGGGGAGACTAGCCAACTGCTGCACACTCTGGTCAGTCAACCGGTTGCAGCATGCCAAATCAATGTAGCGAATCCGGTTGCAAGATTTGATCAGTTGAATGACAGCGGCATCCGAGATATTAGAGCAATGGCCCAGATGGACGTAGTGTAGATTCTTGCCCAGTTTGCAGATTGCAAGTACGGCACGGTCTGTGATGAAACGGCACTTGGCCAAGACCAGATTTCGAAGACGAGGAGCGGCATTCACAATACGCTCGACAGCGTCATCCTTGACATTTTCACACGCTGTTAGGTCCAGGATGCGTAGACTGTCAAATGTCAGGTGTTCTGGCAAATTCAAAAAGGCGGAGTCATCGATCTCGATGCAGTGAGCGAGGCGTAACTCTCGAAGGTGTCGCAGCGTGGTAATTAATGACGTTACCGAGGGACTTGTCACAAGCTTGCAGTCATGTAAGTCAATCTCCAGAATTGCAGGGCAATTCTCGGCGAAGGACATGATCGACCGATCTGTGACGTGTACTACGCCATTAAGTTTTACCTACAGATCGGGTTAGTAAAAGTAAAAAAAGGTTAAAGGCAAATTTGCTCCATGGAAGGCCACATACCCTCTTGATTTGACGACAGTTTTGTGAGACAACAAGCAATGAGTCGTCCGTGACCTTTGCGCATCCAGTAATGTTGAGACCTTGTAAGCGCGGGCAGTTCCTTGAGACGGCATATAAAGTATGGTCGGTCAAGTATTGCAAGTCCGACACATCCAGCGCTTGCAAGTGCCGATTCCCATCTACCAAATCCGAGACGCCTTTATCCGTGAGTTTTGAGCAGTTCGTCAACGTCAGGCGTTCAATGCGTTTGCATTGGGCGAACGGGACGACTGTGCCATCGCTGACATCTGCCATCAAAGCAGACAAGTTAAGTCGCTTGATGAGGTCGGCGTATGTGAAGAGACTATCTGGCTCGCCAACAGACGAGGCCACGCTCTTCAAATTCTCCCAGTTGTTGCAGGACGGCCGATGCCAGAGTATCCCGACGCAGTTGGCGGCCCAGTTCCGACATACCTGCATGCAGGCCAGCATATCTTTGGGTAGGGCCAGTTTGGAGAATATGGCGATCAAGATTTCGGGTGGGAGGCGACCGATCGGTGGTATCGAGACCGCTCGAGAGCTCTGCACGTGAACCTCGCGGAAGTTTGCTACACCGATCGAGGATTGTGAATCGTTGGCCTGGGCCATAAAAAAATCCGTGTCATCGTCGGCGGCACGTTCCGGGGATGTAGAGGAGGAGGTTTCGGAGGGGGCCTCGCTCGATTGACGAGCAGAGGGTCGAGGGCGAGGCATTTTGGCGGCCGGCGAAGAATCAACACTTGACCAATCTGACTTTCGTTTCGGGTCTTCGCAAGGCCGAAGTCTCATTACTTCCAAAGATTAGATCTGCATGGGCGATGGATGGAGGAGATTGCGCGGCGGGAGGTTGGGGTGGACGCGAGTGAAGCTGAACTTGGTGGAGAGAGGGCGGCGTGGGATCGAGGTATTTGATCCGATGAGCCGGTCACTGGGGTCTGCGCCTGGAAACAAAGAGGCGGCGAGTGCTAGTCTGGAGCAATGTATCTTTTATTTCCTGGTTTGCCTTCTTTCCAGTAAAAGAAACGGAGATATCGCGTTCTCGGATGCGGATGTGACGGGCGGAGCGGAAGGCGAAGTGAGCTGAGCGCCTAAGTCAAGGCTAGCGATAGCGAGTGTTTGCGGGACTTTGAGAAAAAGCGAAGTTGGAAGACCGGAAGATATCACTGCATAGACATTCGCAGACCGCAAGATCCCCGAGAACGAAGGGGGTGGAAGGGCGAATGTGCGTGAAGGGATCAAGGCGGCAATGGAGGGGGGATGAGGCAATGAGATGGGGGCGTCTCACAGGCGCGGCCAAGTGACTTTGCTTATCGACGTGATAAGATGGGGTACTTCCCAACCTTTAGGAAGTTATGGGGTACTTAGAGGTTGGCAGTACCCTGGTATTGGTATGGCCCTGTTGAAAGAAACAAAGAGGAACTTTCAACAAGTTCGAGTTCAAGTTGAAGTTGAAGAGGAGTTCCTTTGTTCCTTCTCCAGTCAACTTCCAACTGATGCGGTCCCGTGGGTCTGAGGCTGGTCTGGTGAGCCCCACCATTTACTTACTAACCCTAGGGTAGTACTTCGTACTTAATACCAGTAGTTACTACTAGTTAAAGTGCTCTATAGTATGTACATGCAAGTATCTGGAATAATATAAGTACTAGTAGTTACTGGCGAGATGCATATATGTAAGTAGTATTGATCTCGACCTGTACACATGGATACCCTGGGATTTCTACTAGTATTACTCATACTTCAGATCTAGGTATACTATTCAATCCCTCTAATCAACTACTACTGCTAACTATTTAATACAAATCTATACATTGACTTTCCGATTCGGCCCTTTCACCCACTCCCGCAACACATTCTTTCGAATCTTGCCCGTACTGGTCTTGGGCAACTCGGGAACCACCTCGACCTCACGCGGGATCATGAACTTGCTGATCCCGCTCACATTCCGAGCCCAGTCAATGACGTCCTTGCCTTCCAGCTGTTGGCCTTGTTTGACCGTGACAAATGCCTTGGGTCGTTCGCCCCAGTGGCTGTCAGGAACAGACACCACGCCCGCTTCGAGAATGTCGGGGTGAGTGGCCAACATTGACTCTAGCGCCACGGAAGATATATTTTCGCCACCTACCAATTTGGAATTAGTCAACATTGTCGAAAGCGCATTTATCAGCTTTTACTAAATCACTCCCCCGAAAGAACTCACCGCTAATGATTATATCTTTGGCCCGATCGAGGATTTGGATCGCCCCATCTGGGTGCCAGACAGCCAGGTCTCCCGAGTGCAGCACATCGCCCGCGAAGAGCTTCCGGGTTGCATCGATGTCCTTAAAGTAGCCGCGAGCACAGATGTTACCGACAAAGACAATCTCGCCGATTTCCTGGCCATTCTTCTCTACGTCCGTGACGGTACCCTCCGGGACCTCGGTCTTAATCACCCGCACAGGCAGGCTAGTGATGAAGCCATGACCTTGCCGGGCCATCTTTTGGTACTTCTCCTTTAGTGGAATCTGATCCCACTGAGGCAGATAGTATCCTTTGGTAATGGGCCCGTAGGTCTCGGTCATACCATAGACATGGACCGGGTGGAGGTTCAGATCAGTCATTTGCTCAAAGAGGTGTGGGGTCGGTGGGCTGGCAGCGACTGTCACACGGACAGGCTCGGGCAATTTTTCGGCCTCTTTGGCGTTGCAGAGGAGAGTGTTGACGGTTGGCGCCGCGTTGAAATGGGTGATATTCTCTTCTTTGAGCATTTTCCAGATCTGAGGATAATCGATCTTGCGTAGACAGTAATGAGTGCCACGAACGGCGGTCACTGCCCAAGGGAATGTCCATCCTGTAAATTGGTTAGCATCTTTAACAGCCAAGAACGTAAATTTGTTTCATGAATGTTTTTTTTTCTTTTTTTTTTTTTTTTTCAAACTTCAGAACGATTGTACGAACCCATAGCATGGAACATCGGCAGCGTCCAGAGATATCCGGCACGGCCACGATGATAATTCAATCCCGATTCGATCACGTTACCCAAAGCTGCGAGATAACAACCCCGATGAGTATATTCCACCCCTTTCGGACGGGCGGTAGTTCCACTAGTATACGCAAGTGCAATGAGGGAATCTTCATCAGCGGCCTGACTTTCAAGCGCCTCCCAACCCAGCGCCCCCAATTCCATATCATACTTCAAGCCTTCCAGTACAGCATCATCAAATGGCCCAGTCAGCTGGCCCTCAGTAACATCAGTATCAGTATCGATAATGATCGGAATATTAGGATGGTCTGCGCGGTAGGCTTCTAGCAGCGGCTCGATTTCTTGATCAACAATAATGACATCTACATCACCGTGGTCGAAGATGTAGGCGATATCTTCCCTTTTAAGACGATAGTTTACGGCTAGAGAGCGGGGATTAATACTTGCAGGAAAAGAACTCGGGGAAATTATTCCTTCTCCAGTGGGATGAGAGGGTTCTCACCGACGTTGATCGCCCCTGCAGCGGCAATGCCAAAGATCGACTCTAAGAATGCCGGGGTGTTCGGACACAAGATGCCAACTCGCTTGAATCCATGTTTCTTCAAATAATAGGCCAAGCCACGAGCGCGATCCGCAAGTTCACTGTAGGATCTGCGGAGGACCTTGTTGTTGGCAGTGATGTGGTAGACAGCTTCCGCCTGCGGTACGTTCCTCCTTGGTTAGACCCGGATTAAGTGAGGTTAACGAGATCTCCACGCTTACCTCTGGCTCAATGGCAGCTGCACGAGGTAGGAAGAATGTCGGCGATAGTGTATGTCGGTTAATTCGGTGCTCGAATGGCGCGGGTGTCGAGAAGTGGCCGAGTAAATTCGACAGGCGGGACTTGACGCCGGACATGGTATGTGGAGGTGGAGAGCGGATGGTCGGCGTAGGATCAGATTACCAAGGGGGTTGGGTCACCACTGTATAAGTAGATACAAATAACAAATATAATCACAGAACCAAGCCGTGAAATTTGGAGGGGTATGTGGGAGTAAACCCAGTAAATTAGGGAGAAGATTTGGGGGGTTTGGAGAAATGCGGGGAAAAAGAAGCGGTTATTAATTAACCTAGGTTATGGCGGACATGGAGCGGATCACGAGCGGAAGGGGGTACTGGGGCATCGAGGGCCGCACAAATTAGTGGAGACCTTAGATGAATGTATGAAACTCTTCCTTGATCCGGTTCGATGATCTATTTTGTTCCGAAAAATTGGAAACTTTTACTTTTGATCGTTCATGGGGTATCGTTAATTGGATGAAGACATAGGGCATGGGTATCGTATGTAGGTTGGACCGAGACACCGCCAGCCCATTTCTATAAAGTAATTCCAATGCGATCTGCAGACCTTGACTTCTGCACAAGGTACTGGTAAGGCTGAAAGGAATGATAAGAATACTGCTCTATGGAAAACACTAATCTACGGGGAAAGAGGAAGACTAGCCAAAAAAGGATTGACTGCATCATAAGATCATGTTGAACTCTTGAAAATTGTTTTGGATTAAACCGCCACGGCGCGAGACAAACAGCCAGCTATTTTGAACAACCTTTCATCCCGCGACTCCGTTTTTTCTGCTTTTTGAAAATATCCGAAGCCACCTAGGATCTCCGCCGTCCCCGGCCACCCATGTCCGTCACAACCGACCAAGGTCGTGGTATTCATGAAGCGGCCAGGAAACAGGAAAGAAACCGGGGGCCATGGAAATAAAGGTCGATCGGCTTGCCGTTCAATTCGCTGAAACAAAACCGTCCGCGATCCCAACCCAGACCTTCGTCACTTCACATCAACCAGCCGAACTTTATCAGGTATCTAGTAGCCGTACTCAGCAAGCTGGGACTTGGTTTTGCTGTTAACGTTCGCACTCTGCTCCGCCTTGGCGAGGCTACGGCGAGCGGCCTTCTTGCGCTCGTAGTAAGCCTTGCTCTTAACCTTCCGACGCTCCTCGAGACTGTAAACATGTGTTAGCATTCTATAATTTCTGAGTGTTTCGAAATATCTGCTAGAATCCGAGCAGAAGGAATGATACGTACCGGGAGACGACGTCCTGGTACTTCCAGCCAACCTCGTGGCTGAGACGACCGACAGTGCAGAACTTGCGGCCGGGGCGGAGACGCAGGATACGCAGAGCCTGGGGAACGACAACGCGCTTCTTCTTGTCGTAGGGAGGGGGGACACCCTCGAAGACCTTAAGGCGCTCGAGAGCGGCGGCACCACGGGCGGTCTTGTGGGGAATCATGCCGCGGACAGCCTTGTAGAAGATGCGGGAGGGGGCGCGGAAGTGGAAGGGACCACCGCGAGTGGGGTTGAAACGGGTCATCTTGCGGAGGTAGGCGTGGTACTTGACTGTATGTCGAAAAATGGCGAAGGTCAGTATTCGGTACTTCGCTAAACATGTACTTTTCCAAGTCTTCAATGTGGCGTCCACGATATGCAACTCCAGATATTCCTCCTTTTTTGTATTCGTTGGTCGTATGCAATATCGTCTTCTGCCGTCATAGAAATGGAAAGGTCGGATCGGGGGGATGTGTAAACGTACGCTTCGCGCGGAAGAACTCGCCGGAGATGTTGAGGGCCTCACATCTCACGACGACGATCTTCTGACCGTTGAGCAGCTGCTTGGCAACAGTGCTGGCCAGGCGACCCAGAAGGTGTCCCTTGCCGTCGATGACGACCTATATCAAAGCGAATCAAGTTAGCGATTTGCCATCTCGATAAGAAGCGAAGAGATTCGATGTTGAAGATTTGAAGATTGGAGGGTTGGTGGTCGTGAGGGGGATTGCAAAAACGATCGGAATGTTGAAACGCACCACGTTCTCAAAGCTGGACATCCTGCTCTGTCACCGTGTGAAAGTTGGGTTGATGGTTGTCGGCGGTTGTTGTCGTTGGAGTCAAGTCGACGCACACAACGAAGTCGGATGGATCGCAGGCGAAGGGGCTAAGCGAGCCTGAAAGAAGCCTACTCTGTGTGGATTAGGTGTGAGGGCCGCAGCCCTAAGTATGACCAATGAAAAATGAGGATGGTCTGACCGCCCGGCCGGACTTGTCGTATTATGTCAGCACTTTCCAAATGTGTGGTGTGTGGGTCATGCCTTCCCACCTTCTCAGTTTAGGGCCGTCGATTAGGGCTAGCCATGTCCAATGCAATCCTATCATTTTAATGTTCTAGAATGGGTAGCATCCAGGACAGGGTAATCATGGAGTGGAGACATGTGGTGATGGGGATGGTAAAATGTATGTAATCCTGGTATTAATCAATGTAGAATAACACTGTAATATACATCTCCATTGGCGTGGCTTCCCGATTATTACTACTAGTAGTACCTTCTTTCCTCTCTAACAACACACTATCTCCGAGCCCTTTATACTACCTTGAGATCCGGGGACTTAGTCAACTTATCAACTTAAACTTATCAACTTGACCAAAGACTGGGTCCGATGACTAATCTCTACCATCGACTTTGGGATGTGTTTTTTTTCTTACTCTCTTGGGTTCTCAACGCGCTTCCCTGCAAATATCAACGTCCTATGACTTCCAACTCCGCCCATTCGCCCACTCTGGCTGCAATGCCGTCAAATAATACGAGAAACTCTGCACACCCGTGATCAAAATCCTCGATCACCTGGCTCCTCGATCTAGAGCCCAAGGGCCCAGACCGAGAACTAAACAACTATAGCCATGCGTCGTAAAACACGTTTCGTTTGCGTCTCAGATACCCATGGCTACACGCCTTCCGAGGCAGGTTTCAAACTGCCGGCAGGCGATGTACTCATACATGCGGGCGATTTGACTAACAACGGAAGCATGTCTGAGCTCCGCAGGACGATGGATTGGATCTCCAAGGCCGACTTTGAAATTAAAATCCTTGTGGCGGGTCAGTTCATCTTCCTGTTCTTCGACGATACCCAATGGTTGTTCAGTATGAAGCCAGTGAACTGAAGACCCACCTACCCATGCACTACTTTCGTCAAAGCATAGCGACGCAGACCATTCCAGGTAGACAATGCGACTTACCACTAATTCTATATGCAGGCAATCACGACGTCTCATTAGACCCGGAATTCTATGCAAAGCACGGCCACACATTCCACGGCCAGAAATTGGAAGACCCCCAGCAATGCATAGATATCGTCACAGGAGCAGCACCTTCCGTTATTTTCCTTCAACATCAAGCAGTCACCATCCGCCTGACCCGCGAGAACGGCCCCCGGACGGCATTCACTGTGTTCGGATCTCCATTCTCTCAGTTCAAAGGGTCATGGGCCTTTGGATATGAGTCCAGCAAGGCTATGGCACTCTGGGACCAGATCCCCCCCGAATGTGGATATTGTCGTGACACATACGCCACCACAGCATTTATGTGACCGGAAACCGGACGGGAGTTTCGTCGGGTGCAATTCGCTCCGTCAAACTCTGAGCCGCATTAGACCACCATTGGCTATTTGTGGCCATGTGCACGAAGGACGAGGATATAGACGAGTCCGTTGGCGAGATGCGAGTATGGAAGATACACAGCACAATGAAGCGACTGAGACGGGCGAGGGGGCCGACCGATTCATTGATGTTCCCCTTCCGCCCCGGGGAAGCAAGAAGCTGAACCTGGTCGACCTGACTGGCAAACGGGGAGACCGTTTAGACAGCTATGGCTTTGCATGTGAGGTTCCTGGGCTGCAGCCTCTATCTGAGACCACAAATATGCGGGTGATACCATTGCTAGACAGTACTGGATCAGCCGCAGTTGCCGTGCCCGACGAGCAGAGAAAGAGAGCAAATGAGAGCTTTTCTATATCGTCGTCCTCGAGCACAGGAGACCGTTCTCTCGAGTGCTTATCATCACCCAGAAAGGAGACTTGCATCCTTAATGCCGCGATTGTGGCTACTAGTTGGCCACATCTGGGAGGCAAGCAATTCAATGCACCGATAGTCGTTGACATTGAGCTGCCAGAGTGGTGGCCACTGAGTGACAGAGAGAACGATCTAGGTGAGAATTGAATGAGAGAGCCACGGAGGTAGCCCACTTAGCTTATTGGTGAAGTGCTATGTGACCACTGACAACTAAAGTAAGTAGTTTCAAGATAAAAAATACTAGGTCTGAAAGAAGTTTTCCTTGTATATTCTTGGTCAAATTTTGTAGTACGCCGGTATGTCATATCCCTGTGACTCGGGATAAACTGAAAATGATATCGATGGAGGGCAGTGAACATCGGATTCACCTATTCACCTTTCAATCCTGTACCACCCGTTTACTTTTTTCTTCCCCAACAAATTCTCTCCTCACCTTCATTCAAAGTAACCACTTTCTTGACACTTCCACCATTTCTCAATCACCTTTTCAATCTTGTGATCGGCGGTGTTCAACCTGTCATCATCGAGGCACTCCTAGTAAGGTCGACTGGGGAGAAGATGATTGTAATCATTTCCCTTTGATCGGTAATGTTTTTGGTCAATACTAGCAGGCCAATTGAAATGCCTCTGATCCCATCGACAGCATGAGTTAGTCAAACTACTGTAGCCAGCTACTCTTTCCCCCTATATGGGTAATCTTCCCTGATATGTGAAATTTCAGTGTCAGCGGTTGTGGGTGTTGTATTTCATCTCAGAAGCTCGCTGCCCATCTCGGAAGGGTTAGCTAATAATGAATTATTCAAACAGTTCGCGAGAGTCTGTCCATGTGAGCGAATAAATGAGCAATAGCACGAATACCTCCAGTAAATCATCTAAACTTTCCTTCTTCAGGTTGTATCCTCGACTCCGAACGGTCTAGCAACAGCAAGATTAATATCATCGAGAGCTCGCCCTCCACCTTTCCAATAAAATGGGGTTTGGCATTGGCGATAAACTTCCAGTCTACATCCCTGTGGCAGTGCCGAGTTTCGGTCAAAGGTAGTTGGAATATTCAAGATACTGGGTGAAATGGAAGAAAATATTTCTAGATTTGTGGATTTGCGGTAATATAATGATCGAGACTGAACTACATTTCGATAATTTTACTGCCTGGGTACCTAGGTACCCAATCCTAAGTACGGCTTAGGTGGTTATTCTGGTTGGATTGAAACATGATAGCAAGGGCCAACACGTTATCAAAGTTTTGTCTCTTCCTGAGCTATAGCATTCCGTACGAATGCACTCTCTTATCTGAGAATAACCCTATATTACCTTGATGGGAAAGATATATGAGCTTGGGCCTTTTTTTATCATGGTTTTTTTCTATCTTGTCTCATTATGGATGCAGACTAGAAGAATTGATTGAAAGTGATGATGCATGTTTCTTTGATCACACAATTTTTTGATGTAGATATTTGCGTATAAATGGGCCCTTTGTCCCTCCAAGGCATATTTGAATTCGTGAAAATATAGCCATAACGTGAATAAACCAACGCAATTGTCCTCAAATGAAGGAAAAAGATGCGTCGCTAGGAATTGAAGTCGCTTAGTCTACTTTAAGCTACTGACGAGAAATGTGTCAAGATAATTGTTTCGTCGACAAGGCTGGCATAAGTTCTTTGATACGACCTGAGAGAACATCATCAATTACTACTATCACATAAAAAACCAAGCACTCATTTTACACCCTACTCCTCCGAATACCCTGAGAAATGAGCTAACTCCCAGGGCTGGAGGGCTCGCTCTCCCCCCCAAGAACTTGAAGGCAGCAGCTGAATGCCCAGGTGCACTGCCAATGAGCCGCAAGACATCCCATCATCCTCCAACTTGAACCCAGCACATATATATAAAAGAGAATATATATACAGCCTCACCAGCAACCAAAGATAATTGACCCACGACGCCCCGGGCAACCGGCGCGATGCGCCTTTTGGCTCCTCCCTTTCTTTACCCCATGCATATTGTGGCTTGCAGAGAATCTACCCAGTATCTCAGGACGTTCCCACCACCATGCATGATCAGCGGGAGCTTTGGCCCCCACGTCCGCGATGGTTGGCCGCTTTGATTCATCGATACGATGCGATTCATCGACGTCCTGATGCTGTCAGACGTTAAGGCTTACATCATTCAACTGCGACCGAGGTCGTGCGTGCGCAAAGACTGCCGGAGAGGGCTAGCGGGTGGTAGTCAATATGTAGACTAGACCCGTCGGACTGGCTGATGGACCCGATGATGCGACCGTGCTGAGGGCTTGATGATCCTCCGGTTCGGAGGTAGGTGGTATGTACATGTAGTTACTTGGACTCGGACCGGAGGTTGAACTACAGAGTACCCCCCGAGGAATAGTGACATAGGTAGTGACCTATTTCTATGACCGGTGTCTGAGTGCGATGATATCTCATGCAAGCTCGTGCCAAATAGGATAGAACAGACAGCCTTGTCCTTTGCATATAACCGCATCTTATTTCTCGTCCCCCGTTCACCCTCGTATGGATGTTCAGTTCAGATGTAGCCTTGTGCCTTCCTGAACCAATCCGAAATCCATATCAAACCCCGCACGCAAACTGCCGGAGGAGGGTCCGTATATTATATGTGTGCTACATGTATGGAGTACATGTGAGTGATTGATTCTCTTTCCACCCATCTGACATGTTCGAAATGCCGCACTTCTTTCCAAAAGTGATATCACCAAAGGACCAAGCCAAGGTACGGATGTAGAAGTAGAGTCATCTGCAGGAAATGGATGAAAACTCAAATGGAGGTTCCAGAACACACACACTAGCAAGGATAAGTCCCAGCTATCACTCTCAGCGCTTACACAACCAAGCTTAGTGGCTATTTCCCAGTGGTGAGAAAAACGACCCTACAAAGCAATGACCAACCAAAAGGTGACCCTGCCATCTATCTCTAACTTGAGTGTGTGTGACCTAGGTATGCGAGGCCGATCATTCATTGAACTTATTTCTTTTTTCGCCGGTGACTTGCATTTTCTGAGGTACAGTACGGAGTACGGGGGAAGGGGGCTATTCAGCCAGGGCAGACTCAGCGGATAGATCTAGCCAGCCCCAAGTAAGACCTGACCTGGCGGAAAGCTCTCGTACTGGAGAAGGAATGGCTAGCTGAGTTCCAGCGGCGTTTCTGGGCTTCTTCTCTGCACAGCGTTGAGTGGCTGGAAATGTGTCCTTGGATTGAAACATGGTCGATGACGCAGGGGAGTTTGCTGCCTACCTGTTCCCCGCCATCTTCTTTCCCATGTGAAGGAAGGAGATGTGCATGTTTCAGCATAGACCCTGTCTGGCTTGTTTTGCGACCATGACAGGTCAAGTTTGAGCTAGCGACCGCTATGAGCTACGAGCTCCCACCAGTTCCAGTGGTAATTAACTAGTGCCGGTCTCAGTCCCAGCTGATATGCAAATTCTTCTTCTCCACGAGGCTATGTCCAATGATTTGGATTCTCCGAATTCAGACACTATGCGGATCATCGCGGGGTATGGTTGCAAAGGACCCAGGGCGGGGGAAGCCCGGTGGATAAGGTTAGAACCCAGTTCAGCGTGAGGATCTAGTCTAGTCCGCTGCTCCGTTTTGTACGACCTGAGCGGTAGATGTGATAAGACCGGAGGATTACGAGACTCCATGGCGGATAGGTTGTTTGCTGTGGTTGGGATTGAAAGGGTGTGCAATCGCAAGTTGGCCGGTGGAGGAGTGGAGATGGTGATGGAGGGGTTGTTGTTGGGTTGGGTTGGGTTGGGTTACTTACTGCACCTACCATCACACTTTGTCAAATGACCGAAAGTTCTGGTGGGGGGAGGGGCTCTTGATTCTTTTTTTTTTTATGCTTTTCCTTTCTTTTTCCTTTTCTTTTCTTGCCTAGCTTGAAATGAGGCTTTGACACACTAACCGTTGTGATGGAGCGTGGTCGTTTAGCCTATCCAATTCCCTCAGACGGAGTACGCAGTACGCACGTAACCTCCGGGTGATGGGTTCATCGCAATTTGCAAAATGTCTCTGGCCGCGCGGACCGCAAGGCCGGGTCCAGATGACAGGCCGAAAATTGGGGACTTGGTTTAGGCGGACTTGGTCTTGGACTTGGTCTTGGGCTTGGTCTCGGGTGGAGAACAGAGGTACATGGGGACAGGGGACACGTTTGGATCATGGGTCTTCCTAGGTGGAACGACGATGGAGAGATCGGAGGGCGATCAGCTTCGGATGACAGGAGGAAGGGTGATGAGCGATGTACGATGAGCAATAGTGATGCGCGAATGCCATAGCGTACATAGACTATGAGCGTTGGCTGCAGACGATCGAGACGATCCAATCGAGGTTGGTTCCCAGAGGTTTAGGTACCTATGGTATATGCCATATGGTATAGACTGAAACTGGGTACGGAGTACAGAGTACTCGGTTCCTCGTACTCAGTAGCCACAGTGGTATCTCGCCAGGCACGGCCATGTTGGTATAGTATGTCCACGTTGGTACCCAGCCCAGTCCCCATCTCCCCACCGCAGATGTCGGCCTGGGGACAAGATAGCGGTGACTGTACGGAGTACTCTTTACTCTTTACGTGAGACTACCTAAATATAGGCGGTCTCCATCATACTGAGCCACAAATTAAGGCCCACGGAACTGCCCGGGGTTTCCACGCGAGGGGGTCGATAATAGACAGGGGGAACCACAACAGGTACGACATCCAATAGGGCGTCCCAGAAGGCTGAGCTCACGCAGGGTTACGTGGGAGGACGAAAAAGCGCAGAAAGGGAAAAAGCAAGGCGAGAGGCGAAAAATAAAAAAGAAAAAAAGAAAAAAGAAAAATCCCGCGGTGAGCCCGCGCTATGCGGGGGGCTGCTGTTGGAGGGAAATGCCATTGCCGTAGGGTACTCCGTATTGTACACCTACCTGTACAGTACGGAGTACATGGATGCATGGGACTTGTACCCAAAGGCCCTAGAGGGCTCTGGAGGGTCCTGGAAGGTCCGATGGAATCACCGCATTGAGGACGGCGCAGGGGCAAAGGAGAAAACCCGAGGGAAAAAAAGGATAGGCGCGAATCACGGTGAGTGAAGTGACGAAGGGGGGGCGAAAGTTCAGGGCTCGGGCTTGTCTCCCCAAAGTCCTTCTGCCTCGTGTTGATTTGACTGCTGGCCCCGCCAGTGGTAGGCAGCGATTGGTGGATGACTGGAGAAGGAATAGACAAATCGGAAGTGGTGCACAGGCCGAAAATGGAGGATGTGAAGGCCCGCTGAAAGGCTGTCTAGACCAGTCAGGATGACTGAACTGCCGCTCAGTGAAGCAAGATGGGGGACGAGGCGGGTGATGGTGGTGGTCATCATGATCATGGCTATGGTCATGAGGAATGAGGTGAGGGAGGTTTAGGAAAATGGTTAAAGGAATGCAGAGAACCCAGGTGGGATGAGGTTAGGGTGAAATGTGAAGGTGAAGCAAGACGAAGCCCGCCACTGTTGGCTGATCTTTTTGTGGCGGAGTTATCAGTTCATCAATACCAGAGAGAGTGCCAATGGAATGGAATGTTCCTTTTTCGCCCCCTAAACACATAACTCCAACAAACACTAAAAATCATCGGCTCTCTCGGCCTCACTAGGGCGCTGCGCTCCCCTTCCTTCTACTTAACAACTTCCTAGTTGATGCAGTGTTGCCATTCGCTTTGCGCATTTGCTGTGCCTCACGGCATTGTCCTACCCGAAGACTATTTCTAATCATTTTCCTTCCCTGACCAATTTCTTCCAATTCCTCATCTGGTCTTTAATTCTCTGGAGGAACTCCCGATCGTTCTCGATGAAAGTGGATTCTTCGAAACGTCACCCATCTTCACGTTGGCATTCCATACAAATCTCCACCGCCTCTTCCCCTCTTCCCCCATTCCCTTTCATTCACCATTCACCTTCACATTTCCCCCCTCTCTCTATCTCTTCCCCCTCTTCAATTCTCTGGGGGGTTTGAAACCAAGTCATTGATCTTGGTAAACCCTCATCTTCTTCTCTCCCCCACTCCCACCCAACATGTTACAGCCCGACGATGTCAAGACAGATCACTATGCTGCCTTGGGCGTCTCCAAGGAAGCCGACCTAACCAAGATTCGTGGAGCCTATCGAAAGCTCGCATTGAGTCTCCACCCCGACAAGATCAAAGATGAATCACAACGTGAATCCGCACGAGAAGAATGGCATCGAGTTCAGAAAGCCTACGAGATTCTCTCTGACGACAAGGACCGATCCGCTTATGATAATGGACGAGCCAAGTTTCTCGACAAGGAAGCCAGATTGGCCGAGCTGAAGCGAGAATTACGAGAGCACCGACGAACCGATTCTTCATATGCCTCCCCACGAGGAAGTGGCAGTGCTTCGGCCCGTGAAATGCGAAATGGGCATATTGTTGAAGAACGTGTCCCAATGGAGAGCTACTTCGATGATGCGATGCGATTCACCGACGAGCCCAACCCAATGGGTCGCAAGAACGACGATTTTGGCCGTCGAACAAAGCCAAGGCCAACGGATGATAGGAGGAAGGCTCGTGTACCGACGAGTAGTCAGCGCGCGGCCAAGGACCTTCGCGAATCGACCAAGGCATCGAATGCCGACCGGGCCAAGAAGCTCGCCCGAGAGCGTCGCCACGATGCTTCTGTCAAGCATGAAGAGAAATTGGATTCCTACGGCCCTAGGATAGTGGAATCCGAAAGTGATTCTGAATTTAGTGGTCCCGAAATCTATCTACGGACTAGGGAACCCTCTTCCTCGCGACGAACTCGGGAGTCAACTCCTCGGGAATCACGATCGCGCCCGACGAAGCCGGCTCCCCGTCACCGTGACTACTATGATGAGGAGGATACTTACTCCGACGGGTACGATGCCTGGCAAAGCAAGTTCCACGGTGCCCAGGAGCATATTCAACGATCGAAGTATGAAGGAGGGGATTCTCGGCCAAGGACGTCTCGATCCCCACCTCGACGCCGTGGTTACGACGGTGAACCAGAAATGTCCGGCTCGCGGCGCGCGGCTCGGTCCTCTCAGTCAACCAGGGAACCCGATCGTTCCTCATCTCGCAACAATTCATATGACAAATTAGACTCCCGCAGTGGAGATTACTTCAAACCACCAAAGATGCCTTCCGCGACCACCTCGCCTAACGTGAAGTCGTCAATAAGACCTTCGCTGTTCACTCGTGCAACCACTGCGACCGCCACTGCTTTTACTCGGCCAAAGCGGGAAAGCTCCAGCCGCAACGATTCTAGTCTCGACCAAATGGTCCGTGAAAAGGTCCCCCCATCGCGATCATCGAAGCTGCGCAACAATGATTCCGGTTACTCCAGTTCCAGTACACCGGAGATGCCCCACAGCCATTCGCCCAAGGTGACCGCTCGCTATACAATCGATCCCGAAACAATCACCATCGAGCCTTCGAAGTATCGCATGGCATCACCCGATCGAGATCGCGAGCGGGACCATTCCACTCGCACCATGCCCCCTCGTGCAAACACCTTTACCGAGCCATCAAGCATCAAGATCCGCTCTGTGAAGCCCTCACGAACCTATACCGATGTGGAATACACTCGACGCGGTGATGTCAAGTACGCCAAGGAAATCCGCCCTAGCGATGCAACCTATTCGCCCAGTCGTTCTCAGAAGATCCCACCTTACTACACCGAACGCCATCCTCCTCCCAGCAGACGGCAGTCTACTGCTGCATAATTTAAATTAAGTAACGACAGCCTTTACGACCGTGCAATCACCTTTCTGTTCTTCCTTTTCCACCACACATAACCTCATGACCTGAAATGTCAAATGTCTTCTATTCTTGTCCATACTTTTCGTGAATTGCCTAGCGCAGTTCCTTTCGAAACCCGCACACACTGGTTTCCAACATGAATTTTTAAGGGGCCGGGAACCCACTTCTTTGCTCTACCTCTACTTGACTTCCTACTTCGATGTGGTCGAAGTCTGGTAGCAGCAACAGAGATATTTTCCTCTCTCCCCTCTCCGAGCATTGGGACGGTTCGGTTTATCGCAATGTGCATCCAAAGGCTTTCTTAGCTGGATATCACTTCGTCGGCGCAATGGGGGACTCGGATCGCATGGGATACTCTAACATATCAAATATACACACCTGACCGGCGCATTTATTCGATTGCCTGTGGTTTTTTTTTCTTGTTCTCACTGGCTTTTCATCATATCCTCATATCCTCGTTTGTTATTTTTTTCTTTCCCCTTCTCCCCTGTCTCTCTGTCTTGCCATCTATGATGTCACGTTTATCTTTTTCTTTTCTTTCTCGGAATGTATGGATTAGTGACCCCATGTGTACTAATTTCACTCAAAATAACGAGTTTTACGTTCCTTGATTGATGACCTTATGATTCTGATTTTGCCTTTGTGGTTTTCTATGAATTAGATTGTGATATAGAGTGAAAGATAAGTCATGTACCTCCTGTTATCTCTAGCTAACTCATCCCATAGAATGAAGTGAATATGCTCTTTTCAATCGATATAGCAATGGCTACGTACTGACTAGTATTATCATGACCAAGTAGATATACCACTCCCTCTGGAATGCCATGGCAGTTACAGCTGGAGGGCTTCGGGATGACATCTCTTGATAGTAGTATCAATCTGGGCCGAATATAGGCCATGGATGATATCAATTAGAGAACGAAAGTAGGCAGAGGAGGTAGTGCTTGGAACTGGCAATTCATTAAGCTAGCCCGCGAAGTGGTACTTGCCTAGTACTGGTAGCAAGAGACTGAATAGGATTCATCCCAGAAAACTTCAAGATCATCACATGGCCTGAGAAACAACCTATTGCTGCCGTGTTTCCCGACATAGCGAACAAATCGGGGTTTGCTGGTCGGTACTCTGGGGGTAGCCACAAGAGGTCTTGCCCCTCAAATGTAATCCAACTTCTATCGCTGTTTATGCCATATCCCACTTGTCGTGATCCAGATTCTTCGCTATCGGAATTATTGACCGCATGCAGTCTCTTTCCATCATCATGAGCAAACCAAAATGTGCCAACCGAAGTGTGTAGCATGCTCGAATCGGATGAATCGAATTCAATCCATTGACAGAGTTCGAGCTGAAGCTCATATAAACACTGGTTCTTAGCTATGTGCCAGACCTTGATGGACCTGTCTGAAAATGATGCTTGCCTAATTCCGTCATAAGACAAAGCAATAGACGAGGCACCTTCAACGCCAATTGCTGCTGAATCCTGGCGACTGACTGTAGATAATGCCCCTGCTTTTACGCAGAGGTATCCTAGCCTGAGCCATGTGCTATCGTCCGACCAGGACATGGATGTTATCTTTGTTTCTAGCCGAAACGTCAGCAAGCATCGTCCGTGAGCGAGACTCCAAATTTGAATGACAGTTGTCCCCGGAAATGGGTCAAAATGATGTCTATCTTCTTCGGTAGCTGATGCCAGCAAGGTCTCATCGGGAGACCATTCGAAAAGTTGGAGTAATCTACCTGATAAATCAAGCCTCAGAATCTCTTGAGTAGATATATTCAGAATTCTCACACTCCAAGAATGAAGTCCCTCGTTGGCGCTTGCTGCAATTTTGGAGCCACTCGGTGACCAAGCAAAAAGCGTAACACCACCGGGGCTCCAGATGGCATACGACAATGTAGAGATGCATCTTCTAGCAATGGGATCCCAGATTTTTATTGTACCATCTGCTACAGATGCAACCCAGGCTCCGTGTGGTGCCCAGGATAACAGAGCAGCTTTGGATCCAATAAGCGATATCGGATGTGATTGAGATTTCAGGATCGGCTCTGCGGTGTTCCCTTGAAATATCCGGAGTGTCAGTTCGTTAGGACTTGTCCCATCAAATGATACTACTGCAAGCGATTTTCTATCATTGGACCAAGCAATAGATAGTACTTGTCCATCAGGCCTATCGACTGATGGAGTATATTGACAATCAGAGTCACTGGAAGTGTCCCAAATTCGTGTAGTTCCATCGCTTGATTGCGAAAGAAGTCGATTCCCATTCTGTGACCAGGACACGGACCGAATCATATTCGTGTGTCCTCTCAGAAGGAACATGCACTGTGCTGTGATCGGATCCCAGATTCTGACTGTAGAACCATCAGTGCCAGACGCGAGCCGAGTTCCATCGGGAGACCATGCGAAGCACAAGACATAATTGAGGCGTGATAGTCTCCCAAATTTTGATTGTACCTCTCAATGCTGTCGATGCAAGGTTCAAGTTTTTTCTATCCTCCGAGCAACATATTTTCGGCGGTGGTGTTTTATGAAATCTATTCTTGGGCAGAATATATGGTTTAGTGACTCCATCTGAACATTGACCTTCTATGCGTAAAAGCTGCTTGGGGTCGAATGAAGGTAGAGCCCATACCACTAGCCCGCCCTCTAACTCTGACACAATACGAGTGCCATCTGAGTCGTGTACCCACTCAAAAGCCCCAATTGAAACCCCACGTCCCAGGTCTAGTTTTGCGATGCATTGGCCAGTGTCTGTATTCCAAATATCAATTGAAACTTCGCCTTTGATTGCAAGGCGAATGTCATCGTGTGACCAGGTAATAGTCCCACCTCCCCCCGAATAGTTGATATACATTGGCCAGTGTCCGTATCCCAAATCTTGGTTGTGGATTTTAAAACAATCATGTCATAATCTCTATTCTTAAATAATCTTCTGGGAATGTACTCGCGAGTCGGCGGTTTCGAGATTCTCCTTCGGGACAGAGATTGTGTAGCAAGTCGAGCACCGGAAAATGACCAGACAGCAGAGTCGATACCTGCATCGTTATTCAATTTCGACACACATTTGCCGGTTTTCAGATCCCATATCTGGCTAATTTTTTCGAAGAAACTGAATGATGCAAGGCGAGTGCGATCGTGCGACCACGCAATCTCAGAAACTTGATGGTGACTTGTCTCGAGTTTTGAGATGCATTGACCAGTCTCCAGATTGGAAACCTCAATTAAATTACCCTGAAACTTTGACACAGCCCATCCTTGGATGTGTCGGACAACCGTTTGACTGTTCCAAGAATTTCCCTCAAGAATTTGAAGGCAAGAACTCCAATCGTTCTCGAGTCCAGTATTCCCCACAATGGTTGCCCACTTTGGCATTTCATTCTGATAGCAATCTCTAGTCATGCTGCTGAAGGGGCTAAAGAGCAAAGGTGAACAGTAAACCTGTAAAGGCTTACACTCTATTGCATGCTTGAAATATTGAAAGAAGCGTAAAGCATCGTGAGCGCGCCTGATAACTTCTGCCGATCTGTTCATTCTCTGTCGTAGTAATCAGCCATCAGTAATTAATTCTGAAGAGAAAGTAACTAGTACTAGTGGAGCCTACCAGAAGTAAGGCATCGAGCTCCAAAATTGCAAAGATGCCCTCTGATATTGTGCCAAGAAGGCTGAGAGCTTCAAGCCAGTAAAGATACATATGCCGGAGAAACTTGTCGATTCTCCCATTCTCTTCAAAATCACCACTTGCAATTATGGTGCGACTAGTACAATGTCGAAGATGACTAGACCAATAAACACATGCATACTCTGCAGGTGCCAATGGGCTTGGGGTGGGTGTTTGGACAGCTTGAATTGAAAGACTCGGCAGCTTGATATCGAATATATCGCGTCGAAGCGTGTTTTCCATAGCTTTGAAGCAAAGAAGAAAAATATTGTGATGCTCTGCTTCCAGGCCCATAGGGAAAACCTGGGAAAATGCAGTTTTCAAGAGGAAGTCTTTCGCAGACTGATGGACAAAGACAATGGCATTAGTATCTTTCTGTAAAGCCAAAAAAGAGCCACAAAGAGCTATGATCTCGGCTATAGCCTCGAAGTCACCTGTGAAAACCTGAGGTAGCTCGACGCAAGACTGAAGCTCATCAAGAGTAATGGGGCGATAGACTATTGACATGGTAGCTAACATCTGTTTGCAGAGCTTTGCGTCATCTGATTTTTGGACTTGCTCCATCATCCTGCCATATAGTGCATTCAGACCCGGTGGCAGCCCCCTCACTCTCTCCAGAGCGCGCCATCGAGGAGTTCGGCCAAGTTCATGGCAGACTAAAGACACCCAGAGAAAGGTATCTTGCGAATGTGACAATAGATACTGGCCGATCTCATGCCGAGTCTCATCATTGTACTTCTTCAGCACGGCTAGTTGATTAACCTTATGCTGAATGAAGCTCTTCACGGCTTCGGACACAGACGCTTCGTTTAGCTCAAGCGAGATCGGCGTTACTTCAGTCACAATTTGAAGAGGCTCACATATCTCAGGCCAATTGCGGCTAGTAACGACCCACTTCACCCGCTGACTTGAAGCTGACTGTTGGACGATGAAGTCGATGAGTGAGGATAGCCCTGTTGTGCATTCGTCTAGCGCGTCGACTAACAAATATGTGCAGGTCAATTCCTCCAGGATATCAGTGAGAATACCTGTCAGGGCGCTCCATGAATTGATGTCATCAAAAAGCCGTTTGCCACTTTGCTCATATTTCGCTCGTACATGAGAGAGAAGAGCTGGCCTTTTCAGCACGAGGTAATAGATTAGGCCGCGAAGCACTGCAGTTGCGGTGTTGATCCTTGGATCAGTTGCCTGGCAGAAAAAGAACGAGATACTGGTATCCTCTTCAGCAGCACTTGTTATTTCGTCGATTATGCCACACAGAAGCATTGTTTTGCCTTTACCGGGATCTCCCCTGATCCAGAGGAGAGTACCTTGGTCGTTCTGCCATTGCTTGAACTGGCCATTCTCGAGAATCCAGCGGTATGAGTCTTTTAACAGTCCTCCATTGGTCGCTTGAATACGATTCTTGTCATCATACGGGTTGGTTGTCCGAAGGTCCCGCAAGCATTCCTGATTTAAGAGGGATTCCGATTGTACTACATCAGATAGCCGCTCCATTTAGTCTCGTCCTGATGACACACCTATGTTTAGGGGCTCCAACTTACCAAAGTTTGCAGTTATGTTGCCATGGTTCTGCTCCAACTGAATCCCATAGTTCGAAGCTCTTTGCGATGCAATGGCTGCCATGATCCTAGCCAGAGTCGCCTGAGATTGCGGCTGAGTTGGCAGCGCATAAATACTATTGGCCCCCACCATCAGGTGACCTGCAGATTATACCAGGACAGGCTTACCTGCAGGGCTGCATGCATATACAATTTGGAAAATAACATGAATATAAATGGCAAGAACGATCGATATAAACAGTGAGACTAAAACTAGTTATGTACAGTGCTTTGACGGGCAAAGCAAGGACCAAGTAAAAATAATCAATAAGAAGCAAAAGGGTATTCCAAACAACAGTAATTTCAGAAGTGAAACGATCGGATCAACCGCTCAGGCCTGCAGCAGCCGAGCTTGTTTAGAGTCAATGAATTGACTGAATACTGTTCTACGGAAGCCGCTTTAACGCAAGCTGATCTAACGTAGTAACATCATGATAGCAACGCACGCTCAGTTTAGACTAGAACGTAGAAAACGCACATCTGGAAAAGTATATTGTTAGTATTCGTCAAGTGACAGTGGTCTCAAAGGACAGGAAAACTTACAATCGACAGTCCCGAGATCATCGAAAACCAGAAAAAGACGTTCTGTTACAGGGTCAGTACATGCTCATGCAGTAATGTCAGAAAATCTTACGTTGAGGGTGGTTCGTCCCTTGAAGAAACGAGACTTCTGAACTGCGACGATAGGGAGCTGGAGCATCATAGCGCCAAATCCATATCCACGCAGCTTCTTGGTGATGCAGCTCATGACCAATTCATGGAAGACGGAGCTTACCAAAAAGGTAATGAGCATGGCAACTGGCTGGGAGAAGCGGGATCGGGATGGGAAATAGACGTGGCGAAAGAGGAAGTGGTGAACGGGAACATTCCACTCTCTCGAAAACTCGAGCCTAAAGAGACATGGGGTGAGAAAAACTCGGAACAATAGAAGCTTGATACATACCAATCACAGGAATTCCACCAGTCAGAGTAAAAGTGACGGTCCGCAAAGCGAGTGAGTTCGGCAAAGGCGCCCAAAACATACTCGAAGATGACCAGGAACACGAGCAGGAAAGTGATCATGAAGGGGAAGAGGAGCATGCTGATGGTTTCGGCCAGAACGAGCGCCTTGTCAGTGGTACTCTCAAAGGTCTCAAGCTGGAGATGGGCCTCGGTGAGAACGGGTAGGATGAATTCTTCGCTGGTCAGAGTCAACAGGAAGATGCATCCGAATACAGCGAGGGCCTTCCATCCGATTTCTGCCCAGCGGCGCTCTTGGCGACGAGGATACTCGAGCTCATAACACAATGTCGGACAGAAGAGAAAGTCTATGTAGTTGCCAGCGGTAAGATTTTGTGGGTAGGAGATGTTACCCAGTGGCGAGGTCAACTCTGTAGCCAGATCCTCACGCAGACGAGCTAATGGCTCATCAGGTTGGTTATCATCATCGTGTAGCTTCATCGACGGCCGGCGCCGGTTTGGTTCCGGGTAGCGGACGGCGGTTGGGGAGCTGGGCGGAAGGGACCCGGTCTTGTCTAGATCATTTAGTCGGCTCTCGGTCTGACTCAAGTGACCATTGTAGAAGGCATAAGAATGAAGCTTCATGAGTAATGTCAGGGTGTGAAGTGTGAAGAAGACCTGGGCGGTCCAGGTCCAGAGGCGCATGAATGGCCAGCTAAAATCCAAGCAAACATCAGCGATCTATTGACATACACGCAAGAGGAACGCTTAGAGGCCAATCAACTTACTTGATCCACAGAGCAAGCCAGAGTATTTCACCCATGCATTGCACCATCATACCACCACGAGACCAGTGCAGCCATTTGGGGCCGCTTCGGTAGAGCTTCTGGAGGGGCAGGACAAGGCCTGAGGTGGCTACCATAGCTAGGTCCGTGAGACCAAGCTCTACCACATTTGTAGATAGCAGACTCCAGACTCGGATTCGCAGCGGGTATCCTGTATCCTTCACGTTGCGCAGGACAGTTGTCATCACCATGATAAACAGGCTAATCCAAAACAGAACGAAGAACCCTCGGAAGTTATGGTAATCGCTATCAGGATCAAAGTGAGACACCCGTGGCATATAGTAGATCGTGTAGAATAGGCGATTCCGAGCCCTCACTTGTTTCCGAGCTGTCGAAATTGAATGCGCCGACGGAGGTGCATCTTCAGGAACGGGGGTTGATCGGCCACTGCGGCGAGGAGCGGGCGTTAACCATTGAGCGCTGCAGCAGTACGAGGGGAAAATAAGAGACAGAAAGTTACTTACCTATTGTCCAAGGCCAGCTTGTCCACTGGGGTGTTGAGGCTTACGTCCGACTTCTGGGACTGGAGGGGAACGGGACGAGACCGCAGTGCGGACGAGTCATTATGGGAGACGGCGCTGGACATCTCCAGAGTAGGAACAGAATTGAAAGACGAGAAACACGTTTCACATCAGAAGTGACTGTGAGGGATCCTAGGAAATGGAGAGAGAGGGAGTGCTAAGTGACGAATGTTTTGAGGGGAGAAGCGCCGAGTCCGAAAAACGGGGCTGAACAACTAACTACGTCAACGGTCAGCCTTACAGAAATAGCAATAATATTCGGATTTGATCGGCTTTGATTTGATGCATTTCAGCAGGGCTAGGCAGGATTCCAACCAAGTTTAAAATCATGGCATTATGGAATTTTTAGGAAATGACCAATGCGACCAAATGAGCATGCATATATCCCTGGCAAGTTGAATCAAGAGTGGTACGGCTCTTTCACGGAACCTCCGCGGATCTTCAGAAGCCACCGAGTAATTTACGTCACTGACGGTATGCAAAGTCTCTCACCGCCGTGTCTAATCCACCGCCCCAGATAATCAGGCAGAATGACATGACCAAGGCGGTGCTGTATCATGTGACTACCCGCACAGTCAGCATCCCCGTTCATTCCTCTTTGAGACTAGCGTACCCTGCCAAGAAGCCAGGTCAACCCAAGTCACGGGCCATAATAAAGCACAATCCAGACCGGACGCTGGATTGCTTCATACCTCGCGTTCTCTAGCTCAGCTCAGCTCATCTGCCTTGGATCCCTCCGCGGATCCCCTTTTCTTATACCCCCTCATTGACCACTTCGCCCCTTGACCCCGCCGGGGGTTGTGGCCGCCATGTCATCCCGTACGTTGCTGCCCGCCGCCCCTCCTCCCCTGAAGCTACGGGTCTCTAATGCACTTCTTTACCAACAGTCAAGCAATTCATTCGAAATGTCCGCTCTGCCAAGACAATTGCCGATGAGCGGGCTGTTATTCAGAAAGAGAGTGCTGCGATTCGGGCCTCGTTCCGAGAAGAGAGCCACGACTCTGGCGTTCGGTTCGTTCCATTTACCTTCTTCGTTGCCAATGCCTACCTCTAATTGCGCTGCAGGAGGAACAATGTCGCCAAGTTGCTGTACCTATTCACCCTCGGAGAACGGACTCACTTCGGTCAGATCGAATGTCTGAAGTTGCTCGCGTCGCACCGATTCGCCGACAAGCGCCTGGGCTACCTAGGAACGATGCTGCTGTTGGATGAGAACCAGGAGGTTCTGACACTTGTAACGAACTCTTTGAAGAAGTGAGTGGCCCTGGAAAGCGGAAACATCCCAGGGGTTCTCCTCAATGCTAACAGCCCGCAGTGACCTCGGCCACTCAAACCAGTATATCGTCGGTCTCGCCCTTTGCGCACTCGGCAACATCGCTTCCGTTGAAATGTCTCGTGACCTTTTCCTCGAAGTCGAAAACCTCATGTCAACTGCGAACCCTTACATTCGCCGGAAAGCGGCCATCTGTGCCATGCGGATATGTCGCAAGGTCCCCGATCTATACGAACACTTCCTCGAGAAAGCCAAGACCCTTCTTGGTGACCGCAACCACGGTGTCCTGATTTGCGGTCTCACATTTGCGACAGATCTTTGTGAAGCGGAGGAGGAAGAGGAGGGCCCCGAGGGTGTGATCGAGATGTTCCGGCCACTCGCCGGGGGCCTCGTCCGCGCATTGAAGGGACTGACGACATCGGGTTACGCCCCAGAGCACGACGTTTCAGGTATCACAGATCCATTCCTTCAAGTCAAGATTCTCCGTTTCTTGCGCGTATTGGGCCGAGGAGACGCGGCTACCAGTGAAATGATCAACGATATTCTGGCCCAGGTGGCAACCAACACCGACTCTTCGAAGAACGTCGGTAACTCTATTCTATACGAAGCCGTCCTCACTATTCTTGATATTGAAGCAGACTCGGGATTGAGGGTTCTGGGTGTCAACATCCTGGGTAAGTTCTTGGCGAACAAGGACAACAACATTCGCTACGTTGCTTTGAACACTCTGAACAAGGTCGTTGCCATCGAACCCAACGCGGTGCAAAGACATCGCAATACTATTCTGGAATGTCTGCGTGATCCCGATATCAGCATTCGCCGGCGAGCGCTCGATCTCAGCTTCATGTTGATCAACGAAGGCAATGTGCGCGTGCTCGTACGGGAGCTCCTGGCTTTCCTGGAAGGGGCCGATAACGAATTCAAGCCGTCTATGACAACCCAGATCGGTATTGCCGCAGACCGATTTGCGCCCAACAAGCGCTGGCATATGGACACCATCCTCCGAGTTCTCAAGCTGGCTGGGAACTACGTCAAGGAACAGATTCTTTCCTCCTTTGTCCGTCTAATTGCGACTACCCCCGAGCTGCAGACATATGCCGTTCAGAAGCTTTATTCTTCCTTGAAGGAGGATATTTCTCAAGAGGGTCTAACTCTTGCCGCGACTTGGTCTATTGGTGAATACGCCGATAGCCTCTTACAGGGTGGCCAGTACGAAGAGGAGGAACTGGTCAAGGAGGTTCGGGAAAGTGATATTGTCGACCTTTTCACAAACATTCTCAACAGCACCTACGCCACTCAGATTGTGATTGAATATATCATTACCGCATCCATGAAACTCACCGTGCGCATGACAGATGCCTCCCAGATTGAGCGTCTCCGTCGCTTCCTTAGCAGCCGAACCGCCGATTTGAGTGTTGAGATCCAGCAGCGTGCCGTCGAATACACCAACCTGTTTGGATACGACCAAATCCGACGTGGTGTTCTGGAACGTATGCCTGCTCCCGAGATTCGTGAGGAACAACGTGTGCTTGGTGCTCCGACAGCCAAGAAGCGCCAGAGCAAGATTGTTCGCGGCAAGTCCACCAAGACGGCTAAGCCTACTGCTGATCACGACTTGCTTCTTGATCTGATGGGTGGTTCTGATGCCCCTGTCACTAGCCCAACATCTCATAGCTCAAACACCGCCGATCTGCTGGCAGATATTCTTGGCGGAGACTCGGGTTTGTCATCGCCCGCCCCTACGCCCGCCCCTCAAGGTTCCTCGAACAAGAACGATATCATGGATCTCTTTGGCTCGAGCGGTGCCTCGCCTTCTCCCCAGCCAGTCCAGCAATCCTCTTCGGGGCTTGACTTGCTGGGAGGTGGAATGGGTGCTTCCGCGCCCTCGCCTGCTGCCTCGCCTGCTCCTGTCGCTGCTTCAACTCCCGCACACAATGTTTACAGCAAGGATGGTTTGGTGCTTGCCCTCCAAGTCCAGCGCAGTGGGGCTACTGCTCAGATCGTGGCCAAGTTCCGCAATGAGTCTAACTTCGAGCGTCTCTCCCATGTTGGTTTGCAGGCTGCCGTACCGAAGAGCCAAAAGCTACAGCTGAGCGCTATCAGCAAGGCTGAGCTGGATGCCGGTGATGAAGGCGTGCAGACGCTACGTGTGACAGCACTTAATGGGGTATGTCCTTGTCCTTCAGTTTCTTCTTATATCTCATCATAGCTAACCTTCTCGTTCAGGCTCTTCCTCCCAAGCTCCGCATCCGTTTCCGAGTGACTTCTTCCCGGGACGGTGGAGACCCAGTTACCGACCAAGTGGATTGGTCCGAGCCATGAGCTCAGCAATGAGCAGCTCCATTTGTGGCGTTGATATTGGCACCTGGCCTTGACCTCGAACGTATCTAAGAAATGGGAATGTGAAAATAGAGCCCATAAAAGTCTGGGTCTTCTCTGACCAATGGACATTTTAATGCCTTTCCCCTTTGCTCCCCCCAAAACACAACTATGCTCTATACACATCCTAGTATCTTGCCCGCTTTTTATTTATTTTCCTGCCCAGCCCCACACCCCCATCTAGACTTTTATTTACTTTACTCTTGGTTTCTTGTTGCTTTACTCTAAGGGTGGGGTTCTTCCATGTACATGTTTTGTTAGCAGATGATTAGTTAGCGCATGGGCAAGAGTGCATGTATGCATGGTGCAAAACAATCTATTCAAATCCGCAGTTAATTTCCAAGGTTCCAAGTTGAATGTGCTGTAAGATGCCTCTTTCCACTTCGGGCTCCGGTACCACTACTCATTCCAGATTGAAATACGGGCCTTTGCGATGGTTTAAATACGAGACTTGGTAGTTTAATCAGTAATGAGAGAGTCTCAATTCTGTGTTTGTTAATAGTAGATATCTAGACTGCCAAGAGACCTAGGGTGAACCAAACTGTACCAACAAGAAAGCCGAAAAGCTCGAAAGACAGCCGACGCAGGTTGCGGGTCTATTCCAAAACAAAAAGGAGAATAAAAACAGGCCTAATGCAGACATACGGCGTATATAAACGAGCAGAAAAATGAAAGCGTGATCGAACTCCAAAGCCCAACGCAAGAACAGATGCAATGTCGTATCCATAGGCAAAGTAAAGCTAAGAGCTAGCTCAGGAAAAATCTGGATTTTCTGGGGATAAACAGATCAAGTTCGGATGTTATAAAAAATATCATCTTCGGGGTACTGTCATGAACGTGTTCAGATTAGTGGTGCTCGATCGGGTCCTCGGGAAGTAGGACCTCGCCATCCCGTCTATGACTCGGTAGACAGGCCTTGAGAGGGGGCTGAATGATGTCGTTGAAGAGGAAGGTGCCGTAGACGAGCAGACCGAATCCGACGACTTGGAGCCACTTGAAAGATTCCCAGCCCAGGCCCAATGAGACAATCCAAATGAATAGAGTGCGGCAAGTGTCAATTGTGCTGCGGGAGGTGGCGGAGACGGTACGGGTGACCGAGAGACCAAAGAAGTTGAAGCCACTATTTGAGAAATTAGTAAGATAATTCCTAGCATGAGACAAAGAACGTGGAAGAGGGAAGAAGCTCACCCAATGCTGATCATGATCAAGATGCTGGAGATAGCCACAGCGCGGTTGCTGACCATCTCATAGATACCTTCCTTCATGTCGAAGTAGCCGTATTGACCCGCGTCCGTGCTTCCAACAGCAGCATACATAATAAGCATACCAAGGAAGGTGACGGAGAAGCCGAAAATACCCTCCCAGCCCACGACCTCAATGGGGTCCATGGCATAGTTCTCCAGTATCCACTCTTCCAACACGAACTGCGACGCTGTGAAGATCTGCGCCGCCGCAATAAGAAGAACACCGACGACAGTCCGTACTGCCTCGGGGGTGCCAGCAGTTTCGGAAGAGATCTCATCGTCCTGGGTAAGATCATGGCCACTATCACCGCTGAAGAGTGCACCGGCGAGACCGACCAGTGCCACGCCAGTGACGACAACGAAGAGAGCGCTCCACTGATACAGATAGAGCTTGCGGCGGAGGAATAAAACGCTGAAAAGACCGACGAAGAGGACTAAAGCCCCACGGGTCATTTGGTAAATGCTTGCAGCAACAAAGAGCAAGCCCACGTTCATGAGAGTTGTGCCAGTAATGTCACAGGTGGACGGCGCAGCGAGGAGAAGGATTCTCCATCCGCGGAGAGGAATCCGGTCTTCATCTTCGTCTACAGGCTTGATGTTCCCTTGATCAGCAGGCCCGTCGAGCGTGCGGTCTTCGTCGTCATCTTCGAGGCCGCCGTCTTCACCGCGAATCGGGCGATATCCACCCGCGAGAAGAGGGGACTGGTCCCCGGAGAGACGGGGAGCAACGTATTTCTTGTAAAGAATGGAAAGACCGATGACTAGCCAGCAGCCCATCTCGCCGATGAACATTTGCGCGCTGTTTGAGGAAACAATCGTCAGCCGTTAAACTCCGAGTCGTGTGACCGTGTTTCAGGGTCGCTGGATAGCTCGAACGAGTTAGCTGCACTTACGTCTGAATGACAGGCTGTTCGAATAACTTGGGATCATTGGTATCACAGTCGCGGACACATTGCATGTCCTATAATCAACCTGGTTAGCTGGGGAGCCCGTCATATTTCTCCCGACATGGAGTTCCTCAAGGTCCTGAAAGTCCCCCAAACGCACCTGGAACTTGTTAAGAATAGTGTTGCATACCCCGGTCACGAGCATCATCGTGACCAGGAAGGGAATAATAGCCTGGCTCGCCATGGTGTCCTTTCTGTGAAGAACGAGGGGAGATGGGGAGGCGAGGTTGAAACAAAGCGGAGAACCTTAGCTTATCGGGGATGGACCCAAAGATAAGCCCAGCTGACGTGACCGCCTGAGGATCATCCGAAGTAGCCAATCAGCATCCACGAAAGTGGGAATGTACTTGAGGAAGGCACGAGGTCGAGGTAGGCAACCGCAACCAACAGCAAACAAAACAAAAAAAAGGAAGGAGTGAAAAAGAAACAAACAAAAGAATGCCGAGTGCTGGAGTCGATCTTCTGACCTGGACAAAAAACCAAAAATTGCAAAAAGGTGGTTCAAGGCAGCTACTAGCGTTTCATTAATCAAACCTAACCACTCGTCCCCCCAAACAGGTAGGGCCAAGACCCCTAGACCATTCGGAGCTACGATGCCAGGATGGACTCTTTTCCCAATTATAACCGATCTATTGCGGCAATTGCCCGCTATCCCCTTACAGGGACCCAGCTGATATGACTCGATTCCTAGAATTCTACATCACTACATTCTTCTCTGCAACCCATCTTGGAAGAACACTTGTGTATCAATCTATAGACCCATGCTAATTTCAACAAGAAAAAGAAAAAATGAAGAGGAATCAAAAAGATAAGACTTCACCTAAATACCCTCTTCCATACTTTGATTGGCATCGGTCCGGGGCTCAAATTGGTCGTCTCCCTTACAGGCGGATTCCAATCAGGCGATGGCAAGGCAAAATCAAAGCGATGGATCAAAGAGGCAACCAAAACCGTCTGTTCCAAGTAACTGATATTCCGACCAATACATCCTCGTGCGCCAGTACTGAATGGAATAAAATATGGCTGCAACGATTTGCCCTCTTCTCCCAACCACCGCTCCGGCTTATATGTATCATGATCCTCGAAAATCGACTCTTGGTGATGTACAACATAGGCCGACATACTCACCGAAGTATCTCCGGCCACAAAATCGCCCAAAATAGCCGTTCCCTCCATCGGGGTTCGACGTGGTAAACCGAATATCACCGGCGGAAGCATTCGAAGGCTCTCATCTATGCAGGCACGGAGGTAAGGAAGGTGTTTCACCTTCGAGTACGATGCAACAACCTCATCCTCGTCGAGAACCCCATCAAGCTCACCTCGCAATTTTTCAAGGCATTTTGGGTTCTTCAGCAAGAAGAACATGGAATTCCGCAAGGAGATGGCGGTGGTATCGTGGCCTGCATTCATCATAATGTTGATCTCCGCCACGATTTCACCCCATTCGAGATTATGCGGGTCTCCATTCTTATCCTCCATCATTGCAGTGAAGAAATCATCCAGTTTTTCCCCAGCCAAATACCGATTTAACCGAGTAGTTGCACGATGATAGACAATGCCACCCCAGTCCCCATCCAACTTCCACATCTTTCGATATCCAGATGAGAAGATTTTGCTCATGCGCTTGAATGTCTTGAACCAATCATACGACCAGACAAGTTGATAAGACACGGTGCCCGTAGCACCATGGCACTCGCGGAAAGAAACCTCTTTCACAACCCCATCTTTGCTTTCAGACTTGACCACATCTAATCCCTCATCTAGGAATCCGAGATCCTCGCTAAGTCCGATATTCGCGATCGCGGCCGCGGCGAAAAGGACCGTCCAGTTGCGATAATCAACGGTCAAGTCCTCCTTCGATGGTGTGGTATCAGATAGAAGAGGATCCGTGCAGCGCTTATCAAAGGCCTTGATCACCTTACTAGCAACATTGGCGACCTTGAACTCCCATTCTTCCAGGTTCTTCACCGCATAGGCACTGGATAAAACCTTTCTCTTGCGAGCATGATCTTTCTTATCAACGACATCCGCAAGATGTGCATGTGTGCCTCCAGTCTCGGAATAGAAGCGATCTTTGACACAGTTTGTGCCGTGGCCATAGATGTCCTTTATCGCGCTTGGATCCGAGTAGGAAAGGGCGTTTGGCCCGATGCGGAGGACCGGGTGTTTCTTGTGGGCTTCGAAGAGGTTACGGGAGCGAAATCCCCGTTGTGCTTCGTAGAGAAAAGGAAGATCGGATATTCCTGATAATGCGTAGAAATTTGGATATCTTCGTAGCCCTTTGGGATCGTAGAAATACTTCGCGATTGGTATTACCAGGAAGTATATGACGACAAATAACCCGACTGTGATAGCGTACATCGTGGGAAAGATAATGATCTCGAACCAGATCTTCTCATTTGCATTATACTAAAGAAAGAAATGATTGGAATTTCATTTTCTGATATAGATCTTGAGAGAATGCGGGGTAGTATATCGAAATGCCTGTTTTGTCCTCCCATCGGCGAGAATCTCTTCTTTGGTCAAATTTCGGCGAAGATCGAACAGAACAGGCAATATACGTCGGTCGACAAGTATACCCGGGAGATGCACATGGTTCAAATCGCTCCGAACTGTGCTAACTCTATTTCAGCAGTCCCATGGCGTCGGCGAGCTGATCACGTAGCAGCTGGCCTAAACTCTTCTTTCATTCGGGCGGGGCATGCGGAGCTCACCAGGTTTGTCCACCCACATTGTAGAAGATACCTATTCTGAAGAGTCTAGTACACTGCGTCACACGGTAGCGGGAATTGTTTCCAAAATAAATACATACCTAGCAGAGAAAGGAGCGGCGAAATGGGACATTCCTACGAAATCACGATTTCACAACTGGCGTGGGGCCTGGAAACGGCATATTCCCTTTGAAGGTTCGAATCCAGGCTATAGTATTCCAAAGTTGCTTTCGCTGAATATCTGGTATAGATATCGGAAATAGCAGCCAGACGATGCTAACGGATTTTTTACCTAGACGGCCCCGATATCTCATCGGGAAATTTACGCCGCTAATAACCCAACTTGAACATTTTGATTGATAGACACTTCACGTGCAAAACATACCCTGACTTCATCTATTTTAGTTAAATTTTGGGAGATGACTTATAAGCCAAATAAAACACCAAGCAAAATTCGATCTCGCTTAGCAGACAACCACCTTCCATAAATTCGACAAATACCCAAATCAGCTATTAACCTCTGAGACAGACTTCTCAAGATCCTTTGTCTTCTTCCTGGGCCCAAGTCCAAGTTTTTTTCTCAGATTGAGCTTTCGCACACGCAAAGCCCTCTTCCGTCGGCGCGGGGGGTAGTTAATGGGACTTTCACCACCAGTAAAGATGGCCAAATCATAGATCAAGGCGCCAAACAGTGCACCGCTAATATCAGCACACCACGGCCCCCACACCCACCATGCGTGGTATTCTCGAAACAGTTGTCCACCCCACCCAGCCATAAGGGCAACAAGTCGAGGGCCAAAATCTCTTGCACAATTGAAGCACCTATACGAAATTCCCCAAATTAGCCTGTAACAGCGGTGACGGGAGAATAGTAATGATTTTGGACCGAACTCACCCTCCAGTATTATATCCCAAAGCAAGAACAACAACTGAAATGAGAATTCCCAAGATAAAAGCCTGCATACCCGCACCAGGGGGTGCATTAGTATCATCACCAAGGGCAACAATAGCGCCGAACAAGATCGCACTGCCAAGAAACTCCGTGAAGAACGCCGTAGCAGGGTGCACGAAAGATTTCGGTGATGTGATCATGGCTTGGGCAGCGACACTGGCGTTCTGTGGAAGGTTTGACGCAGCAGCAACCTCGAGGATTGCGTCGTGATAGATTGCGTAGGCGATGCCACCGGCCGTGATAGCTCCGAGGAGTTGCGCCGCTATGTATTGGATGCACTTTTTGGCGGGGAAGCCTCGGAATACAGACATTGCGATTGAGAAGGCTGGGTTTAGGTGGCCTCCTGATATACCACCCGTGATGTAGATTGCTGCCATAAATCCGAAGCCCCAGGCTAAGCTTTGCGAGGTGTAGCTTCCTGCTTGACTGGATGAGGTGAAGTTCGATAACGTTGCGCATAGTCCGATTGTCATTGCAACGGTTGTCTGCGGAGGGAATTGTTAGATCAATCTTGTCAACTGGTACATCATCGCAGTCAGTTCTGTGTGTACATACCCCAAGCCACTCAGCCAATGGTTCCCGGAGATAATGGCGGATTCGACTCCAGCTATTGAAGAATCCGTCTTCGCATTTATCCTGAGCGTTGTCGCCAGCAGCCCCATGCCCATTTTTCATGCTCTCTTTATCCTCTTTTCGATCTTCTGGTAGTGTATCATGCTGCATGCCCGGCCGAACGATATGAGGGAGCGGCTGAGCCAGACTCCACGTAGGGCTCTCATTCTGCTTTCCATATTGCGGGTTGTGCTCCATGTACTGGTCGCCAATGTATGCGTTACTAGCCGGGTTATGCGCGCCAGGGCCGGCTAGACTGAAAGTCGGATTATTTCCACTACCTTCATTCTTGCTTCCAACCTCTTGGGTACCGCTAGGTGCTTCGTATTCTGGAAAATCACCATCCGCAACTTCAGAGTGATGAGGCTGATTTTAGCGGATCCTTTATTTAGGTTATTTAGGGTTGCAGCTTACCGCCATCTGGGCCGTCTTGGCCACGATCCTTTGAGGAACTCATTACAGTGCCGAAATCTGCGTGAAAGTCCCCAGAGAAATGACAGAGTGAAGTCCTTTTTTACTTTCTGCTTTCCAGACTCTGGAATTGTCAAATTTATGTGGAACTCGACAGGTGTCAAAGCTGGATCGCAATCTTGAAAACTTACGTCACTACTGGAATTTGCATCATGGGTGGGCCCTATGGATCCCCAGACCCTGATTACGTTAAGCACCAATTGCTTCTCCCAGACTGATGAAAGCTTGGTTGAGTCCAAATTACTCGATGAAATAATTGACGAGAGAAAGTGACACCAATCGCCGTCATCGGTGCGGCTTGCACCAAGCGAAGAAGTTGAGAATTACCCCGGCCGAGGCAAATTGCTTAGGATAGAATTTAGATAGTAACGACTAGTAGTCTACATCTACGATGGGAAAATTGAAGCAGAATTTCATATGAAACCTATTGTATCAACAGGTGTTATGCCATTTGCACATTGAGAAATAGACCCATAACCTAATCGACGGCTCACAGATAAAAATTGAAGTCCCATCTTTTCCCCACACAAACGCCATCGCTGGACCAGCTGGATGGGAATCACAAAGAGATTGAAAAAGAAAACAGGAAAAAGAAATCCGAATGGGGCTATCGCTGGAAACGAGGAAACCGGACAGGAAAAAAAAAAGAAAAAAAACGGGAGAGTCCCGCGCTGGGTATGGTACACACGCTTCGCCCTTCCCCTTAAATGAAAAAAAAAAGAAAAGTGAAAAGAAAGAAAGTCGAAGACTGCAAAAGAATGAAAATGGGAAGAGAGAAGCAAGGAAAAAAACCCCCATATTTACGCCAGAAGAGCCGCCGAATATGAGAACGAAAAAGCAATAGGTTGTCATGACATCCATCAGTCTTCACATCACCAGCCCCAGAGAAGGGAGAGGCATTTCCATTATCAGCAGTGTTTCATCATCCTCATGCTGTAGGGGCAATTGGAAGAGGAGCGAAGCTAGTTCCATCCTTCTGCTGACGATCGAGGCTTTCCCAGTCGACTTGCACGCCAGGGATCACATCCGGCCCATCCTTGAGCATGATCTCGGGTGGAATATTCATCCAGTCGGCAGTGGCCAGGGTGGTATCTTCATCCCAAGGCACCCAGTCACTCCAAACAACGCCGTCTTTGACGTCACCTTTACCCTCATCCTTGGGCGTCAGAGTTGCTAGAGCAATGTCCCATGAGTCGGGAGTGTCCTCGGTTTGATCCTGAGTAAACATGTCTGTGTTCATGAATTCGTCGAAGGGGTCATAACCAAGACCACGGCGTCTGCATTCCGAGAAAACAGGGGTGAAGGAGTCGTGGACAGTACCCAAGGACATTGGACATTCTGACCATAGATCCTTGGCCTCGCCATCTTGGATAGTGTGCTTCTGGACCTCTTTTCCGGGAGAAGGCTTGATAGTCTTAGTAGGTTGATTGGGTGTGAGCTGTTGAGCTGGGGTTGCCGGTGATGCACCCTTGGCTCCGAGTTGGCTAGTAACACGAGCCATAGGCGTAGTGCTGGCAGTAACTGGAGTAGCGAGACCATGCTTGACTGGCGATGCAACACTTGGTTTGTTGACGGGGGTCATGGCGGGAGGGAGACCCGTAGTATGGTTGGGTTTAATCGGCTGACCACTCGCGTCCAAGCCCAGACCCATCGAAATGCTTTCGAGATAGAATTGAAGAGGGTCTTCGATATTTTCTTCCTCTTGTGGTTGATGGTCGTTCTCGACGTGTTTGTCGAGGGCGGCTTGGGTGGCGAAGCCTTGGAAGTGGTGCTGACACTCAACCACGCTGCATTTGAAAGCAGCAGCGAGAGCAGCAGCTGTCGTCTTCGCATCGGCCACGGCCTGCTTGGACTTGGCAGCTGCGCCCGGTGCAGTAGTAGTGGCTTGAACAGGCGAAGCAGTGGGACCAGCGTGAGATTGCTTGCGCTTTTTGGGAGGAGGCAGCTTGAGCTTCTCGGGCACAAGAGCTCCAGGTCCATAGGCGTGAGGAATTCCGGAAGGTGATGGTGCTCCGAATGGAGCGGCAGGGTGTGTCGCAGATTGTTCAGAGGGACGGCGAGTACGAAGGGCTTCTTCTTGCTGCGCCTGCAACTGCTGAAGGTTAGATGCATTCAGTTGGGGTGTGCTGCCTGGATTGACTTGGTTCCCGGCGGCGCCCGCAGCACCAGCTTGGTTGCCGTTAGGTCGGGCTTGGTTCATACGAACAATCATGACTTGGAAGAGCTTGCGAATGAAGAGAATCGCACCAGTCAAGTAATCAGGGGTGATAGTAAACTGGTCGTTGACGATCCACTCCTGTGATGGCTTGAACTGCCGCATCAACTGGATGCGCATTGCGAGAAGGTTCTTGACATTTCTCTCCTGGCCCTGCATCTTACCAAAGCCATGTAGAACCAAGACATCCAGGCGGCCCAGTACATCCAAAGAATCCTGGAGTTGCTGGGTCATAATAGCCTTTTGGTCTGGAGAAACGGAGACGGGCTTTGCGGCCGGAGCATTCTTGGAAATTTCGTTGTAAGCCTCCATGATCTTGGGTGGGAGGTGGTTGTTCCAAGCTTCCTCTGCTGCGGCCTTGTTGAGTATTGGCCCCCGGAGCTGGTTTTGCTGCTGGCGCCTCATGTGAGCCTCAACTTGCAATCGCTGCTGAGGACTCATAGCAGCGAATTGTTCTTGTGAGAACGGAACATTTGCCCTTTGTGCGTTAGCTGGAGGAGCTGCTGGCTGTGCTTGTTGGGCTGCCGCGGCTGCAGCTGCAGCTCCAGTATCATCGGTGCTTGGGCGTTTCTTCGAGTTCTGCTTATTTGCAGCAGCTCCCTTCCCAGCCTTTGCAGTTGCAGCTCCCGTCGGGGGCTTCGCGGCCACCGCTGGCGTGTCAACTGCAGATGGCTGTGGCTGGGCCATGGGGGGGTGGCTTGACTTGCTGGTTGTTTTGAGGTTGAGGAATCTGGGGCTGGGCAATTGGTTGATTTTGCCCAGATGCCATGTTTGCGTTTGCGCTCAACTGTTGAGCCTGGGCTCGTTGGTGCGCGGTCTGGATTAGGATTTGTCTCTGTCGGTTTCGGAGGATTTCGCGGATTTGATCATCGGTATACGACTGAGACTGAACTCCCAGCTTTTGGCGAGCCAAGTGGATATCTTGGGCAGTGATAGGCCGCATGGGTGGCATGTTGCCTGGCTGTCCAGGTTGTCCAGGTTGGAGGTTCTGTGCATTCTGCACTTGACCCTGGGGTACTTGTTGGAACGGATTCTTCATGACTCCCTGGCCTTGGTTTTGTCTGTTAGGGTCCTTTGCTTGAACACTGAGAATCTGAGCAAAGTGGAGCTTTTGAAGTGTTAGAAGCTTGTTTGGATCAATTCCAGTTGCGGCTTGTGAGTTTGAGGAGACCCATTGCTTCAGCTGGCCCCAAGTCTTGATGTTCTTCGGAACCTGCGAATTGTTGGTGAGCAGAGACTGCGGGAAAGGTGCTTGGTCCATTTGTGTAGTTTGCTCCGGGGTCATCTCCATGCCATTGTTCTGTTGCCGCAGCATCTGAAGTCTGCTCATCTCATTCTGTTGAGCTCGTTGCATGTGTTGCTGCTGTTGGGGTGTCAATTGCTGGCCGCCTGGAAGTTGCTGCGGACCCCCGGCATTCATTCCCTGCGGCATGCTAATGGAATTTCTCATGCGAGGATTATTTCCCATCTGACCGTTGAACATCCCAGGAACCTGACCAGGTTGGGTCACTTTCTGTTGAAGACCACCAGGTTGTTGACCAGGGTTGTTTGCTCGTTGCATATTATTGGCCAGAGCTGCGCGACGCTGGTTCAACAAGAATGCATGGAGTTGCTCGTTGGACATCGCGTTCAGTTGTTCCTGGACCGCCTGTGGAAGATTTGCAGGAATCTGTGGTCGACCTTGCATGCCAGGCTGAGGAGCGCCACCCTGGGCACCACCGGGATGCTGGCCCATGTTGGGAGGTCGCGACGCAGGTCGGGACTGAGCAGGCATCTGAACTGGAGACATTTGACCCGGGGCCATCGGCTGGTTCAGCATATTCATACCCGGGCTTCCTTGGCCAAGATGAGACTGCGCCTGAGCATTTTGGCCCGACATCGCCATCTGAGCTTTCTGCGCGGCTTGGGCTCGAGCCTGGGCCTGGGCCTGGGCCTGGGCCTGAGCTTGGGCCTGTTGATTTGGAAATTGCATCCGTCCCTGGGGACCATTTGAGCCAGTTTGTTGCATGTGCTGTTGGTTGAATATCTGGGGATCGACGCCTGCACCATTCATGTTCGCCTGGCCATTCTGACCCATCTGCTGCGAGAACATGTTCTGATTATTGGGGAATGGCGCCTGGTTCATCTGCGATGAGCTGGCGGGAACCACAAGCTGCCCAGCTTCCTGTGAACGCAAACCATCGGCTTGCTGGCCCTGTATATTTTCCACATTTCCAATGAAGGCGTTGTTGGGATCAAGCGATTGGCCAGGGCTACCCGAGAACCCATTGTTTCGTTGGAGGTTCATCATGTTTTGGAACATCTGTCGTTGTTGTTGATTCATCATCGCCGGATCCCCCATCATAGCAGCACTGTTCGGATCCATGCCGGCATTCGGTGCGCGGCCCAGCTCCTTCGCACGTTTGTGGCGTCGAAGTTGGGTCAGTGCTTGAGAGCGGAAAAAGTATGTCATCGGATCCATGTTTTTGCGTGCTAAGTATTGACGTTGATCTGGGTTCATGTTCGACAGGTTGAGCTTGATCTTCTCCATATCCTCGGGTGATGTCTTCGAGAGCATTTGATTGGCGAGTCGAGAAACGTGTTCGAGTTCTTGTGCAGAGAGGTTGTTGAGGTCGTCCGGGAGGGGGGCGTTGCCGGGACGTTGCTGCGCCCGTTGAGCCTGTTGTTGTTGGAGCATCGCAGACTGCTGTTGTTGACGTTGTTGCATTAAGACCTGTTGGTTTGGGTCGTTCATTCCCATGCCCATCGCCATCTGAGGCTGGCCAGGGACAGGAGAAGTCTGCATGCCTCGACCCATCTGAGGAGGAAAACCACCTTGCATTTGGTTCTGCATACCGCCTGCCATCATACCACCTTGAATAGCGACCGCGGCTTGTCTCTGTCGGGTGTCTTTGATGTGTAGGAGCTTCTCGTTACATTCTTTTTCGTAATCGCTCTGCAGAGAGAAAGGATAGAAGTTAGTGAGGGGTGTTCTGATGTATCCGAAAGAGAAGAAAGAGGCGACGGCGATGATGAGAAATGTGATGAGATGGAGGGGAGATGGGACAAGAAGAGTTGGTGAAGGTGGTTGAAAGGGATGCGATGAAAGACGAACCTTCTCGGTCGCCTTCTGAAAGGCCTTCTGTTCAAAACTGACAGCTGCCTGGGCTGCTTGGTTCAGATCGATTCGAGGTTGAATCAGACGAAGTGAGGTGATCCTAAGACAATAAAAGGAAAAAGGAAAAAGGTCAGCGAGGTCAAGGTAACAAAGGATAAAGGTGCAGGCCAGGGCCTTGGGGTTTCCATGGTTCGTGGGGGGGGATGACAACTTACATCTGGTAAACATTCATGGCTCGAGTCTTAATGGGCACATCGGCCTTCCATCCACCAAACGGGCCCTGGTTCGCGAGGATCTGAGCAACATGGCCCATGATGAGTTGGGCACCCTCCTTGTTTTGTTGCGGCGGCATATTCGGTTTGACGACCCCGGGCATGCCCCCGCCAGGGTTGGGAAACTGGGCGGGATTCATGATCGAGGCCCCATCAATGGGGAGGGAGCAGACCGCGAAGGGGAATCGTTGCGGTCAGCATTCGCCGGGTCGCCACGTTGCGAAGGTCGGGGAGATGGTCGTCGGAGGGGAGGCGGAGCGAGAGAGGGAAAGAAAGAGTAGAGATGGCAAGAATGGGAAAAAGAATCGAAAAAGAGAAGGAATTACAACGGGTGGTTGCGAACCGATGCAGGGTCGGAATCCTTCAAGGTCGCAGATCGGCGGGAAAAAAAAGGACGCCGGTGCTGGTGTGGAACCGGTGGTGAGTCGAGTCGATCAGGGAGGGTGGGGATGAATTCAAAATGGCCCAAACGGAGGGCGGGAGCGAGCAAGAGGCAGGCGAGCGACCAGCACGGTGGGAAAGCAAGGCGTTCGGGCACCAGCGTCAATTGGATGCAATTCGCTGACGAAAGCCTGGGTGTGGCTTGGAGCGAATGAGGACGATGGGCGCAATTGTAGGGGTGGATGGGATCCGTGACAGGGATGCTGCAGCTTGTCAAGTCGCACCGGAGGTTCTCTGGCGGATGTCGTGAGCAACTGACAAGAGGGACAGTTGGCTTAAAATCCAGCAGAACAGACGAACTCGGAATTGACCCAGGTAGGAAAAGGCTTACCAGGTGGATTTCCAGGGGAGATGAAGAGGGCACGCTGGGACACACTTGAACAGGGATAGTGTTTCAAGGTGCACAGGACTCTTTTCTCCGTTGGTTTGTGGAGGAGGGGTGAGAGGCGAAGTGGAGCGGAGGAAGAGGGGAGGAGAGAGAGGGGGGAGGGGGGGTTTGGGATGGAAGTGACAAAGGAAGAAAAAGAGAGTAGCAGAGCAAAAGGCAACACGAGGCAGTAGAGAGGCCAATGGAAAGGTCGAAAGGTACAGAGCACGGATTGAATTGAGGAATGGTGAATGCGAAGGTCACAAGGCTCAGGTACTCAATGCGGTGGATCACGGGATTCTTACGTATACTGAGTATAGCAGAGGATGGTTATAGTATACTATACTACTAGTATTGTATCCTAGGCAGTAGTATAGTATACAAGTACAATAAGTAGTACTTGGGTATTCAGATATACTATATCTACAATATACCAATAGCAGGACTCCGTACATCTACATCCCATATGTACAATCCCCAGGCGTCGTCATAATTGTGGATCTGTTTCACGCGACAACCAGGCTGATGGCGTACGGTAGTTAGTAGTTGTATAGTAACTAACTAGTAGTTAATTATGTACGGTACACTACTACTAGTATACTATATAGTACTCTGTAATATCATCTACACTTTCGACATTAGAGTAATTCCTAAAATTTCCAAAATATATTCAGGTACAGTACTTCTGCCACTACTTTACTTGATTACTCTCATTCTGACTGATCCCCATTGATCGACAACTTCTGACCCTGGCCTGATCCGGCCGCGCCTATTGGCCCGGATGCCTTCTAAAGTATTTGATACTTCTATTCCCACCAAATTAACTAGTACCCACAAGTATTTTCTACCGCTCAAGCTTAAGTCAGCCAATCCCCTGGGAACGTCAACTGTGTTTCTATATTCGATCGGCCTCGTCATCCTTTTTCTCCTACTCCTCACGCCATGAAAACCACTTGAACGTCCTCCATTTCTTCTTCCTCTCCTTTTCTTTGATTTGGATCGTCTCCCCTCCACCATGATTTCCGTTTCCTTGCCGACCGTCTCGGTCGGCTCTAACATCTTCTTCGCTCTCGCTCTCTGTCTCATCTCCCTCTTGGTCCTCTTTCTCTTGCGCCGTTTCCTCACCCTGCGCGCCACTCCCGCCTATTTGATATTCCCAATCTTCTTCGCCCTCGCCCTCCCTGCCAGTGTCATCCTTCTCGTTCCCATCGACTTGGCCTCGAGTTCCCGCGATGGCAGCGGGGCCAAGGCAATCTGGTTGCCGGACCGCGTGGTTCTCGTCTGTTGGCGCATTGCCTACTGGCTGATCTTTGTTCTCACTTGGTACGGATTAGATCGACCACCATTTTTTACTCCAATGAGACTGAACTGATATTGGTATATTCAGGGCTATCCTTCCTCTTCTCGGCGAATATGTCGACTCCGGATATCGTGAACCCAAGGCCCGCATCATATACTCCCTCCGCTCCAACGCTCGCTACCAATTGACCGTCCTGGGGTGTGCAACAGTCGGACTGGTATACGTCGTCATCTCCAATGGTTTTGATTTCCGCTCCATCAAGGGTGTCGTCATGGCTGCAGCCTACGTCTGGGGTCTTGTGCTTGCCATCTACCTGATGGGTCACGGCTTGGTTGCCATTCCACGGAATCTCTTCCGCAATGCTAATGTCAGCGGTCGCCTGCGACGAATTCAAGCACATGCCCCGAAGGTACATGATCGACTGATGGACGCGGTCAACGAGCTGGAGAGCCTCAACTCCCAGGTCGCCCAGCTGCAGAAACGCAAAACCGGAACTGCTCGCGACTTCCAAGAATGGATCGAAGACCTCTCTGAGACCCCCGGGGATTCCGATGTCCGCGCTCCTATCCTCGAATCTGCCGAAACCTCCGGCACTGTGCCTTCGGTCATCACAGAACGGTACCTGGCTGATATGACGAGACGCCTGCAGCGCGCCCGACACATGAAGGCTCGCTTTGTGGATGAGTGGGATCGTGTCGTTCAGTCTGCCACAGATCTCCAGTCTATTATCAACTCTGCCGCCTCAAAGAAGCTCGATTTTGGTGCTGCCCCGCGTCGGTCATCTTGCCTCCCGCGGATGAAATTCTTGACTCCCTATATGCGCTATCATCTCTACTCGAACGTCATACCGACTCTGAGGCTCGCCTTTGGTGCTTTTTTTGCAGTGGTTTCGGGCTGCATCGTTTGGTCTGAGTTGATTAAGTCTTTGGCCCCATCTGTATCGGCCATCACATTGACTGTGGTTCCGCATTGGAAGGACGAGAAACCAGTTGGATTTTGGAGCCAAGTCATAGCCTCTGCCTGGCTTCTCTACATGTGTTCCGCCGCGCTCGTCGGTGTGAACGATGCGAAAGTTTGGGGCAACCGTGCCCTCGTACGCCGCAATACCTACGGCGAAAGTGCCTGTTGGTACGCCAGCTTGGTGGCTCGACTGACCGTGCCGATCGCATACAATTTCTTGACCTTCTTGCCAAAAGACTTCCGCCGGACCACCACCTTCTACGAGTTCCTCGGACAGCTAATTAACCTCACCCCCCCTGGGCAAGGGATTTGATTTCATCTTCCCCATCTTCATCCTCATCCCCGTTTGCGCCACCCTGTTCAACCTCTACGGCCGCATCAAGAATGTTTTCGGTTTCGGTCTTTCTGATGATGAGGATGACGTGGAGAACAACCCCTCCGGCTTCGGAATGGGTGGCTGGCGCGAAGGCCGTGATCTAATCGAACGCGAGATGAATGGTTTCGGTTCTTTGGCCGTGTCCTCCCGCGGCGCCCGATCGACCTGGGCATCGGACCGCAGTGACGATGGCTCAAATGGCTCGTCCCGACTACGCGTTCCCGCGGCGGAGGGCTCCCGATCTCCCCGACCTGCCCAGTCACAAAGACCCATGACTGCCCCTCAAGTCGTCGACAACGAGCAAGAGGAAGAAGAGAACTTCTTCCAGTCCTTCGCGCACCGCATGCGAAACACTTTTGAAACCGCCAACAAACCCCAGTGGATTGAAAACGCTCATCTTCCTCGCTGGATGTCTGGCGATAACAACACCACTGAGGAAGGTGGGATTACGAGATTATTCGGCGGTAGCGCTGTGCCTGGTCGCCTGCGGCTAGGCTAGGCTGCCTTCTCTCTCTCTCTCTCTCTTTTTGTACTGCATAGAACACGGTGTTTGGGTTTGCTCCGTTTTTGCTGCTGGACAGCGTAATATAGAACCTACCTCATTTGTACATATCATGTTTTTCTTATTCTTCTAGTATACCTAGACCAAATGGCTTATATGTGTATTTATCTTTACCATTCGTTAGGATACTAGCAAACAGGTAGTCCGAGTCTTTCAAACACGACTTCCAACTTGAAGATTTGAGATCCCCGAAACCTATAGGCATTCTTTACTTGTTGGGTGAGTAGGACTACAAGATACTTGAAGCTTCCGGTTCCAATCGAATGCCAGTGACATCAAAAGTACTCCAATTACCTACCAAGAAGCTCCGAGTCTTTCTAGGAAATAAGACAGACCCCAATGGTCTTTGAGCACCTGGGCAGTGGCTGGCTGGGTCGAGGAATACGCGTAAGTATTTACATGACCTTCAACGCCCCTTACGTCGTGAGGGGAAGCTCAACAAAACTGAAATTCGGAATCGGAATAAAGGACCCCAGCTCTACCAACGTGCTACTGCAAGTGACCTGCAAGCAATAAGACACCGAGCCGCACTCCCTTGCTTCAAGTGAGCGTGGTGAAAACAGGTTTTCTATCCATTGACTAAGCGGCCAATCGATGCAGGTCTCGTACATGGCCTTTGGTTGTTTTGGCTTTTAAGTCAATATCACCTTGATATTCGCCCAAGACAAGTAGCTGGTGAAGTTAATTTATTGGACCTAAATTCTCAAAATTCGCCACCTACTATAACTACCCTTCGGCTTGAAAAAGAAAGAGGTCAACATTATCACTATTGTATAACTAGTGGTAAAATACTACTTCGCGTAGCTTTCATGCCAATTCGATCATTCCGAGGTTCCCTCTGGGTTTATACGAATTGCATATTTGGCCTTTCCAACCAATCAAAAAAGTTCGTTCGAACCCAGTAACCTGATTGGCCTTTCTCATTTTGACCATTCGACATATTCTCCTTCATTGGATTCATTGTCACGCTCCGCCACACGGACGACGTAGCCCCTCGACTTAGATCCGGGTTCTCCTCTTCGAACACTCCACCAAACTCCTTTGCCTGATCTAAATAGAAGTCGAACGCCGTTGGAGATGGAAACAGCATAAATTTACAGCCGCGGGAATCAAGAGTGCGAAAGAGCTCGTCTACTCGTTCGAGGACCTTTTCAAGCCGAGCCATCACGAGATCACGAGGAGGCTTCGTCCCGAGGGAAAATGTTATTTTTTCAGTCCATCAGGACCAGAATTATGTCTTTACAAAGACAGAAACTGGTCTGTATCAAGGAAATTATAGCATTGAACGCAGCCCAGGTAGTTTCCTCGATTTCGATAGAGGCGGAGCTCTGGTTAGCTGTTGGATATAAATATGGGAGATCGCAGAAAATATTAGATGAATGAGTGCAAATTTGACTTTGGGGGGATACAAAGTCTACACCAGTGATATATCTGTTTTGATTAGACTATATTCCAGGACGTGGTGGCATCTTTCGGAGAACTCACTTCAATCTCCTTCGATTCAGAGCCCAGGAAAGTCTGTCATTCGGAGAAAGCGCGGGGTGCAAAGCACATTCGATTGTAGTGTCCTATAAAGTAGAGATTGAACCCTGAGTAGGCTCGCTTTCTCTTGCAGGTATTTTTATTATGGGGCTCCAGGGTTTTGAACCGCTTTTCCGGCAAAGGTCACTCGAGCGTGTCACGTTAAGCTGGATAACGCCTGAACGGTAGGGGTGAAGGCACTTTTTGATTGGTATCTGGTCTCGAAATTCACGCATAATGCAAACAACTTGAAACAAGGCAGTTGACGTGGGAGGCAATGAAACAGTGAAGACATAAATAAGATGAGATCGAAAGCCACCAAAAATGTAACATCGGTGGAGCTCTGCGGAGGAGGCCTCTAGCCTAATTGGGAATAGCACGGTATATGCAATACTACTAGTAGAAAACGGTGATGAACTGCGAACTTTTATAGAGCACGACTCGTTAAAAGATGTTAATCTTGCTACAATACTAGCTCCTTCGCGGTATTGACGATTAATCTAAATTGCCTATCTAAATAAATGACCATCAGTCACGATAAGATTGTACTTGTCCGGGGTACTACCAGCGCGGGGCTAGTCCTCTTTAGGAGATAGTTCCATTTCCAGGTTGTCCGAACAGGCTTAGTTGTTTTGAACCATGAAATATGCTTGAACTTGAATAAGTCTAAATTTACTCGCTGGCTTTATTTGTAGTCTGTGCTAACAAACTAACGCATCATAATTCTACTAGTATGCTCGAGTATTTTCTCTCCTCGACTATGAATCTCAACTATGCTTTGTGCGAGATGAATTTCTTTCTGAAGGAGCTCGCTCTACCCTCTAGAGCCCTTCCACCGGCCCTCATAAAACCATGGTATCTTTCTGATAATTACAAACTTCACACTTATTGCAGGCTAAGTGGCGGTTGTTGCGGTCGAACTTGCGGCTGTTGCACAAAGCGCTTACAAGTACCATTAGCCCGTCTATCAATGTCAGGTATAAGTGGGCATTGCTCCTGGGGATGTCGCTGCTGTATGAAAAGAAAAGGCTTTCTAAATTACTACAATCAGTGGCCGAAAGAAGGAAGCCTTTTTGAACAACAATATAAGGATGCGCCTGAGAGCGACAATCCGACCGTTCTGCTTTACCTGGCGCACGCTTACGTCAGTCCAAAGCCTATGCCACAACTGGCTCCAAGCCAGGCATCAGATAATACTTCTATGGGGCATGTAAAATCCAATCCCTCGAAACCAGGTCCAAGCAATAATACGAAAGCCGCATTTAGCAAAACCAGTCAAAATGATGGTACGGACGGAGCATCTTACTTTGCTCCGCCACCATATGAGCATAACGTGGACGGTGATCGCGATACGATAGAGGAAAGCCTCCCCCCCCCAGAATACTCGTTGATGAACGAAATTCTGCCACCGCGATAGGTACTTCAACCAACGTAGGAGCTACTAGTACACTTCCCTGGTTGAAATGATCTCTGAAAACGTGCAGATAGTCGGGATGTTATCTAGCTTTTCTTTTCCCAATCTCTTCAAGTTGCTTTATGCTAAGAATACGAAGTGATAGTGTTGAATTGGGAATAAGAATTGAATTTAAGCTGTAGATAAGAAGCTATTTCTGCGCATCCAAAGGGGCAAGTAACACTCCGAGTCTTCAAACTTGAATTCCATAGTCTAGCTTATCTTCGAAAAGCCAAGACGGATTTGATTGTCTTTTCATACTAGAGACCAGAGTAACAAATGAAACTATTTATAGTTTTCATTCCTAGTCACAGCTAGGAATGTCAAAGACCATAATTGCCGAATATTGGATTCTGGAAAGATTTAGTATCTATAAAAGGCTAATTGACAGCACAATTGAGGAGATCACTTACCAGTCTGGCCTCCAACGCCAGGCGGGGCAGGCAATACGCCCAAAGGCGTGACTTTGAAGGAATCATTTCGATAAACCCAAGACCAGACTTCACCGGAGAGTTGGTCCTCGTTCTTCTCAATAGAGTCCCACAGAACGTTATACGCAGCCTGCACATTTTTAAAAACGGAATCATCTGTGCAGAAATCCGGAGTAGGCATCACTGATTTCGAATTATGGCCCCTCTTCGCAGTTTCAGAGCTGATCGAGAAGTTCGAAGTGACCTCGCATCGTCCAAGCTGCAGCTCTAGTCCCCTGGCCATCATTGCAAGCTGCCACGACCATACAACCGTGCCGTGATATGCCCCGGTTGTAAAGTTCTGCGCGTATACAGGGTCCTCTCCAAACGCAGGGTTTGCGACGATCATCCCAACGTCAGTCATCAGACCAGCTGGGAAAGTGCGGCGGATATTTGTGGCAGAGTTATTCAAGAAGGGAGTGAGTTGTTCATCGTTTGTAGTGTTGAGAAGGAAATGACGGAAACAATCATCAGTATTCATGACTTCTACCTTGGACAGATTGTTATTTCCTTCCAGAGCAACAGCATGGAACATAACATCTGTATCGATGGCGGAAGATTGGTTCGGTCCTGCAAAATGGTCATTTGAGTAGGATGTGACCAAAGACTTGGCCTTCGACTTGGGAATGGTCACGCTGAAGAAGTCCAGTGTTTTATCTTCCCAGATCTTCGCGTATTTATCTGCAAGAGAGCCCCAGTGTTTTCTGCGTGGGAGTATACCCGCGCGAGACAGGGCTGCGATAGATCGGAGACCTGCTGGCACAAGCGCTGTATTCACATCGTAAGGAATGCGGCCTCCGCCAAGGCCTGAAAATATTATTAGCGAGGTTTGGGTCTCAAATTGGAAATGAAATCATACCATATGTGCTATCTCTCCATTCACCAACAACTTGACCATCATGAAGGCGAATGAGATTTTCCTTCGTTTGGTTATGCACGAAAGGTCCAGCAAGACGCATGATTCTCTCCGCATTGGTTAGGGCTAAATCCCCCCCAAGTCAAGTTCTTGTTTGCTGGGTTGACTGAGCCTGCAGTAGTACTGAGAAGAAAAGTCAGATATTGTTTCCATATCATCGGGTGTAGTGTGGGTCATCTACTTGAAGAACTTAGCAGCTCTCTTTTGGCCGATTGGATTTTCCACAAAATATCGCTGCATCAAGACGGGGAGATAGTAATCGGAGTCAACCTAATAGAATGATCAGCATTTTAAAGGACAAAATTAGTTTAGAATATCATGGTATGTACCATCTTGTAATCGCAACCCATGGCGGTACTCGTGATATTCTCCTGGGCATTGGTCCAAGTCGCGTAGTCTCTGTATGATACTTAATAAGCACTCTCAATTTCAACTTAACAGAAGAACTTGAAGATACTAACCCAATTGTCTCCTCATGACAAACAGTTCCGTCGGTTCGATTGATTCTCTCCAGAACTGCACCAATAACAGCCTCCGTAGCACTTCCCTCGCCATAGCTCAAAACAGGCTCTAGTAGTAAAGTTGCGATCATCGAATCCCGACCAAAGTATGTCAGGAAACGCCACGCGCCCGCCATAAGCTTCTCCGAGTACGACAAGAACGAAAGAGCAGTCGTCTGACCTGACATAGTCTTAGCCAGGACACTTGATGCATTGTTTAGTACCGCGCTGGGCTTTAGCGGTGTAAGCTGCGGGTAATTAATTGTCGCCGAGAAGAGGTAATCGCCAGCCTCGAAGGCGACAGCACGGTTATCCAAAGAGACGCCGCCTTCATTCTTGGAGGTAGAATTGCTCCAAGGCTGAAATTTCAGGGTTGTCATCGTGGTGTTGTCCAGCCAGGTACGCTGTAGCGAGACGCTCCCATCGCTTGAAGAGAAATTGACTGCATCTTGAATCTCGGGATAGAGGAGACTAGGGCCTTCAACAAAGTCACGGATCGTACGGATACTTCCCAGAATGGGAACTGTAAGTTTTGCAGACGTATTAAATCGCAAGACACCTTGAATTCCGACGTGGGGAGGTCCCTTGGAGGATGCATTGTAGACTGGGCTCAGAGGGTGGGAATCGGTAGAGTTGATGAGCTCAATCGCCAGTGTGCCATTTTCGCCTTTCTGTGGTGCGAAATATGCGCAGGCACCACTATCTCCAGCTGGCCACGCTATAATGAGACGTGGTCCGATGATTGAAAGATTGCTGTCTGGAAGCGGACTGGTGACGACGGCCTGGGCAGCGACATTGCAGTCTGTGTAGAAATAGTTCTTGTAGGGCAAGTCGTCCAGCGATAGCTTGGAGGCTGGACTGGGGCATTTGGGGGCTGTTGATCTAGCATAGATAGCCTGAGATGCCCATTGTTAGACTCGGTGATGTTGTTGGAGGGGTGAAAAACCGCCACTTGCCGCATCATCACTTTCCGCAACCGCCCTTGCGGATGCACTCAAAGCACCTAGTAGGTGCAAGATCTGGAGGAACTTCATGATGAGCTCTGCAGAATCGTCTACTAGGAAGATCCAGAGATCTTTAAGTAGTTACAATGCATTGATCGGCAATGTCGTATTGTGCCAGATTATAGACCTTCCTGAAGAAGTTGGGATTGTACGACAAGTGGGTCATCTCCCCACGGGGCTGTGGGGTAATTTTGATCTGAAGGTTTGACATTCCCGATATTTCCCCGTGCCCACAATACTTTCCATGCTGGTTGTGGAATATAAGATAAATTGAAGCGAAGAGTTATGCAGCTCGCTATGAAAAGAGAGTATGCCCTTGCAGATTCAATAGATGATGTGTGCAACTTTTCAAACCTCCAGAGGTTCGTCAATGGTATTCTAAGATCATTTTTCGAACATATTTGTAACTGGAATGTGAGAAGACTCGGGTTCTGGGATATAATTACTCAGAACTCTTTTATGATCATGAAATTATAATGATTTAGCCCCAAGGCTACATACTCGACCTTCGGATACGCCAGTGGAGACAATCAAAAGGGTCCTTGCGTAGACCTGCAAGAAACAATACCGCTTTTGAAAAATTATATGTTCTAGAATGCCGAAATTATGCCGCTAGATCTCGGCATTTGCAAAACCCGCGATGACTATTACTCCTTTCGGCAAGCTAGATCTTATAAGAACCCGAAATTATGCCGATAGAAGCTCGGCAGTTTAGCGTGCTCGGGTGGAACTTGCTAAACAGACTCGGAGTTATGACAGCTGGTCTACTCCGTTACAAAGTGGGCATTTATATACTCGATTCCTAGATAAATTAGAAGAGAAGCGAAGAACTCGGAACAGACGATTTATGAATTTATGCTTGGCGGCATACATGGCTTGAAAAAGCCCGAGCAGAAATAATAATTGAGATCAGTCATATATCCGACATCCGAATTTCTCTTTATTAGTAATATCCATGGCTTTTCTAGCCAAAGGTGCCAGCAATAGAGTATCAAACAAGATCTTTCCAAATCATTATCCCCAAAATAACACCACCAAGAAAATGTCCAATCCACTTCCAACGCCATTCACCAAACTCTACGCCTCATGGATCCAAACCGTCAAAGCATCAAATTGCGCAGCAATCTAAACAACAGACCAGCCCATCAGTTTAAGGTTCAGTGCCAATTTATACACCCACCACCCCCGGGGGTCCATTCTCCGATAGTATGAATTCAAACCGACGTACCACTATCCCAATCATCAAAGCCTTCAATCCTTCCCGGTCACTCTGTAGCCCTAGAAGCGCATAGGTCAAGCCTAAAGCTAACTCCCGACCAGCACTCGCATACAAAATGGGGATGGAGGGGTCTGGGGGGATAGCGGGAGACCGAAAAGTCTATATGCAGCTCGTGGAGCGAAGAGGCGACAAAATCCTAGCCCTAGCAAAGACGTCGCGAGGAAGGTAGACGCTGGTGGTAAAGATGACATGGTGTCAGAAGTATACCGTGTTCAAGTTGGGACAGTAATTCTTGGTTGTGAGAGGCGGATGTATAAGATAAGACAGCTATGGTCTGAGAAATTTGGCTGTGACGTCTGCGGCGACTTTTGGTGAAAAGCGGCTTGGCCACAGGGTGTCTATTATGTGGTATTCCATGACGGTGTACAAGTAAGCTCAGCCAAGCGATAAAATCGGTCAACATAAATACGAGCAGACTACTTCATTCGGAGTAGTCGGCTCTACGCGGTCGTCTCTCGAATTTCGCCCCGGGGATTGGGGTAGATAATCGCGTAGACTCTAGTTTACTATAGCAAGTTCACTTGTGAACTAAGATGTTAACTAAATTAGCAGTAGTTATGAAAAGTACAGAATACAGGCATGAGTTCTTCTTGTTTCGGGTGACGTATAAGAAAATTCGTCTTTGATCTTCTATTGCCATTTGGCTAAAACTGTTCCTACCAACACACCTTCCTTTGTGGCCGTATGTTCCTCATGATTGCCAAGCATCCGGTTCGACATCCAAGTCACCACTTTCTCACAGTGAGGATCAACATGGATCGTCCACAAGTGCGCTGAATAAATCAGACAAGCATAAAATGCCAGTATGGATGTCCAAAATGATACAAACCCACCCCGTGCTAGCCATCTAGGGTTTCCATTTTCATCCACCGGGTGCAAACCCTGCATCATGAAGTCATGCCGGTAGACCATCCAAGACAAAACTGTGCGGATCAGGGTGTTGTGAAGCAGATACACTGGAAACGAGATACGGCCCAGGAAGTTCATCACAGGATGGGCGAGAATGCGTCTCGCATCGGGGGAAAAGAACACTCCATACATGACCATGGTCGTTCCTACAGACACCACATAGCGATTGATTTCGCCACCGGCGGGGACGATCATGCTCGCAGTCCAGACAATTACTCGGCTCCATGGCATCCAGTCCGCATTTTCCTCCGGAATTGAAGAGAGGAATAAACCGAAGACTACCATGAGCGCTGAAACAGCACGGAGCATGACCGAGGTGGCATCAGGTCCAAAGTCAGCATTCAGCTCGGCAAGGAACATGCCTGCATATATATTTGTTTCCACAAGAGCTGTTTAGAAGTGTAAGTGACGGTAAGTGTATTTATTTTTCAGGAACTCACATTGTCCACCTGCCCAAGAATACAGGTAAAGAAAAACGATGATCCCCTTTCTGTATCGTGGTCGAGCAAAAGTCGTTGCGAGCAGCGTTAGATAGACGACCATTGAGCCTTGCAGAAAGAACGGAATCGTCCAGTAGGTGCCATCAAATGGAGACTGGCCGTTATGCCAGAATAATGTCAGATTTCGAACCAATTTGTCGACAGATGCTCCGAAGCTAGGTCCTGGAGCACAAGAAACACGTTGAATCCAAGCCGAGTCGACAACCCTCGCGATTCGATGCCCATTTAATTGACAGACAAGCCAGGATAAAAGTATAGCAGCATTTGTAGGCACTATAAGCCTGCCCATTCGACCAAATGTGTTGCGGGATAGATTTGTGAGAACACCCTCCATATCTCCCTCGCGAGTCTCTTTTATGGCCCTGAAAGAATTCACGTAGCCAGTAATTATAAAAAATAGCGCGAGAGCAGATCGACCGCCGACCACAAGTCGAAAAAATGGATACTGGAAAAGTGATGCAGTGCCCTTGTCATCCATGGCTGGTGAATTGAGCCATGTTCCGAAGCTCGAGCACACATGGTACGTCACGACCATTAGGGCTGCAATCCCGCGGAGTCCCTAGGATGAAAATAAGTCTAGAGATCAAATCCAGGGAAATAGAGAAAAACCACTTACATCGACCCAATTGTTAGCTCGCTTTTTAGATGACATCTTTGAAGACTGCGGAATGGAATACAATGTCCCAAAAGTCGCGAGCCGCAACTAGGTGCAGCAAGGGTTTCCGTCTCAATGTATTTGGTGTGCGAAACACTGGCACATAAGTAAATAAGATTAGCTGAAGTCCGCTTCCGAATGCAAGCATATAAGATGGTGCTCCATTTCATCACTCAATTGCCTTGCTCCGGGTGCAGCAATTCGGTGCGAGACAGTGTAAAGTTGTTCCGGGAGGACTCATACTACTGTCGTTGTGATGATACAATTGCGAGGCCACTAAGAACAACCTCCGACAGCAATAGATAGATTGAGTCTGTAGAAATTTTGTTGTCCTTTTCGCCATCATGATCAAGGGTCTAACGGTCTCTTGCTCCTTGCCCCCGGTCACCAACTTTCTGGTGTTGGTTGCGGTAAGCTGTGGAACATCCCGAGGCCGTTTCGAGAAGCTTAAACGCTGATCACTACCCGCTCGACAAAATAGGTGAGTATGTTTGTTGGTTGCGCTTCCTGATTGGCTCAATAGATGAGGCTCTCTCACCGCTTGCGGGAATCCTTTTCTGCCGACTGTCCCTACTCTTCGGAATCCGCGCTCTGGCTGTTTAGACAGAGGGTATCCTTCGCGCGAGAACCTGGAAGCTGAAGAAGCGCCGGCAATTCGGACAACTTTGGGACCTGGGCTACATGTTGGTCGATCATGAGGCGAGACATTCATCTATTGTGTATTCTGTCAAGAATTGGGATTTCTGCACATCGTAAACAGGGAATGTATTAGCAATGCCCCGGTACGAAAGCGGATGTTTGGATCCGGATATGAATCCCGGGGTAAGTTTCAAGGCACCCCCTTCCTACAAAGGTGTATTACGAGAATCTTCGTAAACTCCAAGCATCTTTTGTCCTCGGCAACCTACCATCACCGATCCAAGGTGGTGTAAGAAGTCACCGCCTCGAACACTCCTGTGTTCATTCGATCGGTTGACTGTTTATGCACTACCACCTTTATCGCCAATATTCAGATATAATGTATTTCACCAGAGTGATAGGAAGACTCCGCATCTTGATTGTATCGGCCCTTCTAGTTTTCACTTTCTGGCACTTGTTGTCATGGCAAGCGGAACCCTACGCCTTCTCGATTGGGTCGCGACATCACGCGCCCACTTACAACCTGAGCGGACATACCGAGTTTTGGCGCCAGTTACAACCTCTTTTAGAGAAACATGAACCTAATTGCGATCCCCCTCGACGAACTGGCAATGCTCAGACAGCCGGCTACAAGACTTCGGACCCTGACGCTCGGCCGGACGTGTTGGAGATGTCGACTCATGACGTCTGGAGCATGACGAAAGCACACTCTGATTTTGTGGATGCCATAAAAGCAGACCCACCAAGTTTGTCTTATGTTGCCGGATCGAAGGGTCTGGTATGCACCGCCGGAGGCCCGTATCTACCAGTTCTGGTTATTTCGCTGCGGATGCTGCGTCGCACCGGCTCAAAACTTCCCGTTGAAGTCTTTTTGGCAACCCACGACGAATATGAGGAGCATATATGTGACAAGGTGTTACCATCATTGAATGCAAAATGCGTTATCCTCTCCGAAGTCCTGGACAAATCGTCAGTCTCCAGGCCAATTGAGAAATTCCAACTCAAGCCATTCGCGATGCTCTTTTCTTCATTCGAGGATATCCTCTTCTTGGACGCCGATGCATTCCCTCTCGCTAAGCCTGAGTCGTTATTTGAGCGAGAACCCTTCCAGTCAAAGGGTATGCTCACCTGGCCGGACTTCTGGGCTTCGTCTGCTTCGCCCTTATACTACCGTATCGCCTCACAGGAGGTTGCTCCAATGGAACTGCGACAATCAACCGAGTCTGGCGAAGTTCTCATTTCAAAAAGAACTCATTCCAAAACCCTACTGCTCAGTACATACTATAACTACTGGGGACCGACGCATTACTACCGACTATTCTCCCAGGGAGCAGCTGGAGAAGGCGACAAAGAAACATTCCTAGCTGCCGCAACAGCGCTTGGGGAGCCGTTCTACCAAGTCAGCGAGCGCATCTGTGCCATTGGCCACAGCACTCAGGGAGGTCTGGCCGGGTCAGCAATGATCCAATTTAACCCCATCGAAGACTACAAGTTGACGCAGAAAGGAATCTGGCGCGTGGCGGGAGACGATTCCGTGAAGCAACCACGCCCATTTTTCATTCATGCAAACTTCCCCAAGTTTAACCCGGCAACGGTGTTCTCGGAGCAAGCAGTCAACCCTGCATTCAATGATGATGGAAGCTATACCCGGGCATGGACGATTCCGGAATCTGTGATCAATGAATTCGGGCGAGACGTTGAAAAGGAGTTCTGGGCTGAGATTTTGTGGACAGGATGTAAGCTGGAAACTAAGTTCAAAAGCTGGGAAAATCGGACAGCAATTTGCCAGGACGTGAAGAAGTATTGGACTGCTGTGTTTGGACAGGAGGATCCGAGGGGTGTGTGATGCCTGTATATTTGCTAGCGATTTATTTTCACTGATGTTTCTCTCTTTCAATTCGCATCCTGTACTATCGTAGTAGTTTTAATGCCGGCCTTCCACTGGTATCGCGGGGCAGGAAAGAAATGAAAACCTTGGAAGACTGGATTTACAGTTTTATTTTTTTTACAATATATTTTCAACTTGTGATATCATTACCAACCTTCAGGGCTTGGAACTTCACGTTCTATATTGGTAGCAACCTTGGAAATAACCCCGTGATTCCCGAGGTCTGAATATTGGAAGTCATCAAATTTCATTGAAGCCAGACAGAACCCTACCTTGAATGAGCTCCATGCCTTGAGCGAAAATCTAAATAAGCATCTTCGTAAATGCAGGACGTGTACCTAGGATTCTAAAGTATTATTTGATGTTAGCTTCACATTCTAACAATCCATTTCCGTTGGGTACCTTTCTAAGTCCTCCTTTAGCCCAATTATTCATCACCTTACGAACAAGGCTATCCTGAGTGTTCCGTCTGCTTCAGTATTGTATTGAAAAAGAAGTATCTCTGGCTTGATCAAGCGTTATTTGCCACAAGTACGGAGCAATCTTACCTCAAGACGACCTGACTCTCGAAAATGAATATCCTTAATGGGAGCCGCGTGGGTCACCTCAAACGCAAATGCGAGTAAAATAATAGCAGGTTTCATCTTTCCCAGCGTATTGAACCGTCTACTCAGCAGTATGAATACCCCAGGACCAAGTGGCAAAAAGGTAATGGATCGGTAAAACTATGTGAGGAATTTTGGAAGATTTGGGCAAATTGAGTTTTGCTTTTGCCAATAGAATCGTAGGATTAGGCATGGTTTATAGAGAGGCCACTTGACTCTTATTGCTGCTACTTGGGGCTCAGATTGCTTCCGGATCCGGTCCTATACTTGGTGGGTCTCTTATACGCAAAGAGGTTCGAATTATGAGCTGGCCGCAAACATCTCTGTCCCGGACCGAATGCGACCCGGGCAAAAGGTATTCATGAAAGATAAGCTCCGAATACCGTGGTGATTGCCTCGAGGTGATTTCGGTGCCAATAATTTTGCCAAGTCTAGGGGGGAAGCAAACAGCTAAATATGCCAAGAGTCGAGATATCCAGATCACTGCAAGTCCAGATACGATCATCTGTCAAACCCAGCGCGGCGTTGATCGGCCACTCATTGCCTGTCTAAGTCTTTTCTGGGCCGGCAATTTCGAACTTCTAGTTAAAGATAATAATTATCTGATAAGCGTTATTCACTGTTTTCTTTCTCTCTTATTGTTGATTTTAATTTTGGATCCCTTGGAAATCGAATCTCGCTCCATGTTGATTGCCAAGACCCCGGATGCGGAAGGCGAGGGGACCATGCAACACTGAACATATGAGAGTAAACTTTTAGCTGCCCGTATTTGATACTGCTGTCTTATTCAGCCTGGATTTTTATTTTTCATCTTCATCCCTTCCGCCATGATCGCTCGATAACAGCCGCAAGATCGCAAATACGTCAAACAGTTATTCGCAGTCAACCTCAATTTGCCCAAACTTATGATCTCGGCTCCGGAGTACAAGATACTGCTCCTTTATCTTTCAGTGCGTCAAATTGACTATTATGATTAGGTATATTCTACTCTTTGGACACGGGTGGTTGTATTAACTGACGATGATGGCAGGCCATCTCTCATGCGTTTCAGGATACTTCACACCTTTGTTATTGTGGCCACCCTGGCCGGCTGTTTTGTGAGTGGATTATACTGGTACCAATGCCGGCAAACTCATCTAATGCGAAATTATTCAGCTGACGTGGAGGTTCTTCTCTCCCCACCGACCACAATGGCCATCCTGGGAGGTTGGAGTAAAGACCGCCCAGGATGGCGTCTCCCCTAGCAAATCAGCATACGAAGTATTAAAGAGCGGTTTCAAAATTGGAACAAGCGCCGCCCAAGAGGGATTTATGGACAAAATGATGCCCGGGTCGCTCAGAAAGAAGAAAGTCGTCATGGTCACCGGTAGTTCTGGTACAAATCGCATGCTCGGGATACCACACATGAAAGAGATGATCTACGAAAACCGAAAGACATACGCCGAGATGCACGGTTTCGATTTAATGTGGGCAAACATGACAAGCTACAACTTGCCTAACGGCGAGCAGATCTACTGGAACAAAATCCCCGTTCTCAAAGAAGCCTTCGCACGTTACCCGGACGCAGAATGGGTATGGTGGATGGATATGGACATAATAATCATGAACATGACCCTCAGCATCTACGACCACGTCCTGTCTAAGGAGGGATTAGCACGCAATATCCTTCTTGATCGCGAGCTGACCGGTGCCGGCGGTGGGAAAACTGGCTACAGCACCCCAGCTACATATCAGCACGAGGACATCAAGTTTGTCATCTCGTTGGACTCGTGGGGTATGAACGTGGGCAACTTCCTGATGCGTCGGGGTGAGTGGAGCAAATGGTTGCTGGATCTGTGGATTGAGCCGCTCTACATCTCTCAGAACTGGGTGTTTCCAGAGAACGATGCGTGGACGCATATGTGGCAGCACCACGATGTTGTTCGGGATCATGCGGCGGTCACGACTCAACGCTCGATGAACGCATATCCGGATTACAACAAACTCGGGGAGAACTGGCAGCCGGGTGATCACATCGTTCACTTTGCGGGTTGTGGTGAGGATGCAATATGCGAGCAGAAGTGGAATAAATATTGGAATCTGCGCGAGAAAATTGAAGTCCCGATGTCTGTTCGGAGGAAGTTGGAAGATGGTACAGCTGAGATTGAAAACGTCCAAGCCACCATCGGTTTGCCGTGAAATACTACTAGTACTACCAAGGTAGTACTAGTACATTTTTGCGTTTATACAGGTTCATAGCATAATTGTTCTATATGCAGCTGTACGTACCGGATTTTAGGCCGCGGTCGTGACTTTCCCGATCGGGATGCCGCCGCTTTAATGAGGGCACTCAGGGTCTTGCTCACTGAGTATTTCACAGCACAGGCTGGTCCACAGCCTGCGGGGGAGTACTGAGGCCTGAGACCTCAGGCCCCAGGTTACTGAGTCAGCCGGTGCCCACCGTGCCTGCCATATAGATAGCTTCTCTCCATAGCATCTTCATGTCACCACCATCTTCAGTCTCTCATGCGAGTATCCTCATCCTGTACCTCCAGTAGTACTATTTGGTAGTTGCAGCTTACCATTATTAACCTCATCATCCAGATCCTCAGAAGTGTTAGCCTGCCTTCTTTATTACTAATATCCTTGATTTTGACATCATCAGGCTTCTTATTGATATTCTTCTCTTCTTTTAGTGCCTTAATTTCGTTTGAAGAGAAGAACTGTTGAATATCCTTTGCTTCCTGTACTTTAAGGTCAAATTTTGATGTATAGAGGAATAACATCAACCCTTTAATGGTTTTAGACTTCATACGACTGCGGCGATAATGGCAGATATTACGTGCTGTGTTAAAGAGTCGTTCTACACAAGTACCGGTTGCCGGAATTGCGAGAATATCTTGTGCAAGCAAAGTGATCGCTGGAAAGCGGCCTTCCAGTCTTTTGCATACTTCTCCCTATATACCGCATGTAGAGCCCTAGAGAATTAATCACATTCCTGAAAATAAGCAAATGCCTTCTCCATTTGCTGATGAAGTAGGTGAGCATGTCCTGGCATGGGCAGATCAAGATGATCTCCATTCACCGACAGTGCCAAAACCTCTCCAGCAGTATACTTCTCCCAGCCATTGGGTCCGAGGTCTACCTCTTTCCTGTCCGGCACAAGACAGGCAAACGCACCCAACTTCGGATCCTCCATATAGCCCGGATATGACGTCGTCGGGATACCCTGGTCCGCCAGCATCTGCATCAATTTCTCGTTACTAACGACCCGATTAACCATCCCCTTCTCGGCCCAGATAACGGCCGTGTGAGCGGGACGTTCCTGTTCCGTCATGAAGGGCGGGTGATACGCGTGCATGGCGACATGGTACGCGCGGAAATGGTTCTGGGTCGTACTTCCTACGCTCCAGAGGCCATCTTTGGAGACGGCGTTTTCGAAGATGGCGAAGCTGGCATCGTCTTCGGAGTTCATCTTTTCCTCGTCGAGGAGACTTGAGCGAGGACAGCACATGTCGATCAGCATGAGACCAGATACATGTCGGCCCAGTCTGGCGAGCTGGCGACTGACTTCGAAGGCGACGATCGAGCCGGCGGAGAAGCCGCCGATCATCATATGGCCCTTGGGCTGGGCGACCACCAGGGCTTCAACGATGAGCTTTGCGACACCCTCGATGCCGACTTCCTTGGTTAGGCGGGTTGGACAGCGCAGGAAGGGCGAGTCGATGCCGTAGACTGGCATTTTAGATTTGAAAGCTGGGAGGTGGATGTAGGTTGCGATTGTGCCGGTGCCGTCGGCCATCATATAGAGGGGAGTCCGCTTCGGTCCGGGACGGCCTTGTAGTAGGGTTATTCTGACACTGGGAGCAGGGGATGTGTCTGTATCGATGACCTTTTTGATGAGTGGCTTCCCCTGCTGTTTGTTGTTGTTGTTGTTGTTGTTGTTGTTGTTGTTGTTGTTGTCTTGATGTTCTGGAGGGAGTGTTATTAGATCATCCTTTTCGATATCGACCGCGCTGGACCCCAGGGAGGAGGCTGTCTCGGACATGGAGATGAATTCAGGACTGGGGTTTGATGAGATAGAGGCTTGAGAACTGGAGGGAGTTAAGATGCCCTTGGACTTGGGGGTTTTTGGTTTATCTGCTCCACCAAAGGCGCGGCGGAGGTCGCCAATCGTGGGATGGTCGAGAACGAATGTCGCTGGGAGATCGAGACCAGATTCTTCCTTGACGGTGGCGACAACCTCAATTGCCATGATGGAATCGACGCCAAGGTCGGCTACCATAGTGTCATCGGTGAACTCGGAAGAGTCGCTACCCGTAGCCTTGGAGATGCTGTCCAAGATAGCATTAATCAACCCTTCATCTTGGGGGTACTCGTCGTCGTCGTCATCCTCCTGAGTCTCAGCTGCTTGTTGCTGCACTTTCCCAATGTCCAAAATCTGTCGGTTGACCTCAACAGTTTTCTTAGTTTCTTTCACAGGTGGTCTGTGGGTGGGCGCCGAAGAAGACCCATGCGACTTCTCGAGAACATGCTTCCAGGTGGCTCTGGGAAGCTCTTGGTATCGCAGGTCGGTGCATTGCAAGATAATTTTCGACGTCTCCGGGTCAAAGACCACCGCGTCACAATATGCCGAGTCCTTGACCCATTTAGAAATGCGAGTGTAGGCTAGGTACTGCTTCCCAGGCACTAACGGGACCGTCAACTCCACGCTTTCGAATCCCATCACAATAAATGTTTTTTGGGGTGATTTTTTCGGATTTCCATTTACCATGAAGCCTGCCAGATGCACCAAAGCCTCGCCCCAATACGGCGAGAAGGTGAACCGAGTACCAGCAGGATCGTGCGGGAGCTTAACCACTGCTGCGGCCTCCTGGAAGTCTTTGGCGATGTAGGCCTCGTCAACGCCCTGGAAATCCGTACTAAACTCGACGGAATTGCCGAATAGGGCATAGAAGACTTCCGGTTGCATTCTATGTCCGGAACCTTCTTTGGCATTCTTGATCACCTCGTCCATCCTGGCTTGGATGAAGTACGATACTCGGTCCCAGTTCGACTGGGTCGTAGCCGGGTCACGAAAATTGACGATAGAAGAACCGAGCTCATGCGATGTGCCTCCTGATGTAAGCTTGAATATAACCGAGATCGTGTCTGCAGACGGAGAATCCATCACAGCGGTGGTGATCAGACTGCCATCAGTGCCAGCGAGCTTCTTTGTTATGGGCAAGAGCAGCTCTGGTTTATGAAGTGTGAGCCAGGACTGGTCCACATTCTTTCTGCCACTGTGCTCGAGGGCATATTTGGCCGCTGCAAAAGCGGCCTCGCAGAAGACGCTTCCTGAACAGAGTCCGATTCCTTGCATCTTGTGGCCGTCGATGAGTCCCATGAATCCGGGATCAGAAATGGAGGCCCGGAAAACCACCTGGATTTTCGGGGAAGATGACTGAGAGACAAGATACTGTGCGCAAGTCGATACAAACGGCCCAGATTCCGTGACCAAAGATTGTTCCGGCACAACCTCGGTGACTTTATCGGTATGGGTGATCCAATAGTCTTTTACCTCCCACGCATAGGAAGGAAGTGTCAACAATTGAAGATTGCTTTCGTATGGAGCATGTAGTGCAATCCAATCGATATCGATACCGTTGGTGTAAGCCACCGCGAGAGATTTGGAGATAGACGTCCAATTGCTGATGTTGGGCTGTAGAGTATGCGTGACTCTGGAAGGTGGAGGTGATAAAGTATCGCGGACAAGAGATACGCAAATCGGAGATGGCCCAATTTCAAGCCAGACTGGATCACTCAGTCTGGAGTTTACGGCGTTGAGTCCACCGACAAAGTTGACTGGTTGGCGTGTCTGCTGTACCAGGTAGTCCTGGTCAAAGACACCCGGCTCATCGACAACAGATCCGAGCAGAGTTGATGCCACAGGGATATTTGGCGCAAAATAAGTGATGCCTGCGGCAAGAGAGCTGTAGTCTTGCAGGATTGGATCCATCTGGAATGAGTGGAATGCGAATGGGATGGACAATGTCTTCGCGCGAACCTTGGCGTCCTGCTTCGTGACTTTTTCCTGGAATTGTGCCAAATCCTCAGCTGTCCCACTGACAACAGTAGCACTTGGGCTGTTGATGCAGGCCACACCACAAGAAGAGGACTGGAGTTGGGATAGGTGGTCCCGCACATTTTCTACTGAGGTTGACACCGCAAGCATGGAACAAGACCCGGATTCACATCGCTCCTGGAGAATCAAGGCACGATGTCCAACTAAATACAAAGCATCTGCCAGCGACAGGACTCCAGCAGCATGCAGGGCAGCGTACTCACCCAGACTGTGACCCATGACCAGCGCAGGCTCAACCCCCGTGGATCGCCAAAAGTGGGTGAGGGCTATCTCCAAGGTGAGGACAGCGAGTTGCACTTGCGCTGCAGATTTGGTAGACACATCGATTCTCTCATCGGTGATGATGTCCAAGTATGGGGGGAAGCTGTTGCCGGAGCAGATTGCCACGCACAAATCGACTCTCTGACGGAAAACAGAATTAGTGCGGTATAGCTCAGCACCCATGCCAGCGTAGTGGGAACCTTGTCCGGTGAAGACAAAGACGATGGGGACATGCCGCGAAGCAGAGGGGTTGCTACTGCGTTCAACCTCGGGCTCGAGTTTTGAAATGGCCTCTTGTGTCGTGGATGCAGTCAGCGCGAATCTGATGGGATGGTGCATCCTTCTTGCCGTAGTTGTGTAGGCAAGGTCCTCAATGCGAGCGTTGGGATTCGAACGAAGCCACGTGAGTAGTCGTTGTTTGTTGAGGAGGTGCGAAGATGGCGTTCTTGCGGAGGTCACAATGGTGTGGGCTGACCTCACATCTTCGCCTCTCTCGCTCTTATGCGTGTACTCCTCCAGGAGTAGGCATGCGTTGCCGCCCTGGAGTTTTATATACATGGTCAGTACAACAGCATTGCGGCAGCAGTAATAGAACATCTTACCGCGGCATCGAAATTGTTGAGGAGAATACGTCTCGGCTTGCTGCCGGAAGCCTTGAACTCCAATGGCTCCGAAGGAATCTTTATGTTAATCTCGTGTAGGGGTGGAAAGTTGGGGTTGAGTGTATGAGGCATCCCGGCCTGTGGTGGTATGATTCCCTTTTGAAACATGAGGATGCTCTTGAGTAGGGAAGACATTCCTGCAGCCTTTAGGT